AGCCGGTGGGCTTTACAACCCCTTTCCCACATACCCATTCAGTGGAAGTGTCCGACCTGTATACCCACTGTCTCCACGACGCCCTGTTCCCAAGTCAATTAAGCACCCTGACTGGGCTGAGACCGGAATCCCCAAGCGAGAACTCCGGCTGAGCAAGTCGAAATGGGATTTCTTGGATGCTGAAGGTCAAGCAGCCATGCGCAAGGTGTGCAAGTTGGCTCGCGAGGTCCTGGACATCACCGCCGCAGCCATGAAACCCGGCGTGACCACCGACTATCTGGACGAAGTCTGTCACAATGCTTGTGTTGAACGAGAGGTGAGCATTTCTACCCAATTACTATGTGAGTCTTCGTTACTGACGCGCGGCATAGTCATACCCTTCCCCACTCAACTACCATCACTTCCCAAAGTCATTGTGTACATCCCCGAATGAGATCGTATGCCATGGCATCCCCGACCAAAGAGTTCTTCTTGATGGCGATATCCTCAATCTGGATATATCCATCTACCACGGCGGATACCATGCCGATTTGAACGAAACTTACTACGTCGGCGACAAGGCCAGGGCAGACTCAGATGCGATTAGACTCATCGAAACGACGCGAGAAGCCTTGGACATGGCTATTGCCATCATCAAGCCCGGAACACCCATTCGGGAGTTTGGAAAAATCATTGAAAAGCACGCGAATTCCAGGGGTCTCGCCGTTGTCAAGACTTGGGGTGGTCACGGCATCAACTCAGAGTTCCACCCTCCTCCCTGGATCCCACACTATGCGAAAAACAAAGCTGTTGGGACATGCAAGCCTGGGATGACCTTCACCATTGAGCCTATTCTTACGCTAGGCACAAACCGGGAAATGGATTGGCCCGATAACTGGACAAACGTTACGATGGACGGAAAACGGACGGCGCAGTTTGGTGAGTCTAGAGCCCTCAAGCCGGCAGAAAGATTTCCAATGCTAATTTCAATGACCACAGAACATACTATGCTTGTAACCGAGACAGGCGTTGAGGTTCTGACAGCGAGGCTAGCGGACTCCCCAGGTGGACCAATCCCCATACCAGATCCGGTAACTGAAAATTGAAATGATGCACATGATGTGAATGGAAAGTGGTGAAGTTTCCAAAGATTGAGTGATGCGGGGAGAATTGGAAATCAGCTGCTTCCATAGCCCTCATTTTTCTGCATCGTAGGCATTGGGGAATTTATCTATTTAAGCTTTCTCTCGCAATGCGGCATGACACCAACTTGAAATATATACAACGTGAACTCAGGCTTGATGTCATTCTACCCATTCCAAGAGGACTACATGTTCTACAAGTTAGAGCTGTTTGATGTCATGGGCAAACTTGAAGTGTCAAGCACAGAATCTGTCGAAGGGGAGCTGCAAATCGCGCTAGAGATGCTTCATTTAGACCAAACTGACGAGAATCGTGTGTGGTGTTTCCGGGAGTCCCCGTACCCTGCTCAAAATACTAATACTAGTATATGCCTACCTATTCCCACCTGGGCACCTGAGCATCTATTATACCTAGGTATAGTTACCTACTAGTTAGTAGGTACCAACTCTAGGGGGAACTTGAGCGAATGTGGTATGTCGAGGGAGGTTGGTGGTGCCTTCCTTGACTGTCTCTCTGCTTCAAGTTGTAGGTATACCCATTTCTTTCTTTCTCTGCTCTACATCGCTGCATCACACACAGAACTCCCCATCATGGAAGAAAATGAACCCTCAATCTAGGAAGAAGCATGTCGAGAAGTCGAACACGCAAGAACTCAAGTCCAAGACCAGGAGGAGAGATTTCATACCTTTTTTCAAACTTCCGGTCTTATACAACATATGTACGATTTGATGCCATTCTAACCACTCTGAGAGGACCTCATGCATCACTAGCTCAGGATACTGGATGCTATGGCTGGAATTTCAACCGCGGAATCACTTGAAGGGCAGTTAGAAGTGGCGTTGAACATGCTTCGCCTGGATCAATCGACGAGCTTCGCGTGCGCATCCGCATACCACGCCTTATATTCCGACAGAGAAAGGATCAGGAGCTCTACAATTGTACAAAGTGGTGTAGTCAACCGAGCATCTTTGGTGACTATGGCTGGGGCGAGAGATCATGATAGCTTTCAAGGTTTAAGGGCTCCGGCCCGTTTGATGCGATTGATTATTTCTGCGGTAGCCACGCGGATTTATTCCCCCTCGCTAATTTGGCCATTCTGGAAACAAAGCTCTTGCTGGACCTGACCTTCCTGGACAATTGTGTTCTGGCTGTGGAAACCAAGGTACCTTCCGAGATCCTGGACATGATCCAGATCCAAGGCATCCAAACTTAAGGTTCTCTTATCAAACAAGGTCACGAGATCCGTCAGAATATCAACCACCACGCTGAAATCGCCCTTCTGAAGGGCCAGATAAATCTTCTCCATCGTGAAGTCGAAAGAGTCCATCGGCAGCACTGGCCCCTTATCACACAACTTGCCAGTGAAACAGATACGATGCTCCCAGGCCAGGACATGAGATCAGTCCATAATATTGACGTTGAAGCATATCGCGCATGACTATTAGTTTCAGGGGGTCTTGATTTTATCGAATAGATGTGCATGATATGACAGATTCTGAAACTTTGGGTAGATCCCAGGATGGACTGCATTTCAAGATTTTATTACCCTCCACGGGGAAGGCTTTCAGTAGACTGATACTATGTCTCCGGTCGAGAAGAATATTCAATTTCAATATCAGGTGTATCTTTCTTTGTATAGCAAGCTGCATACATAATGGCATACTAGTATTGTCAGAGAATATCGCTGCGAAGCAAATAAAAAACTTTCATACTCCACCTGGGCAGGTAGGAAGCAGATATCAACTTATCACTAATAATCATTCTTCCCCATAACTAATATGACCAATCTAACTCATGTTCATCATCATAGATTATGCAGTGCACAAAGATCCTAGATAAAGGATAAATAAACCTCGGATTAGATTCAGATTGTTGTGCAACTCTGAAGTCCGGAACTATAGGATCGTGCAGCGTCGGAACGCTCTGCTGGTCCCGCTCCCTCCCGCCTCGCCCACCCCAGATTGTCTTGTTTCTCTTCTCTTCACCCGCGAACAACGCCACGAATTTGTCCCAAGAGAAGTGAAAGCAAATCTGGAATCCCCAGGTTAATCATCAATGGCCTTAAAGCACCTCGCCTCAATAAGTACCATCGCTCACTGTGCCTTGGGCAGCCTGCAATTCCTCTCCAGGCCAGACCTATCGCCACCGAAGTTGAACATCACAGTACCAGCTTCACCTAAGACCGAGGCAGGTTATCTATTCTTTACAGCAGCTCGCGGAGATATTCCCAATAGCACCGGTCCTGACCAACCTGGAGCCTATATTTTTCGCGAAAATGGAGAGCTGGTCTGGTCGGGGGTAGGTTACTGGGCCGGATGGGTGGCCGATTTCAGCCCCATTATGATGGACGGAAAGCCTGCCCTACGAGCATTCCAGGGTGATTTGAATGCTAATACTGGCCGGATGCTCGGGAATCATGCACTCCTGGACAACTCATATCGGACTATCAGTGTCATCCACGCGGCGGCACATCGGCTCAGTTCGGCGCATGAATTCGAGGTGGTCAACGAAAGTTCTGTTTTGATCGAGACGCCTATTATGACTGTTGCTGACCTGAGCCGCTACGGTGGAAGTAAAGGCCAGAAGTTCTTGCTGGAAGGCGGCTTTCAAGGTGAGCTACCTCCCGGTGAGCTGTCCCCGACTGACAGAAATTATAGAAATGGATTTGAAGACTGGTGAGCCGATTTTTGAGTGGTCATCAAAGGGAAGAATAAGCCCGATCTGTGAGTTGATCTCTCTTTAGTTGAAACGCTCCCTTTTCTCTCCAATTCTAACGAAAATAGACAGCGCCACCCCATTGGATAAAAAAGGCATACATGATGGCCGAACTTACGATTCCGCATGGAACTATTTTCACATCAACAGCATTGAAAAAGATTCCGAAGGAGATTATCTAATTTCAGCAAGGCACTATAACGCCATATTCAAGATCAACGGCAGCAATGGGGATATAATCTGGCAGCTGGGTGGAATGGAGGGGTCCACTTTCGAAATTCCATCAAACCTGGAATTTGCCTTTCAACACGACGCTCGTTTTCAATACAGATCACCGGATGGAGATATTGAGCGTATATCCTTCTTCGACAATGCAGCGTATTCTACACCGGGGCGAGAGATAGCTCCCTGTTCAAGAGGCCGATATATCGAGCTCAACAATACAGCGAAGACATTGAAAGAAATACACACCTACCATGCGCCTGATAACCTGATTGCGCATACTCAGGGAAGTTTCAGATTTCTACCGAATGGTAATAAGCTGGCTAGCTGGGGAAGCGCCGGTGCAATTACTGAGTTTGCAGATGACGGCACTGTTCTCTTCCACGCGTATCTCGACTCATACCCGAACAAAAATGTCCAAAGCTATCGCGGGTTTAAAGCAAATTGGACAGCTTATCCAAGTGAGGAGCCTGCGGTTCTAGCATTGAGGTTTGGAGAAAAAGATGCGATTGTGTGGGTGTCGTGGAATGGAGACACGGACACAAAGACCTGGAGATTCTATCTCATCGATCAAAACTCTGGAGAAAATCGTTTATTAGGTTCAAGTCAGCGATCGGGTTTTGAGACACGGTTTGAAACAACCATTTCTATGGCCTTATTTCAGAAACACGGAGAGCTGCTAGTTGTGGCCGAAGCACTAGATCTCAATCGCAATTCGCTCCGGAAAAGTAGGCCCGTTGCCTTTACAGCAGAAGAAGCTTATCAAGACATTCTTGGAATACAAAGAGCACAAGAGCGTATAAAATCAGACATGGTCGCTAAGTTCCTGGAGCTATGAATTGGAGAGAGAAAAATCATATTCACTGCTAGAACAACCAATTTCACGAATCTATTCAACAAGATCCAATCCCTCCGGAACCAATGTATGTGGACCAAGTTTATCATGCCCTCATAAGTCGAGGCCGAGCCAGAAGGTACCCACCAGCTGCTGCCAGAATACTAGCGGCTCCAATGAGCAGAGAGGTATCGCTGAACAGCGTTTCCTCACGAACTCGACCAATACGAGAAGGCTTTTTGTCAACAACGACGTATTTTCCAGAGCCCTCGGCAATATAGTCCTCCCACTGCACCTGGGACAGGTTTTGCTGGTAATCAACGACGGTCCCAGACCAGTTGTTGGTAATATTTCCATCGTCTTGCTTGTACCAGCTATTGCAATTAGGATCAGCAAAGCTACTCTCCCTTAGTAACTTTTGTATGCGATCATTATACTCTTCCAGGATACTGGGCTTGGGTTTAAAAGCCAGGGTCATTCCCTGCTGCCGAGCCTGAATCACCTCGCCAACCATCGTATTGAGATATCGTGATTGAGCCTCGATCATCAAGATAATAGAGTTATGTCCTAGAACTTGCTGTCAGTAATATGAAATCACCAACGTAGATGATGTGGTATTGGAGAAACCCGTCTACTCACCAAGATTTGTATTAGGGCCGTAAAACATGCCAAAATTGGGCAAATCTTCAACAGTCATGCCATAGTAGGCCTTCGCACCACCGTTCCAGATATCGCCTAAAGTGCGACCTCCAGAACCATAGACCTGGATGGGGTACATGAAGTCGACAGTCTTGAATCCGGTCGCAAGCACGATAAGGTCATATTCCTGCTCGCCAGCCCCCTCGATTTCGATGCCCTTTCCCGTAATTCTGGTTATAGGTCGAGTTTCCAGATTTACATTGTCTCGAGCCAGCGTTGGATAATAGTCATCGGTGATGATTACTCTCTTACATCCCGGTGAATAAGTCGGTGTCAGAGTCTCCCACAGCTCAGGCTGGTCGGCTAGTTGCGTTTTCATCAAACCACTGCACCAATCGCGGATTACCTGAGCAAAATCTGATTCACCGTCGAAGATCGCGTCATGGAATCCTTCTCTGAAATCCATTTGTAAAGCTCGCTTGCGCCAGCGAAGCGGTGGAAGGTATGTTAATAAGGCTTGTTGAAACGCCGAGACTGGGGCATCACCACGAGGAATCACCCAATTCGGAGTCCGCTGGAACACCGTGAGATGAGATGCTTCCTTTGCGATTTCGGGGATTATTTGGGCGGCCGTTGCACCTGGGACGATTATTTAGCATGCGCTATATAGATCTGCTTCTTCATGAACATTCTATGCGTACCGTTGCCAATAATCGCGATTCGTTTCCCTTTCAAATTATAACTCCAGTCCCATCGGGCAGAATGCATCATCTTGCCCTGGAATTCCTTTAATCCGGGGATATCGGGCTCGCGCGGAAGATTCAGCTGGCCGACCGCGGAGATCAAGAACTCCGAGTTGATGACATAGGAGTTGGCGAACTCGCTATCTTTGTGCCCAGAGACTTGAACAGAGACTTTCCATTTCGACTCTTCGTCATCCCAGCGCGCTTCTTCGACTGTAGAGTTGAATCGGATGTGCTTGTAGAGACCGTACTTCTCGGCTATGCTAACGAGATATGCCTAAAGATGGGAGAGAGTATTAGCCCGCGTATCTCGATATAAGAAGAGGAATAGAAGGAATAGAGAGATACATGAATCTCCTCCTGGCCCGGATATTCTCTACTCCACCTCGAGCTTTGCTCGAACGAGTAGCTGTAAAGGGAGCTCCATACTGTAATACTATGTCAACAATGATGTTCGTACGTGGATAAATGGGCGGGCGACCAACCGTCACAACAACAACCTGGATATTTGTTGTCATTCCAAGTTCCTCCTACACTACTGCTCTTCTCCAGAATCACAAAGTTGTAACATTTGTTTCGCTTGATGAGGTCAATGGCCATACACATCCCTTAAGGCGACGTTAGCCAATGGTAGTTTGACAGGGAGATAGAGCTATCTTACCCGAAATGCCGGCACCTATAATGACTACTGTGGCATTTGTAAAGTCCTTATTACCGACAGGCAAACGCGTACTGCCTGGGATTGAAGACATTTTGGTGACTGGGATCACTGAAGGGGGAATGTCCAGGGGAAGCGGGAGGAGTTGTGCGATATGATGTCGGACAGACTCCAGTATCGGTCCAGACTTAATTTACCGAGGCACCCCTCTTTTCTAAATATACTAGTATGGTTGGAGTGACCCATTCATAGTGGCTGACTGAAGGCTCCGCTGCAGCGACTATGGGCACCTGCATATCTACTCCAACGCTAGAGACTGGCAACTTGAAACATACCACCCTGCATGAGATGTTCTAATTTCCACCAGACTGCGGCAATTTTAGGTTTAAATTCATTCACCAATTAGATAAAAAGTGAAGTGAATATTCCGTTCACAGGCCAAAGATAGCCTACATCTACGTGGAGGGTATGCTATTTAACAACGGCAGCGGGGGCAAAACGCGTGAAATGCGGGGAAGAAGCCTTGGAAGCCGGCCGCCGAGGTAATGTCGAGTAATGCTGACGAATATTTTATGCATGCAGCTTACATTGAGCTTGAAAAAATGTAATAAGATAGATGGACTAATTTCAAGGTAGCTCGATCCCCTCCCGTTCAGCAGTTTGCAAAATATACTGCTTAACCTGTGGGGCCAAGAAAATAAGAGTTAGTCGTTATCGCAAATAATCACTGCGATTACCCACAGAATGAATAATAAGATCACACATACCTTGTCGTCTGGGACCAACTCAATTGCCAATTTTCCATCACCATCTCTCTTCTCGGCATCTGCGCCGGACTTGAGTAGGAGAATGGCAGCAGGGCCATGGCCTTCCGAAATAGCCTGGTGAAGAGCTGTCATGCCGTCCCCGTCCGTTGCATTAACGGGGCTCTTCCCTTCCTCCAGGAGGTTCTGTAGGATAGGAACGGATCCTACGGCTGCCGCCCGGTGTAGAGGCAGTTGACCGCGGATATCTTTAACACGAGCACTGCATTTGTTGGCAATTAGGATTCGCACAGTGGAGATGTTGGCTTTGGAGCTTGCAAAGTGCAACGCGTTCTAGGCCATTCGTCAGATTCTAGGAAATAGATTATAGAGTATGGGTGCGGCTTACCTGCCCCGAATGGCTCTTAACGGAGACTTCGGCGCCCTTACGCAATAGGAGCTCCAGAATTTTGTCACCCCCGGCATCCTTGAGACTGGCCGCGATCATCAATGGGGTCCAACCGGATCCATCCTATAAGCCCGCAAGTCAGTATCCAATTTACAATCAAGGGAGGGTGTAGGAAGATTCTGCTGAATGAGATACGTACTTCAACATCGGGATCAAAGTTCTTCATGGAAACAAGCAGCTCCACAACGGGCATGTGATTATAGGCTACAGCCCAGTGAATAGGAAGACGATCATCTTCATCTTTCACAAACGCAGACTTTGGATTGGCCTGGAATCTTGGTCAGTAATTTTATAACCCGTAGATGGTAGCTGGCAGTAGTCGGTGGGTTTCCTGCGGGGCAGCTCTATGGCGATCAACTCACGTTGAGTAGGGATTCGACAACCTGGTCTGTTGCAGATATCTTAGTATATCAAAGCCCACAAAATTCAAGATATTAATACTTACTCCTACCCTCCCGGGCAGCCTCATGGAGAGGAAATTTGGCAGTTTGGTTGGGATCCATGACGCTTTCGACTTTCTAAGGTTGCTGGAAGAAGGTAGAGTCGATAAGAGCTGCGATAAGAAGGTGGTGGTCTGTTGACGCCTGGAAAATCAGGCGGCGGCGAACCAGAACTTCATCTTCAACCTTGTTCAATTCCTTCCGAGATTCACCACCGCATCTACTACCACACCTTCCCCCCGCAACGCCAATCTCCTCTCGACTCTTCGAATCCCCTTCTCTCAAAGCAAAGCCCCTGTATGCGCTGAGTCCACCATACCAGTCAACTCCACTCGCGACCCGGCGCAGGGTTTTCGTTACGCGCAAGAATCCTTGGAGCTATCGCGCCAGAACCGAACCGTCTAAACCCACCTCCCCATCAATACCTCACACAATATGGACTTCGAACCATCCCAATCAGCCGAACAGGCTGTTCGCAACTCCGCCAAGAGAACTGCCGACCTCTTCGGCCCAGAATACCTAATGGTCACACCCTCCACCTCCACAGACGGTTCGATCGGCGTCTCCTACCGACGGAAAGCAGAATATGAGCACGTGAAGGAATTACCCCCAGTCCTTGCAGCGAAGCAAGCGGCCGCAGCAAGCGTCCGCAGCAAGCGTCCTAAGATCCAATCCGCGCAGCAAGCCCAAGCCCAAGCCTCCGGAGACAAGAGCGGAGCATCAATGTCGCTCGTCAAGCGACCAGCACCCGGAGCAGCCGGCGGCGCAGGTCTAGCAGGAGGCGCCGAGGATCAGCCAAAGAGTCTGATCGCCAGACCCTCAGCAACCAAGCAACAACCTCCAGAGTGGCACGCGCCGTGGAAACTGATGCGCGTGATTTCCGGCCATCTGGGCTGGGTGAGGGCACTGGCTGTCGAGCCTAACAACCAATGGTTTGCAAGTGGTGCCGGCGATCGCACGATCAAAATCTGGAATATGGCGACTGGAAACCTTCGACTCACCCTGACGGGCCACATCTCGACGGTGCGCGGATTGGCGGTGTCGCCGCGACACCCGTATTTGTTTTCTTGCGGAGAGGATAAGATGGTTAAGTGCTGGGATTTGGAGACGAACAAGGTTATCCGTCACTACCACGGTCATTTGAGTGGTGTTTACACGCTGGCTTTGCACCCGAATCTCGATCTGCTCGTGACCGGTGGTCGCGATGGTGTGTGCCGTGTCTGGGATATGCGTACTCGAAGCAACGTCCACGTTCTGGCGGGACACAAGGGTACGGTCGCGGATATCAAGTGCCAGGAAGCGGACCCGCAGGTTATTTCCGGCTCGCTGGATGCGACGGTGCGATTGTGGGATCTTGCGGCTGGTAAATCGATGGGCGTATTGACACACCACAAGAAGGGTGTTCGTGCGCTTGCGACCCACCCGACTGAATTCACCTTCGCCAGTGCCAGCACTGGTAGTATCAAGCAGTGGAAGTGTCCCGAGGGCGCGTTTATGCAGAACTTCGACGGCCAAAACGCTGTCATCAACTCATTGGCCGTCAATGATGAAAATGTCATGTTCTCCGGCGGTGATAATGGCTCCATGGGCTTCTGGGACTGGAAGACTGGCCACCAGTTCCAATCTATCGATACCATGGCCCAGCCTGGTTCTCTCGATGCCGAGGCGGGTATTATGGCCTCGACATTCGATAAGACTGGGCTTCGTCTCATTACCGGTGAGGCGGATAAGACTATTAAGGTGTGGAAGCAGGATGAAAATGCCACGCCTGAGACTCACCCTGTCGCCTGGGCCCCAACTCTCGGTCGAACCCGGTATTAGGGAGCCGGCGCTATGGTTGCGCTAGTTCTTCTAGATGGTTTTCTGTTCAGAGTCGAGTCTCATTTAATACCCTTTCTATCTGCCTACCTGCTTGGTCTCATCTTCGTCATGTCCTTTCCTATACGGCACTATGTGGAGTTCAGCGGGGTTTGTACATTGTCCTGGGGGATTCAGCCCGGGACATTGCGGAATTGTTTACTGGAAATTGGATCAAAAGAATTATATCTCATGTACAAGTACGATATTCAATTTCGAAAGAAGTTGTCAATCCACTGGATCAGCAATGCACATACACATCACCTAACTACTAGTTAGTAGTAATTAACGTGTTCCACAACCGAACGGGCCGGACAACCGAACGGGCCACCCCACCCCATTACGACGATATATATTGAATATAACTCAACCACCATATAATATATTGCAAAAACTAGGCGTTATTCACAACTGGGCACCTATTCCGCTTGTGCCCTGGCTCCCTGCAATTGCCACAGCGCTGTATAGGTCTCTCAATCGTCGTCCTGGTTGCGCGGCGTGGCGCCGGGGGTATTGCCAATTGGTGCTCATATTCAATTTGTACACGCAATTGCAGGTCCTCTGCTGTAATTCCACCTTCGTAGGGTAATTGCCTATTTGGTAAAGCTTTTTTTCTTTGCTTACGTCCATTTTCGGCCATTACACGCTCATATGTTGTCTTTAACATAACCATCTCATGTGCAAGTAATTGTGCACCTCTGGTAGTCTGCTCCAATTGTCGATATATGTCATTATCAGGGGTTATATCCCTATAGACTAGTAATCGCTTGATTGAGGATGCCTGCCGTTGAAAATTGATAGCTTTGGATGGTGTATGAGGTATGAATTCACGACTGCTATCACTACCATGTGATGGTGGTGGTGTAGGCGATGGGGGATGAATATCAAGTTTTGATAGTACTGTCTCTGGCGAATATGGAATAATGCCCGCTGCCATAAAACTGCTAGCAATTATAGAGGTTTTGTATGTTGCTGCGCGTGCTTTAGGGTATAGACTAAGAAAGTCAGGCTTATCAATATGTGTAGAGCCCACACGTGCAAGATCTTGTACTGCCTGACCATAGAAGTGCTTCAATACACTAAAACAACCTACATCTAGTGGTTGTAATAGATGCGATGAATGAGATGGCATACAAATTGGCACAATATTGTTCTTCATGCAGATAGTGTCAAATTGAGGGGTGACATGACTCCCATGGCCATCCATAACCAAGGCAGACCAGGCACCATGTTGACGCTTTTTGACGTATGGAATGAAGGAATTTTCGAGCCACGAAATGCCAATTTCATCAGTTGTCCATCCATTAGCACTGATCTCAAAGCGCCAGTCATTCGGGACAGTACTACACCACGCTGCCATCAATACCTTCGCTTTAAAGATAATAGTCGGAGGGAGAACACCATCCAGATGGACACACTCAATTGCAGTAACCCACTCTCGGTTACCCGGTTGTAGGAGTTTGCGCTTCCCCTGCCACTCTCGACTGGTAATAACCTTTGAGGTGCTAGTAATCCCCATTGCAAATCCAGTCTCATCGAAATTGTAGATATCTTCGTTAAGAATACCATATTGAGCAATAGTATTGCAATATTGATTAAACCATTCACGAATAAGCTTCGGATCCTCACATAATGCACGCTGTGCAGCGTAGCGACGTGAAAAACGTGTTTTAAGCTTATCGCGACGTTTGACAAAGTTCTGTACCCAGTTTATACCGATTGTAAGAGAGGGGGTAGTTGAACGTTGAGCGAGTAGTAAATTGGCCATTTCTCCTGCAAGAGCAAAGGTAGGGGCCTTGCCACGTGCATCTAGATCCAATATCCAATTCTCTAACGAATCCTCTTCAATTGCATCCAATTTTGTGCAATTTGCGCGAAGGGTTTGGCGATAATGTCTTCCCTTGAAACGCGCTTGCAATGTTGCACGAGGTACCTCAAAAACGCGCGCAGCTTCATTCAGAGAAGCTACTTTTTCATTTCTTAGCGCCTGTATAGCAAGTTCAATCCTGCCTTCTTGCTCAATTCGTTTTTGAGTTTTTGCAGTACGAATTGGTGGCATGGTGGTGGTTTGAAAAAGAGAGCTGCAACACGCGACGCGTTTTTTAGGTGGGGTGGCCCGTTCGGTTGTCCGGCCCGTTCGGTTGTGGAACACGTTAGTAGTTACTACGGGGATCATTCTGAATAAGGGTATCACCGTATGCAATTCACCACCACAAGCCCTCGTGCTAGTGGCAGCAACACGAAAACAAAAGTAGAATAACTAGTACCGACACGAACAAAACTCCGATAATGCACACAGATGTCACAAATATTCATACATAGTTCACTGCTCAATCCCCAACCCAAACCCCTTAGCCTCCCCATCCTCCCGAAAAGCAGACCGAACATCCTCAGCCGCAACCCTCAACCTCACCTTACTACTCCGATCACCACGAGTTGGAATCGTCGATCCACCAAGAACCCTCTTCGCCCCAGTCCCCTGCTCCAAAGCCAAAACGCCCGAATTCATCAACTCCATAGCCGCAAAGCCCAAAGCCCGCACGCGACTCCCAGCTCCGCCGCCACCAAGAAGGAAGTCTTTCACGCCTGCACCCGCTGCGCCGGCCACGGCTACAGCTGCGTCTGCAATGCGGCGCGCTTCGTCGAGGACGTCGCCGAATGTAGACTCGGTGATACCGGTTCGTTGCACGCGGGCTAGGAGCGCGGCGAGGAAGAGTTTTCCTGAGAGTGGGAGGCCGCGGAGAGATTGTTGGAGGGGTGTGGAGGTTGCTTCTTGAATGGCTTGTTTGATAGTTGTGATAGTGACACGACCTGGCTGGCCCTTGGCTGGTGGCGGTTTAGGCGCAGCGGGATCCGCAGCAAATGTCACGGACCGATTTTGGTTCGCCTTGTCGACACGCGCGGGTGTTTTGCTGGGTGTCGCGGGCGTAAGGTCGTCCTCTTCTTTTGCTGCCGCAGCGGCTTCGGCTTCGTCGGCATCTTGTTCTGCGATTTCGACGGCGCGGCGACAGATATCCAGTGCGCGGCGAGCGTCACCGCTGACGGCTGCGACTTTACGACTTGCGAATTGGATGGCGTCTGGGTCGACGATGTTTCCTGGTACGCTTGCCAAGCGAGTGCTGATAATTTCCATCAGGTCTGTGTGACGGTAGCCTGGGAATGTGATTCTGGTGAGACCGAGACGACTTGAGATCTTGTTGCTGAGGGTTCGCTCGGGGAGATCCATTGTGTTTGCAACGGCTAGGACGATGAGTCGTGAGTGGCGCAAGGCGGGCCAGTTGAAGAAATTGTACATGACGGATTGGTTCTTTGTTACCAGTTGATCAAGTTCGTCCATGAGGACGACGCAGGATACTCTTCGTGGGGAGGGGTTGGAGAATTCATTCTCCAGGAGGTCTAGTGCGTGAGATGGGGATACTCGGTCGCCCTTCAATGCTTCCCAGAGGAGAGAGTAGGATTGATGAGGGTCTGTCACTTTCATCCCGTTGATTTCGACGAAGATAAAGTCGTCCATTTCCTCTGCCATGACAGCTCCGTTGAGTTGCGCCACGACTTCGCGGACGGTGGCTGTCTTTCCTGTACCGGGCGTGCCCGAAATATAGATACAAGCACCCGTGCCCTCCATGATTGCCGCGCTGAGATGGTTGTACACTTGGTTGAACTCGGTCTTTCGGCAGGGGAGAGAATCTGGAACGGTGGAAACGTGTAGCAATGTACGTGCTTGGCGATACGGAGAGGCGAAATGGGTGGGTGAAAGGACACGCGTGCCCAGCGGCGTGAATTCCAAGGGCTTCTTGACGACAATTCTGATTCAATTTTAGTTAATGAGTCCCATGAAATTACAATATACTGGAGAACGGTACCTTTTATGAGTTGGTGTCGTCAGTGCCTTCTTGCGTTGCGATTGTGGAGTCCCGCCAGGGGCCAGTCTCTGTCGCTTTCTGGGAGTAGAAGGAGCTGCGGTTTCCTCTTTGGTCTCGGCATACTGATGATTGAATTAGCGTAAGAACGTTGACAGCCATCTTCCAAATGCAACTCACGTCGTTGTCCGTAGTTTTGCGCTTCCGGGCGGCTTTCAGACCGTCCTTGACAAGGCTGATAAGCTTGAGAATATCGTTCTCATCATAAACCTCTTCCCAAAGAAATTCCTCTGTGTATCGACCCTGCACTTGGTTGACACCTCGACGGCACACGATGCATTTGTTGTATTCAAGCAACTCGGCCTTGTTCTTCGGGGCAACTCCGTTCGGGTATCTTGCAAAAAAGGCCTGCTTCGACATGACGGTAGCTTTGCCATTGATTGAGTTCAGGGGATTGAGGTTGAAGTCGGCAGTCAGGTACTGTTCGTTGGGCAGAGCATCGGTTCGTTGCTTATTCCTAGTCAGACAAGAACTCGTCGGGTCCGGCAAACCACATAATGTTGGCGTTTTTGATGACCTCGCCTTCCTGCTCCTCGTCATCTTCCTCAACGAATTCCGTAATAATTCCCACCCAGTCCTTTCCTGCCTCGGGAGACTTTAGTAGGACAATCTGGCCCAGTCGGCATTCGAAGCTGCCCATCTTCGCCCCGATGATTGTCCGCTTCTTCTGCGCAGGTCGGGAGGATCGTCGGCGGTTGGATTTTGTAGGACTGGCATTCTTCACTTCTTGTTCACCATTGACCTCAGGCTCCGCATCAAAAATCCAGTCCCAGGGGTGGTCCTCATCACCCAGTTCGTCGTCGGAGTCGTCACGGATCAGAGCACCCTTGGTCATCCATTTTTGGGTGCGCTTGCGGGTAGCGGAGCGTGGCGCGTGTTCCGATTCGCTTGAATGGCCTGCGTCGCCTGCCATTGTGAGTGAGTGGTGTGTATGCAATTGGGTGAGTATCTCCGGGGAAGCTCTCAAGGGCGCAGGAAAATCGGCGCGACGCGTTGTCCACTTTACTCCCGATGCGGCTAGCGCGCCAAGACTAAGTATATCAAAAAAGAGTATAACTACAACTACTCAGGGGTACTCCAGGCAGTGATATCAGACAGTAGCAAGTACACAGTATACAATTTCCAGGCTAAAAAAGTGTCACTGAGTAATATCTAGGCTCATACGGGGCGGTGAATGATCCATCACCACGGGTAGACACTGACAGCAGCAGGCACCTCCACCATTCAACCATCTTCACAATTGACCATTTCCCTTTCACCTCAATATTTTTGCTCTACCCTATGGCATACATAGCACCCTACAGTATAAAGCATTCTAAACTTCCTTTCTATTCAATTTACATTCAGTGTCATCCACAAGTACAACGAACAATCCCATACCAAGACCAAAGTCAGTCATAACCCCGTGGGCTCCTTCCTCCTCTCAACTCTCAACTCTCAACCTCCTTCCTTATTTACTTCGTTCCCCCTTCAAGCTTCCTTACTTCACTTCTCCTCTGTCCTTCCTCCCTTTCGCAACACCTTCATCCCCATCTTGCAAGGCACTTCAAGCCGTAAGGCCCAATGCGCAACACCTGCATCTATTTTGTTCAAATCCCTCTTGAAGTGACACAATAATACGCGAGACTCTGCGAGGAATACTGTGTTACAGTCTCACGTCAGGCTTTCTTCAGGGCGACTCAGCTACTCCCGCTACACTTACGAGTGAGGAGGCTCAATATCTTCAATATCTTCAATATCTTCAATATCTTCAATATCTTCAGTATCGAGAGAGAGAGAGAGAGTCTGGGGTCAACACTTCTTGCGACTCTGCGAATCTCCGACAGGCTCAGCTCGAAAACTTCGTTTATCCTTTCTCGCAATGGAGTAAGTGACTAACCTCCATTCCAAAAACACATTTTCAACATTTACCGCTAATCAACATGTTCAGCTTCGAAAGAGAAGCAGCCAAAGGTAAGTCATTAGCGTCTTTGTTTCTCATTGCCCTCTTTAAACCTTCATACGCCCTTTGTAAGACACGCTGACTTGAATCAGGGTGGAATCTCCCTGGCTACGGCCCACCGTCAGGTACTCAGGCGAAACAAGTCTTACTTCCCAAACCAGCTATGCCGCGAGTTTGGAACAAGACACAAGATGTGCCCGAAGTGGTCGCTACGACGAAGGGGAAATCACAGGATATTCTTGAGCAGGGTGATTCGAGAGTTCAACAAATTCAAAATGGGACCCGACCACGGCAATCTTCAAATACGATTCATCCTCCGGCCCCGATAAACCGTGGATGCTCGGCCATATCAAGACACATCAAAAAGCCCCCGCTAGAGAGCCCTCGTCAAAGTGGGAAGCCAAAAGACGCTCGTACTAGATTTTCCAGTGCATTATCTGGATCAACTCAAAGATGCAATCTCCCGGCGAAAGAGGAGACCATCACCTTCATTCGGGGCCAACGCATTCCCGACTCGGTGATAGCGCGACGGAAGGAACCCCCGCCCGAAGAGGTGATTTGCAAGGTAAAGCAAACCTTTAACCAAACACGAGAGGAATATATTGCTAACACGCGATGATTAATCAAGCTCATGTTCCACTGGCATGTGCAAGACAGCCTGACTATGAAAGGTTGCTTTGGTGCGGATCTCCAAGAGCTGGACCATCTACGAAAGACCTGGCGGGTCCATATCTACATCCAGCACGATCTCGAAAATTATCTCTGTGTGGCCAGCCATGAAGAATTTAATCGGAGGGAAATGCTTCGAACTCTGCGCGAACTCTATGCGCAGAAGCACGCCATCTACAAGCTGCAGATCAACGCATACATGATCGAACCCCCACTGGCAACCGAACCCGGAGCTTTGGTCATCATGTCAAAGCCCAATGGAATCGCCCATCCTACCCTTCAGAGAGATCAGATCCTTAAATTTCAACCCACGGCTCCACTCGGTGTGCAAAACGAGCCACCTAGTCACATGGTCGCAACTAAAGGGAAAGATTCTGCGGTCATCCACAGCAATCTCGATCGATGTATGCGCCTGATCAAATACATCGATGGCCAATTTTTAATCCGAGTCAAATTTGGGATTCTTATACTGAGCCCATGGAAGGCTGCAGGTGGCACAGCTAGCTATCCTCTAAACAAATTCCCGGGGGGTTCTTCGAGATAAAAGATGGCAGGGGCGCCTCGTACCAGGGTAAGTTCACATAGTGTCCAGTCCAGCAAGGCGGAAGACCAGTATCTAATTCAGGTTTCTAGTCTAAACCTCAGCCAGGTCAACCTCCTCGCACGGTGTATCGAGGCCCAGGATATACTGCTTCCCATCGTCGGCTCAGCGAAAGGTCCCATAACCCCCGACACAATGAGGACCATTCATTCCGCCAGCTTTGAATTTGCTCAATCCGAGAAGTCAGCAACTACTTTTCGCTTGGAGGTCAAGTTCAATCAGGACCAGGGTGCAATTGAGTCCGGCTCGGCACAATTTCGCTGGTTCAAAATACCGGCAGAGACTACTAGTACACATAAAGCTACACTCCAGCTTGGTATGATCGATTTCCACAGGTATAATAATCCCCGCAATCTAATTCTGATCATATATTAACTTTCAATAGGTCTGACTGGGAAATTGGACTAGATTTCTTCCAATCAATTGCCAAAGAGGACCTCAGTGAAGCTCAGATTGCATTTGCAAATAATGTGAAGCTTGATCCATACCGTGGGGCAGCACCGATCACCTCACCACCGAGACGAAAGATTATGTTTTCCGATACTGCGTTGATTTCAAAATTGATTCAAAAAACTGCAATCCAGTTCAGAGTCAAAGGCACGGAGTATGTGCTGGAGCTGGCAAGATTCGAGGAATCTCGCTATTCCTCGGTTGGTCGTATTCGATGGACCCCGCCAAACGTACAATGGGGTGCTCGCCTATTATCTCCAAGATGGAATGGCCTGATTGAACAGAACAGAAGACAGCAACAACTAGGGGTTGAGACCCTCTTCCCGACTGTGACTGCCTTTGAGGATTTCTTAAAAATCCTCAAGACAATCTCCGGAATTCTCGGGGTCGACAATGAAGGAGAGGGGGGAGTTCTTGAGTCCGAATTAGGCACGCTGTTCTGAGAGGGGAAATGCCCTGAAGGAGGAACAGGCCCAGGAGGGAGGCATGGGGTGACGGCGAGTGCCAGCTTGATTTTCTTTTTCTTTTTCTGCGAAGCATCTTACGAGAGGTGGAGGATGGAGGGAGGGGGAAGGAAACAAGAAAACTTCAGTTTTCTTCATTCTTATCTTTCAAATTGATTTTTATTCTTACTTCAATGTTTTACTCCTTTGTCTTTTTCCTTCCGCAGCGTCAATCATTACGCACTCGCAGCAGCCGGCTGTGCAGGCGCTTCACCAGCAAGCATCTTTTGTCGGAGAACTGTGATATTGACATCAATTAGTAACAATCCCAGGAAATAAGAAAATAACAAGAAATAAAAATAAGAAAAACATTGTTAAAAAGAAAGACTCACCCTCCTCAACAACACGCAGCTGCTGACTCTTTCCAGAAACAATCTTCTCTAGTTCCTGCAGGTTGGCATCCAAGCCCTTGACCTTGTCTTCGTAAAAAGCAATCGCCTTGGGGGCTGTCTTCTCGATATAGAACCCAGTACCGACATCAACAAGGACCTTCTCCCGATCCGTCAACCGTCCCTTGACATACAACGAGCTGGTCAGCGGGACGAGAATCTCCTCGCGACCCTCAGTGCCCTTATCCTTGGAACCTGTGACCCCGTCGGTGATGGAGCGCATGCAGTCGCGGAACTTGGCCTGTGCGGCGCGCAGCTTCGTGTGTGATGTTGTGAGGTGTTCCAGTTCCGATGTTAGGCGCGTTTGGAGTGAGCGGAGTTGGGGCACGCTCAATGTTGCCAGGTTTACTACATCAAGAGGAGCAGTTAGTTAGGTTCTGTATTGGGTTGGACTGTATTAGGCTTGTCGGGGGTAAATGGATGGGGCATTGCTTCTTCTTGCGAGTGCGTTGCGCTGCGCTGCCCGTGTTGCTGGTGGGTGGGATTGGACGGGATGGAATTGCGGCGTACCTTGGCCTGGGGGAGCTCCGCCGTCTGCCATATTGTCGGTGTTGATGTGAGGGAGTGGAAGGGGTGGGGGTAGGTTGTTGTGTTCTGTGAGTTTTCTTGCGGACTTGATATGCGGGCGGAGAAGCCCCGTGAGGTGGGGTGAATTGGCGGGAGCTTGCGTGAGGAGAGGGGCGTGGTTATAGTGCGTGTAATGGCTGTTGGGGGTCATTCTGCGCCATATTGCTATCTGCACGCACATTGACTGTCTAATACCACAACAGCTGTGGCCGGCTACCTAGTACTAACTAGTCTTGGAGAAGGCTTTGATTTTTAAGTTATTGCTAGGTAGTGAGTGGTACAAATAGAACCAATGCTCAGGTGTTCTATGCCAGTGAGTTAACAGGAGATGAGTTCATTATTTTACAGGCTAATATCAACATGTTAGTAATAGTACAAATGGTTATATATCCTGGGTGTCCAGGAGTACCCGTAGATCGCCCGGTTATAGTTGCGACAAAAGACCTTCCACAACTGTAGGCAGACTGTCCATAGACACATTCTCTTTCACACCCAGGCGACGGCACTGTACTTCCAGTGTTTGATTCTTCTTCCACCCATTGCCCACGACCACGAGCACCGGGTATCCAATCAGGTCTGCATCACCCAATTTCCAGCCCATGCCCTTATCCCGATCATCGAGCAACGTGTCTACCGAAATAGAAGTAAGGCTGTCATATATCCTCTCGGCAACAGCATCCAGTCCCTTCGTAGGTACAACGGCAACATCGAAAGGTGCGATAGCACGGGGCCAGTTCAACCCCTTGGGATCTGCTAAGCGGTTCGCAACGGCCGAAATCAAACGAGAAACACCAATCCCGTGGCAGCCCATCTCCATCGGAACAATTTGCTCCTTGGAAGACTTGCCACCCGATTCAGCGGATCCGTCGAGAACTGCTTGATTGACAGAGACCGAGGCTTGGAGCACCTCACTATACCTTGTACCCAGATGGAAAGTGTGTCCCAGTTCGACCGCAGGGTTGCTCGTCAATTGGCCATCAGCACACTGTGAGCAACTGTCTCCGTCATGCACGCGAACGAGACTAAGCTGGTTCGAAGTACCCGGGAAACGATCCAGTTTGGAGTACTCGATATCCGTAGCGGTGCAACCAATTTCTTCTAGGAGATCGCTGAGTGGAGGACGTTGGTACACTCGCACTTGTGAGTCATAAAGATCCAGCACTCGTGGCTTCTGCTCAGATGATCGAGACTGAACATGTGCCGTCCATTTCTCTTTGGGATTCTCCACGCTCAGATCAAGATCGATGCCTGCAGCGGTGGCGATGGCCTTCACAGCATGTGAGTTGACATGTCTTTCAACGGGCTCCGTGGATCCATTTTGCATGGAATATTTCGGGTACCAACCCCGGAGGAGAGTGTTTCCATCGTGCGAGATGGCCATCCACATGCCATTGGAGATAGTTGCGCCGCCTTCGACCTTGGCATCCTCAGTCTGGAAGCCCGGAAGAGTGGAACTTTCTTCGGTCTCATTGAACTTGTGTGTTTTTCCATCTGCCAGTTCTTCATTGTACACGTGATCACAGTGTGAACAGCTTACTACTCGGTCTTCGCCCTTCGCGCTGATGAAGTGGTACTCATGGCTGAGACTGCCACCCATGTTCCCGGAATCGGCTGCAGCGACGAGATAGGGAATTTTTAGTTCGTCGAAAATCTGGGTGTAGGCGTATTTCACGGCCTGGTAGGTCTTTAGGGCCTCGGAAACGTTGTAGTCGAATGTATAGAGATCTTTCATCACGAATTCACGGCCGCGGAGAAGTCCCTGCCTTGGCCTGGCCTCATCTCGGTATTTTCTCGCTGGTCACTGTAATTAGCATGGGATAAATTTGGCAACGTAGTACGGCTCGACTTACTTATTTGATAGACCCGAAGAGGCAGACTCTTGTAGGATGTAGTGAGACTGCCCACGAGGGATGTAATTTCCTCTTCATGAGTGGGCGCGAGGAGAAAGCGAGTATCCTTCCGGTCATGGAAGCGAAAGACCTGAATAGCCGTTCAGAAAGGAAGGTCGATAGATGACCAGAAGCAGGGGAAACTGACCTCGGCGGAGCCTTCGGTCAATCGACCGGATTTCTCCCACAGTTCCTGGGAAGAGATAGATGAAAGTGAGACCTTGGATGCTCCTTGAAAGTAGTCAGCAGTGGCCAAGTTAGATCTCGACGGACCAACCACCTACCCAGTGAGCGCATGTGCTTGTCAATTAAACGTTCAAGCTTGTCCTGCACCCGCAGTCCCAGTGGGAGAAGATGAAAGACGCCAGAGTAAGCCTAGGATGATTATAATTAAATGTCTTAATCTCATAATTCAATCTGCTAGCTCTTACTTGTCGAAGAAATCCGCCTCGAATTAGAAGATCATTGGCATCCTCTAATGTTCTGTTAGCATGTCATAAGTTCCTCGATGAGTCGCAAAGCTCGCACCATTTGCCCCCTCAACAGGCTTCTTAGATATGCCACCTGTAGGGATCCAGAAATTTGACACTCTGTTCCGGCCGTCATACTATAAACCCCAGTTAGTTATGACAGTTCAGCAAATCCGGGGAACTCTGTGGGAAGCGCGTACATGAAGTTGGCATCGCTGAACACGAGGCACCAACGCCAATCGGCCCTTCCACAGGCGACTGTGAGCTGGCCGTAACGCCGAAATCATTTCTGTACCGACAATAACCGACAGAAGAAGCTGTCAAGAGTTGAATTGCCGACCAAATAGCCTAGAGCGCATTCCTCAATGGAAATCGTCGCGGTCGAAGGCAATTGCTTATCGGGTGGTCCGAGCGTCGATAAGCCCGCCGCAAAAGATTTCTCCGTTCATTTTTCTCTCCGGCAATTCATGGGAGAGAAAAAACAACTCTTTCACCAATCCTTCCCAAACACACACCATGCCTAAAAGGAAAGGCAAGCCCTCCTCGGGCGCAAATGAGACTGCGAAAGACAAAGCAGTCTCCGTCTCCGAACCCCAGACCACCCCGGCCGAGCCCCAAATCGAAGAAGGTGCTTTCGCTGGTCTCCGCGAAAAGATCGAGCAACGCTTGAAGAATCAGAGCTCCGCCAAGGGAAAGGGAAAAAAGGACAACAAGGTTCAGCCTTCTACAGAGAACACACCTGTCAAGAAGGAGAAGAACGTCACTCTCAAGGCCGACAAGAAGCAGGACTCGGCGCATGGAAAAAAGCGGGATCGCAATGGTGATGTGATCGCCCGCGAGGAGAAGGAGAAGAAGGGAAGCAAGAAGAGCGAGGAGAAGCCCGATGCGTCTCAGAAGCAAAGCAATAATGATGCGCTACGTGCGGAGATCATGGCTATGGGCGGCACCGAGGCGGATCTGGATCTGCTTGCGGATGTTGACTCGGAGTCTGAGGTCGAGGGTGAAACTTCGAAGAGGAAGGCAAAGGGCCGCGAGGCTGATCTGCGGAGAGAGCTATCCAATATGTTGGCGGCTGCTGGTCATGTCGTTCCTGAAGATCTCGCAGATGACGAGGTGTCAGAGGTAGAGGAGGAGGAAGACGAGGCTGAAGAAGATGACGAGGAGGAGGAGGAGCAGGAGGAGGGGGAGGAAGCATCCGACGCAGCACAAGATGATATTGAGGACGCTGATGAGCAAGATGCGGATTCTATTGAAGAGTCAGACATCGAGGATGCGCCCCCGGCACCCAAGGCAAAGGAAACCGAATCTCATATCCCCAAGGAATATGCCAAGCTGGTACGTCTACTCGGAGATCATAAATGCCTTCTAAGGACTGTTTACTAACTTCAATTGCTCAACAGGCTGTCATGCCTCGCTCCGACTGGTACAATTCTCCACTCCCTCCTCTCGCCGGTGCCAAAGAAATGAATGCTCTTCCCCGCCACCTGGTTGAGCGTATCCACGAGCAAGCCAAGGTCCTGCTTCTCGAGGAGAACGAGCAATACGCCGCGGCCCAAAAGACTTCCGCCTCTTCCTCTTACAAGTTCTACACCAGCATCATGTCCAGCGGTACCCTGAGCGATAAGATCTCCGCCCTCACTCTTGCTGTGCAGGAGTCGCCATTGCACAACACAAAGTCTTTGGAATCGCTTGTCGGACTCGCAGGTAAGCGCAGTCGTGCACAGGCTGTTGAAGTTCTCCGATCTTTGAAGGATATGTTTGCGCAGGGTACTCTCCTTCCTTCAGACCGACGATTGAGGTCTTTCGCCAATCAGCCCGGCCTTGTCGCCGCCTTCCAGGGAGCTGGTGGCCGATGGACCGAGCGAGACCCTCTGCCTGGTGGCCTGCAAAAGAGCCATCTGATGCTTTGGGCCTTCGAGGATGGTGTCAAGGAGCAGTTCTATGAGATTCTCAAGGTTCTCGAGGTCTGGTGTAATGACGAGATTGAGTTCTCGCGTTCTCGTGCTGTCAGTTACGTCTATGAGCTGCTCAAGGAGAAGCCCGAGCAGGAAGCCAACTTGCTACGTCTGCTTGTTAACAAGCTTGGTGACCCCGGAAAGAAGATTGCCTCTCGCGCTTCGTATCTTCTTCTGCAGCTTGAGCAGCAGCATCCTATGATGAAGCCTACCATCATCAAGTCCGTCGAGGAGCTGCTTTTCCGCCCTGGCCAGAGCTCGCACGCCAAGTACTATGCCATCATCACTTTGAACCAGACTGTTCTGAGTATGAAGGAGCAACAAGTTGCGATGCAACTTCTGGATATCTACTTCTCGCTTTTTGTCACTCTTCTGAAGCCTGCTCCCAAGGGCCAGCCTCCTCAAGGAAAGCACGGCAAGGGCAAGGGCAAGGGCAATCCCAATGCCGAGGCTGTTAAGGGTGAGGCTCAGACCGATGAGATGCGGGAGAAGCTGACATCGGGTGTGTTGACTGGTGTCAACCGTGCCTACCCCTTCACCGACGCCGACTCGGGCCGGTACGTTCAATACTTTCTTTGCCTTATACTCATCTGCTCAAAACTAACATTGAATCTAGACTGTCTAAGCACATCGACACTCTTTTCCGCATCACCCACTCTTCCAACTTCAACACAAGCATTCAAGCACTCATGCTGATCCAGCAATTGACTCACACTACTCAAGTCGCCAGCGACCGCTTCTACCGGACGCTATACGAGTCTCTTTTGGACCCTCGCGTGGCCACCTCTTCGAAGCAATCGCTCTACCTCAACCTACTCTTCAAGTCTCTCAAGAACGATCTCAATGTGCGTCGCGTCAAGGCATTCGTCAAGCGTATTGTTCAAGTTCTCGGCATGCACCAACCATCTTTCATTTGCGGTATCTTCTACCTGATCCGTGAACTCGAGAAGACCTTCATCGGTCTCTCATCACTTCTCGACCAACCCGAAGACAACGACAGCGATGACGAGGAAGTCTTCCGTGATGTTCTCGACGAGGACGATGAGCAACCCGAGCCCGTCCCCGTGGATGAGACCACCACCAAGAAGCCAAAGGAGAAATACGACCCTCGCAAGCGTGATCCCGAACACAGCAACGCAGAGGAGACCTGCCTCTGGGAATTGCTTCCTTTCACCACCCACTTCCACCCCTCCGTGTCGCTGAACGCCGACCGTCTCCTTGAGCACGAGCCCATGAGCGGCAAGCCCGATCTCACTATCCACACTCTATCGCACTTCCTGGACCGATTCATCTACCGTACCCCGAAGTCCAGCGCTGCCTCTCGCGGCGCCTCCATCATGCAGCCTCTGGCTGGTGGTGAGGCTAAGGACCGCCTCGTCGAAGCCGGCAAGACAGCCATGCAAGGCGTGCCCCTTAACTCGGAGAACTTCTGGAAGAAGAAGGCCGAGGATATCTCCGCCGAGGATGTCTTCTTCCACGAATACTTCAACCGGGTTAACAAGGACAAGGTTAAGGCGAAGAAGGGTAAGCCTGCCGCCACTGACGATGACACTGCTGCCTCCGACGACGACGAAGAAGTTGACGAGGATGCCATCTGGAAGGCTCTCGTCGACTCCCGACCCGATCTGGAAGACGAAGTTGACAGTGACGACGATCTGGACATGGATGATCTGGAATCAGCCTACGACGACGACTCTGCAGAGGAGGGTGTCGAAGGTGAGGACGACGACGAAGTCATTTTCAACGACGAGTCGGACGTTCCTTCGGACGAGGAGATGAACGACGAGGAAGCCGGCGACTTCGAGGGCTTCGACTCACCACCGCCTACTGCCAAGAAGAGCAAGGCCAAGGACGCCCCCGCTTCCAAGAAGTCCGCCAAGAAGGACGACGAGGACGACGAAGATGCGTTCGACATGGATGTCTCGGACGACGAAGCGTTCCTGGACAGCGACGAGGATCTCCCCTCGGATATGGAGCTTGGTGGTGTGGAACTCGAGACGGCCGAGCCCGAGCCCGAAGAGAACAACAAGAGCAAGCGGGAGAAGCGTCGCAAGCTCAAGCACCTGCCTACATTCGCGTCCGCCGACGACTATGCGGCGTTGTTGGATGGCGAGGATCTGGGTATGTAAAATGGGAAGGCATATGGGTTTGCAGATGTTTAGTTTTGTGGATGATGATATTGTATGTAAAAGCCCTTATCTATTCGCGGCGTTGTGGCCGGTTTACATTGGAATCATAGTATTTAGTTCTTTCAAGTTGTCTCAGGGTCAGTATTGGTGTGGTGGTGGTAATAGTAGTAGTAGATTCCTTCCAACTTGAACTTGAAGGTTCCCAAGTGATATCTGGTCACTCCATCCGAGTCCTTGCATATTACATAGACATCCAGGGCTTGGGAGCTCCTGTGCAATTATTTCATGAGGGATATATCGGCTATGCTGCCACTGTTTCATTCATTCGAATCCATTGATGTTCATTCGAGGGTATATTTGCTTTTTCCCAATACCACATACGACAGTACATCAAGCGACGCAAGGTTACTAGTACCTCGCCGGGGCGCAAAAAGCAAAAAGGGGGCGCACACCAAGAAGAGAAAAGGTCAACGGCAAAGCGGCCATCCTGCAAATTGCGACTCGGACCACGCGAGATTGAAAGACTCGGAAACAGGTTCCACACATGGCCAGCTCCAGCTCGGCACGCCATCTCGGGCATCGGTACTCGGATCTGATCTTTTATTGCGTGATGACCGGACAAGTCCGCATGGTCAGGATCGGATGGCGGCAATCGCTGGATATGCTCCATAACTTGGGAGTCTAAAGTAAGTTATGTCAAGTCGGAGTGGGCTGAATATGAGGCCATCACGGTGGATGAGCACGCAAGCGTCCGTGCATGGCGGTACTTTTGAGAGGGCTGGGTTGGCTTGGTTTTTCTTGGACTCTTGGATTTGTATGCTTGGTTAGCTTGGATATGCTTGATGCCTACCACGGGCATATATCCTGGTTCGTTCTAGACAGTTTTCCCCTGCAATCTCGATGAAGACGAGCATGAGGTCGATTGCATGTGAGATATCTATTGGCTATGCCCTAATTGCAATGCATCTGGGGGTGTTTACCATACCGTACGCGTATTATTCGGCAACACCTGCTGAGTGTAGGGATTAGTCAGCTGACATACCACAGCAGAACAGAAAATAACAGTCAACAACACCGACAACACCGACAACACCGACAACGTAGAAGGTGGCAAGAGGTAGTTATGATGATGATGACTATGACCGTTCTTCTATTTAATACCATGTGTACAAATCCACTCTCATACGATCGGATTTAAACCACAGTACGCAGAGTACGTATTATCCCCATCACTTCACCCTTGTGGAGCCACCGAATGCGGATTGCGATTGGCAGCGATCAAATCAGGGCAAGTCAATTCACCCCGCCCATGTTTTCGGGCGTGGCTGATGCATGGGTTCAACCACCGCGTCAGTCCATCATTCGGCCCCTGCCCTGCTTGCGGGGCTAGGGCCCACTCCGGCAGGTCGTAGCTCGATATGATATTACCAGAGTGGCCAAATATCTTCGGTCTACCCGTAAGCAGTACAGCATGTACGTAGGGGGATGGCAGAGCAGGGCAGGGCAGAGCAGAAGGAATCTAGAAAATCTGGAACATCTGGAAAATCTCCATTTCGAGTGGATAGGAAACGTGTAATGTGCATTAGTGTTACCTACTGACCTAGAGTCGGCATTGGATCCCATCTGATCCCACCTTACTCCGTACATGTACATAAGGGCACTGGAGTATAGCCAGAGTTAAACTTCAGCCATGTCTGGGGTCCGATCACCCAGGGACCGGCGCAAGTCCAAGTTTCTTGTCCGCCCCATCCGAACGCCATGGACTGTTTTCTCGGTATAGCACGTCATGTTGGCGGCGCCCAGATCGACAGGCTTTTTCCATTCGGGCATAGCAGGTTTGCCCTGTGGAGCGGCTTTGGCTGGATTCGGTCGAGGAACTGGTGAAAATGCCAATAATCCAATAAGATGGGGTATGCAGGATACCCCCGAATTACTGCTCCATCGCGGTTCCTCGTAAGTCTTCTGCCAAGCTGGTATACTCAATTACCGTCTCTGCCTTCTGTTTCTTTTTTTATTTCTTTTTTTTTTAATTTTCCATTTTCCATTTCCCATTTTTCTCTCTTCTCTCTTGATTCTTTATCACCCGTGCCTAATGGTATTTCTATTTCTATTCCACTCTTGACCTTTTACAACCTTCCTCTCTCCCAACTTCCTTCTCTAGCATTGTGATCGGGCGGTTCTCTTTCCCCCGCCGATCCCTTTGCCCTAATTCAACCATTCGTGAATTGCCTCACGTCAAACCTCCCCTGCGACAGCCCCGGAACTACAGAACGTCAAAATACTCCCATTTATTCGCCGGTTTCTAGTGAATTAAATTCCAAAGCGACAATTTTCCACTCCCTTGCAACCATCCATACGCATACTTCTCCCACTGCGACCCTCCCCGAGGCCCGGTTTATGTATCTGAAGTTCAACAGTACAGCTTTCTTCGACTCCTCCGAGTACCGCCAAAAGCGGTTCGCCGGCTCTTTAAAACTCAAATGGCTCGGCCTGAAGACTCCACAACAATGGCCCAGCAACTCGATGGCGATCGCTCCTCCGATCTAAGTGACAAGGAGCAGGAGCCGAAGCTCAAGGACTATGATGTTGAATCTGGTCAAGGCCGTCGCCATTCCCACCATCATGTCACTGCGCTGGATTCCTCCTCCACGACCGAGAGTGTTGGTCGTCAAATTGAAATGGAGGCTGAGAATACCATTAAATATCGCACTTGCAGCTGGCAAAAGACCGCCGCTTTACTCTTCTCCGAGTACATCTGTCTGGCTATCATGTCCTTCCCTTGGTCGTACTCCGTTCTCGGTCTCGTCCCCGGCTTGATATTGACGGTTGTTATTGCGGGTATAGTTTTATATACCTCATTGATTGTTTGGTAAGAAATTCACCCTGAGTCTCCGGCATTCCCTCTGTCTTTCGCTTTTTGCGCTGGGGCCCTTTCCAGTATTGCGGGGTTGTCCCATATCGATCGCGCATTGATACTAATTTCTATGGTGCTCGGTCTATAGGAGATTCTGTCTGCGACACCCTGAAATTCGCGATGTCTGCGACATCGGTCAATATTTATTCTGGGACTCCAAGGTCGCCTGGTGGGCTACGGCTGTCATGTTCCTTCTAAACAACACTTTCATCCAGGGTCTGCACTGCGTCGTGGGCGCAGAGTACCTCAACACCATGTCCGGTGGCGCAGTCTGCACGGTCGTCTTTTTCTCTAATTGTCGCAATCGCCTCGTTCTTCTGTTCTTTGCCCCGAACATTCGGCACTCTCGCCCACATCGCCACAGTTTCCGCCTTCTTCACCTTCGTCTCCGTTCTTTTGGCGACCATCTTCGTCGGTATTGAGGGCCACCCCGCCAACTACCCGATAGCAGGCGAACCGCTTGTCTCTGCCCTCCCTCCCAAGGGCACAACATTTGTCCAAGGCATGAACGCCTTCTTGAACATTAGTTATACATTCATCGGACAAATCACTCTCCCCAGCTTCATCGCCGAAATGAAAGAACCCCGCGACTTTTGGAAGTCCGTCACGGCCGTGACAATCGCCGAGATCATCGTCTTCAGTCTCGTTGGGTCAATCATCTACGCATACACCGGCTCCCAATCGGATTATATGGTCGCGCCGGCCTTCGGCTCCATCTCCAACGAAGTGTACAAAAAGGTTTCATTTTCCTTCATGATCCCCACAATCATCTTCCTCGGCGTGCTATACGCCTCCGTCTCCGCGCGCTTCATCTTCTTCCGCCTGTTCGAGGGAACCCGTCACAAGAGCAGCAACACAGTCGTCGGGTGGGCTTCATGGGCCGGTATTCTAGCCGTGCTCTGGATCGCAGCTTGGATTGTCGCGGAAGTCATCCCCTTCTTCTCGTCCCTCTTGTCGATCATGAGCTCCCTGTTCGATTCCTTCTTCGGTTTTATCTTCTGGGGCGTCGCGTATATTCGCATGCGCAGTGCTGATCATGGTCCACGGTTCTTCATGGAAAGGGGTATTCGCGGCTGGTGCGGATTCATTTTCAATGTCTTTTTGATTTTCGTTGGTCTGTTCTTCTTGGGTCCTGGTACTTATGTGAGTTTTGCCCATCCTTGCCGCCTTGGTTCCCTTTTCGGGGCGCTCCTGCATTTAATTGAGCTGACTAACATCTCCTCTCCTGCGATTAGGCTTCTGTCATGTCCGTGGTCACCCTGTACGAAACAGGTTCAGTTGGTGGTGTCTTCACCTGCGTCAGTAACGCCGTTTAAACCGAAAATGAAACGAAAAACAACTAGCAACCCTGCGGGGCGGGGTTTTACTAGCAGCATAGTCTGCAATGCATCTTCAAACTTTATCTTCAAACTCGAGACTTCCACGTGATGAAATCGAGATGAATTTTAATGACTTGATGGCCCGAGAGACAGAGAGAGGAACCGGCTATCTTTGATGAACTTTCTCCTCACATTTATTGCCTTTTTATGAGTTATTTGGACTTATTCATATACCACACCGCCGTGATGAGGGTATGGATTGCTTCACATTGTAGAGCTTGGAAATCGGGAAGAGAGAGATGGCTTTTTGTATTATTTACCTAGTTACAGAGGTTCAGGATGTTGGGTCTTGTCTTTGTATGTTGTCGCTGCCCCGGCATTCTCTTGCACATAATTAGGCCTTGAATTCACTTGGCCAGAAGGCCTCGGGCAAGCTGTTGCTTCCCGGAGTTGATACATTTCAATTTTTTGCTTTCGAGGGTAACACTTTCTACTGGTATTACTTACTAAACAGATAGCCTGAGCCTGACCGCAGCGATGGAATAGCCAACATCTACTAGTAGTAGCGCGTAGGCAAAGAATATAGTGCATGACGCAAAACAGCAATTCAATGCAATGCTCAAAAAGCCCCTCTACGAAAGGCCAGTCTAGAACGAATGAGGTGTGGGCCACGAAGCAGTCCCCGGTGCTTTGCCCCTGAACAATGCATGTTGTCTGCTATTGATTATTCGACATGATAATTAAGGCTCTCTATCCGTTACATCACAAGAGACTCAGTATGTATTCCCTCCCGGCCACAGAATGTATACATGATATCCAACCCAGCCGCAGACTGTCCACCTGGAATACGCGTGTAAGACAATGCCTCTATCCTCCACCATACGGGGATTTCTTCCATGCTTTGTTCTCCCCTAGCCGCACCCTCTTCAATCTCAATTATCCGCTCAACCACCCTAGCAGTAGTGATGCTATCCCAAGCCGCCTCCCGTATTAGTTGCCGTCGTAGAATACTGATGACTTCACGGCGGACAGTGGGATGACGGCACTTGGCCCCGATTATGTAGAGAATGGGAATCATTCCAATCTCCGGCGTGAATGTCGACCTTGATGACCCCGCATACCGCTGATGCGCCTCCACGACTTCGCTCGCTAAGGCAACGCATTGCTGGAACTGGGGCAGGAAATTGTCATATCCTTTTTCTCCATCAAGTCCGTAATTGCTGAGAAGAATCCAGGCGATTTTATGTTGTAAGCGTAGGAGTGATATGAGACGGTAAGTTTCAAAAACTGGCTCAGAGGAACCGCATTCTTGCAGGAGATTTTCGAAGAGACTCGACCACGTTTCCAATCGCCTGATCAATTTCTCCTTGAGCGAATAAGGTAAGGTTGGCGCCGTACCTGTCGGGCACATTTGTTGTTGTGTGTTGCACAGCATCATTACCTCAGCAACGAGAATCTGGAGGTGATCGGCAGCTTGATCGAGTGATGAAAAGGAAGTATCGAAGACTGAAAGATTGGACGCGAATGTCTCTTGGATGTTTGCTGGACTCCAGTCAACCAGAAACATACTGGCTTGCATGTCAAGACGGCGAACCTGTTTTGTAACCTGGCAGATGATCGCGTGGACTCCCGATGGTTGGGAATTGGGATAGGTATCGTTGTACAATGTAGCGTTTTCGATGTTCCGTGAGAGCTCGACACCCCCGCGCAGGTGTTTCATTGCTTGTACATCGTCGCCCACCAGATGATCAAAGCAGGTAAATAGATAGGAGACCAAAAGGGTGACAGCTATTATTTCAGCACTGTCGCCACTTTCCGGCTTGAGCAGAAGCTGGATGGCGCGATTATAGTGACGCAAGCAAGCTTTGTCCAGTAGCTGGTCTTTCGGAAAATACCGTTGATGAACTCGGTCATTTGAATGAAGTTCTAAGTACCTTTTGTGAACCATAGCCAGAGCAATTGAAGCATGTCGTACCGATGGCACTGTTTGAGAGAAAAGCATGAGAGTCTTCCGCCATGATTCACAAGGGCGGTATTCATTCAGATGCTTAACCGAGATATCGTTAAAAAAGCACATTGCCTCTGCCTGGGCAGACCCAGTCACTGGTAAGATCATTGAGGCTCCAAGATTAATCAAATTGAGGCCATGATATTTTGAGTTCCGTCGCTCTGGCTCATACGCACCAATCATGGTACATGAGTGGTGACTGTGGTATCTATCTCCTCTGTCGTCGAGCTCATTGTGCGTATGGGTTGATTTAATTTCTGTCCTATCGGTTCTGCAGGCGGAAGGCATTTCGTCATAACCATCGCATGTGCGACCAGTAGAGTGGCATTTCAAGCATGAAGGCTGAGATAGATCGCATTTAACTCGTCTTATCCTGAGAAATATCAGATTCGAAATATTTGGGCAGTATTGATTGCTCTGTACTAGTAGAAATTCGTAGAGTCAGGACATACTTGCAAGTCTTGCAGCCTAATCTTGACTTTGGAGCGAACTTCCGAGGATTTTTCCTCCATCCCTGGTTGGCCGTCCTGGTGTTCTTGCTCTTCATTCTATCCATCACAGCCATGTGAGCTGAGTGTTATGTTCAGTAAGCACCGTTTAAACGAAACTTTGAGTGTCGATGGAAGTTCAAGAGGGCTGGTCTGTTTGATGATTTCCATATCAGTGAGGGAGTGGAGTCATCGCCACATCTTTTTTTCGATACACAGCGGACTGAGAAAAGATGAACAAAATGGAGTACAGAAAGCAAAGCCTTAGGAGAGACTGCTCTTGATGGCAAGTTCCCAGAATCGATGCAATTCCAAGTTCCAGTGAGATTGAAGTAAGCCTAAACCTGGACCAGTTGGCATTGACCACATACGTAGTCTAGTGCATTTACTAGGTAGGTTTTGATTGGCCAATTCGTACACGCACAATTTTTGAAAAAGAAAGTGATCGACATTTATCTCACTTGATGTGGATTGGTCGCTGGAATGGCAGACTATGATTGGCCACCTCGTACAGGTGGGGTAGCAAAGAGTAAGGCCCCCAGGGAATTCACTAGTTTGAACCACTCAAGATGACAGGGACAATATAGCTGCCTACTAAAGCTTTCAAACTTGATACTGAAGCCAAGGAAGTTCAATTGTTATAAATGATTCCCAGATATCGCAGTTCCAAGGTTGTGCAAGCTCTTGCAAACAACTAAACCCAAGACCAGGGAGATATTTCTGAGGATCCACCATGGACCGAATTGCATATGTCCTCATCCTCCTTGTGAGCTTTGGACTAAAAGTTCACAGTTTGAATAAACGGGGTATGGTCTATGGATTCGACAAGGTGAGTCTGGGACATTATGGTAACACATTTCCCGAAGTTTTTAAAATTTTGAACGTGGCATATAGATTGAACCGTCAGCCAACCTCACATGGTCATCATGCTTTGATGCCTTTAATTGCTCTAGACTGGAAGTTCCTTTGGATTATTCAAACAGAAGCCTTGGCATGACATCCGTTGCCTTCATCAAGTTGGCTGGCAAAAATGCCACCGTCGAGTCTCCAAGTATCGTAGTCATTCCCGGTAAGATCCCATTCCTTTCAAATACGCGAACTTTTCGAACCTCATTTGACTTGACTGACATTTCGTTAGGCGGTCCGGGTGGTTCTGGTGTCGACTTACTCCTGTCATACCAGAATATTATCGGGCAGATGTTTGGAGAACAGTACAACTTTGTCTCGTTTGATCCTCGTGGTGTGAACAACAGTGGTTTGCATCTAGATTGCTTCTCGGGGGACGCAAATGCAAGATCTGCCTTTTATCAACTGCATAGAACAGGCATCACCAGCATCTCATCAACATCACTTGAGGAACAGTACTACTCAAGCTCGATATATGGTGATTGGTGCAACCATGCCGTCGAGAAAAACTCACCCCATTCATATTATGTGACTACACCAGCAGTTGCACATGATTTGCTCGCGTTCACCGAGGCAGAGGCCGAGATAGCCGGTAAATCGCCATCAACTGCTAAGTTGTGGTGCTATGGCATCAGTTACGGGACTGTCATCGGCAGTACTTTCGCTTCCATGTTCCCTACCCGCATTGAGAGAATGATACTTGATGGCGTTTTAAATGCAGATCAATATTATAACAATTATTGGACGGACAATGTTGATCAAATGGACGAGGCAATGGAAACATTCTCGACCTTCTGTCATTACGCAGGGCCTCAAAATTGCTCATTTTGGGGACCGACGCCAGAGAATATCACGGCAAAATTGGATGGTATCACTCGTCAATTTCGGAATCGTCCAGTCCCGTTAAGTGGAGTTGTAGGCTCAAACCTGCCGACAATGGTCACTTATTCGGACCTAAAAACTCTTTTTCTCAACGCCCTCTACACCCCACTGGCAAAGTTTCCAGACATGGCCGATGTCTTACATCAGGTGGAGCGCGGGAATGTCTCTGGTCTTACAGGCTTGTTTGAACAGTCAAACTCTATAACTGACGCTCGGCTCACCATCACATGCACCGATACCTATCGGACAAACAGACTCACTACCATTGAAGAGTTCAAGACTTGGGTGGATTACACGGTCAACAAGAGCAAGTACATTGGTGATATCTACCCTATGCTACTTGAAGGTATCTTATGCCGTTCATTTCGCCCGCAATTGCCCGATAGCATGGGATTCAAAGGTAAGAAACGCTTTTGCTCTCTCTCTTTTTCGTCTTTCTATCAACATCATCGTTGGAAAATGAGCCACCGGACCAGATACAAGATCAAGTTTGACATAGGCAAAATAGGTGGACTTAATAAGCCTACGTCCTTCCCGATCCTCTTCGCGAGCAATACAATCGACCCTATTACGCCGCTGATATCGTATGTTTCGATCAATCGCATCACTACTGGGCATATTAGTAGCTGACATTATCTCCTAGGGCACGCAATATGTCTTCTAGGTTTGCCGGATCGGTGATTTTGATGCAAGAAGCCGTTGGCGTAAGTTGCTATCAATTTTCAATCCTATATTATCTCGATCATAGACTTACTCACGGGATGATCCCTTTGGATTCAGCATACGGTAATCAACCAAGGGGGTTCAAACTGTTACTTTGAACATATTCAGGCATACCTCGGAGGCGTAGTTGTACCGTCCAACACCACGTGCTCACGGCAGTACATTCCTTTTATAGACGGCTCACCCTTTTAAAAACTGTCAAACTCGTGATACAAGGAATCTGTTACTCGTAGCAAAGAATCTATCGGTAATGTTAGCCAAGTACTTGTTTCTGAACGGATCATTTTTCATTCAGTAGATCCGAGATCTCTTGATTGAGTGCTTGATTCAACAACAATTCGCAAAAGAATGTCATTTGATTGCTAATTATCGGAATTATTTCCCATTCTCTCATCTTCTGTAAAATTCTCATACTAAACCCAACAGAAAGCACGGGAAGAAAGTCGAGTTTTTGAACAGGCAAAATTTTGGCTTTTACCGACAGTATCGATGCATCGAAGTATTGCCAAGGATCAAGATAAGTACCATTTTCTAGTGAATACTATGCCAAAGATTCCATAATCACTTCTTGATTTTACTAAAATGTTTTGCCTCCATAGTGAAAAGCAAAGTAGCTCTTCAAAGAAGCGACCGGCTGTGGTTTCAAACCCTTGTCCCGGCGAGCCTCATCTTTGAGATGCTGACACGTCTGGAAATCATCTGTTTGACCAAAGAATAATCCACCCGTATACTGAGTCCAGCGAAAAACATCCTGGAGCTCTTTTAGAACACTGCTTCCCTGAGTGGGGAAGTCCTCGCATGAAGCCATGGGAATATATCGAGCCGGCTTTCCGGTTACTGCATATTATGTTAACCATCCATACACATATGAAGCAATAGCACCTGAGGTTAACTGTGCGGATGCCTACCTTCTTTGAAGACCGTGACCATCTCTTCGTAGGAAAAGGAATCACTCAGGCATTGGATAGTTTGATTCTTCCACCTCAAAGGGTCCAGAAACATCCCGTGTACCATTTCGCCAAAGTCGTCTGCCACGGAGATGGTTTGCACCTTTCCCTCACCACCAACATTTAGTACCGGACTGGTAAATGTATAAATTCCCTCCTCATCCGGGAACATTGGAAATCCTCCAAAGGCTTGCGCATAAGCTGGAGTGATGTGATTTTCAAAGTACCAACCGGGAAAGGCCCCGATAACAGCGTCAAACTCTTTGAACTGTCGAGCATACATCTCCACACGGTGCGTGGCTAATTCATTGAATTAAAAAGATAGTCAAAGAGCTATTGTGGAGCAAACAACTTGAAACATACCATCCATACCAGGGACAGGCGTCTTTCCATTTGAGATCTTCTCGGGTGAATCGCAGGTACTGTAAATGAAGACCTTGACGCCTTGATTGGCAGCGATGTTGACCAATCGGCGTCCTAGGTCCTCATCCGTGGGAACCACCTGGCGTGAGTACAGCCTAAGTGTTTTGTTGGCCAAATAGCAATGATTACTTAGTAAGTCCAATTTCGTTAAGATATCATACCTGATCATGATGGTGTGTGTTTAACCAAAATCCCCAAGAGCCAGCGAGTGCTGCATTCATCTCCTCATCACTGAATCCATCGGCTTTGACCACTTGCGCACCCATCTTCGCCAAATTCTGTGCCTTCTCCGAATTTGGGTTGCGGGTGAGTGCTCGGACGATGAAGTTGTGTTGACTTTTCAAGAGGGATGAAGCTACCGCATAGCCCTGGGTGCCTAAAAACTGTATCGTTAATCTTGCTATGCAATAAACAATCATAGTCTGAAGAACTAACCAGTACTCCCATATACAACAATCACCTTTTCCAGGGGAGCCATGGTGTAATGTAGAAGAAGAAAAAGCTCGTATGCGTAGTGGAATAGTCGGTGAAGCAACACTAGAAAAGAAATACCCTGGACGTGGGGAAAATGGGAATAAATATTGCAAGATCATAGAGAGAGGTTGTGTGAGTAGGTTAGCTATGCAATATTAGTACTAGTAGTACGTAGTATTCAGGTTCCGAATCAGTATTGATGAAATGACACTACCAGTGCCAGTGCTAGTGCGTACTCCGTCAACCTTTGAAGCTCGATTGATTATTTTGACAAAATATCAGAGCCCGCCTGGGCAGGCGTGCATGATAGTATGTACATCCATCATGATGGATCCATGCATACATATGGATTACTCCGTACGGAGTAATGGGATCAGCTTTTCATTTGTGTCACGTGTTACTGCATGCGCACCATGTATTGAAACCGATCATCATGATGTACGGGATAATTATGAGCAGTATTTTCTGATTACCTATGGACCGTATGTAACTTATGTATTCCTCGCTCTATCTTGGTATTTATATGCTACTTGATCTTGAGAAAAAGGAATTTATCAGATACTAGTTAGTACCTATGTTGTGTCTTGTTTCGGCTGTAACTTCAATCTGCTTTCCCACCTCCAAACCTGCCAAAGAAGCCGAGAATATCAACAAGCCTAGTATCCCTGAATTATAGTGCAACAAGCCAAGCTCATACGACTTACCTATATGACAATCATCGCACGATAACTTGAATATTGTATTGTTCGTATCGAAAAAGATTTTCCTCTGCGATACGATAGCGATCACGATAAATGCGATACGATATCGCAAAATTACGATATCGTGCTCAGCACTAGCACTGTACCTTAAATAAGCATCACATTCTATCAGGCCACATGTCGAATGCCGATAATAGTCACAATCGAACAATTTCGAGGGATGGAGGCTGGTAGGGTAGCGAGGTTACAGCGCCAAGAGACTTCGTATACTGGCCGTGTCCGAATTTTTATGGGGAGCACGAGTAATTTTGGACGGGGTTGGTACAGGCGGCCTCTAACGCGGTTGGCCCAGATGCCCACTGGAAGCTACGTTGCTCCAGCTGCATCTATTACCGTAGCCTGGGTGACCGGGGCTCCAAAAGACTACGAAGCCTCTTTCCAATGCAATCACTAAGATTCTTCCTAACAGATAACTCCCAGTCTCTTAAGATCCAATTTACTCACATTGGGCCGAGTGTATTCCACCTCAAAAAGACCATAATCCGCCCCGCATCCTCCCTTGGGGCTTCTTGTATTTGCTCCATCCAGGGGATTTTCTCCAGAGCCATAGAGAAAGCTTGCCACCTCGTCTGAAAGCTTGACGAACCTCCCTGGCCATATGCGATGGCCTTCCATTGTAATCCTGACCATCAGTTTTGGCAGTTGATCTCTCTTGGGCCAATCTAGTTTCTCTCGCATCCTCTGTAGTAGACAAGTTGAACGCAATTCATCATCAAAGGGAAACTGGATAAGTTCTAAGTCAAGATATCGCAATGAGGATGGTGCCAATTGGAATATGTCCATCAACTCCGAAGTACCAACGATAAAACGAGAGAGCGCCAAGTGAGACAGATTACGCCATTCCTTAACAGGCAGAAAATCCTCCAAGGGAATAGGCGGATCCTTCATGATAGAAGAGGATCCATTATCGAATGTAGTTGATAAATGGACATGGGTCAATTCCTTGGCCGGGCTCATAGCTTGGCAGGATAATCCGCTTTCAAATCCTTCCCAGTAACCACTAGTACCAGTAAGTAATGACAAATGAAGACTTTGGAAGCCTGGACGTTCCATTATGGCCGCAAATTGATTGTATTCCTGACACGGCCGGTCGAAAATCGAAAGTTTTAGTGCGGCAAGGAGTTTCTTGGAGTCAATGCTCGGACCATATGTGTCTGTCTCGTACAGCGGCGCAAACAGCCAGCCCCGAGCCGCAGGCGTAATGGTCACTCTTTTGAGTCGTGGGAATCGCTCCAGACCGTAAAGGAGGGCTTTCTCGTCGACTTTGAATCAAATCACAGACGTCTGATCATAAAATAGCTGCCGATGATACCCTCAGCAGGCTTCCAATGGTATTTGGGCATCTATCTGGTGATGACGCGCAACATGGTCCGGTCGGTTCACATCGCGGTATTTTCGATGCTTCGTCGTGTAGCAGTTCTCTTCGCATTGCTCTACGAGCCAGGTGGGACATCCCTCCTGGAAATTGACCTCCATCTGTTCGGGGACGATGGTTGGGTGCACGTCTTCCCATATCAACGGCGTGGATACAAACCATGCATCGTCCCGGATGATCTCCCTGATTTCGTGGCGAAACTTTGGATGGTCTGCTACAGCCCGGAACACTTGGATGTTCAACGAGTTGGCTGAAAGAAACACGCGTGAGGAGGAGAATGATCAGTACTCGCGAAGTGTTTTTCACGTCAAGCGCAAGGTCTTGACATCTTTTTTTGGCAAAAAAGACACAATCCATGAAATCAATTCTGGGGGAAAAGCAGAAACCACGGCCTTTGTGCTGCCATCCCAAACGAGAGGCTGGTGAACGCATTGCAGGTATTTCAATAGGTTGGAAATGTGTGCGACGTTATGATTGAGTATGGAAACCAGGAAATGATGTGGGCATGCGGATATCTAGAAGAGAGAAAGAGAGAGGAAGGCCGGGAAGGCGAGAACAGTGCCTGAGGCCCACATCCCAACACAAGATCTTTGACACCCATGCCCAGGTGAACCCTACTATTAGCCAAAAAAAAACAAAAAGGAAAGAAAAGCAACACATACAACATAAAAAAGCAGGGATTCGCATGTATGATGTGGTTACCGACTATACTACTACCTAGGTACAAAACATATTCAACTCTCGCTATCATCCTAAGGATCCGTCACGTTGGATGAGCCCGGATTTATACCGAGCCATCCACATTCGCACGGTTCGCGGCTGGAGTCACGAATTATAATTATCACTCGTCGATCAGTCAGCCACATGGGCACCTGCTCATCGACTGAATTGAAATCTCTTCTCAGATACCACCTTAAGCATTCAAACATTTCCCTGCAATGGCCGAGCTCTTACGGACTTGCAGATTTTCTTCTTTCGTTTCAGGAGATTCGTATTTCCGTGTCATGGCTACACTGAAATTAGATCAAGGTGTGAAGGCCGATGGTTCTTTCTCGTGCCCCGTTGCTCGACCTTTACCTCAGCAATCGTCTTCAATCACGCCCACTGTGGAATCAGCTCCAGCATCAAGAGATGGCTCCCCCCTTCATCGTCGACTCCCCCAGCAGGCCAATATATTTTCGAACAACTTCCATTATCAAAAATCGCAAGGTCACGCAGCATTGCAATTACAACCTTACTCGTGTTAACAAATCTTATCCAGGTATGTATACTATGAGGTCCAAGTTCCCTAGCAATTTGAAGGCTGAATTTGACCTCGCCAGATGATTATCAATTTTGCTGGTATCGCTGGTGATAGTCGACTAGATCACTCCATTGGAGTCAAGAAGACATACGCGCCTTGGATTGCAGCAAGCTATCCGTAAGATATTGTCGATGCGCTATTTGGATGTCAAGGGAACATAATACTCACGTTAATGAGATTAACTCAGGGTACATTTATACTCAGCAGTGGTCGACTGGGAGATGTCTATGGACACCGAGATCTTCTGTTTGCTGGCGGTGCATGGCTCAGCTTGACCACACTAGCTAGTGCTTTTTGTAACCACTCCTTCTTCGCTTTAATCACAACGCGAGCTCTCGGGGGCTTAGGGGGTGCCTCTATCTTGCTAAACGCGGTAGCCATGATTTCAAGCACTAACCCTCCCGGCCATTTACGGAATCTCAGCCTAGGTTTTTTTGCTGCATCTGAGCCTATCGTTGGTTATTTTGGAGCATTGTTTCTTGGTGCATTCATGGAAACGATAGAATGGAAGTGGTTGTTTGTTTTTATGTTAGTCAGGGTCCTAATCTCAAATTCGGAAACCTTGCTATGCTCATCACTTGCTTTACCTAGTGCCGGTACAGGTGTCATCACATTCTTGGCTATCTGGGCCCTGAGCTCTTACGAGACTCCGGTTAATTCGCATGGTAAAATTGATATTGTGGGCTCTGCTCTAGGCGTCAGCTCGCTGATTTTTTTTTTAATTTTGTCTGGAAGTAAGAGTGGCTGCATCTCCCAACTTTTCTGTTATTATGTGAATCAAGCTCACTGCAATAAATTCAGCCAATTCCCCAGTGTCGGATGGCAAACGCCTTATGGATATTGCCCTCCTACTTCCATCCACCATTCTCTTCGGTGTATTCCTCATCTGGAAAAGCGATACACTGCCTACCCAATCATGCCACTCGATATCTTCAAAGCACTATGCCTCCTCATAGTTATCCTGGTTATTTTTCTCAACTACATGGCAGTCGGAACTCTGATCTGGTACCAAGTCCTGTGACTACAAGAGGTTTGGAAATGGACTACTCTTGAATATGCCGTCGGGTGATTTCCCTTCGTCATTTGTGCCACGGCGGCCGCCTGCCTTGCTGCTTGGTTGATTCCTCGCATACCAGCGCAATGGATCCTACCCATTGGTACCTGCACAATCTTGGTGTCAAATGCCCAAATGGCAACTGTTCCGCTTCATCAAAGCTATTGGGCCCAGGTATTCCCATCTGTTGTGCTCTTTGCATTTTATCCTGACTTTGTGTATACTGCTGAGCAAATCATTGCTAGTAAATCTGTTCGCCGGCACCAGCAAGGTATTGCGGGCTCTATCATTGGCATGTTAAAAATATATGGGAATAGTCTCAGGTTGGCATTTGCCTCTACTATTGAAGTTCAAATTAGCAGAAGATCGGGAAGCCAGGTGTTAGGTTACCGATCTGCACACTTTTTTGGTGTTGCAATTAGATGAGATGGAACTTGCCAACCTTGCTGAGACTACTGGTGCTAATCGTCCTGCAGCAGTCTAAATATTGTGATTGCAAGTGTTACACACAGGCCGTCACTTCCTGTTACTGGTGGCATTATAAGTCAGTCATTGGAAGTAATCACCTCATGCCTAAGGCGAGAACGTTTGAATTGATCCGAAACATTTCGACGACATGACAAATAGCTCATCGCTAGCTTTGTCGCTCATGGATGTTTGACCAAGGCCCGGAGGTTCTGAGGCCGTTTTGACTGCCCCAATAAAGTCTCCGACAGGTAGCATGCAGCCCTACAGGACTTGAAGATGACCAATGGAATTTTTTATAGTGTCATGAGAATACTGCAATTCTTTGGAATACAATGATTGACCGTAGGTACCTCAACAATGCAAAGCCAGTGGAGCTATATCCTGATACTATAGACCAGCATTTTGCATGGGCTTACAAGTATCAAGATAGCAATGCAAGGTAGCATTGTCATCTTCGCTTGTGAGATTCACCTAGCTTGCATAGTAATGCGGTGGTTATATCAAGCACAGAAGCTGACATGGAACTTAAAATGTTTGCGAGAAGAAACTTAGAAGGCCGCCGAAGAATGACGAAAATACCAAATTATCTTATACCTCAATAACATCTCATCCGAAAAATTGGTTACATCGACCAAAGAAGAAATAAGAAGCAAGGAATTTACTGAAAGATGCTGATATGGAGAAGGTTAGACAGATGGCTGCCACAGCCTTAACAACCAGTTTCATATCGCAAAAAGGTTAGGCATCTAAACTACCCCCTAGAGCATTTTTCCAAGCTGATAAGGTCTAGGGCCTTCCCATTTGGCACAATGGGAAGCATCTCTGCTTCATCCATCAAAATATCCAGCAATGCCGGCTTCCGACGCTCTAGTAGCCACCGAATACAACCTCGAAGCTCGCCCAAGCTTCTGCATCGCTGACTCTCACATCCCATTGCATGAGCCAACTGGACAAAGTCTGGATTGGCCTGGCAATTGTAACAGACACGGCCACCATATCCGGACCGCTGAATTTGCGCAATCATCCCTTGTGTGTTGTTGTTGAAAATTACCACTTTTATCGGGATATTATACTGCGACGCAGTGAGAAGCTCCTCCATGGTCATACAAAACGACGCATCGCCATCTATATCAATCACTGTGTGATCTGGTCGGGCAATTTGAGCTCCAATTGCAGCAGGAAGTCCAAATCCCATGGTTCCCAGTGAGCCGGATGTAATAAAAGAGCACGGCGTCTTGTAGCGATAACGTTGCGCAGCCCACATTTGATGCTGCCCCACGCCTGTGGTCAGCGTAGTGCAGTTTTTGGATAACGAAGTCTGCAGATATAGCTCTGTAATGGCTTGCTGAGGCGTGGCACGGCTCTGTCGACTCGTCTGTGGAACTTGGAATGCATGTTGTTTCTTCCACTGTTGGATTTGATCTAGCCACTCGTCTCGACTCTGTTGCTCATTCAAACAACCAAGTAGAATTGGCAATGACTCGGAAAGATCCCCGATTATGATTTGCGTTGGCTCGATAATCTTTCCCACGGTGCTGGGATTTAAGTCAAAGTGGACGATTCCCCCCCGTCCAAGTTGGCCTGCCTCCTTGGCTTTGGGAGCAAATCCGGCTGGCTCACCTACAACTCTATCGTCTAGGCGAGCCCCAAGTACTAGGATCAAGTCCGCCTTTTGAATGGCATAGTTTGCATATGGTGCTCCATATGTGCCTACCATGTGTAAGGCCAGATCATGAGACTCGTCAAAGCATCCCAGTCCAAGCAGTGTTGTCATGACGGGTATCTTGCTCTTTTCTGCGATACGGGACAACACTTCTGGTCCAGCTTCACTTGTATTCACTCCGTGGCCAGCACAAATGACAGGGCGCTGAGAATTCTTGACCATTTTCGCGATTTGGTCGATTTGATGCTGTAAGCTCGGACGGTTATCGATATTGGCTGGTACACCAAGTCCCGCGTACTCTTCACTTCTCAATGGTCTCGACAGAGAGTCTGCATTTGAAACTTCATGAACGACCGCTGTTCCAATATCCATCGGAACAGCAACAAGAACAGGCCCGGGTCTTTTGAAGGTCGCTTGGTGAAATGCCTCTTTCATAATTTTCGGCAAATCACCAACTCTCTCGACACAAGCAGACCACTTTGTACATGTTCGAGCAATTTCCATAATGTCAATCTCCTGGAATGCGCTCGTTCCTCGGACAGTGGTCGACACCTGACCGCAGATCACAACCATCGGCGTACCATCCAAAAGAGCATTGAGCATGGGTGTGACGAGGTTGGAACTTCCTGGGCCTGATGTGACCATAACAACTCCAGGCTTCAAACTGGCGCTGGCGAATCCTTCGGCCATATGACAGGCACCTTGTTCGTGATGTGCGAGAATGAAGTGAAAGAGGCTACTCTTGAACATGGCATCAAAGAGAGGAAGGACTGCGCCGCCAGGATAGCCGACTGATGAGGGATCAGTCAAGTTCCAGTAAAAGAGTGGGAGGACTTCACTCACAAACATGGTCAACGTTGTGACTAGCTAAGAGCTCACAAAGCAGCTCTCCCCCGGTTAACTTCGCTAGGAGATGGTGGCGCATCGTGAAGATGAGTTCCAAGATAGTTTAAATTGACAACTAAGAAGGTCGTTTAAGTAAGATCTCCTGAGATGATCCATGGATCATTTATATCTTTATTTCAACTTGAACGACTCAGCCCGCTGAAAGTAGACAATCCAGTCCAACTTCCATATTTGGGCATAGAAGATTCAAGATTGCTAGTGTAACCGTCCATAAAATGGATATGCTAGAGTGGAACTCTACTAAGGCATTCGAGTTCAGTTTGGGCGATCGTATTCTGGAAGATACCATATTTCCTTCAGATTTCCACTCCAAATTCTCCCAATCACCTCATGGTGGCGTACAACGTGGTTAGATATCTGGGATATAACTACATAGTACTTAGGGAGATGGCGCACTGAGGCACTCAAGAGCGGCTAAGTATATCCGTGAAATATATATGGTCAGCTCGCAAAATACCGCTAGGGTACTGTGTAACCCCAGCAGTCCCAATCTAGTAATCCCCCTAATACTATAGGGGTAGTCGAGTCTGCTTTATCATACATCTCTTATCTCCGTCGAGTTTGATCGTCCAAGTCCTGTCCGTAGAATGTCTGTGTCACCAACCGGAATGTCGACATCCTACTTTGGCATCTCGTGGATCTCTTACTTTCTAGCATTCCACGCCTACATCAAATGATGTTTAGCCTCATAATTCCGCTGGTAAGTTATGACATCAGCAACCGAAGATAGAAGATGAGACGATCGAGTTGCTATTTACCATAGGGAGGATGTGAGTCTGTTCCTGATTCATATATTTGTCATTTTAGTTTTCACTTCCATGGAGCAATATTTCTGAAAGTTTTTACCATTTTGCTAGCCACAAACAACATGGCCACAAACAACATCTATCAGTATTCTGTCCTGAGCGCTCTCATGGAAGGCATCTGCCAAACAGGGATCACTGTTCGAGATACTCTTGCAAATGGTGACCACGGCATCGGCACTGTTTCAAATCTTAACGGCGAGATAGTCATCATAGACGGCGAAGCATACCACTTTCCACCAGGCGAATCACTTAGAAAGCTTGAACTTTCTGATGCGCTCCCTTTCATCATGATCACTTGGTTCAAACCAACCATTGAAAAGCTCTTTCCTTCGCTCAAAATGGCTTCACTTCCAGAAGCCTTGGACCCTCTTCTTCCCTCTCAACAAAATTGCTTTTTGTCAATTCGCATCGACGCGCTATTTGATCATATCACGTTCCGTGTGATGGAAAGGCAATCTAGGCCCCGAGAGTCTTTAGCTGAGCTGGCGAAGCGTCAGAAAGTTTTCGCTTTCGAGGCTATCGAAGGTACCTTATTTGGATTCTGGTCTCCGGCTTTCAGTGGGGGTTTCAGTGTTGCGGGCTTCCATTTGCACTTCTTGTCGAAGGATAAGACCAAGGGCGGTCATGTATTGGAGTTCGATACGAAGAATGCCTTACTCCAAGCGGCCGCTATCGACGAGTATCGGGTTGAACTGCCCCAGAACGAAGAGTTCAACCAGGAGGTGATCAAAAGCGCAAGAGACGAGGATCTTCATGCAGCTGAAGGGAGTAATTGCTGCTAGCTATCTAGAATTAGGGTTGCACACTGTCATGGTCTGGCCTTTAGTCTCTGTTTCTGTTTTGTACTCTTATTGCGTCTTTCATTACTATTACCAGGGCTTTCGGACTTGCTCCTCCGAGCCATGAATTCCCATTTATTTCCTTTATATATCTTTCTTTGCTAGGTTATCAGCCGCTTATAGTAGATATCTGTATTTTATTCTCTGTCTTGGGGTTTCTGGCACGATATGACACCACAAACCTATGAGAATCTGGATCCTTAGTATAATTTCAGATTCTTTTCTTTCCTCACGATCGGCCTACTTCGTCATAGCTGTATATTTCATTTTTTTTTCTGTGGATATGTCAACTATCATAAAACTAAGCTCCGGAAGGTTCAAGCATCTACGAGACTAATGAAGAGGATATTCTGGAAACTCGATAGATGCATCTTTTTGGCTAATTCTCGGTCGTTAACAAGCATATGGCAGCGCTAGGAGATGCGTCTTTGGATCAGCTCTTGGCCAATACCTAACAAGTGAGATAAGTTATGCATGTTTGCTCATGCTTGTGTCGAATCCAGTTTTGTTTTTTGATTGGGGCCGATGGGGTTATAATGGCGATGGGAGAAACTCAGTGTGAGGCGCCCAGGTACGATCGAAGAAAAAGTAACCTTGGGAAAATTTAGTTGCAGTCGATCAAAGTGTTAAGTATGCGGAAGAAAAGGGAGAGGAAGAGTTGTGGATAGTACGTATCAAACTAACCCTTGGGAAGGGAGCTCACTACTAACTAGTAGTTACCCCGAGGAGTAACTTTGAAGGTATAGGACAGGGTGCTTGCCAAGATGGGTTGATTTCAGAAATCCCAGGCATAAAAAAAAGTATAACTGTTCAAGATACAATAATAACTCGAACCTTAATGGAAAATTTCCAGAGATATCCAGATTTCCATTAGGCTTATAATATAAAATACTCTCAATTCAGTACGAAATGACAATACCAGTACCTTAAATACTGCAGTCCCATCAGATCATTGTGATTTCTGTAATTGGCAGGAACGGCGTCTGCGGCTGCCACTGGCAGGAGAGGAAGGCACGGACGACTCGCTCCAACCGGAGCAACAACATTGTCCATCTCTCTCTTCTCTCTTCATATTCTCTCTTCCCCTTCCTCTCCTTCCTCCACTCCTCTTTCCTCCAACACTGTTCTATTTCCCCATTTTCGTTGATCAGGTAAGAAGCCCATACCCCAGTGATTGATTCATCTAAACTTGTACGCCTTCACAGTCATGGCTCACAATATTGCATTCTCGCAGGCCGCTCAGGCTTTCACTTTCGAACTCGATGACGCGCTACAGACATTTTCACACGAGCGCCTGCGGCAAGTTGTCCGGTACATGTGTATGACGAGCTCGCGCCAGAGGGAGATATTCAAGACATGGTTGTTCGTGACCGAGGACAAAGTCCCTCGACCCGTGACTTCTACCTTTGAGGAACATTCCAGCAACTAGGACGATCCCAGCGATGAGGCTAGCTTCAAAGTTGTCGATATTGGTGATAAAGGTGATGAAGCGGAGATTAGACCTAGCGACAAAGACATAGTCAAGAGCAGTGAAGAGGGCCACATAGAAACTGCGTGTGACAAGAAAAAAAATCAGGCAGTGAGAACAACACCAAAGTTGACTCTGCCCCTAAAGCAACTGGCTCCAAAAGACTCAGAGCCCGCTATTCAGTCTGTATCCAGTGTAGGAAGGAGTTTGACGTCTGCAGAAACACCAAAAATGGTTGTTCCTATCATGCCGGAGAGCTTATGAAGAGGTCAACCATGAGAAAGAGTGAGTGGGAACAAGTTAACGAAGACTGTGATGAACCGGACCCAGAAGAGGCCGCACAATCTCCAAGTGCTTATTTCTACGACTTTTGTGAAGATTAAGGTGGCGACGCTCGAGGTTGTGTTCGATACTGACACAGAGAGCCGAAGTATTCGAAGAGACAGAAGACTTAAGCTTCGCGCAAGTTGTACCAGCACTTGAGATCTGACAGTCCAAGCCCAGCTTTTAGTTGATCACCTCTTGGCCTAGTTTGGATCTACCGAGTTGGGATGGATCTCAAGTGCAGTCTCAATTTTACTGACCGTGAAATTTCCGATAATAGAGGAGAGGTAGGATATGCGATTTAAGTTGTCGTGGGTTTTCACGTTTCCATTTTTGTGATGTTTCTTTTTTTTTTTTTAATTTTCTTTTTGTGATTTCCCATGTCAAAAACAACCATCAAAATCAATGTTAACTACTAATTTACATTGATTAAGATCTTAAACTGCCAGAAGCTCAGATACGTGTAAGATCTATCACAAATGACGCTGTAGGCGAGGTACCTCCACTTTGCTTCTCCATCAGAAGTGCATCATCCCGCAGTTCAAATCCCAAAACTCTCGTATAGTCGACGTGCACGGGTATTGCCAGCTTCAGCCTGGATCACAATGCTAGCCTTTGAACTGGCTAAAGCTCTTGCTTCTTTGTAGGCTGCTTCGATCGTCGCATTTATCAGCTGACGCGCACGCCCTTGCCCCCGTGCCTGAGGCGAAACGAACAAGCCTCCAAGCACATAAACGATGTATTTCCCTCGAAGGTAATTCGGGTCCAATGGCCTTGCGGGTAGCTGGTATTTGCCATCCTTGATAAAAGTCTCCCATGGCTTACTTAGTGATGTCTTTGCGGCCGTATTGGGCTTGGAGAACAGAATGGGACCCGTGATCGAAACGATGCCAACCCAGTCATTTTGCAGCAATTTCTGGAGAGATGGGTGGGTATCATCGAAACTCTCAAAGCTTATAGGCCCGTGGCTGTTCTTTGGTGCTTCTTGTGATTGAATGACCGACACAAACGTCTTGCTTAATTGGCTTTGTAGTTGGGACCGCCATGTGTCGTCTGATTTCTTTAACGATTCTTCATATGAAGAGACGAAGGCTTCGGGATTGGTTTGAAAGCCATTGAGTCGAATCTCTTTGTACCGGTGTAATATTTCTTGTAGATTTTCCGCTGAGGGAAAAGAATTGGGAAGAAGGGTAGGCTCCGTTGAGGCACGGCCTGAGGTGATCATAGCGCGGGCTACCTAGGTATATGAAGCGAATATCAGATTCAAACTAAATATTTGTCTTCAATTAGTGATACTTCCACCTTCTCAATCTGGGGAGAGTATAAAAAGAGCACGGGAAGGCCGAGTCATACCAACTGGTTAGTACTGGTATGACTCAGATCATGATGGTGCCACTTATCCACGCGGGCTGTTCTTCCAACGAACCTCTATTGTTCTTTTTCCATGCCCCCAGCATAAATCTGATCTATTTTATTTAGCTACTACTATTATATTACTACTATATCTTGCAATCATATTTTCGAGGAGAAAAAGCATAGTTAAAGGTCGCTACGTTCCGTAATATGTTTCCCGTAGCATACAGTACTCCGATTTTATGTAATATAAATGTAATATAAAAACAACAGTGTGGCTGCGGAGTTCAATCACCAAGTCGGAGAAGCCCTCGACCCAAATTTCCGAGATAATAGCCAGCTGGGCACCTCAACTACACCACCTGCCATTCATCTGCATTCTCCGTGGCCGAATCGGGAAACAAGCTATCTGATGACTCAGCTTGGCTCTTCCTATCAACACGTGATTTTCCCGCTGTGCTTCTCCGACGGAGTGAACTCCAGTGGTTCTCGCGATCATTTTTCTTCTTCTCCATTCCCTCTTCTCTTGTCAATTCAATTCCTTTAGCTTCAATTGTACTCGCAATGGCTAGCATTCGCACATTCCGAAAGGGCGCCGACCTGGTGGCCGCCAGAGCCTCCGCCCTCCACGCACCCCGCGCCTCTATCGGCTCCCCACTTCTGCGGAGGGAGCTCTCCTCCGCGGTGCGCCCTGCAACTCGCAAGGCTCCCAGCACCAGAGTCACTGCCCCGGCTGCCATTGCACCCATCAAGGCTCAAGCTGTCCGTTATGCCTCTGGCTCTACTGGTCCCCTGAGCAAGACCCAGCTTTTTGACCTCCATGAGGCACATGGCGCCAAGATGGTGCCTTTCGCCGGCTTCTCCATGCCGCTCCAGTATGCCGACCTGAGCCATGTGGAAAGCCACATGTGGACTCGCGAGAAGGCCAGTCTGTTTGATGTCAGCCACATGTAAGTTGGAAATATCTCTATCTACCCAATCGCTGAATTGCGCAAGCAACAGGCACTAACATGGTACCTCTTCCAGGGTGCAGCACAACCTGAGCGGACCCGGCGCTCTCGAATTCCTTATGAAGGTGACCCCATCCTCCCTGGATAAGCTGGCACCCAACACCTCAACTCTCTCTTGCCTCCTGGAGGAAGGTACCGGTGGAATCCTCGATGATACTGTCATCACCCGTCGCAGCGAAGACACCTTCTACTTCGTCACCAACGCTGGCCGTCGTGCCGAGGATCTTGCCTTCCTGCAAGCCGAGATCGAGGCTTTCCGTGCTAAGAACGGCGCCGACAGCCTCAAGTGGGATATCCTTGAGGACCGTGCATTGGTCGCGCTTCAGGGCCCTCTCGCCGTTAACGTCCTGCAGTCTCTCATCAACACTTCTGCATCGACCGCCGACACCGACCTGAACACTCTGTATTTCGGCAACTGCCGCGAGCTGTACATCACCCTCCCCGACGGCAGCGCCTCTCCCGAGCCCCTGCTTATCTCCCGCACTGGCTACACCGGTGAAGATGGCTTCGAGATCTCGATCCCCACCTCCGCTTCCCAAACTCTGCCCCAGCAGGTAGTCGAGCTCCTCCTCACCGACAAGAACACCGTCCGTCTTGCCGGTCTGGCTGCTCGTGACTCCCTGCGTCTCGAGGCTGGCATGTGTCTCTACGGACACGACATCTCTACCGCCCAGACTCCCCCCGACGCTGCCCTCGGCTGGGTCGTTGGCCGAGAGCGTCGCGACCCCGCTACTGCCACTTTCCACGGTGCCTCCGTGATCCTGTCCCAGCTCGCCAGCCCCAAGACTCTCAAGCAGCGCCGTGTTGGCCTCACCGTCGAGAAGGGCTCCCCTGCCCGTGAGGGCGCCAAGGTCGTTGATATCTCTGACCCCGCCAACCCCGTCGAGGTTGGTGTTGTCACCTCCGGCCTGCCTAGCCCTACCCTGGGCGGTACCAACATTGCCATGGCGTATGTCAAGAACGGTTTGCATAAGAAGGGCACCGAGCTGGGTGTCCAGGTTCGGAATAAGGTGCGCAAGGCTACCGTTGTCGGTATGCCTTGGATTGAGAGCAAGTTCCACCGTCCTTCTTAGATTCCTGTCCGTTGATTTCCTTTCATGACGCTATATATGTTCAACTTTTCCTTTAAATAAGAAGCGATTGGGTTTTCTGTGTGGTTGCACTTGTATATAACGTTCTTCAAAGCAGCCTTGTTTTTTATATTTGCTTTTCCGAGATTATGTTCTACTTCAACAGTATAGAGACATTATACAAAATACCATTAACATGCAAATATACCCTTAGTACCTACTAGTAGTATGCCCAGGTGAGCTACTAGTATTTCACGATTTTCTCAGACTGTCACTCCGCAGGGTTATCATGATCCTGAGTGTCAGCGATGAATTTCCCCAGATTGCCCCGTTTCATAAGCAAATATGACAAACCTGTCCTGTATTTCTGCCACAACCCTCCAGACCCTAATTGTAGCAGTCGATTAAATCTAGAGTAGGATCTTATCTTCTCGCCTTCCTCTTCAGTCTCCACTTTTTCACCAGAGTCCAGCCCCCATATCTTCCAGACACCAGTATGCCCCGACCCACTCGGCCATGAATTCTGGCCCCAGGCAAACAATATCCAGGCAGAGGCTAGATCGCGGGACATCTTGCGCTCAGAGTCCTCGGGCTTATTATCGAGGCTCATGAAAAGATACAAAAAGTCCGGTCCATAATACACTTTACCTTGTAGGATATTTGGTAATTGGGAGCGCTGGTCGAAATCGTATTTGAATAGCCGATTCTAAAGCTGACTGTTAAAAATCGCAGTCTGATAGTTCTGGACCTTGAAAACGGCTTGCTCACCCATTCACATGTTCTGTCTATCAACTCTTGACTCGATAGATCAGGCGTAATTCCGTATTCCCCGAGGACGATGTCAACGAAAGTGGCATCTTGGACTTGGGTGAGAAGAGTTTCTCGTGTTGTTTCATATGTATCTTTGAGAATGTTGATCTCAAAGATCAATCCTTCATCATGAACATCGTCGAAAGGAATTAGTTCAGCCATGGGGGTGTCTGAATAACATCTTGCGGATCACGCGTATGAAACCATCCATCGAAACAAGGATAGCCAGTTCCAGAAGGCACGCCCTGAATAATAGGATCCGCATTAGCCAGAGTCTGCTCGCTTATCTTCCTCAATTGGTCCATTGCATCCGGACGTTGTCCATCAATCGAGAAAAACCGACAACTAGACATGAATATCCCCACTGGCAGCCTTTGAAGTTCGATACAACTGCTTCTCGGGAATTCAAATTTGGATCTTAGTACCAGTGGAGGACGTGGGCAGTTGCATTTTAGATGTTATGTTTTGCCCGTTGTCCATTTTCCAATATTACTACTAGTACTGCATGATTTCAGGGTCCAAAAACGAGTATGTTGAGTAACGTACATGACATTCTCAGATATTGAATAGACTGCTGTTTGATCGGAGATAAATCCAAGATTGTAAAAGCTCCGATGCATGCAACCCTACCGGTGGCTACCTTGTGCCTTTCTAGGTATTGTCTGCAAGCGATTTCTATACCTAGGCATATTTTATTCAATTTTCAAATGTTTCGGGTATTCTGGTAACCCCCTTTGCAAAATCACGAGGTGCTTTCCCGGATAAATGCCACGAGTGCCTCTCTGCCGTCATGCTTCATCGGACATTCGGTATGCATGGCCCCAGGAATTTCTTTTCTAGTGATATCTAGCCCAAGCTCCTGACCTCGCTTTTCCAATTTTCCTGCCACGTACGGTGGAATGACTTCATCATTCTCTGCCGAGATAATGAATATTGGAGGAACAGATGGCGATTGGGACCTAGCGAGGTGATTTGGGTCATTGGTTTGGATTTCTTTCGCGTTCCGGGCTTTCCACGCGGCGAGATCTTCAAGGGCCGTGGCAGTGCACCATGTATTCCAGGAAAATGGCCAGAGGTAGCGATAAGGAAGCCATTTTTGAGGATACAAGCTGATCAACATGTCCTTGATGCTGGAGATTGGAGCCTCCATGATGAGCCCAGAAATAGGAGGTAATACTTTATCATTTGCTGCTTGCGTAGTACCTTGAGCAGTAATATATTTGGACAGAACCGAGCTGGCCACTGCAGATCCGAGGCTATGCCCCCATAGCACGATCTGAAGGTCGGTATCTGGCGATGTGTAGTAAGTCGAAACCCAGTTCAAGAAAGCTTGAGCGTCACGTTCAATTCCCGATTGGGTTGCACGGCCGGACGATGTCCAGTACCCACGATAAGAGAGGGCGACTAGAGTAAATCCGGGCTCGACATTTGAGTCTGCAAATTTCGATTTATGTGCAAGCGTTCTCACCACCTGAGAAAGAAGAGGTAGTCGAAGGGGTGTCGATCCACCATTTCCTTGAAAATAACAGATTATAATGGATTTCTTCCTTTTTGACTCCATGTGGTTCCGATCCTTTTGGGCGGGGATTCGCCCTTCACAAATTGATAGATTTGTTCCATCAAGACTTTGAATGCGCTTTTCTTCCCACTGCACAGGTTTGCATTCTGGCAGATAATCCTCAATCTTATCGGATCGAGAGAATGGGGGAAGCCAAGAGAGATATAAGAGCTTGTTCTGCATGACAATGATCCAGAAACACTTCCATGTCCAGAGGCCTAATAGGAGGCCAATGAAAATTGCCGGTGGGAGCAGAGCTGGAGGGATGGCCTCGGTGAAAATGGAACGAGAATATTTGGCTTTCTCTGAGTTCGTGTTCAATATCTTCAGGTCTAGACATTTTCGTTTTCTTGCTCGTGTGTGGAGAGAGTTATGGAGCATTTTCACCCGTGGCTGGATTGGCCTGCTCGTCCACAAGCCGAATGGGTGGCGTCCAAGACGCCGTGAATTCAACCTTCCCAGCATCAAGGCAGCCAATTTTGTATCCCCCCTTGAAACATTTGGCAAATTCGATGCCAAAGTTGCCAAACAAAACCTGAAGGATGAAGCGCGTTCAACTTATCGTGGATGTCGAGGAAAAAGACAGATGACTCAGCGATCACATGAGGTCTATTTGAATTCATCTTGAAACTTAGGAAGTTCCCACTCTATTTTTCTCGATAATCTAGCATCCTTTACCATATATACCGGATAATATCTGACAATTCTTAGCTTTCTCTTTCCATTCTAGTGCTCACCCTCTCGCCACTTTTGCTCCCTGAGTAGAATGAGCACGCCCCTGACGGCCTGAGCTGATCAGTGATCCTAATGTAAGTAAACTAATCACTCACTGAGCCTAATTAAAGCACCCTAATTTGCTTAGTGAGCCTGCCCTGAGTACCATGATCTGATCACTGATCCTGATCTGATGAATTAATCGTAGGTTGCTTACTAAGCTTTTGCACGGGGACCTTCTTAAGATAATGAAGCATCTGGATTGAGCGCGTCGCTCACGGAGGGGCCTCCCATAATTCTGAATTCCGCATTTCTCTAAGAATCGAATCTGTACAAGGGGCAATTGCAGAAAAATCATGTGGTAAACCCAATATTCAATGAAGCCCAGGAAGGCGTTCCATAGGTTTCCGTAGTGACCGGTCCTCCCCGTGCTATATTACTTGTCATTCGGTTTCTCGTGTCGACCCCCTCCCTATAATCATGTATATGCTTGCTGACTACCTAATGCAGCACCCCGAGAGATAGACTCTGCGTATGCCAATATATTGCATAATCATCTGGTCATTATCTCCACAAGCCTCTGGGATAAATGTAAAAGAAAAGAATGCATGAAAGATGCATCCCCTTGGATGTCATCCGAAGCGTACCGGTCATACCTGCCGTTGATCCTATTTCACCTAAATGGAGCGGTGCCTACAAGGCAGATTTCCAGACTTCTTTTGTGGTAAAGAATCATCCATGTCTGATCAAAGGGTTGTGTCTTCGTATGGCTTCAACCCAAGATATTTCCACATCCCAGCACTGTCTAGCTCCTCCTGCCGACTCTTGAAAGACATGGTGAGCTCACTTGCTCCATCGCCCAGCCAGAAGAGCAATTGATTCTATTATCCGTCAGCGATGATCCACGAATAGCAAAGTAAACGTACCAATCCTAACGGCACCTTGGTCATGCCCTCCCACCAGCGCGGGTGATACTCTATCTGGGCTTTCTAGCCGATGGACCGGACAATATTATCGGAAACCACCTGGGCTTGTTCGGTAGCCCCCACGTGCATTGCGCAAGCCCTCGGACTGAATCACATCGCCCGCGGCGTATATATTGTTGAAGGCAGGATTTTCGATCTGTAGTGTTGAGCGAACCCTGATGTGACCCGACTCAGAGACAGATGTCCGGGATAGATTGTCTATCAATGCAGATTTGGGATGTTTGCCGACGCAATTCACCCATAATGACATTTACATTTGTGGATAGAAAAGCAGGGGAAAGGGGGCTTTGCCAGATAGTCGCATAGGATCACTCCCCCAGATCCCAATCGGATAGATTGGGTCTGCTCTACATCTAGCGTCGCCCTCTCTCCGAGACGGATGTTCCCTCCCAATGTCCTCAGCTCCCTCAAAGCAATCTGGCCCACTTGATCGCCATATTAACATTCAGCAGTCGTTGTCGTCAATGTATCAAAGTAACATTTTTCTCCGGATATCGCGCCTTCGCATCAGCTGCGAGCTCAACCCCAGTGCCCCCCCCCCGCGGGACTTAGTTTTACAGTTCTTGCACGTTTACACATTCGCAACATTTTCTTCGGAAATAACCAGAAGATTCCAACTCGGCAACATTAGGATGGAGCTTAAAAGGGATAGTCAGTCATTGAATCACCGTAACCGGCCGAGCAAAGTAAGGGCCAAGCTCTCCGCCATAACGCGGACCTTGCAGCATGGTTCTTCCGTCTCGACCTCTTCCACCCCGATTTGTGCCTCCAAGAGCTCCTTCTCTAGCTGCTGTAGCTCCACGACCTCGTCGTCCTCGTCCGTTTCCTCCCCTGTTGGCTCTGTTCCATGAGCCGTCGGATCCACGTATTCACAGACGTGTGAGTCGATGACGACGCGCTGGACGGAGTTGTCTCGAATGAAGCGGTTGATACATCGCTCTCAACCACCTCCAGCCGTGTCTCCCATGTGGATATGTCCGTGTCTGGCGCGGTGATCCGTAGGAAGTTGGTCAGCCCACCAACTACCTGAAGGGAGTTTAGGGGTTCTTCTTCTTTTTTTTGTTGGTTTTGCTGTTTTTGTTCTGCATGTTGTTGATGGTGTTGCTGTTCCCTTTCCTCGGGTGCCATCTCGACGGGGGGGGCCTTGAATGCGCACGAAAGAGTATTGTAGTAAGGTTTTGTCCTCTTCCCATTCACTTTTAGGATCTCGTCGATCTACAAGAACCACCCAACCCCCGCGTGGGACCTCTCCCAGCTGGACACTGGAGGGGCTGTTGAGATCCGGCTCGGGGTCAAAGTAGCCCAAGGGGATGGGACGTACGCCCAATTCATCTGCCGCTGATGATGCCGTTCTAATTGACCGGGGTGGCCTGTGGGGGCTCCTGTCACGAACGGGAGGGACCAACCACTGCCCCCAGTTATAGGCGAATCGTAAGATCGCCTTGTCAGGTTGCATTTCTGGGCCCAGGGCTCGAAGGTATCCGAGGAATCGGATGGCGAAGTCCCCCCGCGGTTAACATGGTATTTTCCATAGAGTAGTAGCTAGTATATCCAGTGCTGGAACCGTTCGTGCTGTCAAACATGAAGAGGTGTATCGTAGGAAAGACCGTGGGAGTGGATGAGGTGTGACTGGAACTATTCGTCGGGAACGAAGAAAGATCTTCGCGACTGCGTAAACCAGTTAGGAAGGCGGAGGTCGAATAGATGGTCTTCGACTTCATGGTGTGGTTGGAGTCATTCTCCCATTGTTTTAGTATTTGTGAGTGGAAGCGAGCTGATATATCGTCTTTCGTACGGTCCAGCCGATGTACAAGGCAGACTTGTTTAAGGTATGACAACTGTGCCAGGGCTGCTGCAAGATCACCGAAGCCCGACTCTGCGAATCGGGGCTGGTCAACACAGATACTCAGTGCAGACGCAGCCCGAAGCTCATCTGATCTTATAGCAGCGGTAATTATATAAGGCGATAGGTTAAATACCACCCAGTTGAGGTGCTGACAAGCCGCATATGCAACACGCAGGATCTGGCTGGAAAACATAAAGGGGCCAAGCCTGTAGGGTTCCTCTTCAAGTCTCTGCTGCAGTCTCCAACGGAACTGGGATATGAGTTGAATGTTAACCACAGACTTTTCTCTCTTCCGGAGGGGTCCGGGGGTGGGTTCCTGGGTGAAATCGAGCAGATCGTCAATCGCACGGTCGATGTCTGCTGGGACTGGTGGTGGTGGCTCAGTCAGTGTGGTCCTGCTAGAGGATGGTGTTGATGTCTCTTTTGTATCAGGCGGCCGGTCGTCTGTTATAGTGTAGCCGACCATATAGTCTGGCGGCTTGACAGTAGACTTAGGAGGTCGAATGTCTGCTAGGGCGATTAGCAGATGCGATGGATAGGATGGAGTCACTGACAGTTCCTGATGCTCGAGAGAACCCGTTTAGAAAGAGACGGACCAGGAGGAACCACCTCTGGCGGGACTAACTCTAATGGCCATATATCTATCATTTCCCTATTAGCACAGGTAACATCGTGCGGATTCCCCTGAGGTACGTACAATCCAAGGAGGTCGCACCCGCTAGCGGCCTCAGCTCCAGTTGTTCGACGATTGGTAGCAGCTTCAGATCCGACCAGTGGTAATACTCCCCTATCCACTGAACAATCGATAGCAGCTCTCGAGGCCGCGGAAATTCCAGGACCACATCCGGCTCCTGGGCTGGTGGAGGGTCTTCGACAGGATCCCACCCCCCCCGTGTCGCTGTGCCACGAAAGCTGGGCCATGTAGCGCATGTTAAACGCCGCAATTCCATACTTAACACCGCTATTTAGATCAGAGATATCTAGCACGATGAGACCATACTCTTTGCAGTCGCCCCGAAATAACGTGGACAGCGGCTGGAACTGGACGTCGCCGATGCGGGTCCAGTATCTGTGGTCGCCCCGTTGCAACGCCAGTAGTACGCACGTCGCAGTGAAGGGAAACGTGCGGACTGCCTCATCCTGCCATGGCAGTGCTGTTAGTGGTTCCACGCGCAGCCGACGCTTTCTCGGGGGCACATAAAGGGGCTGCGGGCGATCAGGCACACTGGGTCGCTCATTAATAGGAGGCTCATGAGAGCGACGATACCAGTCCTCCGCGATCGCCTTCTCCGCCTCAAGCGGAGCGCGGTTGGCATGATCTGAGAGAATCGCGATCAGCGCGAGGGTGTCGGCCACCATGTGCTCCACTCGTGTCCCTGATCCTCTTGCGTTATATTTCTCAGGGTGCTGGCGGTAGGCCACGGAGAGGGTGCGACTGGCGCTGCCAGGGCCGACATTGGCTACCACCGCAAAGAGGTAGGAACGCTGGATCTTATAGTCAACACTGATATAGCCCGAATTCATTGTGTTAGAGCCGTTAGGGATAACGAAATAGTGTTCGTCCAGGAGCGAAGAGCAAAAGAGGGGCTAGTCTTGGCCAAGAAACTAGCAACAACCAAGTTTTTACATTAGCCACTATCAGGCAACATTTTAGGGACCTATGATAGCTGACGTCTGATCAGGGTAAATGATTAGATAGTGGTTCTGATGATGATATCGATGATAACTCTTAAATTTATCAATATAGTGTAGGACTTTAAACAGATGATCTAAATAGTCTGTATAGGGCTTTAGTTAGTTTGAATAGTTGTTTATAGATCTTTGTAATATCTCAGGAGGATTATTTAATAATACCTGATTATCCTGTGATATTACTAGGCGGGATTCTGTATATTTTTTGTATATGAGTTGTAGGAGTGTACTATGGAAATAATCCAAGATAGGGTTAGTATTGACTACTTGGTTAATATCTACTAGTTTGAAGTAGGCGCAATACAGCTGGTGTCCGGTGAATATTGCAGATAAAGTATGATCTGCTATTGTTAAGATATTACGATGAGAGAAGAGAAATGAATGAAAGATATACTTAAAAGATAAGGTTTTTGCGGGAGAGATAAAAAAAAGAAGAGATGGGAATGGGAGAGAGTTGTACGAAGTATAGAGAGAGAAAGTGTTGAGCGGGTATGTATATTGAGGTATCCTTTGTTTATATTCACTTGTACTTTTTATCTCTTTTATTTAGGTCTAGTAAGTAGAGGGAGTAATTACTAATTCCTATAGCCTGTATTTATCAAGTGTAGATGAATACTACATAATGAAAGATGGGAATGCTCGCTGGCTGTCTGTCAAGCAGACGGGTCGATCACAAGAGGACAAAACCACCACACTCCCAGGGTGCAGGAGAGTAGCAGACGAAACGTGACGCTATAGAGGGACGATGGAACGTATAACAGAACCTTTCATAAGCAGTATATCAATACCGCAACCTCAGCAGCCTCAGTAGAACATTTCATAAGGGGGAACATGCGTAGTTGTTATTGACGCTATCGAACGAACGCTACTTAACCTCACAAAACAAAACGATGGCCTTGTTGCTAAAGCCTCAATCACATAACTCCAGGATGCCGATGTTGAGAGCGGAAATCCCCATTACAATATTTTGTGTGTTATAGAAGTCAAAAAATATTAAGTGCTGTATATAGTAACAATTAAAACTAGGGCTATAGTTCACAACCAATAGAAGCTCGTGAACTAGACCCACCATGGGTAGAAATTTTGTACCCACGCTGCAATGAGATAGTCAGCATTGGTACTCTGCTAGTTTCAGCAATTGAGTGTATTACTGCAGATAGCTTTATTCTATCTCCCTACTTTATCTTTGAAGACATCATTCATATAGAGCGATAGTACGATTCATATATTTCTAATAAATATCATATGGCCTTCTCACCTGAAGAATATTCTACAAATCTTATTAGATTTGACTAGATTCAACACTTTGACTCGGTAATCTAGTAGCAGCTCTAGCGGAGTCCACAACCCTCAAACAACTCTTGTTCGTACAGGAACCGGACAGGAACGGCTCCAATGCCTCCGCTCGTTTCTACACATAGCTGCTGTTACAGAAGAGATCATCAGGAGACTTGGAGTAACTCCGCGACAAATCCATCTATCCAACTTACGCCTTTTCGAACCCCTGACGCAACCACAAATTTGCATCGCCCTCAACTACTAGTGTCACTTTGACTTCCTCCGTCATCCAAGTCTTTCCCGTGATGCACATATTCACGTGTTTGGGTTATCAATACAAAGATGTCACCGAGACAGACCACCAGAACCGTCACTACTATGACATAGACAACAAAATCATGATGTCTTTCACCAAGCATGCGGCTTCGCTGCCGGGTCTTTTGGCACAGGTGCCGTTATTCAACAGGGAAAGGAAGATCAGAGACCTAGAGGCCCAGCTTTGTCGTCAAGCCTCGGTCATTCGACCGATTAACATTCAACAAGCTCAACAATGGGCTCATTGGGCTCCCAAGCACGAGGCGAGCCTGACCATAATTTCTGGCAGCCACAGTGGTCATTGCCTACAGCCCGGCGTTGTTGCAATGGACATGACCGCCTTGGACGATATAGCTATCACTGCATTTAACAACCTAGGAAAAAGTATCTGATACCGGCAGCGGCTTCCTGGTCGTTTTTGAAGCTGGATGCCAGACAGGAGAGATAATTCGCAACACCTTAACATGAGACTTGACAGTGCCCTTTGGATCCGGTCCGAGTGTGGATGCAAGGCTGTGGCTCTAGGATGGAATCGACCACATCTCGAGAATGTATGGACTTACTTCCGACGCCATTGTCGGTGCTATGATGGTCGAGGTTTGTTCCGGCCAGATTTTGGTGGGTTGGCCATTTTCCGCCAGGAAACAGTCCAGCTGATTCCACACAGCCACCGAACGAAGAGAATATCTTCTGGGCAATCAAGGGTGCTGGCACTAACTTCGGGATCGTGATCAGCGTCACTTTCAAGGCCCAGACGGCCCCAGCCTTCAAGACTAAACCCAAGATTTCGCCCTTTGACGACAGAATCGCAGCACAATGCAAGCTTCGTGGATTTGCCGCAATAGAGCTACCTCACGAGATTTCTACAGATGCATATCTGTACTGGGATGACGGTAAGCTACACATTGGCGAGATATCATTCGAATGCTATCCAGCTAGGCTGACCTTCGAAAGGGCATCTCGGCCTAGTAAGACGGTGCCCATCAATGCAGCTCCGAAGCTTGACAGCGATTCCATCGGTTCTGAATCTACTCTCGTGTATAACGTCGGTTTGTTCCAAAGCGAGCTGTACATGTCTGTAATGCACGGCGGGCATGGCGGCGAGAATACTTACTCATTCAAGCGATGTGTTTTTCTAAAGGATATCGGGGACCCTATCGTGGCTACTGCTTTGATAGAAGCAATCGAGACCCGTCCAACACCTCAATACTATCTCCATCTGCTTCACGGTGGTGGTGCGGTGGGCGACATTGGTGTCACTGCCACTGCTTTTGGATGTCGAGACTGGAATTTTGCATGTGTCCTAACCGGTATCTGGAACCGAAATGAGGATCAGACGGGCATTTCTCGAGTCGCTGAAGAGTGGATATACCAGGTCGTTGAGAGTTTCCTGCCATTAAGTAGCGGATTTTATGCTGCAGACCTTGGTTTAGACCCCAGAGACGCTTTACTTGCAGCGCACGCATTTGGTCCAAATCAGGAACGACTGCTTGATCTGGAGAAGACCTGGGATCCTCACAATATTCTTCCATATTCTTGTCCATTCATTACCAAGGGGCCACAGGTAATTTTCATGACTACGGGCAAAAGCGGCGCTGGAAAAGGCTTTTGTGCTATAATCTGGGCTTCTCCCTCTGTGCTTTATCCTGATCGAGTTATTTTCACAAGAGTTATCAGTGCCAGCGAGGTTATCAAGAAGGAATACGCGGAGGCCACTGGGGCTGATCTAACTCGTTTGCTTCATGACCGCGCCTACAAAGAACATCACCGATCAGCTTTGTCGGAGTTTTTCAAAGCTCAGAAGCAAAGTCGTGCTGGTCTATCAGAAGAGCATTTTCCGCGCGTAGTCGCTAGCGTAAGTGATGTGGATGTCTTATTCATCACCGGGATGAGAGATGAGGCACCAGTTGCCACCTTCTCGCTTTCAGTGCCAGACAGTAGAAACTTTGAAAGTCGGGTCGAAGCCAGCAGAGAAGCAAGAAATTCCCGTTCAGACTGTCAGGGCGAAGAAGACCAGATTTCAAACCAAACAAACGTGCGCGACCGCCCATGTCTGATTTTGGACAACGAGAGGGCCGGGGCAGAGCAGCGGAACTATTTGCCCAAGATTGCTTATTTCGCAGATTTGATAAACGGCTTCAGCAACTGCAAGGTGTGGTGCCTCTTGTTCCCGATTTTCCACGCTCAGGGATCCAATTTCGTCACGTACTCGACATTGCTCAGCAGATAGGTGGACTTCCTTTGTGTGTATCGCTGCTGCTTGACCAACGTCGTCATGAGTGGTTGAATGGCAACGGAGATGTGACATTCTGTGAGACTGGAGGTTTCATTTTTGCTTCAGCATTCGCTGCAAAATATAACGTTCGTTCGGCTTTGATCCGCGAAGGTGGGAAGTTGCCTCCGCCCACCATTTCGGTTCCGAAGCCAGTCGCATATCTTGTCGTCGTCTATTTCTTCCCAAGATCGGCCGAGATAGTATTCGCAGTAAATTTTCCGTCCTAGTAATTGATGATGTGCTAGCTACGGGAAGAACTCTTTGTGCAGTTCTGTAACTGCTGGAGAAGGCCGGCGTCAGCGACGAGAACATTTGGGTTATGGTCGTAGCTGAGTTCCCTTTGCACCGAGGCCGAGAACTTTCATGCAAAAGTGGATTCGGAAACATTCCTATACAAAGCCTTCTGGTTTTTGATGGTGATTAAATAGTCAGTTAGTGGCACATGTTTCACTCTGACCCGAAGCTCAATTTTTTGAAAATTCTACTGCATGAGTCTGCATTTCTGGCCCTTCGACTATCCATCAATAGACCGTACATTCCAAGTATAATAGCAAATCCTCACGTCTGCTTATGCTTAACGGACCGCCATTCAACCAAAAGACTCCCCACAATCGTCGCACAGCCCAACGCAACAGGAAGATACCAAGTACTCGTTAAGCTCCGATCAATAGCGCTCAAAACCTCATTCAAGCGCTGCACCGGAACACCATTGATGATATCGCCAAGTCCACGTTCTTCAATATACGCAGGTGTCAATCCAGGCACAATATTCTCCATCCTTGACGAGAGCTGATTCGTAAATATTACTTGCGCAATGGCAATAAACACTGCGGGTCCCATACTCTGCCCGAACAAAATTACTCCGATCCCAAGGTTGACGTCTGCGGGAGGTAACATTGTCTGAACGGCTGATTGGGGACCCTGGAAGCCTATCCCTCCTCCAAATCCGACTAGGCCGGAATATAATATTATTTGAGTCAGTGATGTGTCGAGGCTGTAGGTTGTCATTAAGCCTGCTGCAATCGGCATGCATATGGAGGCAAATATCATGAAGGGGGCGTAGTACCCGAATGTACTCGTTCCGATTCCCTGTAGAAAGAGTCCTAGCATCATTCCGGCGAGGATGGGGATCATCAAATATCCACTTTCGCTTGGGGTCTGGAAGAATTAGTTATAGCGGTGATATGATTAACGTTTCTATTTACGTCGCAAGTTGGCAACGAGGTGTCTTACCCGTGATCGGACAACTTGATAGTATGTCGGCAAGTACCACTCCAGCACGTTCGTCATTGAATTAGTGCACGTCACGAATATGAATCCCGCAATAACACTTCTGTTCTTGATAACGCGGAAAGGAAGTGCCGCGGAGTCGCCGCGTCGGTATTGATTGTAAACGAAAGCGCCGAGGAGCAAGGCAAATACAAGAAATAAACCAATCACCCTCCCATCTGACCAGGGGTACTTTGTTCCTGCCCATGATAAAGCGACAAATAGTGCAGTGAGAGATGGTATGAATAAGCAATTACTGACGAGGTCCAACTCTCTGATCTTCTGGGCCATTGTTAAGTCGTTCTCTGGCTGGGCTCTTGGATCCGAGAAGAGGAAAAGCAATGTCGCCAGCGATACGCCACCAATTGGGAGATTGATCCTACACACATGTCAGTGATTAATCGGAGCTATATCTCTATTCTATGATGGGGAGAGCATACCAGAAACACCATCTCCACCCTAGCGACTGCGTCAATGCACCGCCTACTATAGGCGCCGAGATGATAGCGACAGACTCCACACACGCCATCAAGCCCATCAACATTGGTCGCTTATTGAGTGGAACTATATGTATAGCAATGGCAAAGCACCCTGCCAATTCACCCGAGAACCCCAGACCAGTCACAGCTCTTCCGACAATGAACATTGAGGACGAAGCAGCTGTAGCGCAAAGTAAAGATCCGATGAGAAATATGACATTGCTAATCAAGAAGATCGTCTTGATTGAGAAGTGCTTATATAGTTTCGCGAATCCGAACTGGAATGCACAGGTGCAAAGTCGAAATGCAGATGAGTACCATCCCACATCAGCGACGGTGTGGAAATGGTTCGTGATGCTCGGAACGGCCGTAGCGACGATATTGGCGTCTAGGCCTCCGAGGATGAGGACCATACATAATGTCAATATCGTAAACCAGAATTTCGATCCTTTTGGGTAGTTAGGCGTTACTATCTCCGGGATTGATTCGATGTTCAGAGATGCAGTTGGTTGTGCCGAGGTTGTCGTCGGGGATTGCCGTGAGTCGGGCGAAACGGCGAAAGATAAATGCTCGAACTCGATAGGAGACGTTTCTGTTAATATTGTAGTAGCCATATTATGACTCTGTCGCTAGGAAACATGAAGAACTTGAAAGAAAGGAGGGGACTCACGACTTGTCGTGAGAGATGTGGGGTAGCTCGTGCTGTTCGCTGATGCTGATGCCGAGCCCGAGCCGAGAAACCTGTTATGGCACTACTAGTAATGCGTAAAAAAAGGTGCATAGTTGAAAAATGCGTTCATGCTATCTCTATACCAAATTTAATTTATATTGAATGAACTAAGTGCATCCATCCCAGATGCGTCCCTAATGATAACACCCGCTTTCCACCAAGGAGTGTTAACAATGCCATGCCATTCCTATGCCCGAACACCCAATGCAGCAAGAAAAAGTTTGGAATCGCAGGACTGCGACTGCAAAACAAAAGAAAAAAGAAACGCCTATGCTAAAATGCATGACATGCAAAAGAAAGGATAGCCGGAAGACGAGTGTGGATTGTTGTTGTTTTTCTCACAAATCCATATCGTCATCATCCCAGCCCAACTGTTCGTATATGGATTTTGATTGAGACTTCTCTGGCGTAACTGGCACAGTAGAAGCTCCCTTGACTGGTGTACTCGTAATGGCGGGGGGAGATGGTGCCCGAGTGCGTTTCGTGGAGAGAGTTTGAATGGGCATTTGAAATGGAACTGAACGAGAAGATATTAAGGGGGTGCTCTGTTTTCGCGGAGGCGTTTCCATGATTCCGCCCGAAGGGTGATTATTTGGAATTGAGTCGGCCATCAATGGTGATGATCCTGGGACGAATGACGGATTTGCACTTTGGTGTCGTGATGAAATTGGCGTTGACGGTGCCATTGGCTCTGCTGTGAGATCGCCGGCGGTGGAACGAGGTGCTGGGAGATTAGGCACCCGGAATAAGCCTTTGCCTCTGTTTGATTTTGAGAGTAGATCGTCCGGATCTGTTGCACCCGCACTCTTATCGCCGGCGAAGAAGAGTTTGGAAGAGGGTCGGGTGGGCGTTTCTTGTATAGAACCAAGTTCGGCCGATGGAGCGGGTCGCTTGATGCCACTGGTAGTTGTTGTGCGGCGGGAACTGAACAGGTTCGAATCGGGACCTGAGAATGAAGTGGCTCGTCGACTTGAAGAAGGTATCATCACAGGGGATTGTTCTAGTGATTGTTCCGGAATTTCACCCGCGAAGGAGCGAGACGACACGAGACTGCGAGGCAGTGGTGGCATACCGACTACTGCATCTCTCTTCCGATTTCCACGAGGTGTAGCCATGACCTGGACTCCCTCGCCGAATGGATTGCGAACAGGGTTCTTCGATTTGCGTGCGCTGCCACCGGTGGGAACTCTTTTAACGGCGTCCTCAGCAATATCCTTTGCCACAAGCTCACGGTTTGGTTTGCGTAGCGCATTGATGGCAGCATCGAGTTCCTTCTTTTGGTCAACAAGCATCTGCACCTTGCGCAATTTGGTCTCGTGTTGGCGTGCAGCAGCATTGAGATCAACTTCGCGGTTATCTCGACGTTTCGCCTGTTGAATGCCACCTCGGACGCTAGCGCTCAGGTGGTGAGGCAGAAGAGGCTCCATTGAGTCACGATTCAATTCTTGCTTCGACGGAGCCGTCTTCGATCGATGCAATGATGGGGGTCCATTCCGAGATGCAGCAGCCTTCTCATCTGTAAGTACCCGTTGCAAAGAGCGCCGAGGTTTCGGTGCTGGCTGTTGGCGCTTGACTTCTGCGCCAGCTTCCACGCGGCTTTTACTCGGAGCCTTCTTGGCAGCCGGGGAGATTCCACCAGAGACTCCGAATTTCCGTGTGATAAGCTTACACTTGTCAGGTAGACGTGATGCATAGAAAGGAATGATGACTTCGGTGCAAAAGTCGCGAACCGCATCACTCTCTACCTTCTTGCCGGACATGTGGTTCTCGCTAAAAGAGGATGCCTTGGCCGATTCCACGCCAGTAGACTCCTCCATACTAACAGCATGCCAGATGCACAGGCGGTCAAGATGTAATTCAAGAATCACGTTGAGGTCTTGTGCCTTTTTAGACTTTGTTTTCTTAGAAGCGTCCTTCTCTTCGCTGGCTGCTTCCGTCTCCCCATCTTGTGGCTTGCATTTAGCCTCGTTAGGTGCAGATTCCAAAGACAAGACCTCCAGAATGAGTAAAATCTGCAATTGCGTTTCCCGAAGTCGTAGATCAGAAATTTGCTTCTTTGTCTCTGCTTCTCGAGCTCCTTCATGTGTGGAGAATTCTGCTGTGCTGCGATCCTTCCACCATTTATGAATAAAGCTATCCTCTCCGGGATATAGGCCATTCTTGCTGAGCTTTTTCTTCTTGCTCTTTCGTTTCTTAGATGTCTCGTTATCAGATATGGCCAGCACCGCATCACGCATGGCAGCTGGAACAGCTTCTCGGAACTTCAAATCCATCTTCTTGGCGGCAAGGATAGCTTCTCGGTAAAAGTCTATAAGATCGGTAGGCGAGTGGGAAGCTTCGATAGTAGACGCTTGAAAGGCAGTTCGGCAGCGCGTGAGAGGGCCTTTCGCAAAGTAGGCCAGGGATGTCTGCAGACAGTGTCAGAAAGAAGATATCGATGTGTACATGCTAATGCCGCACTAACCTTGGAAATGTAAAGAGCCTGCAGATAGTGGTCTCTCATTCCTTCAAGCAGCTCGGCTGGTGTTTGCTTCGCTTCACCCTCGGTATGATCAACAGCACGGTCAACATCCATTGCCTCGGGATTTATCTGTGAATCCAAGGGCGTATAGAAGACATCGTCGGTATTAATACTCTGCGAGGGCTGCACAAGGGACTGGCCACGAGAGAAACTGCGAGACGCAATATCATCCACGAACGAAGATCCTTCGACAATCTCAGTCTCGGACTGGCCAAAGACCATATCAACCCTTAGCCCAGCAAACTCATCCCCCAGCCCTAGATCTGACAAGGGCTCCTCGATCTGAGCAGCCTGCCACCAATTAAGCGGGTCCGGAAGAGCGCAATCTTCACTCTCTCCATCAGACTCCATATCCATATCCATATCGATATCCTCGTTGCCCTGCCACCCCTTCGCCGCAACAACAATATCACCCTCATGGACCCACCTCACAAGCCTAGCCAACGAATAAATCCCCCCTCTTCACTCTCTCGACAACATAAATCGCTCCCCCATCCACCAACCGCACCACAAGGACCGTCTGTTCCGCGCCTGTCATTAAGCTTGGTCGGAGGTCATTTTCCAGCGCGGGGATATCAGCGACAAAAAGACCTCCGCCAGGTTGTACATCTGAGCGGCGTGAAGACGACGCGTCGTCAATCCAGGAAAGCGGGAATCGAGATCGGGGAAGAGCGACAATCGGGTCGAGAACTAGGGGATTGTCTGATAATGATGCTGCATGGGCCTATATATCACAAAAGACAACATACACGTTAGCCAATGACCTTTGCGAGAAGACAGCCCCGAGGGACGGAGACAATGCTGATATGACGGAACTTTCAATAGGACAGGGCACTCAAACTCACGCGAATAACGATCGATGTGGTGGCAAGCTGACCCGCAGAATTACCAGCACTATTAGGCACGAATTTCCGCTTCTTGCTCGGCGGTTGGACTGTCTCGTGGAGTTTGTTCAGTGTTGAGGAACTGAGGGGATCCAGGATGCCTGGGAGCGCGGGCGCGTGCGCAGTCATGACGGGTGGTCTCTAAGGGACAATATGGTGCATTGTGGTAAGTGTATTATGCCTGGAAGAAGAAAAGAGAAACGCTGTAATCAAAGGATGCAATGCTCATGCAAATTGGATTGTATGGAGTTTTGTGGTGGTGGAGGAGCGGAGTGCGGCGCGGGTCAGTTCAGATCAGATCTGGCGTCACGCGTCTTGGTCAATGCACACTTCTTCCCCGCCTTTGCAGTCAACCGCACGGGTCTTTTATTTGTACTACGTGGATTTCTGTAGGAACTTGGGCCTTGTGCTCTAAATTGAATAGAGTTGTGTTATGTTACACTCGGTGACTTAGCTTTACATCGGAGAGTTCTTTTTTTTCATAATTGTAAATTTAATCATTAATTTGCTAATGTTTAGATTAGCGACCTATCAGCCCGCAGAACCTCAAAAGGTGGTTAACACCATCTTTGACGTCCTGCGAGCCCAAAACCCCCCGAGAGTTCAAGCAAATAGAAATGAAAATGCAAGGCTAGCATGCAAAAGCATCATTACTTTCAGGTGAAAGGAAGGAGGTAGAGGGGGGGTCTGCTTCAAGGTAATATGTTGTTGAAGACTTTCGCTCCGGAAAAACGCCAAAACAATTCCGTCCCAGCCGATGAAAGTGTGGTATCATGTTGAATTTTGTCTTCGCCGTAAGGCCCGTCTCTTCAGGGCGACCATGCAGATAATGAAACAAGTGGTAGATTGATTCCAGATCAAAGAAACCAAGCTTTTATGAGGGTTTTGTTCTTTTTGTAAAGTTCTATGCACGTGCTTTGAGTTGTTGAAAACAAAGCAAACTCATCAAAGTCGTCAAAACGTCTCCGGGGTCACCGGAAGGAGAGATCCGTTTAGAACTTGAGGGCCTTAGGCTGCTCCCAGGTGAAGCTCTGGTTGGTGAAGTGACCGTTCTTGGCAGTCTGGGAGTAGATGGGCTTGGCCAGGTCCAGGTCCTTGACAATGACACCGGGGCGCAAGTCGAAGTTGTTGCGGATGATCTGGACCAGCTCCTCGGAGGTCTTGTTGGAGGTACCGTAGGTCTCGACGAAGAGGGAGAGGGGCTCAGCGACACCAATGGCGTATGAGAGCTGGACAAGGGCACGGCGGGCAAGGCCGGCGTTGACGAGGGACTTGGCGATCCAGCGAGCAACGTAGGCAGCGGAACGATCGACCTTGGAGTAGTCCTTTCCGGAGAAAGCACCACCACCGTGGGCACCCCAACCACCGTAGGTGTCGACGATGATCTTACGGCCAGTCAGACCGGCGTCACCCTGGGGACCACCGATGACGAAGCGGCCAGAGGGCTGCATGTGGTAGACGGTGCGGTCATCGAGCAGGTTGGCGGGGATGACCTTCTTGACGATCTTCTCCTTGAGAACAGCACGGAGCTCCTCAGTGGAGACATCATCAGAGTGCTGGGCGGAGATGACAACGGTGTCGACGCGCAGGGGCTTGACGGCACCACCATCGTGGGCGTACTCAATGGTGACCTGGGTCTTGGTATCGGGCAGCAACCAGGGGATGGAGCCGTCGTTACGGGCAGCCTTCATGGCGGCGTTGAGCTTGTGGGAGTACAGGATGGTGAGGGGGAGGAGCTCAGGGGACTCGTCGGTGGCATAACCGAACATGATACCCTGGTCACCGGCACCGAGCTTCTCAAGAGCCTCCTCGTAGTGAAGACCCTGAGCGATATCGGGGGACTGTTGCTCAATGGCAACCAAGACGTTGCAAGTCTTGTAGTCGAAGCCCTTCTCGGAGGCATCGTAACCGATGTCCTTGATAGCGCCACGGATAATCTTCTGGTAGTCCAGGTTGGCCTTGGTGGTGATCTCACCGAAGACCATAATCATACCTGCAATATGACATGTCAGATTGAGAAAATACGAGAGTCAGACGAAATTGTAATTGCACCTACCAGTCTTGGTGGCGGTCTCGCAAGCAACCTTGGAGAGGGGGTCCTCAGCCAGGCAGGCATCGAGGATAGCATCGGAGACCTGATCGCTATATTGCAGAAAGTATTGATTAGCATGCGAAAGAGGGGGTGAAAAGCCAGAAAGGAGGGGAAGAGGATCAATTCTCAGGGGCAAAATGCAGCATGACCGGAAGAACCTGAGGGGGGGGGAAAACAGAAAAAACTCACGCAATCTTATCGGGGTGACCCTCACCGACGGACTCGGAGGTGAAGAGGAAAGTAGGCTGGGAGCCGTTGGCAAGAGAACCCATTTTGAATGATGTGAATTGACTTGGGGGGGAAAGTCTAGGATATGAAGAAGAAAGAGAAAGAGAAAGAGAAAGAGAGGATGAGGGAGAAGGGAAAGGGAGAAGAAGAGGGGGAAAAGTGGTGGGGTTTTTCTTTTTCGGGACCCAGCAAAAACGTGAGTACAGGCAAGGTACCGGGTTGGCCAGCAGACGGGCCGGCAAAAAGTGGGTACTCTTTGTGTACCGCCCAGGCTGATCTCTTCATGCACCACATCTGCACCACTTGACACCGCCTACCAATTTGATCCAAATAAGTAAGATTGATCGCGGGCTGCAGGGGGGGCCGGATGGCGCAATTCTGGGCGGTGAGCACTAAACCGGCAGATTCATGTGGGACTGTCATGTGGTTTGCACTGTTTGCACTTGTCAATTCGGCAGCGGTGACCCTCCACATGTACCGTGACCTCCCATTCTGCCCAAAGGTAAGGCTGACCGCCCCCGATAAGATCAGTCCGATAACACAAATTCAGTCGGGGAGCTATCCTACGGTAACTGCATTCTTGAATAGCTCAACTCCCCCCTCAACCTCCTCCTCACACCAACTATGTCCAAATTCGGTGTTCTGGTCATGGGCCCCGCTGGGGCCGGCAAGACCACTTTCAGTAATTCTCTCATTCAACACCTGCAAAGCACCCGTCGCAGTTGCTTCTATGTCAACCTCGACCCCGCCGCCGAGAACTTCGCCTACCAACCCGATCTCGACATCCGGGAGTTGATCACCCTAGAAGATGTCATGGAAGAGTTGGGTCTAGGCCCGAACGGGGGATTGATCTACTGCTTCGAATTCCTCCTCCAAAATCTTGAGTTCCTCTCCGAAGCTCTCGACCCATTAAGCGAAGAATACCTCATTATCTTCGACATGCCCGGTCAAATCGAACTATACACACACGTTCCTCTCCTCCCATCTTTAACGCAATTCCTCTCCCGCCAGGGTCCTCTCAATATCAACCTCTGCGCTGCATATCTCCTCGAAAGCACATTTGTCATCGACAAGGCGAAATTTTTCGCTGGCACCCTGAGCGCCATGTCCGCTATGCTAATGCTCGAGATCCCCCATGTCAATATCCTGAGCAAGATGGACCAGGTCAAGGATATGGTTTCAAAGCGGGAATTCAGGCGCTTTGCCAATGTCGATATACAGTTATTGCAGAATGACGAGGAGGACCCCGCTGTCACCGCCGACCCAATGGCCAAGGATGCGCTGATGAGCGGCGGCTCGTTCAAGCAGCTCAACCGTGCCGTCGGTCAGCTGATCGATGACTTCAGCATGGTCTCTTTCTTGCAACTCGATGTCTCGGATGAGGATAGTGTCTCCGGTATTCTCAGCCACATCGATGACGCTATTCAATACCACGAAGCGCAAGAACCCAGGGAACCAAAAGATGAGCAAGAAGTCAACTATGAAGAGGAGTAGAGGTGGAAGTATCCTCAGCTTGCTTGCTATATACCACCTTCCACTGCCTATTCACTTATTTGCGGGTGGCCATATCTAATCTCGTGCCGACCCGAGATTTCTCATGGCGCGTGCCTGCAAATCTCTGGTCTTCACATCATTTGACCCACTTCGACCCACGCCCATCCGTCCGTCTATCTCTATCTACAAAGCTACGATCGACGATCTACACTAAAATCTTGACTCGCGCAAGCATAAGCCACTCCGCCATCCAGCAAGAAAGAGCTATAGCTATCCATGCCCTACAATTCTCGAGAAAGGCAAAATACTTGCAAATAGGATCGGCATTGGAAAACCAACACCTGGAATTTGACTTCTGGCAGGATCTCAACCAAAACGCCTCCAACCCCTCCATAAGTGAAAAAGAAAACAAAGAAACAACAAATGATCAATAGTTCACCGAAGACCCATCGTCTCCAAAAATGGAATTCCAGCTCGCTTTAAAACCAAACTCAAAAGAAAAGCAAATGGGAGATCTTGGAACCAAGTGTAGAAGAAAACAAAAAAACAATGCCCGCTCATCCCATTTCGTACAATACTCGGTACACTTCCAAGTGCCTATCACCATAACCATCACGACCAAGCACCCATTCATTCCAATCATAATGCCTCAGCGCGGCAACCCCCTCATCCACATACAAAATCACTTCCACCAACCCCGCCCACCCCCAGAAGAGGTCTTCCCCTTCCCATTCCACCCGGGCACATCACGATACCCACCAGTAGCCTGCCCTTTCCCACCCTCCGCCGACGCCGCAGCCCTAGCCTGAAAATCCTCCACAAACCCCTCCACAACGCCAAACACCCATCCCAAATCCCGCCCCGCCTTCTCAAAGCCAACCTGGTAAACATAAAGTACGGAAAGCGCAATCGAGCCCCAGAACACCAGCCGCAGCGCAAAGACCACCCACCACATTATCACGCGGCGAGCGTAGTCCAGCAAGCGGAGGGAGACGTATAATATGGCGAGGAGGATGAAGATTGTGAATAGGTCTGTTGTGCCCGTTGTTGACATCAGGATATTTGAGAGCGGCGAGATGATGTAGGGGTCTATTATTGTTGAGCGGATGGTTGCGAGGTGGGTTGTGAGGGCGGTGCTTGTGCTGGATTTTAGGTAGGTTGTTACTGGGTGGTTGAGGAGGTCTGTTGCAGGTTCCGGGAAGTGGAGGTTAGTTGATGGGGTTGGGAGGAGAGATCTTGCGGGCGTGATGATGTTTTTGAATAGCGCACCTTTGAAGTTTTCCATTTTGCGTTGGGTGCCACGGGGTGTGGACTCGATTTAGGCGAGATCAATGGAGAGAGAGGTGTCTCAGGTCTCAGGTTCCAAGGTTGAGTGGTACTTTTGTTTTGCTGGGTGTGGCGGCTTGTGTTGGCTTTATGCTGCGCGATACTCTGCGGGAGTGAAAGGGTCTTTGTTTGGTGGACTCGATTGTTTTGCGAGCTCCTTGCTTTGCTTTTTGTTTTTTGGGTTGCACAAAGAGGTGTGTGGTTTTTAGGTCTGGCTTTTGATTTGAATGCGCATTGAGTGTTGGGTTGATGTGGTATGGAATGGAGGTAGAGTAGGAAGTATGATGCGACAGAGGAAGTGGTGGGTTGATACGGTGGTCACTGACGGAGCGATAACAAAGTGGTGCAAACGGGACAAACATTGCAACTCACCTGGGCAGTCGTGTGCCCGAGTCGTACTATAGAGTAAGGGTAGATTCTTACTTTGCTGATTATTGTTAACAGTTGACAAGAGAGAATAATAGACTGCGTTTGAATGATAATAGGTAGATTGAAATATAATAAATATCTCCCTCGTATATTAGACGAGTACTGTACAGGCATTATATACTAAAGCAAGTGGTCAATATTTACAAGCGCGACCACTGAAATACCATCTCTGAACGACCAGAGAGCCCAGACCGAGGCTAAACAAATTCACAAAAAAACAAGAGTCTCAACCAGGTACCTAAGCATAACTATAAGGTGTTATGGCTCATTTTTGACTGTGAGTGAATCTAGAAACTCCGGTGCCAAAAAAAGAGTGAAGGAAGAAATGGAAAAGAAATAGAAAAAGAACGGAAAACTCCATGACACATGGAAAACTCTAGCATCGAAACCGGATGCGAGTTAAGATGCAGATGCAGACGTGGGTGGTATATAGAAAGAGGAGAGACCGAAAAGGGAGGGGGGGGACGGAACCAGCGCCACTACTATACGTAGCCCGCCAGCGCCTTGAATGAATCGCGCTCGGCCTGAATGTCTGCCTGCAACTGGCGAGTCTGACGAAGGGCCTCGTCTCTGCGGGGGAAAAGTCAGTTCAATCCGATCTGAAACACGATCTATCGACTTTCGGAGATTTTCTTGCCTCTCGCCAAGAGTAAAAACATACCTATCAGATTGAAGTTGAGCCACATCAACTTGAGCGTGGTTCATCCGTCCCACCGCTTCTTCCATCTCCATATCTGCTTCCCGGAGGAGTCGCTCCAGACCCTTGATGTGTTTCTCCAATGCTTCAGCCTGGATGATTTCTGTTAGCGGCATGCCGGTACCGCTGGTTGTTTGGTCAAGGCGAGGTGTCCGGCTGGTAAAGGGTGCGTTTTGAGGGCGTGGTGAGAAAGCGACGGGTGTGCGGCTGCCGTTCTTCATTCGGACCAGTTGCGCATTCTGGTTCTCCTTCATCAGGCGAATTTCATCCTCGTGCTTGCCCATCGCCTCTTCGGAGTACTGCTGCGCGTACAAGAGGACGTCCTCTAGTTCCTTCATTCGGCTTTGCAGGACGTTGATGCGCTCAACGGATAATTGCTGGTCGCGCTCGCCCTTGAGAATGGCGCTCTCCAAACGGCTGCGCAGGGAACTGTTGGTCTGCAGTTGGTATTGAACTTGTTCATTTAATGAGTCTGTTCGGGCAAATGCCTCTGTCAAATCGTCAGACTCGGGCCCGGCTCCAGCCTGCTGGCGCTCCAGTTGCAGTTGCTGGTAAGCGGCTTCCAGGGAAGAGGATGTCGCCATAACCTCAGCGAAGCTCTCTCCATCAGCCTCGAGACCCTCCGATACAACAGCATCATGCTCCAGCAGTAACGAGCGAAGATAGCCGGTATCTTGCTCGGCACGGTCAAGATCCATCTTCAGACCAGCCAAGTTTTTCTCGCACTGCCACTTGCCATCCAGGGCGTCTTCGGCACGCATGCGCAGGTGATTCAGGTCATCCCGCAGGCTGCGAACCTCCTTCTCATAGCCGAGCTTTCGTGGCGGGCCCGACTGTTTCGCACGCTGGACCTCAATCTCCATAAGCCTAGCGCGCTTCTCAAACTCTTGGGCCTGGAAGGCTTGACGGTCGAGGAGGCTCTTAAGCGTGCGGTGCAGAGCGTCACGCTGGACTTCGATATCATTGACCTTGTCGACTAATGACTCGCCGTTACCGCTCTCACGCTCCACACCACCGGCCTTGACCGAGTTCGACCTAGACAGTGATCCGGAGCGCTTCAGACCGCTGGGTTTCCTAGCAAGGGAGTTCGATCGTGATAGGCCGAAAGCCGAGTTCCGCTTCGCCGACCCGCTGTCTTCTTCTGCGATTGAAGCAAAACGTCCTCCTTGTAGTTGAGCCAGGGAGGCATTTTCGATCTTCAGCGCCTCGATTTCCTCTATCAAGCGCTGCATATCTGCTGGTGGAGCCTTTCCTTCACGAAGCAGGTCACGCTCGTTTCGCAATTGCTCGAGCTCGACACGCATGGCTGTAAGTAGGTCTTCGAAGTTGTCTTTTGATTGACGCTCCTCGAGGAGTTTCCGGCGGGTGTTCTCTAACGCGCCTTCAAGCTCGTGGGTCTTTGATGAAAGGTCGGATAAATCAGTTCTCTCGCGACGGAGCTAATGACAGGTCAGTTAGCAAGATATCTTCTCCCAAATGAATATACACAATTTTTGACTCCCTACCTGTTGGACCTGATTCTCCAGGATTTGAACATGTGACTCGGATGCTGTACGTTGAATTCGCTCTTCTTGCAGCTTCTGGGAAAGTTCCACCTTCAGCTGCGCACGTTCTTGCTCCGCTGCCCGACGGATCTTCTCGATGTCTTCACTTCGGTCGGGGGCATATCGAACCGAGCTAGTACCCGAGTCGGAAAAATAATCACTGGTCCGCCTGTTGACTTCGGGTCCTTCTAATTGAAACCGTTCGACAAGGTCCTCGAGCTCCATTTCCCGGCGGATGGAACCCGCCAGCTCGGAGCTGATTTCGCGCAACTCATTTTCCAAGTCATTAATTTTCGATGCAATAACATGCTCAGTTCCACTGACGGTTCCAAGCGATGGCGTCCTTTGGAGCGGGCCAAAGCCAGCGTTCTTGGGGTCATAAGGAGAGGCGGGTTTGATGGGGACGTTGGCCAAGGGAGGCATGGGGGAGTACAATGAAGATCGGCCACCGTCAGATATCTCTGTACTGGATGATTCGCCGCCAGGGGACGTGGCCGTTGGCGCGTTTGTGTTACCCTTCCAGCCAAAGAAAGAGCTGATCTTTTTGCCGGGGGTTTTGGGTTGTCGAGGGTCGGCGTGTCCCATGGACATAGACATGGACCGTTGATCGATATCGATGTGCAACGGTGGTGGCCGGTTCATGGGAGGGTGCAAGGCCATACTCGATGCTCGCCTTTGAGTAGGAGGCGGAGAGTTGAGGATCGGGATGAAAGGCTCGCTCACTAAACGACTGTGCAGGGGGGGTTGCGAGTCCATTCGTGAACTGTTGTTCGTAACTTTCGTCAAAGAAGTCGACACTATCGTCGTCGTCGTCGTCTTCGTCCTCAACCACGGACCTCAGGTACGCAGACGCGGTAGAGGCCCTGGTATCTATACGGAGGGGTTTGGCAGGGACGGAGCCACGCGAGTATCTAGGGAAGCGCGACGTGGGTAAGTGATGGGTCTTCCAGATTCTGGGGAAGCGCGATAGCATGTATTCAGGGCCATTGAAACACGCTCCTTGGGAACCAGGACTAGAGTTTCTTCAAAGCCGAGCTGGGACCATGGAGGAACAAAGACCGACGATCAGGGGGTGGGTTTGATGCCGGGTGGGACTCGTCCAAAGTTGTTTTTTTTATTCCCTCTTAGACTGATGGAGTTGCGCATACCTGTTCGAATTCCTTGGCACCGATATGTAGGGGTCTCCATACACTGAGGAAGGGGAGGATTGATGTTCGTGAGGAGATATGGAAGTGGGCTGCGTGATATCACCGTCGATGGACAGGGGAGAGGAGGGGTGAGCAGGGCCGGGCTGAGGAGGACTGGCGTAGGCGGGTAGTGGTTTTCGTCGTAGCGGTAACTGAGAGGAAGAGGAGGGCGGGGAAGGAGGAAGGTCGAGTGTATCAGAATGATGATAGTCAGGAGTAGAGTTGGTTGCGGGAGAACCGCTAGTCGGGTTGTCGGTGGACGCCATGGCAGGAAGTATCAAAAAATAGCCATGGATCGACGGACGCTCATACCGGGCCACGGGGGTGGGAAAGGATGGCGCGTGCCAACAGATTGAACCCAAAAGGGGAAAGGATTATTCTTGGGAGAGAGTTGTGACAATCGCAAAGAAAAAGGAGAAAGTCCCCAAACGACGTCCAGGGCGATTGGCGCAAAGCGCCCGTGGGTTCCAGACGCCTCGCAGTAGTGCGGGTCGAGGCAGCATGGTGGAGCAGGGGGGCGGATTGGCGCTGCTGCATTCGATTGGTGAGGAATACACTTGCTAGCCTGCCAAGCGATCGACGGTGCCAGTGAAGTGTTTGTGTGAAGCTATTCCAGTATCACCAGCATAGCAGTCGGCAATAACGCAATGTGTCGACTTTTTCTGTTGTAAAGACTGTAGAAATCACCATCTGCCAGCTCCGAGTACTCCATACTCTGCTGTCAGACCGTTGTACGGAAATAGAAATGGATTCAATAGTGTGACTGGGGGAACTCCCCCCTTGAGTCGTGGATCGTCCAGACAATTCAGGGGTAGTTGGTGATCGGGTATGGTCAGAAAGTGGTATGGTAGTTTACAGGTACTTTCAGCATAGTGTATTTACCTGCTATTTATGAAGTATCTATCTGGTACCTCCGTCGTACTGCCACGCTTCCCCGCCCAACTTACGTACTCCGCTTTGCATTGACTGCTAATTCCCTGGTCAACCATGGTCCTCCGATCTTGAATATTCCATTATCCCCTGTACTATTGCTTTAACTCCTATCATTTCCACTTACTCCATCCTCCATGTATCTACCTATCTACTCCAGGTACTCCAAGTACTCAGAACATCGTCTCCATCTCATGAATATCACCAAACTCAATATCCCCCTCTGCCGTCCTAGATTAAGGGGCCCCCATTAACTCGTCACCACCATGGCATCGAGTATATCTCGCATGGATCATCAGTGGAGTCCACCCCTTTTCCCACCTCCCCCCAGCCCAGCCCCAAGAGAGAACGTGCGTCCTGCAGATGCTCGCCATCCTGTTGTGTCTTGTCCCGTCTCCCTCGCCAATCAAATCCGCCCATCCCGGCTGCTCGTCCACCAAAGCTCCCCATGTTGGCCCCGGGCGTCTCGCCGAGCTCTCGGGCCAGCGCGTGGCCACGGCCTTTCCTGCTTCAACGGGCATGGCGCCACCTGAAAGGATCGAGACACCTGAGAGTCCGGCGCTAAACGGTGTGCGCAATCATACGGCTACAACATCAACATACCAAATCAATGAGGGGTTCGGGGCTTTCTACTCCTCCAGCTGATGCTCATCACTCTTGATTCCCTGATCGGGAAGTACCTGCAGTTCCTATCGCTGCCCCAAGATAGTCAGCTTGTTTGACCTGGCCAACCACCGCCCACCGTGGCTGGATATGAACCAGACAAGGTTTGATGAGCGTTCGCCTCGAACCGCTTTACTCCGTACCTGAACCTGGTCTGGGACGAACCAGGCTCTCAGTCTGAGGAAACTCCCATTTTTAAGACATGGGGTATGCAACACTTTTGTGCATACATCACCCTGAAACCGCAATTGCGTGCATGGCTGGCCTGCACCCATTTTTTGGCGATCCCGGGCTCTAGACACTTCTGGACTCGCGTCGCGATCTCGACCGGTTTTCTCTTTGTTCATCGTCAACGGAGTGTACCCTCCCGTAAATCCTCCTTTTTGCCCTTTCCTTTGTTTTTTCTCTTTTCATTCCCGGCCCGATCGCATGGTCTCCACTCTGCACTTCCCGTAAACCCTGCTTGGCTTGGCCTGGCCGCTCTCCACTCCCCTTCTCTAACAAGCTAAGGCAACGAGCCGACCGCCACGCAGTCCCACTTCTTTCGGGTTTGGAGTGTTTGAGGAGGCAATAGTACACTTAACCTCCCGTACTCCGTATACACTCCGCGCATAGAGTATAAAAATAAGTCCGGGCTTGGCTTGGCTCGCCGTGGCGTGGGCTATCGTCGCACCATCCATTTTATTGACGCCAAATATAACTACATACCTCCTACTCTGGGCGTGTAGCATAGGGCTGCTGCCAAGAGCCGCCCACACCTTGACCCTTACGAATAATACTACAGAGTACTCCGTACTATATATAAAGCTGGGCTTGCTTCCGTTAGGATTAGGGGTCGCGGATAGACTGCTCACTAGGACATCTGCGCCGAGCCCTGGAGGCTGGGTGACCCAAATAAATTATTGTGGTTCACCCCCTGTCCTTTTAATGTTCAGCTTGAATACTACTATGCTCCACCTCTGGTCTTAAAGTAATCCAAGACATCGTTAATCACTCCCAGACCTCAGGCTGTAGTTAGTAGTGTATCTACTAGTAGGTATGTAGGCTGGCGTCGCGTGGCCCAGCTGGTTTAAATACTAGGTACTAGTAGTACTACGGACTACTTTTTCTCTCGCGCGAACTTGGATGAATTACGGTCTCTCGGGGTACTATTTTGATGATGAACAAAACTTGAATAATTATAGTGCCATTTGCAACACCAAGATCGTCATAATCTCAATGTAAGATGGCCCAACACGTCGCCTTGTAGATTTGAAAAGTAAGTGGAATCCATATTTGGCTCTTAATGGGCAACAATATATTAGCATTCTTGTGACAATCTACAATAAAAATCATCCAAAGATTGCTTCTCGAAATAACTCGAAGAAAAGCAAACCCCATTCATTTTAAACCATTCAACTGAATAATATAAACATATACCTAGTACTAGTAACTTGAAATAGTAGTAGAAACCCGAGCGGACGGGACCAGGAGTCACATCATGATCCCACTGGCAGGTCATCCTGGGAGTGACCGTGAATTGATCACACCACCTGGGCAACTTTAAGTTGTTTTCCCGTTGCTTCAGATGTGCCACCTGGAGATGACCATACATCACCACCCAGTGGCGCCGGTTAGGGTTTGAAAGGTTGAGCATTACTAGTACATTGCACTATCAGCGAGGAGTTTGAATACTATGCTTTCCTGACTGTCCTCCAGGGCTCTAGCCTCGCCCTACCTTCTCCTGCCTTACTACTGACTAGTAGGTAAGTTTACAATGAAGAGAACAAACACTTCAGCCACCTGGGCAGTAGTAGCGCTGAAAAGATCTAACCGAAGTACTTGCAAGGTAATAATAATAGTACCATTGGAAAGCGAAAATCGTTGTCAAAGCCTGAGAAGTCGTAGTAGTAGTAGTAGTAGTAGTAGTAGTAGTAGTAGTATTCCAAGGTTACTAGATAAATACCTAGGTAGCTACCTAGGTAGCTCTGGAGGTAGAGTGTGCATGTAGATTCATATTTGGATCAAATTCCGAAACTAAATACTTTGCTCAATATTCAAATCAGCATCATAACCAAGTCCAAACTCCATGGTAATCAATAAGAAGCGAAGTACGCCAAAAATAACATGCTGCCACCTACACCAACAGCTCAATGACATTAGGAAACGAATACTAGTAGTCCAAAGGATATAAACAGAGAGAAAAAAAAATTGTCCAGAAGCCAATCTTGAAAACGCCGATAGTCTCACGTCAGGGACATCAATAAGGGATAAAGTCGAACTGCATACGATCTATATAGCGGGTTAGTGAAATACTTCGTTGAATAATGAATCTTTGAGCCACGTACCAAGAAAATGACTCCAATCCTCATCATCATAGACCTTATTGGCCCAATATTGCTCAAGGAACTTGAGAGACTGCAGAACATTCGGCACTCGAATGGTATCATGCAAAGATGAAAGCAAGTTTCGAACCGTATCCCGGTCTTCGCCCTGTGCCTCGCATCCCGCAATAAACAGCGGCGTCGTCAACATAACCCATGGACTAAGCCCAGCCGACGGTCCAATCTGGGCGGTGCATTCAAGAATCCGCTGAACAGACTGCTGCACGTATGGAGACGTCGTCGGCGTTTTTCGAAGTCTTCGATGGATCTGAATCAAAGCACTGTGCTGAAAGGCCTCATTGCAAAGCGCAAGATGTTGTATACTACCGGGGGCCAGCGCGTCCGCAACACCGGGATAAAGCTCGGGCTGTGTACTGGCACCCCGATCCATCAGGTAGTGTATCGACGATTCCAAGTTCGCAGCTTCATCCTCGACACTACTATCGATCTCTCCCTCCACAAATCCGTGCGCGCGAGGGTCTTTTTCAATCTGATGACTGCGCCAAGCCGCCGCACCAATCTGACGAAAAACAGCCGCCAGATCCACCGTAAAGCCCCAATAATCATCCAGATAATCCGGTAACTCTTTCTGACCAGGCTGGTTTGTCGGCGCAAAGTCCGTAATGTCGCCAATCGGGGGCCCGTTGCCCGTCAATGCTGTCAGCGACACAATGGACCAGTACCATCGATCCAGATAGCGTCGAAACCCATTCGCCGAGCGGAGCGAGTCCTCGCCAGACGCATCTGAGGTCTTCATCAAAGCCCTCGCACCCTCTATATGTGCGCGCCAGGAATTCGGGTTGATTGCGCCGGAGTGAATCTCCGCTAGACACAGTGTTCGGGCTGTCGCCACCAACGCCTCCGAGTCCTTGGAGGATGGATTTTGCAATTCCTTCCGGAAATGCTCCAGGCTGAGCGCCATTATGCGGGCGATATCGGGTGCGGACTTGACGCTCTCGGATTGATTGTGTAGGGCTTGGATGTGGATTGCGGAGAGGGCGGTGGTGGCGTATAGGAGGGAGGGCGTTTGGAGAGCCATGGGCACGATCATGCGACAGATGTCCTGTTGCATGCCAGAGTGACAGGCCGTGATCTGCGAGGCATCGTTGATGAAGTGGTGTAGTAGGGACTTTTGGTCGGGCGATAGCGAGGAAAATGGATCGACCGGTTGTGTCAGGGCGAGATCTGACTGTGCTTGTGATTGTAATTGCAACTGTCCGGCTTGCGCTGATTTGGTGGTGTAGATAAATTCTCCGGGCGAGTACTCTGCAAGATATTTGGTCAGCACATTTATTTTCAAAGGATAATAAGGGTACACTGTATCGACATACCCAACCTTTGCATGTTCCCAGTATCGACGCAGGCTCCAAATCGTGATCGCGAGAATGCCCGTCCACCCCACTGCAGCTGCATCGCATACTTGCACTGCACGCCTGCGGTCTCACAGCGACCGCAGATAGGTCGCTTCTCATCACATTTTTGGCGCCGCGCTTTACATCTTGTGCAACCGGTAAACGATCTCGACATGGGTGCTGCCTCGGTGCTGAAGCGGATTTGATGTGGTGTGGAGTGGGGGAGAAGAAATTCTGCGGGGAATTTCAGATCTCCGGTCGACTTCCGCGTGGAGGCAACAGGCCGGGCCGGGGTAACCACAGTCTGATATTGATATTTCAAGTCATTCCTGGGGAATTTTAAGTCTACGAAAAAAGAACGGGTTGCCTTGCATAAGGTTTAATTATCGACTTAATAGTCTGGTCTCATTGTAGAGGCAAATTCTCTAAGGGACCCACCGATCGACGGGTCTATCTATCAGTGAGACACATGCAAATGTTTAGTTTCTAACTCTGGTTTCATAGAAAACCCTGGGAAACCTTGGAACTTGAACTGGAAAATACAAGAAAACTGCCCCGAGAGAGAAATAGAAAAGTACGCGCTATGGCAGAAATACAAGGTACATGCCAACAGAGTATATGTTCAGCTCGCAGATAGGAGCAAACCGCAAAATCCCGAAGAAAGAAAAATCACCAATCACACATAGTATAGCATCTAGATCCATCATGCGTCAAAGGTATAGCGAAGCCATTCTCCAACAGCCCGTAGACTTTCCCATCGTACTGACTCATCCTTGTCGGCCATCAATTCCATCACCCGCGCCTTCAGACCCAATCTCTCAAGCTGCGTACGTCGCTCGGGCAGCTCCTTGACCAAGTGTCCCACATCGTTACAAGCGATAGCGAGGACTTGCTTGTCATTGTCCCAACTCTTGGATAGAATCTCAGCCAATTTCTTGGGCAGGGCACCGTTGGATTCATCCAGGATCCGGCGCGCATTGTCCTTCCAGAATGTGGGGTTCTTGTGCGGGGGCGACCAGCGCAGATGGCCAGACTGGACTTCAGTAGCGTACTGATCAAATGTAGTCTGTGTCTTGGTGTATTCGTCGAGCATGGTGGACAGCGCAGTTAGGTCTTCGAGGAGGTCGGGGTCCGTGAGGTGACGGCCAGCTAGGTTGGCTAGGAGAGCGGGTAGTCGGACGAACACAGCAACGGGGAGGAGAGTTGTGCGGTTGTTGGAGAAGAGGTTGTAAAGGGTGGCAAGGAGAAGTCGGGTTGTCTTCTCCTTGGGTGAAAGACGGAGGAGTTGAGTGTAGAGTTGGATAATCTCGTAGTTCCTAGATGGGCTGTTAGCAATCTAAATTTGGATAATGAGCTCTCAACGGAATTGAACTACTCACTCTTGCAGCTCTTCACCAACAAGTTCGGCCTCAAATGTGAGCTGCCACACCACCAAAAGCACACGGTAAAGCAGTTGGAGACCAATTCCGCCTGCCAGGCCAGGTTCAATGCCACGTGTGCTGCTTCCAGATGAGCTACCATTCTCCTTCGTCCCCGCAGCGGTGCGCAGAGTCTGGATCAGAGGATCCAGAGTTTCCTTTCGGTGAGTCCAGAAGATTTCGCGCGAGTTCTTCTTGCGGAGGAGCTCCGAGAATCCCTGTACACCGATATCCTGCAGGCCGCTATCTTGGTTCTTGGCCAAGGTAGAAAGATATAGGTACAGCTGCGGAAGAGCCTCTTGGTCCCGGGCGGCAGGTTTAGATGATGCGGTAAGACTGTGCGACACTAGTACCGTGAGGAAAGTAGATGCGAGCAGAGGAATAGGGTCTTCGGCATTTGTCGAGTGGTGCAGGAACGGTAGGAATGGCTTGTACGGTTCGGGGTGCGAGACGAGGGAGTCAGCCAGCGCAGGAACATCTGCATGGAGTGAAAAAGGATTAGATATTGATCACCGGCATATACTACTAGCATGAATGGGGTAGGCTGGCCATACCTTGGATCAAGTCCGATGCCAACACCAAGATATATTGAACGATGTCGGTCCTCCGCGAAGCTGAGTCCAAGACACTTTTTCCCTGAGCTCCTCCCGCAAGCAAGCTTGTGTATCCCGACAGGTCTGCCTCTACCGTTTGAATGCGATGCTCCTTTCGCACCTTGTCCACGGCCTTGATCTTCTTAAGGTGGTCATCGGTGATGTTGCCCGCACGGACGGCGCCGTCCCAGGGAATTGGCCTGGCACGAATATTATTCTGCAAAGAGCTGAGGTAGGTTGGAGGATCTAACGACATGTTGATTGGAATAAGGCCCGGGGCCAGAGCAGAAGAAGGGTTGAGTTGTGGCGTAAGTTCAGTTCAGTTCTTTCTGAGAAGGGGAGAGCTTGAGGGGATGACGGAAGCACCCGCCAAGACTCAACGAGGTCCCACGCGGCTTCCACCGATTTTCCTCCACTTCAACTTCCTTCAACTCCAACTGGATCTCTCTCGCTTTCTGGTCGCGCGCTTTCTGTTTGATCTTGATCGGCTTATTTTACTGTCTTGGGTTTCCCCCCACAATAAGGCCCTATTCTTCGTGCACCCAATCGCTTGTGCGACATTCGTTCTGCAACGTGGTTGTTTGCCTTGTACTTCTAGCTCAACCTCGAATCTTACAATCCTTTGTTTACCCACTCTCGCCTATTTCCTCTTGACTCTTGACGCCAATTGGATCTTTCGTCCTATTCGAAAACCAGTTCTCGAACCGACTACAGTATTACCCGGCCGATCTCATGCAATCCGATCACGAAGCATTTGCTGCCTAGTAGCCGAATCACTGTCCACCTGGGAATTAAATACACCTATTCGTCATGTCGCAGGACTCTCAGGGACAGAAGACTAAATGGGGGATGGGAAATTTCTTTCAACAGGCCGTGGCAGGTGTTGAGTCGCGATTGGATAATATATTGATGGATGAGGAAGAGAGAGCAAAGAGTGAACAATCAAAGCCTAAAGAAGGCGAAACTGTCGCACCGCAGCCGCCAGTTTCACGATCTCCTGCTGGCTGTATGAATTTTGCGTCCCCATCAATTACTGTCGCGCTGAACTAACGGAAAACCCAGCAATTTCGCGCAGCTCTTCCAATGCACGCAGAAATGACCGACTCCAAGAGCGCCTAGCACGAGCTATGGTAAAGAACACTGCGGCCCGAAACTCTCAATCATCGCCGAGTGGATTGTCTTCACCGAATGCAAGCCCTCGGCCGAGCACAGATGGACGTCCAAGCTTGGAAATCGACGCAAGTATTGCCTCTTCCGCTGATGTCGCTGAGGGGCCCAAAAGCTCTTCGATCGCAGAAGAGTCAGCCATCAGGGTTAGCTCTGAAGTAGAGCCATCTACACGCGATTCCATAGATGGCAGTGCTGCGGAGACTCTACCGGAGCCTTCTGGCGATAACGGGGGGCGCCCTTCGATTTCAGACATCACCGAAGAAAAACCCGCGATTGTGGACGAGGCCGAAGTTCCCAGCAATCGTGCATCTGTGGAAAGTCCACGTCCCAGTATAGATGCCCTATCGGAGATACGCGCCAGCGATGGTACACCCGAGTCCCAGAGACAAGAAGAAATCCATGGCTATATCGAACGCATTGATGCATTACAGTCAAAGCTGAAATACTTGGCCAAGGAAGCGGCCCAATCAGCTAAGAATGCGGCTGCGTCCGCTTCACCTGGCAGTGTCGAAAAACAACTTCTGGAAAAGGATGAGAAGATTGCCTTGCTTCTAGAAGAGGGGCAAAAGCTTTCCAAGTCCGAAATGGACCACCGAACTGCCGTCAGGAAGTTGCGTCAGCAGCTGGCCGACAACACCAAGGCTCAGACGGAAAGTAAGAAAAAGACCGAGAAGATGGAGAGGGACCTGGCTAGTTCAGAAGCGAGGGCGAAACGAGCTGAGATCGCCGAAAAGCGAGCTAATGAATCGCTATCGTCGCAAACCAAAGTGGTCAAGGACCTCGAAGCTGTTACGAACGAACGCAATGCCCTCAGTCAAACCGTGCAAGAAATGAAAGCACAACTGAGCCGTGCTGTTTCCCGCGCGGAAACGGCCGAGTCTAAGGCTCAGTCAGATGCTTTGGAGCAGGAAAGACGCCGAGCCAACGACCTCGAGGAGGAACTTTCGACTATCAAAATCGAGCGGGACATCAGCGAGGAGAAGACGAAAAAGGAAATTAGCAGCTTGAAAGAAAAGGCAGAGCAGGAGAAGGAGCGTGCCCGTATGCTTGAAGCTGAGCTGAAGGGCGAGCAATCTGTTTTGGAAAGCAAGATGGAGAGCCTCCGCTCACGCGCAGAAGAGGCCTCATCTGGTGCGACAGGAGAGACCCAAGCCAAACTCCTACGACAAATAGAGACACTCCAGACCCAATATTCTGTCGCTAGTGAAAACTGGCACACTCTCGAGGGATCCCTCCTTGCTCGACTCTCTAGTGTGGAGAAAGAACGCGATGATGTGTCACGGAGAGAAGCTGACCTTCGAAAGAAGATTCGGGAGCTAGTAAGTTTCTTCATCTGTCCATGGCCTCCCGCGTATAAATTACTCACAATGATTTGATATAGAACCTAAAGACTAAGAAGCTGGAGGAAGATGTGGAAACGGCCAAAGAGAGCGAAAACGACCTTGAGAGCAAACTAGACGAGCGCATGGAGGAGTTGCAGAAATTGCAACAAAAGCTGGAGAAAACAGCCGATGATCTTTCATCTAGCCAAAAAGAACTCTCCGAGCAAAAGAAGGTTTCAGACGCGACATGGGCACAAAAGTTGGAGGAAGAACGTGCCAGATGGCGAGAACAGGTCAACAGTTTGCAACAGCCTCGAGGCATCTCGCCCGTTCCATCTACGCGGCGCTCAAGCAATCTTGATGCAGTGCCATCTGGACTGCTAGACTACCGTCCAGCCAGCCGACGCTCTTCAACAATCCCATCCGCTGCCTCTCCAGATATCGGCACTCCCCCGCGCCAAAACTCCTACCCAGCCTCAATCAACCAGGGCGTCCTTTCCCCTCCGCTAATCAACACCTCACTGAACACACCATCCATGATCATGGAGGCGCCCGCAATCCACTTCGAGCCCGATGAGTTCTTTACCGGCGACCCTGCCACCCCATCCGCATACGGAGGCACACAAGCCGCCACATCGCGTGGTATCAACGACATAATATCCGAGTCCACCGTGGGCGCCGGCCCATCCGTTCAATTAGTAGAACGTATGAGCGCAACGGTCCGCCGATTGGAAAGTGAGCGCGCCGGGTCCAAGGACGAGCTTCTGCGTGTCACCACTCAACGTGATGAAGCCCGGCAGCAGGTCGTTGACCTTATGCGCGAGCTTGAAGAGAAGCAAACCTCCGATACCCGGGTCGAAGAACTTGAGGGCAAGCTTGCTGAAATCGACCAGCGGTACCTGACCACTCTTGAGATGCTCGGCGAAAAGAGCGAGCAGGTCGAGGAGCTTCAGGCTGATATCTCTGATCTGAAGAAGATTTATCGCGAGCTGGTTGATAGTACTATGAAATAGGACGCATGTAAAAGGAGGCCCTTTTGTTTCTGGACTTCGTTGAACCCTTTTAATTCCTTGCTTATATTAGATCAACGGGCGCCTCTTGCGTGTAATTTATCTAGAAAATTGTATATAGAAAGCTTTTATGACCATGACGATTCACTGGCATTACATAGTATATCATGGACCGGTCTAGATGTTCTTAATAGGTCTTGTATATCTTCAAGTTTCTTAAGCCCAACACCTGTAATCTCATGGTGTTATCGATGATTACTCCGGCGACTGTAGTCTTCGTCAATATTGCACCGAAACCCTTTCTATCGAGAAGGAAAATACAACACAATACCCTTTATAAAGAGTTCTCCCTATTTTTAGAATACCTCAGATATTCCAACAAAAGATAAAAGGTTATTATGAACAGCTAGTAGTATAATTATCTAAAAGTTTTGCCTCCAAGCTACACAGTACAAGTTGAAGTTGAAGGCACAACTTCTGAAAAGAATGTCCGAAACTAGCAACACCTGGGCATTTACTTGACCGCAAGGCCCTCAACTTCTATTCTTTTTTCTATCATAATATGGAAAGAAACCTTTACACGCGCATCATATTTCTCTCATGTCCCGCTAGACACGCTGGCTGACCACCAGAGCCTCTCCATAGAGACTAATATCATATCCATGCGCTTCCAAATACGCCTTGAACCGGGCGTCTTCGGTCTCAAGCTCTCGAGACATATCGGGTATCAGGGCCCATGCAATGAGACCACCAACCATGCAAAAAGCTGCTCCAATAAGAAATACAGCTTGTTGGCCCTTTTCGGTGGATGAGAAGGAGCTTTGGATAGGAGTGAAGACTTCAGTGCCGATAGAAGCACCCGCTTTGCCCACAGCAGCAGCAAACCCCAGAAAGTGGCCACGCAGGGGAGTAGGGAAAGATTCCGCGGCACAGAGAAATGTAGACACGCCGGGTCCCATCTCACCTAAGGCCTGGAAGATGCCGTACATGACAACAAAGAGAGGGAATACACTCTGGATGGGCCCTAAGGCACCACCGAGGATGAATGCCCAGATGCCCCAGAGGATAAATCCCAAGGTCATATTTTGCTTACGGCCGATTTTATCCATCAGATACCCACCCAGGAGGCAACCAGGGAGATAGAAGCAGTTGATCACAGTCTGAAGAGGGTTAAATGGATTAGTCCGAAGGATTTGAAACAAATTGAGTGGTACATACACCATATCCGATATTTTGAACAGTTGTGTTGTTGGGGTTGAGCTGCTCGATGATAGTGGAGGAGAAAAGGCCAAATGGATAGGTCACAAAATCATAGCAGAACCAGGCCAATGCTAATTGTCGTTCAGTGAGTAATAATTCACGCCAAATATATATATACATATATGTATATAGAAGCCTGGAGAAACATACAAGTACCAAGCATGGGCTTCCAGTACCGGCGAATAACCAGCCAGTAAGGGTAGTTGGATTTTATGGCATGATTTTGGTATTGGGTAGAATTGACCATGCGGACACGGAAAAAGCAAATAGAGAGGGGTAGCTACATATGGAATATTAGCAATCACTTCCAATGCCAAAGTCTTACCAGCCTGAGCCCAAGCCTGGGGGTCTCTACTTACCACAATTCCGAGGCCAAAGCAAACTCTCCACACGCCTTCCGAGTTCTGCTGGTGGTAACAAGCGAGAATAATCATGGCAACCAGTCCAGCGGCAACAAATCCCTGTCAACACATTAGTCGTGAAACTTCTAGGAATTTTGATGTTCTTGTTTTGCTAACCAGATCCACAGCAAAGTCTGTAGTAACAGCAACCAGAAATCCCCGGCGTTGACGTAGTTGAATCGTCTCATCGGCAGCCTCGGTGGCACTGGTCGCACAGACAGGGTATTCACCTCCTGCGCCAAAGCCGGCAATACCTCGTGCAACAACCATCATCCAGAACATCCTATATTGAAAACCAGTCAGCTCATCGGATTGTGCGCATGGTTGATCGGGGCATCGCTTACCCTAGCTGCGAATTTCCATGGGCGGCCGTAGCTAGCACGATACCGAGGATCAAAAAGGCTGTAGTCGTAATGATACCAGTGCGACGCCCAATACGATCGATCAAAACACCAAAAAAGAGCATGCCAAAGATCTCTCCAATCAGATAGGAATTCGACAGTCGGGCCTTCATAGTGGAAGACATTCCATCCTTGTACCTGTGCAGAATAGATGTGAGTTCAATTACCAATTCTAGGATTATTGCCTGTCGGTGGATTTTACTACTCACAGCACGGAGAAGAGTGGTTCCATATATCCAACTAAAAACAATCATGGGTGTCAGTACTAGTATTATCAAGCAATCAGGACCTTCAAGTTTCACAATGAGCGAGCGGGACGTACTTATTTGCGCATTGTATCCATCACTGAAAAGCGCAATGCCTGAAATTACGACATTCAGCACGCCGGAGCTTTTGCGCGCGGGCAGAGGCTGGTCGAGATCCCACTGATCAGTGCGATCCTGATGCTTGTCTTCCATCTTCATGACGGAATCGCTGGGAGATGCCTCCATAATGGGAAATGCAGATGCAGTCAATTGGCATGGAGAGGGAGATGATGTAGATAGAGTACATGCGAAACCAGGTCCAGGCTAACGAAAGGAAAGTCTCACTTGATCCTAAACAGTCCAAGAAGCGTCTGATTTGTATTCCATGCATGCTGGTTAGACATAAGTGCATGGGCCATGCAATGATTCTCGTGTTCCAATCGTGAAGGCCCAATGATAGCGAACGTTGCCTGCACGCGAGAGCGATTGCGATGGGTCGATGGCCGGTGCGAAGGGCGAGATGTCACTGTCCCCACAGAGTGTGGTGCAGGGATAAACTCGTGGATGTTACTGCTAATCCCCACATGCTTTTTGCAACACACGCGGGTCCGTCCGCGAGCGATGGGCCTGATTTGAACAAACTTGAGCAACCTTCAGGCAACTTCAGCATCGCATGCAAAGGCATGGCCTAGAACTGGCCGCTGATTGGTTACGATGTGTGCCTGAGCGCCAATCAGTACCTTAGGGCACAGCGGGTCTGGCGGAGTCTCCCGAGAGGTACAACCCTGAGGCAAGCAGATCTCGGCCTATCATCCCCCTCTGTGTCTGCCAAGTGCCTTTGCAAATGGCTGCAGCACGATAACCAGAGGCTTCTTTCCCAATGGGTTTCCAAGGGTTTTAAGATTCTCCTTGGTCTCCACTTGGCTCCAGACATCGGGGTGAAGTGCGATACAATCGTGCACGGCGGCTTTTTGCGTCCGACTCCGATCTATAACTATCAAGTCACTGTAATATATAATGGAGGTGTCTACCAATTGGCAACTAAAAGCCACAGAACGCGTTATTTCTTATTTCTTCCACAAAAATTATTAATTCTATAATATGGAGAATTCATTTTATCCTCTGTCTGCGGATCAGCTGCAAAGCTTCCAGGAAGGCGGCTATCTGCTCATCCGTGGCTTTTTCTCCTCGGACGAGTCAAAGGTACTTCAGCAGTGGGCGCAGGAAGTTCAAGATTTACCTCGCACCGCCGATGTCCCATGGATGCCTTATGAGGAGGTTAATGGGAAAGGAGAGCGTGTCCTGTGCCGCACGGAGAACTTCGCCAACTCCCATGCGGGCTTCGACAGTTTTCTGCGTGGTGAACGCGCGACCAGCGTACTGGATCAGCTTGCTGGAGAGAAAATGCTTCTCTTTAAAGAGAAGATTAACTACAAGCTCTCCGGAAGTGGTAAGTCCCCACGGCATGGCCAGCAAATATTTTCGTCATTCGTCACTCACGCATTCCTTAGGCGGTTTCGATCCCCATATTGATGCCAATGCATACACCCACGTCAAAAATATCAAACACCTCACCATTCTCGCCGCTGTCGACGAAATGATCTCCGCAAATGGTGGCCTTGAAGTTGTCGGTGGGAGCCACCGTATGGAGGTTCCTCTGGGCGCCGATCGTTGCATTGAGCCCGCCTGGGTGGAAAGTCACCCTTGGACCTCATGCGACCTACACCCCGGTGAGTTCTTTGCCTGAAATCTGCTTTGTTGATTTTTATATGTTCTAATCAAACGAAACTTAGGCGATATTCTTGTGTTCGGCTCCTATCTGGCCCACCGCAGTGGTGCCAATACCAGCTCGAAAGACCGACGCGCTATCTATGCCACCTACAACTGCGCGACAGAAGGAAATTTGCATGATCAGTACTATGCTGATCGCCAAAAGCTTTGGCCCGCCACTCACATGCGTAAGGAGGGTGTTGACTACGAACAGGGCCGAGTGCGCTACGCATTTGGCTCCCCGATGTTGACAGTTGACTCTAAGCTCGACGCTGCGGCATAGAATCCATTCCAGGTCAGCGCAAGCAAAAAAATGTATATTATCTAAGATGAAGGAGAGGGCATGAAAAAAAGAAAGAAACTAGCTTAGAATAGCGGAGGTTAATTACTCCCTATCTTATAGGTGTGTCAGGCTTCTGGTACGACACACACCAACGGAAATGTATGAAACATAGAACTTAATTGTAAGTCACATACGGTAGAATGGATGCCTTGTAAAGCCGTGTATCCACAACTTCATGCTGCGAGAAGGAAAAAATAAGAAGAAGAAACCAAGGAAAACCAGGCGATCTCAGATGTCAAGAACCGGTCTCGTGGAAACTTCGTGGGTGGCGTCGGACCCGGAGACTCGCCCTTCGCACCGCACAAGCCGCGTTATTCCTTATAAAAGGTACCCTGCCCTCCACATCTGGTCTTGCTTTCTTCTTCGTTTATTCCCTACATTCTTTCTTTCTCTCGTCACACCCAGGGACATATCTCCAGCGGACTAAAATAGACGTCATGATAAGCTCGCAAAATCCATCTCAAACAGCAGAATCGCTGGTTGCCGCCCTTGAGAAGTATGGCCAAGGCGACTATATTGGCGAATCAATCAGCCAGCTTGAACATTGTCTTCAAGCAGCGCACCAGGCTAAGTTATCCGGTTAGCTTTCGCTCACTATGTTCTTAAATACGCATTAGCTAAATTTTCATAATACAGGTGCTTGTGACGAGCTGGTTATTGCAGCGCTGTTCCATGATATTGGCCAGATCATTCCCTTAGAATCCACCAAAGAAGCCCGGATGAATCTTCGCGAGAGCGACGAAAACGTCGGCCGTGTCGGTCATGAGGCTATCGGTGCCGCTTATCTACGAAATTTGGGCTTCAGCGAGACTGTCTGTCGCTTGGTTAACAGCCACGTTGCAGCTAAACGGTAAGTAGATGCCACGTCCCAAGTCATATGATCACTGAACTCATTCACGATGAACAGATATCTTACTGCTGTAAATCGTAAATATTACGATTCCTTATCCTCGGCTTCACAGAAGTCCCTGGCATTCCAAGGAGGGCCTTTCCAGGGTGCAGAACTACAGCATTTTGAGCAGGACCCTTTGCGGGATGAGATGGTCTCACTTCGGCTTTGGGATGATGGAGCTAAGTTAGTTGATGTTGAGTCGACCACACCGCGTGCCCGGTCATATATGGAAATTATCACGGCTCATTTGGCCCAGACTGCAGCATAGACAGCTTAAGTCATGAGGAAAATTCATTCAAGGGCTTCCGATATGGGTTAATATTTGATCTATTGTACTAAATCAACGGAGAAAAACTGTTTTGTTACTACTTTCAGATTATTCAACTTCAATTCTTAGGCCGTGTTGTCATAGGCGTGGCGATAGCTTTCTAGGTTCTCATGGCGGAGCTTGTCGCTACTGTAGCAATTGAAACTATTATAATACTTAGGATCCAGTTGAAATTTGCAACTTTCTCTTAGGATGATATTGAGCCCCAGCAATTTCATGAATGCGATAGTAGCTTTGAATACCCCCTCACGGCCCAGTTTCAGCTGCAAAGGAAAGGCGTTAATCCAGGACGCCGGATCTTTGGGGCCTAAGGAGACACACCATTCATGGTCATTATTCTCTGTTGGTGGAGCATTGTGCATCGAGAGGTTAATCCTGGCGCTTGAATCGTCTCCATCGAGATGGCCAGCCACAAGAAACTGGTATGTGTGAATGGTCGATTGACATTCGCTTCTGATTGGACCAACAGTCGGCAATTTGGAAATTGGCCGGTTCCCCGAGGGTCCATCCGGATATCGCGTCGTCGCCCCCACATTCACTTTGCATCGTCCATCTCTGCATTTGCCCTTGCTGCTATGTCTCTTTTTGTTGTACTTGGACTATACTGATCGACAAGAGCGGGTGGGTCTGTTCTAATTTCCGTCGCTACAATGCACAGATCGGAATCTCGACGTCGTGACCCATCGAGTGGGACAAGATCACAAAAAAGATCAATCGCGTTAGTACTCCAATGCAGTCATATACTATAAACAGTAGTATTAAATTGGTCCTCATCCTTTATCCAGTTGCCATCGGTGCCATTCACAAAAGGTCAAGTGTTCCGGCGAAAAGCCATGCTCGCGATGCCGGAGAGCTGGCTATGCAGCTCATTGTCGTTATGCAAACCGCGATCGTAAGATCCGGGTTGACGAAAGGTGCCGCACAATATTCCCCAATAACACGCTTCATACTGAGAATTTCAAATTTTAACTTGAAGACCATAGCTACCTGGAACAGCTTATTCAAGATAGCCAAGAGCTTCAGGATCGACGAACACGCCGGACTCATGGACTGGCTGCTCCCCCAAGTTCACTAGATCAAACAACGAACTCAAATGATCCTTCGCGAGAACCCGAGAATGTCAGCTCCATTATCCACGATCCCGCAGTTGGAGAGACTCCATGGTTCCAGAGTCTCGGTAGCTCGGCTCTACCATTATACATCAGTGAAGCAGCTTGTACCGCCTTCGCCACTCGTCTTTGCCAGTGTTTGAGCACGACAGATTCGCCGGTCTTTCACTTGCCTAGATGGCGATATACTGATGAAAATACTCTGGAATCACTATGCAATGTTGAAGTCGAGTGGCCGAGTCTAGTCTATGCCAAGTTATTGGTTAAAACTGCCCTTGGTCATGTAAACCCTGCTTTTCACACGGTTCTCAGGAAAGAAACATTGGATGTTCTTCACAACATCTACCAGAGAGGAGAATTTGATAATCCTGGTCTTCAGTGCAAATATTTTGCTTTCTTTGCCCTCGGCCAGGCCTTCTCGTCAGTTTACGACGCGATGAACTCGAACACATCCGCCATGCCGGGATCTGCATTCTTCGCTCGGGCAATGAAGCTATTGCAGATCATCCCGGAAAGACCTACCATGAATCACATTGAAAGCATTCTCCTTCTTGTAGGCAGACAATTTCCATCTTCCTGTTTTTGTTTTATCGACATTTGTCTAACCATCTCAAAGGCTTACTTTTGTCAATTTCTCAACCGTTTCCACTCGGCGTATATTCTGATTGGTAATGCTCTACGGCTCAGTCTCAGTCTCGGGTTAAATTATAATGTTCCGCAAAGTCAAAAATTGCACCAAGTGGAAAGGGAGCATCGTGTTCGCATATGGTGGACGATCTATATGCTCGACCGCTTCTGGGGGTCAAAAGCAGGATTCCCTGTCCAGATCCATGATGACGATGTCCACGTTGACCCACCTTCTAGCTTGATATCTGATGCTTATCCTGAATATTTCTCAGCTGGAGGTAGTGAATATCAAACGGCGACCATAGATCTTGCCAGAATTATAGGGAACACGACCAGAGAAATATACAGCCGCAAGAAGTCAACCGAAAGCTTTCTCCAGCGTGAGCAAAAATTGCTCATCCAGCTGAAGCAATGGGTACAGACGCTCCCAGAAAATCTCAGGCTCAAGGCAGATAGGCCAAATTCGAAATATACAGTGTTTTTGCACCTCCAATTCAGTTACGTGAGTTTCTTGACTTCTAACCGTTGGCCGCGTTTTTCTATCAATAAATTAACTTATTGCAGTGTGTGATATTGGCAATCCGACCTGTCTTGCTTAATCTACTCGTTTGTCATATCAAAAATAATTTCTCTCCACCAAATGAAGAGATTACTCCAATCATTGGAGTTTTGAGCGAAGCTTGCATTCACGCTGCGCGGTATTGTTTGAAATTATGCGTCGAGGAATGGACAAGTGGATCAGCTTCATTTTTTGGTTACGCTTTTCCGGCCTATTTGTTCTCTTCGGCGTTGATACTCACCATCTCAAGTCTTCTGCCCTTGGGAGACCCCAACGATATTGCATCGGTCGATATCGCAACTGAGATTTTAAGAGTTCTGAGCGGCTCCCACAGCCTAGCGGCTAAAGATCTCTACGAGCACCTTCAGCGAGTTCGTCTTTGCTTGAATCGCCGCCTCTCTACTCCTCCACTTCCCCCAACAGATGATGTGAACATTCCTCCCATTCCCGATTCCTCAGTACGGCTGCCTCTTGAACACCATAGCCCCTTGCCCTTATCCGGGGCCTCGATGGACTACAGCCAGCTCCCTATTGAAGAAGCTGGTGATACTCTGAGTCCTTATCTAACGACTGAAATGACCCTGCGAAATCCCTTAATGCAGGACTTCCTTGCTCAATCCAGTCTCGATGTGGGCTCTTTGGACGCACCGGAAATACCGAATGACTTTGACGCAGCTTTCGTTTGGGCAGGTAACATGTGTACAGAATAGATCACGTGTTTTTTATACATATAAGGCTTCAATTTTTTCTCGCACATATTCATCCTTTTTGGGGGTCTTTGGACTAATTAGTCGGTATTTTTGAGAATCGCCGATCGAAAAGTGGGGGAAACCGCTAGTACCTCGAACGGCCTTTTTCACGCTGGCCGTAGTCCAACATATTCAGATCCACTCAATGATCTTAGATGGTTTGCTGATAAATATTGAACTTAGAACACCCCGTCCTCTTCTCTGCAGTATTTACTGGCGCATCAATGAAGTTTCAATATGAGTATTCGTTTTTCAAAGTCTCCAAGACCGCAGATGTCTCGGAGGCTGCTCAAAAATATCGAGATCTTCGACTACGAGCTTTGAAAACCTCGCCCAATTCATTTTCATCCACATATGAGATCGAGGCTGCCTTCTCTGAATCCGACTGGATTGATCGTTTGACAGTAGCCGATCGCGAAGTCTTCATATGCGCCGCAACTCCAGTGGTCAGAGATACGACAATTCCCCCGCCCGTTGAATGGATTGGTCAAGTCACACTACGTGGGCCAATTTCCATGGCCGATTTCACCCTACCCACTGAATCTGGGCAAACGGAGTTGAAATCAGATGCAGAAGAAGAAAGATGGCAAATGCTGAGTCTATTTACGCTTCCAGAGCATCGTGGGAATGGTCTTGGCGGAAAATTATGCCAGGTGGCGGTCGACTACTTGCGGACGTGGCAATCGTCGCCTGTTCAAGTACACATCCGTCTCATGGTCAAGCCTGAGAATCACGTCACCGTCAACCTTTACAGCCGCCTTGGCTTTACGACAGTTGGAAAATGTACACTTGCTGAGGCACTGAAGGCGAATGGAGATGGACATCTTTTACCTACTGGTAAGGAGTTGGCTTCTGCGAAATATTCCCAGCGATCGGGGCTTATCATGTCTTTCTTTGTGCACCGTAATTAGAGAACACAATTCAGATTTGCCACAATTATCTTAATTCATATATACTGCTATGATTTCTAGTTTTCTTTTCATAATATAAAAGTGTGGATTGCTCAATAGTCCCTCATCCAGATCACGAAAACTCCAGAATTTCTTGTCATATGTCTATATCAGCCCCGCATCTGCAATCTCAGCAAGGCTGTCGTAGTCTAGCTACAATAATTTATATACAGTTCATATCCCCCCCTTCTCTAGTAACCCTTGGCCTCGCCGGGCGGGAAAAAGCCGGTAAAGTAGTCAACCTTTCCAAGAGGAATGCCCTCCTTGCGCAGAATTCCGTAAGCGGTCGTGAGGTGGAAGTAAATGTTCGGCAAAGCAATGCGATGGGCATAAACAGCGTTGGTAACATCAATTGAGACAGTAGGCGCAATCTTAGTGGGTCCGTCCTTGTCGTAATTTTCGTTGATGTAGTTCTTGTCGGCTTCGTTAAGCGACTTCCGCACTGTTTCGATGCGCTCGTGGAATTCCGCGAACGTCAACGGGCTACCCTCGTAAGTCGTCGGCTCCCGACCAGATACCTTCGCTGTCAAATTCTCCGTGAACTGAACAGCAAGGCGAATCTGATCAGTCAGAGGATACATGTCTGCATGCAAACGAGCCTCAGGGAGAGCGTTGGCATTGGGGGCTTTCTCAGCTTGGTGGAGTATATGTGAAAGTGTGTCGAGGACGCTTTGAAGCACCACAATAGTGCCGTCGTAGAAAGTGTGACCCATTTTGAAATTCGGCTGATTGTGTGGTATTTAAACAGAAAATTTTAGTTAAGAGAGGAGTGAAAAGAAGAACATGGTCTGAAACCCATTGATAAATGTTGTGAGTCTTACAGTTGGGGGCGATGCGCTAGGACTAATGGGGAAATTGTTTCGCGAGACAATCTTAAGTAATAGCTTGACATGTCACAGTTTCTCAGAGATTCTATGTCTCTATATATATGGTTGCGTATAATTAGACTCTATAATCAGTGCTACAAGTTCCACGCTTTTAGTTATTTCAGTATCGCAGCGCCGTGAAATATGGTGAAATCGAATCAAATATCAAATTGTAGCCCTTCGATTTTCACATCTAAACACCCCGAAAGAAACTAAACTCGATACTACTATAACCGCTTGACTAAAGTGCTGTCATAAGCTAAGGAAGCTCGTATTTCCTGCAAACACACTGTCAAATAAACAAGAAATTCGAAAACTAAGAATCTTAATGGAACTTCAATAAAAGTTATGCCTTGGCTCGGGTGAGGCGGCTCTAGCTTAGTCTATGATCAACAATTAGCATCTACAAGGCTGTTTTCTATTTTTCCCGTGTCTCTACAATAATGGTGATCATCGTCGTGGTGATATTGGAGAAATATTTAAATATATTCCTGGCCGCCTTAGGTAGGTATGGGTGTGGTTGGAGCCGCAACTCAAACTTGAAGGCCCGAGGTACTAATACTAAACATGCCCAGGTGCTTTCTGCTCTTTATGATTCAGAAATTATGCATAGCGTCACAGTCTTCTGTCTTGAGCGAGTTACCTAGTAGGTATAATGGTGCAAATAGCGTTCGAATCTCGAGAGAGCGATCCTGAGACAGTCTTCAGGTGAAACATTGTTCACTCCCCGCCACTCTGCGAATATACGCTCATCGAGTCGGAGCTCATCGGGTTTCTTTGCGAACTGCAGGGGCTATTTTCTGCGAGTCATTTCTATTTTAATTGATTCAAATTATTGGCAGAAATAAGATCAACTTCCTGAGTGAAAATGCTATGTAAACAAGTAGAGTAAATCAACGATGTAACGCTACGGAGGAAGTGTGGGGTAAGGGATGAACAATCCGGTTAACAACCCTCACGGAGATAATTTCTCCACTGGAAATTTACTGCATTTATGCCTGGGGCTTCGAATTAACCCAAATTTTTAGAAAAGGCATTATTCCCTTCATGGATCAGGCAATGTCATATAAATTGGCCGTCTTCCGTGGCGGCCACCGATATAGGTATACAGTAATTGACGATACTCGGGGGGAACCTCACATCAGAATTAGCACCATGCGACTGAGAGACATTCTAATTGCTGCCCTTTTGAGTTTCGGGGTTGACGCTCAAGATGACACACTTGGTCTCAGTAGTGGATATACGTCCTTGTCAACGGCAAACTTTGACATCAAACTTGTAAAGGACTCTCAGATTCTCGCTTCTCTCAAGCCAACTGGAGATGATTTTGACTTCTTGCCATTTGACTTCATTTCATACCGAGCGGGGAATGGTCAATATCATAATGGCGATATAACATATCGTTATCGCGCATCAGGAACTACTCGTTGGCTTGCGGGCGATTCGTCAAGCACAAGGGAAAATGTGAGAGAAATAGATTCTACAGCACTTGCTGCCGCAGACCTTGCGTCTACATTGCCGAATGGCTCACCTCTTCAAGTTGTTCGAAAATGGTTGGATGTCGATGGCGACCTAGGCCTATCATTCACCTTGACAAACAAAGGAAATTCAAGTCTTGAAATTGGAAGTCTCGGGTTTCCAACGGAGTTCAATAGCATTTTCTCCAATCGCACGGCGGATGATATGTCCGCCAAATGCTCTTTGACTGATCCGTACATAGGCTTGGATGCCGGTTATATCCAAGTCACGCCTACAGCTGGAACTGGCGCTGCCTTGATCGTCACTCCACTCCTCAACACGAGCACCTCTTTTGAGGCATGGAGAAATTTGAATGAAGCCAGCACGGATCCTTTGTACTATGGGAGTCAGACCTTTGAAGGTTTCTACGAATGGCAGTCCCATACCAAGGCCTATGCGGAAAATGAATGGTCAAATGTGACGCCTTGGAATGAGCCAAGTTCTCGGGTTCTTAAAACCGGAGAATCCATCACGTATGGGCTTCGATTTTCTGTTGTCAAGGATGGTATTCGGGGTATTCAAAAGGCGGTCCAGTCAACCAACACGCCTTTGACGATCGGAATCCCGGGCTATGTCGTCCCCGCTGATCTCACTGCCCAGCTCTACGTATTCCACTCTGCCATTTCCAAGGTTGAATCGAGTGATGGCGCGTTCAAGATCACGAAGTCCCAAAACAACGCGTTCGCTCTCACGCCGACGGGGTCCGTCTGGGGTCGAACCAAAGTCACCATCACGTACAAAGATGGCAAAGTCCAGACTGTGCATTACTTCGTCACCGAGTCAGCCCCAGCAGTCATCAGCAAACTCGGTGAGTTTTCAACGACATCCATGTGGTATAATGACACCACGGATCCCTTCGGGCGATCTCCATCTGTTATAACATGGGATCACTCCACTGGTGCACAAGTTCTTCAAGAACCTCGAGTTTGGATATCGGGGCTAAGTGATGAGGGTGGAGTGATCTACCTAGCGACCGCAATGAAACAGTTTGGTCTCGCCGATGCGTCAGAAATAGCCAAGCTGGAGCAATTCGCCAACAAAGTGCTGTCCAAGAAAATTCAAAATTCAGACTTCACGGTTCGCAAAAGTATCTTTTTTCTATGAGCCCAAACAACTTCCTGACTACCAGTACGACCAATCAATCAACTGGGACAACTGGTGGTCTTGGAATAAGGATGCTTCGTATGCTACAGATCGGGCATATGACTATATCCATGTTATTGGGGCTTATTGGGCATTGTATCGTGCAGGGAGAGATAACAACTCCGTTCTGAAAGTTCATGACTGGCAGTGGTATCTTGGGCAGGCTTACAACACCACAATTGCCTGCTTCAAGACTGATTCAAATGGAGATGGTTTGATAGGTTACTCACGCCTAGGACTGATGGGCGAGACCGTTGTTGGAGAGCTTCTTGCCGATCTTCAGCGCGAAAATTGGTCAAAGGAAGCAGATGCCGTGGAAGCCGCGATGAAACTTCGAGCTGATGCATGGGAATCTCAGACAGAACCATTTGGGAGTGAGATGGCATGGGATTCGACAGGCCAGGAAGGGATCTACTATTGGAGCAAGTAAGTTATAGCGACCGATGATTTTTTTTTTGTGGAAGGGGCTTCCTAACATTCGACTAAAGCTATTTCAAGTTGACGAATACCGCTACAAAAACCATCGATAGTATTCTAGGATTTATGCCGACAGTGTCGCATTGGGGATGGAATGGGAATGCCCGACGTTATTGGGACTTCATGTAAAATCCCCTCTATTTTTCATTTGGCTGACCCTTTTGCTGACCACCGCACTAGCTATGGAGGGAAGCTACAACGTATCGAAAGAATGATTCACCACTATGGATCAGGGCTCAATGCACTTCCTCTTCTTTCTCAATTCCGCCAAAATCCTAAGGACACTTATCTCCTTCGAGTCGGCTATGGGGGTATTACTGGTCCGCTCAGCAACATCCGCCAGGACGGCTCCATGTATAATGGCTTTCACTCATTCCCAGATACCCTTCGCGGCGATGATTATTCTGGAGACTATGGACCCAATTTCTTGGGCGTCATGCTTGGCTCGGCTTCCTATGTCGTTGATGACCCCGATATCGGACTGGTAACATATGGAGGAAACATGGCAGTGAGCGGTAGCACTGTTACTGTGCACCCGCGAGACGCTGTGCGACGACGAGTTTATGTCGCTCAAATGGGTGTTTACGTCGTCATCAGTGCTGGCCAGATCGACAGGTACTCCTTTGATAAGTCCGATGCAACCACTCTGCGTCTCCACATTGTGTCCGGTCCTGCCAAAGTAGTTAATGCGATTATCTGGGTGGAGACCCCAGGGACAAATGACGAATATGCAGTGACGGGAGATAATAAGAAGACCCGAGAAGGATGGCAAGTAAAGCTTGGTTTTGGGGGAGTAGATGTCACTGTCTCCAAGCAATGATCGAATCGAAGCAACAAGGATCAATCATACTAAGTATGCACCCTGTTTTATTTCTTTCCTGCGCCATTCATTCGCGGGAATTCCTCCGGGCCCAGCAAGGTGAATCTTGCTTCGACTCTGTGACCTTATATCAGCACTACACATTCTCTAGCATCTGTTCGCTACCATCATGCCTGTGAGAAAATCTACAGAAGATCGATCTACGGCAGATTCACAATAGGAAACTCTAAATCTACATTATTTGGAAGCATTATACCAAGAGTAAACAATAAACGTCTTTATGACGTTTCCATGATATAGTATAGACCGGAAATCCAGGAAAATCTGGGGAAGCGCGCGGTTGAGATCCCGACCAGTCAAATCCAAGCTAAAATATTACTAGCGTCATGATCCCTGGATAGCTTATTGTACAAACTGAACATTCTGCCCTTTGTCATATTACGGAGATGAAAGACTGAACAATTTTCTTTCGAGCAACAGCCTTTCCCCCTTTCTAAGAAATTCAGACGCTGCTAGGTACGCTTTTGAAGATTGGAGGCCTAAGCACACAGGGTCCCGATTTTGGTTCACGATCGTCCATCACGAGGATCACCAAAACTGCCCACTCGCGTTCAGCTAATTATCACGATAGTATGTAAGCCCGAGAAAACTTCGATGGTTTTCTTGTCGATGCTATGGGGACCTGCGATGTGCTGTGTCCACAAAAAGAGGATTCGCATACCCCTGCATGGCAACAGATCGGCAAAGATTTGCCACCACCGCCCTGGTGACCCATAGTCTTACTAACAAATCAGCACGCCAGTCCTCCGCGTTGCTCCTGTCGCTGCTATTTGGGGTGTCCGGGGCTCCATGGTCTCCATTTCTGTTTTCGTAGTCCTCCAGGCAGTTGAGATCGTCAACGTTTTCCGATAATCGGCGATAGTACGGCCATCGCATGTGACCCACCGATTCTGAGTCACGACCCTCGGGGATCGCGGCGAGATGGCCGGAAGATGATAATATTGGGGATGATGGCAAGGAGTTCAAGGGCCTTTCTAATCTACCGGTTTACGGATACACAAATTTGAATGAAAAGGATCGGAGTCAATCATGATTGACCAGCAAAAAGATTCTCAGTGTAGATTAGATAGATATAGGGCAGTAGCTATATACAGAAATTCGGTTTTGGTCTATGGATCGTAAATTTGTCGTGAAGTCATAAGTCGTTATATCGGTCGGATGATATGCAGTTTCGGTAAACCGGAGAGAAGTAAAGGTACCGCGGTGATGAAGTCCAAGAAATTGATGGGAGAGCCAACTCAGCCAGCACAGGGAGAGACCGTGACACAGCAGAAGTTCTTATTGGAATCCATGCAGTCCTGGCTCTGAACCAACATACCACTGTCTGCGTTGGTTTTTGTTGGTGGCGTAATCTCAGCAGGGGGTTCGACGACGCGAATGACAGTGTTCTTCATCATGAGATCTTCTTGCTCGTCGATGCTGTCCGGTTCGTCCTCGTCGTCGGTTTCTTCAAACTCGAAAGAGCTAATGCGGGACTTCATATCGTTCTCAGTCCATTCGACGGAGCCACAATGCAGGCGGAAGTGTGCAACACAGCGACGCAGGTTGGGGTCAGGGGCGGTGGCTTCCCGGGCCAGTTTCTCTTTGGAAATGACCGTGAGCTTATATGGAAGTGCGTTTCGGTTGGCCATTGGGGGCCAGCGTTTGTTGTTTCTGAAAGGTTGAAGAGGAACTGCACGAGCAGGAGACGGCGACTTTGGTTGGGCGCGGGCAACGGTCATCTGGACCGATTTATAGTATTGTTGGAGGTAAACGTGGTGCAGTGTTGGATAGAATTTGGAGCAGAAGTCAATCGGCTGTGGAATTGTCCAGATGTTCGATATAGATGGATATGATATAGGTTGATCACGAACGCGGACAGGTGGAGAGTTGCGAAAAGGAGTAAAAGAAAAACCAGGGAGGTAAAAAAAATGAAGAGCACCCAGACTTATACGGGCGGATCTGCGGCGTGGGGAATGGAATGCAAGCGCCCAAGCCCACAACCCACAAGCCCACTTAGGTTCGAGTTGCCGTGTCACCAGGTCCAAGTCTTTCTTCCAAGTTCGGTTCTAGACTCAGCCAACGCAGACAACGCAGCAAAAGGGTTCCTAAGCACTGACCAAGTGGCGCCCGGCTTCGGCGGTTTCTCGACACCGCTGGACAATCGGAATTTATTCCATGAAACATGTCTGTGGTATTGTCTAATTGTATTTTTATAGTCTAAGTATCTCCTCTAAGTTTTTCCAGATCAACTTCTCTTCCTAGCAATAAATGGTGATATTTGGTATGGGTTTTAGGGTGGTGGAAGTGTGACCGGCTAGTCGGCCCTCAGGAGGCGAAGACCAAGTGGAGCCCACCGTGATCAGTTGATGCTTCGAAAAATTTTCGGTGGAGACCTTTCGCAGTAGCTTATCTGTTCTTCGACCGCCTAAAAACAGAATGTCGCACGGGGTAACTCACGATCTCCACGGATTACCGCGTCAGGAAATCCGAACCCCCTCACCCTTTGACAACTCGCAACCGGAACGTTAAATTTGACAGTTACCAACTCATCCCTTTCGACCAAATTATTATTTTTACATCTAATTTATTATTATACCCCTTCTCGACTTTCTTCAACCCTGAATCCCAACTCGAAGCTCTTGAAACTCTGCAGTGACTCAGCAACCCAAGAGGCAGGAATGCCGAGCTTCAGTTCCACTGCATGATTATTAAGAACATTCAGCATTCCCCATTCTCCGCGCTTTCCGGGGCTTTGAAGGCTTCTGGAATCGCCGTGAACGGCCCGACTGCACAATTCAAACCCGACAATTTCATCTCCATTGGCTCTATCATATTCAATGCCCCCAACTGTCGCCACACCTCGTCACACCTGCCACGATCTTTACAGTCGACACTTGACGATCCCCCACTTGGGTCGGTCTGAAAGCAGCCACCGATAGTGGAATGGCGGCGGATTCCTTCCCTCGAACAAAAGGAGACCCGCTTAAGACTTTTCCAGCCAAGCATCGTGAAACCTTGGAACGCTACCCTTTTTTAAAGTGGACCGCGTCATGTAATCGGCGACACGCCTAAATGGCGTGCTCGGATATTTCATCCAGAGTCGGATTGGAAATATCGACATTGCACGAAGTACGGAGTAAGGAGTACGGAAATGAAAGTGCTAATAGACAGCAGCAAAATCTATTTAACTCATGATGCTAATTTCAAATTGCGGTGCGAACCGAGACGACAACTTGGAAGTTTCGCTACAACGAATAAACAAAAAGGGGTCAACTACACTACGCGAGTAGGGAGGCTCACTACTAGTAGCGCTTCGCGAGACCTGGGGCATTGACCAAGGAAAATTATATCTTCACCCGGAGCAAGCATCTCCGAAAAATGACAGAAAAATGACAAGCATACATAACTGCCTTCAAGTTCAAGTTGGTACCTACCGAAAGCATTGGGGAAAAAGTCTATAACAAACCTTGCAAACAATAACAAATCGTGAGTAAACGATCAACAACATAGTCTGTCAGCCCTGAACGATTAAATTGCGGACAATGAACTCAAAAATATTCAAAGCAGACAGGAGGCACCCGAAAAGATACTTTTTTAAGTCTAGCATTATGTTTTTCGCTGTTTGCGTTACCATGCTATGATCTCCATAGATGCTCCTCTTCGTGGAGGGCTCCTATCCTCCTGTGAAGCCTCAACTTGAATGTGCCTAACGCAATAAAATTACCTGGGCATACTGCACTCGTCTTTTTCTGTTGGCTGGAATCTCGAGGATTACTAGTACCGAATGTGCTAGTACGGAGCGAGCTAGTCAATGGCCAACTGATCGTATATCACGTCCTCGGTAGTATAATTCCGGATCAATAATCATAGTCGTTGGTATCTCTATATACTCTTTATCTACATCTATTCGAGTTCCAGCTTGTCTATGCTACTCACCAAGCCGCACGGGCTCAGCCCCAATCATGGTCTGGCTCAGAGGTCGCCATGCCGCAGTACAATTGTTTTTACTTTTGTTTCGGTCGATGAACCAGCTGGGGCGCTTACTTCATACTAACTCGGGCGTTTATCGCTATGACCGTCTCAATAAACGAACGGCTTTCATCCACGTCAGGCATGGCTGGATATCATGTATATTGTTATGTCTCAGACCGGTCGGGGCACAGACATGTGGCTTGGTGCCGAGTCGATGCGTACAGGCGTGGATGGCGAATAATCCCAGAGAATAATTTCAAACTCTTGGGATAGAATCGCGGTGCATTCTCACTACCACCTATGTGTTGCAAGTCAGATCAATATTTTGTGCATTATCGCGGAAAGTCGTACTGTTAGTGACAGCTGGTCGTCAGCTGCGATGGTAAGCCTCAATATGGTCAGCCCCAGCACAATGCCCCGCAATACCCATCAGACAATCTGATAAATCCAAGCGACATGCAAAAGCTAATGTTTTGCATTCTTAAGATGCAAAAATTAACTATTTTCACAAAGTACGAGGTTAGAAGCAAATTCACAAGTTTATGGTTTAGACTCTGTGCACTAACATGCTCCCACCGGGATAACCCCATCAACCACCACAACTCTCTTCCATGTCAACTCCACTCCAAGATTACTCACATTCCAGTTCCCAACGGACACTACTGCACATCACCGGATGACTTCTCAAACCCACCAATTTCCATCCCGATCTATTGGTCATGAGCTCAAGCTGCCCCGTGCGCGACCAAAACGCACGTCGCTTCCCGGCTCCAGCTGCAGCCTGAAACATTCCTGGCGCTCACTAATGCACGAACACGACCAACGATCACCGTGATAACATCCCAGGAGGGGTAGCGAGGACCCGATTCTCTTCAGACTACCCTGGCTGCGCGGCATCGAACCTGGAAATATTGACAGTCACCAGGTTGACAAGAGCATACCCCTGGCTGGTTCCGCTCATTTGGTGAGCGTTTACCGTTCTCCAAGGCAAATCCCCCGAGTCCACTATCGGATGTAAGAACTCAATCCGTTGTCTCGGAGTCGAGGCCTTGTTACGATTCGGACTGAAAGATTCCCATAGTTACATCCAGGGATTGAAATGGAAAGTGCCACTGTGATAAACTGATCGCACATATTTGATGTCTGGTTCGATGGGTCTTGATTATGTGCAGGTCCTCAGATATGTGTGATTGGCCATTCGTATCTAGCGGGGACTTTCAAAAAGAGCATCTGGAACGTTGAAATAGATTGATGGTGCTTGGGCCGAGTGACAGAGTTTGAATTTGGCACTTGAGGCTATTCCGGAAGACCCTGGAGCTGTCGTGGATTTTGCTCTGGCCTTCCCCATCAATGCAAACCGTGCAGCGCGTGGCGTTGGCTGCGACACGCAACGCTCCGACCTAGGGCCGTTTCGTTCTTCGAACCCTGGCTAAAGTCTATACTTTGACTCAGTATATAGCCAAGTCGGCAACACGAAAGCGCTCTTCGCGCGTGATAAGGATTTGTCCACATGCCACACACTAACAGACATGCGGTTCCTTTCCTTGCCAGTCCAGAGGAGGCTTTGATCTGCTTCTTGGCTTTACCGCGAACGATGATTCGATTAATTTGGATAGCGATCACTCTTTCGACGCCCCTCGCGTCGCAAATTTTGATCCATGCCTTCGCTTCTTTGTTTTGTGTCTCGAAGAGGGGGTCTCCCGGTTAAGCTTTGTGATTAGCAGGTTCACCGTCGCCCAGTTCAGTTGCAGTATACGTTGATTGGTATATGCTTTTGTGTCGTTGCATTCAAGAGACAGGCAACGTAAACTCTGCTGGTCAAAGTTGAGTCAAGATTGTCTTAAGTCGGGATGCTGGACTTGGTGCTGTCAACCTGTCTGTCATGTCATGGATTGACGATCACATCGTGCTGACGAATGTGGTTATTCCGAGTCCCATTATGTGGACTGATGGTGCAACGGGCCGCCTCAAACACACTTTGAAGAAGGAATTCAGAGTTAGATTGAAAGTTTCGTGATTGCACTCTTCTATGCCTATGTTACCAGAGAAAGAGGAGGAATTTTCGACAGTCACATCACTACATAGCTTGCATGAAAGCTGGCGGATGGCGATATTATATGACTACGTGCATATGGATTGATGCTCTCGCGCTGTCCAGAAAAATATATAGATCTGCCTGGAATTTAGTGCTCGTCGTTGCATTAACCCGTTCATCATATCATGTTTCAGAGATATGTCCTACCTGGTCGTGAAGACGATATCCCGGGTTACATCCGAAGCCGTGGATCACAAAGCCCCTAGCTTCCAAGTGTTGATCCCGCGTCTCATTTAGAATATTCGAACACAGGGACCCTATCACAACGGGGAAACATCAGAGTTACCTCAAGTTTCTCGGGTGGCCCAAAGTTGCCTTGGCTCTGTGCAACGAGGAGCAGAGTACCGGAGTCGAGCAAGTAAACGGCAGCGATGCAGACCGACTGTTGTGAGACCCGGTGAGCCCATTACGTGAAGCAAAGATTCCCACTTTGGACTCGCGCATTCAATAATTGCATCAGATTAATTATCGTCATTGGGCGATGCTATGCATTTCCGTCTCACAACCATTGGGGACTGTTCACCATCGTATATGAAGGCTTGGTGGGCGATCTCGCGCCTATAGTATTTGGAATCGCGCGCATGGACCGTTGATCTTCTCAAGTGACCGTTTTCCAAGGTCATCTGCTCATTCTCGATCGTGGGGCTTGCAGCTTGCGAACGTGACCGTTCCAACCCCTCCATGGGAGAACCTGGCGAAGCGGGAGCATTGTTTCTCAAGCAAAAACCGTCGCAACGGTATACAGACTGTCTTAAAATATACAGCAAAAAAAAGCGAAAGGTCATTTTGATTATTATTATTGAGGGAGGTCTGAGAGATATTACCCAGGCTGCCCACGATCTTCAGGACATGATGGCCGCATGGGCATTAATGCTCGAGTATTCTCAGCACTCACTAGCTCGAAATAGTCGTTAGTCCGACTTATCCGGCTGACAAGATGCGGCCTGAGCTCCTCCCCCGGCAATTCCCAGATATCTCACTTATTCTGTCTCTTTTTTCCGGTAAAATATTGCCTGGGAGAGAAGGAGAGTGGGCGGGTGAGCAAAGTCGACGCAAAAACAAGGAATGGTTATCTTCCTTGTTTGCAGGTTCACTTCGGACTATGGTTGCTAGTAGTAGTTAGTATGTATGTTAGTATCTATCACCGCTAGTGTTGTCGACCCGATTAAATCCGGCTGCATGTCGTCAATGCGGATTGGCTATTATGTTAGGTTTTTGCAGAAACGAAGGGCCCATGCCCCGCCCTCGTCGCGATTTATGCATGACCTTGGCCGAGCTCAGAGTATATCGTCCGGACCAAGGTTCTCCCCCGCGGCATTCTGAGTAGTAGATCACAGTCGATCACGTCTTTCAACTTTCTCTTGTGCTTTTCAAGTCTAACCCTTCGTTGCTTTACGTCTGCCTAGGCAATAGCTTCTAAGACACCTCAAGTTACACAGTCTAGATTGGTCGAGCGCGATCAGAGCCCTGGGAGACCTATCACAGCTAGTAGTGTTTCTCGCTGTGTGATGGAAGCGCGAAAGGAGTCAGGAAGGCACGACCTGAGAGTTGAGTAAAACGAAGACAGGGTCCAGGTTGCTTTATAGTCCAGAACTGGCAATAATTTTTTCCCCAATGGCACACTGACTCCGAGTCGGACCCATGGTCTTTTTTAGCCTTTATTCTTATTTTTTATTATCAGTCTCCGTTTTCAAATTCCCTCGATTGATTGCTATTCCCATTGGCTTTATTTTTCCCCTGCGTCCATCGCGGAATGGTCGATTTCTAAACTCTTTTGTACTACGGTTACTCCCCCCCCCCTTCTTTCTCCTGTCCACGCAGGGTCCTAAATCTACCAACCCCATCTTCGATCGTGGTGTTACGTCGGGAAAATCGAGGGAAGTTGGCTGAAGCCAAAAAAGGAAAGTGAAAAAAAGGAGGGAAAAGAGGTAAATCAATAAGACGAAAAGGAATAGGCCCAAAAAAGACCAAGAACCGAGTTAAGAGGTGCAGAGCCCGGTTTCACGACGATCTTATTTGTCTTTTTACCCCTCCAGCCCCGACGCCGCGCGCCATACCCGCAACCCGGCACGTTTCTTAGGACAAAAAGGAACTTGCTCCCAGATCGAATCCTTCAAGGCACCCAATATCCGATCATTCCTATGCACTGGGCACGGCACATCCCGCCTTGTTGCTCGTACTCATCTTATGGGCGGATGATGAGCTAGAGGGAACTGAAATTTGTCACTTGTCATTATTTTCTCCATTATTCATTATTCATTATTCATACCTCCGGCGACCATTAATCATACTTCCCCAACCTCGTGACCAATCACGCGACGCTATCCACTTTCCCCTCCTCGCGGTATTCCATCTTACCACAGGACCGGTGCAGACCCTGTGGATACAAGATAACCTTAGTATCGTCATATCAGGAAGTTTCCATCAACAGGCCCAAGAGTATCAACAGTATCTTCAGTATCTTGATACTTTTTATCAAGAGTGAAGTATATACTCACGTGCTCTCACGTGCCTCACGTGAAATCAGGCAGAAAGTTCAGGCTTTAAGGCATCAATTCTCACCGCCTCGCCCCTCTCAAACCCAAACCCATCAACCACGACCAAAAGCTTCAGTTTGACCTCCAACCTTTCCCGCCGATCGACCTCAAGAGGCCGGAGCTCTCGCTGCATGCAAGCTTAGCCCTACCCGCTTTCTTGCGCGTTTCTCCTCCCCTCCATCGCGACATCTTCGACGCGCCTTCTCGCGGCCTGCGCTGCCGTTCGACCCCCGTGCCTTTTGACTATGTATGGCACGCCTCATTCTCTCAACACGATGAACGGAATGGGAGGAGAGGTCGTTGATGGCTCAGGAACTATCGATCCGGCAAATTTAAGCAACTCTGGTATGTTGTGTTGTCTCCCTGTGCGCTCTGTCATTCGTCCCCTTTCGCGCCTTGGTGTTCAGTCTTGCTTCTATCGCGACTTATCTTTCGCGCAAACCCCGACCCCCACGCGCGCACACAATCGCTTCTTTGCGATTTGTCCTGAGATCGCGTGCGCGCATTTTCCCCTGACTATCCTTTGCATTCTATTACCATTTTTCCTGTCGCCCGCCTTCAAACTGATACCCCCGCTAGTCTCTGGTTTGCCGGCACCATCCCCTGCTGAACCAAGTCCCCGTGGTATCAAGCGTAGTCGCACCCCTGATCATAGTGGGAACGGACATACAGAAGGAGATCAGGATGATGGTACGTGCGTCATGGGCAGAGAATGTGTCGTCACGTTGTCTTCCGAAAAGCCATCGTGTCCGCAACTTTCCGTCACTTGTCATGTTCTTTTTGTTCGGTCGCATTTGGCTTTGGATTCTTTTGGTGGACTGGACTAACTCATTTTCTTTTCATTTTGAACAGAAGACCATAGCCGTCGCAAGCGGGGCCGTCCCCCAAAGACGCCGCGAGCAAGCTCCAGTGAGCATCCCACCACAGGCACCCCGATACAAACGCCGCAGATGCAGTCCCGGCCGCTTCCCCATCAGTCTGCTGGGTCGCCACAGCTCGCTTCACCTCCGGATAAGGTAACACCGACAAAGACGCTAGTAAAGGCACTTCCGACCGTCCGAGACCACACTTCCGACCAGTTGAACGACGAAGGCGATGAATATATCCCCAAGGAGTTCGATGAAGCGGGAGAGACGAAGGTGGATGCTATGGGATATCCACAGGGAGCTCGTGAATACAAGTGTCGGACATTCCGTGTACCGAATCGAGGCGAGAAGCTTTTTATGCTGGCTACAGAGTGCGCGAGAGTCTTGAACTACCGTGATTCGTACCTACTGTTCAACAAAAATCGATCTTTGCACAAGATTATCGCATCCCAGATCGAGAAAGACGACCTGATCCAGCAGGATATCCTTCCGTATTCTTATCGATCCCGCCAAATTGCGATTGTGTCTGCTAGATCTATGTTCCGTCAGTTCGGTAGCCGAGTGGTTGCCAACGGTCGACGGGTTCGGGATGACTATTGGGAGAGCAAGGCCAGGAAACAGGGTTTCACTGAAGAAGATATGGCGGGCGAGAAGCGTCCCGGTGCTGCTAAGACTAGGGATGGAGCAGCCACCGAAACTGAACGTCACAATACGCTACCGGCACTCCCACATAACGATGTTATCTTCAGCAGTGTCGTCGAGGCCTTGCCTCCAGGTCTCTCGTTAGATGTGACTGATGCCTCTTCTGCCCTGGGACAACTTCCCATGATCCATATGGCGACAACAGAGGACCACCGTCTACGGGACTACATGTCACATCAACAGGTGCGCCAAGAATTAACAGGTCAACCCTATCAAGACCGCACGCAAACTAGTACCGGTGCAGAAATCATTCACCAAGCTCAGACTGCTGCCGACTTCAACCGTGCTCTGGGAGCTCAACGAAACCTCCGCTTGAAAGGACTCGAAGAATTCTACAGCAAACCACGGGAAGCGCCAGAAACGGATCAGCCACAGTCAAGCACCGCCCTCGATTCCGGTCTTTCTGTATCACAACCTCTTCAAACTGCTCAGGTCCCTCCCGCAGGAATGGCAAACCCCGTTCAGGCGCAGCCTGTGATGCCCCATCATCAACAGCCCATAATGGCTCAGCAAGCTTACGCCCAACACCAACACCAACAAGCCATTGCGCAGTCTCCCGTTCGAGGTATCCCAGCGGGCATGCGACCCGATCTCATGCATCAACGATCCAACCCATCTATGCCTGCTGGCGTGGCACAACCCCCTTACGGATATCCTTCGCAGCAGCAACAACAGCAGATGTGGGGTCAACCTCCTCCACAACCACAACCTTCACCCATACCTTCAGGCGCCCAGGGTGTAGGCATGCCTCAATATGCCCAGCAAATGGCAGCTGCTCCCCAGCAGGCACCATCGCCAATCCACCATGCCCAACAGCCTCATCAATCTCCCCGCAATCAACACCGTCCATCTGTGCCGCAAATGCAGCAACAATTTCAGATGCAACACCCGCAAGCGCAACAACAAGCCATGGGACAAATGTACCCCGGCGGTGCTCCTGCCGGCTACCCCGCGATGCCGCGAGGGATGTATCCCTCGAGTCAAGCCAGCCCTGGCGGTCAAGCCTACATGGGACAACCTCAGCAACACCCCGGTATGGCGGTCAACATGGGAGCTGCTGGTATGCCTGGGTGGCCGCCTGGTGCTGGGCCTGGTGGGGCTATGCAACCCGGTCAACCCCAGCCAGGTCAATCAGGCAGCCCGCTTGGAGGGTGGTCAGGATACTAGATTCCAGCTCGGCGTTATCTAGAATGGGCATTTTTCAAGGGATTTGATATTTCGCTTCAGCATCACAGAGACACCCCTTTTGTTTGGTTTCTGACCCTTGCTCTCTCCCGTTCCTTTCCCTTTGTTTTTTTTGGCCACGTTTCGATGTTGTGTATGTTCTTCTCTTTCTGACGCCCCTTGCATCTCGTATCTGCTTGTGTGCAAATCCCTCGACGAAGAGGGGGGAGTTCTTCGATAATGTTAATCCGGGCCAACCTCCCTATACCCTCTTGTTGTACCCGGTTGGGCTCGATTCTCGATCGAGATACCCATTTTGCTCTTATTATTCTTATGTGTCCATTTCTCTCCATTTTCTTCCTGTGGTATCTGGCGTTTCCTCATTGACTGAATTTGACTTGATCCGGCGTTGATGATATTGCCGATTGATTTTACAGGATTACTATGAGTATGTACTTTTTTATGTTGAAATTCTTTCTGTGATTCTTTATCCTTCCTTGGTTCTTCTCCATACATGGTCATTGATAGATGGAGATATTGGTTTCCTTGCCATGATGGAATTGAGGTTCCATCCAATGGTTTGTTTCCTTTTAGGGCAAAGCCAAGCTTTGGTTTGTCGCCATTCTTCACGCAGAGGATCTGCGTCTCCTCTCATCGGATATTCTCTCTTCTCTTCTCTATCCTTTTGAACGTTGCGGTCGACCAGTTGTGCGTTCAAGTTTTCTTTTTGTATGGTCTTGCTCTGTTCGCTTGTGTATTACCTGTCTTCCGAGATTGACTTCCCCCTGGGTGTTTCTATCTGTCTTACTCAGAGTCTCGTGAATGTCACTTTTTTTACTACTCTCCTATGGAACTTGAATCCCCTTCAGCTGTCTATATTCCAGATGTTTTTTTTAAGTTTATGGTTTCTTTGTCTTTTTTCTCTTTGCGGTCCAATTCCTTTCTCCTGCCGCTCTGATAGCCACAAATTGATAGTGACACCTCGCTGTGCTTTTGTTTGTCTTGGAATAGATCCATGATTTGTCAAAGTTTGTTTTGACTAACTCTGCGATCCATGGGTGTGATTAACATTAATGAACACTGACTAACAACCAAAGTATCATATGTATTTATATATATACATACATTACATACCTAGGTGAAAAATGATATAACTACGCGTAAAAAAAAAAAAGCAAAAAGAGACGTCCCCGGGAAGGCTCGAACTTCCAACCTCTCGATTAACAGTCGAACGCGCTAGCCAATTGCGCCACGGAGACGTGCTTGTTGAAGAGTGGCGGACATTCTTGTTTCATATCCTAGTATGTTCAAGCTCCCACCTAGGTAACCCGAGAATCTTCCGTGGGGATGGAAGGTTAAAGGTAAAGTTCAATGTTCCCCGCACATATCAATAGTCATACTACTTTTCATCTTCGAAATATCCCCAACTTCACCTTCATAACCCCCCGAGACTCAACAAACCTGCTTACATTCATTTCCCCCTCATCTCACATTCTCTGCTGGCTACGATAGGCTGTACCAGCTTCGCAATGGTCCCCACATAGATGTAACGAACGCAACTTGCACCACCGCACCGCACCGGAGAGGTCCGAGCGGGGCGTCAGGGGCAATTTTTCATTCGAACCTCACGACGCGGACTAGCTTCTCCGATCATCACCCATTTGCGACTGAGTACGGTTGGGGGAGTACACATTACCTAGGTATTCCTTGTCCGAGTCATGCCGTCCGGTCAGCACTACCAGCCGGAATCCCAGTCAAGCCGGGGAGGACTCGGTGTGGGAGTCCCACCCAAGCAACCCAAATTTGCGAAGGATGCCCCGGATACCAAGACAAAGAATTTAGTCATCCGGCCCCCAGGCGACTTTCTCTGGGTAGATTATCAGGATGACAAGTCCCAAGGTCGTGAATTATCTCGTTCTAAACAGGCCTTTGTAAGGACCCGCCATCATCGCATGCGAAGAGAGAAGCAGCTGCAACAATTAAAAAACCCCACCGATCATCAGGGCCCCTCACCGTCCGATTCAAGTTCTACTACATCTTCTACCTCCTCTACCTCATCTGCCTCTTCTGCCTCTTCTACTACGGCCACCGGACCTGCGAGAAGCACTGCTTGTGTGCCCAAGCATGAAGAAGATTACGATGAAGATGTGCTGGAATGTCGCAACCACTATCCAGCAGCCCGGCAATCCCCATTAATAGTTAACTACATCGAGCCTGGAGTCCTCGATGGAGGTCCTGCTCTGGCCGTCGCCATTAACGAAAACCCCAATATTTACTTCCAACATTGTGAGTGCTGACGACCTAAATCATTGATCACAGTCCAGTCCATTCCATTCCTATCCAGCATGAATCCACACCAAACTTTGCATTCAATTCGCTTTCCACTTTGCCAAATGGAAATATGTTTAACACATTAATTCAGATCGAGTTCATAGCTCAAGATCCTGCTTCCCACTCTGCTCCAGTGGCGTGGTATACTGGTTTTGGGAGAGGGCCCTCGAAGATCCCGCCTTGATGCAAATTAAATTATCAATCAGCGCATCTCACCGTGCTGCGATTCTCGAGTCATGTGGTGCTCCAGCAGACATGATTCGGAAGCCCGCACAAGATGCACTTCGCCTCCGCGTTGGAACGCTCAAATCAGTCCAGGAGCTATTGCAAAATAAAACCAAAGTATACACTGGCTCAACCATTTTTATTATCTCTCATCTGATCGTCTCGGAGGTAAGAAATCTTGTCACCGCCCTTGTCCCTTCACGACTTCTGTCGTCGGATCCTGTTGGAAGAACTACATACTCACATCAATACAGGGCATCGAAGCCAATGTGGAGGCCGTCGAAGCACATATAAATGGCATGGAGAAAATAATTGCTGGGGCAGGTGGAATGGATGCCCTTGACTATGGCATATTGTCTATGGTTTATAGGTAAAGCTCACTGCTCCCACATGCCATGGTATGCAGCTCGATTTCAGGACACATCTAATAATCCCTCTCACAGCTGTGCATTCGTTCGGGGAATGATAACTCAAGCACCGCCGGCGCTTTACATGTGTTCTAAATTCCAGAACAGAGTTTTCAAAGAATCCGCTTTTTTCAAGCTGAACAGTCGATTTACAAAACTATCCCGGTTCTCCAAGCTCGGCACCAGTTTCCTCAACTCACCTTGGTCTACAGATATTCCGCCCATGTTCAAGTCGATCATCTCTCTGTTCCAGCAGCTGGTAACCTATTACGAGAGTTTGGACATCGTCGTTGCCGACCCAATGTCCGTTGAGAATGACTGTTTACTTTTCTTGGGTTATCGGCTACTGGGTCTTCCGTACCAGTGTGAGCTATCGCCGTTTCAAGAAACGCTGCGACTCGCGATTTTGGCCTACGCTTCTGTAAGAGTTTGGAGCTTCTACGGCATGTCTTGTCTGGAGTCTCTTGCCGAGACACTGCGACAAAGCCTGGTCGAGAGTCTTCCGGTGATTCGAAGCACTGCTCCTGATCTGCTGTTCTGGGTTCTCTTCATAGGTAGTCTTGCATCCAGAGGGATGAGGTGCCATTCGTGGTTCCTGACTCGCCTCGTGGATGTGGCAGACCAATTAGGGCTGGAAGGTTGGGGAAGTGCGCTTCCGATATTAGAGAGGTTTTTCTTCGTCTGTCGGTCGAAAGATGAACCCGCCAAAGAGATGTGGAACTCTGCCTTCCGGTGAGACGGCCGGGCGGCAATTGTATAATACTATTAAGAATGCTCATACTAGTGATGAGTTAGTAATGTGTCATGCTTTTATGATGAACATATAGCAACAACATCCAATACCAGGATCTATTCATACCTACGTGATTCAAATTGAAATTTCCCCTTCCGACCTCATGAGTCCTGGTATAATCTCGCTTGGGGCCCAATTTGAACCCGAGTCAATACTCAAATATATCAAGCTGCCCGGGCGCAATAAATCAAATCTTGGGAACGATGAACTTCAACCACCACTAGATAATACAATACCTTTTTCACGGTTGTTGGTCACGATGCCTGACCAGATTCGCCAATGGTGCTGCCAGTTGGGTTTTCCAGCCACGCAAGCATAGCACAGCCAGCGCACACCGCAAACCCGGGCCAGTCCATCCATCCCCACCACCGGCAGCCCAAAAAATAGATTCTATCACAGAGGTAGAAAAGCAAAAAGAGACGTCCCCGGGAAGGCTCGAACTTCCAACCTCTCGATTAACAGTCGAACGCGCTAGCCAATTGCGCCACGGAGACGTGCTTGTTGAAACATCGGGCTGATCTTTGGCTCCACAAGGCCACGCGGCTAAGACCCAAGGTGGGTACTTGGGAAGAATTATCCGCAAGGTCAATTATTGGAAGTGGGCAACTTGAACATGTTGAACGATTTATATTACACTGGGTAGGCATCGAGGTGGTTTTTCCTGATCACTCTCTGGCCAGAGATTGATTCATGGTCATCTTTAACCTTGAGATACCCCACAACTCCCCAGGTTTTGTCTCGATGCTCACCTACCCAGGTGAGCAGGTGTTATATATATATTATGAGTACTACCTACATCGAAGGAGCAGGGAGCTTCTTCATCAGTCCCAGACTAAAATTACAACCTGAAGCTCCAGATTACTACTACTAGTAGTAGTACAAACCCAATTCCGAGGCATTCCTCACCTGCATACCTACTAGGTATTTTCCTGTGTAAGAAAGGACTTCCAAAAAGGCCCAAGATGTCTCTACTACAATAGGACTCGAAGATACCCCAAGTGTTTTATGTAAAACAACCTGGGGAGGTACAGCTTCAACTTTAATGTCAGATACGATTGGGTACGGCGATAAAGCACTAACCCCAATATCAATTATTTCAAGTTGGACAGCAGCTTCAAGGCACAGCTTATCAAAACAAAGCCCTTCCTATTGCTATATATTTTTTCTACTCGGCATATACCCGTCGAATTGTCTTATAAAACCGGGCGTATGAAGATTAATCGCCCTAAAGATAGATTCTTCCTAGCCTCACTACGGAGCCGAGTAAACCAAATCCATATAATGTACTCTAAGCAAAGCAAAACAAATGATGAAAGAGAAGAAGAAAGCCTCAAGTCTGAGCTATCTTCTTGTCAACTAACCCTTTGGAATCTGACCTTATTTCTGATGCCTTGAGCTGAAATCTAGGTGAGAGATCGCTATATCGCCAGATCTAAAATTCCATTGTTTTATGCTGCTAGAATCTTGGCTCTCCTACGATTCGTTCTTCGTGCTACTTGGCGGGCTTGGCGAGAAGCACTGGAAATGAAAAAAAGAACCAGACCATATGATAATCAACTCATCTGGGCTCAGACTATATATATTCCCCTGGCGCTATTTACGCCATAAGGCGCCCTGGGATGGGGTCCGCCGGCGTGACATAGCCACCCCGCAAGTAGATTGGGTTTTTCGCGTGTGTAGATGAAACTGACTAACTGTAGAATGCAGGGGTGTGTCAGCGCTAGACATAGGATCTGAGCCAAGATAGATCTAGAGCTACCAACTCTAGCTGAATCTTTAAATTGTTGCTAGATCTGGTTATCTTGGCAAAAACTGTCTGATTAGTCTTTTGGATTCTAGAGACTGAGCGTTCTAGGTATAGGTATAAAAGGCAGTCGCATCTATCCTATATACTGACTGTACCTTGATTCCACCTGTCAACATCAACTTGGTTAATTATTAACTCTTCCTACTGCTTTGCTTTGAGTATGTGCCACGCTCTTTACCTTGCCCTTCAAACAAGGAAGCTCTAACAACGCAGCACAGAATTCACACCAATATATCCTAATACCAAGAAACATCTCATCACTCTCCTCATGCTCGCAACATCCCTAACTTCCACCTACGCCGGCTGCGACAACGGCGAAATACGGCGTTGCGGGTACCCCAGCTACGGCCATTGCATTATGGGGATTGCAGGCACCTGCCCAACTGTATGCGAAGGCGCAGTCTGTTTCCCAGACAACGACTGTATCATTAGTGTGCATCAGGGTTGTTCCTTTACATGCTGTACGTACACGGATCGCCCTGGGTGCGAATGGTGCGCGGAGTCCTCGGGGTTGGTCCCAAAAGCTATGTGCGATGCAGTTGATTGTCAGTATCAGTTGTCAGATCTTGGTAAGGTGAAAGATACACTTAAATATGTATTGCCTGTTATTACGCATGGTTATGTGCGGAGTGGATTCTATTGGAAGTTGGAAGTTTAATGTTTAGTAGAACTTGAAATTTGTGTTGGATTTCACGGTTTATACATGGAAACTCGATGATGTACGTACTCGGCTGGGTAGTAACAGTAGCATCCATGTGATTCTAAGTATCCATGTCTTCCATTGATATTAGTGCATAGAATGGGGCAAGTGGCCAGTTCACAGCCCCGGTAGTCCGACGTGGTATGTAGTCAAAGTAATCTAAAAGAGATATAAAATGTGTGAATCAGTCGAATCAAGTAGTATAATAAAAATGTAGACTATGACACCGCAGCATGCCAGTGCCAATGGGGTTTCTCTACTATAAATCCAAAGAGTAGGGGTAAAGATAGCGGGTCCGTTAGCCAAGTCCAGTTGCGATATAGTTATGCAAAGCTGCCTGTGGTAGCCACACAAACTACACGAGATCGGGAGAAACAAGTCCCCCCGCTGCCAATTTGCCAAGCCAATGCCCAAGCGGAAACTTGAACAGATGACCGTGGCTCTGTCGGCTCCTCTATCCATACAATACAGGGAACTGATCGAACTAGTAAGGGCAATATACTAAATCTCCAGACCTGATTAACCGTCTATAGTACCAAGTAGGGAGTCGGGGATTACAGCGACAATCGAGATATCCATATGTCTACCTACTATTACCCCTTGAGGCGCGTTGCAGGAAACACGCCTCAGTAATGTCAGAAAAAAAACTCTAAGCCAATCTTTGGTTTCCGACTCAGTTAATTGTGCGAGCGCACTCTTGATCAAGGGCGGATAATTAAAATGTTAGAATATGACCTCACGCCAAAATATTCAGTGATGGGCAAAAAGAGCCGAAGTCGCAAAGGAGGATAAGGAATGAGCTTGGCAAATACCCCACTAAATTTGTCACTCTGATCAGTGTCACTCATAGACTGTTCGTATAATATACGGCACGAAAAAAATCAAAAATTGATTAGATGTAGAAGGAAGCAGCAAGCCAAAAACAGACTCGGCATAAAATGCTTTTGAAAAAAACAAAACATACAACAGCAGGGATTCGCATGTGGTCACCCACCATACTACTAACCTGCCGGCGTGTGGCTTAAGTACGGCTGAGCGGACGGGAAGCCCTGTTCTCCACACCCTATGGTCGTATGTACCAGATATACCACAGAATAAATTCATATAGCACAAAAAGGGGGTAAGATTCGCTTTAGTGTCGCACTAATTAGGTGGGAAAAATGAGCGCAGAATAAATAGATGGGATAAGAAGCAGGGTGATTGCAGGTAAGTATGGGTGTTACACATTGGTCCTTATCACTCGAGGATGATACCTAAGGTACCTAGGTATATATGATATAATTTTACTTTCATGTGGATTTCTAATCTATTGTATAATACTCTTGGGCTCTGGGACAGCATTCGCGTTTGCTGGCTAACCTGAATTCGACACAAGAATTCACATAAAACTTGAAAAAGAGAGAAGAGGGAGACAGAGGAAGTCTGCTTATTGGTCGTATACTGGATTGATGTAAATTTGAGAAACAATTCCCATAGAACATTATAAGATCTAGGACAAGTAAGGGGTGGCATCTTGTCCGGTTTTTCACGTCCTGTAAGTACACTAGATCTAGAGCCAATTCAAAAGCTATATATGCTACTAAAGTGCACTGATTACACTCCTTTCCTGTAGCTCCGAGTTCCATCATGAAGTTCCCAATTGTCTCATCCATCGCCTGCTTGGCTTTTACCGCCTCGCGTCTCTCATCGCAAAGCCCGAGGCTGTTGCTGAAGTCGATCTTGGGGAAGGTGGCCTCAGTGTCTAACATCTGCTTGTATCAAGGCATATCTGTTGTGTTGGCGTTGTAATATAGTGTCTCTTTAATATCTAAGCATCAGATTTAGATGTTCCATGATACTAGAGAGCATTCAAGTTGCATGAGAAGAGATCACGTACCTAGGTAGGCACGTAGTAATTTATACTATACCTAGGTATAGCAGCACAGAAACATGCCGTGAGGCCATACCGGTCAATTTATATGGGATTATGCGCCTAGTAACATTGGATTGACGAGCGAGTAATAGTAGTCGAAGTATAATTATCTACACAACACGAGAATGAATCATAGAGATACGAATAAGGTTCGGTGGTCCCCGATGGTGGCCCGTAACTATATTCAGTTTCGTCAAATGATTAAGACAGTGATCCGCTATCTAGAGTTGCAGCACTGGAACGAAAAATCGACGCACCTAAATTTCAAAGAGGGAACAGGGTTGAATTGACTTTGCAAGCCAATATAAAGGTGAACTCGCGCTATTGAAAGATGAAATCAAACGGGCACATAATGACAAAAAGAGACTGCGCGGAGGAGGGATTTGGCTGCACGCCTCTGAGTTGGTGGATTTCATTCATTTTGCACTCCAATTTGTGTTCAATGACGGTCAAAACTAGTCTACTTTACCCTCTGCCAAATTGGAATGCCAATGACACAGGGGAAACTCGAACTATAATTCATTCCTCCAGCGTTATCTGCTTGTTTTGATAGACGCTGGTGATGGAGAACTACCTCGTCGGAGACGAACCTCACACAAAACAAGCTCATGCTTTTCAAGCCCGGCAATAATTTCACGCCAGAAAGCTTCCGACGCGGCCTAGAACATGTTTGGTGGTCGATTCCCGCGCTTCTGGATGAACATTCCCAGATCATCCGCCTGCCCCCTTGACAACCACCCCGGAATGTAAACTGCACCGCGAAACTGGAAGGAGAAACCAATTAACATACCCAGGGAGAATATTTCAAGTTGACGTTAATGATCCACGCTAGAAATTCCCTCCGGCCGGGGTGAAGCCTTGTTGTTCGGGTTGGCTGGCGGGGGGACATTGCGGCCCATACCATGCGGGATGAGTGCCAGTGCGGCCAAATGACGCAGCGGGCCAGGTGGATTGTTTTTCTCAGTGGCATGCAGACTGGTAGGCAAAATACTCGACGGGGTCCTATTTAAGGTGAACTTGTCACAGGGTTCATACGCGTGTTATCTCGTGCGTTTACGACAATTCGACCTTTCTCCTGGGCTCTGATCCCGCCGCTCCTTCTAGGGTTATAGTTGCTTTTTTCTTTCTTTCTTTAATACTCGCAACCAGCTTAATTATACTCGCCATTCATTATTTTTAACAACACTATGCGTCGCTCTCAGACGTACATTTCTTGGTCCCTGTTGCTGGCTTCCTTGGGTGGAGCTCAGGCAAAACTCGACTTGAACTCGAGTTCTAACGTCGTTGTCTACTGGGGTAAGAGATAAATGCACCAGGAGCTAGAGAAGGCTACTAACTAAGGCCCGTGTTTTAAAGGCCAGAACTCATTGCAAGGAAAGGGTGGAGAGAATCAGAAGCCACTAGCGCATTACTGCGAGGGTAAGTAGTTTGAGGCATGGCAGAAAACCAAGATATCAGAACTAACATATTGCCCAGACGATAATATCGATGTATGAAACTTTGATCCAGGGAATTCGATGAGGGTAACTGATAGAGAGACATAGGTTCTTCCCATCGCTTTCGACATGATGGTCAATGGACCTGGCGGTGCTCCCGAGATTGACTTTGCTGTCACATCAGAGGATTGTGAAGTGTTCGAGGGAACTCAACTGAAGCACTGCCCTAAGATTGGGTACGTATGGTCGGTGACACAACCCCTGCGACAAACTAACATTCGGCAGTCAAGATATCAAAAAGTGCCAGGAGAAGGGTAAAACCATTCTCTTGTCCATCGGCGGTGCCACTTACAGCGAGGGCGGCTTCAAGAGCGAGGAAGATGCAAAGGCTGGAGCCCAGTTGATGTGGGAGACCTTTGGTCCCGTCAAGGAAGGTTCCAAAATGAAGCGTCCGTTTGATGATGTTGCCCTCGACGGATTCGACTTCGACTTCGAATCCAGCGTGATGCACATGGCCCCTTTCGCCAACGAGCTCCGCGCCCTGATCAACAAGGAGACTGATAGAAAATACTTCTTGACTGCTGCCCCTCAATGCCCATACCCTGACCAAGCCGACAAGGACATCCTCAACGGCCCTGTGGATATCGATGCTATCTGGGTGCAGTTCTACAACAACTTCTGCGGCGTTAATAACTTCAACAAAGACGCCAAAAGCTCAAAGTATAACTTCGAAGAATGGGACAACTGGGCCAAGACTGTTTCCAAGAACAAGGATGTCAAGGTCATCGTTGGTGTCCCCGCCTATACAACCGCCGCCAGCACGGGATACATACCAGCCGACAAGCTGGCCGAGGTGATCGAGTACTCGAAGAAATTCGAGAGCTTCGGAGGTGTCATGATGTGGGATGTAACACAGGCATACGCAAATGAAGGGTTTATTGACAGCATAGTCAAGTCTCTGGGTGATGGCAGTGGTGATTCTGGTTCGTCGTCGCCGTCCAACTCGGCGTCGACCACGGCGTCTGCACCTTCGTCCACTAACTCACCGAATACCTCGCAATATTCCAATGCACCCGGCTCCTCGTCCTCCTCTTCCTCCTCATCTGCATCTGGATCCTCGTCCAGTGAGCCCGAAAAGCCGACTACCACCGCGCCGAAGCCGACCTCCAACACCCAGGCTAAGCCAACGACTACATCGACCAAGAAGCCTGCTACCGAGCCTGCTCCCAAGCCAACCAAGACCTCGACTTCGACCTCGACTACAAAGCACGTTGCAGAACCCACCACTACCACCAAGCCTGCGCCCAAGCCGCCTGTCGAAGACGAGGACGACGACGACAATGACGACGATATGCCCGTTGACCCCGATTTCGACCCAACTTCCGATATGTCGAATGATACTAACAGTCTTCCGACTCCTGCGGATCCACCAGCCCCTACTCTTCCTGAGACCCCTGAAGTCCCCAAGGGTGCTGATGCTGCCGGACCCACCCTCCTGGGCTCCGATCTCTTCGGCCTGCTGAAGGGTCTACAACAGGCCAACGCTCCTCTCATGAATGTGGCTCACGGCCTGACCAAGAATCTCCGATTCGCCAAACGCATCCAAAACTAGGTTCGGCGGAGAATCTTTGTTCTGATAGGCGTTGCAATCAAGGGGGGATGGAGGGGGGGGGGGGGGATATTCTCCTCGCTTTGACACTTTTCCCATTATATTCCAGATCTGGGTCTTTCTCTTCCATTTCTGGACCCGCTCCTTCTACTATGACTCCCATCATAACATGTACTTTCTCCATTTGCTCTCCTTGATACCCATAATTTATAATCTAATATCGATTGGAATCAAATCCATTCAGTCAGCCGGTCTTTGAGATTGCGTAAAGTTTGTCCTTACATGCCTGGGCTTCAGTTCATTCCAACGCTCGCAGGGGTAATAATCCTATCTTGTAAGCAAAATTCCTAGGTAATTGATTCACAAAAGCCATGACTGCCCGGTGCCTACATCTATGTTACACATTTGGTTAGAGTATCAGAAAGAAAGAAATTGAAAAAACAAGCAAGACACAAAAAATGGCGAAAAGATTCAACCCTACGTCTATCTTTCCTCTCCATTTCACGACGCGAGGCATGAAAATTTGGGAAAAAAGGCCATAGAAATTAATAAGCCCTAGATCTAGGTAAAATGAACGTATCATGAGAGCAAGGAGATGACCATATCCCTTGGAATGACCCCCGGCGACACTTTAATGGAGCCCCACATAATCCTAGTACCAGCCCCTTCACTCAACATCCTCCTCTTCCTTGCTAGCCGCCAAAAAGTAGCGACCCTTCGGCTTACCAGGCTCATCGTACTCGACAGTCAGGCGAGCCAGATGACCGAGCAAATTCTCCATCTTGATTTCACCCTTGGTACGCTTAACGCGGCCAAGATCATCAAGCCACTTGATCTTATTGAGAATGAAGTAGACGAGAGCGATAACAATTTCCACGCCGAGACTGTAACCCCAGACTCGAACGACAGTCACGATATCGGTCCAACCGTTGCTGGTCTCGACAAACTTATCCGGGGGATTGGTCTTCATATCCTCATTCGTGAACCAGCCGAACAAGCAGAAAATCGTAGCTAGAGCGTCGACTCCCAGAATCGCGGTTACCAGCTGAAACGATGGCCATGTGTCACTACCACGCGTAACAAAGATCAGCCAGTTTTCTGTAAGCGCAACTTCCAAGAAAAGCACTTCCTGAATCGAACCCCAGTTTTGAATGATGCCACCGCTTGGTAGAAACATACTACCTCGCACCACCCACGTACCCAGAGCAAGGAGGATGCCCAGAAGCACAGAAATGAACCAGATTTTCGGAAGTTGCCATTCCACCGGGCGCAGTTCGAATGATGCATGGTCGTAGGCCACGGCCACAGTTGCCAAGTCGGCAAAAAGAGCCAAGAAAACGATCAATTCGACACGGATGCTTTCATTGAGAATAATCATCGAAGTTACCAGATAAATCTCCAGGTGCAAGCAAAGAGCAATACGATACTGGATGTATGCTTTCATGCGGTGAAAGATCTGTCGCGCAACCTTGATCGAGTCGATAATTGTCGACAAGCCAGGTTCAAGAAAAACAATATCAGATGCTGATTGTGCGGCTTCAGATGCACCTTCCACTGCTATTCCACAATCAGCTTTTTTCAGCGACGGTGCATCGTTCACACCATCACCCGTCATAGCTGTAAGATGCCCGCGTTCTTGAAGCATTTGAACCACCTGGTATTTGTGCTCAGGGAAGACTTCAGCAAACCCGTCGGCTTTTTCGACCAGATCGCCTGCCATTGCGCCACTGAGACCACCATGGATGAGTTTATCAGAATTGTAAACTTTGGTACCGAGTGCTAGCATTTTGCAAGTTTCCTTTGCAATAGCAATAGCATCACCAGTCAGCATTTTCACACTGATACCAAGGTTCTGGGCTTCGCTTATAGTCTGCGCCGTATCTTCACGAGGTGGATCAAACATAGGCAACATTCCGAGTAAAGTCCAATCCTCGCCTTCTTTCTGGACAGCAACGCCGAGTGAGCGGAAGCCTCTGTGAGCGAACTCTTGTGCCTTGGCCTTGTAGAGATCTGCGACTTCCTTCGAACAGTTTGTGAGCTGAAGGACTGCCTTAGGAGCGCCCTTCGTGCAAGTGTAGCGGGTTCCATCACAACTGGCAACGGTAACAATTCGCTTTGACACTGGATCAAATGGCGTAAATTTTTCAGTCGTCCATCCGCGACGCAAAATTTCACGAGCACGAGGATATTGACGAAGTGCCAATACCGTCACTTTGTCAATTGGGTCCAATGATTCAGTATTATGCGAAGATGCTAGAGCTGCAACGGCAAACATCCAGTCAATGTCGACGCCCTCTGCGACATAAGGATCCCGAATACTCAGTTTGTTGGCAGTCAGAGTACCAGTTTTATCAGAGCAGAGAATATCGACACCCTGGTAGTGGTTAGTACTGATCGCATGATGTGGATCTGATAGACAATTGTCGGGGGAGACTTACTGCAAGCGATTCAATGGCGGTTAGCTTTTGGACGATTGCCTTCTTCTTCGCAAGATACGCGGCACCCACAGCCATAGTCGTAGTAGTAACAACTGGAAGACCGACAGGAACACCGATGATCAGCAACGACAAGGTGTAGTGGAGCAGTGTCTGCTGCCCGGGAGAGGCAATGGGGATATGGCGGAAGAAGCCACCAATCCAGGCGGCCAGGATCCACGCCATGACGAGAACCAAGAGTGAAGTTCCAATGTTATCCATCACAAGCTCAAAGTGACCAGCACCCTTTGCGGATTGGACCATACTGGCAGTGCGGCCAACGAATGATGTCTTCGCCGGGGCCTGAATAACAGCATATGATTTGCCTCGCTTACACCCGGTCGTGTAGTAGATCAAATCGCCCATGTAGCGGTCGACGGCCAAAGACTCTCCGGTGATTGCAGAGTGATCACAGGCAAGAATGGGATACCCACGCTTTCGAGTTTTCGGCTGTGGAGATCCCTCACCATCTTCGCCTTCCTTGGCAGCGTCAGTAGCGTTGGCAGCGTCGGCATTGTCCACAGGCTGGGGATTTTTCTGCTCCTTATGCTGTTCATCTTCATCATCAGTCTCGGAGCCGCCACCGAGCATACCTTGCTCTTGAAGTTGGTTAAATTCTTCCCAACCGTTGGGGTCGTTGAAATCACAGATGACTTTGGCATCACCCGGAACCACTTGGCCTTCGCCAACGATGATCTAGATGTTCTGTTAGCGGCTGATAGAGTCGTAGATGGGTGTTCATGATCGCTGGATTCACTTACCACGTCCCCAGGAACCAATTCACGAGCCAGTATTTCTTGCTGGGTGCTGTCCCGGATGACAATAGCACGCATAGCAATATCACCCTTCAGACTGGCAACTACATCGGCAGCTTGCTTCTCCTGATACCAGCCGACAGCTGCATTCAGACACAGGATACCGATGATGACACCGAAGTCGATCCAGTCCTCAAGTCCGGCAGCGAGCAAGACAGCCAGTTCCATGACTATTAACCGGGGTTATTACTGTTGATACCGAGCGTGACAAGTTTTGGAGCCGACTCACCGTACAAAATAGGACCTTGGAAGTACGAAAGGATCTTGGCAATGGGGTTCTCTTTCTCAGAGACGAGCTCGTTCCAGCCCGAACGGCGACGACGTGTGTTGACTTCCTCGCTCGAAAGACCTTGGCGAATGTCGGTGATGAGCCAGTCATCGGGAAAAGTTGGACCTTTGCTGTCCAGCTTTCGAACATGCACCTTTTGCTTCTTCCATGGAGCATACCAGAGGCGCTTTTCCTCGACATCGGCATCTTCCGAGGCAATGGCGCTGGCATCTTTGTAAGTCGAGACATACTTAACGAGCTTTCCATACTCGTCCAGCGTAGCCCAATCTTCCTTCAAGGAAGCGCGTGAGATACGAGAGCCACGACGCCCGTCAGCACGTTCTGCGTCACCCTGGCTCGCCATACTGGGGGAAGGGTAGCCTTTTCACGAGCACAGAAATGAATATGAGTGGAGATGTTTCTTTATGGGAGTGAAAGAAGGAGGGGGTGGCGGAAGGAAGAGGAAGGGGAGGAAGAAAGGGAAGAAGACACCAGGCGTGTTTGTCAACAGCGAAGAAGATGCCGTCCTTGCCGAGGGTAGACACTTCAGAGCAAAATGAAACAAAAAAAGAACAAAAATCTGTCTAATTCACACAATGGAATGAGAAAAAGAATTCAGAACTTGAAAAGTTCACACCCCTCTTCTTCAGTCGTTCATGCTGACGTCGACGCTAGGAAGTATTGGGCACTACATGATACCATGATACCACACTCCGCAGGAATAGCACCGCCTTGAGGCAGTTTTGAAAGAAACCAACCGGTACCAACTAGTACCAACTCAATTCGGCTACCATTAACCGATTCTGACGTATGAGAAGATCTCTCTACCCATACGAGCATCCTCAAGAACGGGCCGTTGCTCAAGACCATGGACATGGAAAGGGTCCAGCCAGTACAATTTCCCAGACGCGTCTTCATCCATGGATACATGCCAGGGTTCCATCTTTCAGCCAAGCAAGCTAAAGTGAAATAACACAAAGAGTCGCAAAACAATAAGCTCAAACCTCGTTGCAACTTGGTTATATCTATACGAGGTGGAGTCGCGGGGAGATCGCCATTTAGCGGCCCCGTCTGCACTCATCATTGGCCAACTTATTCCAAGCTTTCTGACAGCTCACCCACAAGGCTGACCGTCCATCCACATTCATGCGGTATCTGTGGCTCGCTAGGCTAGAGTACTACTAGTATAGAGGATATTGTTGACTGTCTAGGTTGTCCTCTTGTTTGACATCTGCCCACTTCCCTATCTGATAGGAACTTCGCAATTTCCCCTTATCTTTCCTATGATTACTATAAATCTTCTCCCCTTCTCTCAGCTTAGATTGACCTGACAATTTGCCTCCTGCACCCAGGCAAACTGAGGCTTGTCTCATTTTGACTACCACCAAGATGGAATTCAACAGCAGTTACCTGCTGGATTCATTTCTTCAAGGAATGCACTCTAATATGAAGATCACCTGTGGAGACTTCACCTTCAATATGCATCGTGTCATCGTCTGCTCTCGATCCACTTTTTTCGGAGCTGCTATGCGCAATGGATTCAGAGTAAGGTCATTTCAATATATTGAGGAATGAGGACTGAGGATTGGGGGCTAACTTGACAAGGCATCAATAAGTGGTATCGTTGATCTGTCTGAGGATAAAGTCCCGATCATCGAGCGCGTTCTTTCTTTTCTCTACATCCAGAATTACGAAGAGATCCGAGTCGGACACACCATGGAACTAGGGATTGAATTGGTGGCAATAAATAACCCATTCAAGTAAGATTCTCTGACATCTGAGACCGAGGGGTTTATGAATAACATCGACGTCTATATTGCCGCTGAAAAATTTGGGATCTCCGACTTGAAAAGGTTTTCTGGAGCGAGAATCAAGCACTGGTTGAACGACAATGCGAATATGAAGTCCAAAGCATTTCTGATCGCAGCAAACGAGATCCTGGACTGTAGTCCTTCAGGCGACATTGACCCGACGCTTCAAAATTATCTCGCCAAAACAATTTCGAAGAGTTATACTCAGTTCATTGCCAACCAGGAATTTAATATTGGCTTTCTTCATTTGATTCGGAAGTCTGGAATCCTCGGAGCATCACTTGTGGAGAAGATGCAGACTATCAACAAAGAGCTCGCCCTTGAAGTCGAAGACTTGGTGATTCAAGTCGATTGCTCGAGAGAGGGAAATATCCAGCTAGCCAAAAAGCTCCCAAAAACCAAAGACCGCGAATCAGGAAGTAAAAAGGTGTATCGAAGCCGGGGAAATGATAAAACCCTGCAGCAAATCACACTACAGACATTGCTGCAGGGCATTCGGCGATACCATAGAGAGGAGGTCTCATATTCCAAAAAATTACTGGAGTTTGAATGCATCAGAATGCAATAAGTAGTCAAAAATATGCACAATTGAATCAATCGAGATCAAGACCAGGTCAGAGATTGATTATAGTAGGATTCAAATTTCCCAGACATTCGAGTAGCTACCTAAGTAGCCTGATAATCAATAATTTAGCCAATTTAAACATTATGTTCACTCAAGTAGGTAACATATGGTTCTTCTTGGGACAGACCAGTAGCAGAAAATCTTCTCCGGTGGTTGGTTATGGCCATGCTTGTTTTGTGTCGCTTCAATTTCCAAAGTTACGGGGCTTGATAGATGCAATCGACTGAACGCTGGTTCCAATAGGAATAGGTGGTATTTTATTCTGACTGCCCTAGAAGCTACCTGTCATACCTGCGTCCTAAAATTATAAGTGTTCCCTATACAAATTTGGATCTAGCCAGTGTATCTTAGTCTGAGTCTATTGTTGCTCTAAGCTTGCTGCCCTGCCGTCCCCCTGTTGCCTGTCTCTATGGAGCTATTCCGTCCTTATAAATTACTTGATACTAGTCATTCAGAATATTGAGTATATAACTACACATAATATTTGGTTACATCTTATCTCCAATAAGTAGTAGATTTAAGATATTTAAGTAGTAGAAGTAGTGACAATCAGAGGTATAGTGGTATTGTAGGAAAGTAGACAGTAAGATAGTATCATGTTATAACCATAGTGATATTTAAGTAATAGCGGTTTTGCGACTGTAGGGAATTAGGTGAATAAGCAGGGTGCAAATTTGTATGGGGAATACCGGTACCCTTGGGTACCATACCAGGCAGGCACCACACCAGGCACTCATATCTTACCTTCCTGTCTCTCTCTCCCTCTCTCTCGCACAATCTCTCTGGTATATTTCCGCATGTAAGCACCGCTTTCTGGCTTTCATATTCCATCAAATATGAAGATTGAGAGATCCGATTCACTCCCGGCCGTACTTTGCTTTTGCACAAATCCGTTATCCTAGTCCCCTGCAAAGATTTATGAGGTAAGCCTCCTCCTGATCACTTGCGAAAGATTCTATTCATTATGTTCTAATATTCTCCAGCTAAACAATGGTCATTCACAGCGAGGCAGTAAGCCGTGGGCTTGAGCGCCTCAGCCGCGCATTCCAAACTGTGCAAGAACAATTGCACGTGCTTGAAGATCGAACCAAAACCATGGAAAGTCTTACTTTTTTCAAGGATGTCGCAAAAAGTGACTTGAAGGTATGAAATACCAAAATATGCATTTGATTGAAAGGCCGATAGCTAATCTCTGAGACTCGAAAAGGAATTTTCGACTCATGTTCTCTATATGTTTGGCGACGATCCGGAGTGTATTGAACGCGTTCTCGCGTTTGCTTACACCCAACACTGCAATAGAGGCAGCCAAAGTCTGGCTTTTAAGTCTGGAGAAGCCTTGATACCGGCCAATACGCTTAAACCAAAGCGAATGCCATCACTTGAAGGGGCACACAATCGAACTTCCGTCTTTTATAGTACAGTCAAGCTGAAGGGTGTCGGAGCACCGGGTCAATATGGATATTTCCGAATTCGCCAAGTCTGAGGTCTAGTTTGGGGGATTGATTCTCCGGATCTGGGCACGGCTTTCCAAGACTGCCGTGCCCGAATCTCCTACCCATGAGCCTCGCTCTTGGTACATGTCTAGCCCTCGAAAGGAAAACATTAGACCGTACTCGTATGCCGCGTGCGTTTGACTGTCTGCTAACGACACAAGATAGAGCGATCCGGGTTGGAAATGTCTCGGGATACTCTAATCCCATATGATCTGTGGATTATTTTGAATGAACATTGTGGTGGGCTAATTTGAACTTCGAGGCCTCATAATTACACCAGTAAAGAGGGACGAATGAGCGGCGTATCCACCCAAGAACCGGTTAAGAAAAGATGTCTACAATTCCAGAGATTTACGAGCAAGTATACACATCTTCATTTAAATTCACATAACTACATCCAATTTTCTCGTTCACGTCACACATAAGTCATCGCCCACCATTTATTTTTGCTTACCAGTGGGGATGTTGAAGAACACAGCCGGGACACCAGGGGCAGCAGCCTGGTCAACACGGTAGTAGCCCTTACGATCGAACTGGATGATGTCACCAACCTTGAGCTGAGCGACATTGCCATCGGCCACACCGCTATCACGGAACTCAGTGTTGTAGTTGAGAACATCCTCAAGCTTGTCATCCTCAGTCAGGGAGTCCTTGTTCAGCAGGTAGTCGAAATCGACCAGCTCAACGGGGACCAGGTCCTGGCCCTCGGTGGCGAGCCAAGTAACCTTCTTCTCAGTCTTCTTGACATCACCGCCGGGGTTCAGCTCGAGGTCGAGGCCGGTGATAACGCCATCGGCACCGGTGGTAATCTTGCGAACGAAAGCGTTGCCCCAATTCATGAGGGTGATCTCCTCGTCCTGCTTGAAGAGCTTGACGTCCTCCTGCTCGAGAAGGACGTTGGCGCTGAAAGCGACGGTCTTCATACCAACGGCAGCGTTCTTGGCGTGCTTGGCCTTCTCCTCGGTGTAAGGGGCAGTAGGGCCGTTGGTGAGAGTGGCCTTGACGGCATCCTTGCTAGCAATAGCAGTGTGACGAGGAGCAACAGGGTCGATGTACTTCTTGTTGGTAGCCCAGACTGTGGTTTGTTAGTATTTATGTAGTTAAAGATATAAGAGATGGGAATTTGACTTACTAAGAGCCCAGTCGAACAGAGTGACGGCCTTGGAAGGACCCTGCTTCAGGATGAACTCCCGGAGGGCAGGGATGGTCATACCGCGACGTCTGATACCGCGAATGGTAGGGAAGCGAGGATCGTCCCAGCCCCAGACAACTCCGCTCTCAACCAGCTTGGTCAGCTTACGCTTGGACAGGAGAGTGCGGATGAAGTTCATGCGAGCAAAGTCCCAAACCTGGACGCCGCGCAGGCTAAGGGTGTCAAGCATCCACTGGTACTGAGGGTTGCGGTCACGGTACTCGCTAACAGGAAAATTAGCTTTGCGATAATATATCGAGAAGTATAGCGTATACTCACATGGTACGCAGGGCGTGGGTGACTCCCTCCATCGAATCGACGACAGGGCAGGCGAAGTCGTAGGTGGGATAGATCTTCCACTTGGTACCGGTACGGTGGTGGGGAGCTGGGTTGCAGCGGTAGATGACAGGGTCACGAAGGGCCTATGAAGTATTAGTGTGTTTGTTTCGTCAAATATACTTGATAGTACAGTACCTTGTTCTTGTCATCGGCAGAGATCTTGGCACGAATGCACCAGCGCAGACCCTCGGGAGTACCCTTCTTCATCTCCTCGAAGCGGGCCAAGCTCTCCTCGGGAGAAAGCTCACGGCGCGCGCTAGGGATACCATCCCAACGCTGTTTCTGCATGGTCTCCTTGTCGGTATCGTCGGCATAGGCCTTGCCCAGCTTGATGATCTCGATACCATAGGCATAAAGCTCATCAAAGTAGTCACTGGTGTAGGAGGTTTTGTTGGGTTTGATACCCTATTTTTGTCAGTAAAAAAAATTCACTAAATAAGGATGGATAGCCTACCATCAGAGCAAGATCCTCCATGATAGCATCTTGGAACTCCTCCTTCTCGTTGGAAGGGTTGGTGTCATCAAAACGAAGCAGAAGAGTGCCGTTATACTTCTCGTGAGCGAAGTAGTCGTTGAGAAGAGCAGCCTTGGCGTGTCCAATGTGCAGGTATCCAGAAGGCTCAGGAGGGAAGCGAGTGACAACACCGCCATCGGTGTTCTTCAGGGCAATGTCGTAGCTGGCACCCTCCTTAGACTTCGCAGACTTCTTCTCCTTGGCGGCAGCGGTCAGAGAATCGATGGCAGCAGTGGTCCAGGGGCAGAGCTCCTCCAAGAATCGGTACCAGCGGGTGAGGTTGACAAGCGTACCCTTCTTCAGAGCAGCGACAGCAACACGGTTACCGCGGAGGGCACCCCACAGAGCGATATCCGGGGTCGAAAGAGAGTATCCGACGACAAATGAGCGTAGGAGAAGGTGGGTGTCAAGGCGCTGAAGGGTAGGTTCGAGGGCCTTGAAGTCCAGGGTAGTGAAAGATTCGAGCTGAGAGATCCATTCGGTCTCCTATAGAGAGATGGATATTAGATGAATCCAAGTAGATATATGGCGGGGTAATGGAACTCACAAGCTTGGTGTCTTTGCCCGCAAGGAAAGGGAAAGCAGTGCAAAGCTCGTTAACGGTCTCCAGGGTTCCAAACACGGACTTTCCGCCAGTAGTGAGCTGGACAATCGCCTTCTCGCCCTCGCTGAGAACTGCTGTATCCTCATACTTGATTTGGATGGCCGGGGCAGGACGAGCCTCGTTCAGAGAGGTCGCAATCAGCACCACAGGCAGAATTGCGGCATGGTTGCCACGGGTGGCCACAGTCAGATCGAATTGGGTCATTGTGCAGTGATCTAGTTCACTTTGCGCACAACAGAAAGGTGATCAACGATCTGAACTAGAAATTTGGAGGGGCAGCGGAGTCATATCGGCGAGTCATGTCGGCGAGGTCGGCCGTACACTTTATCCGGGCACCGAGAGCTCCGTCAGAAACCTCGACAATTCCGCTCCGCTGGGATCTACACATCAAACACCAAGCCATGTCGTCCCTCGGCGTCGCAATGCCCACTGCGGCACGCGGAATTCTCTCATCATGCCGCCCATCACTTCGGGAAACTTCAATGACACCCGCTCTCTCAATCTTTCAGCAGGTCCGAGGTATGGGAAGCAACCCGCAGAAGAGCAAGAGCAAGGGGAAGGGAAAGGGCAAGCATGCCGCGCCGCCCAAGACTTCTCGCCGAGGACCTCTCGAATTCAGACAAAAGAACTTGAAGGATATGGAGCAGTATACTTTGTGTGATGCCATGCGGTAGGTTTGCAATTGATCGTCGCAGGAGATTCGTGACATCTTACCGCTTCTGTTTTTCTAACGTTTGTTCTCTACAACAGCTATCTCCGCGCCATGGAGGTCGGTTGCAATCCAACCGTCATCAAATACGAGGCACACATTCGCCTGCGCACAAGGAAAGATGGCCCCGTCATCCGAAACATGATCCGATTCCCTCACGCCGTTCAAACCGAATCCCGAATTTGCGTCATCTGTCCCCCCCGATTCGAAGCACGCGAAGGATGCGCTCGCCGCCGGTGCCATCCTGGTTGGTGAAACCGAAGTTTTTGAGGCTGTGAAGGCTGGTCGAATCGAGTTCGACCGCTGCCTGGCTCACCCGGACAGTGTGCCGGCTCTCAACAAGGCTGGCCTGGGTCGAATCCTCGGTCCTCGCGGCCTCATGCCCAGCGCAAAGGCCGGTACTGTCGTTGAGGATGTTGCTTCCCGTGTTGAGGATCTTCGCGGTGGTACCGTCTACCGCGAGCGTGATGCTGTCATCCGTCTTCCAATCGGCCAACTGGGATTCTCTCCGGAGCAATTGCGCGACAACTTGCGGACAACGATTGACCAGATCAAGAAGGATGCTTCTGGTCTCAACGACCGGATTAGCAAGGAGATTTACGAAATTGTGAGTGGTCGAGAAGTTCTTTTTCAAACAAAGAGTAACCCGCTAATACGTCCACCAGGTTCTGAGCTCCTCCCACGGCACCGGCTTCAGTCTTAACGGAGAGTTCAAGACTGACGACTCCCCCGAAACCTCTGCCTTGACCGGCGTGTAAATTACTTATTTTTCTCATACTCTACTGGCGTGTACAAATCTTGTTTTATTAGGAAAGGACATGGTGTATCATGGTATCATATCTGTTCAATAGAGACTCCCACAAACCCGAACGCCGACGCTATGCATTTCTAGCCCATTAATGACGCTGGGGCGATCGATCTATACTTTCAGATTCTTGAGTGCTAGAATTGCACTCACATCCTCGCCCATGAAGTCGTAGAGGCGCAAGACTGCCATTGTCCTTGTGTCGCGCTTAGCACCAGCATGACTGGCTTGTTCCAGTGCAGTCTTCAAGTCCAGCAGCACAGTTGTCTTGATCTTGCCCACGCGTGGTTGCTGAGCAAGCAGAAAAGGATGGCTTTCGCCCACTCGGGTGGCTATCGACGTGAGGAACACATACTTCTGTACATGACGCTCGAGCCGTTTCAATGATACAGGTACGGCCCCGTCCCCAAGCTCCTCTTCATCACTGTCGTCGCTATCGGTTCCGTAAACATCGGACTCGGAATCGGACCCATCATCCTCAGGAGTATCCCGCGTAGTAGATTCGTTCTTGATCATCAATCGGTATTCCAATTCTTCGACCCGGTCCACATAATCGAGGAGGTCTTTGCCGATATCTGCATGCGTGCGGAGTTGTCGCTTTTGGTTCAATAATCCCTCTACCTCCCGTCGGCGAGCTTCAACTTTGTCCCTGATGGACTGCACATCTCGTTGAAATGACAGCAGGCCGACTTTGACTCCTTCGATCTTGTCCTCGCCACCACGGAGAGCTGTGCCTAGAGAGAGGAAGTCCTGATAGTTCTCGTTGACCAAGTCCAACAACTCCTTATTCAGCAATTGCTCCAAGCTGCGCAATTCTTGTCGCAAGTCCTCGAGGCTTTGATGTCGGTTTGTTAAGGAGGAAAGGAATGTAGCCGGATCGAAATCAGGGGCGAGGAAGGAGGTTCGAGAAAGTGGTTCTGGGAAAGGTAGGCCGGAGGGGTCCTCGTCGAAGTCGGAACCTGACTCGTCAGAGTCGCCGCCAAACTGGAAAGAACGAGGGTTAGTTTGAAAAAGTTGAGGAATGACGGAGAATGATCGGAATGACCTACATGTAATCGGTTCATCATGTACGGAGTCACTCGCGGACCAAATTAAGTAAAGATGACAGGTGAAGCTGAGTGGTGGAGTTGGCCAGCCCCGACATAGTCGAGTCTTGGCGTCTGTTTTGGGTGTCCACCTTTATCCTTCTTTCCTTTACATTTACCTCCCTTGACTGGTTTTATTTTATTTTTTGTGTTTGCGTTTGTGCTTGTGTTTGTCTCCCGGACCTCCACTGATTCACATTGCCAGCGCATCGGAAGTGTACATGCACCGTGTATGCCACTTGGATGCACCTCTCCTCGTGAGGGTTGTAGTAGACGTGTGGCGACCCCAAGCCTGCAGACCCGCGACTATCTAGTCGGAGCGGGGTATTCAATCTACTCTGCGCTGTCCTGCAGTGATAACAAAGAGCTTCCGGTAATCCGCATTGGTGCAGGATGGACCCAACTTCGTTAGACTCACTGGCCACGCGCTGGGACGGTACACGACTGTCCTCCTCGTCTTTTCCCCGACAAGGATGGTCCCGCCTGTCTCCGTCCTACGCGCCTCCAGCGGGCAACGCAGGCGCAGGCCCCTCGCACTACGCAAGCTGGCGGCACTTCGACTCTGCAGCTGACGAGCCTGACTATCACCTTCGCGCCACTACTCTGCGTCAAATGAACCAAGATCTTCATTTCCATTCTTCGTCTCGAGCTGATCGGAGTATCAATATCCTCCCCTCTGCACCCGCACGACCCGCAACACAACCTACTCAACCAGTCCTCGTGAGAGCATATTCTGGCAATGCCGACGAAACGACGAACCAGTCTTCTTCTACCATGTCTCCTCGCCGGTTCTTCCCGTTCACGGCCTCGAAGACACCGGCTTCTTCCTCGTCCGTCGGGGCCGCCGCTCCCGGCTGTCCAGGATTTCAGTATTGAGAGTATACTGCAGGCCATCGAGCCCGATATCCGCGGTACACTGGACTCGATCGCCGAGATCTGTGGACGCAGCAAGCTGAGTCTGGCAAATGAATATGAAAGTCATATTGCGCCCCTGGGAGAAATCCGGGCTCCGCAGGGTGGTTTGGGGCCGGTGGAGGAAGCCAGCTCGAACGATGAGCGGCGTGCCGATGAAGGGGTGGTGATATTTGACGATGATCCTAACATGGTGAATGTCGGTCAAGAGATTCATCCATTCTCTTTCTACCGGTACTTGGAAAGTCTTCGGCAGGCTGCTTCTGCGCGAGAGCGCAGCGGTGGCTCGGGTTTAGATCTGGCGACGCGGACACAGATACAATATCCCCCGATGCAGCCAGAGACAGCTCGAGCCACAGATGCCCGTATTCCGACGGCTACTCGTGAGTTTGTGACAAGACCTCAAACCGGCCGAGATCTGCTAGCAACGAACACAACTGCGAAACATGATGGCGGCCACTCAAACGATGTCACCACTCCAGCAGTAGTCTCAGAAGCACATGTTGATGCACAGGCAGCTGATTTGGAGACTCTGAATGGACCACAACCCCCCTCACCCAACCACCTCAACTCTTCCTACTTTACAACGTCAAAGACATGGTATGCGCCAGAAGCAGTTCGCTCTGTACTTGGCTGGTTGAAGTGGACTGCACGTCTAGCTGAGCCGGAGTCTCGCCCAGCCCTGCAGTCAGCGGAGAGTCGACTGCGAGCCATGCTCGCACGATCCCTTGATGAAACCACCATTTGACGAACAACTGAGGACCAGTCCCATCTTTGACAAGCTAAGTCATCCATATATAACAAACAACCCATGAACTATAACGATTTACGACTGCGTGATGCCCTCAAACGAACCTCCATATTCTATGCTTATAAACAATCTATAATATGGAGTCGCCCTCCAAGTCAAGAATACTCACTTGTTTCTTGAACAACCTTCTCTTTTATGATAGTGAACTTTGAAATTGAATCATATGAAAAGCTTTTTCCGAGCTATGCAACGCCCTAAACAATGCTATGTAATGATATAATCCGGGTATCAATGAAGAAGAACCCCAATAGCTTCTTTTCAAGCTGCTTCAAATTTTTAGCCTAAGCCACCACCCCATTCGATTCCTGTGCATATCCGACAATAGTCTTCGCGAATCCTTCGAATCGCGGATAAGACCATCCATCTTTATATTGCTCAACGAGAGGCCGGAGATCCGGCTCAACAGGAGCCTGCACCTCTTGCGCGGGATCTTCACCTTCATCTTCACCTTCATCATCGCTGCCAGCCTCCATCTTCCCTTCAACAAGCTCGCCAAACTTGACATCCACGGGCACTTTACCCAAGAATGGAATATCCAACTGCTGCGCCATAACCTCACCACCACCACTGGAGAACAGATTGCTCACCTCCCCACAGCAAGGACAAGCATACCCGGACATATTTTCAATAACCCCTAAAATTGGAATACTCGTCTTAACGCAAAAGTTTGCTTCCTTGCGCACGTCCGACGTCGCAACGGCCTGTGGGGTCGTCACGAGCACGGCACCAGTTAATCTGGGTATATTATTCTGAGCTGCGAGGCTCGGGTCCGCCGTCGAGAGAGTCAGGAGTTGTTCTGCCAGCGCGATGTGCTCGTCACTTGTACCGGGCGGGGTATCAATGAGTAAATAGTCCGTTGAGCCCCAGGCCACATCCGAAAGGAACTGGCGGATCATGGCTGTTTTCTTAGGCCCGCGCCAAATGACGGCGTCGCCCCGGTCGCGGAGGAGGAAGCCGAGGGACATGCAGCGGAGCGAACCGCGGGGTGTGGGTGTTGAAGGTGATGCGCCTTCTGTTTCTGTAGCTGGCGGGATGGTGGTGGCATCGTGGACGAAGACGGGAAGCCAGCCGGCTGGGGACTGTGTGATCTTTTCTCCTTCGAGGCCGACTAGGCGTGGGATTGAGGGTCCCGTCAAGTCGATGTCGAGAATACCGACGGATTTGCCTTGTAGGGAGAGCGCCAGCGCAAGTTGGAGGGTTACGGAGGATTTGCCCACGCCTCCCTTGCCGGAGAGGACCTGCGACAGAGTTTGGTTAGCTTTACTTTGCAGTTTTAAATCCAGTCGAGCTTGCTCTATGTCATCCACAGCTTTAGGGGTGCTCATCGTTTGCGCTCATCGTTATCGATAAGCTGTTGGTGAGGGGCAAAGTCTGCGATGGCGGAGGTGTAGGTGTAGGATTGAGAAAACTCCGGATGTCAAGCGCATTGCTGCTGCTATATACTCACCAGGACAATATTCTTCACCCCTTCTAGAGGCATAGCTGCACAGTCGTATGTGAAGAATGAAAGAGTAGCGAAGGCAAGTTTCGAGGTGGGGATTGAAGCCGATGTTCGGATGCTTATCAATCGGCCTCTGACTAAAGCAAGGCCCGCGGTTGGATGCGATGGATGCTTCTACAAGGTCTGGACATCATTTCAGCTAGGAGGTAGGTTTCTCTTTTGAATTCATGTATGAGTAGATCTACCTAGCTGGAATATAGCTCAATTTTTCATGTGAGTGCCAGTACTGCATGTATCATTAAACGTCTCTTTAGGAGTCTACACAGAGTGATGGGGAATGCTTGTGTTTGATAAGCGATGGGACGTATGGAAAAGCCTTCCCAATTGAGAGTGGCTTTTAGGTCCACTTCTGAACAAGAGCTCCTCCCCGCTTGAATTCGGGAAGATCACCAAGAGTGACATCCTGGTCCGTGAGCTCCTTGCTAGGGAAAGTGGTCATCAACACCCATTGGCGGCTCTGGCTATCCGGAGATGCGACCCTAACGAATGCATAGACGTCGCCTATAGTTGCAGTGGTGTTGAATCGGGATGTCAAACGGGTTCCATCACCAAGGCGGATCTGGAGGGTGACTGTGGGTTGCGATTCATCCACCTCGGGCTTAGGAGGGCCACTTGGCTGGGCAGGAGCGGCTGGGGGAGTAGGTTGCTGGCTCTGAATACCAGGCGTCGGGCTACCGAGGCGCTGTCCGGATCCAGAGAAAGCCTTGTATTGTGGCTTAGGCTTGGTGTATTTTTCCTCATGCTGCTTCAATTCAACATCCACCTCCTGTCCCGCTTGAACATTCATAATCGTGAGAGGGGCACGGCCCTGTCGAATACCCTCCAAGATCTCAGCGTTGCGAGGGTCATCAGATCGGTAGAGCTCACCATCGTCAACTGAGAATCCGTCGGCCCAAAAGTGGAGAGTACGCTGTACGCGCTGAGAGCGCTGGGGAGCAGGGCCAGATGGATCGTCAATCACCCGACTTGGAGCATCGTCGCCACCGAGAGTGCGCGCAGCGCCAGTGAAGAATGATTGGCGCGAGGGAGCATCGTCTGAAGGTGGGGGTTGGGCTCTATGTACTCATGTATCAGTATCCAATTCCAGACATCACTGCAGGGACACTACAAAGCCTACCTCCGAGCCTTCTCGAGAATCTTCTTCTTGAGGTCATCTGGGTTCTGGACTGCCAGTCCAGACTTCTCTCCCCGGCAAAGAAATCCTGGTCCTCCGACCCATCGTCGTCTGATGAGTCGTGAGTGTCTCCTCCTGAGAAATCACCTAAAGTCGCAAACTTCTTTTTGGGCGCTGAGCGGCGCGAAGATGATGAGGCCGCCGGAGCAGCAGAAGAGGCGGGGACAGCTGCACCACCCAGTGTTCGGCCTCCTGCAGCGGAAGCGGTAGCAGCAGCAGCTTCTCTAGCACCAACTTGTTGGACAGCACCAGCGTTCATGTCCTGCAAAGCCTCATCTTGTTCCGCGTAGAACTCGGTAACTGCCGCTTCAATGTCGCCATGGTTGGCTGCAAGGTACTGTTGGGCCTAGCGAAAGAAATATATTTGTTAAAAGCCTGTAGAGAGGCTTGTAGAAAGCAGAATTCTTACCTGTTCAGGCTGTGTGCCTGTCATAGAACAGAACTGAGACACGACTTCATCGTGCTCTGCGGGGTTGTGATCCATGTTTGGAGCTTGGCCAGTTATTCCAAGATCAAAGGAAGCTGTAGTTTTGGGGAGAAATATTTTGACAGTGTGGATAGGTTGCTGTCAAGAGGGCTTGCTATACGCAAAGAGATGTTTAAAAGAAGACAGCAAGTTCGAGATGGATGAGCCAGCTAAACACCGCGGGCAGGTACGTCACTGCAATTGGTCAGCCGGAGCGGCTGATCTTCCGGTTGTTGCCTGAGGCGGATGGCCGACTCTATACTTCTAAAGTATTCTAGCCTTCTTTTCTTAATACTAGTTCCTACTAACTACTAGTTCGTAGATATATACATAATCCTGAGTTAATACCCAGGTGGCATGTGAAGCCAAGCCAGAAGCCTCTCTTGGCTACCCCCTAACCCTCCATGGCTATCTCTTCCGGTCCTCTGTCCCTTCTCCCCTATCCCCTATCCCTTGAACGAATTCATAAATTACCCACTCAACACCTGGGCATCCATCAAGTTAATTCATCATGTCATTCTATCATCTATCAAATGAACTGATACTCTTGATTGCCAAGAACTTGGAGTCAAATGCGGATCTCAATAGTTTGATTCAAACCAACACCCACCTTTGCAAAATGCTTGACTCCCTCCTCTACCGTCGGGATGTCGCATCTTTTTCACCAAGGGCAATATTGCGTGCGGCTGAGGCTCAGAATGGAAAGGATACTAGTAGTACAGCTCGAAAATCACTAGAAGCAGGGTTGGAGCTTGAAGGCTGCATTTATAATGAGGTAGCGCCGTTGGCCTTGGCGGCAGAAAACGGCAACCATGAAGTCGTCAAGCTGATTCTCGCTTATGATAAGAGTGTTAGCCCTGACCAGGAGAACCCGGATGAAGAAACACCACTGATTTGTGCGGCAAAACATGGACACGACTTAGTGGTCAAGGAACTACTTTCAACTGGTAGAGTCAACGTCAACTTTAACTGCTTTGATTTCACCCCGCTTTGCCATGCGGCATGGAACGGCCATAAAGCAGTTGTAAAGCTGCTTCTTGATACCGATGGTATAGATTTGGATCACGCTCTTCCCGATGGCCGAACAGCTATATGCTTAGCAGCAGAGTCAGCCTATGAGTCCGAGTCGATTGTCAACCTTTTGATCGCAGCAGGAGCCGATCTAGGTGGTAAAGGACCTACCAGGCTATCACCACTTTTAGCAGCAGCGCGGTACGGATGTGAGTCGATGGTGAGGACACTGCTGGCCACAGGCAGAGTCAACCCAAACACTACGGACAGCGAGGGCGAATCACCACTATCTTTGGCGAGAAAGTATGGCCACGAAGCGGTTATCAAGATCCTAGAACTGAAACTTGACAGGTGAATTGGTGGACTGGCCTGGCTTATGTATGCCCGAGTAGACAGACATGAAATATAAGTAAGACACTTGTTCTTGAATCTTACAGTATGTCCAAAGGGACATAACTAGTAACTACATAGTCATGGTACTATACGGCACTAACCCAATGACTAAGCGAATTCACCCCGGACCACCGCCACGGCGGATACCTGGCCCAGGTCAACCGACTAATCCATACCACTCGTCGTGCTCAACTCCCTCTCTCGATACTCGAATCCCCTCTGTTCTTTGTGGCCATGGCATCCCATGCTTCTGGCTCGCGAGCCGAGCTCTTCGACTCCGCCGTTACGCTCCCCTCCGATTCGGAAAACTACTCGCCAAACAACGACTTGACGCAATCCGAATCCCCAAGCTCCAGCTCGGGCTCACCCATGATCCTCTACCAACCGCCTAGCGTCTGGGGTCTCCTACGCGGCGCCGCGATCAATCTTCTTCTCCCCTTTGTGAATGGTCTGATGCTGGGCTTCGGCGAGCTGTTTGCCCACGAGGCGGCTTTCCGACTGGGATGGTCAAACACCAAGGTACGCTTGACGGAGATGCGTTGTTGCGCAAATTCAACCACTAATTATCAAACCCTCTTCAGATCTTCCCCAATTACCGCCGAGCACACGCCGTTGGTCCCGGGGTTGAGATTCGTGAACTCCCCTCCGAACGTCGCAGGACCTTAAACGACACTACTTCTCTAGAATGAATGACAGACCGCCAACTCCATACATTCTACTCTACAATAGAGATCTCTCTGAAGAAGCAGGATCTGCATTGATATGGGAAATACAAAAAGCGGCACATTTTGGAATGCGATACTTGCCGTGGTCACCCCTCCCTACGTGGTGACTTTTTTTTTGCGTGTACATAGACTACTCAGATGGCGCCTGGCGAACTGGAATTTACCTGCTACATATTACCATGAGAAGAACTGATAGCAAGGAGTAGTTACTACATAGTAACTAACTATAGTAGTGTAATGTATCCGTACTCCGTACCTGGTGATATCCGGGTCCAATCCCGGGTGTTTACCGGCACTTGGCCGCCCGGCAGAAAAAAGTCTCAACGCCGGCGCGCCGCGATTCGTGGCCGATTCTCCGCTACCCCAATCTTGTCTGGCAACTCGTCATATTCTCAAAATAAAAATGATGGGAGCTGCTGGTCTGAAAGGGCCCAGTACGGCGGCCGCGTTTGCGCGCCAAAGGCTTACTGCGGTCCCTCGATCTACACGATCGGTTGGTCTCGTCCCTGTCATGTCAGGACCGGAAGAGTAGCATGACTGACCGATTCTCTGCATAGGTATCGACTTTCCGATCTCAACACTCACGGGTCGCAGGTCTTCGGAACCAATTGAACTCCGGTCTCTCTGGCAGTGCCCCATGGCGGGCTGCTTCAGTCGTGGCTGGCCCGGCTGCGATTCGTTTCAACTCGACTTCGTCCACTCCGGCATCCGACCCGGCCCCAGCCCAGGGTACGTTGGAGGGACTTTCCGACGCCGGTGACCTCGAGGCATTCGACATCACGAAAATCCCCGAGCATATCGGATACTTGAAAGAACTTGGGTTGGACTTCGGCTGGGGCCCTGCCGCCATGATTGAGTGGTTAATCGAGCATTTACACATTACTGCTGGTTTGCCATGGTGGGCCAGTATCGTCGGCGCGGGTCTCGTTGTCCGTCTTGCGCTGCTGAAGCCGATGCTTACTGCCTCGGACCAAGGCGCCAAGATCCAAAACCTGAAGCCTAAGACCGAACCCATCCGACACCAGATGATGCAGGCCCTGAAAGATTCAAACCAAATCGAAGTACAACGGAAGAGAGCTGAATTGTCAGCAGTAAATAAGGAGAATGGTGTCAACCCCTGGAAGAACTTGATTCCCATGCTACAAATCCCCATTGGTTTCGGTACCTTCCGAGTTGTTCGTGGCATGGCTTCGCTCCCCGTCCCAGCAATGCTGGACGAATCTGTTCTCTGGATTAATGATTTGACAATTTCCGACCCCTACTACATGCTGCCTGTCGTAACCTCCGCATTTATGTACATGACGTTGAAGGTTAGTCATCTCCTCGCACCCAAATCGGCAATAGTATCCAGCTAACTTTGACCAAAACAGCGAGGTGGTGAGTCTGGCATGGGTGATTTTATGAACAGCGCTGCCGGAAAGTCCATGGCGATTGGATTACCGGCAATCTCCTTCCTCTTCATGGCATTCATGCCTAGTGCACTCCAGCTCTACTTCGTCGCCACCGGTGCATTCGCACTGGGCCAGTCCTACATGGTCACCTCCAACAAATTCCGCAACATGATGGGTATGACGATTACCAGAAAGTACGTAGCGGATAGTTCCGTCTCGGATGTGCAGGACTACCTTGCGAAACTGCAGAAGCAGGTGGATGCACGACTTAAGCCCAAGGCCGAGGTCGAGAAGAAGCCCGACAACCAGAACGTGAGCAAGATCGACAAGTTGGTCGATGGCATGTCCGAGCACTTCCGTCAAGCAAAGACCGATATCAGCACCAAGTTCTCAGAAGCGTCCGGCAAAGGCCCGGCGAAGAATGCCGACGGCACTCTCGCCCCGCCACCGCGCCTGACTGATGCCGAGCGCAAGAAGGCCCTGGAGTATGAGCAGGAGCAGCAGTCTGTGGATAGTTTCCGTCGCGAAGAGCGCAATCACGCCCGTCGGAACGCTCAGATGCAGGCTCTCCGCGCTGAGCGTGAGAAGGCTAAGGCTTCCTTCCAGAGGCACCAAAATGCTGCTCAGCAGTCCCGGGGCCGCAAATAATCTTTATCAGCGTGTATAAACTGTACAATATGGCGATTTACTTGATAATTTGTTTTTCATGTATTCCAGCTTAGAATCAAAGAGACTACACTACTTTATGTCTAGTGCATAGTAATCGTGGCAAACGAAAATGTTGTACTACTAGTAGTAGTAACCAAGCAATTAGCATTGGTTGCTCCAAATGCCCAAGTTTTATAACGGGCAAATTTCAAGTAAGTGGTCGAGCTAAGGCAACGTGCATAGATTGGCAGGTCGTTGTAATAAACTGGACTGGAAAAAGCCAACAATTTACAGATTGAACAAAGAGACTAGTTTACTAGTGCTGTCTGGGCAGTAAAGTAAATAACCAATGAAGCAATGCCTACCTACCTGCTGCATGTACTTCCCCTTTTTGTCCAAACTTTGAATATTATCGATAGAGATAGAGAAGAAGTTAGAAGGATGTGGTTTGATCTTGAATAGCTTCAGCTTCTTTCAGATCTCACACCGATGGAAGATCAGAGAGATAGTCACATAGGGATATGTAGGGTAAAAAGAATAAAAGAATCCCAGGGCTAGCTGAGGCTGCCAAAGGGCTAGATACCTGGGGCCTAAAACGATGTGAACTGACTAAGCCTATCCTCAGTACCTTGTATTTGGCGAGGTTTTTTTTGATTGTTTCTCCTTAACAGCGCCCTTTCTAGGGTTATAATCCTCGAGTTAGCCTCGAAGAAAATTGAGAGATGCGCACCTATATCGTGAGTAAGTCATTTTTCCAAGGTCATTGTGTATTTACTAGTATTACCTAGATATAGATTGGCAGACACCACTTCTCGCGTCACCAGGAGAGCAGCTCCTCCTTTGAGGAGCAGATTTGCCCTAGCCCCAGGCCCCGGGGCCGTCTCTTAGTACCTGTACCAATCCCCAGACCCTTCGTCATGAGTGCATCATGGAGTTCTCAAGAAAATAAATAAAAATCTTGAGTGCACCCGAGGAAACCAGCAGCTGGCATCATGTGCATATGCATATTCTGAAGATAAACAATGATTATCTCCGTTTCAAGTTCACAACAGACCTAGCTTGAGAATGAGTTCAATAAAGTATAGTCTTAACAACAGCGAGAAGTGTCTTGGATGTCGTGGCTTATATGATGCGCAGGTGATTTCTTTCGGTCATAGTACTTCATTGTAGGCAAATCAATGCCAGATCCGTCCAGAGAATCAAGTGGCCGCAATATAACAATTTTGGTTTACAAATGCATCATAACCTTCAAGTTACCTAGGTAGGCTAGAGATATTAAGCTTGAAGTTGGCCAGCTTGCATTTCCTATAGACTGGATTGTATGCCAGCCCTGTAGTTAATTATAAGTGGAGCTCTACGGCGATCGATCGAAACAGCCCTTCCTTGAACCCGACAGGTCAAAATCGATATATAAATGGTAGTATTCGGGTCCACGGTGTCACCGAAAACGGGTGAAAATAGTACTAGTACTTTTAAGGTTCGATTCGTGGAATGCTAGTAACCAATAACTTGAACTAGCTAGTTAGTATCTAGTTAGTTCATACCGTTACTAGTAGTCTCTGGCGTCAATCCCAAGATCGACATTTCAATGTTTCTTTTCTAGAGCCTTCTCGGAAATTGCCCAAGGATCAGGTGTGACTCGTCGCCTGCAGTGGAATTGTTGCACTTCTGGAACCTAGGTACCTAGTAGGTAGTCGCACTGAAGTTGAACCTGGAAATACCTAGGTACTAAGGGGTCGCACCAATGTTGCAACCTTGTAACGGTATTGCAATCGATCACTTTGGTCTTGAAGTTCTGCTCGTGGTCAGTACTAGTAGTATAAGAACTACTCTAATAGGGGCTAGCGGCCATATACCGAGGAAATAGTATATGGTATGCAAAGTGGCACTACTCGTGTGCGACTAGAGTATATCAGTGTATACCTAGGTATTCATGGAGTGCTGTAAAAATGAAATAACCAATTAACTGCCAGTGATTACCATCAAGTTGTTGCCTACGGCCGTAGGCAAAGTGTAGTACGGATATCCCGTATAGTTGATGTACCCAACAGCCTGAGTGGTTCAGGTACCGATCTCATGGGAGCGGAAGTCAATGCATGATTATTAGTAGAATTGGACTGGTCGCAAGTATAATCAGCATCCTCTAATTAGCGTCGGAATGAGCTGAATAGAAGATGGGATGACAGGTAGAGTGGGGGCCGCGATTGATAAGTTGAGTGGTCCCTGACAAGGTAGCCCCTGCCTTAATTTCTTATTTTCCTATTCCCCCCCCCCCTTATTAATTTCCCTGAGCTCTTTATTTTCTACTTCAAGCTTCTCCGTTCATTCTTTTCTTCTCACACCATACCACACACCATGTCTGATCCGAAGCCCATTGAGCAGATTCCTGTCGAGGAACCTGTCGTTGCGACAGCCGAGTCCTCGGAAACTCCCGCCGCCCCTATTGTTGAGACCAATGGCACCGATGCCGCTACCAAGCCTGAGGAACCCGCCAAAGATGAGCATGTGAAGACTGAGCAACCTGTCAAGGACGCAATCTTGCCAACTACTACCACCACCATCGCCGCTGAGCCTCAAGTAGCTAAGCCCGAGGAGCAAAAGCCCCAGAAGCCAGAATACGTGACCAAGATCCCGTCCCTGGGCGAGTTCTTCGACCATCTCCCCGCCATTCTCACCAAGACTGGCCACGATGAGATGTGGGGCGTTCCTCTCAAGGATACCGCCGATATTCCCACCGTCAACGTGCTGATCAAATTCCTTCGCGCCAACGAGGGAAACCTGGCAGCTGCCGAGGACCAGCTTCGCAAGGCGCTCGAGTGGCGCAAGCAGACCAACCCATTGGCACTGATCGAGTCGGGTCGCTATAGCGCCACAAAGTACGGAGGCCTGGGATATCTGACTACCTACGAGGAGGATGGTCGTCCTCTGGTTTTCACATGGAACATCTATGGCGCAGTCAAAGATATGAGCGCGACCTTTTCGGACTCGGACGAGTAAGTCAACGCTTTACTCTAGCGCCCGAAAAAAATCATTGGAACTAAACTAATATCAAACAGATTCGTCAAATGGCGCGCAGCCCTCATGGAACTTGCCGTCCAAGACCTGAAGATGAAGGACGCTACGACCGTGATCGACTACGATGGTGAAAAGGACCCTTATCAGATGGTTCAAGTTCACGATTACCTGAATGTCAAGTTCTTCCGTATGGACCCTGCGGTTCGCACCGCCACGAAGAAGACCATTGATGTCTTCTCCACCGCGTACCCTGAGCTGCTGCGCGAGAAGTTCTTCGTCAATGTGCCCTCCATCATGGGCTGGATGTTCTCTGCTATGAAGCTTATTCTGAGCCGCAACACGACCCGCAAGTTCCACCCCATATCCAATGGCGCGAACCTCGCTCGTGAATTCCCTGCTGCCATTGCGGATAAGCTCCCTAAGATCTACGGCGGAAAGGGTGCGGACCTGAAGGATGAGGCTCGCACAGTCCAGCTTATTGAAGACAACGAAGTTAAGAAGCAGGAGCCTAAGGAGGAGGCAAAGCCTGCTGAGGCTTCTGGCGACACAAATGCTGCTCCTACTGAAGCTGCCGTGAGCTCCGAGGTAAAGGAAGCTTCCAAGGATGAGCCTACTGCTGCTGAGCCTGCCAAGGAGACCCCCGTCAAGGAGGAACCTAAGGAGGCCATTCAGGAGCCAACCGAGGAGCCAGCTGCGGAGAAAGTCAAGGAGGAGACTAAGTAAAAGCTCATATTCCTGTTGAGCCATCTGTTGTGATACCCGGAGGAGCGGTGGCGACACTCTCCACTCTTGTTTTGGTGCGTTGTTTCAAGTGTTTTCATAGATAGGCAATCGTAGCGCAAACATGTTATTCTTAATCGGCTGAAGAAAGGCTTGAATCGATCGAAGAAGTTTCCAAAAAGAAAAGAAGTGATTGTAAACAAGAATAAAAAGTAGTTCTAGAATATTGCCCGCTGATTCGTGGCCAAAGTTGGATCTGTTTGCACCGTTTGCAACCCGGATGACAAGCTTCCTCCTCCGCGCGACCCTGGGGCAGTTCAGAAGGTTAAGGTACTATTAGCCCATCGAACTTACAGGGTTCGTCACTTTTGGTTACCTCTCCTTGTTTCCTGAGCTGAGAGCTGTGTCTCTCAGAATGCGATTCACTTCCTGCTAATTCTTTTCCGACCCTCCAATCATTTCCATCTACCTTCGGCTGCTTTCGTCGGTCAACGATACCCCCGATCCATTCATCCATTCGCGCACCCAGACCATAAATTAGCCACCATGTCTGTCTGGAATCCAGATAACATCCGCGATGTTGCCGAATCCGTCGGTATCACAAATCTCAACCACGATGTGACCGAGAATCTCGCCCGCGACGTTGAATACCGGGTCGCCCAGGTCCTTGAGGAAGCGCTGAAATCGATGCGCCACGCGAAACGTACCGTCCTCACCACTCAGGACATCTCTCTTGCTCTACGGAATCTGGATGTCGAGCCCCTATACGGATATGAGTCTCTTCGACCGCTCCGCTTCGGCGAGGCATCGCTCGGTCCCGGCCAACCGTTGTTCTACGTTGAAGACGAGGAAGTGGATTTCGAGAAGCTTATCAATGCGCCTTTGCCCAAGGTGCCGCGAGAAGTCTCCTTCACTGGTAAGCTCGGATTGAGCGCTTAGGTTTTATCTCACATGAGCTGACGAGTCTTGTAGGTCACTGGCTCGCCGTGGAAGGCGTGCAGCCCTCCATTTCCCAAAATCCCACAGCATCCGACTCCCGCAACCTCGAGCTGGCATCGAAGGGACCTAACGCCAACTCTACACTGGCCGCAATGAGCGGCTCGGGTGACGTGTCTGTCAAGCCGCTGGTGAAACACGTGTTGTCCAAGGAATTGCAGCTCTACTTCGAGAAAGTCTGCAGCGCTATCTTGGACGAGAACAGCGAGGAATTCCGCACGTCTGGGTATTCCAGTCTGCGTGAAGATCCCGGTCTTCACCAATTGGTGCCGTACTTTATCCAGTTCATTGCCGAAAAGGTCACGCATGGTCTCAAGGATATCTTTGTGTTGACACAGGTAATGCACATGGCTGAGGCCTTGGTTCAGAATCAGTCACTCTACGTAGACCCATATGTGCGTTTCCTTTCTATTTTTTGTGAGTCTGTTTGCCCGCTGACAGAAATTACTAGATCGCCTCTCTTGTCCCCTCCATCTTGACTTGTCTCATCGGTCGGCAGCTTGGTGGCGCAGCTGACCTGGCCGAGCAGTTTGCACTGCGTGACCTCGCAGCGACTCTGCTCGGTCTTATTGCCAAAAAGTACTCTCACTCCTCCCATATGCTCAAGCCTCGACTGGTTCGATCTTGCCTGAAGGCTTTCCTCGACCCTTCCAAGCCCTTCGGGGCGCACTACGGAGCTGTCATTGGAATGCAGTCGGTGGGTGGCTCGGAGGTGGTGCGTGTGCTCATTATCCCCAATCTCAGCGATTATTCGAAGTTGCTCAGTGATGGAATTGATGATTCTGCTCGACGACCTGCGGCCGAACGAGTGTTGAATGCGCTGGTGGCCGTCCTGGCATCACTCCGGGATAGTCAAGCATTGTTGGCCAATGGCCACCCGGCGGCAGTGACGGAGGAATTGCGGTCAAAGTTAACCGACAAGGTGGGGGATCTGATCGCGAGTCGCATTGCCGAGGCCAACGAGGTTCAGCTAGCGCACATAATCATGGAAGCATAGTCAAGAAGACTAAGGGAACTTGGATCCTTTGTGCATTGCATTTGACCAAGGGGGGAAGGAGGAAGCAACTTGGTTGCAGCACGGGACATGGCGTTATGACTCAGGCGTTAAGGGGGGGTTTGGGGGTATTCCGTATTGTATTCAGTATTCAAACAAGCTATGACGTTCCCAAGGCCATCTAGGCCTCTGGTTCAAGCAGCTGCAGAACCAACAAGGGCATCCAATCCGATTATCTCCGCGTAAGAACTGTAAGTACTGTAAGTGCATGTACATACAGTAGTGTACTGGAAGTAAGTGGATCTCCGCTCCGCTCAGGCACGCCGGGAAGTTAATTCTGCCAGGCATCACCGCTCGTGTGACTTCCCAATCGGGGCTGGTCTACTGCTTGTCGCCTGCTGCTTCTTTTTTTGGCTTCAGCCTGCTTCCTCTCTTTTTTTTTTTTTCTATTTTCTCTTCTTCTTCTTATTCTCATATTATCAGCCTCTCCTGACATACTCTCGTGTCATCCCCATTGATCCAGTGTAACTAATCCCAGTTCCGGTCGTCAATTCGACTGCAGCCCAACCCACCCGCTAACTTGCATTTCCCTGATGTCAGATTTTGATCGCGCCCCACGAGCCCGGGCCCACAGATAAAATCGCTCATTACCAACCAAACCACCAGCGAGCGCAAACATTTTGCAGCTGTCACCCCTCCTCAAGAGGTCTTCAAATCAATCACTTGTGGCATCTTTGGACCACCGAGACCCCCAGAGTCTACGCCTTGTCTTCGTGACCTGTGTCCGGAGCAAATCAATCGCATCTCGGGCACCCATTGAGGCCCTCGGAGTCTAACCGACAGTCTCCTGCCCGTTTTTTTCTCTTCCACATCCCCTCACTGATGTTGGCCCCGCGCGACCTGCAATTTTAACCCAGATTTCCTTGCCCATATTCCATGAGCCCAAAGGATCTTCTGCGATTTCTCTCTAAGCCTGCCAAGTATGTATTTGTCTCAATTCTCAATTCCTTTGTTCCTATCTGCCTCAATCGCTCGTCGTACAACCGTCCGGAACACGCAGATCGTGCTCCAATTTGCCCGCAGTAGATCCGAATGGGATCACAAACATTTTCTTTTGTTACAGAGTGACAATTGATGGTCCTTCCCCTCTCCTCCTCTCCCCCCGACTATCTTTCCCTTCCTTTTCATTCCATTTCTTCTCCACTCATATCGTCGCCATTGCTAACCTTGCTCTCTTTGGTCCTCTCCAGGCCTCGATAACGCGACTCCCGCAAATAATCTTCACCCCGCCACTTTTCCCCATCACCCCATACCAGAGCAGATACTCTCTTCTGCTAGACCCGATACTTTTACCGGTATCGGTATCTTCCAGGACGAGGGTACTTGACTGATCGTCACCATTCCTTGTACGATCTTTTTCCTCGCCTACGCATTTCTCCCTCCCTAGCGGCCCTCCTGGTCTGTTTGGGTTTATATCTCGCTGGCCTGTCAGCCAGTTTAGTTTCGTCCTAAAGGCCTTCTCTTCTCAGACGGGCACCGCCCCCTTGTGCGTCTGAGCAAGTAGACAGTGCTTCTAAAGCCTTTTGTCTCTACATACACACGGTTCCCAGGGCGGTCCGACGTCTCCCACAACTTCATTCCGTTCAGTGCTTCAATCATAACAGCTTAGGCTGCAACATTCAGCGGAAATGGTTTGCGTCGGTATTCCGAAGAATTACACTACCTCGCCATCCTCCTTTGCGGGGACACCTTCTCTGACGATCAACTACGAGGCCACTCAGGACCTCGACTCCAGCAATGCTTTTGAAGGTTAGTCGACTCCACCCACCTTTTATCCCTATGCATGTTCTGACTCGATCGAAATAGGTCCCGAGAAGTTGCTCGAAGTATGGTTTGCTCCATCTGCCAGTGAGCTTGGCACTGCCGGCCCAGAGGGCTTGAAGAAGGTTCCCAGCGACATCTGGAAGGACATGCTCGACTTGGTCAATTGCCAGGTTCTCTCCATTGTTTCATCCGAGGACGCGGATGCCTACCTGCTTTCTGAGTCCAGCATGTTTGTCTGGCCGCACAAGCTCATTTTGAAAACATGTGGTACCACGACTCTGCTGTCCGGCCTCCCGCGCATCTTGGAGATCGCCGCTCTCTTCGCAGGCTTCCCGCGCGCTACTGCACCTCCGTCTCGCGGAATCACTGTCGCTGCGGCCCCTTACCGGGTTTTCTATAGCCGCAAAAACTTCTTGTTCCCTGACCGTCAACGGGGCCCTCACCGCAGCTGGCGCGATGAGGTTCGCAACATGGACAAGCTGTTCCAGAACGGTAGCGCCTACATGATTGGCAAGATGAATGGAGAGCATTGGTACTTGTACTTGACTGAGCCTCATACCTTGCTCACTCCCCCGGCGAGCCCACAGGAGGAGGAAGATGTTGAATTCACCGAGACTGAGACCAAGGTCCTCGATTTCCCCCCTTCTCCTGTCGCCACTGAGTGTGATGAGCATGATGAGACTCTGGAGGTCTTGATGACCGATCTCGACGAAGAGAACGCAAAGCAATTCTATCTGGAGAATGCCGCCGCCACGGCGGAGAAACGCTTCCGCAGCCTCGAAAAGGATGACGACGTTGAGCACTTGGATGTTTTCAGCAACAACTCCGACCCAGAGGATGATCTTGATATGAAGAGTAGCGGTATCCTGCCAGCGGAGTTGACGACGGAAGGCCATGCTCTCGGTACTGTGGTCTCTGAGTCCTGCGGTCTTTCAGACGTCTATCCCAAGAACAAGTTCCCGGATGCTCGCATTGATGCGTATCTATTCACGCCCTGCGGTTTCTCTGCGAACGGCGTTGTTCCTGCTCCGGATAGCAAGGGACCTACTCACTACTTCACCGTTCACGTCACGCCAGAGCCACATTGCTCATACGCGTCCTTTGAGACCAACGTGCCGCACTCTCAGAACGGCAAGACCACGTCCGACATCATCCAGCAGGTCGTCGATATCTTCAAGCCTGGTCGCTTCAGCATCACCTTGTTTGAAACCAAGCCCACTGTCGAGGAGCTTGAGGCCGATGCAAATGGCTTCCACGAAATCTCTCACGCGCAGCGCCAAGCTTTGCGCCGCAGTCCCAAGATTGAGCATGTGGAGGGCTACCGCCGTGTTGACCGTATCGTTCATGATCTGAACGGGTACGATCTTGTGTTCCGTTACTATGAGCGCAACGACTGGAAAGGGGGGGCACCCCGGCTTGGAGAGAAGTTCTAGAACTTCATACTGTAGTTGAAGGTTGAAGTCTCCGAACTTCCACTGTCTTCACTCTTCTCTGGCTGGCCTTTTCCAGCCGGCATGCTACGCAGTCGATTGATTTCGACTTTTGCGCATTTTCATGTCCATCTTGTGATTGGTTTTCATTTTGCCTTTTCATTTCGTGAATTTGTGAATTGAACTTCCTGTCTTTACATAGTACGCAACATTGAATGTTTATGCACTCAGCGTCGTGTCTTGTCTTGTCTTGTCTTGTTCTCTTGTCCATGCTTTAAGCTGGGTCTCATCAGCGATTTTGATATAAAGTTTTTGTGAATTTTCTTTTTCAGCCATTCTTTATTTATAATTTAACGGAAGCTTTTTACTGCTTGTCAATACTCGAACTGAAATGTAATATCTTATTGTAGTTCGTAGTTGCGCGTATTCTCACCGGAATATCGATCCAATTTAACACCTTCTCTGGTACCTAGCCGAATAACTTACTGGTAGCAACCAAATTTGTACTTCGGGAATTATAAGTCTAGTTCCATCATCCTGCAGTTTGGCTGAAAGGTCACGGGCATGGAGTACAAGGGAGGTTGGAATATGTCTACTAGTACCCAGGTACCTAGGTATTTTTATGTCGGAAGGGAAGGCAAGTCAAGATTAGATTAATATGGAAGGTGCCCAGATACTACCTTAAGTACCTAGGTAGTTAGTAACTTCAGGGACTACCTAGATATAACCACGAGTTAGTACGGTAGGCTACGTAGGTAGGCGGTAACTCCATCCCGGCAGTATTCGTAGTTATCTCAAGTATCGAACTGACCTTACTTGCAATCGCGCGACAACGATTTCCACTCATCCAACTGTCGACCATCATCTGGAGGTCATCATTGGCTATTACTGATCCAGGAAAATCTATTTCTCGAGGCATTCTCACCTGCTTTGCGTCTGTATAGATGTTGCTCCCCACATCCTGAACCCGGCATTTCAACACTTGAAGGTCCGCGGACTCCTCGCCGAGTCTCTCCAGCAATCTATCTACCACCAACAGTACATTGATTGATCAAACAAACCCACAACGGCCCTATCTCACCTTACCTCGATTCAGCCTCACCATACAACACTTACGAACCCGAAAAACTCACACCTACCTCATTAACCACCCCAAAATGTCCTCACCACCACCCTACCACCAAACCGCGGGTCCCAACCCCCTAAAAAGACCCTCCATATCATCCGTCTCCTCTCAACCCATCGGCAAAAAAGCGCGCATGCACCCGCTGCGTCAAACGTCTTTCCCAGTCAACCTCGACGCGGAGCGCAGCTTCGGCGCGACGAGCGACGCTGGCAGTGTGACAGGCAGTTTTACTGGAAGTCTCGGCGGAGCGAGTGCTGACGGGGTCTTTTCGGGCGCAGCGGCAAGGGGAAAGAAACGCGGGCGAAAGAGTAAAGCCGAGAAGGCGAGGGAATTGGAGCGGGAGGATGCGCTTAGTTCGCGCGCGGGGGATACGCGGATGGGGTCGGTTGATGGTGATGGGGCTTCGGTGAGAGGGGGTGGTGGCGGCGGAGGAGGTGCAGGTGGAGGTGGTGGTGCCCAGGCGGATGATGGGGATGACGATGATGATTATGATGAGGGGGAGCTTTTGGGGAGGGATGAGGGGACGACGGATACGGAGGCTGAGAAGAAGAATCTTGCGTATGTTTCAATGCTGCACCCTACCCTACCCTACGGATCTGGGAGTGGGTTGGTTTGAAAATGATGATGGCTAACGGATGTCCGCTTTACAGGATTCTTGTCGATGCTTTTAATTCCGCGCAGTCTGAGCGGTATGATATTTTCAAGCGGGCGAAGCTTAGGAAGGAGTCCCTCCGTCGTATCGTCAATCATGCGCTCTCACAGTCTGTCCCGGCTAGCGTCGTGACTACAGTGAATGGTTTTACGAAGGTTTTTGCTGGTGAAATTGTTGAAAAGGCCCGGACGGTTCAGGATCAATGGGCCGATGCCCATGATCTCGCTGCTCGTGAAGCCTTCGAGGCTCAGGAAGCTGCGGCTGATAAAGCAGCGCAGGCCCGAGCTGAGCGAGCTGAAGCTGCTGCTGCTGCAGCTGCGGCGGCGGCGGCAGCAGCAGCAACACAGTCCCAGTCCAAGCCAGCGACGCCTACACCCTCAGGTACACCAGTTCCCGCTAGCGGATCTCACAGTGATGGCATCAAGAAAGAGCCGTCCGACACAAATCTCGCCGCATCATCTCCAGCTCCCGGACCTCATGTCTCTCCCTCTCCTTCAAAAAGGCCCGCTCACTCCGCGGTTTCAAGTCCTGTTCCCCCGCGACAACGCCGCGAATTCCGCCTCCCACCCAATCCACACCGTGGCCAGCTCCTACCCTCGCACTTGCGTGAAGCGGTGCGGCGCATTAAGCGTGATGGTGAGGGCGGTGGTGTTGGGTACTCAGGGCTGAGTATGGAGAATCTCGGGGTTAGTGGTGCTTTTACCTGGAATTCTGGCAGTGTTGGTGGTCGTCGACTATTCCGTTGATCATTCGTGACCTTTTGCTCGATTTTCTTTTCTTTTTCTTTTTCTTTCCCTCATTCCATTGCATTGGCGTATTCGGTTGGCTGGGCGGGCATTTCTTTTGCTTTTGCTTCTGGGTTCTCATTCAATTTCGCTACGCGGCGGAATATCTACATAGTAGCGGACAGGAGATAATGACAGGACATACAAATTTCCACCCCATACCTTTTTTTCTTTTTTCTTTTCTCCTTCTCTCGTTTGCGAATAGTTCTTTACTAACCGTCCCGCACTATCCATGGCGTACTTCTTATATTGGACTTTGTTCAATACAGGCTTCATGGCTTAGATATGTGACACCTATATACGAATAGCGTGAATTGAGTATCTTTAATTTAGATCACACATTCCAATGCATCTGATTCATCCGTCGATCTACAGGAGGCCAGCTCATCCAGGGCTTGGCAAGGACAGATCTGAGAACTGCGCCAACAACAACAATGCCAATATCCGATTTCATTTCGGTCTGCCAGCATCAGAATGCTCCTTCGGCGCACATGTGGAGCAAATTAGTACGCACAAAGACAGTTCAAGCTACGATCCACTTGTTCATGAATATAAGCTCATCACTAAAAGAAATAGACGCTCATGGACCTTGAATCAGCCAATGACAAGATCGACAGACCGTGCCCTAAAAAGGATCGCGCCGCTGCACCCACCGATGCAAGGGCCCAGCGCCACCAGCCGGCCTTTTCAAGTATCTCCTGCTACGAGTACGGAGTTGACAAGGAGAAGCTTTCCCTTTAATCCCTTGGCATGCCAATCCCATTGACGCGCGATATCCCTAGCCGGTGGGGGAAATGTATCCTCGTGGTTCGCACAGGATTCAGGATTGCGCCATTGGGGCTTTGACTAGGCTTATTGCCCAGGTGTTACATACATACATGTACGGAACTATTTGCCCACGCTGCAGTGCGCCCTTCACCCTTCAAACGGGGTTGGGTTAGGAATTTGTTTAAGCCAGTGCCGCGTCAGGGACTGCTTCTTCAGAAACCCCCTTCTTTCTTGGCGAGTCTGCTCTGGGACGATGCTTGGCTTTTCCTTTCTGCATTTGTTCTCCTTTTTATTTTTATTTTTTCGGTCCCTGTTTTATTAATTGTTCTCCTGTATGAAGGATGCTTGGGGAGTATAACCTATTCCACCTGCTGCTCTTCCTGGAGTCTGACCTTTCAACTACTTCTCTTCACATACCTCGATGAATCTCGCTACACGCTTTCGAGGCTTTTGATACTCTGGCGGGACTGGCAGGCTACTTGGCGCGTTTTTGGATGCTGTATAGCCGTGCATAATCTTCAAGTTGGACCTTCCAGTATAATCTTGCTTCATCTTTCGCCATGCCATATCTTCAGACCTCTCATATCTACACTCGTCTGCGAGACAATCTTCCCTCAACCCCCATCTCCACGCCGATATCTGCTGTCTTCTCTTGGAATCGAGGAGACGCTTCAACAACAAAGGGCGACCCTCGGAAAAGTGTCAAATGGATCGACGTGCGTAATACGAAGAGGCCCAGACCATCCCACATCAATTATTATGACCTTAAGCTAACGCTAGAGTAACCGCTGCAGGGTCTCCGTGGAATCGCCTCTTTCCTAGTCGTTCTCACCCATCTTGCCCGCGCCTGGGACTACGACCTCTTCTCCCCACGAGATAACGAAGATGTAGCACCGAGAATTCTACAATGGCCCATTCTCCGCATACCCTGGCAAGGCCGTATTGGAGTAACCATATTCGCATTTTTGACCGGCTACGTCTGCGGCCTGAAACCTCTCAAACAATCACGCGCCGGCGACATTATGGGGGCATTTACAACGATATCTAAAAGCGCGTTCCGCAGACCGCCGCGCTTGATATTCCCCGCCACAATCGCTATGGTTATTTCTTGGGTTATTGCGCAGTTTGGAGGCTTTGTTGTCGCTAACCGATCGGATTGTTGGTGGTGTCGGTATGCGGCTCCTGAATTAGAGGACTCGCTTTGGGATGAGATTCTTCGTTTGGGGAAGAATTTCTTGTCGACGTGGACTACTGGATACATGGCATATGATGATCACCAGTGGGCGCTACTACCACTCTTGAAGGCATCTATGCTGGTATACATTTTGTTATTTGCTACGATGTTCATGCGATTTCGGTACAGGATGATGGTTTACATCGGGATGATGCTGTACTTCCACCAAGATGCTACGAAGAATACTGGTAAGTGCACTGTATCCCGAGCTTCAAGTTTCCAGAAAATATCTGCAAACGCTCTGAATAAAATCTAACAAGAGCACTAGAGACATTCCAATTCCAAGCAGTCTACGGCATCCTTCTCAGCGACCTCTCCTACTCAACAACAGTGAAACGCTGGATCGAAAACCACCCCTACGGCCGAAAAGCAATCTCCATCCCATTAACCTTCTTCGGTCTCTGCATCGCCTCTTATCCAGGCGAGCATCCAGAATGGTCATCCTGGTCAAACTTCCTCCTCAAAATGGCAGAATACATCTTTCCCCCCGAGGTAAATATCGGCAAGCGCTACACAGCCCTCGCAATCGACATGATAATTTTCGCAATCTACATCTCTCCATCAACAAAAGACTTCTTGTCAAATAGACTCCTCCTCTGGCTGGGCAAGCAAAGTTTCGCCGTCTATTTGCTTCACGGCACATTATTACGCGTTGTCCTCGTTTGGATGCTCTATGGTATTAGCGGGCAGCCGTGGGATGGAAGTGAAGCTTCTACCGACGATGAACGAGAATGGATACCACTCCGTCCGCCGGTGGTAGTAGCGCTATGTATCCCGATTTGGATTGGGATTGTGTATGCTTGTGCTGCGGCGTGGACGGCGTATGTCGATACATTCTGCGCTTCGCTGACACAGAAGGTTGAAAGGGCTGCATTTGCGGAGGATGAGAAGGCGCCGTTGCCTTTGCCTCTTGTTTCGGTTCCAATGCAGACTGCGTGAGAAGAGCGGGATTCTGCATAGAGACTTCGTGGCTTTATCAAACTCGACGTGACGATGCCAGTGCTGGTGCCCGTGTTGCTAGTCTGTGATCTTGAAGCGGACAGGTGTGGAGTGGCAATTCTGGCCGTTCACTCCTAAATGAGTTGAGCTCCGCCCGGCTCTTGCAGATTATTATACTTCATTGTGAAGCAAGTGAGAGCCTTTTGTATTTCTATTTGCATAGACGCCTTCACCTTGCAATAAAGTGTGAAGGCGTTGGTTGTTAAATTTGTGGTTCTGTCGTGCATTCAGCACGAAATATGTCTTTCCAGCATTTATAGGCGTTTCTAAGCGACTCTGTCTTATTTTGGGCATTTGATGCAGTCAAAAAACACGCTGTCTGCTATTGAAATTTCGGTTATCAGACTCTCAACAGGGGCCATACCTTTTGCATCTCTAGACTGGGCACTTGGAATCTCGTGAACTCGATAGCTGCGGCGCTCCATAGCAGCAACCGGGGTCACAGTATTTAGTGATTTCAAGCAACGCTTTGTTTGCCTAAGGTCCTATCTAAGTATACATCTCACCGGAATATCAATCCAGTTTTCACATCTTCTCTAGTACCTAGCCGAGCATGCTTACTGGTAGCTACTAAGTTTCCTATTGTCAGGTTCGCTTTACAGTAGTTTGTTGGGTATTATTAGGCTGTATCTTTCAATTATCTAGGGGGGCTTATTATAGTAGTAGTATCGTTGTCTATTATTAATGAATCTTAAAAGTCTAGAGGTACATACGGCCGCTTGGACAGCCAGCCTAAATTGCCCTGGAGGACCGACCTACTGAGCCGGTTACCGCTATAGAGCGCCGTAGATAGTCAGCTTCATCCCATTTGAATCCATTTCTTCTACTTTCTTCAGCGTCAGTATTTTTGTATTGAGTAATGAAATTGACTGTGATTCGTGAGATATGCAAGAGGCTTTGATCACGCTATCTATTTATAGTAATTTTAACTTCGTGGCAGTCGCGCTAGTTTGAAAGTGCCAAAAAATCAGCCAAAAGAGAGAGAATCTCACTAAAAAGGGGCCCGGGACAAGCACAAACTTCTCAACTGACTTGACATTCAGCACAGTCAGATATGGTTATCATTGGTTATCTACTACGGATCTAAACCCCACAGACAGGCAGGGGAAGGATAGAAAAGGAAAAGAAAAGAAAATCAGTCTGAATGCCTGGCTTGTTCATCATCAAAGGGTAATGATCAAGGAGCTTAATCGAAGAATAAGAGAAGCAAGGAAAGAAAGCCCAGAACGAGAGCTCAAGCGGTAAGGGGAATATACAGATGACCAAAAAAAGAAAGAGAGAGAGAAAGTAGTCAGGACAAACTAGAATGGGACGAAACAAAACAGGGCCACCTAAACGGATGTTTACACCACCGTGGTGGGAGACGGCTCATAGAAAAGAAAGTAGGACACGGAGAGAAAGAGAAGCTGTCGAAGAATATGGGTGTGCAGCTATTGCCCGTTGCGGAAGCGATCGGGGATCTGGGGCATAGCGGGTGGGGGACCAGGTTCAGTGTCATCCTCATCTTCCTCCATTTCATCAAGCTCTTCAGGGTGCCTATAGATAACGCGTTAGTAAAAGGACTATAATAGTTGACGTAAAGTAGATGGATAGCAACATACGCAAGAAGTTCCTTGATATTCCTCATCTCGTAATGCTTTTTCCGGTGCTGCTCGAACTCCCGGTGCTTCTCCTTCGCGTCATCCGAGGTGATCAGACCGTCGCCATTCACCTCACCGCCCATGACCACATGCTTATCACTCTTGTGGGAATCCGTGCTCATGCTGCGATCCCGGTAGATCCGGGGGTCCGAAGCGGCGTCCGCGGTGTCCTGGAATGTATCTTCTGCCTCGCCGAGCTCGAGGTCGGGGATTTCGTCTTCGGAGACGCCCTTCTTGTGGTGATGGTGGTGGTTGGCCTTGTCGGGGTTATCGAGCTCGTCAACGACAATATCCTGCGCATCGAGAAGGCTGTCTTTCGCATCTTCAAGACGCATCTCCTCGTCATCCTCGGTGGGGTCGTAGTGCGGGGCATATGGGGTCTTGGGCTCGTCGATCTTCATTTTCGCGGTGCGATCCTGCTCTGTCAGATACAGGTTTGCTTCGTCCCACTTCAGACGGGGTTCGTTGTCGTCCTGGGCACTTTGGACGGATTGCCTGCGGGATGTAGAGCCGGGCCGAGTGTTGGAGGAAGATCGACGACGGCCGGCGTTTTGAAGGGTGTTCTGGAGGGTGATGTCCTTGGTGTCGGACACTTCGGGGATGATAGGCACTGGGATAGGTCCAGAAAGGATAGTAGCGGGAGGTGCAGACGAGAAGGACTTGTTGTTCTTGAGGATTCCTGGAGAAGCTCTCTGTTAGCCTTGCAGTCCCTGTTTGGGATGGGAAAGAAGCCTACCTCTGGGGCGTGGGTGCACATCTTCGGTGCTGTGTGCCTTAGCCGGCATATGCGGTGCGGTTGTCATCATGGATATGTTGGTAAGGAGAGACGAGGATACCGTCCGATTTTCAAGTGGACGTAGGCAAGAAATATTCCGGAGGGGTAGAAGTAGGAGGCTTAGCCTGTCAGCCGCTGTGTCAGATGGGGAGGTATGTGTGTTCAGCTGGGACCAAGATGACCTGAAGATCAGTCTTCAGCTAAGCAGGTAGTATTGAAGATAAGCTTGAGGAATGATAGTGAAGCCTGAAGAAGTCAGCTGCGATGGAGTTGGAGTTGGAGTTTGGAGTTTGGAGTGGGACGTTCGAAAGGCGGGCACGTGGGGCACTTTGATGACGTCGGCCTTGGCGCCTGACGTCGGGTTGCGGCCTGAGGGAATGTATACCGAGGTACATAGTAAACTACAGAGTATACTACTAGTACAGAGTATAATATGTATGCATGGCTATGCTTATTAAGGCATGTGGAACGCCTGAAACATGATTGTAATGCATTTTCTGTTGCATCAATGGTTGGCTGACCAGTAGTAGTTACATGGACCTCTCGGGTCCTTCCTAATACAGCCCTAGTTTCACGTATAATTGAGAATCCATATATAATTTGACCTCTAACACCAGATGAATCGCCCAGAAAAGGGGTATCTGTATATGCAAACAAGCAAGGCCCGCCTCGTGTAGCTCAAAATGATGGAAATAAATGCAAAAGAAGAAGAGAAAGGTATGAAAAATAGTAAAGGAATGTAAAGAAGGAAGGTGAAGAGGGAATGAGAGAGAGACAGAGTTGGCATCGAGCCGAGGGGAACGAGATTGCTCAGGCAATAGAATCAAACTCCTCTCGCTCACGGAGACGATTGCGGGCGAGGATATCCCCTCCATTTGCCGACAGCTGCATCCAGTGCAGTGCCAAACACATACTTTGAGGGTCCGACTTCGAGTCTTTACCGCGCATGTACATCATTTCAGCTTTGAACGTATCCCGCGGACAGGTGAGTGGTAGCGTGACCCGAGGAAGACGTTCTGGATGAGTTAAGTAGAGGATAGCTAGCTCGCGTTGAGCGACTGGGTTGCCCTCTTTGGCGGTGACGATCCACATCGCCGCTGCATCTTCTATGGCGTGGCTAGGCCGAGGATAGAAGTCGGATCCAGGAAGCGGGTGCCGGCACATGAGCTCTTGTGAGACAATACGGTCCGCAATTTCGACCATGGCATTGCAGACCTCGTCCTTAAGACTCAAAGCAGCGAGGCCAAATTGAAGGAACGCTGTACCCCGGTCGGTTTTGCTTAAATGATCGCTAGGAACAAAGGCAGAAATAAACTGCAAGTCTCGGAAGAGGGTCTTTGGCTTGACCTCTAGAATCAGATCACGTAAGGTAGCCACGATCTCATCCTCGGACGGGGGACAGTAGTCTGATGAGCGTGATTCGCAGGTGACTGAATCGACCGAGGTGAAAGCAGATTCTGGATCTAGGGAAGCTAGCTCTGCTGGTCGCACCTCCGAGAAACTGTGGCGAGTAGCTCGGGGTCGCGGTTGGCGGGGGCTTTGTAAACGATCAGCACCACTAGAGTATATGTTGCGGGAAGGAGCTGTCAAATTGGCATCATGGGACGAGATGAGAGAGGCGACGACCAAGGACCTTTAGGTCTCGTAGAGCATTGAGTTTGACAAAAGGATTTCCATGGCGAGAGAACACTTCGATCAAACGGTGGAAGACTGCCTTGTATGAAAAGGCAGATTGGTCATCTTGATTCGAGTCTTGGTCCAGATTAAGAGGCGATTCATCGCTTGTAGAACTCCTGTGGCGAGTAACCAGAGACTCAAGAGATACGCTACGTCGCCTGCCGTTTCTTTGGCGGTGTTGCCTGGCAAGCTTCGAGCGCTCTTCGTAATCCGCCCAAAACTTCTCCACGGCGGCATGTCTTTGCATCTGTACCCTGACACGCGTCTCGTCGAGTTTGTTAGTGAACCAGGCATCTGTTTCACTGCCACAGCTCCAAACTGGAGAACCTAGATCGCTGAGAAGTAGACTGGTCAAGGTTTGCCGCAGGTCGTCCATGAATACTGATTTCCCAACTGTCTTGCGTTCAGAGCGGCGAGGTTGTCGCGTTGCGGTTTCGCTGAACATTGAAGGAGGTCGTGAGTATACACTTGATACGCTGTTAGCGTACAGAGGGTGGCGCTGCGGTGCAGACCAAAAAGTACTGCAAGTATCACCAGTCGACGTCGATGCTGCACGACCTGGAGATCCCGCAATGGATGATATATCAATGGAAGGAAGGTCACGAGCAGCACGAGTTTTATCCGAGCCAATGCTCTGAATGGACGGCCTCCGGCCCATGGACAAGGTTTCATGGGAAAACCGTGGTGCAAACTCGGGCATGTGCATGTTGCTTCCATATAATTGACTCGTATTCATGGGATCCTCACTTGCGGTAGTCGAAGGCCGAGGCGTTGTCGGCATGGACAGCCCCGGGAAAGAATGAGTACCGTAGCCCTCATACTTTGCTCGCTCTCTTTGAAATAATTCACTGGCCCACAGGACAGGAGTTTCTGCCATTGTCTCGCCAACGAGGCGATTGATGCTTGTTCGGACTTCGTAACAGAATCTGTGGATACGCTCTTCGCCTTTGCAGAAATTATCAATTGCGTTGTGGGCCAGCCACTTGCGAGTGAGCTCCACTTGCTCATCTGATAGTTTCTTCGGACCACCCTGGCTGCTTGGTGCTTTCATCATATTCATCACTTGAACTTCCGGTTTTTGGAATAGGGAGCCCCCCCAATGAACGGGCCCCGGCACGAGAGCGCGGTTCCTCGTGCATATCGAAGCAAGGACGAGAGGAATATACCATGGTCTTCAGAGCCATGGCTACATGTCGAGCTTCTTCGTACCTCATCGAATTCTTGACATCGGTCATGTACCACATTTTATTGCGAAGTTTAGAGATAGTCGTCATTAAGCTCTTGACATGTGTTTGTAGACGGCGGAGGTTCTTGCCCAGTGACACAAAGTCACCTTCACAGCGGTCGATGATGACGCGGGATCGAGTCAAGGAACGACTACATGAGTTGTGCATTGGGCCGAGAATCCATGAATCATCTCCCATAGGCGATGAATCGACGGTATTGCCTTGTCGAAGTTGGCGTGAGGCGTTCCACCAATAGTGTGCACCCACAAAATCAGATAAGTGGTGAGAAGAAGACATGGCTTGGTTGAAGCGTTGCTTCAGCGATTTTGATAAAGGCTGGAAAGATGTTGCATAGCGGTTGGTATCATCCGAATCATAGACTTGATCTTCTTGAACAAGGCGAATGATGGCTGTTTGGAGCGCCTCGTAGTTCTCTTCTAGACCAAGACTGGTAGACTGGACGTCATCGTCACTTTCAATCACAGAAGTTCTTCGTGATCCACAATCCGGAAGTAGGCTCCATGTGAGACCGCGACCATCCTGAGCGACCGAGAAAATCGTCCAATGCTCACCCGAAGGAGCTTCCAACCGTGAGCGCTCGGTTGATTCGTCCAAACCAGACAGTTCGAAGCGTATACGTGCGGCAGCTTGCCCGATTCTACTCTCGGGAGTAGACACAGAAGAAGTCTCTGTGGAAAATATAGAGCTCCCTCGAGAGGTGGGGCGTCTGTCTGCATCATGGGTCGACCGGAAGAAACCAGGCTCATAATGGGACTCTGGACGAACGCTATAGGTAGGTGATAGACTAGCAGCCCAAGAAGAGAAACCAGCTGAATCCTGGGGGGAGTGTAATGTGGAGGCGGAGCGTGGGAAAAGAGCGTCTAGTAGTGTAAGTATATCACTGGCAGAAAGCAAAAGGAACGTTGACGGGTCATTTCCCAGTAATGGTGTCAGAAAGTTCATCGCTGGGAGCTCAGTAGATGAAGGGGGTTGGAAGCGTGAAATCATGCTATCCACACGCTGTTTGACGGATGGCCTAAGAATGGAAAAATGGTTCCTTTATCAAAGTTAGCCACCGCCATCCTATTATACGCACAAATAAAGGTGGGATGATCATTGAAACCCACATAGAACGCAAAACAGCGAATACTTGAGAATAAGCTCTCAGCCCAACTTGCCCAAGTAGCTTCTCACGAGCATCTTTTCGGATATGAAAGTCGAGTAACAAACCGTGTGCCTACCCAACAAAACTTGTCAGAATCCATTTGGCTGGCAGAAAGGGAGGTTCGTACCTCTGGATAGGTCAAGGCGCTGTAGAGGAACTTTGGAAAGAACCATTGAACAAAAAGATACTCAAGGAAACGACTGCGGGTGTCAAGACTGTCCAATTTGCAAAGCACAGCTTTAGCAAATTGGAGGACTGTAGAAGGAAAGCCACCATCGGGGTCATCGAGAACACGGAATAGGTCATCCACGGCAGAAGCAAAGAATTCCTCGGCGACATCGGTTCGAAGGGGATCCAGAGCCTCGGCAGCAAAGTCCAAACCGGCAGGGGTATCTATATGCTCCAAAAGAAAAGCGCCTGTCTGCAGGATATCCATAAGGTAGAGTTCAAACTTGGGACGGGCTTTCCAGTTGCTACAGGTGGCCCAAGCAGACAAAACTTGCCCAATGAGAGGGTAGAATTTACTGCTACCCTGGGACATTAGTTGAGCGCAGACGGAAGACCACATGTCTAGTCGCAATGTAAACTCCGGTGTCCCGGACTCCAAAGGGGCGGCATAAACGTTGGAAAGCAAGATAGAAAGCGGATTGGTCCTTTCAAAAGCATACGCATGGTCCTTGAACGAGGCTGATTGGGCTGGAATTCGATTGAAAGAATATTGGCTTCGGAAGGAACGGGAAGAAGAAGACGAAGAAGATGGAAATGCAGGGTCTCCGGAGTCCAAAGAAGTGGCTGCGTTGGTAAAAGAGGCCAGCTGTGATGAGGTGAAACCGCGGAGACGGTCGACCAGAAACTGCGGATCCGAACGAACCAGCCGCAAGATCTCCAGCAAGTCCGCCCGGGATTGAGGGCTCAGTTGGTTAAAAAGGTCCGGGGAGCGATCCAATTCAGGCTCCGAGGATTGTTCACGTTCGTCCAGCGGTTCATCTCGGTCATCACGCCGTGCACTGGATGTGCACGACTCCTGAAGATCATAGAGCGTATGATAGAGAGCGGCAAAACTGGCCTTGTCATCATGTTTGAGAGCTTCAACCAGACCGCGCTGAACTGTATTGCCGATCCGGATCATGCGCGCAGAAACACCGATGGAAACCTTGGTGGCGCGCAGTCGATTTTCCAGTCGCTTCCTTTGGATATGTTTGCGCTGGCTTTGTCGGAATCGTGTGGCAAATTCTTCGAAGGAGACCTGGGGGAGTTCTTTTCTTCTAATAGCCGTGGAAATCGCGGGTATAGTTGGATGCGGGGAGTCTTCTCCGGGAGATTTGGCCATGAACTTGGGACTGGAACGGGCCGAGCCAGCCAACTCACCTGGCCCCACGCTCTGTTCCACTGGTTCTATCAGAGGAACATCGAAGGGCATGGTCGCTGATGGCGACGCTGGTGGTGACGCTGGTGGTGAAGGAGGAAGAGGCACTGATGTAGGATCTGCCCGATGCGATGGATCACATGGTGGATCAGTCTGGAGGGCGGGAATCCGCACGGCTGGAGCAGATCAGATTGGGATCAAATCAGGCACCGAGATGACAAGGAACCAGGGGAGTAGGTTCCACCGCACGAAAGTGATTGGGAAAATACTATGGATAGGCGCGTAATGAAATCGATAGAGGCAGAGGGAAAAGAAAAACAAATAAAAAAAATGCAGACGTACTGGTAGAGGAACAAGGATCCTCTTGTGGATAGACCACCATTTTGTCTGTCGCGCCAGGCGGAGAACAGGATCGCGAAAAGCCCCTGGCCGCGATGGGCGGATCCTTATCGCATGGTTCTATCGCGGGGCTAGAAACCGGCCGGGGGTCATGGGAATGACGAAGACCTACCCGGGCGGAGGCGACGGAGCAACTGGCGAACGAGTCCAGGGTGAGAACGGGAAAGCAAAGGAGAGAAGAAGAGAATCAAAAGGGTCGGAAGGGGAAGAAGGCAAAAGTCCAGGAGAGGAGAAGAGAAGTATAAAATCACCGAGATGTTCCAAAGTCCAAAGGCTAGCCGACTCGAAGTGGACAGTTGCAGATGGCGATTTTGTCTCGGAGGGCATGGAGTACCGGGGCACTAAGCCAGCAAGTTCCAGCTGGTCATAGCAAGTTCTGCGGCAAGGGAGAGAGGCTACAGAGTACATTGGTCGCGAGTACCGAGTACACGGCCACGATGCGCTGGCACTGCATGCATGCGTGAGGTGGACAGCCCGGCCGGTGATGCTGATTCGCTAGCCGCCCCCCTTTGGTTTCTGCGGAGTCAGCTTCTGCTGGCCGTGGATCGCGGATGGTGGCCAATGACCAATCGTCAAGTCTTGCGCGCATGAAAATTCCCTGGTCGAAGCGAGGGAATCGGAATTCTGCGTGCCATGATGTTGTTGTTCTCTGGGCGCGGTTGTGGGGACAACCCGCTGGCACCAACTAACCACAGCACATGTATGCAGTGGGGTCGTGGTCGAGACAAGCACTGATTTGGAGATGGAGATGCAACAAATCAATCCAGTTGGAATAATTCAAAGCTTCGGTCGGTCAAGTCAACCCCGGGATGACCCCCCCTTGTTGGCCGTACTGTAACAAGGTGAGTCGTGGTGCAGATGCTCGGATCCCGTGCGAGATGGCAAGATCTCATGATCGCAACAACGCCATTGGCTTGCATGCAGCAGCAACGGTGACTTGTCGGGGCATAGCAAACAAAGTGTGTGCAGGGTGCAGTGGCCGGTGTGTGTGGATTGTAGAAGTACAAGGAAAGTAACCTTAGGAACAGTTGAAGTTGAAGTTGGGACATACAGGGCTTGGCACCTTCCACTTCACATCTCAGTCCACTTATACTAGTACTACTAGTAGCATTACTACTAACTATAACTATACTATATCTGATTCCAGGTCTCCCAGAAATTGAAAATAGATGCCTCGTCCATTAATGCATCCATCAGATTCCCATCGTCCGCAATAAAGGCGCCCTCGTTGATCTGACTCTGGGTATAGTCAGGAATATCGGCCCCCATAGGAGAATTGACTGCACCATTGACGCTTGCAGGAGTTGGGGCTGCAGCTGCAGCATTGGCCGTGGAGCTAAATGGTGCCACAGGGGCCGAGTACCCTGGGAAAATCATCTGAATGGCCTTGGTAAAGACCGCCCGATAGATCGAGGCCACAGTGTACGTCTTTTGAAGCTCTTCCATGACCAACATGCACATTTCGAGCTTGTTCAGCCTCACCCGCTTCGAAAGAGGATCTCCAGTTTTGCAATGAAGCAGATGCGCCTGCATCGCGGGAACTAAATGTGGCGGTCTTGGAGCCCATGCTAAATTAGCTTTGTCACTCTACATGTCTTGCCTCCCCCCACCCACACACCCTTCTCCTTCTTCGACCACGGGATAGACTCACGTCATAGGCCCTGCAAACCCCAGAAGATCATCTTGAACTAGCGCATCTAGAATCTCGTTTGTTCTGGAGGCGGCAGCATCCGCTCTGAGTCTCATTCGATGTTGCCAGTCTTTCTTAGCGCTGTCATGAAGTTCATTCGGAGCATCCGTCCCCCAGGGTCGATAAAACGTGACCAACATCGCTCTGTTATGTCAGTGATATTAATTAGTCAATCCAAAGAGCAAGAGTGTCACAGAACTTACTGGTAATGTAAATGAACGTGGTTTGAATAAAACCGGGTGCTCGGCATCAGCCCAACTTCATACTGATCGGGCAATCTGCTCTGTAGCAGCTGTCTCTCAATCATCTCAACCTCATCGAGAGAAGGCTTTAACCTCGCTGCTTGATAGTTCAACGTCATGATTTTACCAAGCTGACAGCTTAGCTCTATAAGAATAATCCAGTACTCAGCTGACCTTCGCATATGCCCTGGAAAGCTCGACGGCGAGCTATTTTCCTGGGAGACCCCAATGTCGAATAGCATATCGTCGACTGACGGCATAGGAATATCACAGTCATCAAGATTGATGCGTAAGGGTCTGCCCAAAGTAAGGCCTAACCAGCGATCTCGAAAGAAGCAGCACCACCAAAGACGACGCCAGAATGATCTTTGTCGGTCGGTGATGGAGGAATTGTAATTTGATACCCCAGGGTCACGATGCAGGCCGAGAATTTGGCCTAGGCTTATGGCGATCCCTGTCCAGTACCAGGGTTGTGTATGCTCTTCTATATCGGAATGCCAAAATCCCAAAAGCAGCGAAGACTGCAATAGTACGATATTACTTCGTTCGTTGCCGTTGTAATACATGCACTGCCGATCCGAGATGTTCAGTACCAGAAACACATGAAGGGGAGGTCAATTTCTTACTTTGGCTCGTGAATACATATCGAATCTCATCTCTCTTCTTGAGGCGAATCCCTCTTGCTCGCATATGTCCACTGGGATGAACTGCAATTCTAGAGATTAGCTTCGCAAGGGATCGTCGTGCATTTCGAGTCTCACATTAACTGCGACAAAAAACAGACTCCAGAGTAGTAGGGTATTGTGACTGTGAAGCTGTCCCGATTGATGATGCTGTAATAATAGGTCGGCTTCGACCACTGGCAGGATTGGGTGCACATGAAGTAAGTAGGCCTCGACCATACTATCACAAGCATTCTTCCCTGGGAGTGTAAAAACGCCTTTTCGTTGCAGAAATTCACGATCCTCATCGCTTAGATCTTTCCGATGAGAAGGAATAAGGAAGTGCTTCGGTAATGATTGTCCTGGTGAGCAGATATCGAGGGCCGACGTGGGTCCTGTTCGTTCTCCTGTTGAAAGTGAGTAAAGTATTCCCTCCATCCCGGAACGATCAATTCTCACCTGTATAAAAAGGGACTTCTCCTGTTCTTTGTGGTTGGCCAAGCGCAGCTGATGCTATTTCAAGCCCGCTGCGTACTTCTTCTTCGATATTGCCAAGCCGGTGATCGGTTGTTCTAGACGTAGCCTGCTCCGATTGGGTGCGCCTGGGAGCCAGATCGGCCGACCTCGTCGCGTGTGCGAGTGGAGGTTCTTGGCTACCGCTAGGGGGCAAGAAACTTGAATGAGGTGGCTGACCAGACCTTCGACGAGGGCTCGATGGTGCCAGCTGTCCAAGATGATGAACTCTATGGTGGACCCTTTCTGTTTAGCACAATTCGTATGTAAACCCAAATGAGGTATTCTCACAATTTTGCTCGGTCCATGTCCACAATGCAGTCAGAGCCATCCTGGGTACAGCCGGAACAAGGGACACCAGTGACTGTCAGACTGCACCGCACCTTTCGTTGGCGACACGCTTGACATGCTACGGCTGACCTATGACGCCGCGGACGAGAATTTTGATTTGCGGGCGCCATGGGATTTTGCGCGTCAGATACCGAGGATGTCTTATTAAAGTCGAAATGAAGCCTCGGAACTGAGATACATGGAGCGAGAAATCAGATATCCACACGGTTTGCAAACCTTGGTCTTCTCTTACGCGGCATTTGTTGACTGGGAGGTTGTTGGTTGTTTGCTAGATAGTTGGTTGATAGGATACCTCGGGATGATACCTCGGCAACGCTGACGTCATTCACTTCTGTGCCGGCATCCCGAAGCCAGAGCGTCGGATCCCAACATTTTGGAAAATATCTAAAAATATACAAAACTCACGCATGGTGGAGAAATTAGAAGTTCAATTATCAAACAGGAAAATTTAGAAGATTCACGGAGAGGCTAATCTTCGTCTGTGCAACTAACGCGAAGTCTCATCTTTAAATCCAGCTTCAAAAAGATTCTTTGGTTACGTCCCATGCTTCTACTAAGGGGCTTGATTTCTTTGTTCAGCTTGGAACGTACCAGTGAATGTAGGATGACCTTTTTGGAGCCCTGGAGATTTATCTGTCATGGATATTGAAGTATATCAAAAGCAAGAAGATTCTATTGATGTGCCCAGGAGGTTCCGTTCTATGAAATTGAAAGATATTTAGTTGTATGGTACAAAATTCGCACTCGCGTAATATTCAATGCCCTTCACACTCAGTCTCTTCCAAGCCTTGATCAAAACGCAATTCCAGTAAATGCTCGCAATTTGTCGAAGTGGAGGACTGATTTGTTCTCTCCATTTAAGTCACAGCGATAGATATTACCTCCAAGATCAGTCACATAGATCGTATTGTTCTTGGTATCAAGCTTCAGACCAATCGCCTCGTTGAAATGCCGACTCAGAACCTTAAAATTGTGTGTATCTCCAGTAGAGGTATGGAACGCATTGCCGGATTTGTCAAGCTGTAGCCGATTCAGTGAGTTGCCATAAGGAATCTCGCCACGATCGGTCCAATATAAAAAGCAGGACGTTTCGTCGATCTCGAGATCGATAGGTTCCGGAAGACCATCAATGATGCATTCGATATCGGTTCTCGAAGCTAAAGACTGGTCTGCTGGCAGCGAGATATTCGCGGAGAAAATGCGCCCTTGGCCACTTTTAGATGGGCCCTTCTGCGTCCAGTAGAACTTGCCCAGCTTTGGCGCAACTGTGATACCAACACACCAATTCCTAGCATCTGCAGCTTCCTTGGAGTCGTTCGGGTTTCCGGCTTGCACAATCTTTTCTAGTTGACTGCCGTCGAAATTGCAGCGATAAACGGAAAGACCTTCGCGATCGCAGAAATAGATCTTGTTCGCGACCGTGTCGAGTGCCAGTTGCTTTGGTGTGTTGATAGAACCTTTGGAGACTAGCTCTTTTGTGGTGTTTTCTTGACGATCAAAAACAAGCACGCTGCCATCGTTCTTTCCGGGAATTCCCATGTTTGTCCAGAACACTCTACCGGTGTGCGGATCCACGGCTACACCATCAGGCAGTGACTGATTCTCCACAAGCGTTTTCATATGTTTCCCGTCTGTAGATAGTTCAAGAACCGAGCCGGATGTCATTGTTGGTGAAGCCGCTGACAAGCCAAGGTCCAACACGATTAGAGGTGAATTTTCTGAATCGTCGGTGATCTGGGATTTGACTGGAGGATATAATCCGCCCTGTGAGCTCTTGGTGCCCAGTTTGCCGTGCTTGATGTAATTTTTAGTCAGATAGTCAACAGTATTCTCCGACGAAATTCCACGTTCTTGAACATAATGAGACTCAATAAACGCGACTGTGTCCAGGCCAACCTCTTAAGTTCATGAGTTAGTAAATGCTAATGTCACGACACAGGCTTTAAGAGACTTACGATCCATCATCTTACAGGGAGTCGAACGTCCATTGATGAACATTTCGGTCCACAGGGTATCAATTTCTTCTGGCACAGAGACTCCTTCTGCCAATATAGACAGGGTCTCCCTTTTGACAGCTGCCCAAAGACGGTTGAAAATGAAACCAGTTGACTCTTTTCTGGCAATGAAAGGCAATGTATTTCCCTCTTTGCAACGTTCGACCAAGAAAGAGAAAATCCCTTCTTCGGTATACCCATCGGTCATGAGTTCCACGACCATGCACTGCGGCGGCATGTAATAGTGCATATTCAAGATCCGTTTTCTGGCAGATTCCGATACCTTTTCAAGCATCTCCGAAGACCTGTAGGACGAAGAGTTGGAGGCCAAAATGCAGTCATTTGGAGCCTGAATGTCAAGCTGCGCGAAAGTGTCGATTTTGAGCTGAATCTTTTCAGGAACAGCTTCTATCACAAGCCAGGCGTCAGCCAAAGCATCTTCTATTCTTTCGAAGGCCTGTGCCGTGCCGATTCTATCTTCAGATCCCTTGGCATATGATGCGACATTTTCTCGGATGTATGCTAGGCCATCTTCGCGTTGCTGATCACTTGGATCGCGTAGGCGGACATCAAACCCTGCGGAAGCCCAGATACATCCTAAAAATATCTGGTGTCAGTTCTAAGCTTTTTGCATATAGCACAATGATAAGCTAACCTATCCGTCTTCCCAGTACTCCGGCACCAAGTATGACGACAGGTCTATTCCTGTAGTTCTGAGGAGGAGTCCAACTTTGATGCATCGTGGAAAGAAGATAATATCTTGGTAGAAGAGAGAGCTGCTTGCTATGTCGGGATGATCTTGAAGCGTTCTAGAGCTTCTTGAGAGGGAATGGTACCAGTAAATATAGCTATTGGACATAGGAACCATAATTTGTCTTTCCGCTCTCGGAGAACAGTCACGGAAGACTCGGAAAGCAGCGATAGATCGGTATACCGAAATTATACAGAGGCAAGAATTCCGACTTATCCGCGGCGGCGTAGATGCATAGTTAAGGAAATCCTCGGGAAGACCGAAGTTTAGTTATGAACCTCGGAAAACTGACCTCGGGAAGAAACCGTAACTACCTTTTCGGCGCAAATTTGCTTTTGAACCATAATTTGAAGGCCAAGGTGATGGGCACGACTAGGACTGTCATATCTTGTCCGAATCTAAACTTCACCTTTGTTGACTAAATGGCGTAGAAAGTGTAGAGAATAAATCATAGGCCCAGATTTAGAATCCTGATACAGCTTGAAAATCATTTCGGAATCTCATGCATAATGATCATTATAATATGAAAGTACTAACTAACAGAAGAAGCCCATGCAAAAAAGCCAGATTAAAATTGCTAGAAAATTTAAATCTTTTGTTTTCCGGCTGTTAAGTCAAGAGTACGTAAACTTTTACCAGTAACAGTCTAAACTACAAATCTCAAAGGACAGATTCACTCAATATTAACAAGCCAAGAAATTCCCAGGTTATGCTAGTATTCTTAAATCCGGAATGATACTACCTACGAAGAAGAGTTTTCAAGATACCTATCTAGATAGGTGTCGGAATCAAAGATAAGCAAATGAAATATTCTATGATACAGCAAGAGTCTAGGTACTTGACAAGGCGGATCTTTAAGCTCAGAAGCAGAAGATCTGATCCGTCATTTTAGGCACAGTCCCAGGGGCTTCAAAACCTAGGCTAGATAACGCCTTTTTGGAGGCATTGACCATGCCAGGAGGTCCGCATAACATGATTTTTGTCTCCGAGGATGGAGCAGGGAGCCTGTCACACATTATCTCACGTGTCACATATCCCTTGCCGTATTTCCAGTTTTGTGGAGGATGGTCCAACATGTACCATAACTTGAGGTTCTTTGGATATCTTCGAGCAAATTTCTCGAGCTCATCCCGTAGCAAAATATCCTCCTCTGACCGATTTGCATACACCAAGCTGATCTCTGTGGTATCTGTTTCGTCTTCACATATGGCACGAATGAGCTGGTACATCGGGGTAATTCCTGTTCCTCCTGCAATCATCCCAATGCGACGGCAAAGACCGTTTTTGTATTTCATGGCGCCCTTAGGACCACGGAAGAGAACCTTGTCGCCGACCTCTAGATTTTCGAGATACCTCCCAGTGAGTAGGCCATCCGAGTAGCATTTAATCACTAGCTCCAGGAGGCCAGAATCCATGTTGTTCGACGTTGGTGTATAAGAGCGAGAAACAGATTGACCATCAATGGTAGCTTTTATAGCAACATGTTGGCCAATAGGAAGGCCAATGATATCTTTAGGCCGTGGAAGTGTGAAAACAAATCGATAGACGTTTGGCGAGAGCTTCTCCTTGACGCTCAGTGGAAGCTCTTGGTATTCCTTTGGATCGAGGAATCCCTTGGCGAGGTGTGGATTAGCCTTTGCCATCCTCTTGCCCTGGCGATGTGGTGGATATCGAGTAAAGCCGGACTGTATCTGGGTGAGGCTTGACAATTTTGTACCAATGATGACACCGATTGTTGTAAAAAGTCCACCGGCTGAGATGAAACCTTGCGAGAAACCGCCGTCGCGCAAATTTATTTTCGGCACCACCTCGAGACTAGCATGTGCAAAATTGGGCACCAGCCGCAGAAGTTGAGTCTTGAAATCGGAAAACGAAAGATAGCCACGCTTGTGAAGAAAAGCGAGTAATGCAATTCCCCCGACAGAGCCAACGGTAGTTGTAATTGCTCCCGTAGCGGAAGTGGTATTCTTCACGACAGATATTTGTTCTAGTGGTTGCTGGACCACTCGAACCGATTTAGGACGTGTAAATTCGCGAGCACCCTTCAAAGTACCAATCAAATAAACCGCCAAAATTTCGTCGGCATCGTCAGAATGCCCAACGTCCTCGTATGCTTCCGTGGCGTCTGTTCCGGCAACGTCACGCAGAACATCGGCTCCGCCAGGATGATCACGAACGTAGTCCGTAATATTATAGACTAATTGAAGATCACAGAATAAGTAAAAGCGTCGATTTTTTTATGTCTCTCGAGTTATCCGTTACCTTTTCCGTGAATTACTACCCAGGTATCATGCTTTGCTTTGTGAAGCGCAACATCATCGGCGGTATACTCCGCAAGAGATGCCATTTTTGAGGGTTGGGATGTGGTGTTTCGTCTGTTTTCAGACAGAATGAAATACTCTTTGCACAAGTTTGGTTGAATCACCTGCAGGGGACTCGGAGGCTGAAGAACGTACAATAGAAACTGACAACCTTGGAATTGAGTAATAAACCAATTGGGCCCGAGAGGACTTCAAATACCCAGGCAATATGTTTTATGTTTTAATTCGATAGGATTCTGACCTCGGAACACCGAGTATATTGTCTAACATTATACAGGTCCCTATTGGTCGGTGATGTTTCCCATCTCCGAGGTTCATCCGAGTTTGGCGTGGGGCGCCCCTTTCCGAGATAACCATACCTCGGGAAGCCGATCCGCTTACCGGTGAATTTCCAGGACCAATTTGACTATCTTGTGTGATTGCCTGGGAACAGTATAAATTTGTATGACCTCGAAGTGTTGTGTATTTAAATCGAAGATTCCACTTCAGAGAATAAAAAAAATTGTACATCATCGAGTCTGCAATTCCCTCACCATGACGCTCCAAAAGTTCCACCTTTTAGGCGATGAACTCTCAATCGCAAGACCCATCGAAGTCGATCCTCGTGCGCAGCTCAGTGAGCTCAGAAATCTCGTGGCCGCCCATTTTGCCATCGTCGAGCCGAAAGGTGAGTGCAGGCATTCGCTCAAGATTGTCACATGCTCCAACTATGAAGGAGAGGAACCCTTGGCTAAAGATTACATAGGGATTGAATTCCAGACTCAGGACAATGAATATTTGTCTGATGTTTCAGATGTAATTACATCATTGGACCCCGTGGCAATTACAATTGATGGCCATGGTGTTCGTGATCCACCTGGGCCGACTGGTTTACCTTACGTCGGAAACTACTTCGAGGTTTACCCGGATCACCTTGGTAACCACCAGCGTCTTTTCGAGCAATACGGGCCATTGATCAAGACGACAAATATGGGAAGAACGACGTATCAAACCAACGACCCTCAAATATCCGCCATTGTTTTCGCGGAGTCTGACTTTTTCACGAAAAAGATCAATGAAGCGCATCCATTGTCCGCTCTGAAAACACCAGCTGCCGGAGTTTTCCTCGGAGATACAGATACACCTGAGTGGAAGATTGCTCATAAATTTCTACCTCCTGCTCTTGGTCCAAAGGCAGTGCGTCATTATGCCCCAACGATGCAAAAGACTGTTGAAGATGCCTTCAAAGTGTTCGATGCGTTCGATGAGAAAGCCGAATCTTGGAATGTCTACCACTATATGTTGAAGCTAGGATCACAGGCAGTGGGGAAACTGACACTTGGCTTGGACTTTGAGCATTTCAACTCAACTGAAGCTCCATTACATGAAATGGTCCATTCAATAGCTGAGATCCTGACGTTGAACAAGAAGGTGACCTCGAAAGGTGATTGGTATGGCCGCCTACCATTTGGAGACCCTCAGAGGCTACGACGTGTGAAGTCTCGCGTTGAACAAATGGTCGAGCAATCTATTGAACAGGCGGCACGGGGTGGTGTCGAAGACCTTCCTCTCCAAGATGCAGCACTCAAGGCCTCGAATATGGTTGGTAAGTTTGAATTTTATAGTTTAATTAATTTTCAGCAATTGACAATTTGCGCAGATTATGCCATTCGTGCGACCGACAATAAAGGAGAGAAATTGCCTAAATCTAGCTTAGTGTGGGCACTGGTCGTGGCGACTGGTGCTGGATTCACCACCACAAGCTCCCTTCTTTCCTGGCTCATCTATGGCCTTGTGACATATCCTGGGATGCAAGAAAGGCTCCTGCAGGAGCTCATTGACAACGATATCGATGAAAATAGCGAGATTACTGCCGAGGTGACCGACCGCCTTGATTTCCTCGATAAATACATAAAGGAAACTCAGCGCCGACATAACCCTTCATTTCAACCCGGTCGAACTGCTAAAATCGATATGATTCTCCCCGGGGGGTACAGATTGCCAAAGGATGCGGTGGTAATCCCAGCACTTCATCATATCCATAATAACCCGGCCTTGTGGGACAACCCCCAGAGATTCAATCCCGATAGATGGGATACCGATGAAGTGAGATCTAGACACAAGGCTGCATATATCCCATTCGCCACCGGGCAGAGGATGTGTATCGGCTTCAATTTCGCGCTTCAGGAGATCAAGGTTTTCCTTCCCAAACTCATATACAGATACAAGTTCTCTCGTGATGGTGATGGGCCAATTGAATATGATCCCATGTTTCAGCTGATTAGGCCGAACAATCTCTATGTTCATGCAGAAAAACGTGTCAAATGGCCGCCGAAAAGCGAAAGTGACACTGCAGGATCAGAGTCTGTATGACCAGGAGGGAACATTCCTTTTCGCGTTTTCCTTTTGTGAAGCCTAGCTGAAAGCAAACAAGAAGATAGCAATCAAATGAGTCCTTATCCGTTCATTATCACTAGCATAGAGAGAAGTAAAATTTTCATCCGTGGGACTTTCTTTGTGCGGAGAAAGTAATCCGGACTCAACAGGAATCGAAATGCCAGAGGTCATCGGAGAAATCCAGAGACAGAGGATTCGAGAATAAGATATCGAAAGCAGCGGAGTCCTCCTGTTCGTTGGGAGCACACGTCTCATAAACATCCGAAGGGAAAGAAGCAGTATTATTGGTAGAAATGGGCGCGATAGCAGAGTTAGACCCGACATGACGCCGCAGTGACTGGCTGTGAAAGGAGGAAGAAGGGTTTTCGACTTCGATACCTGCGTCGCCATTCTCGATGGCAAAGTGGGACTGTGATAACGCTATGAAATCCTCACAAAGCTGTTTTATGACGGTGATTGGGTGACTGAGCGAGACATTTGGCATCAGAACCGTTGCCAATGTTTTAAGCAGATTCAGGTCCTCGAGGTGGGAGCTTGTGACGGTGTTGCAGAAGAGAACAAACCAAGCTGTTAAAGGATAGTATATTAAGGTCCTGTTTGGTGTTAACTTGAACATTAAGTGTTGCCATTATTTTGAGGCAAATGGGATGTTATTTGAAAGGGTATTAACCGACCAATGTAAAAACCCGACGGCGCGATTCTTTTCGCTTATAAGACAGATGGCCACCAAGGAGGACAATTCCTGGCGAGCAGATCGGAGAATCAGATCACCAAAGCCGAGGGACTGCCCTTGTGACTTCTCAGATAGATAAAGAGCCTCAGTGCGAATAGAATTATAGGCAAATTGGATTGCAGTAATTTCGTTGGCAGGTTCAAGCCCCTTCCAACAGATCGATGGTGATGATGCTATCTATAGCGACGCGGTGAGCTTTGCATTCTTTTGGAGAAGGGAGATAAGGAGGTTGAAACGAGCATAAGCAAGTATGATAACGAACCTGTTCAATTCGTTGGCGCACCCTTTCCATCTTCTTTAACAGAACCTCCGTGGAGTTGCGCAAAGTGTGTTGAGCCGATCGTGCTTCGGTGAAGAGGATAGTCTTAGACAACGATAAAGCCTCATCTTGTACTTGAGCCATGATGAGGTAGATATTGAGCAGCTCTGATGTTGTAATATCGACATGTTGGTCAATAACGCCTGGTCCGGGATCGAAGTACCACCGACGAGGTTCAAACTTCCATGCGTAATTTTTATCCAACATGTAGCACCAGAGCAAACAGAAGGATTCTTCTTCCGTCCTAGTGGCCCTGCCATGTCGAGGTTGAGCTAAATGAAGCTCTAGGTCAGTAGCGACCCGACAAGCAGTCCGAGTCAACTCGTAAGCAAACTGCGCGTTCCCGGACCCTTGGTGAATGAATATCTGTTTGGTCAAGTCAGATTGGGGAGCAGCGGCGGTAGCAGGAAATGCGGGGACTTACGCCGCACAAAATGGCCTGGAGTAGCGAAAGGGAGGGAGTGGTCATGAGCCGAATCCGATTCAAAGCTGCCAAAGCAGTTCGTTTATAATTGAGCATCCTTTGTTGTAAATGGTCGGCAAGTTCATCATCATGCTCCCCACTCGCAAGAATGGTGACCAGGAACTTTTGAGCGGCGGCGCTTAAACAGACTGTGAAAATGTCCTTTTCATCTGTTGATACCTGGTTTGATAATAAACTCAAGCCCATATGCTTCAAGCTCGACTTGGATACGTGTTTGAAATAATCCCAAACATACGAGCCACCTTTAGCACTTCCAATGTCTATTCAACGAAACAGCACATGTTAATTCATCACTTTTCATTGTAATGTTTGCTAAGCGAGAAGGATATTCTTACCTTGCAACATCCATGCAAGAAACTCAGGCGATACCGACTCCACCCTCTCGTTATCGGGATTTAGCCCTGACTTGGACACAGGTATGGCCTGTGTCGCATTGACCAGAGCGGACTCCAAGACTTGTTGAGCTTGACGGATTAGTCCCTGCTGAAACCCGCTTTTACCTCCCAGAAAGTTGAATTCGATTTCGATTGGTCTCATGGGCGAGACCCAGGCCGCCACTTCATTTGCCACCGGCATCTGTGACTTGGAATGAGTGAGGCCTGCCCGAGATGTTGCTGTAGTCATATCGTTCTGTACATCGTGACGTAGTGGATGGCCATCCCCATTTGACTGGCCATCAGAAAGCTGTGAAGGAGAAGAGGCTCCGGCGATTTCCGCTGGAAATACCAAGTTTGGCGGGTGTAGCTGCATGTGATCTGTTGTTTCCAGCGTTGTTTGGACCTTTTTCGGGAGCCTCCGTCTGCTCCGTTGTCTCAAGCACGAAACATTCTGATCCTGGCAATTGCCACATGGGATTCCTCGGTCGCAGCGGACCTTTAGTTTGACGCATGATCAGCCATGTATATACGCGCAATAAATCGCTCAGCTATGGTGTCTTACCTTTCGCGTATGGCAATTATCACACTAGAAAATGTTAGCATGGTTCAAGATACCAAGCGGGAAAAAAAAGCAAATCTTAGCCAAGAAATGATTGCATACCGCAGGAACGGGATAGGGTGAATGATGATCATCCTCCCCTGGCTGAATGGTTCCGTGTTGCGAGGCTGTCATTTATCTCAGGAAACACGATCTAATGTGTAATAATGAATTGAACGATGAACTGGAAGGAGGTATGTGTTCTTTGCACAATAGGTGCGAGCATACTCCGAATTGACTATGGCGGAGGTCGGCGGAGGTCTGCTCAGGTGGATAGGACTGGGCGGAGCCTAGTAATAAGTTCTCTCAGGGTGGGTGCCAAGCAGGGCTTAGGCAAACGAGGCGGAGAAAAGTCGAACGCCAAGAGACCCACCAGTGGGTTCCTTGGTTTGTATATCGGGATTGGCTGGGTTTTAAAATCGAAGAGCAGGCACCAAGGTCTAAATAAAGAAAAATAGAAATAGGAGATACCAAAAATATCAAGAACCTTAGAACCTTGTAGCAATCACTTTACCATATCGGTATCTTTTTATCAAAGATAATGGATCTACTATTCCGATATTATCCCCTAGGGCTAGCTGAGAATTCTAGGGCGGTGCATACGTGATGATGCATTCGGCAACAAAAATGATTCGGCTTCTCCAAATTTCCAAGACCTTCGATGTTTTTAGATCAAGAGGCGTTGAAGCATTTTTGCCCTTGAATAGTTCCTTGCTCTAGACATTCAATTTCCTATTCAGCTTGATGAGGTCATCTCCAGTCAATACTTCCAAGATTTGTCCACATTTGTGCAGGAGAATCGACCCGGGGATATTTTGTCTTGTCGTTTCTTTGTGCCCTACTCCAGGGCTGACGTGACAGTTTTCTATTTATTTACCGAGACTGAGATATAAGCGCTTTGCTTGACCATGGGCCCGATGTTTTGTAGATAAGTTGTGGCTTTTACTCAAAGGTTGACCGAGGAGTAGCGGCCAATCCAATCATGATATACACTGTGGTTTGTATGTAAAATGGACCGACACTTTTGCGTTCGAACTATTGAAGCTGAATTGGAGTGTTTCATCGTCCACTGGACAACCATCCGGTGAATGATTGTCCAAGTTGAGGGTGGATCAATGATCAAGGCTTATGTTATGGGCCCCGAAGTCGCTGACAGCCGACCCAATAGAGACCAGCAAATTTTTAATATTATAACCTCAATCAAGCGATCCTGGGAACCTCGAAATCTGGGGTTCCTAGGTTTCTAACGCTCGGGATCCACTTCTAACTTCCTGCTTGGGGTTCAGCAGGTTCAAGTTGGGCTCGCACAGCTTTCCGATGCGGGGCTAATATTTCTTATACCTCGGGTCTTGAAACAGCCAATTGAAATTATTTCTGCCTCCCTTCGCTCATATTAATTGGCTTGTATCTATGTGCTGAACGGCAACTTGTGCCAGGCTCACCTGTGACGCCTGCACGGAAACCCCGACGTGGAAGATCCATTTCGATGAGGGGGTTGAATGACGCGGAGATTTATCCGGTGTCAAAATCATGTTGCACCATCGGAGATCCATGCTGTCTTGGGTATGAGCAGGATGACAATCAAGAAGATGAATGTTTGCCCCTTAATACGCCTTCTTGACTCCTCAGCCGACGGTCACTCAAAGATCATTATCATCGATACTAACCACAAGCCAACTTGAAGTCACAAGAAACAACAACCCTTTGACAGAATCCACTATGGCCCCCTCAGTCACACAAACCGCGGAAGCGAGCACCTTGTCATCGAAAATCCCCCTTTCCATCAACAAGACGGAGGGTCGCCCAGAAGCTCAAGAGGTTCAGTCACTCGGCAGGGCAAAAGATGGCAGGCTGCTGAAGATCCGCGAGTACCCCAAATTCGCTAGCCTTGAGGAGGAGCGACTCTATCGCAAGCAACATCTTGCTGCTGCCTTCCGCGTCTTTGCTGACCGAGGCTTTGACGAGGGTATTGCCGGTCACATCTCGGTCCGGGACCCTATCCTAACCGACCACTTTTGTAAGTCTCTTTGATCGTAGCAGAAAGCACGTTATCAGCAGTGAGCTAATGGTAATCTCGCTGAAGGGCTTAACCCCCTTTCTATGCATTTCTCCCTAATCAAAGTCTCCGACCTGATTCTGGTCGACGAAGACGGGTTAGTTGTCGAGGGTGATGAGCCTATCAATTCTGCTGCCTTCACGATCCATGCCGCTATCCACAAAAATCGCCCTGACGTCCATGCCGCTTGTCACGCACATAGCATCCATGGAAAGGCCTTCGCTTGCTTTGGGCGCCCTTTGGAGATGCTAACCCAGGACTCCCTGCGATTTTATAACGACCATGCCGTTTACGACAGCTTCAACGGCGTCGTTCTAGACCCACGAGAAGGTAATCGTATTGCTGAGGCACTCGGAAGCTGCAAAGCCCTTATTTTGCAGAATCATGGTCTTCTTACCGTTGGTCGAAGTGTTGACGAGGCTGCTTTCTGGGTAAGCTCTAACTGCCTATTCTACCCTCTCTAGCAATCCAATCAGACACTGACAGCGAACATAGTTCATCAGCCTTGACAAGACCTGTCAGGTTCAGCTTCTTGCCGATGCTGCGGCGGCGGGCGGATATAAGAAGATTTTAATCGATGACGATGAGGCTCAGTACTCGCGCAAGAATGTGGGTGGTCCTGATAAGGGTTGGCTGGCTTTCCAGCCTTACTACGATGAGATTCTGGCGAAGACCAACGGTTCCTTCTTGGCTTGAGCAGCAAACAGAGCTCACTGTGGCCCGTTTCTTATGTAGTAGTGAACATGTGAATATGCCATTTAGTTAGTCTTAGTGACCAAAGAACAAGGTTACCGAACACTGATCCGTTCAATTATTTGACGTCCTGAGTCGCGACTGGCCTAAAAACCGCGAAAAGCTGGACATCATACAAACATTCACAAATTGATCCCTCTTGATACGATGCTACTCCATAATCAAACGCCTGGTAGCCGTGGTATTGTATCAGTAGACATTTTGAGACCACAGATCGCTACTACATAATATTTTGCCAAGTGATTTCAATGACAATCCTACCGTTCTACTAGTACTAGTACGAGAAGACTCTGGAGGAATTCCAGATGTGCCCGAGTGAAAAGAACCACTAAGTTAGCCAGGTTACGTAAATTATGCTGTACTAACACACTGATATAAAATGCTTCGGCTATCAAATGTAACAAATATTATCCTTACAACATCAGCTTGACACAACTCCCAACGCGACCTTCTTCAAGTTCTCGGTTGGCTTTCCTACTTCCGAGAAAAGCAACATGAAACACCTGTTTTACCCAGAAACCATAGTGCTCCAAAAAAGCGAAATATCGATAGACCTGATGTAACCAAGAGAATGACTTTGAAGTACCATGCTGTTCGGGTAGTGGATGTACTCTAAAACAGAATTAGCGTAGAACTCGAAGCTGCCAGAGGCAAGGGAGCGCCCCTGCTCTGTTAAAAGAAAAGAAAGGAGTTAATCACCGTCAGACATAGATTTGTCACGGAAGCATTATTGATCAAAATCACCAACAGAGCATTTGAAAGACTCCACAACAACACTAAGTTAGTGCGGAAGGTCTTGTAAGAATCACTCAAGTCTGGCTTTTCTTCCTCTACTGCCGGATTAAATGGAGTCAACGCTCGCTTGACGGTGAGTTCAAATTCAGTATCGATGTCTGCTTGCGGTTGATCGGCCTCCTCGACAAAATTCGTAGATTCGGTATCAGATGCGGTGTGAGTCTGTGCTGAGGGGAGCGCAGATACTTGGTCGGAGCCTTTGGTTCCCCATGATACATCGTGCCAATTGCAGAAAGCGTACACCATCAACACGTTGATCGAAGAGGGCATCCCGAGGAAGTAGGCCCAAGAGGAGGTGACCATATGCCATGGGTCAGCATATAGAATGCTGGCAAGGACATAAATGCCGTATGTGGAAACTAAGGCAATCAAAACCAAGCCGCTTGTCGAAGTGAATAGAGAAGACAAAAAGCCGCCGAAACCATTATCGGTATCTAGGCCCAGGCCCCCTCCACCCGAGAACGCTTGTGCAACCAAATAGAATGAAAGAACAAGAATATAGGACTGAACGATAGCGAAATACACAAGGGCCAACAAATAAGCGAATTTGGATCTGCAATTCAGGTTAGCTATCATTCAAAATAACCATGAGGCTGTTGGTGATGTCTTGGAGTATGATCGCTGGCTGACTCACCCTTTTGGTCGATTACCCAGTGCCAGTACATATTGCTGGATGAGGAAGATTACATATGTTGTCTTGATGACATTGTTAACAATCGGGGTTGCCTCATTCCCGAACGGCCAGCCGTGATTTTTGTTTGTTGAACTGGGAACTCCCACGATGTCCATAATCACCGAGGTCGTTAGCCAGTAAGATGCTTCCAATTTCATCAGCTTCAGGCTCGCAATTTGGAGGTATGACAGCAGCTTACCGAGAGAGAACCAAGTCATGACTAGCTGGAGAAGATTGTAGATGAGTTGTACATGCAGCCAGGCCAACCGAAGGAGATTGTGGCCACTTTTGTAGATTCGAGTGAAATGCACGATGGAATAAAGACCGGCCGCAAATGACCCATTGAGCCATCGTCGTCTTTGTCCAAGAAATTCAGCGGGTGCTAAAATTCTTCCATCAGTATTCATGAATTTCATATGAGAAATGCAACATGCGAAGGATAATCCTTACCTTCAGGGACATCCGTCTCACCCTTTGAAGCCTTCACATAGGTCAAATGCCATTTGAACCCGGCCTTTGCTACAAGTTCGAAGCAAAGAATCCGGTCCTCTGCAAGGAACATGTTTTTCTTGAATATGTTCATCCCTTCAATACCCTTCGGACCTAGCCTTGCCGATAAAGTATGGTCACCGTGAAAGTATTGCTCCAGGGGGCGGCCCATGATGGCCCGATATCGGTACGCTGAAAAGGCCCCCGGAAGGACGCTCACGTAGCCAAAGACACTCTCTAGTGGCTTATCTAGAATATTGGAGATTTTGTATTCGAAGTTTTGTGCGGCCACAATAGGGTTTAGGAGCTTCTCCCAGCGTCGTCCTAAGAGGGCATGTATCTCTCCACAAGCACCCCCTAGATTTCTGTCATTGTAGAATGCCTCCCACAGATAAAGCAAAGACTTGGGACCTGGCTTAGTTCCTGCATCAATAAGAATACAAACCTCTGGATTCAAGATCCGACCGAACGCATTAAATAGCCAGCGATGGGAATTGATCTTTTTGCTATTCTGCTGTTTCAGACAAAATATCATCTGGACTGGCGGGAGATTCTTTGCTGATTCGTCTCCGGGCCTTGGGCGGATAAGCTCCTGTGCTGGAGTGACAGAAAGCTGAGTTGTATATTCAAACTATAACTTTTGTCAGTCTTTGAAAACTTCTGTAATTTTGTGATTATCACAGGACACCAGGGGGTATGATGCTTCAAACGAACAATATGAGCAACAGTCTCACGGCCATCAACGTCCCGTTTCATGATTCCATCTTGGTAGATACCAACAGTAGCCAACACATCCAATGTGTCTTTATCACATGGGCCAATACCGTCGAAGACCAAGCACACCACGATCTTTTGCCACGCAGGTCCTCCTTTATTCCAAAACTCAGTCTTTTTCAACTGGACTATGTCGCGGACGTTTTGCATTACTCCGTGGAGTGTGCGAGCAGTGAGTACTTTATCCTCGTTGTAGTAAGTAATGGCTATCAATAGCTCCGTATATCGGTTGTACATCGCTGCACGGAGGTTATAGCCATTACGAAGATTGAATTCATCCGGATCGCAAGTTGCCGCAGTGTCTGGAACATAGTAAACTTGAATCAGTATACACTTGAGGGCATGCCATGTTTTTTTTTCGACCAGACTTACATCGTAAGTGGGTAAACTCTTCAGGCGGGCTGCTAGAGTCATTCAAGTATTTTGGCTCGATTGCGTTTCGAATCGCGCTAGGAACCGGATAGTCCACACTCAGGACTGTGCCTTGGATCAAATTGATTTTGCGTGTAGGGTATCGTCGCAGCCGACTAGCGCCACGTTCTTGACGATGTTGCCATCCTGATGATGTGGCTTCTTGTATATCAGCAGGTACTATCGTTGGACCTCCATCAAGTCCTCGGCTAGTCTCGTCTGTGTCATCTGCAAACGGGTTTCCACTGTTATCTTGTGCGTATCTCTCGACCAGGCTATATCCTCGGGAAACTTCAGTTGATGGAGGACTGGCTGCGGAGTGGTAAGATGGCGGCCTTCTAGTAGGGTACGAGGAATTATCCTGTTCATTCTCTCCCTGTGATATGATGAGACGCCATTATCCTGACTGGTGTTTTTCCAAGCTTTCAGAATGAGACGAAACTTACCAAAAACTGGACATTCTCATCTCCAGAGTAGTTACTAGCCGAAGCATTGTCTCTTGGTCCTGGGTAAAGAGAGAGTGGATAGCTGCGTTCTGCATGTTGAACCATGGCTGTTGGCCCAGAAGCACTGTTCTGGCGACGTATCGATAGACCTGAAACCGATAGTAGTATGTTTAGGCAGAATCGCCGGCAAGATCAATGTTGAGCAAAAGAAGAAACCGTTGAAGATTGAGGATAATATGGGATGTGAGTAAATCCAGTCTATGGTCGATTTGAGGCTTAGACAAAGCCTGTGCGCTGAAACGGACCACATTGCAAGGTGACTCTATTGCCATTCACTTCGCGGACTTGGAACTATACTTCAGCCATTATGGGAAAGTTTGATTGGACAGTGGGAGCCCCATTATTAAGCCGAACCAATCGGCATTTTCCACCGGCCCCAGTTTTATGCCGAACAGCAAAAAACCATAGTGGGTTCAGTCCTGAACACGAGATACTAGTGAGCCAAGATCCACAATTAAGTAGCGCCTCATTGAACGTTGAGAAATATGAGGGTGTATCCAGCCTGGGAAATTTCACGTAAATTTTCTGATTAAGGGTTTTTAATTCGGGTACGGGGATCCCGGAGATGCCGATTGTGGGTCTGCTGAACCCTACGAATACAGTATTCCCGACTCGCTTCCATGTTAACTTTTTCCAATTGAAACACTCCCACTCCTAGTTAGTCGAATCTATTTCCTTTCAATTGTCACCCTACTGAGGCCGGGTAAAAATAGTCGTAGTTAGTATTCAGCGTAATAGTCTGCAAACCAAAAAATTATGGTTCTTTTCTACTCACTTTTAGGGGCCATTGCCCACAATCCATCTACGGTGGCTGTCAAGATCGACATACTAGCTTCAATAATCCAAATCGAGCCCTTGGTCTTTTGAAATCAGTTCTACTCAATCCAAACTTGTCTTTTGTCGAGACGCTGAACGATCACCTTACAAAAGTTGAGCCAAGGGCCCGATAAAGGCACATCCTTATCATCCATAGGCGTTGGACTTACTTACTTTTTTCATACAATGTCTTGTATACTGCATCCTTTCTTTTCGGTGCCTACCATATCACTTGAACTTCAACAGAATAAAGACAAGCCGAAATCTGCGACCAATGACCATCTTGTCGGGCACGTTATTCTTGAGCTCAAAGCTCCGGTGGATATCACGCAAATATCAGTCACTCTTTCTGGACGCTCAATCTCCAGGTTAGACGGTACAAGACACAGTCAATCCCACCAGGCAAGTCTCTTTTTCTTTGAGTGTAGGAAGTAAACTAATCGCCTCGCAGTTCTTCCAAACAACACACCAAGTCTTCCCCCAATCTGCGGAGCTCGATGTCCGAGGCTCCAAGTCTAGGACGATGGGGGCGAAGCAGTATGCTTTCCCATTTTCTTTGCCGGTAAATCCCGTCTTTAACTACTTAAATTTGGAACTGGATAGCTAATAAATTGGTGTCAGCTTTTTCGAGATTCTGGTTCTTTCCAGATACCCTTTGAAGACTTCGGGGGGGAAATCTCAGACAGAATGGTCTGATTTCGAATCTCATGAGAAGACACTACGTGGTCAACTGCCACCTTCTACAGGTGATTCGACTAGCAACGCCGAGATAGTCTACTCGCTAGATGCAAGTGTTACAGTTGGCGGGATCTTCAAAAACGTCATAAAGAAATCTCGTCAAATATTCTTTTACCCGGCCACCAGCTCATATCAAGCTCTACAGTCTATCATTCATCAGCGAGAAGTTGCTTTCCGCCACATGGAGAAAGATATCAAGTCGACGCCAACTTATGGGGCTGCCATAGAGCTTGGTATGGGAGGCCATCTCGCCTTAGGCCAACGCGTGCCAATAAAGTTGCATGTTACCCAATCTGATCCGACCAGCCAGGACGGCCTCATCTTGAATGACTACCAAGTCATGCTCATTCAAAAGACAATGATCCGGGTCGGAGCTCAGTCTCAAGTTCAACATCTATTCCGAACTTTGCGGACAGTGAGCAACCTGAATCTGGAAATATGCCTCGCCGAAATGCCCCTCAACAATGCGATGACTCTATCAGATGATTCATGGGGGCCACTATCCCTACCGACTGACATCACCCCCACCTTTGAAACATGTAACATAAACCGCACATATAAGCTTGAGGTACGATTAGGCTTCAAGGGTGGTCCCAAAAAGGTAAATCCAGTGTTACACAACTTGAATTTGCACAACAATTGAGATTCTAACGGACTTTATCATCATCTAGACACAGACGCGCATATTAGAAGTCCAGTTTCCGATAAACATTGCGGCAAACTAGGGGGAATCTGGAAAAAAATGGGGGAATTTGTATTTGACTATCATAGGAAAATGTTGCATAGCTGTTGGTGTGAGCTTATCAGGTGTTTTTGGATTTCTGCTGTTTAGATTATTTTGTATTACTCTTCCAAGCAATAACTCTACTTTAACTTGAACCCGTTTTTCCGAATAAAGTATTAGTTTGATTATAACCCGGGAGCAATAAATCATAGATTCCGCTTTTGGAAATACATGGATGACTTTCTGATAATATCGAAATACATCGGAGATTCCACTTGAGGCATTCCTATTTGAGTACTACTAGTAGCCACCCAAAGTTGATGTTCAAGTTTCCAGTAAGAACCCTATACTTCTACGTGCTTCTACGACCTCACAGTCCCTACTAGTAACAATGAATCTTCTAGGCCCGGATACTACTCAGAGTTGACCGGAACCCTTTTTGAAACAAAACACTCCGACTACCTTCCTCTTTATAGGAAAAGTTCTATCTGAATCAACTATCGATGCAATGGGGCATTCAATCAGCAACGGCCGACGCTAAAAGCTAAAAATCGCACGCAAGTATCTGGGCACTGGCTTGCCCGCTTATTTTTAGTCGGTTCTAGTGGATATGCTCGATAGTTCTTGATAACCTCCGAGTCGGCGCTAACCGTCCCAGTAGGCAACCACCGGGGCAAGTATGGATGAATTGGGAACAGATCGGGTTGACCCCGAAGTGAATCGTTTAATTTGCACCCAATCCACTTACCTCATAGTTCGAAGTTTTCAATTCTGAGTGAATCTTAGTGTTCATCGTCATTCCTTCAACTTTCAACTTTCACTCAAGTCCCACTTTCTTTGATTTCTGTCACTCATTTACTTCCCCATAACTTGAATACCCTCATTTTTCGACTTTCATGCTGCAATGCATGTAATTTTATGCATTTTGCTCGGCCTCATGGCCGGGTTTGCAATAGCAACTTCCACCGCACCCTCGTGCAGCGCTTCAAAATCATGCCCCAAGGAATACCCCTGCTGCTCGGAGGGAACGTGTGGTACTGGCACCTACTGTCTTGGAGGATGCGATCCAGCAATGTCCTATTCCCTGAATGCTTGTACTCCCAAGGCAGCTGGACAGAACCGAACATTCACCTGGCCAAATCTCGACAATGCAGCTCTGAATACCAAGTATCTGGGCAATGCGTCCGCCTCGGACTGGGAATATTCCGGATCTCCCAAGCTGAAGGATGGAAACGTCATCTTGACTATGCCCAAGAATAGTGTCGGAACGCTGATTTCTAGCACGCATTATATCTGGTACGGGAAGATCGCGGCCGATGTCAAAAGTAGCCGTGGGAAGGGCGTTGTCACTGGTTTTATCCTCATGTCTGACGTCAAGGATGAAATCGATTTCGAATGGGTAGGCTCTGATCTGGAAAATGTGCAAACCAACTTTTACTTCCAGGGAATTACGAACTGTAAGTTTGAAAGCCCGTACCTGGATTTTCGCTGCAAAGACCTCATCACGTAAATAAGATGCTGACAATACGTGCAATGGCCAGATACAAATGGGGCCAAGCTTCCCATCACTGGAGAGGATACCTACATCGGCTGGCATCACTACGAAATCGACTGGACACCCGAGGCCATAAATTGGTCCGTAGACGGAATCGTGAAGCGAACACTCACCAAGAAATCCACCTGGAACGGCACCGCCAACCGATACGAGTACCCCCAGACCCCATCCCGCATGCAACTATCACTCTGGCCAGCCGGTCGAGCGAGCAACGCACAGGGCACTATCGACTGGGCCGGCGGGCAGATCGACTGGAACGCAGCGGATATTCGAGACCAGGGCTATTACTCTGCCACATTTGCCAATATTACTATGCAATGCTATGAACCACCTGCTGGGTCCGGAGATGGGCATCTGTCTTACGCTTATGTCGAGAAGACGGGTCTGGAAAGCTCCGTGCGTGTTACGAATAATAGCACGGTGCTGCCGGATATGGGCCATACAGGCTTGAACATGGGAACTGGCAATTCTTCGACTGGTGTTGGTGCCTCGGAAGGTAGTTCCCCGACTACATTGACAGCATCGACGGCAGCGAGTACCGAATTCGTTCAGCACGAGAATAACGCCCCCGGACAATTGCCCCGGAGCGTGTGGCTGGTTGCTGGGGTCCTGCTCGTCGCGGTGATCATCTCATAAGCCAGCTTGGCGGTACCTCCAGGGTTCCTGAGAAGTCCAGTTGAGCTTTAGCCCCACTAGACTTGCCGTGTAGGTAGTATTAAGATAACTTCAAGTTGAATGCGTTCGTGTCCACCAAGTCGTACATATGTCAATTCAGGAATTCGGTTTCGGTATTGCCTAAATATACCTCTCAATTTATAAACTGGTACTGCAGAGCAACTTGAATCAGAGTCACTGGCACCTACTACCTCGTCTGGCGAACCCGAAAAGGTATATCCAAACCTTTCAAGTTGAGTGACAATGAAGGCAAGGATTTGGAAGTTGATAAAATTCATACCCAAGGCCGGCAGAATATTTTATTCATAATGGACATCATATATGCTAAGTGATGATAACACATAACGCCCGCCAAATAGTTAATATGCAAAAGAACCCATATCTTGATAACCAAACAAAACCCACTGACTGGACTTGTACCAAGATATCATATGATCATAAAAAAATTGAAGGATTCACCGACAAACCCACTTCTTATCAGCCTCCTTCTGGCCAACGCGGACCGCAACCTGGTCCAAGGTTACTTTCAATGTATCTTTAGAGACCTTGGGGAATCTAGGAAGCTGTCAGTATTGGGTTGAGATGCTGTATATCCTTGAACACATACCGCTTCTTGAGGATCTCGACCACACCGATCTTACTTAGATCACTGCCTTCAATGACCTGCTTGAATTCTTCCAGTTGCTCAGGAGGGAACGGGCGCTTCGCTTTGGTTGCTGGCGGCGGTGGCAGTGCGCTACCGGCAGACGCCTTGTCCGAGTTGGGAACTTTGAAGATAGATGGCGTATTCGCGCCCTTGGCTTGGTTATTTGCAGTCTTGTTTTTTGCCGAGGCCTGCTCGACAGCACGGGGCTTCTGCCAATACACAGTGGTGAATGGGTCGATTGGAAATTTGACGGCATCTGAGATCGTTTCGATCTGGTATTGCTTGAGTTCATCGTCCACACTGCCTGTTGCCCACCGAATGCCGCTGTTAACTGGTTCTAAATCGCCAACAATGAGACGGCGTTTGCCTCCGACGAGAGCATCATCTTCATCATCCAAAAAGCCATCCATATCATCTTCCCCTTCGTCGCTGCCTTCGTCTTCTTCTTCAGAATCAAGGTCTTCGCCTTCTTCGGGTTCTTCCCATTCCGCTTCAGAATCGTAGTCATAATTAGTGTCCGGCAGACCGCGGTAGTACGGGTTGCGAGACAATTTCAATGCCGTTGTTTCCGGCACAGTACGAGTATAGGTTCCTTGGTAAGGGGGTCGGATATCCTCGCCAAATTTGAGAGATTTCATCGTGACCCTGCGTAGCTGAGCGCGGTGTTTCTGTTGTTGTTTCTCAGAAAGCGGCGAAGGACCGCTTTCTAAAGTCTGTATCTGTTGCAAAAGATCTCTTACAGAGCTGGTCTGGCGCCCACAACGTCGACGGTATGGTATCATGTGAAAAATCTCAGATGGTAGGAATGGAAACTGCTGGTACTTGCGATCGGCGGAGTTCAAATCGGTATCGATGGTTTCACGGACATGTTTCAAAGCGTCCGAATCCCGGTCAAATCGATGGGGAGGCGCGACTATCGTGTGGGATTGGAGAAAGAATTCAGGGAAAGCTTTCTTGTAGTCGGATTCTGAAGTTCGAGGGGTCTCGGCGGCGGCATCACCATTGGGGGCTTTTTTGCTCGGAGATGGTGGGACTGTAGAGGATGCCGAGGAGGGCAGCTGGGGCTTTGCAAAGAAGTTGTTCAACCTCATTTGGGACTTGATGGCGTTAGTATGTACCGATTTGCGGGGGATTGACAGGGTGCCTGGTACTGACCCTCTCCTTTTTCAACTTCTCCTCTTCCTTCTTCCGCTTTTCTTCCTCTCTCGCAGCATCCTTGGCAGCCTTTTCCTCCTCCTTCGCCTTTTTCTTCTCTTCGCGCTGCTTCTTCTCCTCTTCGTGCTTGGCCTCGCGTTTCTTCTTTTCTTCTTCGCGTTCGGCCTCGCGCTTCTTCTTTTCTTCCTCCTTCAATCGCTTTTCCTCCTCACGTTCAGCATCGCGCTTCTTTTTATCCTCTGCCTTTGCTAGCTTCTCCTCTTCCTTCCGTTGTTTCTCCTCCACGCGCTGGCGTTCCTTGGCATCCTTCTCTTCTTGTTTGGCTTGCTGACTGGCGGGCGAAAGCTTCCGCTTCTTGGATGCGGGAATGGTCATAGCAGAGGTCGACAATGGTGTAGAGTTCGATTGTGTAGATGTACATTCAGTAGGTAAACAAGGGGTGGGACTTGCAGAGCCCGTACTCTGGGGCGGGGACCTCCTAGCAGGAATTTCCACAATAGGTGTCGGATACTTTGAAGCCGCGAGATGCTTTGGAGATTTTGATGGCTTGGCGGGAGATTCGGCAGTTGCTGGGTCCTGGTTCTCCTGGTTCTCTTTGCTGGTCAAGGGCCTCTTTGGGCCAAGTTCCGGTACAGCGATATCCTCAACCTCATGGATTGAACGCTTTCGAGGGCCGATAGATGGAGACGGCGGAATGGAATTGGGTGGAAGCGGGGGAGAGACTCATAATGGTCTCTGTGGGTGTTGAAGAAGGTGCGGTCGGCGTTCAAATCATCGGTTCCGAATTGGCGCAAATAGGCAAACAGGCCAGGCAATCGGGATAGGTATGGATATCCGGTAAGGAATGAGAGTGGAAGTGAAGGGGTGAAAGTGAAAGTAAACGCGACAGTGAGTGACAAAATTGATTGAAATGGGTTCAAGTTGTCGGCTGGAGTCGATCCGAGAGGATTGCCAGGAGTTTCGGTGATGGTGTGAAGTGACAATGACAGGCCACGGCGGGGAACGCGTGAGAACGCGTCGGAGTCGCGCCTGGGAGGTTATGTAATACAATTTTTGGCCCAATCGAGATGGTTACCCTGGGGTATACTTCGGGTACACCAGAATATTAGGAAGGGATAATTACTTGCAGTAGTAAGATAGTATCGAGTTACGATTAAAGTTTTTGCTGAAGCTGCACCCTAAAGTGCCTAAAGTGTTTTGAAAAAGCCGGTATGAACCCGCATGTAGAAATCAAAGATGAGTGCCAGGGCTATAAGGCCACCGGTTGTAGAATTGATAAGGGCCACCGAGAACCAAGAGAAGAAACCAGGGGTATGAACACGATGGCGGGGGAGAGGGTAAGATTTCAAGGTCTGCAGTGTGAAAAAAATGAAACAATAAGGTTTCAAGCAGCGGAGGTATTATGTGCAGCGTTTAGGAACGTAATCAAAGACTCTCGGAGATCATAGGGAGCAGAAGATGACACAGAAAATGACGGTGAAGAAAAAGCTATAAAAGAACAGGCGCTGCGTGAAGAATAAAAGGGGTAGTGTAGTAGCTTCGAGTTTCGAGATATATTCTCAGTCGCTGTCGTCGGGATTTGCCACGAATAACCGCACGTTGGTCATAGAGGTGGTCCGCTCGTCCACACTGCCTCGCCGTCGCAGTTCATCTGCTTTATTGGCTTTCTGGGCGGCGTGAACAGCCGCGCTTGGGGCCGCCATCTCACCCACAACATCTTCTTGCTCGCTGCTGTTCACCGTGTGTGTTGTAGCGGCATCGTCCTTGACCAAAGAAGATAGTCGGCTCTTCTCCTCCTCGTGAATTTCGGCAGGCGTATTCTCAGAAACCTCTGGGAGATCAGTCTTCTCGTTTGGAGGAGTACTGTTGCTACCCATAGTTCCCTGTTGTCTGTGGTAGCCACTTGGGTAGCGGTTGCTTGCGATCGAGCTCCGACCGCTCCCGGTTCGGCGGTGCATCATGACACCTTCGGCGCTGTGGGAGTCGTCATCGCCGTCTCCCACCTCATTTGCACTCAAGCGAAGAGGCACACTTGCGCCCACCAGATTAGATGGCGAAAAGTCCAGCCCGGCCTTGCCGCCGTGTCTGATCTTGCCTGAATGGCCGGCACGGCCTGCGCCATGAACCTCGAGGTAGGCTCTCTTTTTATCACGTCGGGCCTGCTCTCGCATGCGAGCGTCCTCGGGTTGCGCCCGATCGCACCAAACGGTCGCCTTCTGTCGTCGCATGAGGGCTACATATCCGAGCTGAGAATTGGCCGATCTGTTCGACGCACTCCGGCGAATATCCACGTCTCCCTGGCCCATCGGGTTGCCGGTCGAGTTGGTGGAGGTGGTAGTGGTGGATAGGCGACGTGACTGCGCGAAAGATGGAGGCGGTGCCATCGACGATTGGGCACTAGGAGGCGGATGGGTATTCTGGTACTGCTGATGTTGAGATTGGGAGCTTCCGTAGGGTAGGACTTGAGAGGAAGTAGTGCGTGTTCGGCTGTGGGTGGTTTGGGAGCTAGGCGAGTAAGGCGCAAGGTTTCTCGGGTCATCGTAGGCTGGGTATTGGTAGCCATGTTGAAGATTCGCTAGTGGTTTCCGTGGCGGAGGGCCGTGATGGGGAATACGAAATTCGGTCATGGTAGATGGAGGCTGGACACCAGCCATGAACTTCTTCACTTGCACGTGGAGAGCCAGAGATCAAATCTACTTGTGCCAACGCAGGGGCAAGTCGACCAGGGAAATAGCCGACAGTAGTATAGGACAGGAACCGTAGAGCACTTTCAGAAAGGAAGTAGAGGGGTTTCGTCTGCGAATCCGATGCGCGCGGCTGACACAGGAGATCTGCAGTTTTAGCGGCCGCCTCAAGGCACAGCCACCAGGATCGAATAAGGACAATAGAAGCGAAAACGCTGGCGATTCAAGATCCTGAACAAGCTGGGATATGAACCAATGGAAGGGAGACAATGGCCAGGAACAATGTGGCTAACACAAGGCGGAAGGGCCGAGTTTGGGCGCTGACAGGCAGGGACTGGGTGATTCAGCGAAAAGGGGTCAATTGAAGGTTGATAGACAAGTCTTCCTGCGGTGAGGATTTGGTTGCCAAGGTGTTGTTGAGGGTGGGAGGGACAGGAGAGTGAAGTAGAGAGAGGGCTAGGAGAAAGAAGAGGGGAGAGATGAACATGGCCATCCGCGGAGGATCCTGGTGGCCGCGTAACTTGATTGGGCGATACCCAGTTTACGATTTTCTTACAGCGGAGCCGGCGGACCCGAGCGCTAAACCCGGTTCACTTGGGCCCCCCCCCCGTTCCGTTTTGCGTATTGAAAATTACAATCCATTTGCCATCCGGTAATTTTAACTCATGAGACAGTACGGCAACCATTAGTTATCACATAGTACTCTGGAGTATCATAAGTTGGCCTTCCTACTCTCCCCATTCACAGTCTCCTTGAATGCAACATGCCCATACTCTCGAAACCCAAGGTTATGTTCTCGTAAGATCGATGCCCGCTGCCGAAAGTGCTTGCTGTGGTGATACGCGTCATGTACCTCGATACTTGCCCATCCCACAAACACCACATAAGCTGGCTGCTTCTCCACGGGCTCCACCATCCATCCGCCTCTAGCCCCAATACATCCAGGCACCACTGCCACAATCGTCGTCCATAGCTCCCACGTCTTCATCCACCCCGCTTGGTCAGGGGTCAGATAGATGGCCGTGCCCATCACCGGAGGTCGTTTACCCTCACCCGAACTAAACTCCTCCATCATCACATGGCGCACAACAAGCGATGCGAAATCCACCACCCCTAACGCACGTAACTTCTCACCGACCAGCTGCCACTCCGGAGACGAGAGGAAGGCGTAGTGCTGATGCAGACTTTCACGAACTACAGCGACGCCACTGGTTATTGCTTTTTCTTCTTTTACTTTTCCCAAATACTGCTGTCAAGGACCTTCTAGACCCTCGGGCGCCTCTCACCGATATGCAGGTGGACCTTTCCAGGCTCTTCCACGTGTCGCCCCCAGTCCAGGCGCTGGAAGCCTGTAGACCTTTCCAGTATCCCCAATATCTGCGACCATGTCTGGCCTTCCTGTGTCGAGGGCTGGTCGATCAACATCGTCTCCTGAATGGGTAGGATGATCATTTGGGTGGGGGCTGCTGGGCGGGTCATATTGAACGAGATACGAAGAGAGCACAGCGTATGTAAAAGTACGAGTGCTTACTCATGTGGGAAGGCGAGGGTCGGTCAGCGTCTGGTTGAACTTGGAAAGAAAGGAATCAGAAAACTACGCTCTCTCGATTCTCTATATACTCGAGGTAAGTACAGTAGACATGCAAATGCTAAGTCACTTTTGCCGAGGACCGATGGCCGCGGGTGTACACAGCCTGACAGGCGTCGTAATGTTTAGTTAATGCGGGGTATGCCTCTGTTGCTGCCCAGGTGAAGATCAATCGGTGCTACTACTAGCAACCGAAGTGAGGTCTTTATCCCTGAAAATTAAAAGGAGGAAATTGATTCAATAAACTGTTTCTAAAGCCCATTCAACACTTAACATGCGAATTCCGAATGCCGCTCCGAGTCCTACTTGGTGAGCTCAAATTTGATATATTGGATTGCCGTTTTAGGAATCTTGCCGTACATCCTTTCTCCAACGCGAAACTACAATATCGATCTCAAGCTGGTGCGAAAGTCCCCAAACCCGACCGTATGATCTAGTTTCCGGTGTACCGTTGGTGCTCTCGATGAAAAGCTACAAACCTCCTATCAATACCGCCACATATAGACGTACTACTAGTTGAAGTATAGCCCAAACTTACTATAGGCGCGGGGTAGTAGTATAGTATCTAGGCGAAATCTCAAAGATAACCTTGGAAATAGTCCTGGGGTACTTTGCCCATTCAATTTTCTACTGCTACTACTAGTACTCTTGGCCATCTAGTTCGCGCTCAAGAATTTGAACAGTGCTAGGTAGTAGCTTCGGAAGCCTCCTCATCGTCATATATAATACGAGGCCTGACCAGTCTCAAGCTTTGTTCTTGAAATAGCTGAAGTTTTTGTTTACAAATATGTCGTGGGAAGGGGGGTTCCATAGTTTACATCACAGAACGCGTGCATTGTGGTTCGTGGCAAAAATGACACCCCCACATTCTTTGAGCATCATCTGAAGAAAACCGTTCCGAACGCATTGTTTCTCCCTGTGCAGTGAGAAGCTTGTTATTTCGGGTATCGGCAAACCCATGAATACAAATTCTGTGTGTTTCAGATAATAATTAATTCCTACAAAAAGGGTGGGTGTAAACATGCTGGTAGCATCCTTTATTCAGCTGCAATGGTGACGCCTCTGAACTGGGAAGTCTAAATCACTGCTGGCTTGAGGATACGAGATCAGATCCACCAAATAAGAACGTTTCTTTCATAAGTCTACATGGCTATGTGTAGTGAACCTGTGACCTATACTAGTAGAAGACTCTCTTGACTCGCGAGTCATGCGGTGACAACGGTTGGATTTATCTATTGGAAGCCCTGTACAAATTCGTGGGTCCGCTTTGATGACTATTCAGGGTCTCCGTACCTAACATTGTGCAGGAATTCGCGCTACGGTCTTGGCAGATGTAATTTAGGAACTCGATCAACTGTCTTTGCTCAGCGCTGACAGGGGCGATGGTAGGGCTACATCATGAGTCTGAAGCAACCCTGCACTGCACTTCTATGCTCCTATTCAAAGCAAAAGCTCAGCTACGACTGTCAACCGCACCGGAAAATGATGACCCAGAAAAAAGCAAAGCCATAACTGCACCGTACATATCTCCTCGATCCTTTTGACCCGATGACATGTTTCAAGGCACCAAAAACGGGGAAATGACCTCGTATGCGCCCACCCTGCATGTCCCTAGAGAACGGGACCACTCTGGAATTTGCAAACGTGGGATTACCGTCAACATTGCATTAGAGTTGAAGTAGTTGATTGGAACAGATTTAGCGCCTTGGTGAATATGGCTGAGACATTGATTTAGAGATCATCTGAACCCCTGTTTAATCAACCGTTATGGTTGCATTTGTGGCGGTGCATTTGTAGGGCTGTAATTTACAATTGATTACAATTTACTCCGTACAATGAGTTCAAACGGGTGGATCGGTAAATTTTCAGCCTGCGCCACGCTGCGCCACACTCGGCACGTGGTGATGTAGTATCCGACGGTGGTGACGTAGTTGATGTTCCAGCTTTTCCAGCTTTTCGCACTGGAACAAGACAGCAGTTTACCAATTACGGAGGACAATAAATTAACAATGCTAGTAATTGTGCCTGATGACGAATTGACTGGCCAAAATCGGAATCGGGTACCTGTATACTTCAAGTTTGTACCCCGTATATACTTTCGACTCCGTGGCTCGCCTAATAAGGCTGAGACCTGAAGATCATTACCGAGTGAGGACACAACTCTGCTCGAAGAATACGAGAGACGGAATACTTCAAACTCATTTGATTGAATACGAGTTTGTAGTATGCATGTATGTATGTACAGATACACCCGATATTCCTCGTACCTAGGTGCGGGAATCGTATGTGGTATGAATGCAAAACTCAAGGTCCACAATTCAAAATCTCTTACATCGATCGGACTATGTCCATTTGAAAGAAAGATGAAAGGACCAAGTATTTCTCAAACAGGTTTCATAGCTTCGCCCGGCCGTCCACGGACAGAAGTGCGCCGTCCTTCCGAACGAGGTAGTCCTTGTTGGGCTCCCATCCCATCCACCCTCGCAGGGTCTCCACACCCCCGTCTCCAGGCATGAGACCGCCTCCAGTCCACCCGCCCTCATCCGACTTGATAGGGTGAGACGGTGTTTGGCGAAGCGTTACGGCGGGTCTTTGGTCGTATCCCGACGCCTCTAACTCATCTTGTTCGAAAACGGGGGTGGCGCAGGCATCAGTTCCGTCGAAAATGGCTTCCCATTCGGCCCGAGTCTTCTCCTTGAACCGACGTGTGAACAATACCCGAAGTGCGTCCCAGTTATCACGATCTGTGCGGTCGGGAACAATTTTCGGATCAAAGTCCAATCCGCGAAGCAGCGCCGCATAGAATTGAGGTTCCAGAGCACCAACGGCGAAGTATTTCCCTTCATCTTTGGTCTCATATGTGTCATAGTAGGGGCATCCACTGTCAAGCAAATTCTCCCCTCGCGCTTCGCCCCATGCAGGCGTTTGACGAGCCAGACGCGGGAACGTGGCGAGATATGCCGATCCGTCAACCATGTTGGCTTCGACAACTTGTCCACGACCGGTATGTGAGCGTGACATCAAGGCGAGAAGAATTCCCATAAAGCACATCGCACCGCCGCCAGCAAAATCACCCAGAATATTGCCCGGGGCTAAAGGTTTCTCGCCCTTGCGCCCCAGCATTGACAAAACCCCCGATACGGCAATGTAGTTGATGTCATGGCCGGCCATGTCCTTGTATTTGCCATCTCGTCGAAATCCAGTCATGCGTGCCACGACAAGTCGCGGGTTATGCTTGAGAAGGACATCGGTGGGCGAAAGCCCCAGGCGTTCCAGGACACCCGGACGGAAAGGGTCGATCAGGACGTCGGCCCCAGCAAGAAGACGAAGAAGAACATCACGCGATTTTTCCTCGCGCAGGTCTAGGGTGATAGAGGTCTTGCGACGAGTTAATTGATCACCGCTGACAGCGGAAGGACGGTCGACGCGTAGAACTGATGCGCCATAGTCGGCCAAAAGAAGCCCGGCAAAAGGGCCTATGGTGAGGTCAATACATGATCATTCAAGAAACCAAATGTTGCGAACAAACCTGGAGCCAGACCGGCTAATTCGACTACTTTAATGCCTTCAAGAGGAGGAGCAGACATGGTTGATAGATGTTTGTGAGATTTACAGTCCATTCCCAGGGTTTAATGGGGTTGATCGACTCCGCGGACCTCGGCCTCGGCCCCAGTCCCGTGGGTGCGCCAGTGCGGGGAAGTGCATTATTAGTTATGAAAGAAGTTTGTACCACAATATCGAGATCGACACCCATCGATATAGATCGGTGATATATTCAAAACCAAAACGTAGTATAAAGACTGAAGATATAGTACGAGAGAGTTTTATGACACAAACTAAGTGTTGATAGCTTAGTTTAGGAAGTATTAAGGCTCTTTCTAATCATATCGGGGAATCTCAGAACATCAAATCGATGCCCATTAATCGCAAAATTTTGGAATGACTAGACTCATCTTGATTCTCCAGGTAATATGTATCCCCATTGTCAAAGGTTGTTTGTTACTTTACAACCTCATCTACTCTAGGCGCAGTGGATGAAAAGTTGCCACATTGATATTCGATCTTTCCCTAAATAGAACCCCAATAAGATTCTATCGCTATGAGCTCGCTTGTAGATCATAAAGATCTAAACTTAATTCGTAAAAGTTATTGCTAATCTTGCAAATTAGAATGAAAATCACCCCACCCTTCCACATCGAAATGGTTCCAAGGCTGGAAAGGGGGAGATCGGAGATATAGAAGAGAATTATAAAACGTCATAAGCATACAAAAATAGCAGCCGACCCATCAGTCAGGATGGAAATCTGATTTGGGTGCTGGCGCTAGTAAGAATATCAAAAATCTCAAATCAGAAGGCAGATGGAAAGCACAGCGGCGAGCGAAACGCTGAAAAGGCTCACGAGGCCAGACTGAGACGTAGCCGCGTTGAATTCCGCTGACACACCTTCGCCACTGCCGGTTGGGGCAGGGTTTTGGACTGTCATTGTTGTTGAGACATGAACCTTGAAAGTAGGTGTTTGGCTGGGTGAGTGCAGCCCTCCACTAATGCGGCTCCAAGATGACGAAGGTCTGTGACTAGGCACCGCTGCCTGATAGTTGCCCAAAGTGGTTTGAGGCAAACCACCTGAGATGGTCAGTTCACCTTGCTCAGGTGAAGCACCTGGAGTCACCACAGTCGTCGCGGCGGAGATGACCGTGGTGTAAGGGACGGTCAATGTAACCGATGATCCGGTAACACCGCAATGTTTGCAGAAAGTAACCGTTGTGGTCCATGTTTCAGTAGTCACGAGAACAGGGGAAGTCTCCACGGCCACCTCGGTCGTTTGAACGGGGTTTGGTAGGGTCAAAGTGACGGTAGTAGGCGTCGGCGCGCAGTTACCACAGACCTTGACGGTAGTAGTCCAGCCTTCAGGGATAGAGGGCGTAGTTGATGCTGATCCAGAAGGAGGATTGGTCACACCTGCAGTGGCTTCCGGACAAATGGTAGTGGTGATAGTTGTAGTAATGGTGGTGAAACCAGTGGGGCAAATGTCAGTGTACGACGTGACAATGATGGTGGTGATAGTCGGGGGTGTTGTAACAGAGGTAGCAGTCGTCACAGATGGTGAGGCTGTGATAATTGAACCAGTTTGAGACTGGCTACCATTCCCAGTAGACTGGGCACCAGTTGTAGACTCACCACCATTTCCAGTTGGCTGGGCACCAGTTGAAGAGGCACCAGTTGTAGACTCGCCACCATTTCCAGTTGGCTGGGCACCAGTTGAAGAGGCACCACTTGAGGACTCGCCACTATTTCCAGTCGACTCAGGGCCAGTGGAGGACTCAACTCCTGTAGCACTTGGGCCACCGGTGGTAAGGGTACTGTCAGAGGAGACTCCAGTGACCTCAGTAGAAGAAATAGCGGATCCAGGTGTCGTAGACAGGGAGACGGACTGCGAAGAATCACCCGAAGGGCTCAGATGAGTGCCAGTGGAGCTTGGTGGGCTGGAGACCGGAGTGCGAGTAATAGTTCGTGACGCAGTACGAGAAGCTGACGACGAGCTAGAACCAGTGGTAGTACTGCTGAGCGATTCTGAAGTAGTGGAGTGTCCACTTGACACAGTGGAAGTAGATGTTTCAATTGGCGACACCCCGGATGGCGTAACTGAAGTTTTGATTGTTCCCGAGGTATGAGTTGACTTTCCTGGCGAGGGGGAGCTTGAGTGGCTAGCAGGGCCCGAGGATGTGCCGGAGTGGGTGGGAATAACGGTTTCAGTTGAGCATGGAGTTTCGCTAGCAGTTGGCTTGGTGGAGGGCTTCTCGGAGCCAGGAGTGTTGGAAGAAACCGGATGACTGTGACTTGAAACTGGAGTCTGAGTAGAGCTCTCGCCAGTTGGACTGGGCGAGGCCGAATGAGAGGCGGCCGGGCTGCTGGAAGAGCCGGTCACCGAGTTCGAAGACGCTGTTGGGATGCTGGAGTGTGGAACGCTAGATGAACCAATCGTTGGGGTAACAGAACTAGCCAGCGATGACGAAGGAGAGGTGGCCGGGCTGCTCGAAGACCCAATCACCGAGCTCGAAGACGCCGCCGGGGTACTTGGGTGTGCAGCACTGGATGAACTAATCGTTGGCGTAACAGAGCTAGCCAGCGAGGACGAAGGAGACACGGTGGAAGATGCGACATAGGTGCTCGAGGGGGCTGGTTGACTTGATGACGCAGGGGCAGACGAGGGTGTCTGAGAGCTTGTCTGCACCGCCGGGCTAGAGGGAGTTGAAGAAGTCACGGTAGGCTTTGGAGTCGGCGTCACGAAGATGGTGGAAGTCGGCAGTGGGGGTGGGGATGGATCACATTCACGAAGGATGTGTTTCATATGCTGGGCATAGTTGTGACCATCGATCGTATTGTTATCAGATGCCGTGGCTTCCCAAAGCATGATACCGCCAAATGTATCGGGGTAAAGGTTCATGTAGAAATCCACAAGAGGGTAGACCTCCTCCGGGCTCATGTAAAAGCCATCGACGGCAGCCTTCTCAGAGGCTGGCAGTCCGATGAAGAGTTTCGCGTCTGGGTTGGCACTGGCTTGGATTTTCGCGGCCCATTCAACGAAATTGAAGTCACCATTACCCTCCAAGAAGTTTGTCGCCGAACAACTGCCTGTATTGTACCACTGAACCCAGATGAAGTCAAAATCGGAGTTGGCGATAGCGTCACTAAGCTGGAGATCGGGAAGCTGGCATTGTGGTGCGCCAGAGATGTAGAAGGTCTCGTCTGGGAAGTCGGCGTAGTGGCTGCGAAGGCGTTTGATCATCGTGGCATAGCCTATTTCTTTGTTAGTAGAAGTTCCGTTTTGTCCAATATGCCAGGGAATTTCCTACCATTTCCACCATTATGTTCAATATCGAAATCAAATCCGTCAACTTGGTTGTCAAGGAATGGACGAGGGAAAGTATCATTTTGGCCAGGGGGACCGAAGGAATACCACAGAAAATCGGCAAACCATTCGGCAACCTCATCATTGGGAATATCTTCATAGGCAGTCTCACCACCAAGCGACAACATCACCGTTTTCCCAAGCTCCTTGCAGATGGGAATATCATCTATTATCTGGTGGCAGCCACTGAGAAGCTCAGTGTCCTCATAAACATTTCCATCACACTGGTTGCCAAAATTGGAGCCTGGCCAATCACCCACAGCTTTGGGAAAGACGTTGATGAACCCAATATTGATGATATCCAGAGAAGTCTCCTGGCAGAAGTGACTCAAACGGGGCTGATAAGCACCTTGGCCCTAGAACTCACTGTCAGCTGGAGTAGACACGGGGTTGAATTTTGAAAACAGTGAACTCACATAGTAGACAGCTACATTAGATTTCGAATCCGCATTGAGAGCAACGGCATTAGGGATAAGGGCGGACAGCACCGCAGTAGCGGCAAATGTCTTCAAGAAACCCATGTCTCAGAGCAATAACGAACGGCAAAAAGGGTCTAACGAGTCGACCCGTCCGAGTTGTATAGAACGAACGTAGGGGAAATTTTCCCAAGGTCAGATGAATGAAGGGACGCGAACAAGAGTTCGCTTGAGCAGTTCGGAGCCGCAGAATAAAGAGTGAATGTCTATCCAACTGAAATATAGGGAAAATGCGAAAGAGAAAGATGGGGGCTTGTATTAAAAGGCAACGATTATTGTACATAACTCATGCAGTACAATAGTTACCCACCAAAGTACCTGTACCGGTGCACTAGTATAAGGGGTCTAATTCGGCTAATCATGATCGAGAGGCTGTATCTTAGGTCCTGGAAGATACCGGTTTCTTTACAAACTAGAGATTAGCCTCTCCGATGACCCATGAAAAGACCACTCCACATCTCTAGCAAATAAAAGCCAAATTTGCCCTGGGCGGTTAAGGTCCGAGAAAAGACATCAGACGAGTGCAACTTGGAGAGCACTCTCGTCTACATTTGATAAGCTATATAAGAGACGTAAACCCCCATAGAGAAACAATTGTCCCGGTTGTATCTGTTTTGGTAATGATTTACGCATGCCACAATACGAAGAAATCAGTCCTGGCCCTTCTGGGAGTCCGTTATGAGGGGTCATGAGTGCCTGCTTGGCACCCGGCTAAGAGCCGCATAAAAGAGGCTTAAACCGTACCAACCAGGCTAGACTCAGGGCCCGGGCGCATTATGGAGCAAATCAGGAACGGATGGGCTCCCCTAGTCAAAAAAGGGTCCCAAGGTCCGGTGGACTCCGTCCTTGGGTTGTTCGGCCAATGCAAGCCTGCGTTTGCATCGGATTATCGCGAAAACAACAAACAAATTACCCAATACACCCCATCAATGAGATTATTAACTAAATCGAAGATGCTAGGAAAACCGAAGTAAATTTGGTGATACTGAGATTCATGATTAGCTCGGTTTGGGTTACTGGATTAAGCAGTGCTCATTTCGTTCCTGCTTCTCAAATGCGCTAGCGATGCTTTAGCGAGGGTTGGTGGAGATGGGTCACTGGTTAGCGCCCAATCAAGTGGGCAATCATGAGCGTCGGAAGCCAACCGGATCAACACGTTCGTTCGCCATCTCGGTTAGGGTCTAACAAGGTGTGTTCATCTTACCTGCTGGCAAGTCAGAGTGAGGGGTCGAATGCTACCATTGCTGCATGTTGGACCAGAGCGTTTTGTCAGATTTGTGATATAACTGCGTTAGCGCATCTCAGGAGATTATTACCAATCCTACCATTTCACTCAACAGACTCCTACGATATTCAAATTCTGCATTTCAAACCTAAAGAGCCGATGAAATCGGTATCGCTGAGAGTCAGGTAGATTCCTCTGATCTCCGCCCCCACGTCAATCTGCCGGTAGGGCTTGGTACCCCCTCCAAAAAACAGACTTCAGACGTGCTCCATATTAGTGCTGCCTCTCGCACCCATTGCCCTTTTCAGCGACTAGGAAAACGACACTAGTAATAACGACTAAGGCAAGCAGTGGGACAACGTAGCTTAGGTCGGCACCGAGATACTACCTCGCTAGCCACGGTGCACCGGTCAATAGTGTCTTTTTTGATAGACTAAACCTGTTCCACTTTAGAAGCCTCTTTCATCATTGTTTCCACTGCAACTGCCAAGTCAATGGGGCTGAAAATAAAATTATCACGCACAATTTTAAAATTGCATCTTGTTCTAGAATAATGAAATCCATTCCATAGGACGGATTTTATTCCTCGGATCCGAAGCCGGGAAGGTCTGGCCATGAAACCCACTTCAACCCAGTAGTTTCGAGTAGTAACTAATAGATACACAAAATTCTTATGCCGTGCTTTTATGACACATGAGAAAATTTGAACCTGGGAAAATTATGAAAAATAATTATCGCTCCGCAATATTATGAAAGGGTCTACTGTCGTCTAGGCTGCCGTTTACACTATTAAATTGTTCCAGGCAATTCTATTGCTAACGCATCTGAGCATAAAATGGGTTGGGCCTGTACGGAAGTTAGCGTCCCATTTGAAAGCTCGAAGATTTCCTCGATCGGAATAAAGATTTCCAAAAAGGTTCCCAGATATCTTGGAGTGACAGAGGAGAGTATCAGCTTCTCATTGAGGTTTTTTTGAGGTAAGACCTTTTCGGATTCTTTCAAGAACTATCAATCCAACCGGTTGCATCATTCACCCCTTGCCAACTAGATCCAGAAATGCCCAAAATCCATCATCGACGGAGAATAGTTTTGCTTGTGTTCAGGGGCAATGAAAATACTTGAAATGAAAGTTCATGAGTACTATCTGTGAATTTTGGGAAATAATTGAATCGCCATTACCTGAACAACAATAAACCGAGGACTTTACGAAATTACTTCCACTGGAGAGCATTACTTGTGATGTAGTTTTTCTGGGAAGGAAAACAATCAATTATGCCTCATCATCCATGGATTTCTATATAGAGGTCTTGACGGGTGCTGCACATCATTCAAGTTCAGTTTGAATTGCTTTGATAGGCCTATTCCAGCCTTCAGACTTGGGATGGTAAGTTTCTCTATCGTGATGCTTCAGCGACGAGAGTGCCCAACTCAATTTAAAGAAGGATTCAATTGTATTATTTCCAGTGACATGCATGTTTATCTCCCAACACCAATTTTTTCCCTTCCCCGCGCAGATGACCCCCACTTTGGAGCGAAGATGACACCCCACGGCGTGTCAAACAGCCACAGTGGAGCCAATGCCTGCCCCAGGAATTTCTCAGTGCGCTGCCAAATCATCTTCACCTGTCAATCACACAACAATATTGTTTTCATATCTCAATGGACGGCGTGATAGAACGATTCACTACCGGCCCGCCCATCTACCGACCTCCCAAGGGTCGGATGGTGCTCGGCGAGGGACCTATCTATCGAGCCAGCGACTCCACACTACACTGGTTTGACTGTCTGTCCTCTCCGTGTGAGCTTTACATTCTTCCGACCGACCCAGAAACTGGCTCTCCTACGGACGAAGAGGCTCGCATCCTGCCTCTTTCCGACAGTGTGAGCGTTGCAGCATTCCGTCGAAACAAGCCTGGTAGCTACATCGCAGCATATTACCAGGGTGTTTGCTTTTTGGACGAGGCAAGCGGAACCATTGAAGTCGTTCGTGAGATCATTCCCACGGATGAGAGAGATCAACGCCGATTTAACGATGGCGGTGTCGATGCTGCCGGTCGCTTTTGGCTCGCCGAAATAGACGTTCGAGCTACAGCTTTCGACATGGACAACTGGCCTGAGAGCTACGGAGAACCCAAGGGAAGGTTATGGAGGTATGATCCCGACGGCAGCTTGCATCTGATGCTCCCCGGTGGACTGCTGTGTGGCAATGGAGTGAAATGGAGCCCTGATAGCAAGACGAGTGAGTGACCATATCTTGTATCATTGCAATTAGAGTAAACGCTAAAAGCATGCCTAGTGTATTTGAATGATTCCATGGGCATGAAAATCACTGCTCTCGACTTCGATCTTCAAACTGGCAATGTTTCGAATCAGCGGACCCTTGTCGACTTTCGAGCCACTAAGGCAGAGCCAGATGGATTGGTCATAGAGTGAGTCGTTTCATCACCCAGATCATTCTCATAGTTGTATCAAGATCGCTGATCAAAATTGAATATAGCACCGATGGCAACTTGTGGGTAGCCGTGTACTCCACCGGGAAAGTCATGGTTTTCAACCCCGAAGGCAAAAAGCTGAAAGAGGTTGAATTGCCAGCAAAATATCCAACATGCCCTACTTGGGGTGGCAAAAATCACGATATTTTGTATTTATCAACCGCGAGGGATCGCACAGAGAATCCGGATCCCAACGATGATGGTGGACACATTTACATGTTCAAACCATCGCAGACTCAAGGGCAAGCCAAGTATGAGTTTGCGGGCTAGTTAGCCCGTAGCAGCAGGAAATTATGGATGATCTCCCATTACTCTGAATGTCTTTGACATAAATTGAGCATGTAAGTAATTTTGAACAGTCATTCCCGCTGTTCTCAAGGAAAGGGAGGAAATAGACGGCGAAAATTTCCACTGTAGGTGGCGCAGCTCGATCCATGGATCACGCGGGAGGATCAGATACTAGAAGCCTGATGTTGGTAGTATTTAGTGGCCTGATCTGAGCCTCGACTCTCGAGAGAACAATGCCAGTGGCTCTCAGGTTGGAATGAGATCCCTCGTGGTACTAGTTAGTTCGTGTCAGTCCGGTATGTTGAAGTATAAACTTCTAGTAGACGCGACGAAGACCCAATAGCTTCCAAGGTTCTACCTAGAGCAGTGTTGACAGGTCTTCTTCACATTCCACCTCGATTTTGACAGACAAGATAGTTTTTATTTTGCTTTCTGCACGATCCGACGTCAAGTATGATGAGTCTTGAAACTCCTGGATGCTCCACCAGCAAGGACTGCGCCAAAGGGACCCCCCTCGGATCATCACGTGTGGGCATTAGATGGGAGAGCTTGGCCTGGGCAATTCGAATGGGCAAATCAGATTTGGTCTGTTGATGAAAGATATTGTGTCTTTTATTTCTGACTGTTCTAGTTCATTGAACTTTGACTGGGGGGTGTGCTACAAGAAGGGTGAGTAGTTCGTCATAGAGGGATGTTTGTTCACCCTGAGGGAAGAACCCCAACTTCCGACTTCAACCCTCGACAACCCCGACTACCATCCTGGATGAACCCCCCCTCAAGGGCCGCCCTGTCCAATCCTCTGATTAAGTAATTGCATTCACTGAATTCTTGAAATTCTCCGACTTTTCCATTCTCAAAGCGTGAAACGAGCTGACGTCGAGCAAAGGCGATCCACAGGGATGAGCATCAACACTCTCGTTGGCCACATCCCTAGCCGTGCCTTCATCTCCCACGCTGGAAACATTCCAGCAGATCTTCCGATGCGATCATCGACAGGAAATGACCGATTAACTTGTCGGTTGTGGTCGCGGCTGGGATTCTTCCCATGCCCGACCCCTCGGCTGGCACATTCCACCCCTCCACACTCCGGCGCGTCGACGCGCTCACAGGCTAGCAGTGCCTAATTTGGTTCCCTTTTTTAGTCAAGGACTGTTCCTCATGCCTCGACACGTCTTTTTTTTCTACCATTGGTGATTTCCTAAACGGGCAGAACTTGGGTTTGGCGGTTCTTCAGTGAATCTTTGCTCTATCCTCGGTCTCTTTCTCTTGGTGATAGACATCCTATACCACCGCCACTGCTTCTCGTTTGCCAGTATATCAAAGCGACACTGCAGTGCAGATCGCATCCGCAACACGACCATGGCTACCGGATTCTCTGCGACGCCTCGTAAAGAAGGCACTTGGACCAAACTAGTCATTTTCGTCGCCCTCTTTCTCCTGATCCTCGAATCGGTGCTTCAACTGGTCCTCGTGCTGTTTCTTTATGGAAAGCACCAGGTGGATTCGAAGATGACCGTGAGCTTAGTTCTTGCTATGGTTTCGGTTCGTTTCTGTCCTCCTAGATGACCCATCGCAGGACTAATCTCATCTAGTCATTCATGACAATTCCCCTTATCTCGCTTCAAAGCCTCGTCGCCTGGCAATACAACAAAATTGGTGGATTTGGCCAGCAGAAAACGGTTCTACATAATATCTGCTCTTATGTCTACAGATTGGATCTTATGCTCTGGCTAGCGACGTCGGTCTCCGGCCTGGTGGTTGCCGCTCAGCAAGTTTACTGTCTGCCAGATGGAACTGACGCCTCTTTCTGGCGAGTTGGAACGAGCTGTGCATTCCATCGATCCACCGTTATCGTTTCAGTTGTATCATTGTGAGTATTGCATCATTTTTGAAGCTTCACAGCCTCCAGAATTTCTTTCTAACTATTTTTCGCCAGGGTTACTGTCTGCACGATGTACTGCGCAAGAGAACTATGCGACCGGCCCTATGACGTTTCGATTATCGGTATTTATAAAAGTCAGCAAACATTACGCGATGGCAGTATTCTATCAGGGAACAGCTGGGACAGCGACGAGACTCTCAAGAATGAAATCCTGAATCTTTGCCGCCAGCACGATGGCAAGGCAGGGGAGGAACCGTGGTATATTGATCCCATTGCCAACAAAGTCAGCTGCCATCCCAGCATCCGACACCCTGCTCCAGTTCGTCTGCGTCCACAACTTCGCCTCAACACCAACCCGGGCTCTGAGTACGGAGAGATTACCTCGGGGACCTCAATTTCTCCTGATGATACATACCCTCGAACCTCACCAGGTGGCCAAACCGTGGCCAGCGACTTCTACCCTATCTCGCGAACCTCTACCCTCATGACCACCAACACTTCCGAATCTAAGAGCCTACTTGCCGAATTCTTTGCGCCCAAGGTTCCACCAATTCCCAAACAGTATACTGCCTATCACAAGCGCGGGAAGTCATCGCTGTCATCGCTGAAGCGTTTCTTTCCCAAAACGTTTCCTCTATCATTGCCCTTGTCATCGGACCCTCAGATTCGTGCCTTGGCCGATCCAAACTCAGCATCAGACGTTGAGAAGCAGGTTGTCACGCCTTCCACTTCCCCAGGCCAATCTCAATCTGCACTATTGGAAATCACAGCCACGGAGGCGACAGCTACCCATTCTTCCAGCGCTGATACAACTCAAACGCCAACTAAATCCGTCAACACCCCAACCCCCAATAGGCCCGAGGGCCACAACAGAACCATGACAATGAACTCCGCCGATGCCCCCGAAGTCGTCGTTTCACCGCCGGAGCCAGCAAAGGTGCGACGATCTCAAACGGAACATCTCGCCATAGCCGGACGTTCTATCCATCACCCACACCACCCCAACTTCGTTCCCGGATCTACACCATCACCAGCACCAAGCCCAGTCAACGCTCGCAGATACTCCGCATCCTACAGGCAGAACACAAACATGTCACCAGTGTCCATCATGCCTCCGTCACGAAGCAGCTCACGACATAACATGCAACCCCAAATTGCCCAGCTACCCGCTCCCACCCGGAGTAGCTCCTACTCATTCGAGCAATCACGCAAACCCCGCCCCGTCCAAAACCAGTATCACCAGCAATACTATCCCCCCCCAGCCAATTCCCACCCGTTGGGCAAGCCAGCATGTCTTCGACCCCAGCCGCGTGGTCCCCGCCCCTCGTCGCAATGACGTCGAAATTATCTACCCAAGCACTCGTCGACCTCGCAGCAGCACTCACGGCGGAGCAAGTGGCCCTCTCAGCTGTATTCTCGAGGCAACTCCCGACCCCCGCGCTTCTGTGGATGAAATCCATCTCAGAGGCGGTGGCACCCAGGCCCGGCGGAGTGTCCTCGATCACAACACTTATCGTGGTGCGAACCGCACAGGCATGGGCTTTCACTAGAAGGCCTTCTTAATCTACCTCCGTTTTTGGTCTGCCGGTCAGACTAGTTTTTTTCTGCTTCTCAGTGTGGCTTAACTTGAAGGTTATAGGATTGTATTGGAGGATTGTTCGGAATAGGAGAGCGCTGTTTGTGGTTTTATTGTCGTTAGATACCATACTACTATTCTATCATACCAACCTTACTCGTGTTTTTAATCGCTATCATTTATGCTTCCATACTAGTAGTCTCATTATGAAGACGTTGAGTAGTACGAGTAAATCAACCACCTGGACATTTGCATAGAGTGTTTCAATTTGAATTATTTCCATTGCCCACCATACGCGACGGGATGCGCCTCATTACATGCTAAAAAGAAAAGAAACCTCAAAGACTCCAAGCACCCTAGTCAATCTCGACAGCATGCAGATAGGAAATAAAGAAGTAAGGAGAAGAAGTAATAACAAGAAGAGTAGAAAGAAGGGGAGAAAAAGAGGACAAGAAAGAAAACAAGCCCTTCATGAGCGGAAAGCAAAGACACAACTATTTATGCCTTTCTCTCTCCGCTCCTAGACTTGTGTTTCGGCGCATACTTATACCGATATGCTTGCCCTTGTTTGGAATCCGTCGTCGACTCGCCACGGTTCTCTTTACCATCTGCAAAGACTCCTGGTCCACGGCCCATCTCCTTCTCGCCCCAGTACATCATGAGTGCCTTGGCCATACGGTCTCGCTCCTCGAGGAGTAGATCGACTCGACGCTCCCATTCTTGCTCACGTTTGTCGACGGAAAGTGCGATGCGCTGGTCCACCGCGGCGGAGGTTTCATCTTTCGCAGCAATGACGGCTTCAAGGCGACGGACCTCTTGTTTGAATGACTTGCGCAATTTGGACTCTTGTGTGGCCGTTTTGCTGCGCAGTGTTGTCAGTTCGGTGCGGAGGTCGGATTCGCGTTTCTCGGCTGCGCTGAGTATATCCCGGACCTTGCGCATTGATTCGGCATGTGATGAGCGGAGGGTGGATACAGATGTGGAGTGGGCGGTTTGGAGGCTTCTGATTTGGGCCTGGTGGGAGGCTTCCAGGGCTGCTGTGGCTGCAGGGTCTGGCTGCTCTGTGTTGGGGATGGCTCGTGGGGTTGGTGGAGAGAGGGGAGGGCTGGGTGGTTGGCCGAGTGCTTCTTCATGAAGGCGGGCGACAGTTTCGAGGGATTCGGCATGTTCTTCTTGGGTGCGAGTCAGCTCGTGCTGTGTTTTGTTGAGATTGGCGCTCAGATCGTTAACGCGGAGGGTAAGTCGAGAGTTCTCGGTTTCAATGGTCTTGATCAGGGCTTGTGATTCGGCGGTCTGTTGACGCAGGCGGTTGACCTCGATATCTGCAGCTTTTTGGCCAGCAGTGGCGTCATGGGCTTCTTGTCGGAGCTTCTCAATCTCGTGTCGTAGCTCCAATAGATCGTCATCCTCCTCGGGGAATTTATCCTTTAGTGGTGACCGAGGACCCGAGTCAAGGCTTGTGTGCCCAATATCTTTGATCAGGTCAAGGATTTCGCTATACGTACTATGACCACCGGTACTGTGGCCACCAGGCAAATCTGCCGCAACAGCTTTGAGGGCGTTTTCTTGGGCCTCGACTTGAGACTGAACACGAGTGAGATCGGCCTCGAGAGAAAGGTTTCTCTCCTCGAGATCTTCCAGAGGTTGGCTCTGGGCTTCAAGAGTAGTAAATCGATCTTCGAGGGCGAGATAGTCGCTGTTAACGCGATCCAATTCTCCATCCAAGCGCTCATTTTCTAAAGCCTGATCATCAAGTTCGGCCTTGAGCCTGTCGATCTCGGTATTCTTGTCATTGAGCTGCACCTCCTTTGCTCGGGTGGTTTCTCTCAGCTTTTCCATTGTTTCTTCCAGGGTTAAATCACGCTTCTTCAACTGCTCCTGGCTGATCTTCAGCTGTTCGCGCAAATGCGCGATCGTCTCTAGCCGCTCAGCATCCAGTGAGTTCTGTGTATCCCGGGTCTCCAACTGCTGTTGCATATCGCGAACTTTTTGCTCGAGTGCATTTTTATCGCTGGCGTTTGCCTGGAACTGCTCGAGAAGTCGCCCGCGTTCCTCGTTTTGTTTCTGGAGTGATTCGAGCTGCTCACGAAGTACATCGACTTCGTTTTCTCTCCCTTCGGCCTCTTCCAGATGAGTGTTCTTTCGTTGAAGCTCGTCTTGAAGATGCCTTATTTGCTCGCCGGCCGAAGCTGCCTCGAGAACCCGTTTGTGATTTTTGCTCAGCTGATCATCGCGATCCCTAACCTCCTCTTCCAAGTCTTCAATGCGTTGAAGCAAATCGTGCGCATCGTGCTGAACGTCTTCAACTTCTTCTTCTCCGTGGCTTTCCTTCTCCGGTGTAATTGAAATCCTGCGCAGGGATGGTGATACTGGGCTAGGCAGATCGTCGGCCGGGTCTTCCTCGATGTCTTCGAGATTGGAGTCCTTGGCCAAGGTGCTGGTGCGGTTCAGAACATGTGATGGGGTTGACATATCAACCGGCGGTCCAAATTCACTATAATCTGCAGAGTCCCCGTCGTCTTCGATGACGGGCTGTCTGGATCGCACCGTGCTGTTCTGTAATATCGATCCGGATTCCTCGCGACCATCCGTCTTGCGGTACTTCTTCATGCTTGGAAGGCTCTCCTCGAACAAATATTTCTCCATGTTGGCGGTGAAATCTTCTGGTCCTCCCACATCCGACAATTTGTCTTCTTCGTCTTCCTTCAATTCCGGCAACGGGGCGCCGTCTCTGGAAAAATGGCCGCTCGGGAATTGACTGAAATCTAGAGTATATTCGGCCAGGCGAGCATCCAAATCCGACGGCGATGGGCTCGGAGATCTTGAATCATCGGGTCCCTGGTTCAGCGCGGTGTCCTTGGCATGGTTGTCATCGTTGTTGACCGATTCGCGATCGGAATGGTCGTCGGGGTAGATGGGGCTATCTGCGGGAAGCGGCGACTCGGGAGGGCTGACGGGGTCCTGGGGAGGTGACGAGGGCATGAAAAGGGGAGTTGCCAAAGTGGATTGGCCGATAGTGTCGTGGGAGGTCGGGAAGGGCGAGGTATAGCCTGCGTTGGCCATCGTGGCCGACTCCAACTCGGACGCGTCTGGAACGTGCAGTCCACGGAACTCCAATCGCGCAGGCGCAAGAGGGGCACAGAGGGGAGAGAAGGGGGATGGTAGATGATAATTTAGTAAAAGTACCTCAGCATCCCAGTGAAGGGGTTGACTGCGAAAAAGAAGAACCAACAATAACAATAGCGTGAATTGCGGGGGAAGAAAGCTTGCAATGTGATGCGATTGCGATGAAACATGTTGAAGTTGGTGGCCTCAGGCAGCCAGTCTCTATTTACTCCCTGCCTATTCCAGCCTAGCGCCTCATTTACTTCTACCTGCACCTCTACCTGCACTTTATATGCACTTCGGAAACAACTCCTTCTGCATATGATACTCCGTTGCATGTTTCGTGTCAATTTCCTATGTTTTCCACTCTTCAAACGTAGGTGGAACCATTCCTTCCTGGCTGCGTCGCTTGGATTCCTTCAAGGCCTCCTCCAATTGCATCGCGGCTTTTCTATTGGCACGACTACCTTTGGGTTTGGATGTGAATTGATGCTATCAAATGCGTCCAAGGTGAAATGATTAGCCTGGTCCAAATCATATGTAGTATTCCGGGGAAACTTGAACTCCAGGGACCGCGGGAAATATCATACTTGCTGATCAGAGTCCATCTTACCATGTGACCCTCCGCCTCTCGCCTTTTCACCCCTTTTGCTGCCTTTGCCACCCCGATGGTCTTTCTCTGAAAGAACATCTCGTGGCCGATTAGCAATTTTTCCAGGCCTGGCATGCTGCCCTGCTGCTGCTGTGGCGATTCCACAGCAATCCCGATCGACGACGCGCTGGGATCCAGCTGATGTTTGCAAACGACGCAGAAAGCGTAGCATGTTCCAAAATACTGCACGTGTTAACCTTCACCGTAGTAAATGGATATGAATAAATACAGAAGTAAACCTGATCTTTTGCATTTGCATTTGCGCCGGGGGGGGAATTTCACCATTTCGGGTATGGAAATGGGTTCGACTATATACGGTCTGGGGGCAAATTGATGTCATCGCGGTTCCAAGGTTGCCCCTACTAAACCTCTTTATTCTCGGGATTTAGTGCTTGGCTCCAAGTTCGCCATTCAGTTTGGCTCCAATGCGAGGAAACCCACTGGCAGGGTGCACATAATAATCAATCGGGTCTATTGCGAGTGTTCAGAAAGATGGAGTTCCAACCAATAACTAGGTAGCCCTGGAGTATTAAACAAACTTCAAGTTGAAGTTGGTAATGAAATCTTTGAATTATACTGTTAGTAGTGTTACCTACCTAGGTAGGTAGTGAGTATATATCTCCAAGTTCGGCCTAATAGCCAGCCTTGGAAGTTGAACTTCCAAGCAGTTCTCTACGTACCTACGTAATCATACCAATAAAACATACTCATTCTATCCAATGTCTCGAATTATCCAATTATTTACCGAATGATTCACCAGGGGAACCTCGCCATCTGGTGGTTCGATCTCGTGGCGTGGCCTCGAGGCCCTCGCGAGCGCTTAGTCAGGGCCGAACGCAACCAACATCCACAATGCCCGCTGGAGGTGGGGGCATCGGGTCCGGACTCGGAGGAAACAACACTTCCAAAGGGTTTTAAGCTTCACTTGAAGTAGAGGTCTGCTGCTATCATCAGCGGTCTCTGTCAGTTGAACTCGGTCGGTATCAATAACCAACTTGAGCATCTCAGCATTGGATCACCGACAAGGCCATTATTCTCTTGCTACGTCCTATAAGACCTGCATTCTGACCACCTTGAGATACGCTCTGGGGAGATAGACAAGTTTCACCAGAAACTCCACTTGGCCAAACGCAACACTGCCGCCTATTGAGTTCTTCGTTTTTCTAAGTACCTCCCGAGGTCCGTATCAACATGCCGCCAATTCCAGGCGTTGGTGGAGACCGTCGACGGGTTATCCTCTATCACCAAACACTGCTGCCAAATTCGGGCCCATATGTTCCCATGATGCCACTTCTATCTAACAACACCGGTATCACACATGTTATCATCGCCGCAATTCATCTAAATGGTGAACCGGGCGACATAACACTCAACGACGATCCCCCAGATAGTCCCAAACACGCCCCATTATGGGAAGAAGTCCCCCTACTGAAACAAGGCGGCTTGAAAATAATGGGCATGCTCGGCGGAGCAGCACAAGGCTCTTTCCAGCGCCTCGACGGCGACCAAGAGAAATTCGAACTCTTCTACGGCCCTTTGCTCACTATGATTCGTCGTCATGGACTGCAAGGTCTAGATCTCGATGTCGAAGAGGAAATGTCTCTACAAGGCATTATTCGACTGATCGATCGACTCAAAGCTGATCTGGGTGATGATTTTATCATCACTCTGGCACCTGTTGCCGCAGCACTGCTGGGAATGGGGAATCTGTCTGGATTCGACTATCGTCAACTTGAACAGGCTCGCTCTTCCAAAATTAGCTGGTACAATGCTCAATTCTACAATGGATGGGGACCCGCGGATGACCCGCGCATGTATGCGGCGATGATTGCGCAGGGCTGGTCTCCTAGTCGGATTGTTTATGGTCTTTTGACAAACCCCGGAAATGGTTCGCAGGGATATGTGCCCCGGGAGAAGATCAGTGCCGTGATTGCGGCTCTAATTGAGCGATTCCCGAATTTTGGAGGCGTGATGGGGTGGGAATATTTTAATGCGTTGCCCGGGGATCGTGCTAGACCGTGGGAGTGGGCTGCGGAGATGACTGTCAGTATGAATATGAAGGATGTTGTTATCGCTGCTCGGCAGGTGCTTTCGACTGGACCCATGGTGGATAGTCTGAACAATCTATTTCGTGATATGTTGAATCAGAGAAGGCAATCCTGATTATGGGAGCAGACATGGGACGGCCCTGATGACTTAGATCTATGGCGCAATGCCTTTTCTTTAGATCTATGAATTAGTGAAATGCATTAGCATAAATTGACTAGAGCAGAAATCTTCCGTTTCTATTCTCAGCTTACTTCATTACATGTATTTTTAGTGGATGAAACGACCCATCTTTATTGGGGGCGTGAAGACCTCTGGTTTTGGATTAATGACTGGAGACACGATGTCGAATGGGTGACATGAGAGCATACAATGACATTTTGACCTTTCTCATCGTAAATCTGCTCAAGTAGATGCCGTGTCTCTGAATTGGAGACATCCGCTGTTTCTAAGCCAATGGATTTAGCGTGACCTGACGGCAACCTTGGACTGCGGGTTGTTGGGCCTTCACTCTTACGGATGTACCATGTCAATGCATGCTTCGAGTCTTAGCTCATAGTTGACCTAAGCAACTTGACATTAATGTATTCACCTAGCTGGAAATATACACGTGTTTATGCCATATTTATGATAGATACAATGGAGTATGTCCGTACGATGAACCTTTGGAACGAGCTGATTGAACATTGACGAGCAGTAGTCTTGGCCAGTTCTCATATGGTGTGCTTTAGACTTCCTTCTAGGGGCAATACGGACCTCAACAGGATAACCAAGATCAAATAGTTCAATGTTTTACTTAGAATGATTGTCTTGAATATTACTGCTTATGATCTAGTCTAGAGTGGCGATTGCCCTGTGGAGGCTGATCCGCTACTTGAATCGTGATATTCCCGCAACTGCGTCTGAGCTGGCCCACCAGACCGGGGTAAGAGCTGATCTCTTCCCGCGGAGAACGGAAAGAGTGCAAAAATGCCTTGGATTTGATTTCTGTCGGCATAGAAGCAGTGTCCGACTCGTGGGCCCCGGGTGCCCTTTTTGAGGTGATCGCCACATGTGACACCCAACTAGAGTTTCAGCATGCATTTGGTGCAAAATTGATACATAATCAACTGAATAAGGCTCTGAGATTTAATGTCGCAAAGAGGAGTGTTAATTGCTCAATTGAAAAATATCCTTGTTTCGACCTTAACGTAGGGTTGTTAGCTAACTACAGATGGCCAGAAACCCGCAGTAGTCAATTCATCATGGCCCCCTTGAAAGTAGAAAGAGAGGATTCATATGAAGAATTACTCTCCTCTCCATACTAGTAGTTTTCACCTTCGAACTAGCCCTAGGAAAGGGACGTGCATGCGTTAGGGATTGTCTTAACAAACACACTAAAGCTGAAACGAACTAAGCTGCAGCGAACTACGCCGATCGTTCAAGTTCTGAGGCTTTCTCCATGGTGTCGTGCTTCTGGAGTGACTTTCCTGTCGCAGTCTAAATAACGCCACATGTAGCAGCCCCCTACACACGACACCACTGCCTGAGGGTGTCAATGTCGCGGAATATCTTCCGGCCAAGTGAATGGTTTGTCGACCGGAAATCGACATAATACACATGGAAGAACTGTCAGGAATTTCCAGGACACCACCAACTATAACTACAATAACATTGCGCCGAGCTTAAATAGAGCCCTGGAGTGATACCAAAGTTTTATTGTTTATTCCTAGAGAGAACAGAACCTTCCAAGGTTATGCCGAATTGCCCACCGAGTCGAGGAAGGGTGGGCTGGTGATCTACAGAATACCCGTGCAGCATTGGATCCATCGACTCCTTAATCAATTTGCGACTCTAATTCACCTAAAAATAAGTACTCCACGGAAACTAACTTTTTGGATGAACGGTTCGGTGCTCGGAATGATCGGGGGGGCTCTTGGACGAACTCCATTTGGGGAGTGGATCCCATTGTCGGTCCATGTTCCAGATAGAGCTAGATGCCTCCTTTTTGAGTCGATCCTTACCAGCAAGCTTTCCCCCAAAGCTCCCCGTTTATCTACGAAAAACAGTTATCTGCACTAGTCAGTGGGTCCCGGGGTTTTGGCGAGGACAGGGAAACACGGTGCATCGCGTGGTTCGACCCTAAGAGGCTTGCCTACTACGACAAGGTGAATTTGATCTGCTTGTCTCCAGATGGGACTACTCTGGAGTCTACAGCAGGCAGACTATCAACATTCAGAATGTGCAAGAACGCCAACTTGCTTCGTGATAAACAGCTGTGCTGGGAAACAATACCTTGCGTGATAGTGAGGGAATAGGCTCAATTGTGAGGCCTAGGAGGTCCGCATATCGAAAACAAACCTTACCACGGTACCTCGAAACAGAATGGATGCCACGGGACAGGGGCATTCGTTTCACCAACCATCACTAGCCTCACAATTCGATGGGTTGCTCAATGCTGAGCCAGGTGAGAAGCTCACTCACCAAAATAGATACCGTTCTCGAGTCAGTCATGTCTGTCGACAGAAGTATAAAGATGCACGCCTGTCGCCGCCATCAGTTCTAATCATCAACCCATCGTCCTTCGCTTCAGTTGACTGGCTCAACTCGTCAATCTTTTCCTTCTCTTTTTCTTCTGATACCTCACAGAGTTGAACTCTCAGCGCTCTTTTTTACCTCCCTCTTTACAAAATTTATTTTCAGTCATTCAACAACAAAAATGAAGACTGCCACAATCCTCTTGCTCGCGAGCGCAGCTCTCGCAGCCCCCGCTGCCAACAAAACCCTGGAGGCTCGCAAGCCCTGCCTTCTCCTCGACGGCCTTCTGAACGGCGGAGGTAGCGGCAGTGCCGATTCTTCAGCCAGCGGTGGTCTCAGCTCCATTTTCGGCGGCTCCGCTGGTGCATCCGGTTCGGGCTCAGGCTCAGGCTCGGCAGACCTTGGTGCTGACCTCGGCCTTGGTGGCTCTGGCAGTGCATCTGGTGATGCTTCTGGTACAGGATCTGCTGGTGCTAGTGCCTCTGGCAGCTCTGGCCTCGGTGCTGGTCTCGGCCTTGGCCTTGGCGGCTCTGGCTCTGGTGGCCTTTTCGGATCTGGCGGTCTCTTCGGCAGCGGATCTGGCAGCGGATCTGGTGGTGCCTCTGGCTCTCTGAGCGGTGGTGCTTCCGGTACTGGATCTGCTGGCGCCTCTGGCTCTGGTAGTGCCTCTGGCGGCGCTTCTGGCTCTCTTGAAGGTGGTGCCTCTGGATCTGGTGGTGCTTCTGGATCTGGCGACGTTTCTGGCGGTGCCTCTGGTTCTCTTAGCGGCGGTGCCTCTGGTACTGGATCTGCTGGCGCCTCTGGCTCTGGCGGTGCCTCTGGCGGTGCCTCTGGTTCTCTTAGCGGTGGTGCTTCTGGCACTGGATCTGCTGGCGCCTCTGGCTCTGGCGGCGTTTCTGGCGGTGCCTCCGGCTCTCTCGGAGGAGGTGCTTCCGGCTCTGGCGGTGCCTCTGGTTCTCTTAGCGGTGGTGCCTCTGGTACTGGATCTGCTGGTGCGTCCGGATCTGGTGGTGCTTCTGGCGGTGCTTCCGGCTCTCTCAGTGGCGGTGCTTCTGGAACTGGATCTGCTGGTGCCTCTGGATCTGGCGCTAGTGCTATTGGTTCTGGTGGCTCAGGTGGTGCCTCTGGCGGTGCCTCCGGCTCTCTCAGCGGTGGTGCCTCTGGTACTGGATCTCTCGGCGCTGGCGCTTCTGGCTCTCTTGGAGGCGGTGCCTCTGGTGGTGCCTCTGGTTCTCTCAGCGGTGGTGCTTCTGGAACTGGATCTGCCGGTGCCTCTGAATCTGGCGCGAGTGCTATCGGTGCTGGCGGCTCTGCTGGCGCTTCTGGCGGTGCCTCTGGTACTGGATCAACTGGGGCGAGTTCTTCTGGCGCACCCTCCACCTCTGGATCTGGCTCTGGCTCCTCGGGCGCTGAGGGTTCCGACTCGGGCTCTGCTGGCGCTGGGGCTTCTGGCAGCGGCTCCACTGGTGCTGGCGGTTCCGGATCTGCTTCGGGCGGCGCTGGTGCTTCTGGAAGCGTAGAGGGCTCGGGCTCGGGCTCTGGCTCTGGTACTTCTCCCTCTTTCAGCACTAGCACCAGCGTCACTTGGGCGATCCCTGGCCCTACTGGCACCTCGGGTGAGGGTTCTGGTTCTCTGTCAATTGGTGGTTCCCTTGGAGCTCAGGCTACCGCTGCTGCCAACGCGCAGGCCACCGCCAATGCTAGCGCCAACGCTTCTGCCAACGCTTCTGCCAACGCTGATGCTTCTGCTGATGCTTCTGCCAATGCTTCTGCCAATGCTGTCGCCAACGCGTCTGCTTAAATACACTTGGACTTGAAGTCTTGAAGCAACAATACCACTCAATTCCTGTTTCTCCACCCCCTCGCTTAATTTGACTACCGGTTGCACGGCGGATGATATTTGGGGTTGATGTTGGCCTTCTGAATGTGAATTAATATCAGATCTTCTGGTGCGGTTTTATGCACATATACGCTCCTTTTATGTTCTATGAGTTTTGTGATTATCAGAAAGTCTTTCAATCTTGTATGTTAGAGACTTAATAAATCAATTTTGGGTTAATCCATCAATCTTTATTTTCATCGCACTGGCACCAGTGATACTAGTAGTATACTAGTACCACAGGTGTCCAGGTGACTCGCCGATATGAGCAACAATATTATATTCCATGAAAATGACACGTTTATCATTGTGTCTATAATAAACTGGGTGGTTATGTGTGTAGTTGAGTAGATCAACTACGTCATTTCCGGCCAATCACCGAACAAACAAAACAAGCAAACGTTGATCTTCTATTTCCATCCTGCAACTTGAACCTTTATACATCTCCCTTCAACCTTGGCTCGGCTATTATTCAAGTCGCGATAAAAGACATGGCATCTGTACGCCGCGTGGTTGTCTGCATCAGCTCCGCGACCATTCGGTTGCTTGCTTTCATCTTCCTGCGATGGGTATGCCTCCTGTGCTTCATGGTTCCATTTGACTTCTTCCGGTTCGTATGCTAAAAGAAGCTTTAGATCCCAGGATTTCCCTTTGGTCCCATTATCTTGACCTCATTCGGCATATACACGGGGACCTTTTCCTCACTTCTCAATGATAGGCCACCATCCAAGCCCAAGTCCAAGAAGGGTGGAAAGAAGCCAGGCAGTGAGTTAACGTGATATCGGCAGCAAACTTGCGCTTAAAATCAAGCTAAACCCATGTTCAGAAACATCAAAATATTCAATCCCGTCTCAACCGCGAGATTCCGCGCTCAAGACCCTGCTGACAGGCCTCCCTTCGCGGTCGTTCGCGTGGACCTTGACGACAATGCTAATAAATGCGGTGCTGGCATTGATGACTGTCGACTTTCTCATGCGAGGACTATATGCTTATCCCAGTGATGAAGCTGCCTTTTCCCGCATCGGATATGTATCTCCGACAACTGCGAACTTGCTCTTCCGCGAGCCTGACTTGTCTCGCCTGCCCGTGACCGTCTCCTACCAGGAGGCTGCTACAATTACTTCGGAGATATGGGTTCCAGAAGGCACTGTCTACAAACTCGACAACAGCACTGATTTTACAGCTATGGTCACTCTGAAAAATCTGAAGCCATCAACTAATTATCGGTACTCGCTTTCTAACAACAAAACGGGTACATTCATCACCTCTGCGCGACCAGGATCGCCAGCAGCAAGTCGGCTCTCCTTTGTGACGTCAAGCTGTCTGAAGCCCAATTTCCCCTACAATGTCTTCAATCACCCGCTGCGGGTCCCTGGAATCGAGCAAATGACAAAAGCCATCGGGAAATTGCCCATTCTTCTTCGCCCTGCGTTCATGCTCTTCCTGGGCGACTTCGTTTATATCGACGTACCCCTGCGGTTCGGCTCATCCGTCTCGCACTACCGCAGCGAATATCGGAGAATCTACTCATCACCATCATGGGCCACAACCTCAGAAGCCGGACCAGCCATCGATCTCCCTTGGATCCACACCCTTGACGACCACGAGATTGAAAATGACTGGTCCAAAGGCAACAAGACAGCACCCTATCCCGCCGCAGCCGATCCATTCATGCACTACCATGTCAGCGCAAATCCGCCAGTCCCAGCATCCCCATTCGCACACCCTGACAATGTAACCTACTTCTCCTTTGTCAATGGCCCAGCCTCGTTCTTCATGCTAGACACACGATCCTACCGCTCCGAACCCGCACAGGAAGATTCCACGATCCTAGGCTCCGCACAGCTCCAGTCTCTACTAATCTACCTCTCGACGCCCGAACCTGCAGGCGTGTACTGGAAAATCATCGCATCAAGCGTCCCCTTCACGAAAAACTGGCGCGTCGGCACAACAGACACATGGGGCGGCTTTCTGAACGAGCGCCGCGCCGTCTTCGAAGCAATGTGGCGCGCTGAGCGCAACCTCGGTATCCGCATAATCCTGCTCAGTGGTGACAGGCACGAATTCGGTGCAACGCGTTTCCCGGACCCGGCGCTTGAACTCTCGGCTGGGGGACTTGAGCCTAATACGGCTGGTTTCGGACTGCACGAGTTTAGCGTTGGTCCGTTGAGTATGTTTTACCTTCCTATTCGGTCGTATTGGCAGACGGATGATGAGGATGTTGCTGTGAAATATGCTCCGGATGGAAATAGCAAGTTTGGTATTATTGATATCGGTGATGATGTTGTTGATGCTGATCCGGCTGCGTCCTCGCCTGTGCCGGTTCGTAGCTCGGTGTTGACGTACTCGCTTTATGTGGATGGGGAGGTTGTTTGGCGGTATCGTCTTAGTGTTCCTATTGAGCGTGATGCTGGGGTGAAGGCTGCTCCGAATGATAGGGCTATCTCTCATCTTCCTCCTGGTGAGGTGGTTGAGGATAAATTGGGGAGAGAGAGTTGGGATGTTGCTGTTAAGATAATGGTTGGAAGAGTCGAGGAGCTTGCTCACTTTTTGATTGAGAAGGGGACTGCTTTATATGAAGAGGTATCGGGCCGTGTGGAAAAGACCGTGAGAGTGGACTGAGTGAGATATGATTATTCCGATTTGGCGTGTTCAAAATGTTGAAACTACTAGTTTATGTTATTTGGGGGCACAGCGTTTGCTCTTTGGAGGTGTTGAGTTATTGGTATGTAACTATAACTAGATAAAACGTTGGGTGTTATAATTGCATTGCGACATGAAATCTTGTGAATCATATTGCAAATCGAATAATGTACGAGTAGCAGACGCCAAACACCGGCCCAGATGCAAAATTGACAAGCCACGAGAAGTGTGTATAGAGTAAAGGCACGGGGAACAGTAACGAGAAGCACTACCGTCCACCCCGGCCTCGTCCACCACCTCCGCCGCCGCCACCCATTGCACCCATCAACCCGCTCAAACCACCCATTCCACCTAATTGGCTCATCATACTTGAGATATCAGGCATACCGCCGCCACCACCGCCGCCCATCATTTCCATCATCTTAGCCATGTCCATGCCAGCAGGCATACCGGGCATTCCACCTGCACCACCGCCGCCCATAGCAGCCATGCGCTTTTGCATAGCGGCCATTTGTTGCTGGTTGTTACCGCCCTTCATCATGTTCTGCGCGCGTTGCATCTGCTTCTTTTGACCACCGACCTTCTTGGCCATACCAGCCATCATGCGGTGCTGAGAAAGGAGATCCTCAACTTCGCGGACGGTGGTTCCACTACCGTGGGCAATACGGACCATACGGCTGGGCTTATCGGTGAACATCTTGCCGTCACTGTCCAACTCCGCAGTAGTCATACTATCAAAGATATAAATCATGCGGCGCAGCTTTAGAGAACCATCCTCGTCGTCAAGACCCTGTGTCAGATTTGACAAACCCGGAATCATACCAGACAGCTTGGACAGGGGGCCCATCTTCATGATGGATGTGATGTTTTCACGGAAATCCCGAACGGTGTAGATACCCTCGGCGATATGCTTATAGGTCTCCTTGGCACCGGCAGAATCCTTGGTAATGGCTTGGACGTGCTCGACCAGACCGGCAACATCGCCCATGCCCAACAGCTTCTGGACGAATGCGCGAGGCTCGAAGCGTTCCAAGTCCATCATGTGTTCACCAGTTCCCAGGAAGATAATAGGAGTGTGAGTCGCAGCAACGGCGGAGATGGCACCACCACCTGCAGCGTGACCATCCGTCTTTGTAATGATGATGGCACCGAAATCCGCAGTAGCCTTGAAAGCAGACGACTGGCCCTCGGCAGCCTGACCAATCGTACTGTCGAGAACCAAGATAGTCTGATCGGGTGTGACAGCATCCTGAATTTGAGTCATTTCCGTGAAGAGCTCCTCTTCTTGACGGTGACGACCACTAGTATCGACAATGATGATATCGAATCGCTCCTTCTTGAACTTGGCAACACCCTCGGCGGCCACGACAGCGGGATCGGTCTGGGTCAAGCTACCATAGTAAGGGATCTTGGCCTTGGTGGCGTTTTGCTTCAGCTGGTCGAAAGCACCGGCACGGAAGGTATCCGCGCAGACCAACGCTGTCTTGAAGCCACGGGTTTGGTAGTGACGAGCAAGCTTGGTACAAGTGGTCGTCTTACCAGCACCCTGCAAACCAACGAACATGATGACATTGGAACGGCCCTTCTTAGGTCGGAAGGAGTCCGCGTGAGGATCAACGAGGGCAACGAGTTCATCGAAAACGGTCTTCTGGATGAGGCGCTTCTTGTTGGTGGCGGCCGGGATCTGGGAGAAGTTCACGCTGGACTTGATCGATTTGCGGAGAGTTTGGACTAGTTTCACGTTGACATCGGCAGACAGGAGAGCCGCGCAGATCTCCTTGAGCATATCATCGAAGGCCTGGGGTGGTGGTTAGTTAGCTCAGGATTCCGCCACACAATGGTCGTGTGCATATCGCATACCTTCTCATCGAGGTTATTGGATCTCGTCAAATCATTGACGGCGGAGTTAATGCGCCGCCCTAGATCCTGGAGGACCATGGTGAAAGTGAATGAATATCAAACTGGAAGCTGGAAGATGGGAGATGTGTTCACAGCCAAAGTGCAGATGGGTGTGGAGGGGGGGAAAGGGCCCAAAGTGCGGAGTGCCAATCGGAGAGCGGGTGGCTCTTACCGCCTAAAAAAAAAGTTGGTTCACTCGTTGATGCGCCGCGGGCCTTTTACATTTTACACTCTACTTTCCAACAGCATTTAATTGCCATTGGATTTTTCACAATGGTCGGCTCTTACTCCAAGAAGCGCAAGGTCAACGAGGGCATGCGAGGCAAGACCTCTCGCCCCAAGAAGTTCCGCAAGCAGTCCGCCTACCACAGTAGCTCGGAAGACGAGCAAGATGATGGAGATTTCAAGGCCGTGAACCTCGCCGATTCAGACGAAGAGGAGGATGGCGGAGTGTCCGTCACCAAAAAGGCCGCTGCCAAGCCCGCCCCAAAGAAGACGAAGATTGAGGCCAAATCCAAGCCGCAAAAGAAATCGAAACCCGCCGAAGACGATGAAGCCTCGAGCGCCAATGAGGACGAGGGTGAAGACCAGACCGAAAACGACAATGAAGAAAACGATGCCTCTGGCTCCGACGAAGATGGAAATATTTCCGACTCATCAGTGGAGGAGGGAGGAAACAAACGACGTGCTGTCTCCAAACGAAACGACCCAACCGCCTTCTCAACCTCCATCTCTAAAATTCTTTCTACGAAACTCCCCTCCTCTGCTCGCGCCGATCCTGTCCTTTCCCGCAGCAGAATCGCCCAGCAGGCCACAGATGAATTTGTCAATGAGAAACTCGACAAGCAAGCGCGGGCTAAGATGCGCGCCGAGAAGAAGGAGGAGATGGACCGCGGCCGTATCCGCGATGTCATGGGAATCACACGAGGAGTTGCCGGAGCTGTCGCAGAAGATGAGAAGCGATTGCGCAAGATGGCACAGCGTGGTGTGGTCAAGCTGTTCAACGCTGTCCGGGCGGCCCAAGTTCGGGGTGAGGAAGCCGCCAGGGATGAGCGCAAGAAGGGAACGATTGGTATTGGAGAACGTGAGAAGGCCGTCAACGAGGTCAGCAAGCAAGGATTCCTTGATCTGATCAACGGCAAGGGCAAGCCTCTCAACATCGAGGAGGCTTAGGCCTAAGTTCCAAAAAGCTCTATGATTATCCATGGCATGTTTGTGGCGTTGGGAGATTCTGTATCCTTGCTTTCTTCACATTGTACATCGATAGTATTCCACGTTGTGATTCCACTTTGTTTTTTCATATCATGTTTCAAGTTTATTTATTTTTTGGACACTTCGTTTTATAAATAGTACAGGAGATTTTTCAATTCGGTATCCTCAAGTCTGCTGGACGTGTCCAATGCAAAAAAAATAATACAAGGTCCGTTAGGACTAATACATCGCCTTCCTGTCCCATGAAGGTCTACTTCACGGATGCTGATCCCGCCCTCATAAATTATGTTTGAATTCCATTCCGCCTCACTTCTGCTCAAAGTCGCTTGCCTGGAGGTTTCGCGTCATTGTCGGCAAACGGACGATCAGTCCATCCAGGTCTTTGGTCATGATGACCTGGCAACCCAGTCGCGAGGTCTCAGTCAGACCGAAAGCCAGATCTAACATATCATTTTCATCATCTGAGGGTTCCTCCATCTTGTCGAACATATCGGGTTCGTCGATGATGATATGGCAGGTCGAGCAGGCACATGAGCCACCGCAAGCACCTAGTTAGAAAGAAAGTATTAGCCACGGCAACATCACATAGCATCAAGTCCGAGTCCGAGTCCGATATCAGATAGCGCACATACCTTCCATCTCCAGATCATTCGCCTGGGCGACATCTAGGAGGTTGTCCCCCTCAGCAACCTGAAGCTTGACCTCGGTACCATCCTTGTCGATGAAGGTAACATTAATCCTGGAATTTCGCTTTCATTAGACGTAATGTCCGAGGCATTGCCAATAATTCGGGGAGGCCTTCAACTCACTCCTCGCCAGGCTTCGGTGGTGTAATATGGCCGTGAGCTGCTTGCGCGGACGCGGAAAAGCATCGCTGGGCTGTCTTCCACCCTTGTGAGGGAGAGCGCATGCTCTTTTGTGTACCCAGACCCCACCGGTGTGTGTTTGTGACTTCTCCGGTTCTCCACGGCGTTGCGGAATGACTGACGTATCTCCGCGATTGAATCAGGCACATATCACCAGCGGTGGCCTTTGGCAAGGCGCGCCGTAATTGGAGACCAGCCTCTCGCCAAAGAGTCATTTTGTAAAGAGGGGAAAGTGAGAGTGAGAAGTGAAAGTAAATAAGAACGGAGAACGAATGGAAGGTCGGGAAAAAGATCTGGGGCGGAGAGGAAGGAAAGAGAGTGTCTGCGAGTGATCGTCCAATGACAATCGGCGAAAAAAAAAGACTGACAAAGCCACCTCGGAACTCCCTGCCTTTCTCCGAGCTCTACTCTTTTCTTTCGATATCTCCATACCTTCTACAATACCCCTCCATCTCACCATGGCCTCCCGTGAAGGGATCAATCCCTTACGACCATACTATATTCCTCAGTCGGGTCTTTCACCATCCAGTGCGCCTACCGAAATCAGCTCTCCCTCGTCGGCCCAGGTATTCGGAAGCACCGCGCGCGACCTCATCCCCGACCTCGACTATGCCGACTATTTGGACGCCTCGCCCTCCGTGTCTGACTGGGTTCGCGATGCCTTGCAATCGTCTCTAAGACGTTATACCCATGTGCTGGTCGCGCAGCCATTTGATGTCGCTAAAACCATCTTGCAAGTCTATGTCGTGCCAGACGTCATTGAGGAGGTCGTGAACCGGAGCTCGGAGGCCGGGGGACCTGGAAGCAGCTCGTACGATTCGGTAGGACTATTCTTCATTCTAGATTCAGGCACACGGATCTCTTCATGCGGACACTGATAGCTTCATATACAGGGCTCAGAATCATCCGATGATGAAAGCGTCTTTTTCACTTCTGCCGCGCCATCAACTCCGACACCAACCACGCCACGCTCTCGCAGGGGTCGGCATCACATCACCGATCGGAGTGGCTATATTCGCGCAGATGCCGCACCACCCACTCCGTCCAAGCATGCCCTGACCATTCGGAATCCAGAGTCATTGATGGACGTTCTGTCCCAGCTTTGGACGAACAATGGACCGAGCTCGCCATGGAAGTCTTCTAATGCGACCTTCATCTACTCGCTACTTCTCCCGACATTGAATACTTTCATTCGCAGCCTTCTCTCTGCAATCGTGGGCCTACCAGAGGAAGACATCTCCTCATCTATGGTGGCTGATATCCTGCACGCCTCCTCGCCGCTCGCCACGCTGCTCATATCATTCGTTTCCTCATCTCTCTCCGCCATGATCCTCTCCCCGATCGATACCGCCCGTACTTTCTTAATGCTCACCCCGGCGACTCACGGCCCTCGATCCCTCATCCGCGCCATCCGACAACTCCCCACCCCTAATTGCACCATCCCGCCACACCTCGTTCCAATCACAATTCTCCACTCCAGCCTGCCCACCTTCATCACAACCTCGACCCCACTTATTCTCAAATCATACATGTCAATCGACCCAATCCTGAACCCATCTCTGTGGAACCTCATCAGTTTCATCAGCTCCGGTCTCGAACTCGCCGTGCGATTCCCCCTCGAGACCGTTCTCCGCCGCGCCCAGATCGCAACCTACACATCTCTCAGTCTGCGCCAGAAGTCTTCTGGCGGCAGTATCAGCGCCGCCTCCATCGATGCCTCGGACGTGGAAACCATTGTCCCTACCCCGCGCACATACCGCGGTATCATCGGCACAATGTGGCATATCGTGAACGAGGAGGGTGTCAGCCCCGATCTCTCAGATGCAGAGCGAGCTAATCTGCTCTTCGCCAAGCCCACCGAACAGGTTCGGGCGAAACGTCGCCAGGGCCAGGGCATCCAGGGTCTATATCGCGGCTGGCGTGTAGGCATGTGGGGTGTTGCTGGTATTTGGGGTGCCAACCTTCTCGGCGGAGTCGCTGGCGGCAGCGAGGAGGAAGTCACGCTCCGAGGTGGCCATGGACGGGACAGTGGCGGACGGTTCTAATCGCATTCACCCCATTAGAAAATGGGAATAATCATCGGAAGTTGGATGGTAAAAATTCCATCCTCACGTGCTGCTTTTCTTCTTGTTTCCCTCTCGGATGGACTTTGGTTTTGATTCCCTTGGATCCATACCACACCTTCACGCTACTCATGTTCTTATCTCGACTCTCCCCTCCCCCCTCTGCTCACATCGTATACCCCAGGGAATGGGTTCAGGGGTTTGACGATCGGCGTCGTTTTGCTTTTCGCGCCATGTATAAAACCATCACATAGCAATTGAAATAATCTCCTTCCCTTTCGAAATCGCACTTCCCCTTTACATTCAAGTTGTTTTATGGCATTATATTGAGATGCTATGTATTCCCTATAACTCAGCTTGGTGCTCAAGATCCTTTCGCCCGAACTATCCCGACACTTCTATTCCAAGGTTTTTCCAATTTGAATATTTGGAATATAACTACTGCTATAATAATGCAAAATCCAGATGTTACAAGTAGGCGTATTTGATAATAGCGTCAAAGGGATCATTCCATTCATAATAAAAAAACGCGGTGTACATAAAATGTAACATCAACGCCAAAATAGCCAATCCGTCTAGTGGAGAGTTGGACCGGACCGCAGGATAACTAACAGATAAAGTTGAAAAGGGTGTGCGTGTGTGCTCACAGAAACCAACCACGGACCATGTTCATATCGGTCGCGGGACTCCATGGCCCCAATATCACTGCCGATATTGCAGAGACCGTGCGCTATGGAGGGTGAAGTAAGAATGTGTGCTTTTCAGAGAGAGGGGGATGAGGGGGGGTAGAGAGACATTTTTTACCAGACTATTTCTCAACTCAGTAATAGATATGAGTAACATATTGTAGTCTGGTAAGATGGCGTGTCTCTATTTTCCCACAGGGCGGGCGAACGATGAGGCAAGTGTAGACCGTATGGTGGTACATGGATGGAGCAATCGGGGGAGTGGGTATCAAAATGCCCTCCCGAAGAAGGTTAAAAAACAAAACAAAAGCCCGATGCAGAAAAGAAAGAAGACAGGAGGATTGGGAGCATAAATCCGATCCTTTTTATTTTTCGGCAAACCGCCGGTCAAAGTAACGAAGAACGCCCATGACGCTAGCAGCTTCGACCTCCAACGCGGCCCGGCCGCCCCGGCTCTCCGCCAGCGCGAGCTCTTGCGGGTTTGGCAGCGTGTGCAGCTTGGGTAGCCAGGTGGAGATATCATCGCTGGCGCGGGAGAAGTTCGGGTGGCGGGATAGTGTCGTGAAGGCATCGGCGCAGCTCAGGGTGAGTGCATTGGGCGTAGCGGGCTTGGATGGGGGAGGTTGCGCAGGCATGGAGGGGTTGTTACGCGTGGTCGGGGTGGCGGGGGCATTGCGAGACATGCAGCAGCCTCCGCCGCTGGCTCCCTTGCCGCCGCAGCATCCTCCTCCCGATGGAGTTCCGCTCGCTGACCGGGAGGCTGCCAGCGTCTTGCAAAAAAGGGTGCTTCGAGGATCAGCTTGGCATTGGGCGCAGGTGCCTGGTCCGTTGGCACATGGGTTGGTGGCTTGGGTGATGGATGGAAGGACCACCTCGGAGCGGACATCACCTTCAGAAGGTGGTGGTGTGAACTGGGAGATGGACTGGATAGGTGCAAGGCGAGGGTTCTCGAAGGAGCTGCGGCGGCCGCGCTGCTGTTGCTGCTGCTGCTCCTGAGCAGCCATCTCGGCACAGATACATGGTGTACCATCTTGGCAAAATCCACAGGGGTCGACTGGAGGTGAAGCTGCTTCACTGTCATGATGGTGGTTGCTATGAGAGGAGGTGGAGGTGGGTTGAATAGGCACGGCTGCGAAGCGAGATGTGAAATCGATCTCCATCTCCTCCGGGTCAGGCTTGATCTCAGGCTCGGCGTTCTCACGCTCCGGGCTACCGACACCATGAGGAGGGTGTCGAGAGCGAGATGATTCATGTGTGTCAATCGGAGTGCCGAAGGCATCCTCGATGCACTGGCAGTGAGCGGAAGAGCAGTCGTTACAGCCGAGAGGCACATTCTGCTGATCGTCTTCCTTATTACGGTCGGCACTCGTAGAAACAACACCTTCCATGCGAGAGCTTCGTGTGGAGGGACGGGTGCGAGGTGGCAGTGGCACCGAGTCGGGGATGGCGGGGGATTTGTTGCTGTTCGATGTGGAGAACGAAGTCCGGAATTCCTTGACCAGAGCTTCCTTTGCGCTGCGTTCGATCGAAACTTCCTTCTCTAGGGAGTGGCATCGGTCGCGCCACCAACCCATCTCTTCACGGCATTGCTCGACTTCCTGGGATAGGTTGGTGATCTGCTCGCTGAGCCCCGCGACGCGGATGTCGTGGCCATCAGCGATCTCTTTAATCTCCTCCTCGAGCTCTTGGACTCGAGCAGCTCGTCGTTCCCGGAAGGCACGCTGAGCAGCACGGTTTTGAGCCTTGCGCTTGGTTGGAGGAGTGTCGGTGGCTGGCTTACGACCAGGTTTGGGGCGAGGGGGAATCACCCATTCCTTCGAGGTCACCGATCCGGGAGTACCAGGGCCCGGCGAGGGAGCAACAGAAGGTCTGGCTACCAGAGCTGGCGCAAGGGCCTGAGCAGTGGCCAAAGGCGTGAGAGCCACGCCAGGTGAGGCCATGCTGATTCACTTCAAGCAGTGGGAACTAAGAAGGCAGGTTAGCAGGCACATTTGGGAGGAGTAACAAGTTCGGGTTGGTTCGGGGGAAACGCACGAGCCGTCTTTCGGTCGGAAGAGCGGATGTGCGCTCATGCGAGCCGATAAGCGAGAGCGAGATTGGAATTGACGGGGAGAGCAGAGGGGGGGCAAGAGTTGCGAAACAATTAATCCCAGATAGAATAGAGAAAGATCAAATCGTTTAGGGAAATAAAAAAGAAAAAGTAAAGGGCGTCGGAGGGAATGTGGGAAAGCAGAAGAGAAAAGCCAGGGAGTGATGATCAGATTAGATTGTCCACAGCTCACATGACGCCGGTTTCGGATCTTCCTTTGCTTTCCTTTCTTTCTCGGCTGCTTTTGCCCCCCCCCCCCTCCTCCTCCACCTCCACCTCCAAAGAAAAGTTTTTTTATCTGATCCGGAGGTGGATGCCGGCAAGCTTGACCGATGAGTGGGCTGACGCTAGACTTTTCTTTTTTTCAAATGTACATACATTCAATTGATGTCCTTACAGAGAGATTCACATTCAACTAATAGTTCCGGAATACTCACCCCATAAAGGGTAGAGTTTCCCTTCGCTAACCGCGTCTACAATTTATACAGAGATGATCTCGCAGATTGACTAACCCAGAGCAAGATCTAAAAGGTTTACCCGATGCTAAAAGAACCAACAAGCGAAAATACCGCTTAAATTAAGACAGTCCAAATCCAGGTAACTAATCCTTGGACCGTGGATGGCCAAGTCCCTCACCACCCGGCCTATGCCCATCCATTACCTAGCAGATTCGGCCCTTGCACCAATCACCCCCCTGCATACGCCAAATGTCTTTCCCAGGCTCCAGTAGTCGGTGAAAGGTATGGATCGACGGGGTCTGGGAAACTCTGCGTTCCCACCGAGTTCCCAAAATCCTACGCCGTTCTCGGGGGAATCTTATCTGATGGCGCTAGCTGGCTTACCCAACTACAATCCCCCCTACTCTGTTAGGCAATCCGGACGACGGCGATCCACGCCTGCTGTACAAAATCGATGATGCTGCGAGCTCATTCTGATCTGTTGGAGACACGGACCACCTTTTGCCTGTGAAATCATGGTGGGCGATTGGCTGCTCATCGTTCCTCCTCTTGGCAGCCGCCCCTCTCCACACCCAGCAAATTCTTATCAATCAGCGGTTGCTCCTTTCTTTTTCCTTTCCCACTGCATCCCGCCCGACACCCGAAAGTCAGATCACTCGCTAGCTTACTCCGTATAATCCTCTGGACTCCCGTCTCCAACATCATTCACTCCGTTAAAATCTCTGCCCCACGGAAAATCTGCGCTCAATTCCATGGGAAGTCGTCTTGGCGAGGGCGGATCGTGGCATCCCAAGTGGGCTCACTTTCGTCATGCAAAATTGGCCGACTCCGTACGGAATTCTCTCGGTGGCAAGTCAGACTCCACCGGGCCGGTGATCCATTCCGTATTTTCTCTTTTTTCGACTGAGCTCGGCTGGTTTCTGTGTAGAGTTACTCGAGGCCTTGTCAACTCAACCAGCTAAAAAAGAGCTTTAGCGTTGGGTAATCACGTATGTGTAAAATGCACCATAGGAAAGGCATGTCAGATCCAAGCAAGAGCCAGGTCATATTCATTGGTGATGTACTTCGTAGATCCTAGTCAGTGTCAATGCATGGGTCCAAGACAAAAGAGCTTGTGCAGCGCTGGGACCAGCTGCACGCTCAAGTCCCGCTCATCAAACGGAGTGCAAGGAACACCGATGACTCACCTTGATGAACGGGTTGGTTTGCCTCTTTTGATCATTGCCATCCTTTAGGCTCAGCCGCCTGAGGCGACACCTGCTCCTTGTCAGAATTAGGTTGCCGGTCACCTGGATTTGAATAGGTGGACACCCTCCCAAATAATCAATTCGCGAAAATTAAGGACCATTTTCTATTAAAGTCCTCTTGGTTATTCCACGCAAATTGACTGATACGATGTAGCATCTCACATTTTCCAGCTGACATTGTGGGGGTAAGAGGTGGCTGCTTTTCGTGCTTCTTCATTGTACCCACTCTCGCACGGGCTGGCTTATGACGAGCTTTCTGCTTTAGCTCGTATGGTGATCCCGAATTCGGCCATTCTTTTTTCAACACCAATCACGAGGGGAAATAATTTGCACCAGTGGAGGATTTGTTAGCATTTGGTACATACTACTACATACCTGGGTATGGCTTGTGCTTCTGGTGGACCATCCTACTACTTGCATTGGTACTGTACATATCCATAGCTCTCCGGGGGCGCGGCCAGCTCCGCTATCTAACCTTGAAATACGAATATATTTCGTATAATAAACTCTAGGAAGCTTCAAAATCCTAGGTCGTTTGGACTAAAGCTCTTAATAATCTTGGAAGCTATAAAGTTTTGACTTGAGGGTCTAGGTATCCAAAGCCCGGAGCAACAAGTACTACCGAGCCTTCCAGGGTGGTGCAACACCCTCAAGCTTCGTATGATGGCCTATAAACTCTGCCTTGGAAGTTATTGTGGAATAGATGATTCGCTCTCATTAATATTATGAAATATCATGATGCCTCTTAGAACAGTTAATACTACTTTATGCGACACTAGTAGTTATATCGAGTATGAAGTTTCGTCCACAATTGGCATTGGGTCTCTCAATAAGCTAAAATATTTGAAAGACTAGCACTATATCATATTTCAGGCACTTTAGTAGTAGAGGATACTGCTACTAGCACCGGTATGCCAATCCAATACATTCTGCCTATGAATCCCCCCGCTGGCATAAGAAGCAACCTTGGAATCTTAAAGGCACATAACAATGCACCCTCACCCGCAGCTCCTGTCTTCCACTTCATCCTATGCCCCTAAGCCCGACTGGAGCTTTATTTGGACGGACCACCACCAAATCCGCTACCGCCACTGCCGCCGGGAGAACTGCTAGAGCCACCGTCGCCGCCAATCGTATCAGAGCCACCAGATTCAGCAACACCTCCATTGGCAGTGTACACAAAGCTATATGTCGGGTCATAGGTGGCTGAGGTGTCGACAGCAATGGTAATATAGGCCAAGAGACCATCACTGATATCATCGCCGAGCTTAACATAGTTAAACACGGGGTCAGAAGTCGAGTTCTCCGTCTCAGTTGCGAACACTCGATCAGCGGCATTGGTCGTGATAGAAATCGTGTTAGTGTTGTATGGAGACGTTGCCTCAACCTCAGATATAAGATCTTGATCCCAGAAGAGCTGTCCAATGTGCGCAACAGTGCCGCCAGTGATTGTGCCGTTAGACAAAACAGTAACATCAAGATGAGCAATGACGTGGTGGTGTGTAGCTCGGCCACTGTAATGACCCGGGAAAATCGTCTTGAATGTCACCACCCCATCACTATCGGATGGTTGAATACCTCGCAGGAATGTAGCGTCGATGTTCGACTCATCATTCGAGTTCCCGTTGCCATTAGACACAACGCCCGAGTAGACGCCGGTAGAATTGCAGTTCCAGATATCGAAGTACAAGTCCTCGATAGGGTCACAGGTCGTCACGTCGACAAATTGGACGTCCAAGATGACTGGCACCCCTTCCTCGCCATCAACAAGGTCAGAGCGGACCAACTCGCCGAGGACATAGAATGGACCGACTTCACCTTCCGGGTTCAGGACGCAGGTGGAAGTGGACGTAAACAGGTCAGCAGCATCAGTGCTGGCGGTGATGCTTGAGTCAGTCACCAAGTGGGAAGTAGCAAGGACAGAGGCCGTGTCCCGAGAGGCGAGATTGCGGCGGTGAAGGTCATATAGATCGCGACGACGATTTTCAGCACGAGCATTAAAGCCGCTATTCTCGAAGCGCTTGGCGCACTGATCAAGACCACGACGAGCATTTTCCTTGAACATGCGCTTGTGGTTGATGGTCGCTTCATCCTCTTCCTTTTCGTGTTCACCAGGATGGCCTAGGGCCGCGGGAGCGAAAGGCCGAGAAGGCACAGCTTCCAAAGAGCATTGAGCTGCATTTTGAATGGCAGAAAAGAGCAGAAATAGTCAAATTGAGAGAGGATGTTTTTTATTTGCAATTGGAATGTTGAAACTTGTTTGATAACCTTCTTTCGAGAGATTCTTCTTGCTTTTATACTTCAAATCTATCATAATAGCCATATACTTCGTATAGTACTTCGTATACTTCCCCACGGCGGCCCCTGGTATATTACGCCACATTCCGTCAAATAACGGGGATCCCGCCAAGGTGCTGACGACTGATCTTCTACCCCAGAGTCCGAGGCTGCCGCAGATGTGTAAAGCGTCATCTGGGATTGGTTTAAAAAGGTCCTGGCTGCCAGAGCACTCGCTGCCAAGCACATGCCAAGGGAATTAAGGCCTGGCCGCGCACTCCTGCATGTTGACCTTTCCTAATATGCTTCGGACATGAAGATACCTACGTTTATTTTGAAAATTTGATGCAAGCTCTTTGGTGGATTTTGAAAAACTTCATCACAATGAAGAATTTGGCTGATCAAAGCAATAATTCGAAAAGGACATTGATCGGCATTGTGAAGGGCCTCGGCTGTTTGAATGAAACAGGAGCATCGCACATGGGCATGCAGCTAGAGAAATGTGCACCAGTTCAACTTCAAGTTGAAATGTGGAAGATTTCAGGCATAGGTATTCTTTATAAAGTATTACTATACGGTATGGAAATATAACTTGAACCAAGATATTACCAATAGTAACAACGCTGAGAGCAGAGGTAGGAATGATGACCTCTGGGTATTGAGGTCTGAGATGCGGCCTCAAGCTTTGGCAAGCAATTTCATATACAGTCCGGGGTGTTGTGTGAGTAACTATTGGCTGCTGATATTAGTGCAAATATATTATTCAGCGGAGCTTTTTCGCCGAAGATACTTCGTAAATTCTGCAGCTCAACTCTGCCAAGAACATATATAGAGCACCGCGTACTCTTCACACGCCCAGACGGAGGAGCCGGTCCGGATGGAGTTAGAGAAAGCTTCTACAAACAAGATTTTTGGAATTGCTGAAGAGGTCTTGGACACATGATGCGGAGTAGAGTCCTGCGGGGATATGAAATTATCCACATTAATTGATGTGGCGTAAAGATGATAGATACTACTTTTAAACAAAGGGAAGTCGAATATTGTCCTGGCCCTTAATTTAAAATATGCAATAGCAGTTATTTGTACATGGTATGTGATGATAGCCCAGGATTGGTTTGGAGATTACTCCAGGTTTGAATGATCCATGATGCCAGCCAGGCGAATCACTCGGTCTTGATTCGGTTGAAGTAAAACTGCGAGTCAATTTCGACAACATGAGATTCAAGAAGGGATCAGCAGATGGCTTAGTGAACCGAAACTGTAGGAGTAAGTGTAAATTAGTACTAACTAATATCAATCGTCAAATGGTACCATTGGCCAACACGGTACGCTCCATGATACCCCGGAACTTTGGAACAGAATTTAAACCCCCTCCAAGGGCTTGGTGATATTGCTTTTTTTTATTGAGAATTGCACATCTTGCCTCTTTTTAGCTGTTTCCGGAACATCCGATGTTCAAGTTTTTGAGGTACCAGTGAGTTCCGAGTCCGAGTCTTTATGGTGCTGCATACCTAGGGATCTAGGTAGTTCTGTTTCACTGGGGCGGTATATACTCGATTTCTCTACCAGGGCATGGTTGTCACTAATTGAGAAGTGTCAATATTGAAGTCGATGAGATTCATTTGAAGTCTCATACTCCGTACAAAGAATTTCGATTGAAAGCGATGTGGGATCACAGCAAAAGCAAATCGAATAATTCGTTGGCAAATGGGCTGTCACGCGATAAGCTCCAGGTACGTCAGGCACGCAAGGGGGCCCAGCCTCCCCGATTCCTCGATCGGCTCCGCTCCTCCAACTTCCCCTCATGACTCCTCCTCCATCTCCACACATTCACCACCCAAATCAATTCTCCCAATTTCTATCACCATGACTCGTCGACACGGTTCTCCTCTAGATCGTCCCTGGGCGTCCAATATCTATGCTCAGCTTCCCGAGGATGCTGCAATCCCTCAAGCTAGAGCTTCCTCAGCTCCCTCGGCTCCCGTCCCGACCGATACGCCTGTCCGACCTGAGGACTATTCGAAGCCTTACTGCGAGTTCATGACCTCGAACCCGACCATCTTTCACGCTGTCAAGTCCTTCTCCAACCAGCTCGAGCAACACGGCTACAAATACCTTTCCGAGCGTGCGGTGTGGAATTCGGACCTCAAGCAGGGCGGCAAGTTCTACACCAGCCGCAATGGCAGCTCCCTGATTGCCTTCAACATTGGCACAGAGTATGAGAGTGGAAATGGAGTGGCTATCGTGGCAGGCCATGTGGACGCCCTGACGGCGAAGCTGAAGCCCGTATCCAAGCTCCCTACAAAGGCGGGCTTCCAGCAACTTGCCGTTGCTCCCTATGCTGGTGCCCTCAGCAATACATGGTGGGACCGTGATCTTGGTATCGGCGGCCGTGTGATCGTCCGCGATCCCGAGACCGGTAAGGTTGAAAGCAAGCTGGTTAAGCTCGACTGGCCCATCGCCCGCATCCCCACTCTTGCTCCTCACTTCGGAGCACCCGCGAACGGTCCCTTCAACCAGGAGACTCAGATGGTTCCGATCGTTGGCATCGACAACTCAGATCTGTTCGAGAAGTCGGCTACACCTGAGACTAGTGATATCCCAGCTGGAAGCTTCGCGGCCACCCAGCCCGAGAAGTTGGTCAAGATCATCTCCAAGGAGATCGGCGTGACCGACTACAGCTCTATCATTGAATGGGAATTGGAGCTCTTTGACACTCAGCCTGCCCAGCTTGGTGGATTGGAGAAGGACCTGATCTTCGCTGGTCGCATCGACGATAAGCTCTGCTGCTACGCCGCCCAAGAAGCTCTCATCGCTTCCAGTGACAGCACTTCGCCCGGTACAGTGAAGATGGTTGGCATGTTTGATGACGAGGAGATTGGTAGCTTGCTACGCCAAGGAGCTAAGTCAAATTTCATGAGCAGCGTCATTGAGAGAATCGCAGAGGCCTTTGCCAAGGACAAATACGGCCCCAACCTACTTTCACAAACCGTCGCCAACAGCTTCCTGGTTTCGTCGGATGTCATCCATGCCGTCAACCCCAACTTCCTGAACGTATATATGGAGAACCACTCTCCCCGTCTTAATGTCGGCGTGACCATCTCTGCCGATTCCAACGGCCACATGACCACAGACAGTGTTAGCTCTGGCATTCTGAAGAGTATCGCATCTCGCTGCGGCTCGACCCTGCAGGTCTTCCAAATCCGGAACGATTCGCGCAGTGGTGGCACCATTGGCCCCATGACCAGTGCCCAGATTGGGCTGCGCGCTATTGACTGCGGTATCCCGCAGCTCAGCATGCATAGTATTCGTGCGACGACCGGCAGCCTGGACCCTGGTCTCGGTGTTAAGTTGTTTAAGGGTTTCTTCGACTACTTTGAGGAAGTTGATAAGGATTTCGCCGATTTTTAGTCGGGGAAAAATTTTTTAAGATGATTTTAGGTATAGATCTAGATACACATGATTGCTAGAAGTATAAGAACTTTTTTTCGGCTTATTGAGTTATTTTCGAAATGCTTTCTTTCCATCAACCCTAGCTGTATATTCGTTTTAATATGTGTTCTAGAAATAGGTGAACTAAAATAGTACTAATAGATGAGAATGGGTCTAATGTGAAAGAGAGTATTGCTCAAAAGCATGCATCGTCATCACCAGGCCGAAACGAGCGAACAAATTGGTGAAATCTGCCCCAAAGTCCGAATCATTTTGGAAAAATCGGACTATGAGACACCGTTAAGAGGATTAGAATGGTTGAGAGTTGAGACTTGTCGTAACATGACCGAATTATTTCGAAGGAACCGAATCGTTCGGTGGGGTATGTTGGTGGCGGAGCTCCGAAAGCTCATTGATGACAGATGGATCGATCACTTGCAGCTTGTCATCCTTGGCCCCTACAGCTTCTCCGTACTTCAATCCCCCCACTAGGACCGAAAGATAGAACACGCTCTGGATCACCAGATCCGTACTCGGGATCTTCGCCGGGTGCCCCAATAGTCGACTCATCGTTCCAGGTGCCGCGTCGAGTTGTGGATTGACCTGTGCCGTAGCGGTTTCCACTGAGGGTTGAGATCAAGCCGGGAATTATTTTGGAAATGAGTGGTTTTAAGGTTGGGAGGCAGGCGCAAATGATGCCGACATTACACTCGATCGCGGACCAAGATGCGGCGCCCACGTTGTCATCTGGTGAGATGGTTAGTTCAAGTTGGCTCTTGGGATTCGGTTGGAGAAGTGGGATTGTTGCATACAAGTAGGATCCAGAGAATCTGATATCTTCTTGAGACTAACGAGACGGACAATGCTGGTAATGCACACACTAGACAGTATCTGTTAGTGATTCACTCGATCTTTCTTCAGCATGTCTGAAAAATACTCACAATCCACCCAGTGCAAACATCAGCATCAATGCAATCTTTTGCCTCCTGGGAATATCAATTGATGCCAAAGCAGGTATCGGGATAATTAAAATTGCTATGTCGGTAGTAATGTGCATGGCAGCATTAGAGAACCACAACGCAGGCTTGTTTAAGCAGTACCCTTCGATAGTGGGATCCCAGAACTTCGCAACGGGAATGCAATTCAAAAATGCGCTGAGCACAGCCCAAGTACCATACAGAGCCAAGATTGTAATCATGATCCAGCAAATAAGGCGCATGCGTTGTGTGGGGAACACTCGGAAGTATTGCATTAGGATCGAGGCTTTCGCGCATAGAACGGCGGCGTTATAGAAGGGAATGGTGAGCCAGAATGCCTGATGGAGAGCAATTAGAATTGAATCCCAAGGTTTAAAAAGTTAGTGGAATGTCTCCCACCTTCATCTGTCGCACAAGGATATGGGGAGGGATGTCCTTGAGATGCATTCCCATCCCGCTGGTAGCCTCGACAATATCGAGTCCCATGAAGACGAACGAGTTGACCTTCAGAAAGCCTTTAGCAGATGTTTCACTTTTCGAAATTTGAAACAATCATACCAATGCGATTATTACCATCCAGTCATTGGCTTCTAAGGTTCGCAAGAACTTAAGCCGGGTATAAATTCGGATCCCCACAAAAGCCGTTGCTAGCGATGTGAATACAACGCTTACCACCAAGCCTTGAGTTCCACGTGAAGACAGGTAGGTGTCCCCACCGACAATGGCCCGCTTGATGATGCCATCGTAAAGGCCGAAGGTCTCCATCGTCGATGAAAACCAAAAATCGATACCTTAATTTGGATATTTGAACCAATATCAAATCAGTATACAGGTGTGGAAACGTCTGTGTAATCTCAATGAAGGCTGAGAAGCCAGTTTCAAAACGAGAATAGGTTGGCGAAAGCAAGGTATCAAACGAGCGTAAAGAGGGCACAATGCAGATTCCGGGGAAATGAGGGAAAGGAGGGGAGTCCTGAGGATCGTTCCTTTCATATAACGCACGCTACTCAACCCCGTCTTCTAATGTGACAAGAACAGTGGGTCCAGGCCAATAAACAATACAACCAAATACAAACGCAGAGTGACGGTTGGGGTTTAAATCTGCTAGTCTCGTCTCCCTGGGTGAAAAAGGGTTGCAGAATCTCCCTGCATAATGTATCGATCTCTGCTCCGTATATGGGGCGGATGTCCAGATGCAAGAAGGGGACTTGGATCGAAGGAGGGCAAGGTGCATCATCTGCGCAAGGGGCTGCATATACAACGAATTAGAGTCTTAATTTGCCCCAGCTGGAGTTAATACCTACGAGAATCCTACGAAAGAAATTTCTGTTCCCTTGAGACCCCTTTTCTTTCTCGTGGTCTGGAATGCGGCGTGTCTTGGTTGTTTCTATTGCAACCATTGCTCTGTCGGCTCCAAAATGATCGGATTTCCATATCGAAACCCTTTGGAACGTGGAAGAATCTACCGCCAAACACAGGCAATATTTGATCTATATCCGCACTGGCAGACGGTCGATTGAATGAAAGCTAAAAAAAAAAAAACAATGCTCGCCCCCTTTACGTTGTCTCCGAAAACAGAATGAGCTGAGACTTTAGACCACCCTCATGTTCAATCCTGCCCGCATGTATAATCGGTCCGATGTATCGATTAGATCTTATTGCGGCTCCCGGACGGAGATCTGCGGATGCGAAACTTAAGCGGAGCTCGGAGGCACGGACAAAACTTGTACTCCGATGTTTCTTGAAAGGGTTAATGTGCGAAGATCATCCCCTTGGGCGAGATTTCTTAATAGCCATCTTCAAATTGACGAGTGACATTGAGCCAATCTTGCTTTTGGACCAGAGTACCTGTACTCTGTAACACCAAGGAATCATTTACACATGATGTCTTCTCGCCGATCATCAAGATAGAACATGGCTTCTTCAATTTGCTTTGTCCAGGTGCACTGGGTAAAAGGGTTTATAGCTCTTACATCATCGAAGTCGACAAATCTGGGCATCTCAATTGGCTGCTCTAATTGTGTGATGACGTTGAACAACGTACCTAGCATCTGTCCGCCAATATAGCCTTATTACAAGCCCGTTCTTATGTATTCGGACAAGGTGGTCAAACTGCATTAACCTTCGGAAAGCGGAGAAGAATAGCGGACGTCGAATGGGCGCTGGGCCCGAGATGCAAGCAGCTATCCGATCTATCACAAAAAGTGCAGATCATCAGGGATCGGCACGCTTTCAGCTTGCTTCCTCGTTCTGCATACCTCTTAGTGCTAATTACTAGAGAGATCATCAAGTGGGGAAGTTTTTATGATTGAACTAACCTGTTTCAAATCCCGACAATATGAATTGGAGCTTGAGGTGTTAGGGTTCACGATAAGTGTATTTGTATCCCTTAGATCAATTATAGGATAGTTTTCGTCATGAAAGTTAGGGCGCACGTTAAGCTCAGGGGCATTGAACCTTCAGAGCAAGGGGTGACCCAATTTCCGCGTCTCCGTTCAATAATAGAAATTCTCCGTACCATTAAGCTTCTACTCAAGTCGGGCTTCGGAGGCAGCCGATTGGATTCAACGGTGATTTGAAGCGTAGGGATTTTCATTCTGACTATTCGACGATAGCTCAGTTGTTTAATTGAAGCAACTATTGAAAGGGGAGCTCACGGGTTATTTTGAAGCGCAGCCTCGGGGCGGATTGCCCGAACAGCCCTAGAATAAGGCGCATTGGTCAGGATTAAGGGCAATTCAAGCTTAGTTTACCTACGCTGTGGTCGAATGCTAAATTGGGCAGCCCTGGAGGTGGGCGAAAAAGGATATAATCAATTTGTACTATAATTCAAGCCATGGATACAACTGCTACTAACTACAAACCTCAGAACTCGAAGGATTATTCCACTAATGCCAGAAAACTTGCAAGAACTTGAATCCGCAGTGAATCGAATATGACGTTCATACCCAGCTTTGCCACTTCAATTGTGTTCTTTTAATAGTATGAATCATGCGGCGCCCAAAATCCACTTGAGCAAGTCGATCTCGGTTGGTGTGGAAGGAAACTAGTCTATCATCTTCTCTTCAAGTTTAGTAGGTCGAATCAATGGCTTACTACCTGTGTTCATTGAGAGCAGGGCTTGGGATCAAGGTATAGTAGGGTCCGTACATACTACATATCCTTCATGTCATGATGCAAGATGTAGTTCCAAATTTGGAACACTCGTGTGTGACAATATGTCGTACGAGATCAAGCTAAAAAGCAGAATGCCATGTATTCAGAACGGCCGAACTCTTTCGGGTGATTACATGCCAGTGGGGCTGCCACTGGCGGGTGTGGGACATGCCTCGGCAATGCAGCCCGAAGTGTTTGCTATGATAAAATTATAATAATGACTAGACCCGAGTCTTCCAAGGCGACCTTAGATGGCGGATTTTCAGTCCAAGTGCACTATGTCTGTTTCTATTTGTGTTTGCAACAATAATTTCGAGTGAGGGCTGAGTTTAATTCTTCGTCAACACAACCGCCAAGACACACCTGGGCATAGATAGACTCGACTTGCAAGATAAGTAAGTAACAGATCGGCTTCATTCCAAAACACAGCTAGGAAGACAACCCGCGCCCGGGCGTTGTATTTCAGTTCCAACCGGCCTTGTTCGACTTTTCCCACGCGCTTCTTGCAAACCTTTTCCGAGTCAAGCACATGTTGATAAGCGCAAACTACCGATTACGGCTGCATTTTTGGGTCCCCGTCGCAACGGGAGCTACTAAGTGGACACCCTCTTTGGCTGCGTGAACACACCCTATCCTGCCTATTTCGAAAAGGTGCTGTATGTGTATTACCACGGGCTACAGTAGGTGACCAGGATTCTACTTTCTCACCGACAGGTAGGTAACTGAGTATGCACCAGTACTATCTCAGTACCAGAGTAGGTAGGCGTCCGATAGCCCTACTAGCAGAAGCCACAGTACCAGCTATTGCTACAACTATATACCTTCTGGCCACAAATTGTGTATGAATTACTTCAATATTTTGATTAGGACTGACCCCCGTGGTAATACACACACAGCACCTTTCCTAGATAGACAGGATAGGGTGTCCACTGAGTAGTGCCTGTCGCAACGAAGTGATTCAAATCCGTCTGCAAGGGAATGCAAGGTTAGCTTTCTAGATAATATATTCAGTGTGTGGCTAATGTGATGAATCATCAGTGAACTTGGAAGTCCCATGTCACTCGGCTTGCAAAGAAACTTGAATCGACTCGCCGCCGCGAAAAAAAAACTTGGAAGGCTTATCCTTTTTGTATTGATGGCCACGGAGAAAGGATATCCATATTTAGTGAACAAAAATCTTCAAATGACAGAGCCGCACTATCTTCAAAGCATCCTCGATGGCTTGATCAAAATTGTGACAACTAAGGCTACGAAACGACAGCTTTCGGTAGGTGTCATTTAGTCGAAAGAGATAGTTCCGGGCAAGCCATTAGAAGATTATCAAACTTCACTTTTATCAGGTGAATGGTATTTGGGTGAAAATTCCTGGGCAGTGCTATAGTCTATCTCAAATCTCCCCGTGGACCTGTTGACGCAATATGTAATAGTCAGGTACCTAGGTATAATTTGTCCAATTCAATTAACAAAAACTTCAAGTTGGTGGGATATCAGCTTTTTGCTACTAGTAGTACCCACAATGAATAGATAGTAGCGGATAATGTTTTTGAAAGATAAAATACCATTCCATGTTAGATCCAAAAATATCTTGAGGGCTCAATCTATCATAGACTACCTCAGATTCCGCTCGGTGTACATTCTGTACTGCAAATACCGTGACTTATCGCATACAAGTAGATCACTAGCCTCATCCTAGTGTCAGATCGACCCTTTGGGATAGAAGCTCTTATAAGGCCATCTCTGAAGCTTGCCATTGATTGTGGTATTTTGCAAGTAACCAACACTGGAAATAATTCTCTGTAGCTGGCACTACAAAAGGCGAGAAAGAAGGGCCGGTAGAATGCGAAACACACAAAAGTGGAGGGAGGAAAGACGGCAAATTGATTTTAAAGCGAAAAATATGATTGAAACATACCTCATGTGTACACTTTCTACCTAAGTAGACAGGTTCTGGCCAGATGTCTTTGTTGTGCCTGAATTTATCCAAATAAAAAACCGGGATACTCATATAGATATCGATATCCACTTTTTTCTGATCAAGAACAGTCTTTGAAACCCAATCGGTAGTCCACTGAGAACCAAAGCCAACATTTTCTTACGTCCACTCGGCAGATTTGACTATGGTCTTCAAATTCAGCTCGTATATCTTCAGGACTGAATCATGAGCTCCATTGACCGGTAGGTAGCCACTTCTCCCTTCAACTGGGCCCGGATATCATCTCATAAAGATATACCTTGTGTTTCCATCACAAAATGATGATGTATCCTTGGATGTCAAATACTTTGGATGTTCTCTGTAAAGGTCACAGACAGTGGTTCCATCCCAATTATCGAATAAACCGGAAGATAGTTTAGCAATGAAAACCTCCTGCTGCAACCACATGGCCGAGATGGCAGTGGCATAATATGCTTTCATGATGCCAGTAGTCAAGTTAGTCTTTGCCTGCTCGGGGGGTGGAGTAGTAAAGATTCCATCTTTCAAGGACATGACCGCGCCTGCTGGCTTGTTTGAATACCAACCTTTATTGTCTGGGTCGCTGACTACGGTACCAGTGAGAACCTCGTTACCAAATGAGATCAGTGATTTTTGGAGCATATCAGTTGTGTTTCTGATTACCGTCTGGAGGTTGGCGATTGTATTGATCTCATTCTGGATACTATAAAGTGGATTAGAACTATTCCTTGAAAGATGGGTGCGGGAGAGGGGTCATACCTAGAACATCTGTTGCGGAGGTAAGTAAACCATTTGCCACACCGTTGCCTATGGTGTCTGCGCCACCTGCAGCTCCAACTTGAACCTACAGACACATATATTCGGGGTTTCCTATGCCCATGTGGTTCAAGTTGCAGAGAATGAAAATGTCGGCATGGAAGTAATCGCTAATACTATGATATGATAACAGAATTGACCACATACGATGAGGCCACCAAATTAATGGCTGCAACCTTGGAAGCGGCTTCCTTACGCTCTTCGCCGGCGTCCTGGGTTGGATCTACGGACGAGCTTAGTGCGACAGACAAGATTTGTGCAGAGAGGGTTAGAGACCCTGCTATAGGATAAGGGCAAGGGGCTTTAGTCAACGCCCGGCAGCAGGCTGAGAATGTAGCCAGACTTCTGCGTATAGAAGGCAGTATTGACGGCGTAGTTGCGGCATTAGAAACCATGCGCAAGCAGTTGGCGGACGACTGATTCCTTTCTTTGTTTCCCTTTATATATATCCTTCTCATCAAAATCCAAATTCCTTCCCAGTACCTCCCAGTAACTAGTTAACACTAGTATTGTAACTAGTACTATGTATGGAATGGCGGGGTGGTGGGCATGCGATAAGATAACCCGCGCACAGGCCAACATCCGAGAAATTTCCTTTTTGCACCTTGTGAGAAACCCAAACCCCTCCATTTGGCGACTTGTTGCAATCCAATACCAATACCCTTTGCGCGCTTCTCAACTCGATCCCAATATGGCGGATTCAGCGTCGACAAAGTCCATCCACACAATCGTGTTGGACGCCGGTCCCATCATCAAAAATTCCCCGCCGCTTTCCACTTTGCTCGCTCAATGCGATGAGATTATCACCACCCCCGCCGTCGTGAGCGAGATCCGTGATCCCGATGCCCGCGCCCGTATCGAGACTCTCTACCTCCCTTTCCTCAAGCAGCGCACCCCGAACCCGACCAGTTTCAACATTGTCAGCGAATTCGCAAAGAAGACTGGTGACCGCTCTGTGCTCAGTCGAAACGATATTGAGGTTCTCGCCCTCGCCTACGAGATTGAATGTGAACGCAATGGAGGCGACTGGCGCTTGCGCAGTGTCCCTGGTCAGAAGCGCGTGAATGGTGCCCCACCTGTCAAGGTGGAGGAACCTAAGGAGGACGAGGAGGAGCCCAAGGAGGATGCCGAGTCCAAGGACGTGGAGGCGATCACCGACGGCGTCCAAGAGGCTACTATCGCAGAGAACGCCGAACTCACAAAGCCCGAAGAGACCGACGCTGTTCCAGAGACCTCTGTCGAGACCGAGAAGAACGGAGCTGAAGAGGAAGAAGAGGAGGAGGATGTTGATCTCGACGCAAACGAGGAGGATGATGCTGCGGACTCGGACGGCGGAGAATGGATCACACCCACCAACTACAAGAAGCGGCTGGCCCGCGACGATGGCAGTGGTGCGACGGCTGGTAGTGAGGTCAAGGTCATGCAGGTCGCAACCATGACTACCGATTTCGCGGTAAGTTTATCTGTAAATATTCATTCGCAAGTGCGCCCACTAATTCGGACACAGTGCCAAAACGTTCTCCTGCAAATGAACCTCAACCTTCTGTCAACTACCACTCTCCAGAGAATTCAGCACCTGAGAACGTTCATCAAGCGCTGCCACGGCTGCTTCCTTACTACCAAGGATATGACCAAGCAGTTCTGCCCTCGCTGCGGTAAAGATACCCTGACCCGTGTCTCCTGCACAACCACCGCCAACGGCCAGTTCACCATGCATTTGAAGAAGAACATGCAGTGGAACACCCGTGGTAATGTGTATAGTATTCCCAAGCCCATTGCAGGTACCGCCAACGGCAAATGGAAGGGAGGCGCTGGAAAGGGTGGATGGGGCAGAGACCTTGTCCTTGCCGAGGATCAGAAGGAGTTCACTCGGGCGAACGCCGAAGAGGAGCGTCGCCAACGCCGCCAACATGACCTCATGGACGAAGACTACCTTCCCGGTATCCTGACTGGTGAGCGCAACAGGCAAGGTGGACGCACCAAGGTCGGCGCTGGCCGCAACGTCAATTCGCGCAAGCGTTAAATGCCATGAACGATATTTGCATTACGTATTTACATGGGCTGGAGTTTGGGATATGCGCAACAAAAAGTCATTGGTTATTTCTGCCACGAATGCGATCTACGGTACTTCTTTGCACATACTAGATAGATAGCAGTTATATAGAGGATCAGGAATGGAAATTTCTCAATATGTTTTCGATTGGTATTCAATATGAGACTCAATCCGTAGATCTTGTAAACATCCAAAGCAATGCGATTCAGTCGTCCGCAGACCGAAGAAATAACACCGTGCGCCGAATCGGACCGATACCGTTCAGTCCATCCCTCCAAACAGTCAAGTTTTCAAGCTAAGCCGAGAAGCTTAGTTCTCTGTGACGGACGTTAGTAGCTGTCGCGCCGAATGGGACGGAGAGATGACGATACCAGGCTGCTGAGTGAGGAGAAGGTTGTAGCGCTTCTTCAGGGTGACACGGTGACTGCAAAGCGATGATGTTAGTCCTACATCCAATTTCTCTTGTTGCATCGAGGTGTCTGAACCAGGAGATATCACATACCGAGAGTACTTGTCATCGGGGGAGAAACGGGCGGGGTGGGCAGACTTGGAGACCTTGCCATCAACAACCTTCTTCAAGGTGTAGATGCGCTTGCCATCAGGACCGAGGGTGTACTTGAGACGTAGTTAGTGAGATGTTCAGAGTGTCGTGTGATTACAATGGTCGATTCGGAAACGGAGATCGATGGGGATCGGTATCGACATACCATAAGATGCATTCTGGAAGAGGGAAAATATGTCAGTAAGACTGTAAAATAAAACAATGAGATATCGAATAACAGGCAAATAGCACTTACTTGGCGAGATGTGGTGTTCTGCTTGTCGAGGAGTGCGGCGTGGACGGTGCGGAGGAACTTTGGATTTTTTTTGACGCCGAACACACGGACCATCTGCTTAGTCACCCACCCGCGCTTAAAACAGCTAAAAAGTTTTCCACCGGCAGAGACTCCCCTTCTCATCCTTTGAGTCAACCTCTGAGTCAAGCATACTCGTTGATATTTTCCTTCGGGAAACCAGATCATTTAATGATAATGATGTACTGAACATACTGACATACATTACATGCCAATTCCGAGAACTAGTCTTATCAGGTAAGCTTCAACCACAGCTCGACGGAGCTATCTCTTTCTTTTCCTTACCCTCTTCCCCCTCTTCGGTGATGACAAAATATCCCAAGCCTAGGCAGGCGGCACTTTGATTTCTAGCTGCCTGTCAATGATTTGCTTATTTTGACTACTACGGTATCTGAGAAGATTACTCAACGCACTATTCGTGTCGCACATATGCTTTGTGGAAGACTGTTGCTAACTCAACTTCTCCACCCAGGGCTCTTTCAATCCATACAGTAACAGCTATCTGAACATGGCCGATGCCAATGTCACCATGGTGGCTCAAGCGAGCCCCGAGGCCGATCCTACACGAGTGAATCCTCGTCCGGCCCGGGCACCTCGTCCTCCTAGACCCAATTACAGACTCATTCATCGATTTCCTCTCCCTGTCAATGCGCATCCCGTTCCACCTGTAATTCCTCATAACCCCCTCTCCATCCTTAGTGCTGCCCTCTCGTATCTTTCCTTCCTTATCTCTCGCCCTAGCCAAGAAATCCATTCTGCATACTTCGACCCAGCGACTTCCTCCATCCATGTGACGGACGAGAAAGCGATCCGGGCGCTATGGGAGATGGGCTTCTTCGGCAAAGGCAGTCTGAGCCGAAGTGAGCCTAGCTGGCTAGAGCGTGAGAAGAAACGGAGAGGCTTGCTTGGCGGAAACACCAGCGAGGAGGCTACCAGGAGGCGCAGGGAGGAACGGCGTGCATTGAAGCTCGAACGGGCAAGGTCAGAAAAGCTTCTCATCGACGAACGTCTCAAGCTAGAGGCTGCCGCGAGAGAGTCTGGCCCTGTCGCCCCATCGGTCAGTGAATCGACAGATGATACCGCGATTACAATTGAAAAGTTCTCCGTCAAGAAGGCGATGGAAGCCAAGTATCAAGAATCAAGACTACGCAGGTCTCAAAATGGAGCGTCAGTGCCACCTGCAGATAGTCCCGAGTCGGCACAAGGCAAATCAGTCCGTTTTTCGTCCGTTGTCGAGCAAAAAGAAGCAACATCAACATCCACTGCCCCGCTTCAGGGCTCCAGTGTCACGGACGCAGATGAACTTGATATTGAAGATATTCTCGAGAACCAAGAGCACCTTCAAATCTCCAATGAAGAAGCCTTCTTCCTCGTCTACGGGCTGGGTGTCCTCCGTGTCTTTGATCGTGACCAAACCACTGTCATCCCAACCTCGACTCTCCTCCCTCTCCTCCGCCGCAACTCCTACTTCCCTCCCCACGCCGAAGCCTCCGAACTCAACCCCGATGATCCCTTCATACTGTCATATGTTGTCTATCACCACTTCCGATCACTTGGGTGGGTAGTGCGGTCCGGTGTAAAATTCGGAACTGACTATCTACTTTACAACCGCGGTCCTGTTTTCTCCCATGCCGAGTTCGCCCTCATCATCATCCCATCTTACAACCACGCATATTGGTCAGAGACAGAGGAGCGGAGAAAATACGTGACAAGTAAACAATCTCGCAGCTGGTGGTGGTTGCATTGTGTGAATCGAGTTCAAGCACAAGTGAAAAAGAGCCTGGTGATCTGTTACGTGGAAGTACCCCCGCCAACGGGTCCCTCGGACGACATTGCGGGATTGCTAAGTCAATATCAGATTCGCGAGTTCCTCCTCAGACGATGGATTCCTAACCGTACCCGTGACTAGAGAGATGACAGAGATTATTCCTCGAAGGCGCCAACGAAGTTCGGTGTGGCGTACGAGCTAGGGCTTCAGATACCCGCTCATGTATTTTCTAGCTTATCAAGCAATATACCCATGGCTGGTCGAAATACGACCAATACAATGATTCATGAAATTTTGAATAGATCATGTGGTTTCCACTCTAATTGTAAACAACGAAAGCAAGGTAGACCATCAAACTCTAGGGTTGAGTTGATCAAAGCCATACATGGAGACGCTAGTCTATAACAGGCAAGATTATACTATCACGTGACTGACGCGAGACGCGCCATGGACGACGAGATTCACTTAGACTCGGTTCATGTTCCAGTCTGTGCCCAGAGGCGGCGATCATGAAAGACGATACACCTTTTCACGGAAGACTCTAATAAATCTGTGCACTATTCAGGATTCTGCGGATTATGGAGACGCAGGACAGCATCGACATCGCGAAACTTCAACGCGACGCGTTGGGACTAGTATGTAATGTCCTGCAGTTGTTCCAGAATCTCATTGGACTAACCTCGGTCTTTTTCAGGAGCACGAACCATCGCAGCCATTATCTTCTAGCCTGGCGGCGATTGACAGCACTTCACCAAATAATTCCTCTCATATCGTCCATTCTGTCATTCCTTCTCATGGTGACGCACCGCCGACCGTCCCCGAGTTGTCTGTACCTCGCTCATCGAACACACCCAAATCACATCCGAAACAGCAATCCTGCCTCCCTGTCACAATACAACATGCGAAAGCCTCAATGAGCTTCCATACCAGTGCACCCACATCAAAAACTACACAGCCTGGGGATAGACCACAGGTCGACAAAATGGATTCTGTAGAGGGTGACCCCGGGGATACCCAAGTTGTCTCACAGTCCGTGTACGATGGTATCATTCGCCAGAATGGGGAATCTGTATACGGAGATTTTTTACAGAACGGTGCCGATAATGCAACACTCATGACACTGCACGAGGGTGATAGTGGTCATCTCGACATCCTCGCCGATTTCAATAATTTACGCCACGAAGCAAACCAGTCTCCAACGAATGATGATGAAAGCGTCTACGGTCAAAGCCCCTCCTCCCCGATCGCTGACCACAGCCTTCAACCCGAATTCTTCCCCGAATCACAACGATTTTTGACGACTACCCCAGCCACTGCAATCAAGAAGAAGAACCAAACGCCCGGCACAGCACAAACTCCCAGCGCCTCGAGAAACCCGTTATTGGCTGATCTTGGATCGAGTGGTGGTCTGTTGATGGGCCTCAGTCAAGCTTTCAAGAATACCCAGGCTCCTTCATCTCCCCTCGTCCACGGCCTTCACTCCGAATTAGCATCGGACCGTCCTTCACCCAATGTCCCCATCCAGCAACGAATACATAACCCAATCTCCTCGCCACTCGTGAACTTCCGCGGAAACTTCGCACGAGAGTCTTCTGAGCCGAACCTCAACTACATATCCTTGAAGGAATCACAACATAACCGCGACATGTCGCTGGGAGAGAGGTTGACGCGATCGGAAGAAAACCTGCACTCAGGGGATCAGATCGATCAAGATTTCTACAAAGAACCTTCATTTGTGGAGGCTGCGAGGCGCAAACGGGAGATTGATGAGGAGACTGCGGCGCAATTTGCAGCCTTGAATACGCCCGGTCGACCTGGAAGTGATGTTGGTGAATCCTCCCCTGCCACTTCTATTCACATCCACGAGGATGATGCAATTGGGATGCACGGCGCCGGCAGCGAAGAGGAAACCGAACAAGAAGAAGATGCAGGCCCGCAAGTGCCCCAGTCCCAAGAGCCCCCCTCATTCATCCATGGAGGAGGACAAAGAAAATTACATCTCTCCCCATGAGCCTGTAGTTGCAACTAGCAGTGCACACGACCGTTTATCTCAGGCCCTTGGCATAGAAGGAGGCCAGCCAGCACCAGATCATGCCGATGATGCTGTGGATCAAGACTTGAGTGACGTGAATGATTCTGATAATCAGCTCGTCTCTAGGTCTTCGCAGGTGATGGTCAAGGATTCTCAGCAAACACCGCAGGGATCGCCGAGACGAGAAAATGCACCGTCTGGTCTGCAGCCAGTTCCGGAGGACATGGAAATTGACACAGAAATCCACGTTGCCCGGACCTCTCCCGCTGTTCAGCATCTAGAGTCGCCGTCTTTAGGTTCACGCCCGGGAACAAGGCATTCTCAAAACTCTCGCCACGGTTCTCAGCAGCATAGTCCTCGGTTGTCGCATCGCAGTGAGGCGGAAGATGTAGAACATCAGCGGACCAACAGAGATCAGCCTGACTCTTCCCTCGAGCAATCTGAAGCCATTTCACATGAGGCACTCCTCCGACAGACTAGATCGTATCCAGGAGAAAAGTCTTCCTCGCTGCCCTCGCAAATCAAAGAAACGCCAATCCACCTGCGGCCATCAGTCAGCGATATCTCTCAAATGACAAAAGTTCCCAACACCAGCCCTGATCGCCAAGAACCTAACAGATGGGATCGCGAATCCAATGCGAATAACGAGGACGATGATCTGCCTCCCATGTTTCCAGTGGGAAGCTCCGCCCGGTTCAGCCAACAACGACCATCTCAAATACGGGCCCAGTCTTCGCCAATCAAGTGCAAACCATCAATATTGTCAAGCCCGAGTGGAAGACAGCGCAGAAGATTGATGGATATTGCATCAGACACCTCCCCTCAGGTTCACAGCAAAGACAAAGTAGTTGAAATCGATATGAGTTTCTTTACGAACGATCCGGACTTCAACGCTCTGATTCAAGGATCTCCGACACGCCCGAGAAAAAGACGCCGCGGAAATCTGGGTCAGTCCTTCGACACGTCTGAGATAACTCTTCCTGCGACTCCAGTCGCAGAGCTTCCACAAACAATTACCCCAATACAAGAGGTATCTAGTCCTGTCAAAACCCAGTCATCGACAGCGACTCGGGTTCCTACGAATACCGTTCTTCGGCAGCCTGGTCCATCTCGACGCGTTGATGCAAATGTCTGGGACATTGAAAGCTCGCCTCAGCACATCATACCCCGGAGATCTAAATCTAGACGCATGCAAACGTTTTCGTCTCGACACCGTCCTCAGTTACAGCAGAACTCGCAGCCTCGGTCAGTACCCTCGGCAGAACCCCCAACAAGGGCTTTGGCGCAAGGTTCTGAGACTCAACGCGAGAAGCAGTCTGAGAATCAATCAGAAAGTCAGCCCAGGGGCCAGTCTACGAGCCAGATCGAAAAACAACAACGTCCAAAGCCATTTGTCGTTCAGCACTCCGCCCCGGCCCCATCGTCCGAACTAACGGAGCTTGATATTGACTCGGAATATTTGCTCTCGTCAGACCCTCGTCAGGCTAGCGCACCACTTTCGCCAAAACCAGCAGCAGTCGGTTTTGATGAACGTCAAATTGCTCCTCGTCAAATCATCTCTTTATGGCCGGATAGAAAGCCAGCCTACTATCCAGGAACTTGTATAGGAACACCTCTTGGTACTTCGTCGATCAAGTATTCCGTCAAACTCGAAGACAGCCAACCGATCGAAGTGAACAAGATGGCCGTGAAAAGACTCGAACTTCGAATTGGAGATGCAGTCAAGGTTGAAATGACGGGTATTCCAAGAGTCACGCACATAGTCCGTGGGCTTGAGGATAAACTCACCAAGGAAGAGTTGACTGAAGCTTCGGCAAGAGGCGAATATCCTATAACCGATATATATGGCTACTCGACTGTTGTTCTGGGGCCAAAGAATCGCGAGAGCCTCCCCAGTGGCTATCTGAACAAAAACACAAATGTAATCAGAGTCCCAATCGCTCGGATCTATTTGGACAAGACCCTGTGGCATCGACTGAAGGACCGAGACTATACATACCAACATGAAACCGCGCCTCCACAACAGTCCCTACCCCAAACTCCTGTGAAATCCTCGTTACCTGCATCGCCGAGCGCCAGATTTTCGCGCAATACCCAGGCCGCTGGCCTGTTTTCCAACATCGCGTTTGCGGCTTCTTACAAGGACGATGAGGCCTCGAAAAACAATATTCTGCGCCTGATCAAAGAGAATGGCGGCTCGATCTTACGTACTGGCTTTACAGAACTATTTGAACCCTCGTCCGTTCAGCGTTCCTCGGTCTCCCCTACCAAAGGAAACAAGAAGGAGGGAAATTCATTCCTTTCAGGACTCACACTTACCGACTCGGCCCAAAATATCGGTTTCACCTGTCTAATCGCAAACACACACTCGCGTCGTGAAAAGTTCATGCAAGCTCTGGCGCTCAATATTCCCTGTCTTTCGGGCCGCTGGGTCGAGGACTGCGTGACCCAAGGCTGTCTACTTGACTGGGGCATCTACCTACTGCCTGCCGGAGAATCAATGTATCTTGATGGTGCGACGAAGTCGAGAATGCTCATTCCAACCCCACCATCCAAAGCACGTCTCACACAGACAATTGCCACCAGGCCAAAACTACTTGACGGAAAATCAGTATTGATCGTCATGGGTCGTGGCAAGGCTGAAGAAAAGCGAGAAGCCTATGTTTTCCTCACTTTCGCCCTGGGTGCTTCTCGGGTAGAGCGTGTCCCTGACGTCGAGGCCGCACGCTCGATGTTGGAATCTGAATTCGACTCCGGTCTTCCTTGTACTTGGGACATGGTGTATGTTGATGACGCGGACCGTGACGCTGCCAGAACGACGTTAGCCCCTCGGCCCGTGTCCCAGAGGATGCAAGGCAAGAAGCGGAAGAAGTCCACCGGGTTCATTGTGGATCCCTCTGATTTGGATGACATCGATACAAGTTACGCGCCAAGAGTCGTTGGCGCTGAGTTTATTTGCCAAAGCCTGATTCTGGGACAATTGTACCACGAGTGAATTTGTTCTCTTGATGTTTTACTAGATACCAAATCTCAATGATCATGTTCAACTATCTCTATCAATTTTCCTCATCTATAAATTGCTAATACTAGTAGTATATCGTCATGGCACTCAAAGTCCAAGCTTGAAACCGCCCCAGTTGAGTCTAGAGAAGACGCCCTCGGGATCATAAGAGGATCTGATCTCCTTCATCCGAGCAACATTTTCCTTCGGGAACCCAGCAAATGGGTCCTGCCACTCGCCGGCATCGCCCATATAAACAAACTCAGAGGCAATGCCCTTCTCAACATTGATAGCATGGAGGCTCTCAGCAAGCTGTCTCGACCAAGCCTCGATGCGAAGGTCATCTTGAGCAAGGGCCCAGCCAGTGCTAAATTGCCACACTACACGACCACTGGTTAGCTTGAGCTGCATTTGCAAGTACCGGAATATAGCATTTAACTTACAGATATGGCCAGTGTCTTCCAAGCCCCACACATTTCCAACTCCGTTAGTGAGTGCCACGCGAGCGGCCGGGGCGGAAGCAACATTGGTCACGAATGTCGGGTAAAGGCCCTCAACATCAGCAATCTGATCCACGGCATCTTTCCAGGCCTTGTAAATCGAGACAAGAACTTCCGCGTCAGGCTTCATTGTCTTGTGAGAGAACATGACTCTGTAAATATGATCAGCATACTTCTTTCTGTGCAACGGTGTCTACTAGCTCTGCCTACCTGAACATCTGCTTTGGAGAGTCAAGATCAGTCGCCCACTGCTTCATAGTTGTGACGTTGTTGATCCGCGTGGTAGCAGGAATAGCAGAGAAATTCGCGAATTGAGAGGGAGGCTTGCTGATGCCCTCTTGGACACCAAGCACCGAAGCAGATGTCACCTTGGTAGTAGCATTATACTGCACGCTTGCAACCATTCCCGCAGCAATAGGATCCTTCTCATCCAAAAGAGCCATATCACACACTGCGTTCAGGAAATCGGGAATCCCGCTCTCATTGTAGACCTGGATTGTGGTGCTGACCTTGGGCATGTCGTAGGTTCGTAGAGTGAACTTCGTCACAAGCCCATAGTTGTTGGCACCGCCTTTCAGCGCCCAGAATAGATCCTTGTGGGAAGACTTTTTTGCTGTGATCTGGGTTCCGTTGCCGAGAACAACGTCGTAGCTCACGACGTTATCCATGGCATATCCGTACTTGCTGTTGAAGTAGTGGAATCCGCCGATGAGACTGAGTCCAGGGACACCGATCGTCTTAAGGCGACCACCAATTGCAACGCGGCCGTGAGGTTCAAGGGCTGAATAAACATCATACCAGGTGAGACCAGGGCCAACCTCCACTGTGTCCTTTTTAACTTGAATATCATTCAGCTTTTCAAGGGCCACGAGAACTCCGCCATCGATATTGTTCGATCCTGGATACTAAACGAGCGTCAGCAGCTGTATTTCATTTGTGCCAGAGCGTATGATAAGACTTGCGTTCATATGACCACCTCCCCGAACTGCAAACTGGGCGTTGCAGGAATTGAACAACGACATGGCCTTCGATACCTCATCTGCCGATGCGGGCAAAAAGACGCATGCTGGGGATAGATCCGCTCGAATGTCCCAGTATTTGTCCGCTGCCTGCTCAGTGTAGCTGGCATTCTTGGGGAAGATAACCCCGTCGAATGTCCGTGACAGTCGTTTACAGGCACAGCTTGCCCCCTTTTGCGGCGTAACAACATCGGTCAGGGAATTGGAACTGGAACTTGCAGTAGCAAGTCCCAAGAGGCTGAGACTGAGAAACAAGTTCATCTTCGCATGCAGATCGAAATAGTGAGTGAGAAAGAGAGAGAGAGTTGGAGATGCTTTTTTTCTTTTATCTACTAGTAGCAGCGAGTCATATCTAACTTCTTATAAACGTCAATATTAGTATGTTTTAGGAGCTGCCTGGTCCGGCTGGTATGTAATTTCTTGGCTTGCTGATCATTGCTTGAAATTTTGCTTCATTTGGGTTCTCGGGTTCCAAGGTTGATAAACGTCTCTCGTCGTATTGACAGCCCCTGGAACTGCTATTCATGTCGGATTGGGTGCTGGGAGTGCCGGCGGATGCCGAGACTTAGTGGTACTTTCATTGAAACCTGGCTGCCTTCTAGAAATCCAAATTTGGACCACTTTGATCTATCTATTACCATGGAGACCTGAGCTTCCATGAGGCTATGTTTGACTAGCTCGTCAGCTTAAAACGAAGTTCTCCGCAAACTCATATGTATTGGAGAGAGGGATCAGTGGGGCATCCGAACCCGAGTACGAACCCGAACCCGCAAATGGATGATCATGACCGGGTTCGTTTCACTGAAACCTTCTTTTTGTTACTTTTTCCCTTCTTAATTCTTGGATTGAACCAATGGTCGCAAAAATCGGTGAGCGTCTGAATGGAAATATCTTCAGTAGGAAAACCTTGTACCAGTATCTAGAGATCCACAGCCATCCCATTTTCTTCAACCTCAAGGTGAACATTGTCTATCTTACTACAATCATATTTGGAAGTTTACAAGACATGAATAGCGAACCTTGAAATTCATTCACATAAATGCTCAATATCCTGGGGTCATGTCAGCTATATCAATAAGCTCTGGCACCTCTTCCTGTTTACATTTAGTTCTACTAGTGGTATTCCAGTGCCACTTGGGTAGGAATCTTCAAGTTACCCAAGGTTGGAACTGGACGAACTTTCCGTAAACACTACCATCGTTACTATCATTACTATTGTTATGAAGGGAAGGGAAATTTCTCTCGGACTGTTCATCTCTAACCAAACCCTATTCATCTCTCGACAAGAACTGCCAGTCCTGGAGCTATCAACATTTCGAATGACAGGGAAACAACTTAAAGAGTATCCCGAGGACGAACAACCAAAGTGACAAAATTCATTGTTGTTTTTTTTCAGTCGACCCGACCTCTTTCAAACGAGACCAAAGATTCCAAGCCCAAATCGCGCCTCAATGTAAACGTATCTCTCGATTTCTCCCCGATCACGCATGCCTGGGTCTAAAGCCTGGTGCGGGATGTTTCAATATCGGGACTATTCAAGTTTGACCTCACCGGGGTCTTTCTTTTAATCAAGGCAGCGCCGGTTCAAGTAACAAAAGGCTTCTGACGATGCTTTCTATGGAATTGGGGCTACACCAGGTCGTCAAAATTCATAGCAAGGGGCAGAGATAGCGGCAAATCTCCAACGAGACACAGAGATGTAGGTCACTACTGACGTACCCACGATGTGACAAGCGCAAGGGAACATCTACTAACGCCCCCCTAGTCAAAATCCCGGATCGAGATCCGACCGATCGTGTTGAGAAGATTGAAGGACACTTGACCCTTATTCGGTACATCTGGTCTCGCGCATGGCGCAACGCTGTCTTCATGAGCGAGGGGGGCTCGCGTCCCTGCATAATTTCTGAGTGAGACATACGGCTGTTCGCGCGATAACTCCTTTTTTCTTTCTAATTTCTGGATCGACTCCTCTTTTTGGTGGACTGCTATGGTGAACATACTCGTTTGTTTCTAATCCTTCAAGATCGGAGAAGCTTCCCCTGAAGGGGCATATGTTACGGTGGAGTGACTCGTGAGTCAGGAGGACAGGGAAGCTTCATGTGGAGGGCTGAGTAGAGCTACTTCCAAAGAAGCCTGGTGACTCTCAGAACACACAGCTCTAAATGTCAAATGCAATCATCGGACTAACTTATATCAACAGTGGCCTAGTCTGAGGATAGTTTGACCCATATGTGCCGGTGGCGTGGGTATGGACATCGTCCGAGCGGTGCTGCCAGGTGGGAGCCAATCTCACCCTGAAGCAGTCGACGGTGTCGTTGATTAGGATATGAAAGCTCATGTGTCATCGGAATGGAAAATATTCAAGTCTCTATAACCGTTAATTGCCTGTTCTGATAATTCTGATGTCTTCACTCTTCATGTCCAGTTGATATTTATCTTGCTTTGTTCCTAGGTAGTTATCCGTCCTGGGCGATGGACTTTTCCATGCCGAGAAATGTGCTTCACACTATATACCTCTTAGTTGTTGGTGAGCCGCCTCAGCCCTGAAAAGTCCTAGTTTAGGAGAATAGATCAAATTACCCCCACTTTATTTCTATAGAGCGTAGGCAATAGTTAGATAATTAGTAGCATGCTGTATGCTATTTGTTATCTGTCACCTCAGGATTGATTCAAGATCTCAACTCCAATTCCAGTACAAGTTGGAGTAAGTATAAAACGTGTTTAACTGTGAAAATGCAATGTCTACTTCTGCCATTGCATTCTAATTATTATCTATCGCCGTATTGATTGGTCTGAATCTTTTGCAACTCCAATTCCGGTTTCAAGAGTATGTATGTAGTTGGGGTAACTTGAAGTGGAGCACATCTTGGGGTAGGGTTGAGAGGACCCTGCCCCGCTCTTATCGAATTCCCCAAATTCCTCGTTATTCTGGATCGTCTTTCTCTTGTAGAAGCGTTTAATCCTCAAACATACACTTCTCTCAATCGCAAATAACATGTCGCTCACGGCAGATTTCACTGGAAAAGTCGTACTTATCACTGGCGCGGCCAGTGGAATCGGCAGAGCAACTGCCATAAAGTTAGCGCAAACCGGAGCTGAACTTGCCCTTGGAGACATCAATACTCTCGCTCTCAAAGAGACTCTAGAGCTCTGCAGACCAGCATCAAAACCCGATCAAATTCCTATGATTTTAGCATACGATGTCAGCATTGCTTCCAGCTGCAACGAGTTTGTCAACGCGGTTCTCCATAAGTTCGGACGAATCGACTGCGTCTTCAACTGCGCTGGTATCAATCCTTCCTCTATCCCAGTTGAGGAAGTGACGGACGAATACTGGGACAAATTGATGAACACGAACCTTCGCGGAACTTTCAACATGACCCGGGCATGTTTGCCGCATATGCAGGGTGGCTCGACTCTGGTGAATGTATCATCTGTCTGTGGTACCAATCCTGTCGCAAATTTCTCCGTCTACTGTGCTGCAAAGTATGCGGTCATTGGATTTTCAAAGAGCGTTGCTTTGGAGGTGGGTCACCGGGGTGTTCGTGTGAATGTAGTGGCCCCAGGATACACCGATACCCCGACAAACGTCTCTGTGCGGGGTGGAGTCGAAGCAATGAAGCGTACGGCGGAAAGTGTGGGTATGAAAAGAATGGGAACGGCAGATGAGATTGCCAATGTTGTTCTCTTTCTCTTTTCCGAGCAGAGTAGTTACATGAATGGTGCGGTTGTTGATGTGGATGGAGGAATTGGTATGTTTGGGTAATCAGATGAAGTACTTGAACTCAATGGACATTTTGTCAGCCCTGGGATATAGTATTATGGATCCACTAGCCAGTGTAAGCTCAAAAGGTTCAAGTTCCAAAAGGGACTAATTTACAAACCAAGCCACATAGTATCTCGCTTCCGCCTAAATTAGCAGGATGCTATACTTAGGGTATCCTTGGTAGTTAAAACTGGAGCCTACCATGGTTCGAGTCGCCCACGTAATCAATGCCAAGACTTTGGTTGCCCAGCCCCAACCAACTGCATTGAAACCCTATTTTCTTATCCTAGAACTTGTCAAATACTTTTCAAGATCCTTTTTCTTGTGGCTATTGTCATTATGCATTGAACTTCCAGGGCCAGAATGAACAATGGGACCCCGGCGCACACACAGAAAGTCCAGGAATGGCTGCCAGTCATGCAAAGCTCGCAAAGTCAAGGTAGGTAGCTGCAGCTTCCTTCGATCTATCCTCTTGGGACTTGGGCTAAATGGAACCCGTGAAAGTGCGATGAGGCGAGACCTCAGTGCAACAACTGCGTGAAGCATGGAGTTGATTGTATTTTCTCTCCAACTCCACAAGGCTCAAGTACCGCAATGGTCCTTTCGACAACTGCCGGCGTTGTGGATATCTCCGAAACAAGCATTGCGAGTCCTATGCCAACTGTAGACATGACCGATATGGAACTGTTGCATCATTACTCTACCTCCACATGTTATACCATCTCGAAACATCCTGTTTTGCAGACAGTCTGGCAAATCACCATCCCCAAGCACGGGTTTGCCCCTCAGTCTCAGTTTGTCTTCCGGGGCATCTTGGCACTTGCTGCGCTCCATATGGGTCATATAAAGCCCGATCTTCGAGCGGATTATTTTGCCACTGCAGAATATCACCATAACGCGGCTCTGAAAATGGTATCCACCGCTATTCCACATATCAATGAGGAGACTGGCCCGGCTATCTACGTCTTCTCGACACTTACCTGCATTATAATGTGCGCAATGCGACGGAATTTCGACGAATTCTGGACGACCGATGGCTCTTTATTCAAATGGATCAGTCTTATTCGGGGCAACAGAGCTATTATCTATTCAATCAATGATACTCTCAAATCTGGCCCCCTCGCGCCAATGTTTGTTCTTGGCCACCGAAGAAAACTCGCCCGTGAAGCGCGATCTACTGATGATCAGCCCTTCTTGGAGAACTTGCGACAAGAGATTATCGAGTCGGTACCAGACCAAGATGAGTTACAGTGCTATCTAGAAGCCCTTGACAATTTGGCGAAATCCTTTGCAACTGTCTTTGACACCCAGCTTGTGGAGATTACTGATGTCTTTATATGGGTTTATGAAGCTTCAGATGGATATATCGAGCTATTGCGCCAACAAAGGCCTGAAGCACTTGTGATTTTTGGTTTCTTTTGCGTGATCTCAAAACAACTAGAATCAGCCTGGTGGATGGAAGGGTTTAGCATTCCTCTAATACGTGCCATCTATTATCATCTTGATGAAGAGCATCGCTACTGGCTTCAATGGCCGATCCAGCAGCTGGGCTGGGCCCCTTACTGAGGATTTACCAAGAAAAAAGAACAATCAAACCATAGTATTGTTATCAGCTCGACTTCATTTTTGAAACATATGAACAGAAGTAGTACATATAAAGAGATGACTTGTGAAATAAGCTTTCTATAATACAGAGAAACACCAGAGGAAAACCTCATATCGCTACATAAACCCAGATTTGATGGTTCAAACAATCATGCACCCTTATTTGGCCTTCTTGCTGGCCTTCTTCTTGCCCTTCAGACTCTTCATCTGGGCAGCCCGCTCAGCACGAGCCTGTCTCTTCCTCCACGCAAGCCATCGGTTCCCCCGATCATAAGACATGGCGACAATGCCGGCCTTCTCCGCAGCACGACCAATCACCCAATTGGCCTCACGGTACATGTAACCAGGACGCAGCTGGGGGCCAGATTCGGCGTTGACGGCAGCAACGCTGCCAACCTGAGTACCGTTCTCATCGATAGAGGCAACAAGATCAGACTGGGCCTCGACGGGCTCAATTCGAGGAATGGCGACGAGGTTCAACTTGCGCCGGCTGGGCGCGTTGCGCGGGTGGGGGGGAGTTTGCCCTCCTTCTCGAAAACGACACCGATGTATTTGCGATCCGGATGGGTCTCGGGGTCGGCGTAGTAGCGAACATAGCCGGCTTGGGTGGCGTAGATAGTGTGGTCACGTCCCATCGCGCAGTTGTCGCCGGGGAACCACTTGGAGCCGCGTTGTTTGAAGATGATGCATCCTGGGACGACGTACTCGCCGCCGGAGCGCTTCGCACCGAGACGCTTACCCGCGGGATCACGGGAGTGTCGATTGGCAGTTCCTTGAGAAGCGTGCGAGGCGTATCGGACCTGCGAAAAGGGAAGGAGTGTGCGGGAGATTGAAGGCGTGGTTTTCGGGAAAGTGAGGGATGCGGAGAGGGTGCGTGGAATCAGCGATTGCGGTTGGTAGATGGGCTGGGCGGAGCGAATTGAAGGAACAAAGGCTCGTTCCAGCGCCCGCAGGGGCCCCAACAATCTTTGTTGCAGCATGGCGATGCGATCTTGACGTGGTGTTGCGGAGGAGGCAGCTCCAAAGGGGAAACTTTTCTCGGAGGTGGAGGCTTGGCGTCACGTGTGGGCACGCTGGCCTGAACGACAAGGACATCCACTGACACTTGGGGAAACTAGCCACTTTGCTAACACTACTACGGACGTGTTGTCGACCACGTCTTTCGTCCATTTCTTTTTCTTGTCAAATTAAATTGCTATACAGAATGTTACGCAATTTTCTCCCGGCCATCTGGGCCTTCTTTCTGCTGGCATCCGTTGCCCAGGCCCAGTTCAACTTCTTCGACCAAATGTTTGGAGGCAATCAACAGCAAGCGCAACAAAACCAGGGCCCCCAGAACGCCCCCAGTGATAGTGTTCGGTATCAAAAGATGTGGCAACAATGTGAGACCTCCGACTCTAGTCCAGAGAGAAGCTTCAATGCGTTGAAAGGTGGCAGTTACTAACAATTCTTCTACTATCTTCAGCCCAATGCAGCAACTACCTTTGCCCAGGAACTCTTGCATGCGTGCATTTCCCACACCACTGCCCTTGCCCGCATCCCGATGTCGAAGAAAAAGTTGAGCTCGCGGAAGGAAGTGCGATTTGTGTTTCCAAAGGAGGATTTAAGGCTGGCGAGGCAGCCCGCAAGATTGAACTCGCCCGCAAGGGCCTCCTGTGATACAATGGATAAATTTAAGTGAAGCGTTGAAGTATTGGTTATTTTATGTCGATCCTTGCGGCAGATTCATGACATGTGTTGAAATTATTGGAGCTGTTTGCCATTTATTGACCGCAGATGGTTGCCAAATAACAGCTGGAAGGAGCTTTATCCCATACTACTTGTACCAGTAGTACTATCCGACAGTAATAAATTCCTCTGGTCTAGTTCAAGTTGGGATCTCCTGAAAACCAGTGCTCGCCCGGGCGATCGCTTTCGATTTGTCTTGCCTTCCAAGGTTCCCAGCTTTATATTCCAGTCCCAAGGCACCTGCAGTTCCAGTAGCTTCAAGTGCAAGCTGTTATGTAGTAAACTCAAAAATGGCAAAAACGGCCGAGACGAAGCTTGATAATAAAATCGCAAAAAAAATCTATCAATCTAAGAGATAACATCAAACTAGATTGTGGCATTCGATATAAGATCGTGCCCCAAGTACCTAGGTACGTACCTAGTGCATGCGTGGTGTGATCTACCTAGGTGCGTTGCTATCTCCGAAGGGTAACCCCGGCCAAACCTTTCGTCATCAGAACGGAACGACGTTCGCTCCTTCAACGGTCAGGCTCTTCCCTTTCACCCCCAACCACCACTCTCGCCGATAATTTCACCTTGATATACAGCTGGCTACATCGTTTAATAAGTGCATACCGACATGTGGAGTGCTCGCCTCCAACTGCGATCGCTGCGCGGCATCCCCGCCTCGCGCCAGCTCTCAACCCTTCGAGGCAAAAATTCCCATCGCGGTCCCGGGCAGCATTGTTAGACCAACGCCGATCCAACCGATCAGACAGGGCGCCGATATTCCTCAGACCCCCGAAGCGACAAACGCTGACCCCCAACCTGAGCACCAGCCTCAAGATGCATACAACGCCAACTACGATCCTGCGCAAAATACCCTTCTCTCCCCCGTCCACATCCCAGAGGATCCAAATGGCGTCCTCAAAGAGACTCATCCGGCCACGAATATCCTCGCAAACTCTGGTGTTGTCGTGCAGCGCCAGCTGGAGATGATGAATATCATGATGTGAGAGAATTCGATTTGAGTCATGAAGAAAACCAAACTGACCTGTTCATTTCTCTAGCGGTTTCGAACAGGCGAATAAATATGTCATTATGGATGCGCAAGGAAATCATATTGGTTATATGGCAGAGCAAGAAAAGAGCATGGCCAATGCTATGGCACGTCAGTGGTTTCGGACACATCGAAGCTTCGTGACGCATGTCTTCGACCGCCATGAGAATGAAGTCCTCCGAGTATGAAATCCTACATTGGCTCTCCATGATATCGCTAGCTAACTTGTCGAAGTTCCATCGTCCATTCTCTTGGATAAACTCCCGAATCAAAGTCTACGATCCTCTCGATGTCACCACCGCCAGCCATACCTCTTCAACCGCTATCCAAAATACAACCCCCGGCTCTCTTGTACAGGCCGAAGTCTCGTCGAATGCACGCGTATCACCCCTCGGGTTCGACGAGATGCGCGTTATTGGTGAAGCTCAACAACAATGGGCGCCACTGCGACGGAAATATAACTTATTTACGTACCACCAATCTCCAAACCCCGAAACCGACATGGGCTCCCAGAAATTCCCTCTTTCAGGCTCCGAGCTATCCCAGGCCCAAAAGTTACAGCTTGCGCAAACTTCCAAGCAAGGACAGGGCGACTTCAACCAGTTTGCTTACGTTGATGAGCCCTTTCTATCCTGGGACTTTTCTCTGCGGTCCGCGGAAAATCGCTTGATCGGATCTGTTAACCGCGATTTTGCCGGTTTTGCTCGCGAATTCTTCACCGACACCGGTGTCTATGCCCTCCGAATGGACTCGGCAGGTATTGGCTCTGAAGTCTCCCCTACTGGTAGCAGCACACCGACCGGAATGACCCTTGATCAACGAGCTGTGATGCTGGCAACAGCGGTTAGTGTTGATTTTGATTACTTCAGTCGGCACAGTGGAGCAGGTGGCTTCGGCTTCATGCCACTCTGGATTCCGGGTATGGGTGGCGAGGCCGCAGGTGGAGCTGCCGCTGGTGAAGCTGCCGGGGCAGTCGGTGGTGCTGCTGCCGGTGGTGCCGCTGCTGGCGAAGCTGGGGCTATTGGTGAAGTTGCCGCGGGCACTCTAGGGAGAGCGGGAGCTGCTGGCGGAATGGCAGATGGAATGGCAGCAGGTGTAACAGGTGCTGGGGCCATGGCTGGGTATGAGGCCATGCAAAGAGGATTTTCCGGCGACCAAAGCTCCCAATCTGTCCCACCTGCGGAGGCAGCTAGCCAGCAATCGGCCGACCAGCCTGATTTCTACCATGACTACAGCCCTCCTGGTGAACAAAAGGAGGATGTATGGGGCCAGGAAGAGGACCCATGGAGTGATGGAGATGATGGCGGCGGCGGTGGTGATGACTTTGATTGGTTTTGATTCAAAAATTTTGTGATTGTGTACAGTAGATAGTGTTGCGAGTAAGATATAGTTAGTAAGATACCTTGATAGACTCGAAGCTGGAATTGAGTCGGGATCGCCCCCGCCGATCCAGGCACCCCGCCGATCCAGGCACCCCGCAGCGTCCCCATAATTATGAACTCCCCTCACCTTTCTCTTTCTCTTCCCTTTTCTTTCACTCTTTGACTCCACTCCCTCATCACATTGTTCCTTTATCTTCTTACCGGCCTACGATATATTACCCAGTCGATCAATCAATCGATTGTAACTTTCGCTTGCCTAGAAGCGCGGAACTCTCCATTCGCCACCCGCGGAAGCCCAACCCAACCTAAATCCACCGACACTCGTGCCACAACTCAACCTCTTCGCATAACCCCTCCCAAACCCTCGCCCTCAAAGCAACTACCCGATCAGTCAAAATGGGCAGCTCGATCGCTCAGAAGCGTCTTTTCCACGAATACAAGAACCTCTCCACCAACCCACCCGAGGGAATTACCGCAGGACCTGTCTCGGAAGATGACATGTTTTACTGGGAAGCCCTGATCCAAGGCCCCGAGGGCACACCCTTCGAGGGCGGCATCTTCGCAGCTGAACTCAAGTTTTCCAAGGATTACCCTCTCAGCCCGCCAACAATGAAGTTTGTCGGAGGTGGAGTGTGGCATCCGAACGGTACGTCATAACCCCGAGGAGAGCTCGAGCTCTTTTGGTTTTTTTGCAACTCGAGCGAGAAACCAGGTTTCTTTCAAGACATACCGACGAGTCCACCGAGCGCGCTTTTGCGTCTCTTCAACCGAACAGTCTTTGATGCTGATTTATTCTCTTTTCGCGCCTTTCTAGTTTACCCCAACGGAACCGTCTGCATTTCCATCCTACACCCTCCTGGTGATGACCCCAACCACTACGAACATGCCTCGGAGCGCTGGTCGCCTATCCAAAGCGTGGAGAAGATCCTCATCTCGGTCATGAGCATGCTCGCCGAGCCTAATGACGAAAGTCCCGCCAATGTGGAGGCGGCCAAAATGTGGCGCGAGCGACGGGCCGAGTACGAGCAGAAGGTTCGGGATGAAGTGCGCAAGGGATTGGGCTTGTGATCAACTTTTTCAAGCATGGAAGAGTCTCCCCCTCTATAACGCGTTGATGAAATGGCGTCGAGAATTGAGCTTTTGATTTTTGGTTCTTCCTTGTATGCATTGCTTGAATGGCGAGGGCTTGTTTGTGCAGCTTGTATGTTATTTAACATTCTGGAATAAGAGTTTTCGGTGCGTTATCACTCTACTATAACATCAAATGGATTTTCTATTCGCTGGGAAACTGGCTATTGTGGTAGTTGTATGCTTCTTGGAAGTAATCTATACTCTATACGACTAATGGAATCCAACCGGATCCTCTTGAACTCTTCCAACGTGCAAATTTCCCCCAATTACCCAATATCTTCTCAAGTCCTGATAAAAATATGAACTCATCTCTGTCGAAACATTTTGCGATCAATCCACTCCTCAAGACTACCGCCATCGTCATAGAGCTTCTCGATCTCCACCTTGACATTGAGCATCAACATTCGCTGAAGTTCAGCGCACCATTCCGGCTCGACACCATCACTCGCCCAGATCGGGCTCCGACGAAGCATAGAAACTATTTTCTTGCGATCCCGCGCCGCCAAAAAGAAGGATAGCTCCCCACTGGAGTTTTGCGTTTCATCGGCAGCATCGGCGATTTTGAGACCCAGCCATTGTAGTGGTGGAAGGCTTAGCTCTGCGTTCTTGTGTAAATGCGCCAGCGATCCATACTTGTAAGTCGACATGATTGTAAGGCCATGTGGATCGCCGTCAACTAGCGCGTAGAAAGGAAGTCGTCTTTGGTTGCGGTTGGTCTCGGCTTCGAAAATCCGATGGAGGAATCGTCGGGTGCAGATGTCAGGGTATCCTTTCCCCTAGTTCCGGTTACTCAGCTTTCATTCTGATCGAAGTGAAACTTGATTGATACATACGGTAATCAGAATTCCTTCCCCGGCAAGAGCTCTGATATGGTAGCTGTTCCGAACTAGTCGATGGAACACTGCCTATTTAGAAGAAAGAAAATATCAGTCTTGTTACCTAGGTATCCAAGGTTTGCAATCATTCTCGAACGACTTGCCTCTTTTTCAATGACAAGTATCCAGCGGGCGTTTGATACATCAATCTCGTCGGTATCTTGTATGCGCGGGATGAGGCTATCCTAAGGTAGTGGTGTCAGCCCAGGCTGCCGTGGTTGTCAAGAACACCAAACTAACCTCAGAAACAGATTGGGCATTCAAGACAACTCGTGACTCTCGTATTAGGCGTAAAGTGCCTGCCACCAACCCTTTACCTGCGGCTTCCTAGACAATCGAAAGCAATGTCAACGGGAATTCCGGGATATCACCCAGTTCTCTCACCAGAACTCACCACGTTCAAAGCCAGCCGGTTCACTCCAATGGTGTAAGCGAGGTCGTCAATAACACTGTTCACTGTAGCCTGGGACTGAAAGTATGCAGGATCGATGTAATAGATATCCCTACGCGCATTCAAGTTGCATGAGTACAACCGTTGTTGAAAATATATACAGCTCACCACACTCTATCCAATTCTCCTCCTTACCTTTTGGATATCAATCTCCCTTCCCGCAAAGCTTGGTCGATCATCGACAAAACTCGGATGATCACCGCTAAAGAAAAGACAAGAAAAGGGATTCTCAGCGACATTCTATATGATATATCATAGCATGGATTTCACGAGAAGTGCTTACTGAATTTCCACGATTCATAAGCAGTGTTACCCGGCCAGGAGTATGTGCGGTAGGATTCCTTCCGCTGAACAGCTTCCAGAGCCCCATTGATCGGGTTGATAATGCAGTTTTCTGGGTCGACTCTGCAGCGGAGAGTGATGGATGGCTGACTGTCTGCTGGCGACGATGTGAGCTCTCGGATAAGGGCCGTGAGGGCATCATCGATATAGGCGCGGACCGAGGGATCTGGAGTCACACCGGGCAGTGCTATTTGCGGGGAAATGGGTCTGAGGGCCATTGAGAGTTCAATTCAGACTTGTGGACAGAGGCATTAGAAGTTCAAGAAGTGAGAAATGATGTCCAAATCGAGTAGGAGATCACGAGCATCATGAGTCGCACTTGCCAGATTGGAGACTTGAAAGTCAGTGGTTCTTGCTGTTTTTATTTCTCCCATTTTGGGTCGAACTTGTCGTTTTTAGTTGATTTACTCGGTTTGTTCTACTTGTCTCTACTTGTTGGTTCGTTGGTTAGTTTTGCGTGCTTACTGGACCTTGAAGTATACAGATCCCTTTCGGTCATCCCCGCTTAGATTGCAACCACCACCCTTTTGCAGTCAACAAGTCAAAATGTCGTATTATTATAGAACCAGTTTGTATTCAAACAAACTGAATAAAACGAGAGTTTCTTTTTCCGACGATCCCACATGCAGGCAACAGCTGGACTTCGTTGTACACCGCAGCTATGAGACTGATGACTCAGCATAGTGGAGCTGTTTATATCCACACCGCAGCCCTCGGGGGTATCATTTGATCACCTCCCCAGATTTCGAGCAACAAGTTGCTACTTTCGATTGATACGGGGCTCCGCGGCAATGACTTCACATATCGCTCCCTGGAGGACTTCGGCTCAGGGCCATCTCACTCCCGACGAGAATGGCGACTTGAAGACCGACTACTCCCGCTGGCGCCTGGTCAACGAGGAAGGTCGCCAAACTTGGCGCTATCTCGAATCCGACGAGGAGAACAGTGCCTGGTTGCAAACTGTTGCTGACAAGTACCATTTGGGTCTTCCTACTGTATGTATTTCAATTGGTCATTTTGAAGCCTCTTTTAACATGTTTCTTCCCAGGGTCTCCCAATTCTGCCAGAAGCCAAGACACCGCTTCAAGCTGCTGAAAATGGTCTGTCTTTCTTTTCGCATCTGCAGCTCGATGCTGGTAATTGGGCATGCGAGTACGGAGGTCCCATGTTCATGATTCCGTCTATTATCATTGCGTACTATGTGACCAATACCCCTATCCCCGTGGAGTATGCTACGGAGATCAAGCGTTACCTCTTCGCCCGTCAAAATCCCGAGGATGGTGGCTGGGGTCTACACATTGAAGGCCACAGCTCCGTTTTTGGAACATCTACAAATTATGTGGTTCTCCGAATCCTCGGTGTTAATGAAGAGGACCCGCGTATGATCAAGGCCCGCGGTCTTCTGCACAAGTTTGGCGGTGCGATTTATGGCCCTCACTGGGCTAAGGCCTTCCTCAGCATTCTTGGTGTTATGGAATGGGATGCTGTCAACCCGGTCCCCCCTGAGATCTGGATGCTTCCTGACTGGGTTCCCATTGCCCCCTGGCGCTGGTGGATTCATATCCGCCAGGTATTTTTGCCCCTCTCTTATATCTGGTCCAAGAAGTGGTCAATGCCTCTCAACGATCTTACCAAGCAGCTTCGCGAAGAGCTGTATACGCAGCCTTATAACACAATTGATTTTGCATCTCACCGCAATTCGATTCACGATGCCGATAACTATTACCCCAAGACCTGGGTCCTGAACAGTATTAACGAGCTCTTGGTTCGGGTCTACAACCCTCTCTTCCGATTTGGTCCCGTTGTTAGACGCTCCGAAGAATGGGTTTGGGACTTGATCTGTATGGAAGACCAGAACACCGACTACGCAGGCGTTGGTCCCGTCAGCAATCCCCTTAATATGATCTGCTGTTTCATCCACGATGGCCCTGATAGCCACACCCTTCGTCGTCACCAATATCGACTGAACGACTACATGTGGATGAAGAATGAGGGCATGCTGGCCAATGGCACCAATGGAGTCCAGGTGTGGGATACAACCTTCTTGACGCAAGCAGTTGTCATTGCTGGCCTTGCAGATGACCCGAAGTGGCGACCTATGTTGACCAAAGCGCTCGAGTTTATCGAAGATCACCAGCTGCGGGAGAATGTACCTCGTCAAAATGAGTGCTACCGCCAGGATCGCAAGGGGGCTTGGCCTTTCAGCACCAAGGTTCAAGGATACACTGTCAGTGATTGTACCGCCGAGGGTTTGCGATCTACCCTTCAACTCCAGGAGCTACACGGATTCCCCCAATTGATCTCCCTGGATCGGTTGAAGGATAGTGTGGACTGCCTCCTTCTGCTGCAAAACCCGAGTGGTGGTTTCTCAGAGTACGAAAGCACCCGCGCTTCTCCCAAACTTGAGTATCTCAATGCCGCTGAGGTGTTCGGTGGTATTATGATCAGCTACGATCATCCCGAGTGCACCACCGCATCCGTGACCGCTCTGTCTCTTTTCAGCAAGTTCTACCCCGACTACCGTGCCGATGAAATCCGTGCCGCAAAGCAGAAAGCCGTCGCGTGTATCAAGCGCATGCAACGTGATGACGGCAGTTGGTATGGCTCTTGGGGCATTTGCTTCACCTACGCCGCCATGTTTGCTTTAGAGAGTCTCGCCAGTATTGGTGAAACATACGAGACGAGCGAGAACTCGCACCGTGGTTGCGAGTTCCTGATTTCCAAACAGCAGGCTGATGGCGGCTGGGGTGAATCTTACCTCAGTAGTGAGAAGCATGTTTACGTCCAGCATGAGATGTCTCAAGTTACTCAAACTGCTTGGGCTTGCTTGGCATTGATGGAGGCCGATTACCCCCACAAAGAGCCGCTTGAGAAGGCCATGAAGCTACTCATGTCTCGCCAACAGGCTAATGGCGAGTGGCTTCAAGAGTCCATTGAGGGGGTGTTCAACCAATCTTGGTGAGTTTTCCTTTCTTCTCTCTCATTTCACTTCCATGAATAATTACTGACTTTTCTTTAGTATGATCTCTTACCCGAACTACAAGTTCTACTGGCCGATCCGTGCTCTTGGCCTGTACAGCCGCAAGTTCGGCAATGCTGAGCTAAAGTAAAATCTTAATTTAGCGATCTCATGTATCACCAGCCCTTTAACATACATATTTTAATACATACCAATATCTCATGGTCATTCAAAGAATTATTTCGTAGATGGCTCTGGCAAGTGTGAGGAGGGACCCACCTTGAGAGCTTGGACCAGCCATGCGGAGCCTCACTTGGGGTTTCTGGTGCTTTCTTTCTTGGACTCCTCCACTCCTCCACTCCTCCGCCTTTGCCTCCCACTCTCTTCCCCAAGCCTAAGAGTCATCGACCACAACTGTAATCATGAACGCTGCAGCACAGGGCGAACAGGCCCTTAAGGACTCCAATGCCCTCCTCGCCATCCAACACTACACTCGCGCCCTCGCCGAGCTACCCCGCGCTGTCAATTATTATGTCCAACGCTCAACCGCACACTCTCGCGTCAAGCCCGCAGACGGCGGCCCGAACTCCCTTGCTTCGCTCCAAGATGCAGAAATTGCCCTGGCACTTGCTCGCGAGCGCGGAAAGCGCGAGTTAATCCTCGCAGCTCAGATGCGCCGCGGAGTGTCACTGTTCCAGCTTGGCCGATACAACGACGCGAAGTTCCTGTTCGACCTCATTGAATCAAAGACTCGGACTGAAGATGGCCCGGAGGACAAAACGGCGAGCGTGCAGGCTGCGATGTCAGGATCGGGAAAGAGCAAGAAAGATGCCGCTGAGCTGCAGATCTGGCAGATGCAGGTTGCCCGCAAGCTTAAAGCTCTTGATAACCCCGATGAGACGGCTATTACGATTGTCGAATTCCCGAGCGATACTAAGATTCCAACAGAAAAGGAAATCAAGGCTGAGCTGGAAAGCTTCAAGGCTGGAAAGGCTGCGCCGGTTGCGAATGAGTCTAAGAAACGAAATTCCCAACCCACTTCAAGTGCTGCTGCCACCTCGGCCCAGGAAACCACTCAAGGAGCCGAGGAATCTAAGCCATCCGTTGCTGTTCCTGAGAAGGTGCGCCATGAGTGGTATCAGTCCGGCGACTCTGTTGTCGTGACGCTCTACATCAAGGGCATCCAAAAGGACAGTGTTCAAATTGATCTGAAGGACCAGTCGGTAAGTGATCGCTGCAAAGCTACCCAGATCTTTACAAGCAGATACTGACATTGGCTTCTAGGTTTCTCTACAATTTCCCCTCCCATCTGGCTCTGATTACGACTTCACCCTCGACCCACTCTTTGCCCCAATCGACCCCTCCACTTCCAAAGTGTCGGTAATGGGCACCAAGATCGAGCTTGTCCTCCAAAAGCAAACAGCAGGCCAAAAGTGGCGCTCCCTCGAGTCTTCTGTCACAGAAACAACTGTACTCACAGATCGCCCCGCTGCCCCTTCAGCACCAGCCCCATCTGGTCCTGCTTACCCAACTTCCTCTCGCCATGGAGCTAAAGACTGGGACAAAGTTGCTTCCTCTCTGACATCCAGCAAGTCCAAAGGTAAGAAGAAGGAGAAAGAAGGCGCTGCAGGAGACGAGTCTGATGCAGAGTCTGTTGATTCGGACTTTGGTGGCGATGCAGTGGATGGATTCTTCAAAAAGCTCTACGCTGGCGCGGATCCTGACACCCGTCGTGCCATGATGAAGAGTTATGTCGAGAGCCAAGGAACGTCACTTAGCACCAACTGGTCCGAGGTTGGGACTAAGAAGATGGAGGTACACGAGAGCTGAAATTCTCACTAAAATGTTGCTCTTACTAATTTGCTCTTGCTGGCTGGTTCATGTCTTAGTCGCATTTAGCTAATGGAGTTTGCGGGTTTCTTCCGACATGTTCTTAATTTATGGTCGTAGTAAAATTGATGATATTGCGTTGCCACCACCTCCCCCCGTAGTTGGCTATGCCTTTTCATGTCGCACTTAGCAGAATCTACCGACAGATGGAATCATTAAGCTTTCCGAGTCTGTCAGAATGGCTTCTTTCTGATATGTCAGTGTTTACTTTTACTGCCCCTCTGTGGATCCACGAAAGGATCACACCTCTACTAGCAACCAGTCCGAAGGGACAAAATGTGTCATCTACTATATTAAGGTTCACTTCGGATTTTAGACAATCGCTTAGGGCGATTTTGACTTGAGTAATAGTCTAACCATCTTAGTCTTGAAGCTGGCTGAAAGCTTTTTCCAGCGGTCCTCACGGAAGTCAACATGGTCAACCGGTTTCTATTGGAACTGCTGCTGACGCCGGGGACAGTCCCCAAAGCGGCCAGGACTAGGCCATTTTGGTTCTCGGTGGACAAAGTTTATGACCGGGACAGAGCACACACTTCTGAAATATCGGGATCTCGGCGATAGATCCTTTCTCCGTATCCCGTACACAGATGAAGAGTTGCCGACAGGAATGGCAAACACAAGGGGATACTTACTAGCCCGCTCAGGCCCTTTAACCATAGGCCACGATTTACCAAATTCCCACCATCGTCATTATAAAAGGGCAGTTGGAGTTGATCTGCATTGAGATTTTCACCATCAACGAACCAAAAGTCTACGTAAGAGCGGGGCGCAAATTAAGCTCGCGGCCGGGCAACCCTAACTTTTACCTAATGCTTCCGATGCCGTTGGGGTTACTTGGAGTCTTTGTGCCATTCTCTACAAACCTTCCATTTTTATTATTCACGGATTTCAAATATACTCTACCGTATTGATTCTTTTTACCTAAATCAATCCGTGATCACGTTCCAGTCCACAGTCCGTATAATTTCCCCGGTTTCTTCACTCATCTCGCCCACGATATCCCATCATTCCCACGTCTTCCATAAACAAACCCTCTACAACATCAATTCAACCACCACCAAAGCCCTATTTTTCAATTCGAAATCTCAAAAATGGTTCGCAACATTCATATTGCAGTGCTGGATGTTGACATCCCAGCTCGCGGTCTTTATGAAGCCCGAGGCCTTTGCAGCGCCCACTTCCGCAGCATCCTCCGCGAAACAGCAGCACACCTAAACGAAACCAACCCAAATATAACCGACCCCATTAATATAACCGTCACACCTTATGACATTCGCGGAGGCCACTTCCCCGAGTTCCACCTTATGCGCGGCCACAAGACCACAGACGGATTCCCCGTTCTGAACCCCATCGACGCCATCATGATCACCGGCGGCAACCCAGGTGTGTACGAAATGCCACACTCACCCTGGATGCAAGTGTTGCAGAAATTCATCAGAACTGTCTACGACGAACACTCCGAAGTCCGCATTCTGGGCACCTGCTTCGGCCATCAGCTCATTTCGCACGCGCTTGTTCGCGATCCCGAGGACGAGGTCCGCGACGTCTACGTTGAGAAGTGCCCTCTGGGAAGAGAAGTGGGGATTTACAAAGTTGATCTTAATAAGGAGTTTATTCGGTCATTCCCGTCGGCTTTCTCGCACTTGGAGAATGGCCAGATGCGCATCCAGATGTTTCACGGTGATCGGGTCATGGCTGTTGAGAAGGGGGCTCCTGTGTCGCTGAGCGATAGCCCGCCTGTTTCGCTGCCTGCTCCCTGGATTAATGTTGGAAGTACCCCTATCTGCCCTATTCAGGGCCTTTATAACCCCGGCCGTGTGTTGTCTGTTCAGGGTCACTATGAGATGGATGCATTTGGCTTGACCAAGATGTGCAAGGATGCTGCGCCCACTATGGGCTGGAAGGAGTCTAAGCTTGCCATCTTCCTGGAGCAGGTCGGTCCTGATATGGTGGATCAGCAGGACGATGCTAAGTGCTTCGCCACGGCGGTTGTGTCCTTCTTGTCTGACCTGGAGGGATGACTAGTTCAAGTCCTTGAAAGGGCCAGTGTATATAAACAAACTAAAAGTCATAGAAATTTCTTGCATATACATGAAGCTATTGTGCAATATTCGTAGATGTATGCCAGTGGTAGATGTACATCTTTTTTTTCTCTGCGTCTTCTTCCTCTTCTTCTGCGCCAAGCTTGGAATTTATTCCAAAATTTACTCATCTTCCACGTCATCTTCGGAAGAGTTTTTCCCGTTTCGATACAAGAAAAACTGTGTGAAGATCGCCATGTCTAGCAAAAGTGTGCCTGCACTTCCCACGAGCCAGGACAGATTGACCAACACATAGCGCCCGTAGAGTTCAGTAGCCTCGCCCGGACGACAGTGCGCCCGATGACGATGAGAAGAGACATCCAGGCCATCGGAAAGAGACGATACACCCTGCAGACTGGCGAGTACGCCAGGATGGAGAGTACATAAGTCAAATTTCCGATACAGGCAAACAGGAAGAAGAGAAGTGACACGCCGTCCGTAGATTTCCGGCGGAAATTCAGCAAGAGCTGTGGTAGACGCGACCCCAAATAGAAGACGGCACACAGGTATCCGAAGAACTGGCCGAGCGGGTCCATGGTGAGGGGTTCGGGTTCGGAGCTCGAAGACTTCGAGCCCGGGCTTACATACCAACCCACAGTTCCAGCCACGCAGACCAGCACGATGGCCGTGAAGTTAAAAAGGAACGATTTGAGAGAGGAGATTTGGCGGCGGCGGCGTCTTTTCCGCGCAGCGCTCGAATCATTCGAGTCGATGAATGGAGTTGCGGGCGAGAAGGTGTGTGCCATCTACATGAGTATGCAAGATATCACGGAACGAAGTGGCGGAATGGCGTCTTCCTTGCGCGGAGGTCGACGAGGTAGGTCGGATGGGATGTTGAATCTGCACATGGCCGTTGGACTTTGGTAAAAGGGAAGTTTGCTCGGTTGGTGGTGGGACCGCGCGAGTTCCATTTTCCTGATCGTCTAATGCGCCGGTGGCGACTGGCTGTGACTCTGACTCGGGAGATGGCGTTGGCGTTGGAGAAAGCTCATCCTGGAGTGTGAATCCTCTATAATAGAAACATTGGCCCAAGAGAACAATATCTGCCAAGGTGTAGTAGACTGCCAGTATGATCATGGTTGGCAGTACGCCTTGCATGACGGCACCTAAGATATTGAAGACATCACCGGCCAACCACACGACCAGAAATAAGAGTGATAAGCCATCGGCAGATCCGCGTCGGAAATTTTCAATGATCTGTGGCGAGAAGACGACTACCCAGCAGGCAAGGGAGATAGATCTGAAATTTATGTCAGCTGAGGGCCGTTGGAAAGCTTCATGGTGATTCCTGGTTTCTGGGTCCTGATTCGCTGGGTCGGATAATTAAGTGACAGCTGCATGAGGCGTTGTGCAGTTTGGAATCCCAGAGTCACACAAAACCAGGAATGCGATTTTGAAGAATCAAAACATAGAAGAGGCGATAATGGGGGCAAAAACCTACCCACAGATACCACTCAGGGCTTCGATATTCAAATTGACTGCCTGTGGGGGGGGAGCATGCTGCCGACGGAGAATGATATGATCGACCGTGGCTCGAATCACGGATTTCGTTAACAATGGGCACGATACGTGCAGAGTGACTCAAGATAGACAGGACTTTAGTAAACAAAGGTAGACTTTATTTGTCAATGTTAAAACATGACAATTGGATGAGGAGAGAAAAGTTGGAGAAATCCGCGGGTCCGATGTGGATGACGTCGGGCGGTCACGTGAACTTAATCTATACAGTTTCTAACGCCAAAGAGAGGGTGATTTACTATCTTGATTTACTTCATACCTAGGTATTGAATATGTCTCATGTTCTAAGCGAGTAGAAATAAAATATAATCAAGTTAGTTACATCTCGATTATGGATGGCATCGAGCAACCTCAAGTGACTGGCACTGGCGGACTTATGACATGAGCTGCACCAGCTTGTCCTGGAAGCCACAGAAGGCATTGACAGCCTGATACTACATGTCAGCAATTTTGACCCAAGATAGAAATTAGTTGACCTCATACCTCTATCAATTTTACATTACTGGCACCATTCAGGTCACGAGTAAAAGTAATCTGGAACTTTCCCGAGTCATTCAAGTACGAAGTTCCTGGGGCTGGGAGCGGCGTAGTCGGAGCAGCATCAAATAGCGATGGGGCATTCACAGGCGCAGCTTGGGTGCTGAGCTGCTCAAGCAAAGGTGGCGAGATAGTAAGACGATCTATGCCGGCAAGAGAGTAGATTTCCTCGGTAGAAGTGAGGCTAGCTCCCAAAACCTGGGTATTGGCATTGATTGACTTGTAGTACTCTTGGATTGCCCGGCAGAGTGGAAGCAGCTTTGCATGGTCCACAAAACTGTAAAATATAAGCTTTTGTCAACATGAAATCCGAAATGTATCACTGTGAGTAAATTATGGAAATCCACGAGACTCACCCTTCTTGGAGATGAGCTCTGAGTTCGTTGACATAGGGCGAGATGTAAGTGCAGCCCACCTCAGCCGCGAGCACGGCCTGGGTCATGGTAAAGAGCATGGTACCAAGAGTTCTTACACCGGCCAGCTCAAGTGTGTGGCAGGCCATCATGCCCTCCCAAGTACTGGGAATTTTGATAGCGATGCGTGTGATATCAAATCCTGGTTGGACATGCTGGAACAGCTGGACAAGTCCTGAGGGGTCGTCATGTCAGAACCACAAGGATTTGAAGTTGAAGATTTGGAGAGGGATGTTCAAACACATACGAAGAGCGTTCACAATCGTCTTCTCTTGTGAGTACGAGTAGTAGGGGTTTGTTTGAACGAGGACGGTACCCTTGACGTGACCCGACATTCTCACGGCCAGGCGTACAATCTAGAAAACAATGTTAGCTTACTTTCAATTTAAAGGCCAGTTGGTCATTGACTCACCCCAATTTCAACAGCCAGTTCTTCGACACTAATGGAAGAAAACTTTGGATGGAGAACCTTCGCATCCACCTTGGCGGAGGCAACAATCTCTGCAGAAGACGGTTTCAATAGTTCTCCGAGAATAATGGCCTGGAGATCATGTAAGTAGGGATCCTCCGACTCCGATCTAAGTCGTCCTTCGTTTGTTGATTGGAAATTTCAAGCTTACCTGGTTTGAGGTTGAGTGTTGAAAAGGGCCGAGCGATCTAGCAACTAGACAATGGTAAGTATCTGTGCAAAGCTATGTTTTGTTTGAATCGTCACTACATACCCTCAATATCCGCTGTGTCGCAATCCACGACAGTGCGCGAGCGAAGATAGTCCAGTCCGGTCGTGGTAGCCATCGTGTGAAAGAAGTAGCCTAACTTTTTGGGTCTGGATATTACAAATCGAAGAATTGAGGCTTGTGGTTTCAAGGTTTATGATTTCGTCGCGGTAAACAGACACCGATGGACAGGGAGGTCTAATAAAAGGGCTTCGGCGCTCTCTGCGCCGAGCATCCCACCTCCGTACGACCCAGTGGGGATAGGCTGCCTGACGGGGTATTCTACCTAACGGGGGTATGCTAACCGCCAACTCAAGATTCGGGGTTGAGCAAGTGGACACCAGTTTGCCCTATGGGATGTCTCTCATGGCCGACCCCCATATCCAACCCACAGCGGGGGCGGGGACACACGTATCGCTGCCCACTCGTGTCGAGGAAATGCGTGCGGATCCGATTGTACAACATCTTGAGCTGAGATTAGGCTAAAAGGCAAAAATAAAAAATGATCTGCTTGAAAATATCTACTAATATAGGTATACCAAAACGCCCAATAAATGCAAATCGCGATGTACGTATCGCCCCGAGACCCTCACCCGCAGCTCAGATTCCCCTCAATACATAAAAAGAACAAGATACTTTTGTTTATTTGGCTTGGGCGGCATTCCACGCCTCGTGCGCCTTCTTTTGTCGCTCCCAGTCCTTGCGGAGCTTCTTCGCGCGGCTCTTTGTGATTTCCTCGCCTGCAGTGTCGCGGGTAGGAAGACCCTCGTCATCCCAAGCGCTATACTCGTTGGTGCGAAACATCTCAAGGTGGCTCAGCTTGCCCTTTTCGAGCTGCTTGAGAGCCTCCTGCTCACGCTTTTGCTTCTCTAGCTGCTTTTGGCGAGCGCGGGCCTCCTTCTCTTCCCGAGCCTGGATCATCTCGCGAGTTACAGGACGGACGAGGGCGGGAAGGTTATCACGGTCCTCGAGGTAAACACCCAGGTCGAAGAGATCAATATCACGGACGCGATCGCAGAGAGCTAGGACCTCCTTTCCAGCGGAATCGGAGGATTGAAGCGAGGAAACCTTGTTCCGGAAGTTGGAAAGAACCTCTGCGTAAGGCTTAGCAGCCTCAGAGACGTCTGCGGGGCCCTCAACCTTGACTGCATCGGCGATTTGGCTCGACGAGATTCCCTCCTTGGAGCGAGCCGCCAGGCGAACGGTATCACGAATGACAGAAAGCGGGAAGAGGAACGGCTTGGCCTCCTCGGGGACATCGATGCCTGACCATCCAATCTCAGTGCTATCGGCGGCAGCTTTTCCATTGAGACCGAAAATATTGACGATGGAAGTAACCCATCGAGCAGAATCTTGGACGACCTTCGGGTTTAGAGTAGCCTTATCCGCGCTGTTGTATTTGGTGATGAATTCGGAGATGGTTTGCATAGCGCCCACGGTGTTGAATGAGTCACAGAGGTGCTTGTACACGGCATCCTTGGCGGCTTGAAGATCAGAACCAAGGGCAGTGTCTGTGCTATCTCCCTGGAGGGCCGCAGGGTCCTTGACCTTCAGGAAGAAATTGTTGACTTTGTCCTCCCAGGAGGCACTGGAGCTAACGAGCTCGTCTGTAATCTCAACGCCTTCCTTCCAGCCACCAAGCAGGAAAACAATACGCAAACTACGCGGGTCCCAGTCTTTCCGGTCCAGAGCTTCGCGGATGGTGGTGAAGTTCTTAAGAGACTTGGACATCTTAGAGCCTGCAATGGAGAGATGACCCATGTGCAAGAAGTAGTTGACCCATTGATCATGCTTGCAAGGATCGTGCCAGTAAGCTTCGCTCTGGGCCAGTTCGTTATCGTGGTGAGGGAATGCAAGATCAATACCACCGGAGTGGATATCCATTTGCTCACCCAGGCGAGCTGAAGCCATGGCTGAGCACTCGATGTGCCAACCCGGACGTCCCTTGCCCCAGGCGCTATCCCAGCTTGGCTCACCAGGCTTGGATGACTTCCAAAGGGCGAAATCAGAGGCTCCACGCTTCTCGGTCGTCTTGCTTGCCAGAGAACCTTCGCCCTCGGCGGCCAGCTTGTTATCGGATCGGCTCCATGGTTCCAGGCGGGCGTACGGGTGTCCGGCACCTTCGAAGGCATCAATATCAAAATAGACCGAGCCATCCTTGGTCGCATATCCAAAGTTGTTCTTCACAATTCGCTCCACGAAATCGGCAATCTCGGCGCCGTACTCGGTAACACGGGTCAGTGCGTCGGGGTCGAGAACGTTCAAATCGCGCATGTCGGTCAAGAAGCGTTCCTCATACTTCTTGGTGAGCTTGGTAAAGATTCCGTGGTCGTTCGCATCAATCAATGCCCCCTTGAGTGCATCCAGGTAGGGGAGCAAGACATCTTGTGCATCAGTGTAGAAAGCTTCGGCGAACAAAGCGGCATCGCCAGCCTTACTAGCACCGGCTTCGGCGTCTTTCAGAACCTTCGCAGCTGAAGCCGCAGTCTTGATGTGCATTTTGATCTTGGCCTCCTCGTCGCCGGCCTTCTCGTTGCCTGGCAGAGCTCCTCCGCTCAACACGATTTTGTAGGCCTTCTCTACCTCGGCTTGGTACTGCGCAGGGGCCAGCATAGGATCCAACAAAGACAGATTCTTCTTCAGGTATGCAGTATAGGCGGTTTTCACAGTATCGATAACCTCGGGGGTAATAGTAGGATTGGTACCGACGAACTCGTTGAATAGGTGCTGTTGTCTGGCGCGCAGGATGATCTATGATAGGGAGAAAAGACAACAAAGTCAGCTTTGGGATTTCACATTCCGATAGAAAGATTCATTGATCATATATCATACCTTGTCATCCACATCCGTAATGTTCATTACGAAGTTGACATCGAACTTAAAGTAGTCGCGCATAATGCGCCGAATGATATCGGTACTGACATAATTGCGGGCATGGCCCAAGTGCGCATCGTCATAGACAGTCGGACCGCAAGCGTACCAAGTAACCTTCTTACCAGCGGGGTCGATTGGAACAAAGGGTGTCTTGGACTTGGTCAAGGAGTTCCACACCTTCAGCGGCGGAAGTTGAACCTCCGCGTTGGTTGGAGGTTGCCGCCAGGGCGGCTGCTGGCGAGACGACATGGATCTGGATAAAAGTACAATGGACCTAAATGCGAACCGCCGTGGAAGGAGAACTGAAGAGGAAAAGAAGGCGAGGGGCATTCAGAAGGAGAAAAGAGTAGAACGACGCGGGGCACAGCATGGAACTGAATGACTCGTCGCATCAACACGCACTGATTGGTCTGGTCCACATGACCCGCAGCCCTGAGCCCTACTTTCCTAAAGGGGATCACTTTTTCTGCGGAGACTGACTACAACTGCAAGACTTCAAGATTGCAAGGCTCATTCTCCTTCAACCTTGAACCTTACCATTGACTCATCTGGGCTGTGTTTCTCTAGGCAATCATGCCCTCCCCTTTCCTGACCCCCGGTGAAACCGCTCTCGCCGACAATGTCGCCCTTCTCCACCTGCGCCGCGATGATAGCATGCCAACGGTCCTCCGCGCCTTCGACGACAAGAATGAAGGCTACAAGGAGGGAAAGGTCTCCAATACTCGATTCGGCTCATTCCCACACAGTACTCTGATCGGTCAGAAATGGGGCTCTCAGATCGCCGCCTCCAAGGTCGATACTGGCTCTCGCGGCCGCAAACCTACCAAGCGCAAAGCCGAGGAACTTGATGCGTCCACTGGCGCTGACGAGGACAGTGTCTCCACTAAGACGCCAGTGACTGCTAGCAGTGGTTTCCTTCACCTGATGTATCCGACTCCGGAATCCTGGACTCTATCACTACCGCATCGCACCCAAGTCGTCTACACTCCGGACTACAGTTATATTCTCCACCGACTTCGCGCACGCCCGGGCAGCACGGTCATCGAAGCTGGTGCCGGTAGTGGCTCTTTCACCCACGCGTCCGTTCGCGCGGTATTTAACGGATACCCGGGCGAGGAGCCCGCGACCAAGAAGCAACGATTAGGCAAGGTATGCAGCTACGAGTTCCACGAGCAGCGTGCCGGACGAGTGCGAGAGGAGATCACGGAGCACGGGCTCGACGGACTAGTCGAGGTGACTCACCGCGACGTCTACGAAGATGGATTCCTCCTTGGGGACCCGCAAACAGGCCGATCGCCCAAGGCCAGTGCCATCTTCCTTGATCTCCCCGCTCCTTGGTTGGCTCTGAAGCACCTGGTGCGACACCCCGCCTCCGGTGCAGAGTCACCGCTGGACCCCAACGCCACAGCTTACATCTGTACATTCTCTCCCTGTCTCGAACAGGCTGAGAAGACAATCCGCATGATGCGCAAGCTGTCGTGGCTGAATATCTCAATGGTCGAAGTGCAACACAACCGCATCGAGGTGAAGCGGGAACGAATTGGACTCGATTGTGACGGAATTCGCGGTGCGACGGTCTTCCCCAAGACCGTCGATGAGGCTGCCAACAAGCTCCGCGAAGATGATGCGCGCGCCAAACGCTTTCGCTTGGGTCGTACGGAGGATAAAGAGGCTTCTGCTAAGGAGAAGGAAGCTTCCTCCGTACAAGAGCCAGCTGGCCCGTTGTATAGCGTGGGTCGGTTGGTTCATCGCTCAGAAAATGAGCTCAAGACACATACCTCCTACCTAGTATTTGCCATCTTGCCTCGGGAGTGGACCGAGGAGGACGAGCAGAGGTGTCGTCAGAAATATCCCTCGGACAAGGCGGATAACAATGACCGCCTCCCAACGGGGAAGAGCAGGAAGCAGATGAAAAGGGAATTTAAGGAGCTACGCTTGAAAGAGGCCGCGGACGAAAAGGCAAAAGCTCAACAACCAACAGAAGAGACCTCTGAAGCATAGAAAATGCTACAAGCTTGTCTCCGCGGAGCATAATTATTGGGTGTACTATTAACTCGGGGCATTTTCAAAAGCGTTCCATCCATTCTATACCATTTCTCTATGATGTTTAATTTGAATTCATATTCAAACGCAAAGTGAATTTGTGATCGTAATCTCATGTGCATATAAGCCTTAAGGGGCTGTGGGCAAGTATATTCTAAAATGTACTCCGGTTTGGAGCGTGGAAATGAAGCCAATAGTACGACATGGCCATGAAGTATGGAACAATCGAAATGACAGATGACAGTGAGAACAAAATCAAGGTGAGGACAAAGCTTAGAGGTTGTTCTCAACTCGAAACTTGTCCCATGCCTCGTTCAATATTCCGAAAACTGCGCTAGAGATCATGCGTTGCTCGGTCGTGGCGGTGGTTGAGATCTAAAGGACGAGGTCAGTAGGGAACTCTCCAGACAGTAGATGAGACTGATTTTGAGACATACCTTATCCGGGTGAACCTTCGCGATACCCTTCATATATTGAATCTTAACCTTGTTCGGCAATACAAGCTCCGCAAGGCTAATCTTCTTCCACCCAGACTCGGCCCAAAGCACCGTGTCCAAACTACCAAGCAATGCACGCAGGTTGTCTTGCTTGCCATTCTTCCAGTTGGCGATCTTCAAGTCAACACTTTCAGATAGGGCGAATTTCTCATCATCCTCACGTTCCGCAGCCTTGTTAGCCTCCCGAAGACGGCTAACGGCTGCAGAATCTTGCCCAGTGCCCGAGGAGCCAGAAAGATCTGATAGTGCGGATGGCTTCTTAGGCGCGGGCGTGGGCCTCTTCTTCGCGGGTGCTGCGGGCTTGGGTGGAGCTTTACTGATCCCAGAGGCCTTTTCGCACCGGTTACGACCTTGGATACTGGTGCTTCCACCATGACCTGACTCCACTGCCAGCTTCCATGTCTGCGCCGCATCTGCCCATCGCTCGAGGTGTTCCAAGGCCTCCGCTTTTCGCATCAAAGCCTTGCCAAAGAAATCTTTCATCGGCTTTGGGGAATCACCGTTGCCGAGATCAATCGTTTCAGCTTCGCCTTTAGAGGGGCCGATGACAGCAAGCATCGTCTCGGCATCTTCAATGACAGCCTTTGGCTCACCGATGCGTAAACCGGTCATAGCACGATTACTGCGGATAATGATCGTGATTGGATGCTTTTCGGGGAGCATACCTAGGGCAGTAGAGTAGCTTTCGTGAGCAGCAGCGAAATCCCCCCCGCTTCCATGCCTCGGCAGCCTTCTCGCGATGACGGTGGGTGGACTGAAGAGCTTGTGGTGAGAGTGGCGGTATAGACCGAGGTGTTGCCTTAGGGCGTATTGGGACCGACGCCGACCGTTGCGGGGAGGAGCTGGTGACGCTGGCTTCGGCTTTTGCGAGAGGGGCCGGTGAGTCGAACAAATCAATGTTCGACTCGGGAGCTGGTGCTGGTGGCTGAGGTCGTCTTCGCCTGGCTGGACTGACATACGCGTGCGCTGATTGTTCCTCAGCAGCGAATCTCGATGCGCGAGATCTTGGTTCCGCAGAGCTTGGCCTAGATGGTCGTTGCAAGAAGTTAGGTTGCTGGAGGTGTTGAGATGGAGATGGTTGTCGTAGCTCGTTCCCACCTGGCGCGGTCGGGCGTGTAGGCTTTCGGGGAGGACCTGAATTTCCACCTTCGAGGAGCATCGCTTCATCAGTCATGTTAGGATCACCGCTCTGTGGCTGTCCAGTTTCTCCACGCCGGGGAGGTCGCGGGGGCAACGGCTCTTCTTGTGTAGAGGATGCATCTCTCATCCACTTAGGCTGGCTTGAGTCGTGTTCCGTATTGAACTCATTCACAGCTTGCTGGAATTTCTTGCTTCCCGCTTTCCAAAATGAGCCCGCAGTCTTCAGCAGGTTGTTACCAAATTGAGAAGCTATCTGAGCAGGGTCCTTTTCTGCGGCGCCTGGGCTTCGGCTATCCTCACGCGATTGTGGTGTCTGCGATCTCCCTTCCCGCATCCACGAAGGACCATCGCGGTTGCGACTTTGACTTCTGTCTCCTCGGCCATCGGCTGGGCCATTCGATGCTGCCCGGCCCTGAGTCTTCTGTCGAGCCTCAGCATGCGCTGATGTCAAAAGGTAGCTAACTGCACCCTGAACATCGGTCCCCGACTGCGTAGTTCTAAGAGCTTGGCGGGACTTGTCCGCAGGGAATCCCATGTCGACTAATTCCGCGATAGCCCGATCCTCATCACTAGATGGCATGGGAGAAGAACCTTGTCCTCGACCATTGTTGAAAGACGGTGTTCGTTCTTGAGGGCTTGGCTGGCGAGGGATCTCAGACACTGGTTTGCCTAAAAGTCCGAGGAAGTCGTCGTCATCATCTTGAGTCGCAAGGGGTGCAGGTGCAGGCTTTGGTTTCAATTGATTAAGTCCAAATGGATCGTCGTCATCGTCAAAAGCATCCAAGCCACTCGTATTATCCTGCATCGTGATTCCCGCACTTGGTGTGCCTTGCCGAGAAGAAACATCGAGCCGCGAAGATGAAGCAGAGCGAGGGATAGGGAAATTTGTTGACGCATCGACCGGTGCCGCGGCATTGAAAGCGGCCAATATATCTTCTTCCTTCTCGGCGGGGGGCGAGATGGTTTGCGAAACGGGGGTCGGAGCCTGGCTGCGAGCGCGGCCTTGTTCAAAGCTATCCCAGAACTGCGTGTTCTGGCCCCCCATATTGGGCTTCGTATCGGCTACGCTTCTCAGCTTCCTGCTTCGCCTTTTCTTCCTGCATGCGCTTCTGTTGTTCCAGGAGAGAGAGGTTCTTATTGTTGGAAGAGGAGTTGAATGACACTAGGTTCGCGAAGCTGTCTCCGGTAGAGGCGGCGGGTTTGGCCGGCGAATTGGAACGGTTCGAAGCAGCGGACATTGGTGTCGATCGACCAGAGGCGCCATTTGATCGTACATTCGGGAACATAAAGCCAGAGCCCATTGGAGGGGGTTTGTTGGTGGGCGCATTTGAGTTGGAGGACCAACTCAGCCCGTTCAAGTCGTCCATAGTGGGCTAGGTGTTACTCCGGGGAGGAGTTAGAGCTTGGAAGGAATGCCTGATGGAAGTCGGGTGGGTTAGGAGATAATGGATGGATGCAATATATGTGCCATGATCTCACCACGCGCACGAAGAATGAATTGAGGATGTTTGCTGTGGACAAGCTTCTGGGGCGCATTGAAGGACAGTTGCGCCCCCCCTGCTGTGGGGGGGAATCTGCACGTGATGTTTCATCACCACCTGGGGCTTCAACGGTCGGATGTTATCAATGTAATAGATACATGAAGAATGGTCAGAAAATATTATGCAATTCAGCTGGTTATGTCCGGTTATTCAATCAGATTTCAAAAAATTCTGTGTTCCAAAATTGACTTGAGAAAGGGATGGGGTTCAAGTTCAAGTTCTCATACTACAGACGGGCATTAAGCTTCCGAGGTCGGACATTTATACTAGTAGTGTCAGTCACGGTGGAGCATGACTCGGAGTTTGAGAGACACATTTAAGTTTGAATACCTACATATGTAGATATTTTCAACTTGTTCCCGCGACTTCTATGGAAATTATACTAGTAGCATTCGTTGTCTGATCTACTGGAAAGAAAGCAGAGTCTGAAGTTTCCCGAATGAGTACCTACATACTAACTACCAGTGGTATCACACCGTCAAGTAGATACTAACTACTAGTAGTATTACTAGTACAGTTGGCTCCTGGGCAGCGAAGTCAGCTTCAAGTTCCATCTCCAGGGCTCATTCACTGCCAGTAGTCAAAGTTGGGAGTATATCGATACCTACCTAGGTAGGTACCTAAGTAGATTGTATACAGTAGTGGAAGAGTGCCTCTCTTCTCTCTCTACCAGGGGTGTCGCTAAATATAGAGGTATCAACAGTCAGCTATAATCATAGTTGCTTGGAGACACATGATATCATGATGTTGTATAGCACTTACCCTTCCATCCCAGCACCAGAAACTGCCAGTCTCATTCTTCTCCTCGATGACTTTGAGCATTCCCGTAACGCTTTCATCGGCCTGAATAGACCCTTTCACTTCCCAACTGAGATCAATATTTGCCATCTCTCTGTAATGTCATCAATAACTGCAAATTTGAACAGCTGGTGGATCTGTGACGCACGTTTGCACTTCACCTGGATGCATAGCTAGAACGCTTGTATGGCTCCACTTTCCGCCTCTTCGTGTTAATTCGGCCGCCATGTGTCTAAGCATTTGGTTGAGTGCGGCCTTGCTTGCGCCATAAGCCCCAAAACCATCTTCATCATCTCGGAAGATAGTAGCCGAACCAGAGTCCGAGGAAATAAACACAACCTTGGAAGGTGGTGATTCCGGGTCGAGATTCACTAGTTTCTGTGCACATAAAATAGGCCCAATAGTATTGGTGTGCAAATGGAGCGCAAAGTCGGAAAAGGAGCTTCGAAAATGTTCAACACTTAACCCAGTCTGCTAGATATTCGAATTGGAAACTTACATTTCAGTTGCACGGTTGGGATATCGGAGGATGCCAGCATTGAGTACAATATTCTTCACTCTAAGTCCACTTCGGGCAGCTTCCCCAACCTTGTTGGCAAATTTCTATCATCTTTAGTATCTGTCTTGTGAATTATCTGGGTCTGAAAAGTCCCACCTGGATACTCTCTTCGTTTGTAATATCGCACGCTTCAATGATACAGCGCTCCGGCATTGTGCAATGAGACTTCAATTCTAAAATTCGATCGGCTTTCGACACGTTCCGAACCCCTGCGATGACGTGGTGGCCACTTTGCAGTATTTGACGGACGAACTCAAGGCCAATACCTCGAGAGGCGCCGACGATAACCCACGTATCTGCCATTGAGTTAGAATATAGTTACTTGACCGTAATAACTTCGTGCGTTTATCCTCCTTTAAGTAAGTTATACCTAGAGTGTTGATTGAAGGGTGGGGTAAGGAAACTAGTGGGGTTCTCAGACGATTTGCATAGGTCGGCGCAACTCTTTCCTAGAAGGGTATGTCCACCCTTAGTTCTGGAAATGGAAATGAGAAGATCCAGAAATGATCTATATTAGACAGACGCATATGCATTTTGCTTTGAAATCCGCTTGATAATAAGTCCTGAAGATAAAGGAAGTTCAAAAACAGGAGTTCTGGAACTACATGTACGATACAACATAAGTTTCTGGACTAATCCTAGTTCGGGAATCACAGTCTGAAAACTACCGTAGTTTCAAGATTATCAAGCTAGTTATTATAAACTTGACTCGGTGGCTTGGCATCTTTTTACAAAAGTCTTGGCCTAACATCATTTGCTGAGATTTGAGCTTGATTTAGCTCATACCTGGCCACTTTAGACTCCGCGCCTTGTGAGAAAAGGTTTACGTTGGTGTCGAAAAGTGACCTATGCCCTGAGGCCATAGACCCTGAACTCCAAGTTACCGATAAACTCACATAAAGACAGTAAGATGTGGGTTTCGACGAAAACACCCACCTATGTGAACACTGCGGTGAGGAAATCTATCTAGTCAGTTCCTCACATAAACACGCTGGTCCATATTGTAGCTTAAAAACGGTTGATGCTAAAGAATTGTGTCTTCTTTTCGTCTTGAATGCCCTGTCAATCATTTCTCAAGACTGTTTACTGTACAGTCATTTTGCACAACTGACATTGTTCAAACTTTCCTCTTGTGATTCAACGGTCAATCAATCATCAATATTCCAATTACTCAGTATGTAGCTTGACTGTCCTTCTGTCACTATTAGGCCTTTTCACATCCAAGAGAGTAGTCAACCTGCTTCCGCTTCGACACCGACAGCCCCGGGAATATACATCCCACCCCACATAAGCTCAAATACCATCCCCAGTACCCTATGCGACGGAAAAGAAACGAAATGTGAAATCGGATATGACCACACCAGCAGTTCCAAACACACATCGCACGTTCACCGAATCCGAGAATTAATACGGATTTCTTTACAGGGGATGCCACCTGAGCTACCAGCGCGTCAAGCACAGCACCAACCCCAACACCTTGTCTGGATGAATTCTTTCGTGGTGCCCTGTCCCTTTGTCTCAAAAAGGCCTTGGTACTTTGCCTTATAAGCCTCTGACACGGCTCGGGACTCTTCGATTGAACCCCCCCCCTTCACCTGCCGGCTCTTTGATCTGTTAAATAGCCTCCATGGAAAAAGGCGAGATCATCTGCTGGCTATCACTTCAATACCCACCTTTGGAAGTTCTGGAGTACCCACACATTGTCCAGTGTTCTACTTACCTCTTCTTATCCTAGCCACCAAGTAACACTGCAGCACCGGCCGATCATCTCACGGCAGCATCTCTCGATTTGCATTGAATTCCACTGTTCAGTCGCCGATTCCCTGTCTTTGTTTTTGAATCGAACCGCAATTCTTGCCTGTCACGGTATCAAACATCAGCCGTGAGCAATTTTGCTCCCTTATTGTCTTTTATCACGGTCAAGAACAATTTGTATCCCGGATTTCGTGTTCCTCGAGGTCGCATTCGGCTTTGGGGATTGCGATTTCACATCACAGTCATTACAGTTGACCTTTCAAACTTATTTTTATTGCTTTCTTTCTGACAATCTGACACTACCTTCATCAAGGAGTGTGGATATTAGCTTTGAAAATGTGATTTTCTCCAGGTTTCCGGACCCCTCCCTGGTGAAGATTGAGGGTGTCGACGACCTCAGGCCGCCAGCTTCTACATTGGCAAGAAGGTCGCTTTCGTTTACCGTGCCAAGCGTGAGGTCCGCGGCTGCGGTGGTGAGTGTACAAAAAGATGAAATAATAAAGAAAAAGTGGTATTCGGGCGGCAAGCCTGATAGAGATAGCAAGTAGGGTCTTCACCAACTGAGTAAGAGCTTGGTCTATAGCAGTGCCCATGTTGATGCAGACTATCCGGAAATGAAACGTATCAATATTTCTTCATGTATCCAATTTAAACGAAAAGAGCTTCAATGTAGCTTAAGCGCTTTGGGATTATCACATGTTTTGTAAAAAGAATTCAATGGCATAGCTGAACTTGAATGCGCCTACTAATCAAGTACTACTACTACTACTACTACTACTACTACTACTACTACTACTACTACTACTACTACTACTACTACTACTACTACTACTACTACTACTACTACTACTACTACTACTACTACTACTACTACTACTATTGACCTTCCAAGGTTGGAAGTAGAGAAATAGTATATTTCCTGTCACATTCTTTCAACAGAGGATAGTAGTATCTGTCACCTCCACCTGGGAAGGGCTGCCACTGGCGGTAGGCACACCTTCCACAAAAAAGAGAATCGCAGCAACTGCCTGCCCAGGTGCCCAAGTGGGTAGGCCTACTAGTTGAAGACACTAAAAAAATCATCTACCTAGGACCTAGGGACACTCCGTAGTCACGTTTGATTCCCGACCGTGGTGTCTCTGCACCTCAGCACCGTCACCTCAGTAGCTTTATGCGGGGTGCTACCGAGAGCAGTGCTGATCTTGGTCGGTCTAGAGATCAGCAATATCGCAGGGTTAACTCAATATCAGACCGACACTTCTAAATCGATTCCGCATCAGCCTCTGCAGTACTTCCCGTGTGTGAGCTCTGCCGATGTCCGCTACTACATAAATATATCATTTTCGATGGGTCACAACCTTGGAAATGACACTGCTGGTTAGCCGCGAAACCTTTACTATGCATAAACGAATTTTGTTATCCAACCTTGAAAAGTAATGGGCAATCTGGTCAAAATAATTCCATTGGAAAACTTGAAAGATAGCTCTGGAATACAATTGCCCGCTAAGCTGTGTGAATTGCAAAAGAGAAGAAACATGCAATACTATGTACTATTTGTATGTGGAAGTACTCCAGAGCTAACTAATTCCTTGGAGGTTGATGTATCATTTGAAGTGACGCAATTTACAATCCATACCTCGGTACCTATGTGATCGGCAGGAAAGTAATGGATGACATACTGTTCTACTCTATAGGTATAACAAGCGATTGAAATCCCCGCCATGCGCCGTACGAAGTAGGAACTGCGCAAAACCCAAAGAAGATCGCGACAAACTACTCCGTATGGAGGACATTATTTACCCTATATATAACGAGTCGCTAACCAAGTATAGTAAGGCGTGGTAAATATATTACCAGGTACATTGAATATAAAGTGGGGGCGAGCCAAGTTCCCGATCATCCGAGTCCTTTTCAGGTCCGAACACCCTGATCTCCCGTGGAGTGGATACACAATTTTTCGCAGGAACCCTAGGCGCCGCCGCGATTGCAAGTCCGGGTTCCAAGGTTTTCTCTGCCCAGGAGGACGATGGTCATGTCTTTGAATAATATATTTAACGTTCATGATGTGATCTCGACTTTTGTACTACGCCGACTCGGAATGACCTGCAGACTAGCGATGCGCCTCCTACACCTTACTCTATTCGGTTAGGGTACCTAGGTATTCCGTAGAAGGAAAAGGGGCCGACCAGCTAGTTCGACCCCCAAAAATCCCTTTCATGGCCCCGCAGAAGGTTTAGGCCGGACTCCGTGCGCTTTCAAATTGCAGACTGACCTGGATAGCCGGCCGTTGCATCAAGTTTAATCTCATATCCTTCTTCAGAATTTGAATCAGAGCTGGCTCGTACAGGGAGACTTTTGTCTGCCCAGGTGGTGGGTGTTGGCTTGGAAGAGAAGAGGTACGAGACATTGGTGGTCATCTGGCTGATTTACCCCTGAGCTACCGAAGTATACGGGGGTATCTTGGAATACAAATACCTTTGTGGAACTCGAAGAAAAAAAAATTAGGGAAAAAAAGCAAACACATAATTTCCCCGACTGGCCATATCGAAACAATGGCATGCGGGAAGGTCCCAGTGATACAATCTGACAAGCCAAAAGCATTTTGAAGGCCTCGACCGGGCCTACACGTGTATATACGCACCTGGCGACACGAAATAGACAACTCAAAGCGAGAGTCGAAATGCGTGGGCCAATGCGCTCGAAAGATAGGTTGGCAGTCTCCACCGCCAACTGCAGCACAATGGGATTGCAGCGGTAGATTCACAGGTTCCTAGCAATCAAGATGTGTTGTTGTCTTAGAGGGAGAACCCGACTCCTTGCCTGAAAACATCCCCGATGCAGGCAAGAGTCGGCAGCTGGCAAAAGTCAATGTTGTACCCAACCACCCAGGAACAATGCATGCATGGCGCTGGAGCCGTTGTGATAGGCCAACGAGCGTGCAGCGACAGCGAATGAAGCATGGCTAACGAGAACGACAAGTCGACAGATCGATTGGCCACGACTCCACTCACCCGAGAACCCCTAGTATCCAGTTGCGGATGACGCCGATACCTCTGATGACCTAGTCTCTGTCACTTTATCGTACTGCCTGCAGCTGTCGACCGTGCTAGCAATTGACGGTGAACATGGCTCGATAGACATGTATGTATGGCGTTTCACGTACATATACGGAGTACAGCCTCAACTCCGTACCGTGTCTCCAGACGAGTCACGCAGCTTTTGAGGGCTGACACTATTGAAGCCGCATTGTGACAGATCATGGGAATCTGTCACGATTTAGTATCTTGACCACATTCCGCGCGTTGACCAAGCGATCTGCATGGCTTCCGGCTGATCAGCAGGCTTTTTTCTTCTCTGGCATGGTGTGAACAGGGAACGGAATAGATGTTCTGGCTAATTAATTTACGATCCGGTATTTAACAAAATCTGACCGGATCAGCCCTGGCGGACAGGTCGGATAGGAAGACCGAGGAGAACGACTAGTAAATTAAAAAACACCCTAGTGAGTTTAGCAGGTTAGACGAAGAAGGTCAAGGGGGGGAGAAGAGCCAATTTCGGAACAAACGGCGAGGCTCATAATCTCTTTTTGTGGTGAGGGACCCGCCACTTATGCAGTGTGAAGGAGCTGATCCTTGCTCGATCGACAGTTTCTCGATCGGTGGGTCTAAAAGATACATGGGTCGATGGGCCGTCGATGGGTCCATACCCTAAGGTACGGAGGTAAGCCACACTCGCGTGGGTGTTTATTGTCCAGTTCCTTGTCGCTTGACCCTGCCCACCCAAAACTCAAATCAAATCAGTTAAACAATTGATCGTCTTTTTCGAAAGCCCCGCATTCTGGGATTTCCGACTATTAGCGGTGTCATCTGCTCGTTTATATGTAGGGGGAGTCCGGGGCTGGGTTCCAGGCCGACTTTTCTTGAACTTTTTTGCTATTTTGATCGCATACGGCCCGATACCCTCGTCAGACACCTCACCTCGACCTGAATATTATTAATTTTCTCTTTCTTTTACATTGGCCTCCCTTAATACCCAGCCTCCCTTAACCTCCAACATAATATACGCGAACCTACCGCTGGGATATGCGATCGGCGTTCGAAAAACACTCTATCCTCATATAGAGGCGCCACTGAGACCATTACACTACGTCAACAGAGTGCGCGCGTGGTTAGACCGAGACTTCCAACATGAAGTGGCCATTATTCTTCACAATCCTCCTGTTGTTTCTATACTGCAGTGAGACATTAGCTGCTCCAGCAGTGGAATTGCAGCGCCGAGAGCCGGACGCGGTTGCGACTACCGATAAAACCGAAGAACAAAACGCGACACAAACAGCAACAGACAATGGATCAACTCAGACATCCACCACAACTGCGACGGACGCGAAGGAAGCGAAAGCAACCACATCCAAGGCTGCCCACGCGGCCTCCACTACTACGACTAGCGATGCCACAACTGTTGCGACTACCGTTCCATCGCTAGATACCTCTGCCGCATCTGGCGGTTCATCATCACAAAATTCGACAAAGTCAACTGGGATATACACTGGAGGGCTCCCGCTTCAGCCCGATCTTAGCCCGGCTTTAGGAGTGGGAGGATTCATTCTGTTGATATCTGGGGCAGCTTTGGCCCTCATTGGAATTCGGAAAAGATGGTGTGTTTTCAACATGAGGATATGAAAGCTCATGCAGTAGCTAATGATCGACAGGCTTTATATCTCTTTATCCACAGCATTCCTCGCTGCTTTGGGTGTTATAGTGAGTTTCTTCGAGCCTTTCGGTACCAACGCAATCCATGGATATGTCACTAACTGAGAATTTTAATCCAGGTTTTGATCGAATATGTGATGAATCCCCCCCGTCACTAATGCAGTTCAAGGTGGATACCTTGTTGCTGCAGTTGTCACTGGAGCTGTGTTTGGCGGACTAGCCCTGGTGTTCAAAGAAATCACCGAAGGGCTTTGCTGTCTATTAGGTGGTTTCTGCATTGCAATGTGGCTGATGACTGTCAAAGCTGGAGGTCTCGTCACCGAGAGTGGAGCCAAAGTCGGATTCATCATCGCATTTTCTGCTGGGTTCTATTGCCTATCCTTCAGCCACTATACTCGCTCATATGGTTCTATGGTCTGCACTTCTTTCGGAGGCGCCACTGCCTTGGTGCTCGGCATTGATTGTTTCAGTCGGGCGGGCCTCAAGGAGTTTTGGCTCTATGTCTGGGGTGAGTTCTTTTCTAACCTGCTTCCAAACCGTAGTATTGTACAAGATCACATAAGTCTAACGATTTGACACAGGATTGAACGATAACATGTTCCCGCTGAACACCAACACTTACCCTGTTACTCGTAATATTCGTGTCGAGCTCGCTATCACAATCATCGTCACTGTATTTGGTGTGATCGCTCAGATGAGACTGTGGAAAGTGATCAAAGAGCGCAGAGCAAACGAAGCAACATCTCGCGAGGAGGAAGAGAAAAAGAAGGAGGAGGCCGAAGCAGAAGTCGGCCGACAGCTCGAGGAGAAGAACCAACAGGAGCGTGCTGAATGGGAACGGATGTACGGCAATGGCAGCGGCAAAGAGCCCTCGATGACCGAGACTGCGGTGGCAGATGACTCGAGAAGAGGTTCGGACGGCTTCAACTCCTCAAACAATGAGACTGCAAACTCCATCGAGATGAAAGATATGGCTGGTCCCGACGGTCAAGGGGGTGCTTCTGACTGCAGCAACACGCTTGATGCAGTGAAAGAAGGCGCAGAAGAGGGAGAGCAGACAGGCAAAGACGACGAGGACACTCCAAGCTGTGGTCAAAGTCACCACACGCCGATCGATCAAGATGAACGTGAACCCGACTCGCACTCGAACGCTAATCTCTCGCGACCTGCCACTCCGCCCCCCGAAAAGGTCTTCCACGTGAACGCGAATGTGCGCGATGATGCCTCCGAGAATGGAGCTATCATGGGTTCCGAGGTTGGCACGCCTCGATCGAAGCGCTTATCTGGAATGTCATTCAGAAATCGTATGTCATGGCGTAGTGGAAACGGCACAAAGCTCAATCATCAATCCGAATCTGAAGAGGCTCTGGTTGTTCACGATGATGCCACGTCCTCCGTGGCTGGGGTTGTCGATGATGTTCAAACACTGAGCTCCCGTCGGTCAAGTATCGCATCCGAGATCCACAAAGAGACAGATGATGCAACACAGCAGAGCGAGTCAACGGTGAAACAACTGCCTCAGAAAAACATCCTCCTAGAGGCGGAAGAGAATCATCTCAACTCCCAGCCAGCAAACGCAGCGAAGTCGATTATTGCTGTTAATTCACCAGAAAGCTGCCCAGAAGACCCAACCATTCTCGTCTTGCCACAGACCAAAGACGTGCCAAAAACAGCCGAGAAGTCTGTTCCAAAGAAGAAAATCCAAAAAGGAAAGGATGTCTCGAAGACGCAGCCCGAAATAGCAGCAAAGGCCGAGCCATCGGATATTTCCGAAGTCACGAAGAAGGCCGAGACACTAGAGAAGGTTGAAGACGTCCAAAAAGACGAGATGGATGTTCAAAAGGTGGAGACACCTGCCAGGGTGCCTGAATCTACGAATACATCGAAGAAAGTTTCTCTTGAAAAGGAATCAGAGTCTACCCCAGGACCTGTCGAAAAGCCCGAAGAAATTACCAAGCCCCGAGAGCCCGAGACCGAAACGAAACCTGAAGTCAAGCCTAAACCGCAACCGATCCCCGTCAAGAAGCCAGTGAAGCCAAAGCTGGACATTTCGACAGTCAAGCGTATTCCGGAACAGACTTCAAAGGTTATCCATACATTCCGCACAAACGAATGGGCCAAACATCTGGCAGATGCCGAAACGCCTGACCTTGAGCCTCTGGAATTCGAGCCTGAGCCAATCGAACCTGAGAAGGCCGACGAAGCTACTGCTCCAGTCAACGTTGATGAACTGCTCCAGACGCCACTCAATGCCCAACCCCCTCCAGCTGTGGCCAGTCCTAAGGAAAGCTCAACAGTTCCCGATGAAGCCCACCGGCGATCCCGTCTTTCAATGGCCCCCGTTCCTGAAATGCCCCGTTCAAAGACAAGAAACAGCGCTTATATGATGTCTGGGGCCAAGTCACCAATGGTATCTCGGAATGTTTCGTCATCATCTTTGGTTGCGCAGCAGCTCGCTGCAGACGACGGTCTTGGTCCTCTCAGAAGCCCCTCGGCACCACTGCTGACCATTACCACGCCAAATACTGGATACGACAATGATAAAGAGCAAGCAGAATCGCCTCGCTGGAGTGGACCCCCACCTCTTCTCGCCGTGCGTGAGGACATGGTGCGCAACCGAATGTCCTCAACCTCATTACGACATGACCCATGGGGACCACGAAATGCATCTCGGCAGTCTCTGGTCGATCCAGGCCGAGTCATGTCACCACCTTTGTCCATTCCTGATGAAGGAGACGAAGCGCCAACGGGGATGACCTCTCCAGTTCACGACGACGATGATGTTCCGCTCTCCAAGCGCCGCGCTATGCTCCAGCGTCAAACCATGGAGTCACCATCAACAACTAGCCTTCTTGGCTTGGATAGAGCCCGATCACCTCCGGTTGCTTCAACAAATCCCGGAAAGCCAGCCGCTGCAATGGCAGCATGGCGCCAATCGATGCGAGAAGACATCTCGTCAAGACGTGATCCACTATCACTCAATTCATCACCAACAAGCCCGGAGAGGCCCCAAAGTACTTGGGGATCTGTACAGCAGATGAAGGATGCCTCGACCACACGAGTGGGTGATGCAATTGCGGAAGGCATGCAAAAGGGCAGCATGACCGATCTGCATCGCCAGGCAATGCGCCGCATGCAGGCCTCCGCGAACCGAAAATTGTAGATGTTGATGAGTTTTGATACCCTTTTGTTTTGATTTGAGTCGTTTATTTTTACTTCCCCTGTCTATTTTTTTTTTCGGCCAGTCATGATTTGGAGTTTGGGGAGATACGAACGAGACGGTATATAGATAGTTCGATGCACATAATTCCTAATGAAACAATAATTTGAATGAAAACCTTTCTAGCACATACGCAATGCGATCTAGATTTCTCGAATGCTCTTTCCTCGAGCTCCGCTCAATCATTTATAGCAAGAAGTGCTTCGGCGCCTTTTCGAACATCTGTATTGCCTGTTCTAGCCTCTTTTCATACCCCTCCTCTTCTTGGCCATCCTGATCATCCATCACTGGTCCATCCGGCTCAGTCTCGAGCCCAAGCTCGACTTCCCTCTCGCCTGCACCTCGGGCTGTATTCACAGACAAGATGTCGCGATATAGACCCATTGATGCTGGCAGCTTAACCCCATCAATACCATCTTTTCCTATTTTGATGAAGCGCGCGTCGACAAGTCGATACTGAGCTGCCCAGACATGTGGGTCGGCTACTTCCATGGCCATCTCCCATGTGGAACCGACGCCCAGACTGACTGACCCACCAACAGGTACGCCTGATAGAGCACCGATTATGGCTGACGAGACACCCGCTGAGATATCCGCACTCTGGCCATTCGATACTATTGCCCTAGTCCCTTCTAGAAGGTACAGACCGGTCAAAAGCCATACCTTGGGCCGACGAGCGAACTTGAAGTTCAGCAGATAGGCACTATGTGCAGCTGAGAGCCATAGCTTGAGCTTTTGCTGTGCCGCCGGGGTTTTGAGGATATTGTCTGTAAGGAATGCTTCAGGACTGCGTATTAAAAGTCAATACTGACCAGCTTATTCAGGGAAGGGGGGGGGGCAATATACTCTTTTAACGTGATTCTAGATCCTTTCTCTGCAACGATGATTCGTTCACGGTCTTTGTGGTATGCAAGGCCGATATTCATGATTTCGCCAGCCTCCACGCCCACGGAAGGGGACAGACGCGAGTAGCCCCGGAATACGGCGTTTGATACATTCGTGGTGTATGCATGCTCAAACAGGCCCTTTTCGCTAAAGAACGAGGTCAAATTTATTGATCATATCCGACAGAGAAACAATTACTCACTCTAGTAATTCATGAGTATAATGCCGAGCGATCATCGGCTGCCAGTATTTCTCCAGGATAAGCGAACCAAGGGTCAGTGCCTCGGGCCGCTCCCCGACTCCATACAAAAAGAACGAAGAGTCATCACTGCCCATAATGAAAGGAATCCAATGCTTAAATCGCCAAGATCAGATCGACCACCTTGTGTGGATTAGTGTTTAAGTGTCGTCCTGGGCGCCATGCCGCTATTTACTCTACTTTTTGCTTGTTTCCTTTTGTCCTGTCATCGCGGGGCTCCAGGCACCCCCGCTAATACCCTTCTAACCTACATCGGGCAAGATTTGGCGAGCGAACTTTACAACCCCGGTGATGATACTATCGGAAGTGATGGGATGGGGCACTCCAATCACTTCAGAGTCCCACATTTGCCTAGTGCTTATCTTGAGCGGACATCGGGGGGGTTTCTTCAATTGTTCAGTCACCCGAGAAGAGAAGCAAACTATGTTGTTTCCCCCACGCTGCTAAATGTAATGATGGATTTTGATCACTTCCTTGATCTCTGTGGTAGATCACTCTTTACTGAAGAATACCGAGGAGATTTAGATGCAGTATGGGACCTAATCCAGAAAGAGCAGCCCGAGTCAGATGCGGAGCCGGATGCTCGCGCAGAATATTTGCGATGTTCATCAATCTATGCAATCTTGATCGGCAGGTTCGGAGATGCTTATAGACGCCTTGATGAACTACACGGGATTCTGGATCAACTGTCTCCGGAATGGGGTCTGCGATATACAAACTACTCCCTACTTGCCGACTATACTCGCCGCTACCCTCCATCCCTGCACTTTTATCACGAACGGGGTCGGCCAGTGAATGCTACAATGTTGAGCGATATCATCGGCCCCTTCGATATCATGCAACGGATGATGGCAAATGTAAATAAATACATGGCCCAGGGTGTGATTCGCGACCAAGGCTTCTGTCAGATTCTGGGCGCTGTATCCGGGTTTCCCTTGATACTTCGGAACGCAATAGGTCGCATTCATCCGTTGTCACCTGGTAACGGGATAAATGCAAACACCAAGGATTCTGCGGTGATATTGGAAACACTGTCGACGTTTTCAGCCTCCCTGATCAAATATCGCGACTTGGCAGAGAAGAATGGAGCGAAAGGCATTGCGGTCTACTTGGGCCAGCTGATTCTTGAACTCCATTTAGCGTGCCAAAGTCCTGCTTCCGCGCAGCTTATGAAAGAGATGCATCAAACCTGTGACAGCATAGGCGACTATGCGGGTCTCGCCAAATTGAAGGTGATGGAAGGGGATGGTCTCCTCAGTCCGGGGTTTACCAGCCCTCTCGCGTTGAATATCATCGTTGCGGATTCTTTTTCTGGTACTGCAGATGAGTCAATTTGGGATCCTATTGAATGTGACCTGAAATTCTCTTACTCTTCGGAAGCGCGAGATTGCTACGATGCTGCACTGGACCTTTTCCAAACGGCCAACTCGAAACGTGGACAGGCAGCGGTTCTACTTCGCCAGGCTTGCTGCTTACACAACTCCGTACGCCATGAGCCAAGCAGAAATGCACACCAGCACTTGAATACATTGGTGGAGGCAGAGTTGAAGTTGAAAAACTCGATCGAGCTATTCGGTCGAGATGAAACGAACTCACAGATTGTCAAAGCCCATCAAATTTTGATAGGTATCACGAAAGGCAATCCACGCGAAGCGAAAGAAACTGCATCGTCCATAGGAAGATGGGGTGCCGAGGCGCGAAACGAAATAGTTGTCCATTTCATTGCCGTTCTTTTCTTACGTTTTGCACATCAAGAATGGTTCAAGTTTTCCAACATGGATACTGCGCTGCTGGGATGGGAATGCGTGTACGAGGTTGCAAAGCCTATTGGAGATGTGATCCCGGTATTCCAGTCCCTGGTTTCTCGTGCATGGGTCCACCACGAGATGTTCAATTCGGATGCGTGCCGGATTCTCGTCGAGGAGGCGCTGGGTATGCTTGATGAAGTGATCGCGTATCTTGACTCGAAGATCGAAAGTAACGGCGATGACCAGTTGGGTCGAACAGACAGGTCGACTCTGTTGACTAGCAAGTCGAATCTGCTTTGGACTTTTAGTCACAAGGTCAGCAGTATCTATTTACGGCTCGAGGATCTGCAGCGTTTCCACGATTTCCAGACGAAATTCGCCTTTTGGATCGAAAATGATCCCTGTTTTCACCATTTTCGAAAACGATTGCAAGAAGATGATCGTACGTGGACCTTCGACGCTTCAATCACCTACCCGCGCAGCAAAATCAAAGGAATGTGGAAAAAGGCTCTGGCAGACGAAGCCGCAAAGATGGCGCATGGATCAGCAGAAATCTCGTATCGCCGTCTGCTAGAAGAGGGTGATATCACCAAAGGTGAAGCTTGTCTCAGCCAATTTATTGAGCAAGCAGAGAACAAGCTCGAACGTGTCTGGACCAGAGACTTGTATCGAATACTTGCCTGTGAACGAGTCGGCAATGCAGTCAAGGCGCGCGAGATTTTGGACTCCATGACGGATAACGAGCTATTTGATGGGAACATCAATGATTTTCAGCAAGGTTACAGTGTTAGGGGGGACTTTTCCTACGGTGGCAGAAAATGCGCTGTCGTTCTGCGTGTTTGGGTGCGACTTGGACAGAGCCCGCCGAGTCATCGATATCATTTGCGACATATCTCCAACATTCTTCGAACAACAGAATGAAAGTGCCCTGGACTTTTCCTTCCGACTTGGCTTTTTCGGTGCAGTGATGAGGGAGAAACGGCCACTGGCAGAACTCGCTTTCTCTAAGCTCCTCGAGGCGCGAAGTATCATCGACATACGCAGATTCCAGACGACTGATTTGGATGCGAAGATTGGAAGCTCCATGGCTGGGTGGACAACCGAAGTCTATTTGAATCTCGCGCGAATTTGCCTTACCTGGAACGATTCAAAAACCCCCATCGAGCTTGCTTCCAAATATGACCACGGCCATTTCGGCGATATCTCTTGGACGGAGCATGCACTTCTATTTGTCGAGATGAGTAGAGCACGGGCGGTTCTTGAGTCCCTACAATCCCAGGCAAGAGAAGCGCAAAAGATATCTGGCGCGCCCGAAGTGGCTCCTCTCACCGCGGCAGTTCATAAACGGCGACTACTGCGATCTCTGAGCTCTCTGAAGAGTCAGACCCCCGAGCAAGAGAAGGAAATATCTGATCTCCGGGAGGAAATCAAAACTTTTGAACAGGATGGCAATTTGTCGTCTGCCTCGACATTCATTGAGACAGTCAACTCTATCATTCAGCCACAACGGCTTTATGAAAGCATTGATGAAAATGCGGTCGTAGTAGAAGCTACGTTTGGACCTCGTGGGGTTGTTGCATTTGCGATCACCAGGGAGGGCATTCAACAATCGATCCAAGGACCGACTCGAAATGTTGACATACGTCGACCTGTCATGCTAACCATGCAGATTCTGCGAGAAATGACGGGGTACGCAGGAGAAGAGGAGGAAAGTCGCAAGACAACAATAAACGAGCTGACCAAGACCATCTCGCATATTTTGCTACTGCCTTTCACGGAGACTATCCGATCAAAGTCCCATGTCATTTTTTCCGTATCGGACCCTCTAACTGCATTTCCATTCTCGATTCTCCCTTTCGATGGGAAGCCCTTGATCATGCATGCGGCTGTTTCACAGGTGCCTAGCCTGACGGTCTTGTATTACCTGTCCCAGCGTGAATCAGAATCGTCATTACCATCCGTGTCTGTTTTGGCGAAGTCACCGCAGGAGACTGAAGAGCTCCTGGATGTGGCAAGAGGTGGCACAGATGTCAATTTACACATGGCGGGCATTGAAGCAGTTAACATTGCGCGGATGTTTGCGACGTGGCCCATCGAAGCGTCTCATCTCTCGAGGAAAGATTTCCAAAAGTACGTAGAGGGTGGATCTCGAGTCATGCATGTTGGGACACATGGAGATATCAATCATCGTAATCCGTTGCTTTCGTCCATATCCATTGGGCATGGCCAGGATTTCCGCGTCGTTGATATGTCTGCGACCCGAAGCAGCGTGAATCTTCTTGTTTTTGCCGCGTGTTTGAGTGGGTTTGGAAAAGCGACGATTGGCAGTGAAGTTTTAGGGTTCTCGCACGTCGTTTTAAGTACAGGCTGCCAGGCCTATATGGGGTCGTTGTGGAAAGTGAGCGACTTCGGCTCCATGTTTTTGATGACATTGTTTTATCGACGACTGAAGAGTCATCCGGAGCAAGCAGTGGGAGAGCTATTCAGACAGGCACAGCTGGAACTTTTGAACATGGATGTAGATCGGGCTAGTGTGTTGCTTGATGAAATGGTAGAACCGTGGGAAACTTCACAGGAGCAAGGAGGATCTGAGGGTGCGGCCGAGATTGCAGCTGAGTTTGTGCCCGATGCCGAGTTTCTTGTTTTGACTTTGAGGATGATTCTCAGCCAGTTGGATTGGACGAGTCCATTCTACTGGGCACCTTTCACTTTGGTGGGATATGGAGGTTTCCGATTTATGGGCCAAGACCGCTAGCAGACTGGGCCGGTATCCAGCTTGAACTTGAAGGAATACAATGAACTCCCCGCTGCCTGTAGGGTTCGATAGATGATATTTGCAGATAGTATGCAGATATGCACATATGCGTATTTTAATAGACACATCCTAGTGAACTGGACACTAGGGCCTTGAAAGGGGCGTTGATCGTAGTGGCCTGTGCTGGACCAAGGGCGTCGACTAGTCTATCTGACAGACGCGAGTGCTTTTCTCCATACTCCGTACTCCATTACCCACAGTCAAGGCGCAGCTGCAGACGAACCAGAACCAGTTCCCTGGGTCAACTAGTGGGATTGGCCCACTTGTACCCGATGAGATGAGATGAGGCGAGGCGAGGTGAAACAAGGGAGGCCAATTAATATTAATAACGGTGAAACCGGGGCAAACGCAGGCCGTTGGGGAGTTATTTGAGTTAGTCTGAGTTTGGAGATGGACAGATAAAGTCATAAATCCCATTTCCCACGCCATGGTGGAGATACTCCTTTATTTGTATAGGTATAGCCTTGGTGTTGAAAGGTACGGAGTATACGTGAAGGTATAGCCAACTACCGCCTGGAAGGATTTTCGCCTCGTTTTTTCGGCTCGGGGCCCTTTTTGTCTTTCGTTCACTCTTCAGTCTTCAATCATTCCTGATCTAGCTTCCAGTCCTTCCTTCATTTCTATTTTCCCTTGATCTCAGTGACCTCAATCGCATCAGATATCACCTACCTTGATATAGGTACACCCACATAACCTACACCCACAACCCACGAACAGCTCCAGATCTGGGGATGAGCTCTGACGAGCTCTGACGAGCTCTGACCCGTGGAATCATACCCACATTCCCTTCAAAACGGCGTCCTTCAAAGGTTCTTGGACCCGGGATCCTGGGGACGTGGTTGAACAGAACCGGTTGTTCTCACGCAAGTCCAACCTTGGGAAGAACAAGTCCGAGTGGCAGCGCCAGTGCGTCCCCGGCCCCTCGTCTTCGTCCTTCCCTTCAATTCTTCGTCCACCCGCCGTTCGTCTCGCCAACCCCGTCAATCACGTCCCGAGAATTACTCCAATCTCTATTCCTCCATACCAATCCGACGAAAATCTTCCTCTCGGCCCCCAGTCTCCTCTACTCAGCGTTCCCGAGCGCCGACGCAGTCGCCTCACTCCCTCCCCCTCCCCGTCCAGTCTTCTCGTCGAGCGCAGCCAAGGCGAGACCGAGAGTGGCCGTACGAGTATCGCTTTACCTCCTCGCCATCGGAAGAGTGAACACCTGTCCCCGACAGAGATGGCCGCAGCATTTGCAGGCAGTGCGGCCCGGGATATAGAGAATCTGCGGCCTCCGGAGGAGGTCCATTTGGCTTCCGATGGAACACGCCGAGATGCTCAACAACCCCGACATGTCCAGTCCCAAACCTCCTTACGGTCGCAATCCCAAATCGCCACTGTCCCCTCCAATACAGGTCAACAGGCTCCGGCAGATGTCGCCGAGGAACTGGCCTGGGGTCCCGCCCACCCCTGTTATCCTCATTTCAACCCCCATGTCCCGATCGGTTCGCCAGAATACCTCACAACGCGAGTCATTCGTATTCGACGCGATTGGATGGTCAAAGGAGACCTGGCACCGACATTCTCAAACCTATACCCAGAGATCTTGGACCCGTTACTATCGGAGCAGGAGTTCCGCCAAATCGTCTCGACAGTCAACAATGGCGTTGTCAAGGCATTCGACCCCTATAGCCTGCGCAACTGGGTGGATGGGGTCATTGGTCTCTTGACCGGCTGGGTTTGGGACGACTTGAACGCCCCCGGGGTCAAGGGCGAACTGCAGCAGGTGGAGTCCTGGCTTCAGAACTGGAATCGCGAAGTCGGTGCCAAGGACGGTGTACACATTTGGAGCCTACGACGAACGGCATACATGTCGATCGATATCCAGATTCCTGATCCCAAGGTTGGAATCGTGCCCAGCGAGGCCCCCTCCTTGCCGAATACCAGGCCCAGCACTGGTGTTGGGAATTGAGTTGAGGCACTTGACCCCTTTCTCCTTTCTCTTGCTGTATATCTTTGTAATTTCTGTTGATCTGACCCGGGTCTTTGCATGATATCCCACACACCCCAGCAGTTGTCCTCCCCTTCTCTACCCTCTTTCTTTTCTCGTCTTGTCCTTGTCTCCGGACAAAGTGACTATGACCCCTTACCATATTCGATCTTGCATCCACCAACCTACCTTCTGCTGCTGGGGGGTTTGCTTCCTGTGATTTTCACATATTTCTTTTTCTTTCTTTTTCTATGTTTAATTTCGTCACCATATTTTATCAGATTTGCTGGTGCAATCCAGCAACGGGGCTGTCTGTCTATATCGAACCCGTTCAACAATACCAATTCGTGGGAGAGGGCCACCTGAATAATTAAAATTAAAAATAATTTAATATTCAGTATTAATATTCGATAATAACAATTCAAATACTCCATACTTGTACTTGAAATCTAAATACTCACATACTCACATACTTCCACTTCCACATGGCTCAAGATATCCACAGGCGGTGTCGATCGACCCCCCACATCCCCCCCCGTTGAGCTCCTTTAACTCCCTCTCAACCGCGAGATGAGCCCTCCACCACCATCATGCTATCGGGCATCCTAGTATTCAACCAGAAGGGCGAGAATCTCATATTCCGCGCCTTCCGCTCCGATTGTCGCCCGCGTCTGGCCGACATCTTTCGCATCCAGGTCATCTCCAACCCGCAGGTCCGCTCCCCGATTCTGACCCTGGGCTCCACGACCTTCAGCCATGTCAAGCACGAGAATATCTACCTGGTCGCTGTGACCAAGAGCAACGCCAATGCCGCGCTCGTTTTTGAGTTCCTCTACCGGCTCATCCTGCTGGGCAAGAGCTACTTCGGCAAGTTTGACGAAGAGGCCGTTAAGAACAACTTCGTGTTGATTTACGAATTGCTCGATGGTAAGCATTGATTGAATTGACCTCTTCGAAGTAATGCTTGTATATACTAATAAGCTTGTGCTTGCGTCTTCAGAAATTCTCGACTTTGGATACCCGCAAAACACCGAGACAGACACGTTGAAGATGTACATTACAACAGAAGGGGTCAAGTCCGCGATCGCGAACTCGCCCACAGACTCCAGTCGAATCACCATGCAAGCGACCGGAGCCCTCTCATGGCGTCGTTCCGACATCAAATACCGCAAGAACGAAGCCTTCGTCGACGTGATCGAAGACGTCAACCTCCTGATGTCCGCGACCGGCACCGTTCTCCGCGCCGACGTCAACGGCCAGATCGTCATGCGCGCCTACCTGACCGGTACCCCAGAGTGCAAATTCGGGCTCAACGACCGACTCCTCCTCGACAACGGTGACTCCTCTGGCGGCAAGGGTAGTAAAAATGGTGGGATCAGCGGACCCGGGGGCAAGGCCACGCGTGCCGCTGCAGGCTCCGTCACATTGGAAGATTGTCAGTTCCACCAGTGCGTGAAGCTGGGCCGCTTCGACTCGGATCGTATCATCTCTTTCGTGCCGCCGGACGGCGAGTTCGAGCTGATGCGGTACCGCGCGACGGAGAATGTCAACCTCCCCTTCAAGGTGCAGCCGATTGTGCGAGAGATCGGCACGACTAAAGTCGAGTACAGTGTTGCGATCAAGGCGAATTACAGCTCGAAGCTATTCGCTTCGAATGTAGTCATTCGCATTCCTACCCCATTGAATACGGCCAAGACTACTGAGCGGACGAGCCAAGGTCGAGCGAAGTATGAGCCCGAACATAACAACATCGTATGGAAGATCCCTCGTTTCTCGGGCCAGAGCGAGTTTGTCCTCAACGCTGAGGCGACCCTGACTTCAATGACCCATCAGAAGGCCTGGAGTCGGCCTCCTATCAGCCTTTCCTTTAGCATTCTCATGTTTACTTCGTCCGGTCTGCTGGTGCGTTACCTGAAGGTCTTCGAAAAGAGCGATTACAGCTCTGTGAAGTGGGTGCGCTATATGACTCGTGCGGGAAGTTATGAGATTCGCTTTTAAATGGGAATGCCCTGCCTCCTTGTCTTTCATATTGGTGATCAACAGGCGGGGTGTTTGGCGTTGATTGGTGTTCTACAATGCATGCTCGAGCTTATCCTTCTTCAACAATGCATATAGTCAGGAAATGTCTGGCAATTCAAATTCTTCATCTCATAATCAAGTAAATGAATTCATAATCTCTGCAATACCCCTCCACATTGACTCATACTAGTACGCCTAGCCTCATCTCTTATACATCCATCCACAACCAAGCAACTTGAACATAACGCAGCATCAGGAGAATTGTATAACCATTCTGCCCTCCTCCACCTTCCCAGCGCCCATCAGATCAATCATCTCATTGATATCCTCCAGCTGAAACTTTCTCGGGTTAACCTTGGGATAGATTCCCTTCCGCTGGGAGAATTCAACACAAGCCGCTGTACCAATTTGGCCTGGAACTTTAGCCCCGATGATCCTATATCAACCACAAGTCAGCGATGAAACTCTCCCTCGTCACAGCGCCAAACAATAACATACTTGAGAGCCCGAAGTGCAATCACCGTAGGATTAATGGGGACTTCTTCAAGGGGAATCCCAACAGCCATCAATCTTCCCAACGGCGAGAGAATAGACAAGGCAGTCAAATACGCCGCCTTCGACCCAGACGTAACAACCGCCGCATCAACTCCTCTACCACTATTCAACTCTCGAATCCTCGCAATAACCTCCGTCGCCTCGAGGTCCCGCGTATTCAAAATCTCATCCGCACTACCCCCAGCCTTAACACTCTCCAACTGCCCATCATGCACATCAATAGCAATAACCTTCGCCCCAAACGCCTGCGCATACTTGGTCGCAATCTCACCTAGCCCCCCCAACACCCACAATCGCAACGGTCTCTCCAGGCCTCAACTCAGCCCGTGTAAGCGCGTCCCAAACCGTAATACCCGCGCAAAAGATCGGCGAAAGCTGCGCCGCCGTCGCGGGACTATCGCGCGGGATAACGACCGCACTCGCCGCGTCCATGGTCGTATACTCAGCAAAGAAGCCCGGAGAAGTAACACCGCGCATCTTCAGCTGAGCACAGAACTCCGTCCCGACGGCTTTGCACTCGTGGCAATCGAGACACCAGTCTTGCCATAGTGGTGCGCCGACCCGATCGCCGACCTTCAGGCCGTATTTGGCGGCTTCGGGGCCTAGGGCTTCGATCTCGACTACGGCTTCGTGGCCTAGGATTAGAGGGGTGCTGGCGCTGGCGGCGACTTTGCCTTGGATTATTGTTAGGTCTGAGTGGCAGAGGGAAGCGGCGAGGACGCGGACGAGGACGTGGCGGCCTTCTGGGGTTGGGACGGGGACTTGTTCTATTACGAGGGGTTTGCCGTGCTGGGGTTGTTAGTGGAGGTTTCTTTTTCTTTTTTTTTCGAGGGCTGTGAGTTGGGCTTTCTGGGACGGCCAGTGATGGATGGGAATTTGATGCTGTTTCAAAAGGCTCGGAAGATAACTAGTATGGATGATACCTCTTTCAAGACGGCGGCTTTCATCATCTTTGGTGCCATTTTGACGTCTGTGCTATTTCTAGCCCTGGAGTGGTTCACAGTTGATCTGAGTCTACTTTAAAGCTCAGCTATGATGCTATTATGCCTGCGAAGATAAGTTGAAACTTGAATGGTCAAATACTTTCTGGCCATATAACCACAACTAAAAATTAGTCCAGTCCGGTCTATTTATACATGTTTGTCTAGGCTTCCACCTACCCCGCAACGTTGCGAGTCATTGTTTCAAACACCTGGACAGGCAATCCTTGGGACGCTCTGCAACTCCTATTCGTGTCCGGGTGAGCAGGAATTCCGAGCGCCGAACTGAGGATGCAGACCTCGGTGCAAAGAGGGCGCAAGACCCCGCAGTTCTCTAGACCTTGGCGAGCACTACCATGCATAAAATGGAGTGATTCAAATTGCAAATGCTTTCACAAGATTAATGCGAATAATATTGACGAAAAGGACTCGTTTAGCAAAATATTGAGTGAACTTAATGTCAGTTATAGGCTGCTTCACTAAGTACCAGCGTCATGAAATATGCTCTCACATTCACCCTTCAAGTTGAGTCTAACCGTGACTAGCTTTTCAGATTTGAGTCATATCTACCGAATATAACCCGTGCTACATGGATGGTATTCTAGACAGATACACACTCTCTGTTTTGTGCCGCTTTCTCCTCGTCTTATAACGGAAAAGGAGTAGATAATAGTTATAACCTTGACCTCAGGTGCGGTGGAGTCATGTACGGAATAGTAGGCAGGGAAACGAGAAATTCGGAATATGGAAGAAGAAAAAAGAAGGACAATAAATAATTGGCATCCATGGATGTAGATGATATCATTTCACTTCCTAAGAGAAGGTTCTCCTAATTGGGCGGCGATCAGCCTAGAACAAAACCCCGCGCGGGCTTCACGGCCACTTGCATATGATGCCTGCAGCATGTTTTTTTCTCTCTGTTCCTTTTTTCCAAACAGACTTTTTGGCTTTGTTTGAAATCAATCCATCGTGCCGCTTATGAAGCCCACTCAAAGCTCTTCTACCTAGCTACATTGGTGGAGCCGATTGAAAGATTCGAAGGGACCGATGCACTGGTAATGGCGAGGAAACCTCTATGACAGACTAGGAAGTGAGGCACAGATGTACTAGTACTATAGCGCGTAAGGGTGGGATCAATGCGCGATTCGCGAAGATCGTGAAGGTTTCAGTACTACTACTAGTAGATTGATTGTATCAAGTTGATCCCCTCATTCCGTTAGAACTTTGCAAATGTCTACCAATATACTATCTATGAAATGGACGAACGCTTTTCGCTCTTGCTGGCCGACAAAGTCAAAAGGATATCACCGCAAGCGTTGATCTGCATGCTTCACACCCTAGGGCATTGCCTCAGCCTGTTGGCTAGCAGGACCCTGCTTGAGTCCCGCCCTTATCTCCACCCGTCGTTCAGCTTCCTCGGTGGTACTTTTGTCTTTAAACACGGAGTCCATCTGCTCCAGAGTACGCCCGTTGGTCTCTGGGACAAGGAAGTAGACCCAAACAAATGAAATAGCGCAAAATGTACAAAAGAAGACATAAGTGCCATACGTGATGTTTTGAATCATTGGGGGAGTTATCAATCCCTGTGTCATTGTTAGCGGTTTTTACTCAGTTAAAGGAACCTGGTATCACTCACAATGATAAAATTGTTACCCCAATTAGACATAGTGCCGAACGCACACCCTTTGGCACGAAGTGAGGAAGGAAATATCTCGGCGGGCATTGCCCATGGAATAGGGCCCCAGGTTGCTCCAAATGTCAACATGAAGAAAAGAAGAAAGGCGACGCTTGCCCAACCTGCAGCTGTATGCTCGGGCCAGCTATCCTGGTATTTACCAACAAGGACGGCAATCACAAAATGCGAGATAAACATGCAGATTGCTCCTCCCAACAGAAGTTTGCGGCGACCAAACCGATCTATACCCCAAAGAGACCAGATACAGGCAACAACCTGGCAGATATTCATTATACCTGACATGATTAGCTGCATCTCATAGTCTAATCCCATGCTCTCAAATAAGCTCGGCGAGTAGTACTATACGCGTCATTAGCAACTATAAACCCCTTTTCCGAAGGCATACGGACGATCAAGGCATTGATTCCGACAAATTGTTGGAAGAACATCAAACCCACAGCTACTTGAGTTCGTTTATAAATTGGCATCTTCCAACAATCGATGTAAAGTGCAATCTGAAGCTTGATTGTATTCCAAATACCCGGGTTGAGGAGGTTTTGATGCTTCGTCGCAGAAAGTTCATTCCGATATGCACACTCAGATCTGATTTCGTACCATTCTTCCATGACCCGTTCATCGGTGGTGGAATGCTGGCGGATCTTGGCAAGTGTCTGGAGACTTTCCTCGTGTCGACCCTGTTGGCAAAGCCACCGCGGGGAATAAGGAATGAAAAAGACCCCGGCACACATAAACATAGCCGGGATCAACTGGATCAAGAATGGAAGACGCCAGGCCCAAAAGCTAGGGATATACCGCGTTCCATAAGTGATGTAGAAGGCAATCACGATACCGGTGACGATGCAAAGCTCTTGGAGCACTAGCAAAGTGCCTCGAATCTCTGGAGGTGCGATTTCGCCGATGTATAGAGGTGAGACCATGGCAAGCCTAGGTAATCAGCAGGGACATTATTAAGGTTGATGGATTCAGTACACACATTCCCACGCCGATACCACCAATAAAACGTGCGACGGTGAGCATTGCGAATGAGGCTGCGCCTGTCTGTAGAGCTCCACCAATCATGAATATAACGCCAGCGACGAAGATACTCCATTTGCGGGAGATTTTGTCAGCAAGCCATCCTTGGTTCATCGCACCTATTATGTATTGTTAGCTCTGGTCCAGTCGAATTGGTAATTTTCCATGAACTTGCCGATAAATGCTCCAAGTTCCAGAACAGCGGTCATAAGGCCTTTCTTGAAGCCAGCACCCGAGGCATTTGCAGAAACCTCGGGAAAGTCGTCGAGAAACTGTGGCATAACGAGTGTGATAGAGACCACTCCCTGATCATACCCAAATAGTAAACCACCTAAGGTAGCAAGTAGGGCACATGTAAAAACGTATCGAGAGGCGAAAAGCCCCGAGATTCCACTTTTCGTATAAGTGCGTCTCAATTCCCAAACTGGTGCAGGGTTTTCCATATCCACAGACACCGTAGATCCTCGCTGAAGAACGTCTGGTGATTCTTCGAGGTGGCCGAGGGTATCCTCAGCTGGGCTGATCTTTTTCTCGTCCATTACCAGAATGTATTATGAGAATTGCAACTCAAGTGGGATGACTGGGGAATGTACTAGTACATATGAAAGTCCGGGGATACCGTGGGGCGATCGGATGCAAGATATACCCCGTGGGGAAGTGGCAAACCTACTGAAATGAGCGGGGGGGGGGCAGGAATATGGAGAGGAAGATGACCTCCGGGAATGCTTGGTTTCAGGAGGTTTGTTTGGGTTTGGACTCGGAACTTGAAATCCAGAGATCTAGATCAAACACAATTAGTTATGCTTTGTGGTAATTAGTTTGTTTAATTGCTCAGTTCATGTGCCGATCAGTTAGGACCACGATTTTTCCTGGAAATTAACCAAGTAGTAATAATCCTTCTGCCATTGGCAAGAAAGACCTTATACGACTTTCTCTTGTCTACTATTTGGTAGCCACATTTTCTGGGGCTGATCCTCAAGTTATAACACAGACTCGACTCCACCACGTTTTTATTGGAAGATCGAGGGAGTAAGAAAGCATAAGAGCCAAAGAGCAGGAAGGCTGTGCAGGTATGGCGATATTGGCAGTATTCCTAGTACTCGGGGAATGAATTCCGGTGGGCGGCTGGGGCAAATAATGCCCCCCTCCCCCATTCCGTTCAAGCGAGATATGCAAATAAATCGGATAAATCAGCGAGAAGCGTGCCAAAGTCCGAGGATTTTCGATGTGATATCAATCGTACAGAGGTTTTGTACATCCCTCGCCTAGGCGTTTAATATACTAGTACTAGTAAGCTACTAGTATGCAGATTATTCTTCTGTGGAACAATCCCCGGTACTTCTAGTAGTCGCTTCAGGTTGTAGTCTATGGTGTGTAGGGATAGGAAGCACCTGGGCATCCAAAGGTACCAGAGGATGATGGATCGGTAGATGGATATATGACTATGGGAGGAATGACCCGACGATATCTACTACATGAAGTGGTGTGGGCTGACTTAGCCATGTGGGTGCCTAGGGCATCCCGAACCAAAAGAAAGCATGAAACAAATATCATTATTATGGCAAAGATAGAAGAATGGAAAGAGGGCTATCAGATAGAATAACAGCAATCAACCTGTAAAGCTAAAGCCCAGCTTTCTACCTAGTGAAATCTGGGAATGCTCGCTGGCTGTCTGTCAAGCAGACAGGTCGATCACAAGAGGACAAAACCACCACACTCGCAGAGTGCAGGAGAGTAGTAGACAGCGCGTGACGCTATAGAGGGATGAGAGAACGTCTTATTGCTAAAGCCTTAGTTATATAACTCTAGGATACTGATGTTAAGAACAGAAATCCCTATTATATACTACTTTCCCTGAAAATTTGACTATTACTTGGTTAATTGATAAAAGAAAGAGAAATGAAGATAAAAGGAAACCAAAAATAAAGAAGTATCTTGATATCTATTTATATCGTACTATATTCTAATAGAAGTCTAGTCCTTTTTATCTATTTTTATCTCTATTTTAGAAGTATAGAAACGGTAACGAGACGCCCTCAATGAATGTCCTTGGCTACTGCCAGCTCACGTAGCGTCATGCGGCCACGTCTACCTCCGTATTCTCAACTTCCCCCCTTTTCCCCGTCACAATGGTTATGACCTTAGTTATGCCCTGGTTTCTCTTGTTTATGTTCCTCCTTTCTGATACCTCGGATGGTAGTTTCTCGTTACTACGGCCCTTTGTCTAATCTGTGTATATAGTGTCTTCACCTCCTAGTGTCCCTGGCTAGTCTCTTCTAGTATCTTTATAGTATCTTTATATTTAATTTATGTTCAATCTCCTCCGTGTCTATATAACGGAACTGTCTAAGAAGACTAATTTAGTGTATTAATTTGGCTATGTAGCGGATAGCCTATAAGTCTAATATAATAGTATTGTAATTATTTAAGTTTCCTAGCTCTGTTTTGTATCAGAGCTTACTTAGTAGCATTGCTTAGAGACTAGTATATAATAGATATTAGAGGAGGATATACTGAGGGGTCTAGCTATCCTCCTTGTAATAATACTAACCCCGGTTGAATTTGTCTTCTACTTTTTCTTTATTCTTATTTCCTCTATATTATTACGTGATGTATTTGTATAGAAAATACTTTAATCTAATATACTCCGTCCGTATCTACATAACGATTAATATATATTGTTTTGGTAGTTCCTAGTATAGTCTTAAAATTGGAAGGTACTCTATAATTTTATGAATTTCACAGTTTTAGTGTCCGGTATATGGTAATTTAAATATAGAGAATAGCCAGTAATTCAGGAGTATTTTTACATTTTTACTTACTATGGTTATTAGGGTTATTTAAATGGAATTAAATTAGAAAAAAGGTCTAGCTAGTAATCTGCTAACTAGAACAAAAAAAAATCTAATATCTATGGCACCGATAATATTATTTAACACTAATATCACTAAAGGTATCTCTCTAGAATTTGTCAACATGAAGAGTTAAGTTTGGCAACTTAGCTCGGCGAGCCCAACATCTGCACACGTTCCTTCCGGCGCACCCAGAGGGAAGTCACAGAGATCATTGCAAACTATGCCTGTAGGTACAAAGACCAAAAAGCCATAATCCGGATAAGAAATGCGATATTCGTTGTTTGGGTCGCTTGATTTGTATCCTGCTCGGCAAGCACAGCGGTATTCGCTTCCTAGGTAGATGCATGACGTGGTTATATCGCACCCATTTGGCACAGAGCCGATATCACAGGTAGGGCATGAAGGTAGGGTGGAAGTGGTGGTTGTCCTGGAGGTAGTTGTAGAGGTGGTGGTAGTAGTAGTAGGGGCAGTTGTTGTAGATGGAGAGGTTGTGGTGCTTGTTGTAGTTGTTGTGGTAGTACTAGTAGGGATAGATGTGGTTGTGGTAGTTGTTGTAGTAGTTGTAGATGTGGTTGTGGTAGTTGTTGTAGATGGAGAAGTTGTGGTGCTTGTTGTAGTTGTTGTGGTAGTACTAGTAGGGATAGATGTGGTTGTGGTAGTTGTTGTAGATGGAGAGGTTGTGGTGCTTGTTGTAGTTGTTGTGGTAGTACTAGTAGGGATAGATGTGGTTGTGGAAGAAGAGGTAGTAGTTGTAGTAGTGGTTGTTGTAGAAGATGTAAAAGATATAGTACTGGTTGTTGTTGTAGTGGTTGGTATAAAGGTAGTGGTAGTGGTGGTGGATGTGGTAGTGGTAGTTGAAGTTGTAGTTGTAGGAAGAGATGTAGTAGTAGATGTAGTAGTAGTGGTAGTAGGGCTAGATGTCACGGTAGTGGTAGTAGTTGTAGACGTCGTTGTAGTTGTTGGAATAATATTTGAGGTTGTAGTTGCAGTTGTAGGAAGAGACGTCGTGGTTGTTGTGGTTGTTGTAGTGGAAGGAGAAGTAGTGGTTGTGGACGGGCTAGATGTTGTACTGGATGTGGAAGTATTACCAGTCTCAGTAGAGCTATTCGATCCAGTATCTGTGGTAGAGCACGTCGTAGTAGGTTCAATAGTTGGAGGAGTACTGGTTGTAGTTGGTGAAACGGTACTAGTCAAGGTTGTCGTGCATGGACTGGTCCAAGTTGGGGTCCAGGAGCTTGTGCATGAACTTGAATGATCTGGATGATCACCAGGATGCCCGAATCTCTCCAAATCTCGATCATAAACTTCAGGATCGACTGCGCTGGTTGACAAGCAGCTAGTCGACAAGGCGTCCGGCGCCACCTGCTCCACCTGCCCTGGGGCAGAATATGCTGGACCAAGGCAGAGTAGAAAAACCACCAATAGAAACAGATAATTGGCCATATTCACGAGGTTGGCTTAAGGTATTCTTTGGTCGGTGGGGTCAGCTGTGTAAAGTCTGACTCGGTTGGTCTGAATTTTGAATTAGTCTAGAGCAAGATGCCTACTACTGGTGTTATTACTTATAACACCAGCTCGCAATATTCTAATACAACTGAATTTTCCTATGATTTCATATCTTGAAGTTGCATTCTACTGCTAACTATCATGCCATCACTCTAGTTATCACTATACTTAATACATTGCTGGAGGATGTCATGACTATTCCCGAGGTCTAGAACCCAAATGACACGGTCAACTTTGATTTGATACATGAACCTATATTACTATTATCTTCCAAGATTCTCATAAACCCTGGCTCGAGAAAACTATTTAAACCATATAGCAAAGTCGACAAATGAATAGCATGATACAGCTGGGGGAAATTCTAGCCGAGTTACATCTGGTAAATTAGGGCCTAAACTCTAAGAAGAGAGCCAAGTCCAACTCCCCACTACTTGGCAGGTGATTCATAGACTAATCGAAGACTTTCCACACCACCAGTGGTCCACAACTAACCCTTAGAAGTCCCGAACAATGAATAAACCATTGAGAAAAAAGAGTGCCCTTCATTGAAAATGAACTTAAGTGCGCGTGCGGCCGCCATTCCGGTTTGGTTTGAATGCGGGAGTTGATGAATCGACGAAACCGGCGCTTTGCCGGGGAAGAAGGGACTCTAGGTCAAATTGAAAGGATTCCCTACCCTTTTCCGTGTTTTCAGTAGACACATTTGACATAACTATCATTCTCTCTATTTTTTTAAACTGATATCGAGCTTCATATTTCTCTTATCTACTTTTCACTTATTTCTCTCTTTTTATCTGTCTGTCTTGGGCATTGTCACACGCCGTGGTGAATGGCAGAACCCCTTGCATCTCACCCAAGGGACCTGGTGCAGTCTACTAAACTGCATGGCGGTGAGGAGCGCTTAAGTATGGGCAGTATTCGCCCCACCAAGTAGACTGCAAGCAATTTACTTCGTACGACGAACCTCAGATATTCAGAACTTCTAAGTTTGTACAAGATATATACCTAATCTCACTTTTAGACCCTGCTGTCTACTATAGTAGTCGTATGAGTTAACCCTAAATCACCTGAAATCCCTGAAATCTTTTGATGGGGTGCGACCGGGAGGGCCCACTTTTCTATTTTTGACCTGCATTGAAGTGAGGTTGAGATAAAACGATTCTGAACATCCAGCAGCTGCTGGAGAAGAAGGAGGCTACTAGTGTGAAGGTTGTCAGATGGTAAAAGAAATGAAGCTGTAAGAAAGGCCTGGAGAAGGTATTTGAATCTTGGAAGGAAGGTTCGTTGGAAGTGAATATACGGAAACGACGACTCTCTAGAACCCAGGTAGTTGCCTATCAGGCATTCAAAATCGTGCTCATCACAAAGTTTCTGGAATATCCGGAACCTGTACATTGCTGAGTATAGAACCTAGGTACAGGTGTCTTTCAAATATATAGTGAAAGAGGTTATAGGCAAAGCTTGGAACATGTACCGCAAAGTTCCAATTCCAAGGTGGTTGAGGCTTCAGTGCCTCAGGCACTCACTCTTTCCCCTATTTCATCTTCCTACCAGTAAAACTTCCTTTTGTTTCGATGTTCTAAAAGAAGTAAATTAATACCAGTAGAATGCGGATCTTACTAAAATTTGGAGAGTAAGAGATAAAAATAACTCCAGTAGGTAATATTTCCGTGCGGTGTACTAGGCGTGCGGGTGGGAGAACAGATACCTGCCAGTGGGTCAGTGAATGCAAACTCGCACCCGTTGATCTTGGAACGTGATCTGTTCTTTCTTCGATCATTGAATAAACATGATCGAAAACGTAAGTGCGAGCATCGGTAGCTTCAGCTTGATGCTTGGTGCTCTTCTAGGGGCGATTGAGCGAGGCCTGCATGAGAAGATCGCTGGCAGACTGATCCCTGATTGGCCCGCTCTTCTATCCCGATGCAGTAATCCAGATGCTTATGTGTATAAGCCTCAGCCACTGACGATATTCAACTTGTACACAAGTAGTAGTACACGTCCAAGCTTCTTCAATGAAGTGCGTATATAAAGCCTCATTGATGTCTCCGTCTGACTTTCTTAAATCAGTCACATCTCACATTACCATCAATCAATCAATCAGCCATTTAACCTTCAAAAAATGCATTTTCCAGTGACATGGGTTGCCTTTATGGCGGCTGTGCTGCCTCCAGCAATTGCATTTCCAGCTACTTCAAAAATGACCCCGCTGAAGGATGCAGTGAAGGCAGTCCCTGGAGAGTCACCTCTTTTCAATACCTACCTGGGCAAGAAAACCCCTCTGGCAAGCAACTATACCAAGGTCTTCCCCAAAACTGGGTCGGGGTCTGCAGGTGCCGATGATCTTCTCTTTCAGAACTTGTTGGCTGCCGAGTGGATAATTTATTCCTTCTACCAGCAAGCCGTCGAAGCTTTCAATACATCCAGCTTCACCGATCTTGGATACCCCAACACCACATATCAGCGCATCGTTGAAATGCGCGATAATGAAGCAGGCCACGTTCGCATCTTTCAAGACCAGATTTCCGATAATTCGGTCACTCCTGGGCCTTGCAAGTACGGATTCTCAACTACGCAGCTTGAGCCTCTAGTGTGGCTATCACTACAGACCTATCTTGAGACGGCCAGCATGGCTTATCTCACAGGCCTTGTCCTCGATGCCAGTCTAAGTGTTTCAAAGTCGGCACTCCTCGCCATTGGAACCGTCGAGAGCCGACACAATACCTGGTCTCTTATTGACGTCTGGAACACCGGTCCATTCTCTGGCCCTTCAGACACTACCTATCCTTATGCAAACCAAATTCTGGACGCAACCAACGCATTCATCATCCCTGACAGCTGTCCTTCCGAGAACCCTGTCTATCCGAGCCCAAGACAAAACCTGCCGCAGATGGGGTTCGTCAATAAGACTGGCACGACTGGGCACCCAGGATCGAAAATCAGCTTCCGCTACACCGACAAGAATAACCAGCCTCATTGGAATGCGAGCGAGAACTACTATGCCGTCTTTTTCCATGGCCTCAACAACATTAGCGTTCCATACGATCCTAAGATAAATTCCGTCGCTATTCCTAGAGCTTTCGATTCCGATGCTGGTTTGATTATTGTCTCCATTGCAAACACGCCACATGCTCCTACTGAAGATAGTGTTGTGGCCGGACCTTTGATTCTTCTCGAGCAGCCAGCGCTTTTGACTATGGACTCTCCTACATTTGCGGCTTAAGAAACAGTCCTTTGAGACTTGTTATTTTATGTAAAACAGTAGATGAGAACTCTGCGTTCTTGAACTTCAATCACTGTGATACAGAATATAGACAATATATGAGACTTGGATCACTTCTGTGCTTGTAGGAAAGGACTTCTGGTAAACGAAAAATTAAATACAATTAATACCCTTGACCTCGGGAACCACTAGGATTTAGACCGGCCGTCGGATTCTTCAAGGTATTCAATCTCGCTGCCAAATCTTCCATCAATCAGCCTGGCCATGATAATTGCATAATTATGGGGATATTTCTAGCAATAGAATGAAGAGTAAGCTTCTTCTCGATTTTCGTAGTGGGAATGGCTGCAAATTGACTTATTGGCCACATTTCTTTTGAGCCCACCGGTATCCCATCGGTATCCCACAATAACTTTCAACGGCCTCCCACAAGGATAACTACTATACTCCCTCGCGCTACTAAAGGTTTTGGGACAGGATTTGACATAATTTACATTTCAAGCTGCAGCGCAGCACAGATATGGAGAAATGAGTTGCCTTAGCATATTAATATGGAACTTTCATCGCAGTGAAAGCTAACAAATATCATTGTTTCGGTCCACTCGTGTGTACAGTAGATGGAACGTCTGTTCAGTGGGATACCGGCCTGTGGGAGGCCGGTATTCTTCGCCACATACAAAATTATGCGAATCTTGTAATCTGGTCTTCTACTTATTAATAGGTCCCCTTTTTATGGTTATTTTCATGAATAATCAAGACAGTCCCCGGGTATAAGTACCCGGCGTGGCCCACGCTCCTTGGTCTGCAGCTCAGTGTGAACTAAATCATATTTTGTACTTCAAACCATGTCTCCATCTATTCTCATCGCTGGTGCCACCGGAAACACCGGCCGAGCTGTCACTCAAACGCTTCCAAGGCTGCTTGATTCAAAGGGTCCTCTGTCCGGGCATCGCATTATTGCCCTCACTCGCTCTTCGAGCAGTCCAGTGGCGCAAGACTTGGCCAAAATACCCGGAGTTGAATTGATTGAGAAGAACTGGGTTGATATCACCGCCGACTGGCTCCGCGAACACCAGGTTGTTAGAGCTTTCATTGCATCCCACAACGAGCCTAACCAATTTGCCGAAGAGTCAACCTTCCATTTCAACGCCCTCGATGCTGGCGTTGAGTATGTCGTACGAATCTCGACAACAGCTGCAAACGTGCGCCCAGATTGCCCTGTCTTCTACCCACGACAGCACTGGGCTATAGAGACCCTCCTTGCCTCACCCGAGTTTGATGATTTGAAGTGGACGTCCCTTCAGCCCAATGTCTTCTCGCCATTTGTCATGGCGTCAGCTGCGGAGTTCATCAAAAAGTACCGCAAGACTGGAGAGCAGGATACCCTACGTCTGATTCTTTCAGAGGATGCACCTGTCGGAATCATCGATCCTGATGAAGTCGGCATCATTGCAGCTCATCTCTTGTCGCAAGATGATACTTCCATGCACAACAAGGCCAAGTATGTTTTGAACGGACCAGAGGACATCACTGGAAAGCAGATTGTCGACATGATTGAGCAACACATTGGAGCGCACGTCAAGGACGTAAGCTTCAAAGATGTCTCATTCATCGACATGCTGTATGAGTACCAATATGCGGCAACCAAGCAATCAAAAAATGTCATCTATTCAATCAAACGGGCCGCGGAGACATCATGGGAAGGGAAATGCTCCACTTCTACAACCAGCCCGGAGATCCTGGAGCTTGCTGCCCCAAAAAGGTCGCCCGCTGATACGTTGAAGACTTTACTGGAGGAGTAAGAAAGGCTTGCTTTGGAAAAGACGGGGGTCCCAGGGTCTTAAGTAAGTAGACCGTGGCAAACATATAATCTACATATAATCAGTACCCAGACGATTCATGTAATAGGGGCGCTTTGCTGTAATCATCTTTTTCGAATCTTCTCGTACTCAGGCAAAGCCCATTTGACCATCCATTCACAGTCAATGATCTGCTTCGCAGTGAATAGATTCTCGGGCCTGAATTTGAGGGTGGACTTCAGCATTTTGAAGATAGCATCCCTCTCGGTTGGTTCAATGAGCGGCATTGCTTTCCTATGTCGAGGCTGTTGTATATCTTGTTCGAAGCTTTCTTCCCACGACCAGTAAGGTTCCCGGTTAAGGGGCCTGCCATCTTCCGTGAATTTGATATGTCGCTCCTCACTTTTAGACCACCATTCTCGGGGTAACAAATCAAGAGCATCAACTTGCTCGCAAGTAATGCTATCTTCAGTCGCAAACATACTGTCAAAAATTGAACTCTGGCCTAGTATGCTCCACAAAGTATACCCGAGCGAGACCAGATGTCTGATGGCAAGGACAGAGGCGTATATGGCTCGAAGCGAGCATCTGGTGGTCGACTCACTAGCGGAGTGTGGGACTTGAACTTGTCTTGATTGGTGTGGGAGAAGGCTTCACCAAAATCGCTAAACTGGATTTTTGCCTCTGGAAGTATGATTTCGCCGCTAGCTTCTCCAAGCCAGATTGGTAAGATGGCCTTCGGTGGAATATTCGATGGGAGAGGTTGTCCATCAAAACGCCTTATTACTACAAGTTCCGGTCCTCCGTACTTGCTAGGCAAATCTGCCCCAGAAAGACTCATTCTTGTCAGAATCGAGACGTAACACGGGTTTATGCCTTTGGGTCCCTGAATTTCAAAATTGTCCAGTCCCTGCGGAATCATTGTCTTTCCCAAGCTTGTACTTGAGCTTTGTTGCGAGTCGGAAAGTTCCGAAAGGACGCTAAATTCAAACGGGTTGGAATCCACGGTGCACACTTTAATGGCGACGTATTTGCCATGTCTTTGATCTCGCACCAGCCAAATAGTCGAGTACGCGCCGTGGCCCAGTTTTTGCACCACTTGATAGCGAGTGTGAATATGATCACCGATATTTATAGGGTGATAGCCTCCCACGCAATAAATTTCTAGTCTTTCTACTCCTTCGATGGGCTCGTAAGGGTGACGTGAGAAGCCGATAGTCTTGGGAGATTGAGACAGTAGGTCCAGAAAAGGCCGCGAGCTTGATTGTGATAATGCTGGCTTGGTCTGGTTTTGCTGGATAACGAACCAATATGAGACAGCACCAAACGCGTCTGGAAAGGCCGAATTTGTGTTGATATAAACTGCCTCGTGGTACATATCTCATAAAAAACTATTAGAAGCTTAGGACACGAGCCTGTATCAGCTGCTCCTCGGCGCGTAGAGAAAAGGTTCACGTACACAACACAAAGACCAGGGTCGACCGGAACATCTGCTTTCCGGAGCCTTCATTGATATCGGAGGTGTGCTACTGGTAGAGACCAGCTATGGGGGAAGATGGTGATGCGATGAAGAGGCTAGGCACTAAGCTATCTAGAAGGCAGGCATGCGACCTTGGATGTCTGAGGCACGACTGTCTAGGCCCCCATCCTCAACAATTGAAGAAGGGACTTCGAGAGCCAATCATGTGTGCCGGGCGTCAAAGAACTCCTTCCCGCATATCTCTTGACCTGTTCAGATACTTTACCAGTTCATGGTTCTGAGCTTTTTGTCAAGTTTAGCTCCTGTTGCCTTGTAAAAAGATGGCCCTATAAGCGGTGAGGCTGAAAATCCGGCAAATACAACTTCCGCTGCCGCTGGATGGGGATTGTATAAACTATTGTTTTTCATGTTTGTTTTGCTTTTTTTCTCCCTATTTTTGAGACCTTGTTTCCCATGCTGATCTTCTCAAAATATGAAGCTTCCAATATGCCTTGTTGACGCACAGACTTCTTGAAAATGTCCTATCTGGACTCTTGCCTCTTTTAGTCCAGTGACTCGCCTTTGATCTTCGCCCTTGAATCGCTCAACTTTCTCAGTTCGCCCTAAAGGTGGGACCAATTAGAAACCCCTGAATGCCATTCGGCCTTGGACTCGCCGATTTTACCCATATATTACGGAGCACTGGATTGGAAGACAAGCGATTAAATTGTGGTCTACGGGGTGTACGGCAGCCTACCCTCCACGAAAGTCCTTATCAGCCCAGGTGACCAGAACGCGAAAAATTCCAGGTTAGATATTCTAGCTCGGAAATATGTTGGGACAAAAGTGAACGTCTAACACCTACCACTCAGTCACTACTAAGCAGGTAATAGTAAGTTTGGACGCCATTTCTTTATTTCCACTCAATCCATGGCTCCTGGCGCTCGAACAGTGGTCTTCCCGCGCTACTACATGAGTGCCTCACATTCGACTCGCCGGACCAAGGAATTGATGCACCGAATTTCATTGGGCTAAATCTTGCAAGATATTGCAATAGCCAAAACCTACTTCGTACCAGGAGCGGGGTAGTTGGTGTTTCGCAAACCGGGATATCCCTGATTGGTGAATGCAACTCTGAGATCCTCCATAGGGCGCTGACAACCTACTCCCATTTAAAACACTCCCGAGGTCTGTTGTCACCCAGACGCACCTGCTACTCAATTATGGTAAAATTGACTTCTTCGATTCAAGATTGTCTCGGTCAGGTTTCTATGAAGCCAGGCCAAGCCCAATCTGGCGCCGGCGAGCCAGATGTTGGTCCTGCAATTGTTGAAAACACCCAGGGTCATAACAACTTCCTAGATAAGGCTAGTGGGCAGGTAATTGAGGCTACAACTGCAGTATGGGGTAAAAGAGGCAAATGGTTTGTCATCGCCGGGTTGGTTTCACGCCATCAGTTCCCAATTGTCAAGTGTTACTAACATGTCCAAAGACTCGCCATGATAATGATAATCTAGTGAGTGACTACGAGTCACATTCTCACATATACTAGACTTTTACTCACTCTCAGTTTCAGCGAACTCGACAATTCTACAGTCTCCATATACAATAACTACTCAGCATCATCATTCAATGCACTTTCAAAGTTGGCGACGCTCAACACAGCTGGTGCCGTGCTTTTTGCTGTGATGAAGCCACCGATTGCCAAAATTTCCAACGTCCTCGGCCGTGGCCAGACATACATGATAACCATGTGTCTGTACATCCTCTCTTACATTCTCATGGCTTCGGCCAAATCTCTCAACACGTATGCCGCGGGCTACGTATTCTACGTCATGGGGCAGTCCGGGACTAATATCATGAACGACATTGTCATCTCCGACATCAGCAGTGCACGCTGGCGTGGGTTCGCAATTGGGGTTTCTTTCACCCCTTTCCTTGTGACGCCATGGATATCCGGCTTTATAACTGAAAGCGTTGTCAACGGAATTGGCTGGCGCTGGGGAATCGGCATGTTCGCCATCCTTATGCCTTTCGGTGCCAGCTTCATCATCACCACGCTTTTATACTACCAAACGCGGGCCAAAAGGATAGGTCTCTTTCAACGCCAGAGGATTACTATCTATGATTTCTGCTCCCAGATTGATCTCGGTGGCATTGTTCTCTTCAGTGGTGGCTTTGCTCTGATTTTGATACCGCTCACCCTGGCTGCGACAACCACCAGCAAGTGGAGTACACCGTATCTCGATGCACTCATCGCGGTTGGGGTGGTTTTGTTGATTGCATTTCCGTTCTATGAGCGCTTATTAGCATGCTACCCATTCATGCCACCCTCATATTTTAAGAATACTACCATTAGTCTGTGTCTATTTCTCATTGCAACGGACTCCATCGGCTTCTCCTGCACGCACGCATACCTTTATACGTGGGCAACGGTGGCGCGCAACTTTTCGGCTCGGGATGCTACATTCTACAATGCAACAAATGGTGTCGCTTCGTGTCTTATGGGAATAATTGCCGGACTTCTCATGATGTGGACGCGACGCTACAAATGGTTAGTGGTGATAGGTGCGGCGCTGCGCTTGATCGGGTATGGAGTCATGATTCGTCTTCGGGGAACATCGAATTCAATGTTCGAACTTTTTTTCGTGCAGGTCATCCAAGGCACTGGTTCTGGAATTATGCAAACGAACTTGCTTGTACCGGCTCAGATATCCGTGTCCCATGCGCAAATGCCACAAATCACAGCGCTGGTCATCTGCTTCTCATTTCTGGGATCGAGTGTCGGTGCCTGCATTGCTGGAGGCATTTACACTAATACAATTGGGTCAGCTTTAGAATATCATCTCGGCGAAATGGCAACACCAACATTGATAAAAACCCTGTCCAACTCGATCTTTAGTGCTGCTCCAGCTTGGGGATCTCCAGAGCGCACTGCGGTGAATCTAGCTGTAAGCCCTCCTTATCCTTATATTTTCGTTCGTCATATGTCCGCCTCCGGTAGCTAACTAGTATCATTCCAGTTTTCTGACGTTCTGAGATTTATGACATACACTGCTCTGGCATCAGCTGTACCTGCAGTGATTCTGGTCTGGTTTATGCCAGATCATAAGCTACCGTCAGTCCTGTGTCATTTCCCATTCAAACAGTAACTAACTGCATGCAGTGATCGCAACAACCTCGTCGAGGATTCCGAAAACATTTAACAGGAGACAAAACAGTTTCAGTTCATTTAACAGGAGACAAAACAGTTTCAGTTGCTAGTAATTGATACTAGTATCTTATTTCTCTATCTATACACGTAGTGCGTCTTACTTAAGCTTGTTGATCTCCTCCACAATATTCTGCGGATCCTTCCAAGCCAGAGTGACATACCTATTCAAAGTCAACACAAAATGCATTCTAGACAAGGAGGACTTCACGTTTTTGAACTTACTTGGTGTGGCTTCCTCTTGCGACAACATCGCCCTTGGTGTTGGTGAATCGAATATTAGTGTAAGCCAAAGTCTTGCCAACTGTGAATCGTTAGTAACAGTTATACAAGCTGGGTTTCATATTTCATACACTTATCGCAGGTCACCTCCTATACCCAGGTTAGCAGTTATATCTTTCCTAAATAAAAACCAATTCACTTACTGCGAGAATCTTGTCGCCAACTTTACCCCCAGAGTTGAGGTATGTGACTATTTGAAGAGGGGATTTAGACATCATTCCTTGTGGAGGTGCTATCTGGCATCGGCCTTACCATTCAAGTCTGTAGACACGCCCGTCGCATATAGACCACGGGAAGCAACTGCAAGAGAACCACCCAGGTCGACTATAGATTAGGTTAGATATGGTACAATCAAAGACTGAATCTTTCAAAGTGATGTACCCATGCTTGCAATGGTACCTCCGTGGAGGATGTTCAGTCGGTTCTAGACAGTATAGGCTATTAGACAACGTCATATACAAAAGAACGAACGATTGACTCCAGCCATAATATAGATCCTGGTTCGATCTCCCTTTTTGAGTCAATTTGTAAGATGTTATCAGGCACTTACCGTGTGCTCTTTTTGGATCAGCAATTCAAAGTTGACTGTACCGGGTCGTGCTGCAGTAACTTGAAGCTAGAGATGATAAGCAAATAGCTTCAAAATCATTATATTCAAATTCAACATCACCACATCAGTAGCTTACATTATTCAAGAGACTAATAATTCCAACGTGAGTGTGTGATTTGTAGTCGTGATGCTGTAGGTTGCTACTTACCGAGGCTCTAGACCCGAAGTAGCCCGAAAGGACTCCCATACCTGGAGATGCTGTCAGTGAACGAACGGAATATGAAGTATAGAGGATAGATTGACCACATACAGATCGTACAAAGCGAAGAGCAGTCATTCTGGCAATTGAGATAGTTCAATGGGAAGGGTAACAAGAGGAAGTTGGCCCGGCAGTTCCTCGGGGTCGCTCCTCCCGGGAATTGCGCAAAGTGGCCGCTTCGCCCGCCGCAGTCATTGATATTGGATGACTTCACCGATCATCCACGACTTTCTTTCACTCGCGGTCTTTCGGGTCAATCATGGCGGCATCCACGTCCCGTCCTCTCGAGTACCTGGAGGGCTTGCCTGGGACCACTTTCTACAAGCTATACCAGCAGCCCTCCACTGCTCTCGCCATATTCCGTCGCATGCTGCCTGACCTGGGTATCTTCAAAGCTATCTGATCCTCGATCGCAAGTCCCACTAACCACGAGGATAGCAAAATGTTTCGTCATGGCGCTGCTATATTTGAAGGATCCCCTTCCCACGGCAGACCTGGAGCTCTGGGTGAGATCTGAGAGCAAAAAGTGAGAGTGCATCGTTTCTATATCTTTTACCTGTGGCATGGAGCTAACCATCGGGATTCACCTCACAAAGACAACGAGATAACGCCATCTCTATTCTGGCAAGACTCCATATCCTTTCGAAAACACGGACAGGAGACAACGTTTTGGCATACATGGTCACCAACCCATTCGCATCCTCCCTCCGTCAAGCTCTTGTGGGCTCCGAAGATTCGCAATCATTCGGTGTCTTCTCTCAAATATCGGGCGAGAGCCAGGTATCCATCGCCGATCTCGACGACTACGCACGGCAACAATGGGAGGGGGTGATGGGTTACATGGTTGGAACAAGTGCTTTCAGTGGTCAACGCGAGCTGAACCTCAGCAAGGGCGTGAAGCAACTCCTCCAAGCGGGCCATTTGGTTGAGATCCGCGGCAGTCGTGTTGACATCACCAAGGATGGATTCGGGTTTGTGCTACAAGACGTCAACACTCAAGTCTGGCATATCCTCATCCTTTATGTGGAAAGCGCCGAGGCGATCGGCATGGACAGCGTCGAAGTTCTCTCGTTCCTGTTCCTGCTTAGCAGTCTGGAATTAGGACAATCATACGAGAAGAAACATTTGACCTCCAACCAACTCCGCACTCTCGCCGACCTTGCAGATTTCGGAATCGTCTATCAAGATACACCCGAGGCTACTCGGTTCTACCCAACACGCCTAGCAACCACTCTTACTTCCGACTCGAGTGCGTTAAATAACCCCATTACCGGCTCCCTCACTGGACCAGCTGGCGATTCGGGTGGCTCAGGATCGGGCTTCATCATCGTGGAAACAAACTACCGTCTCTACGCGTATACGTCATCCCCTCTGCAGATTTCCCTCATCTCGCTCTTCACTAATCTGAAGTACCGCTTCCCCAACCTCGTCACGGGAAAAATCACCAGACAGTCTGTGCGCCGAGCTATCGAGATTGGAATCACCGCCGAGCAAATTATCTCGTACCTACACTCGCACGCTCATCCCCAGCTGCGCAAGCACAATGCCGGTCATGCGACATCGAACACAGGGGGTATCCCGCCTTCGGTCCTCCCCCCCAACTGTGACCGATCAGATCCGACTCTGGCAGCTAGAGCGAGATCGTCTCAGAGCCACGGCAGGCTTTCTCTTCAAAGACTTCACTAGCTTGGCAGAGTACCAGTCTCCATGCCAGTATGCAGCAGAGATCGGTGTCCTTGTTTGGAAATCGGACAAGAAGCGCATGTTCTTTGTCACGCGGCACGAGCAAGTTGCTGCTTTCTTGAGGAGCAGGAATCAACAGTGATTTGATACTAGTTTGACGGCCGTCGGGTGCGCGTCATTTATCTTAAAAGCATTTCAAAGGTAAAAGGGCTCGAAAAACGAGGCAACATACCCATTGCTTGGCTTGGCGTTTCAGGGAAGGAGAAAATATTCACGAAATCATGATTCCTTCGCAATTTATACACAATTTCCAAATTGTATATTATATATTTTTCACTGCTCTCTTGTTTCCAGTTCCACGTAGTTTAAAATAACGCCCAAGATTTTGCAACGCTCTTCCTCTTGACCTTCCGACGGGAAGTTTCCCATTGACCATCATCCCCCTTCTGCTCGTAACTCATAAATGTGTCTCCACCAGCAACATCCGGCAAGAGAACCTTGACATCATAAACTCGCGACTCGGTCCGTACCTCTGGCGAAGGCAAATCCATTTTGCCAAACTGAAAATCACTATCTGAGAATTCGTCATCTGGATCCTGTTTTGAATGATTCTTAGTGTAGTTGAAAGAACCATCTTCCACCTCTACAACCTCATCGAGAACATCCGCCAACAGTGGGCCATTCCATACGCCCTCTCGGTGCGGTGCTGCCCTCAACAACCGAATCGCTAAGCGACGAATCCTCGAAATACGACACTTCAGCCCTGTATAGTACATCGGCGGGATGAAGCCCGCCTCGATCGTGAACGAATAGCCTTCACACTTCGAGTTGCCATTCTGTAATGACTGATTTATCTCCTCGACGCGCGTACTAATCGTACACCAGTACCGCCACATATCGAAGAAGGTCGTTATTACCGTGACAAACTCATTCGTGTACGCATCGAAGACCATCTCCCCCTCACGCGAAAGACATACTGAAGCCATGATCATCGCCATTTGATGATATACTCGGAGAAGGAGGAACCCACATTTTTCTGTCGGAGACTCTGCCTTGAGGGAGATAGAAGCTTGATAAGATTTCCGCCACTGTGACAGATCAGCCACAATTGTGCGCTGTGTTTCGAAAGCTTTGGGATCATTTTCCGGCTTGTATTCATTCTCCTCGTCCTCCTTCTTAAGCGAGCTTGAGCGGTGTGGATAAATGTATCGCTCCAGACAATGGATCCGATGGAGTAGATCGTCGAGGGTCTGCCTCGCCTCCAGAAGAGAAGAGAAGGTATAAGGTAGAGCGTACACCTGCGGATCGCGAACAATCACACAAAGATGGGACGGTACATGACCAAACATAGCCGATTGAACCGTCAACCTCGTGTACGAATCAATTAGCGCATCATGCACAAAATCCTCCGCCGGGCTAAGTATACCCGGTGCCATCGAAGTTCGCGGCGAAGGCGTCGAAATATCAGCCAGGAGCTGTATACCGTATCGCAGATGTGCACTGCCCATTTTGTACTGGCCACGAAGATACTCCAGCGTAACGAAGAGCATGCAGGTAATGAGAGCGACGCGAAGAGCTTTCTTATTCGACAGCTCCGATCCTGGTGCATGACTTTTCATTGTCACACTCCGTAGATGATGAATCGCTTTATTGTATTGTTGTAACGTGAATCGCTCCGCATCGACGCCATATATAGCCGGGACCCAGGATCCAGCACTAATATCAAAGCGATGGGCCGCGGATAAGGCGACGACGGCATGGCGGACGGCGGGTTCTTGCGCACTAGCTTGGAAGACAAGTGTTTCCCAGAACTGAGATTTGAATACGCCGGCGAACTTGGTAGTCGTTTTTCTCATGAACCAGTCGAAGCAGGTCTGTTCTTCGGGGTCTAGACTGCCGGCTGGTACCGGTGTGCAATAGATGGATAGTGCCTTTGTGGACTGTGGGGGGGCCATACGGACTGCCCCCACCACCCCAGATACCGTATCCATCGCAAGTGCGACCAGTTGAGATGCAGCGGCGACAGGCTGGTCTGCTTTCATCGCATTTTACGCGGCGAGCTCTGGAGATTGGTGTCAATCGGGGGCAAACAAGCTAACTAGACTGGCGGGAGGACTGACTTGCAGGTCTTGCAGCCTGTCTTTACTTTTCTTTTCCCTTGAGACAGTGTATTTTTCTCTCTTCGGTTTATCCATGGCTCTGAGTGATAAACGGGATGTTATGGGAAGAATGATTATCTTTGAGAACAAGCGTTAATCATTGGAAGTGTTGGAGTAGACAATTGGGCGGCTCGCAAACTTCGCTTGATGATTGGCTGCCATATTTCGAAGCGGGTCCAGGCGGATGATTGGTCGCGCCTTTAAGCTTAAGTCCGTCTCTCGTCATTGAAGTGATGTGAGGAACGGAGTTTACCTTAGACATAATGACTTCATGAAGGAATAATTCAGATATGCACGATCTATTCCATTCCATTCTCGTCTTATTCGGATGTTCAATCTGCCCGAGGAATAGTATTTAAAGACCACCGTTCACCCCGTACTACTACATCTATCACGCATCTCTTTCCAAGTTAACAATCTCGATTCTACAGAGCCACAGACTACTTTACACTATTCACAACAATGTCTCTTCCACTTCGAGCTCTCGGCCGCAATGGTCCTCAGGTCAACGCTGTTGGACTCGGCCTCATGAGCATTGGTGGTATTTACGGCGCTGCTAGTTCTACTGAAGAAGGTGTTGCCTTTCTGGAACACGCACATGCTACCGGCCAACGCTTCTGGGACACAGCAGATCTATATCGAACCAGTGAGGATATTGTGGGTGAATGGATCAAACGCACCGGAAAGCGCAATGATATTTTCCTCGCCACCAAGTTCGCCTGCGAGTTCTCAGACGGCTCGCTGAAGGTTCGCTCGGATCCCGAGTATGTCAAGGTAGCTTGTGAGAGATCCTTGAAGAAGCTGAATGTCGAGACTATCGATTTGTATTATTGTCACCGAGTTGATGGAGTGACCCCTATTGAGAAGACCGTTGAGGCAATGGTTGAATTGAAGAAGTAGGTCCCCATCATGATCCCGTTGGCTCCCGAGGTCGTCGTCTTTTAAAAAAAAAAAATATCATGATTGACTTGTACTGGTGTGACTTTAGCCAAGGGAAGATTCGATATATCGGTCTCTCCGAGGTTTCGGCAGCCACGCTCCGTCGGGCTCACGCTGTCCACCCTATCACCGCTCTCCAGGTCGAATACAGCCCGTTTGCCCTAGATATCGAGTCACCTAACTCTGATGTCTTGGATACCTGCCGCGAGTTGGGCATTTCTGTGGTCGCCTACAGTCCCATCGGCCGTGGTATTCTTACTGGTCAGATCAAGTCCACCGCCGACTTCGCCGCGGATGACTTCCGTCGTTTCCTCCCCAAGTACGCGGAGGAGAACTTCCCCAAAATCTTGCAGCTTGTGGAGGGACTGAAAGATGTAGCCAAGGATCACAACAGCACCCCTACTCAGATCGCCATTGCGTGGCTGCTTGCTCAGGGATCTGATATCATTCCTATCCGGGGACTAGGACGACTGCGCGGATGGATGAAAATACCGCATCGGCGCAAATTCAACTGACTAGCGAGGAGGAGCGCAAGATCCGGGATTTGATCAAGGAGACAGAGGTCACTGGCAGTCGGTATCATGAATCGTAAGTACATAGTAGCCCTTCCCCCTATTTTATTACGAGTGAAAGCTGACTCGTCGAACAGGATGATGAGCAGCATCTTGGCGGATACGCCGCCGCTGTAAATAGATACACTCGGGTATACTACTATTCAGGTACACCCGGAGTACTCGGTAGTCCGTTATTAAAATCAAATCCACTTTTCGTATAATTTAGTCCGATAGCCATTCCTTGTTTGTCCCTAGGTATCGCCAAGTTAACTCTGATCGCTGCGCCCGGCGCCGCTAATGATCCAATGCCAAGTTTCAAGGGGGCCAAAAAAATGCCAAATGGGTTGTCGTGTGGAACAAAGACATTCTTGTTTCTCTTTCTCCTCCTATCTGCAAAACTGGTCCCTGCATTGTTGTCCCAAGCCTCCCGTTCCTTTTCATCTCGATCGATCGTCAAAGGGTAAAATCTCCCCCCGATCACAAGCATATCGGATCTGATTTTTGAGATAAGCTTAAAACCCCATGTCCAAGCCCAGCCCAGTCTAGCCCAACCCAGTGGAAATACAGACAGGGGGGGCAATTAAAAGAGGAGAGGCTTGGGTGGGTCAACATCATAAGCCAAGGAACAGACCAGGTTGAGAACCCCGCGAAAAGTCAAATCTCGTGTTTTTTCCCCTGCACGACATTACTTTTTTCTCACTTTTTCTCCTTCCATCACCCGCTGCAGCCGGCGACATGTCCTCGTATAGCGAGGCGAGTCCAGGTAACTGGATCACCGGCAGCTATACCGGCGACAGTAATGGCGTGCGCATTACCATTGCCACCTTTGTCGGTGTCGCCTGGTATAACGTGTTGGAGCTTATTGTGCTTATTTTCCTCACCTTTAAGCGCTATCAAGGCCCTTACTTTTGGAGTATGCTGATCTCCTCTGTCGGTATTCTACCTTATTCTGTCGGCTACCTGATCAAGTTTTTCGATCTGACCACGGCCACTTGGCTCCCTATCACTTTACTCACGATAGGCTGGTGGTCGATGGTCACGGGCCAGTCATTCGTGCTATATTCACGACTGCACTTGGTGCAAGAGAACCAGCGCATCCTCCGCGCTGTGAAAGGAATGATCATCATGAACATTTTCCTTCTACACGTCCCCACCACCGTCCTCACCTACGCCGCGAACTTCTCTCAATCCCCCACCTCGATCGCAGGGTACGATATCATGGAAAAGCTCCAACTGACGGGCTTCTGCGTGCAAGAAGTCATCCTCTCGAGTCTTTACATGTGGGAGACAAATCGCATGCTGCGGCTGAACCGCGACCGAGGCAGTCGAAAGACTATCATGCAATTACTCGCCGTCAACGTCGCCTGTATCCTGATGGACATCGCGCTGATGGTCATCGAGTTCATGAACTTCTACATCTACCAAACAACTCTCAAAGCCACATTGTACAGTATAAAGCTGAAGCTGGAAATCGCCGTGCTGGGCAAATTGGTGAAAATCGCCCACCAGCATGTTTGGCAGTCATCTCTCTCTGGCGGAGGGAACCAATATCCCTCCTTCGTGGATCCGAGTCGCATTGCCTCTGATTTCAACCATGCCGAATCTCTTCCGCCTAGTCAGGGTTCCAAGGGTCGCACGGCTGGTCTGGAGGCTATCGACTACCATGATGATATTCGATAAGCAAAAGCGTACGGGGACATCTGAACATAAGCCAACATCCCAGCTTGCATGCAAATACCTCCATTATGGACGATTCTCCCTCGCGCTATCGGACAACTTTAGTCTTCCACCAGCGATTGCTCTCTTAGGAGTGAGAATCCTACGCGGCCGGCCCATCTCGCCGGGTATCCTCCTTGTATCAGCATATGGTACAAAATGAATACTTCGCGCGAACAGCAGTCTGACGGACTTGGTTCTAAGAAACAAACGACCCGAGACAGGAAGCGAGATTTCCAGATGGCGACCAGCCACTTGAATAAATAATGATGTCATGAATAATGCCTTTGATACCTAACATCTCAACGATGTGCACTTATTTAGAGTTAATACAATGCCCTTGGGGTGATAATTCCTTACTCAATTCTTTGAAAAACATAGTTCCTTTCCAAACCTACACTTACTATCTGGGGTACAACCCCTTTCCCAAAGAAAGCACCACGCATGGTATTGAAGATGGAAGAGATATTGCTCTGGTGGGAGATCATGATTCTTTAACGTCACACCTGGGCAATATGCTTATAGATCTGCTCCAGGACCGGCAGGTCCTATTCCTCCAGGTGGCTAGCAGCCTAGCTAAGGACCCAGAGTATCCTAGAAAGGATCACAATATCTAAAAAAAAAAACAACTTTAAATTCCAGAAAAGGGGTATCAACAATTCGCAAAAGCCATCCAAACCTCGCTCAAGAAAATAACCAACGCAGTAACCACCATCCATCCTACCACCATGATATGGTATAATTCAGACCTCCTCACCAAGATACTTGAGCACATCATCACTCATAAAAAACAAATTCCTCAACTTCTCCCCCTCTTCCGCTCCTCAACCTGCTTCTTCCTCACCTGCTTCGCATTCAGTTTCTGCACCGGCACCTTCTTAGGCGGTGCAGGCGGGTCTCGAATTCGATCTCCGTCCGCATCTAACCCCGCGCCCAGACCGGCCGTGTCATTTTTCACCCGGCTTTTTAGCGGTTCGCGGATTCCTTCTCGGCCTGGTGCGCCGAGGCCGCGCCGGCTGTCGGGGTCCCAGCCGTAGGTAGAGAGATATTTTAGGCCGACGCGGGTGCGGTCGAGGTGGGAGGGTGGGTGGGAGTGGGTTAGGCAGACTTGGTGGGCGAGGGAGGCTTCGTGGGGTTTGTCTGTTGATTCTGGACTTTCTGTAGGGTTGGTTGAGAGGGGGGAGGTTGCAGATTTCGCAGTGGTCGTTTTGCGGAGGGTGGGAGGAGGGTGTGTGGGAGGGTGGAGGTGCGGAGTGTGCTTCGCGGGGAGATGGTTCTTGTTCTTGTTCTTGTTTGGCGGGTGTACTTTGTGATGATGAACTGGCACTTTCTGTGTCTTGGTTCTTGAGGACGATCGAGAGGTATGCGTTTGCGATGCTTGGACCTGAGGGTGTAGAGGAGGGTGGTCGTGTTGTAGTTGTATTCAATTCATGTTCGGAGGAGCGTACGAATTGGACTCGTTTGCGACGGATTCCCGCGCCAAAGATACTCTGATCTTCGAGGGGGAGAAAATAGTCCTCTCCGTCTTCTCCATCTTCTTGGGCTGCCATCGAGTGTTTAAAGGTTGAAGGTTGAAGAGGGTAGTCCAGGTGAGGCTCCGGGCAGAGTACCGTAGGGTAGAGTGGCAACTGATAAGATAAGAAGACTTACGTACTTCCTCACCTTCAACCTTCAAGTTTACTCAAGCTGTCCACATCTCCCCAATCCCCCAATTCACTCGCGATGCCCATCCCAATTATTGCCCATGGCATCTCGGAGGGCATCTCGGCAATTCCCTATGCCTGGACCGCCCTCAAATTCGCACCATGGCTCCTCCTCCTCGCCGCAGCAAAATACTACTTCGGCGGAGCTCCCAACACCTCCGAGCGCCTCCTAGCCTCAAAAGTGGTGATGGTAACAGTAAGCAAGACCCCTTCCCCCCAGGAACCACCAACACGCTAACACTCTCCAGGGAGGTACATCAGGAATAGGAGCAAGCGTAGTCCGCGAACTCGCCGCCCGCCAAGCCCAAGTAATAATTCTAACCCAACAATCCCCCTCCGACCTCTTCCTAGTCGAATACATCGACGACCTCCGCCGCCAAACGAAAAACAACCTCATCTACGCCGAACAAGTAGACCTCGCCTCCCTCCACTCCGTGCGCGAGTTCGCGACCAAATGGATCGACAATGTCCCGCCGCGCCGTCTGGACGCCGTCATCCTCTGCGCCGGTCTCGCCGTGCCGGCTAGCGCGCGCGGACAGACGCTGGACGGTATCGACGACGAGTGGCAGGTCAATTACCTGGCTAACTTTCATCTGCTGAGTATTCTCAGTCCGGCGCTGCGGGTTCAGCCGGCGCATCGGGATGTTAGGGTTATTCTCCCGACTTGCTCGAGTTATATCGGGGCGAAGTTTGATTTGGAGACTGTTAAGCGGGATCATGAGGAGGAGAGAAAGGAAAAGGAAAAGAAGAATAAGAGCAAGAAGGACTCTTTGGATCAGGGTCCTATGGCTAGATTGTCTGTTCGGCCGAAGGGTATTTACGCCGTCAGCAAATTCGCCCTGATGACTTTTGCCCACTCCTTCCAGCGCCATTTGAACGCCCACGAACGACCGGATAGTCTACCCCCCTGCACGCGCGTGTTGATCGTTGACCCGGGCCTTACGAGAACGCCCGGGACCAGGCGCTGGCTGACGGGCGGATCGCTGTGGGGACTGCTGTTGTATCTACTCACGTGGCCGTTTTGGTGGCTGGTTCTCAAGTCGCCGGATCAAGGGGCGCAGAGTATTCTGTACGCGGCGATGGAGGAGAAATATGCGCGTGGAACTGGGGGGGTGGTTTATCAAGGAGTGTCGGGAGGTGGATTGTGCGAGGAAGGATGTGCAGGATGAGGATGTTGGGAGGAGGTTGTGGGAGTTTAGTGAGAAGCAGATTGCCGAAGCGGAGAAGGAGGGGGCGTTGAGGAGGGCTGCGAAGAAGAAGGAGGTTAAGGATGAGGAGGAGAAGAAGGTGCGGAAGGAGACTGCTTCGCAGAAGGCGCAGAGTGCTGGCTCGAGACGGAGTCGGAAGAATAAATGATTGTTGTATGCCCCGGGGTGCAGTGGTCTTTTGAGTTTTTGGTTCAATTGCATTGTTCGGTGGGTTATACCTGGTCCTGCTGAACTAGGTCGCTTTTGCTTTTCTATAGACATTGCATTTATTCACGAGACGTGAAGCAAATATCATTCAAGCTATACACTGGCATCTGATTGATATGCATCCGAGTACGATCTTACGCCAGTACCTAAGTAGGTCGAGTAATATAGTGAAAAAGGAGATTCGTTTCGTGTATTCTACCAATTCTATATCCACACATCATTCAAGTCAAGAAGCACTTGCTTTTCAATCCTTCCTAGCACCCAGCAAACTAAACATTATTTACTTCTTCAGCGCAGCGAGGAGCTCCGCAGGGGGCTGCTGGCGGTAACCCTGGGGGTTGTTCTTGGTCCAGAGCCAGAGGTCCTCGCAGGCCTGCTCGAGGGTGAACTTGGGGGTCCAGCCGAGCTCGGTGGTAGCACGGTTGGCGTTGGCAGTGAGGTTCAGGACATCACCGGCACGGCGGGGGGCGACCTCGTAAGGGAGGTCACGGCCGACAGCGGCAGAGAAGGCGCGGATCATCTCGTAGACGGTGCTGCCCTTGCCGGTACCCAGGTTCCAGGCGCGGACACCGGGGTTGTTGGCACGGAGGTAGTTCAGGGCCTTCAGGTGACCGTCTGCCAGGTCGAGGATGTGGATGTAGTCACGGATGGCGGTGCCGTCGTGGGAGGCGTAGTCTGGGTGAATGTCAGTTCATGCTTTCCTTCTTATTGCGCATATAGCTTCTTTTTTTAGGTAGGAGAACGTACCGTCACCGAAAACCATCAGCTTCTCGCGCTTGCCAGTGGCAACCTGGGCGAGCAGGGGGAGCAGGTTGTAGGGGACACCCTGGGGGTCCTCGCCCATGATACCGCTGGGGTGGGCACCGGCGGGGTTGAAGTAACGGAGCAGAGCACCGTTCCACTTCTTGGCCTCGGCCTCGTTACCGGCCTTGATGGCGTTGTTGCGCTGGGCGTTGATCACGTCGGTGATGGCGGTCTCAACGGCGAACTTGGTGTTACCGTAGGGGTTGGTAGGGCCCAGGGGGCACTCCTCGGGGATGGGGATCATGTTGGGGAAACGGGTGGCGTCACCGTAGACGGTAGCAGAGCTGGAGAAGACAATGTTGGTGACGTTGTGGCGGACCATGGCGCGGAGCAGGTTGATGGTGCCGTAGACGTTGACCTGGTAGTAGTCCAGGGGCTTCTCGCCAGACTCGCCGACAGCCTAGAGGGTATGTTAGTAAGTGTAGGATGTATAGGGAGGGACCGAATGGATGCAATGGCAATTGCATTGCCATTGCCATTCAATTGAGGCTTACCTTGAGGGCAGCAAAGTGGATCACGCTGTCAATGTCGGGGTGAGCCTCGAAGACGGGGTCGAAGGCCTTCTCGTCGGTGACATCAAGCTGGACGAACTCGGCCTTCTTGCCGCAGATAGCCTCAACACGGTTCAGGGCCTCAGGAGAGGAGTTGTAGAGGTTGTCAGCGACGACGACCTTGTAACCAGCCTCAAGGAGGGCAAGGACGGTGAACGAGCCAATGTAGCCCGTACCACTGCGGGGGGGGTCAGCAATTGTGTACCATGTGTATGCGGGTGTATACATAGTGTATACACTATACATACAACAAAGAGTTAGACTTACCCAGCGACAAGAACTGAACCAGCAGACATGATGTGAGATGAGGATTTGAAATGGAGAACAAAAAACGTGGGCCAAGCAAGATGGGGAGGGGCAGCTTTTAAGGGGAAATGCAGAGCCAAAGGCGGGTGGTTGTTTGGTGGGGGGAGAAATAAGAGGGGCACCTCGTCATTTCTTTGGTTATTCCCCCCATTACGCGGCCAACCTTCAGGACCCTTAATTTTATTATGTGCCTGATTGCCATCTCTCTCACTTTATCTGACACGCTTCACCCTATGTATCTAGTACCTAGCTGCACTATTCTCTCCATCCTCATCGTTTGAATCAACCTAATCAATTAGCATTATTCCGCAATGGCGTGGTCAGTGGCCCCATGCAGCCCGGATATCCCTTAAATGCCAAATGCAGATGCATCTGCCCGCCGATCGGCGGTGAACCTCTCACCCGGAAAAAGTTGATGAGCGCTTGCGGTTATCACACGGGGCAACGATCGCTGGAAAGAACCAATCCCTCTGTCGAATCATCCCAGCCATTGCAACCATTGCAACCAATTGGGACACCAACACAAGAGGACAACTGTCATTCCCCGATTTCTTTTCTCCGGTGGGGACATCGGGAAGTCTGGAGCCACATAGGCCCACGCTTAAATTAGATCCCCAATTATCCGTACAATACAGAAATGGAAATGGAATAGAACAGATCAATTGGAAGATGAAATTGGTATGAGCAAGACAAGTAGAAGAGAAGATAAAATAGAAAACAGATATGCCTCCCCGGCGAGGTATCGATGTGCCCCTCCCAATTTGATGTGGCGAGAGCCAGGAGGGGTCACTCCGATGCAAAAATCCTCCCATGTCCTCATTATACATTGTTCGAGGACGGAGAGACGCCTAGATGCGCCCTGGCATTTCTGCCCGGGAGCTGTCAGGCTGGATGCAGTGCATTCAAGTATATGTCTATGGTGGTAGGGGCGTTGGAGGATTGACCAGTTCGGTCCCATCGTGTATGATTCGGACCAATGCCAGTAGTGATCAGAGGGCTGGCGAGGCCCCAATTTATTAGCTAGCTTTAACCCAGAAGCTCCACGTCAAGGCCAATGGCACGCATGAAGAGGTTGACGTTTCCAAGACGCGAGCTGGCCATGTCGGCGGGCAGGGTCTTGCTATAGGCAACGGTCTCCATGACACGGTCCCTAGTGACAGGCTGGTTAGTATACGGGTTTCACTTCCTTCTAGATTATGAGGGGAACTCACTTGACAGCAATCACGAGGCGTTGCTGTTGTTCAGGACTGGCTCCAATACCAACAGCGGCAAGGAACTGCCACACATACATGTCGTCGCCTGAGTTGATAGGGCTGGTGAAGATATCGGCCAATGCGGGCTCCAAAGTGTCAAACAGAACGTTGAACTTGGCTACCCACTGTTGCCAATCCACCTCGGAGGCCTGGCCGGCCTCCTTGACGATCTCGGCACGACTGAGCAGCATGGTCAAAATGCCCAATCCGACCCTGGTGCGAGCAACAGTTTGTACATGAGTCTGGGCAATGACCAGGCCCAAAAGGCCGATGATAATGTTGAAGGGGGCCTCGTTGACGTATCCGAGCAGGCTAGGCATCACAGCCAACGAGAACAGGTCAATTGCCTCACGCATGGCCAGGGAGAGCTGAGCCTCGCCGGGGACGGGTTGCGCTAAGTGAACCACATCCAAACTATCCAGGTGGACGACGATCATGGTGAGAATGGTCACGCGCTGCTCCTGGTCGATGTGGCGGAAAATACGGGGAATAGCCTTCTTACCCTTAGGGTAGGACAAGAACGCAATGAACGGATGCGGGGTGGTGGAGTTGGGGACAATGGGCTCCATAACTTTCAGGGATTGCCAGAGCTTTTGGTTGAGAGAACGGGCCTTTTGACGCCATTCCATGTGTTCCTGAATCGCCTCTGCATCGCCCTCCTCGGGTGGTGGCGGCATGGTACGCTCCATATCCTCCATGGACATGAGACCGCTGTAGACACCCTCAATGTTGGTCAGGATCGACTTGCGGTCACTCAGGCTGAGGTCGGAATGCAACTTCTTGGGCCGAGGTCCCTCTGAGCTGTCAGGTCGCTTGATATTGAGCATTGGCTTTGGCGCTTTGGCGTTACTGAAGGAGATCTTGCCCAGGCTTCCTTCAATGATCAGCTGCTTGTTCTTCGGCTTGGCCTTGGCCGCCTCAACGGCACGCTGAACCTGCTGTTGCATTCGCTGCATGTGGTTGTCCGCGCTGTGGAAGGCTCGGCGGTTTCCATGGCCACCGATCCGATTTCCAGTCTGAAGTAGATATGTCTGAGCAAAGTGCCCCAGAGGCTGGTGGGGGTGTTGGCGAGGGGCTCCGCGAATCTGGCTGTAAACCTGATAGTAGAAGTCCTCGGCCAGAACAGCCTCTGGGTCAGCATCCGCTACATTACCAGCCGCCGCGACAAGCTGTTGCAGCTGGATGCGAGTGATAAAGTTCTTGTCCTGGGGGGTCATCAAGCCATTGCCCCGCGACAGCAAGAAGATCTTGTGGTTTCGCTTCGCCCGCTTAGCGTCCTCGACGAGATAAGCGTTGCGCTGCTCCTCAGTAAGATGGACAAGCTGCTGGGGATCGGTGATAACGGGAAGTCCACCATTGGGACCTCTTGAAGTCGGCGGGGGAACCTGTTGCTGTTGCTGTTGCTGCGGCGCCCGTTGGTTGGGGGGCGGGCCGGGTTGGCGCATACCCTGAGGGGGTATACCCTGCGGGGGTATGTTCTGAGGAGGGTTACCTTGCATATGATGCGGCGGCATACCCGGGATACCGGGAGGGGGACCATGCATATCTGGCATCCCGGGAGGAGGGTGAGGCATTCCCGGGGGAAGACCACCTCTTTCAAGTTGTGCTCGCAAGACCTCGGGAGGGATCGTTGGGAAACCATCGGGGAGCGGGATGTTCTGCGGGTGGCGCATGTAGGCAGATGGATCAGCCAAGTGTGGGTGCATAGCTTGCGGCACTGGCGATGGCTGATAGCCAAGGTTGCGCATCTGCATCTGTGCCTCCACCTCATCCAGACTCATCATTTTGCGAGCGGCCGACATGCCTGGCAAGGGGATGGGCTCGGGCTTCTTTTGGGAGACTCCCCAAACGCTCGACTTCGCCTGCAGGTCGGGAATGAATCCGGGGTCGGAATATTTCTCGTAACCGCTACGCTTGGTGAATGCCGGCTCAGGCTGCGCATCGGGCTGAACATGTTGACCGGCGACTAGTACAGCTTGAGGGTTCTGCAAGGTGTAGCGAATTTGCTCTTCGCCGATTGCATCGGCGACCGTCGCAGTCTTGCCGAAGAAATCGAAGTCCTTGCCGACAGCTCCAGTGCTGGGACCAGCGCCGCCGCCGCCGCCGAAAGTGTCGTCGTTGAAGGCATCCTGGTCATCATCGAGTTGGTCGCCCAGACCATCGTAGGTATCCTCGAAATCGATGCTAGAATTGAGGTTAGCTTATCTCAACTCTTCCACGATGATGAACAATGGCAGCTCACGCGTCGTCATCCTCGAGGGCTCTAGCACGGGCAACCTCCGCGAAAGGGATCGGGGTTCTCGAAGAAGCCCCCGAGTAGCGGAGGGACCAGGTTGACGGTCCCTCGGCAGGTTGGAATCGAAACCAAAGAAAGACATGTCTCTTTGGACGATGGTGGAGATTGGAGTCGGATCGATATGGTGGGGGGAGGTGGGAGGAAGCAGAGAACAGAAGTTCGCTCGGGAGGCCTCAGGCACGTGCCAAGAATACTTAGAGTAGAGAGTAGAGATAGAACGGATGGTATATACTACGGAGTACAAATTAAAATTATGATCAGGATTATAATAGTTTCAGTATTCTATGATAATCACCCGATAATATAAAATTCCTAGATCCAGGTAAACTAAAACCCGACTTGTTCTTTGCTATAACAACACTACCCTACGTACCACCACAAGTTTAGTGCCTCACTCGCCAGTGCTCGCCCCCAAGTAAAGCGGAGCCCTACTACACCTAAACCTACTCGCCCCAAAGACAAGTTGATATCATCCTAGGCCAATAGAGCCCAGTACTCCGCCGGATGCCGTACGGAGTACATACATACCTAGGTACACCCTACGGCCTTGTCGATAGGAGATCACTAAGAATAGTACACCTTGGAAGGCAAATCAAATATTCTTGTCAAGCCTTGGCTTTAAATCTCGCCTACCGCTTGGATCCCCTGAGGCCCCCATCTCCGTAGCATTTGGACCCCGAATTGTCTTGGATTACTTGGATCCAGTGAAACCTAGGCGGCTGACGCTGGTCGCCATCGAATTGCGCGGCCACTTCCATTTCCACTTCCACGCCATCCCAATCCCATCTACTTTCTTCTGCTCCGCTCCGCCTTCCCCTAATCGCATTCCGATTTCATTTCGGTTTCACCTTTTTTACTCCCTCTCTCCCTTTCCACCCTTCCCCTTTATCCCACGCTCGTTCTCATCCAATCGCGGATGCTGGTTTCGCCTTGTGGACTGGCCCTACCTTTCTTGGCCTGATCGCACTCCTCACAACACTTAGGAACTGTCTAGGCTTCCGTGCCTCTGATCGCTTCTCCCCGTCACCATGGCTGTCAACGTGCGATATACCAGATATCTGGTATTAGCCCTGGTGGTATGTCTCCAACTTCCCATAACCCTCATTCTTTGAATATCTGCGCCACAAGCCTTTCGTGGCTAGATGGCTGGCCAGCGCCTGTTCAGCAAAACGCAACAGGAGCTAACTGACACTCCTCTCACCAGGGCATGACCTTCTTCTACCTCGTCTCTCGAACCAATCTGCGACTTCCAAATGGCGCTTCCTTCTCTCGACCTACTCAATCCTATAATGAATTCAAGGCCAACAAAATGGAGTACCCCGGCGCGAACAGCACCGAACGAGTGAATGCCACCTTTGTGACTCTTGCTCGTAACTCTGATCTCTGGGACATGGTCAAGTCGATCCGAACCGTGGAGGACCGATTCAACCGTGAATACAACTACGATTGGGTGTTTTTGAACGACAAAGAGTTCGACGAAGATTTCAAAAAGCTGACCACCGCGCTCGTCTCCGGCAAGACTCACTACGGTTTGATCCCCAAGGAACACTGGTCGTACCCCGATTGGATCGATGAGGAGAAGGCCGCCGACGCTCGCGCCGAAATGGAACGGAAGAAGATCATCTACGGTGGCTCCGAGAGCTATCGTCACATGTGCCGTTATGAATCGGGGTTCTTTTTCCGCCACCCGTTGATGATGAACTACGAATACTACTGGCGTGTCGAGCCCAGCATCGAACTGTTTTGCGACATCCGCGCCGATCCTTTCCGTTTTATGAAGGAGAATAACAAGAAGTACAGCTTCGTCATCAGTCTGTACGAGTATGAGGCGACTATTCCCAGTCTCTGGAGTAGCGTCAAGAAGTTCATGACGAACCATCCAGAGCACATTGCTGAAGATAATGCGATGGAATTCATCAGCGATGACGGTGGCGAGTCCTACAACAAGTGTCATTTCGTATGTTCTGGCCTGGTCCCAGCTGTATTATTATTGAGAGTTCTTTCAACTAACCTGCTTCCTTTTTAGTGGTCAAATTTCGAAATTGGCAGCTTAGAATGGTTGCGGTCGAAGCAATACATTGACTATTTTGAATCTCTTGATCAGGATGGTGGCTTCTTCTATGAACGATGGGGCGATGCACCAGTTCACTCAATTGCTGCTGCGACCATGCTGCACAAGGACCAAATCCAGTTCTTCCATGACATTGCATACTACCACGTCCCGTTCACGCATTGTCCCAATGACGAGCAAACGAGGCTGGACCTTGCCTGCTCTTGCAAGCCGAAGGATAACTTCGACTGGAGAGATTACTCCTGTAAGCTTATTTCCGGCACCTCCTTGGTCTAATGAATTTCCAAACTAACAACATCCAGGCACAAACAAATGGTTCAAGGTGAACCACCTTCAAAAGCCAGACGGCTGGGATAAGAAAGATTGACTTGCGGCACTTGGACAGCTGGCCATCTTCCTGCTCTTTGTTAGCGTTTCCTCTATTCTACTCAGCCAAACCTTGCGAATCTGGTTATTCGTACGGCTGAACCCCTGTGTCACTTTCCTGATGCGCCTGGTCGATCGTTGCCGCAACGCTCATAAGTATCGCTCAGTGAGCGGTGGGAAGCTGAGAAAAGTAGTCAACACCCCCAGGTCGTGAAGACTTCCAGCACATCGTCCAAATTTTCATATGGCGAAAGATGTCTCGCGGCCATCTTCAAATTTCCATTTTCCCATTTGTGGGGTGGTCCTTTTCTTCTCAAATTTTGACTATTACGATCTACCTGTTCTCGTTCCCCCGTCCACATGTTCCATTTTATTTCGATGCCCTCCATGTCTTATTATCTGGATTCTCGGAAAGCGTTTTCAAGTCTGTTCCTTGGTATGTCTATTGCATGGGGTCACCGGAGTACAAGAGGGTTTCCCTACGGACCAGGAAGTTTTGTTCTATATCACATTGCCTGAGCAGTCGGGCTATTGCATTTGGTTATGAGTCTCAATACAAGAAAAGAAAAATAGAGAAAAATATGCCAGGTTCGATGATAAAACAGGATAGCCAAGTCACTTCATAATAGTACATGCGGTTTTGAAATGAAAATATCGCCTTAGTGAACAGATAGATACAGAGAGGTAGGAAACAGAAAATATGTGGCAGGGAGCATTGAAGCACCGAGGTGCTATTTGAACGGTAAGTCCCAAGCGAGCATCCTTCTATGCCATTGAATCAGCAAGATTTATGGTACGTAAGTGCAAGCCCGCTTAGTTGCCCTTGGGCTTCTTCGTGCCGTACTTCGACCGGGAAGACATGCGACTTCCGACACCACCCTAGAAAGAACATGTTAGCAGATGCTACTTACAGTATAAGACATGCGGAGATTTCAATTGAGACATACCAGATCACCAGCACCACGAACCAAGTGGTACTTCACACCAGGACAATCCTGGGCACGACCGCCACGAACATGCACCACACTGTGCTGCTGGATGTTGTGGCCCTCACCGGGGATAATAGTTGTAACGACCTTGCCGGAACTCAGACGAACACGAGCAATCTTACGCTCACCGGAGTTGGGCTTCTTGGGCTTGGTCACACCAGTCTTCAGACAAACACCCTTCAGCGACGGGTGGTTCTTCAAGGCTGGGGATCGTCCGCGGCGCGCGCGTTGGCCCTGGCGGCAGCCTCGGCGGACTTGGTTGTAGGTTGCGCGGACAATAGGGGAGCTGGAGAATTGGCGGCGGGCGAGGAGCTGAGCCGTTTGGGTGCGGAAGATGGGCTGGAAGTTGAAGCGGCCGGTGATTGGGGTTGCGCGGTGGGTGAGACTTTGGATAGGAGTGGTGGTAGCGGTTGTGAGTGTGCGCAGCGGGGTGCATGAGAAAGCCGGACGCTGCACTAGTGTCCGCAGAGCCCGAAGGGCCAATGGCGAGATTAATTGAGGCATTGTGGTTGTTCGTTCTTGTTGCGGCGAAACGGACTGCCTGGCTGCACTTCCCAAAATCGCGGACGAGTTTGAGGTCACGTGGCGACGGTAGTGGTTGCTCCCGCCGACCGGAGGAGCTGGACGCGCTGCCCTGGTCTGCCTGATACCGTTCGACCTCCGCATCATCGTCAACCCGCTTCATATCATCTTTGAATCTTCTTCTTCATTTGCACGGCTCGTCTTGAACTCTTAATCGATCTTGAGTTGGCAATTAGTATCTGATTTTCATTCACAACCGCCATAATGGTACGTTATCAAGCTCCGATCCTTGGGCCTCATGCTCCTCGACCACCCTCCGATCTACCCCAGCATCTTCAAGACTCTTTCATCTATCCAAACGGCTAGCCGCTAGCTACCTCATCCAAACCCGGCATAGCCTATATCCATTCGCAGAGCAGATAACTAACCAAACACCCCTATAACCAGTCTCTCCGCATTGCTCCCCCATCCGGCTTCGCCGCCTCCACCTCCAACACCAACACCCGCCAACAACACAGCGTCGCCCGTCCCTCAAAGGGCGCCCCTTCGGCCCCGGGTCTCCCTGATACCCTCCGCAACAAGATCACCCTCCCCGCCATCCCATCCGCCTCCTCAACCAACAACCCCTCGGTAGCTGACATCCCAGCTTCGTCACACCCACTCGAAGCCCGCCTACTCGCCTGGCGCGCTACCCAAGAGCAACTGAAGATGGAGGGTCTCCGACGAGCATACGGTATCGCGGAGCCCGTTCGCCGCGGCATGGAGCTCAAGATCGTCCGTGATAGCACCTTCCGCCCCGCCGTGCTGGGCGGTATGAAGGGCGGCAACGTCCACGAGGATATCCTTGTGCTTGGCGGTCGTGATGCGGAGATTGGCTGGGAGGATATTTTCCAGGGTATGTATTACACCAGCGCTCTAGTTTCAGTTTCAGTACACTTGCGCTTCCGTGAACCCCACGAGAACCCCTCCGTCCTTAGACATGCTGACCTCTCTCTCTTCATCTAGGCGACGAGTTCCGCGAACCACCCACCTTCCACGACGAGATGGAGAAGCGCCTCAAAATGGACTTTTAAATGCTTCTCTCATGAATTGTTCTCACGCCTGTTTCTCATCTTCCCAGCCCCCTTCCCCTCCCTCTTCCCCGCGCCAGCATCGCTGTTCTAGGTCGACATGTTATATTAGTCTCCTTTCCGATCCTCCCATGTCTTTGATGTCTATGATAGAGAGATAGATTATCGGAGCGGTTGCATTGTGGGTCATCTTTTTTTGAAATAGGGCCTATGATTGTAGTCGATTCAATCCAATCTATTCTTCCGGCTCATCCATTCGGATCCCGTTGCTTCGTAGTCCACATGGTACGCAGGCTGGTCTTTAGAATTGCAGCCAGTGGGATACAGTCGATGCTGTTGTATGTAGGTGCTCTTAGCATATCTATTGAAAGCTTGCACTTAGCCTCTTGGTTTGTGTACAATTTGTCATATCTGGAATGCTCACTACCATAGGATTGCTTGGTTGTCTTGAAGGTACCATTTATCTAAGTTCGGGTTAGAAACGCTCTCCAAATCCCGTATCAAGAAAACAGCACTTATGTACCCTATTAATTGCATGGTATACAATCAAAGTCTGTGACGCAATACATTTGCTTATCAATCTCCACTCGCCAGTCTGGATCTGCGCAGACAAGCAGTCGAGCACAACTAGTAATATTGAACTGAAACATCAGAGCGTATACCTAATCCAGCCACAGCAAACCAGATTCGAATTGGGATGAGCCACGGTTCCAGCTTGTGGATTCCCGTGATCTGCCAGTAGTGTCTGTTCTAGCCATTACTACCTATGTAGGCTTGGCTATATCGGGTAGAGGCAGGGTCGGGGAGAATACGGCAAGTCATGCTACGAAAAGGCTAATTTTGAAGAATTAGAATCACAAGGAGGGTAATGTTTCGTAGATACACTGGTTCCAGGACAAGCCATACAGAGAGTAAGACAAAGGGGAAAAGAAGGAAGACGAAGGGATCGAATGGGTATATAGATATAAGGATCAGGGCGGGACTGTGGACAAGATGAGGAGGATAATGAACTGGGAGAGGGAGAGAAGAGGAGCAGGCACGAGGGAAATAACAGAGACAAGAATGCAGGCGACAGGTGAGTCCAACATGATTTGAACAGGAGACGGCTGGGGAAAGCGGTGCTAAATCATATCCCATGTACAAGGCACAGCTCGAGACTGACAGAAAGGAGAGGAAGCCGTGTTCAAATCGAGTCCAGAAAGCCAGAATCGAGGGGAGGAGGAGGGAAGCAGGCGGGTGCTATTGGGAAGGAAACGCTCGTGATATCGATGGGCCAAGGAAGGAGAAGAAGAAATAAAATGTCCAAAAACGCCGCTTCCAGAGCGTATATTCAATGGCAGAAGCCGTAGTTGCTGTCACGCTGGGGCAAAATGTTCCTGCATTTAGGTAGCCTTGGTCGAAATGGCCACGATGCCAGATGGTGGTGGGATTGGATTAGAGGACCCAAATGCGGAGAGAAGGAGGGGGAGATGGGTTCGGTTGGTGTTGCTGGAGAAGCGATCAGCACACCCAACGCAAGGGCTGCGAGGGTGGAGAGTCACATCGCTTAAACTTGGATGTATAGCGTGTATACACCTATTTATAAGATGACACAACGGCAACCAGGGCTGCGCTCGCTGGCTTCACGCTCGCGACTGTACTGTGCCTTGGCTCCCTTCGCATCTTCCTCGTCGACGACTTCTTGTGGCTTCACGGTCATATGTACGACATTGGGGGCATCGTGGTTGAATTTCGAGTCTGGTGAGATTGGTAAGTCGGGGTGCGGGTTGGCGTGAGGGAAGTAGAGCAAAACAACATACCAGATAGAGGTGACTTGTCATCCAACAATTTACCGAAAGAGATCAAGCGAATCGAGCTTGGTGAAGAAGGACGAGTTTCCCAGTCTAGTTACAGTCAGAATCATCTCTTCCAATCCACAGGAGAGGTTGCGCAGGCGAACGAGCCCCCTGCGCGATTTATTGTCACTCACCTGATCGCCACTCTCGCCAGATCAATTCCTTCAGTGTATAGACGCTGATGGCAAAGGGATCGTTGTTCTCCACGGTTATCGAACGCTTCTTGAGATACTTTCCATCGATTGTGAAAGGGTGTCGCGAACCCGTCGTCAATAGCAGGGTAATGTCGAGGGAGGGACCATTATCCTCCATCTCCTTCCCTGAAACATCCTCTGACTGTTCTGACGAATGTTCAACATCAGGCTTGGTCTCTTGGGTATCCATTGTCGGTATATCGGTGGGTTGAGGCTGCGCGACGAGTGGGTTGTCGTTTGCGGGAGTGGTAGGAGTGGTACTAGTCGTTGCTGTCATGGGGGCGACGAGGGAGTCGCCACCGCTGGCGGGGTGGTTCTCGGCCACGGCAGCACCTGACTGGGCGTCTTTGGCTGGAACAACAGAAGAAGTGGCTTCGGTCTCGGTCTCAGTCCCGGTGACAGGGTCACTTGTGGGAACGGTTGATGTATCGATCGCGGTCGCGGTGGATTGGGGTTCAACGTGCTGCGGAGAAGTCGTGGCCCCGGGCACCCCGGACTCCGTGTGATCGTTGGAGGACATGATTGAATGGCCCCGATGGCAGACAACAATTAACTTTCCCGAGAAGGGAAAGGAAGGGTATAGCACTTGTCAACGGGGGTGGGGGGAGTGAAAGGTGGACGTGGAAGTGGAAGTGAAAGTGAAAGTAGGAGAGGAAGAGGAGAAGGTGGAGAGGCGAAGAGAGAAAGAGAGGAGTCAACTAAAGGACTAAGCGGGAGGCGTGTAATAGTCTTTCCTGGCCTCTTTTAGCGAGGGAACACGAGAAAATAGCAAGTTGCAATTACTGTACAAGGGACGAATTGTGTATAGCTTTCATCAAAGGACTGAAAAAGAGGGAAAGGAAAGGAGTTGGTGAGGAGAGGAGAGGAGAGGAGAACAGGGCAGAGAAGGAAGATCGGCAGACAAAGACAACAGGTAAAACCACACAGGTGGAATGGGCCCAGAACACTTCTGTCACCCATTAATCTCCACAATAATATAATGGACTAATACGACCAGTGTGAATAATAAGGGAAATACTACCTTTGTAATTAGAGGATCCAGAATAGGAGGGCATGAACGGAGGACGATAAGGAAGATCCGGGGAAATGGGGTACTCTCAGCCCAGCCAAGAACTTGAACTTGAACCACACCTGGGCATATTGACATATTGACATGACTTCGGAGACATGTAGATGCAGATGCAGATGACTATGTTGTCCGGATTGCATTGCATTGCATGAAACTTCGAGTTGTTTATCTTGCTCATACACTTCTTCTCATGCTCTCTCATCAGCTCAAAGTACTACTAGACTCATATAGAACTACAAACGTACCACCACCCTCTTCAACGTTACCAGAAAATAATCATAAAATCTGTAACATAAGTAGCGTCTACTTCTCATCGATCACAAGGGCAGCCCGAAATGAAGACCCCGATTTAGCACTCCACCCCCAGTGCCACTCCATCCAGGCCAGAACGAAACCCCGACAAACAAATCGAGTCGCACACGGTGAGGAGTTTACAATTAGTTGCCCCCGTGGAAGAGTCGCCTCCATCATTGCATGGCCTCGTGCCGCATATGCAGGGGGGCACACAAAGAGTCGGGAGTCGAGGTATATGGATGGATAATGCATGCAAAAGTACGGATGGGAACGCATGGACGATGGACGATGGACGATGTAAGATATAAAAACCGAATTAAACACAACCGGATCATACCGGACGATCGGTGTAAACTCGGCATGCTTCTTTCTTTCTCAGATGGGCCGGGGTTAAACGCTGTGGACGGCCTGGCCCAAAGTATAACAAGTCGGCGGCGGCCAAGGGAGGAACGATGTTCGTACTGGCGCCGATCATGCGATCCAGGCTCGTTTGCCTTGTTAACTTGCGGCCGGTAAAAATATCAATATTCCCCTTGCTGTCCTATACCCAGCCGGCGTACTGCTCGAGGACCTCGTTCTTCACTCCCTCCGATCCGTGTCGCACGCCCAGAAGCCTGACATTACCGATCTTTCCTCCAAAGTCATCTTCCACGGCACTTTGGTAGTTCTCAAACAGCTCATTCAGTCGCGAGATTACCGTAGGGTCATCACGAATCAGGAGCGCGATAGCATCGTATCCTCCCGCGCCAGGCACCACACCACCAATGACACCATCAATGGCGGTCACTCGGTCCAGCAATTCGGTCTGCACACTGGGCTCGATCGGGACGTCTGTTCGGCGGGTCATGGTGCGAATGTGATGGCGCGAGCGTTCAAGGAAGTTGTGAATTTCCGCAAAGTCGCTATCGGTAACGGCGTCCGGGTGCTGTGCCAGACGCTTGAGTTCTTGTCGCAGTCGCTCATTGTTGTTTTGAAGGCTAGCCCAGAGCACATCGGCTTCGTTGCGGTTGTTCTTGCGCCATTCCAAGACCTTCTTGACCATCGATGGGGTTTGGGAGCCGCACTCCACGTCGCACAGAACCATCTGCATGCCGCGCGGGAGCTGCATGCCGAAATCCACGCACTCAGTGTCCCAGGGGTGCTCGGGGTCCGCATCCTCGACCACGGCGAACAATCTCTCCTCGAATCCAGCAGATCCTACTTCTCCAACGGACTCTAAGATAGCGGGGGAGAATCGCTTGTAAAGACATGATCCGTAGACAGCGGAAGCCACATCGAATCCGGAGCCGACCTTACCCTGCGCCGCACAGTGGGCAGCTTGAGCCAAATTGTGAAGCTTGTCGCGGCCAGCTCCCAGGTCGCTGGCTTGCATGGTCCGGTGAATCACCAGGGATGAGACCAGGGCAGTGACCAATGCGGCGGATGAGCCGAGACCTGTCTTGTGGGCATCCTGAAGAGGAACTCCGAAGTTGGAAAAGCGCGCATTTTGGCCCCTGGCTGCCGGACCCTTGGAGGTCGCTGTTTCTGAGTAGTAGTCGTTATCGGCCAGGATAGTGACCGATAGGGAACCAAAGTCCTTAGAATCAGCAACGTAGCTGATGTAGGTCAAGGCGTAGCTCAGAGAGGTCTCGACGAAGGGATTCCGGGGGCTACTAGACAGTAAAGTGTTAGCTGTATTGGGGTTGATGGGATGCAAAGCAGGAGAAAAACAAATTGCATCTTACCCTGTGCCTTTCTGGACGACCTTGACACCCCCACCATTTTCGCATCGTTGCACACCATATTCCCAGACGGCATCGACGAATTGTGGAGAGCGCACAACAACAGTGTCCTCTGCATCCTGATCCTCGACCACTCCGGAGGTGGTTGACTGGGTATCGGGAACAAGGCCAGTGGGTTTGGGATCGGTTGTTGACCCGGAGGTTCCACGGCGGTGACCTCTCCTTAATTGTTGAACAACAACATGGATGCGCGCATCGAGGGCGAAAACGGTACCGGTGTAGTTACGGTCGAGGACAAGATAGCCTCCGGTCAGGAGGACCTTTCCAGGCGCAGAGAGAGCCGTGACTGAGGGAGACATTGAATTGTGTTGGGGATTTTGTAGAGGAAAGGCGGGGAGCGATCAATCTTCAATGTTTTTGGTGCCCCGCGTGCCTTCTCCGGGTCTCCTATTCACCACTAGCACGGACTATTAGTAGTATGCTTGTTCGTTGCCATTACACCTCAGTGCCATATCTGAGAGCATTCACTCCTACTCCAGGGCTAGTAGTATTACCTAGATATACTAGGGAACAATCTCGAACTTGAAGTTAATTAACCATTGCTCATACTCGGCGCTATAATATATACCCAGGTAACAAAAGATGAGAAACCTCGGGATCTGTCGATGCCAGTGCCCAGGAGGTTCAGGTTCAAGTTCAGGCTGTTTTGTTCAACATAACATCACTAGGAGTAGATACTGCAGGTGATAATCTCCAATTGTGTAGATTTTATTTCTCCACCTGGGCATTGGAATCTATTCATAAAAGCGAACCGAAAGACCATCCGCAAATGGAAGTGGAGAAAGGCGGGAGATGCACCAGTCACCACTCACCATGAGTCAACATGATTCACTGCGAGCTTGCCCCGCGTCATGAACTTACCAGACCCTGGAACCCTCCAGGGCTGTGAACACTGAAGATTCAATTTAGATAATTATAAATAATCTACAGCTCAACATCCTCCCCCATCACACAATTCCCCTTCTATAAAACACAATTTTTGACCTATCTCATTATCCCAATTCCGCCACCAGCGCAATGGCATCTAATTCCATCGTCTTTTACGATATCGCCATGCGACCCCCGGCAGAGAAAAATGCCTGCTCCCCTAATCCCTGGAAAACCCGTCTGGCCCTGAATTTCAAGGGCGTCCCCTACACAACCACCTGGGTCCCTCTCCCCGAAGTATCCAATGTCCGCCAAAAGCTCCAAGTACCAGCCTGTCGGAAATTCGCCGACGGCTCCGACTTCTACACGCTGCCAATAATCGAGGATCCGAGCACAGGCTCATTCGTCGGCGACTCTTATGACATCGCAACCTATCTGCAAAAGACATATCCAGACTCCGGTGCTGGCGATCTCTTCCCAACACAAACCCTCGACTACACTTTCAAAAACGATACAATTCCCATCCCACTATCCGATATTCCCCAGAGCGGATTCCCCGAATACGCCCGCTTCAACGTCCACGTCGACGCGTTGTTTAGTGCATTCGCCCAGCTTTCTGTGGCATGTTTCCCGTTTGATCCGGCCACGGCGGAGATCAGTAAGGCGGAGATGGCGCGTCGTGTCGGGGTGCCGAGCTGGGATTTCTTTGCATTGAATGGCGAGGCAAGAGTGAAGACGAAGGATGGGTTCCGGGCTGCTCTTGGTGAGCTGGCAAAGCTTTTCCTCAAGGATGCTGGTGGGCCTTTTATCCTTGGGTCGAGGGTTACTTATGCGGATCTTATCGTTGGTGGGTGGCTGCACATGTATAATGCGTGTCTTGCGGAAGATGAATGGCAGGAGGTGAGGGGTTGGCACGATGGTCTTTTTGGGAAATTGTATGATGCTTTGGAGGTTTATGCGACGATGAACTAGGTGTTTAGGGAAGGGGCCCCGGGGGCGTCAGGTGCATGTGAGGAGTTGTGTTTATATCATTGAAATAATGTAAAGGTTCTACCAAATAAAATTGAGAAAATAAATAGTTGTCTCATGTTATATTATGCGTTTTGGTACACAAAATAGATCCTGATGTGAAAGTGTAGAGCCACTGCCCAGGTGTTGCGCTAGTACCTAGGTATGTGAACTCTATAAGATACTATTATTCTTTAAAAGCAACTTGTGCAAAGCTCCTCTTAAGGTCGTGATATTCGTCAGATAATCCATCTTGCTCATCGAACTATGCCTAGTGAAAACAACAGCGTTGTATCTTTAGAAGTATCAACACTACATGTTTATTTGCATTCACCCCGTATTTTCCCGGAGATTACCAAATGTTCCCAAACAATATCCGGTATATGTCTGCGTTCTTTGGGGGCCAAAAACCTCAGTACGACCCCATGTTTTGGTCTCAGAAAATCCGAGCGGCGGGTCCGAGCTAAGACCCCCCAGTCATCATCTGACAATAAATAGGCGCCCGATTGCCAGTCTTCGACTTTCGAAAATGCTAAAGACTACAGATTCAATACCGTGCATCTACAGAAATGTCTTCCTTCTCAAAAAAATCTCATTTGCCGCTCAAAATCACCCCCTGGTTCACACGGGCTCTGTCCCGAAATCCAACCCCCCCCACTCCTCCGACTCGCCCCCCTGCGCGGTATACTCGAAGTACCCAGGTTCACATCGATATCTGTCTCCGCATTCTCAACGCGGGGCTCACTTCTTAATACGAAAGTTCCCGGAAATGGCCCCTCAAACCCGAGATTAAAGGCCAAGAAAACCGAATCAGAGCACGAAGATCCGTTTAGCACTCCGTCTGTCAGTCTGGAGTCTCTTGGAATCGGGAGGAATATGAAGCTGTTTTTGCTGGCGGTGCTTTCTATTTTTGGGACCATTGAGACATGGTTCTGGTGTAAAGCTATTTGGATATGGTGGAAAGGAGGTGAGAATAAAGAGGAGGGCGAGTAGGAGGGTGAGGTGTCTTTGTGTCTTGTCAGTGAAATATTCTTGTATGATAGTCCTTAGAATCCATATGAATCATGTAAAAGAAACACTTTCAGTAGTGATAGGACTTCTTTGTTCCTTTCTCATCAATATTATGGGGAATATTGTACCAGCTATCTGTTTGAACAAAAAATACACTCCATCGAGCTTTATATACAAGATATGGTTTCTAGATTGTTACTAGTATTTCAAATCAAGAGATCTGGAAATAGATGAGAAATGGTGGCATGGATGTTTTTCAGTGTTGGAAATTCATTATCAGAACTATGAAAATGCTATAAACAATATGCAAATGTGCTAGCATTGTCCCAGGGAACTCCAAACCCAACTCCCAGAGCAAATCCAAAACACAACCGCAGCAGAAGAAAAGAAAGAAAGAAAAATGAGAGCCGAAAACGCAAGTCCCAGAAAACCAACCATAACGCCCACCCTTTCTATATGTTTTATTATTTCTGTACAGGGTCTTTGCATGCTTGGGATGGACCGAGTCTTGCTCGGACAACCTACGGGCGGAAGAAGGAGGCGGGATCGGCTCGGGAAGCCGAAACATCGGCAGCCGCAGCAAACCGTGATAGTGACGTAACAGACAAATTGCGACAGCAACAAATGTTATCGCAACCCATCATGCCACGGCCCATCAATCCACCAACCTCACCTCACACCCCGACGTGAAGGTATTATTATATGCATCGAAAAGCTTCACGCAACCAGCCCCCGTATTTATTCCGCTTTCGGCTTCTGCGCAATGATGCTATAGCTCGTCGTTGCCAGGCGCATATTATCCATCTTGACGAAAGCCTGGCCGTCCAGACACAGGCGGTTGATGAGGGTCTTGAAGTGGCGGGGTAGGACGTGCAGCTTGACCAGGCCGAGGATGCACTGGCGGAGGGTACGGAAGTAAAGGTCAACGGTATCGATCAGGGGAGCCTGCAGGCCGTCGATACTAGCGTTCTCGGACTTGACGATCTCGAAGCCGGAGGAGGTTAGCGCCTGCTCCAAGCTTTCTTGGGTGGGGGTGCCGACGGCACCGATCAATGGCTTGACTCGGCACATCAACTCCGCGTGCTCGGGATTCGTGGGCTCGTAGGCGGGTAGGGCCATCCAATCCAGAATTGAGATCTTTGCGCCTGGCTTGACCACTCGGTATATCTCGGTGAAGAGGGCAGGTAGGTCCTTGCAGAGACTCAGTGCTTGGATCTGATAGAAGGCATCGAAGCTTTCGTCGGCGAAGGGGAGCGGGAGGCTGTTGAAGTCTTGCTGGACGAAACTGTTTTGCAAGCCGCGCTCCTCGTTGAATTGGTGTGCTTGCGCGACTTGGTTCGGGTCAATGTTCAGACCGGTGACTTGGGCGCCGGAGTATTGCGCCATGTGCGCGGCGACTCGGCCGCGGCCGCAGCCCAGATCAAGGACCTTGTCGCCGGCAGATAGACCGATATCCTGCGCGATTGAGCGCTCGTAGAGAATCTGGTTCTCCAAGACGGAGGCTTTGCGACTCATCCATGGTGGGATGTACATCTTCTCTACATCGCCCAGGGCGCAAAGGTGGTTGAGGACTCCGTAGTATGATTTCAAGCAGTCGCCCACCTTTTCCTGGTAATTGGAGCCTAGGACCTCTCTCATCTGCTGTTCATTCGACCAATCGAGGTTATAGATCACATATGAAGCCATGAAGTCATCGACTTCCTTTGGCGTCAGGTTGGCGAGGTAGCGGAAAGAAGTCCAGAAAGACTTCCAGCGCTTTGGTGAGGCCGAATTGTCATTGTCCTTTCCATGCTTTCCCAGCGCAGCCGCGAAGATCTTCTGCTTTTCATGCGCAATTTCGTCGAGAGAGCTGTCGCTTTCCGAGCCACGGCCAGTGCGCCCAGGATGGCGCGGCGTCTCAACCAGTGTTTGCGACACCATTATGTAGTAAAGCTTAGTCTATAAGCTCGGATTATGGTAGGGGAAGGAAGATGGAAAAATTGGAGAGTAAAATGGTATGAAGCAACAAAGAGGTGGGATGAGGGGGGAGCTCCAGTGTATATGCGCCCTTTCGCAACGCATCCTGGGGGCCCAACGCAATTTATAAGCAGCGCTCGCACGCCCTCCGATCCTCATTCTCCACGATTTCCGAAAAGAAAAATAAATTGCCAAGCAAAGGCCGTGAGCGGTCAGTAGCCACAGTTGTGGATTGTCACCAGACCAGGAAGCTCATACCGGATAGGCCGGCAGGAGCTCGCGCCGAACGGGACAGGGACGCCGAACGAGGCGGATGAAACGAATAATTTTATGGTGATTTCGGATAACCAGAGCAAGAACAGCCTTGGATGAGTTTCTTTCTTTACCATCATTATTCTTTGGGAATCGAGTTGGCCCAAGGCATCAGTTGAAGCGGTCTATGAAAATGCGACAAAGCCAGGTACGGATGACGCGGGAAGGGTCCTTGCGACGAAATGAGAATCGTCATGGCTGCGACGATCTAGACCCACCGGATTTACATAGTACTCTATCTACGATGGATATTTCACTCCTTTCTGTAGCCGCTGAGCGCATTACGCCGTAGAAATAGCAAAATACAGACAGCGAACAAAGCCCAGAATTCGGGCACATCATTGCGCATAAGCCCACGCCGCAAATGAGAACTTGTATAAAGCGCTGGGGGCACCTGCAGCCCTGCCCTGGTCAAGCCTCATGCATAGTTCCCTAATAGTGCTGCAAGCCGATCAAGCTACCCCTCTCGTGAGTCACGGATTCTTCCTGCAAGCCCGTTTCCTTTCAAGTTTCCACTCCGCTTTTGAGCTCGTTTATTGAACGCTTTCATTGTCAATGGAATGTACATATGTACATACAATGTTTTCTAGATAAGAAATCATGCAGGCGGTACGAATGGTTTAGTCTTCAACTCGATATCCGAGCAAGCACCAAGAACCCTTCAAGTTGAGTACTATCTATACGGTAGTTCGGCAACGGGAGAGATATACCTCGTAGGGCGCGTGGAGCCGCGGAATAGCCGCTTCGAGAAGACCTCTTCCCGTGGGACGGGAGGTAAAAGAAAAAAAAAATTGTATGAGATAATTCAAGTCTACGATATGTAAGCAGAACCATGTGGCCATGGCTCTGAGAGTGGACCAACGGGTAGTTTTTGATTCTGCGCTGTTATTGAGTGTTGATTGAATAACGCCATGAAGACCCTCAATGACAGACCCACTTCCTTTGACTCCACTTGACGACCGGCGGGCGGTAGGGCGATTCAATCCGAGACTCCGACGAGCCCGTATTTCCGGTGCCGGTCAGGTGAATTACCCAATAAGGCAGAATGCTCCTTCACGGCACCGGGCAGGATGCGGACAAAGTGCGGACAAATTCACGGTGCGAGTAGAGGCTAGAAGGCTAGCGGAAGAGTCCGTGTACGCTCGGATTTATTCTTGGCATTGCTTCTTTCTCGCGCTCTTCTGCGAAGCGTTTAGCCGGTAGAAGGGTTCAGGTTTGGGTATGGAGGAACGTGGCACCACTTTTCTAATGTGGACATGCACGCGTGTATAAGTGCCGTGGCAGGTTTTGAAATGGGGAAATTCAAGCACTGATGGCTTGGTAGTGGGTATGTGATATGGACAATGCGCCTTGACTGAGTTTTGGACGTGGGATTCTGCCGTCTTTAAGAAGATCAACATGGACATAGCAACCGATGATGCAATTCTTGACACACAGTGGAGTGAGTGGACCGAAGGGTTTTTTTAAATGCACACCTGCTCATCTTTCTGGAGATCAAGAAAGGTGTAAGCGGAGGCGCTCTATTTTCTATTCTCCTCGCTGGCATCATGCGACTACTAGTATCTACAACTCAAGCTCCTTTGGATCGATTTATGTACTAGTACCTACTAGTAGCTGATTCTGGGTCGGATCTTAGAAATAAAAGCCAAGAGATAATTTCTCGTTTATTTTTTTTTTTTCAAACACACGTTCCAGACTGGCGTTACACCTCACAAGGTTTTCAGGGTCCTCCCATCCACTTCAGGACGATCGCATGTAGTTCTTTTTCCTATATGATATTCCCCCAACCACTCCTTGTTGGACTCTACATGTAGACACGGGATCAGCCTTCTACTAGTAAGCGTGCTTTGGACCTATCAGCTAAGCAGATACTCAGGTATAGATCCAAGAAAGACGTAAAATTCCGATAGCGACGCGACAAAATAGGTCAATGGTACGGAATAAAGAGTGACAGGGTCCAACCGCAAATAGTATTCAAACCCACCGATTGTTCGCGATGCTCCATATGGACTCAGTAGGTACCCCTCTTCGCTTCCCCTCCCCCAGCGGTGATCGCTAGGACTACGGGACGCAGGTATCGATCGGCAGCGTGATATCTCCCGTCTGAAATGTCCGAGCGTCGGCGATAATCCACAGAGACCGACTGACGTCAGATTGATTACCTCCCAGATTGGGTGAATGCATAGAGGGGGAGCTTGGTTACATTAGTTCTGGTACTTTGGTTCCGGTGGCTGCTCACTGAGTCACGGTGCTCGGGATACTTGAATGGGGTCGGGCTACGGAGTACATAAACATGGTGTGCTGTCGGATTGGTAAGCTGGTCTAGCCAATCTTAAGCTCAAGGTTCAGATTGACATTGTCTGGAAAATTTGAAAAACCGGCTTGCTCTTTTGTGATGAGCTTTGTCCGTTTTGGATTGTCCTGACATCAGAACGGGTGGGGCGCCGTGGATTACGCGGAGGCGAAGCTTACCTTACTCTACTCCGCAGTTAAAAATGAGCCAAGATAATCTTGATAATATCGGATATCATGATTCATCATGTTCTTGAAGGAATACCGGCCATTGGTATCTTCAAAAGAAACGAGAGCGAAGACAGGTAGCACATGACCCTGTTTTTTGAGACCCTCGTCGTTGTTTGGATAATTCGGCATTCGAATCATGTGGCTGGGTAGGGACTCGATTGATTGGTTGTTTGTATGCAGCGCAAACGAAAACTTGCCCAGATTTTCGATGGAAATGTGTCGCTTAGTGACACAGAACTATAAAGTGCCTTGTGGTGTATAGTGTAAGGCACTGGAATTTCATTGGAAGGCACCCCGAACACAGCCAAATGGCCACCCAGTAGGTAATTTGATGCAAATAATTCAAGTCTGAATCGTTTTCATTATCACTCCAAAGAAATAACATTAAGCGCACATCCTCTACGTTTATGCCCTGATTCGCGGCATATCCCATAACGTTGCCGTAGCCCCGGCCCCGAATTAGTTTGCACAGCTGCCGCAAGTTTCGCCAAATTATTTCCCTCTCTATTTTTCCTTGTACGAGCGTCTCCTCTTCGCTGATTCCATCCCAGTCTGGCAATTGGCTATTTGGCACTACTTGCTCTTCGAGCGCGAGTGGCGTGTTCTCAATGAGTAGGAGTTGGTATTCGGAGAGAAGAAGCTGTGGTTGGGGGATTGGTTGTTCCAACTTTTTTTTTTTTAAAAAAAAAACCGTTCTCATTGTTGTTGCATTTGCTGGACAAAGTTGTCTGTAGGGTTATATAATGGTCGCTGTGTATTATCCGATATGTTGAGGATGTGGACCTCGGCGAGTAAATTGTTCATCTCTGGAATAGCATATTCGAACGTTTTAACTAGGGTTTGCCTTCAAATTTGGCTGCATCAAGTTGCTCGGGAGGTTATATGGGGGTTGCTGATCATTCCTGGCTGATTGGCGTAGGGTCTGGATGGCGGCGTGGAGAAGCTGAAAGTCTGGCCCGGGAAAGAATTGTTCTCCTTCTCTGAAGAGCTGTTTAAATTGCTGGGCTGGATCAAGCTGCGGGTAATCTGAGTGTTGCTGCTGCAGTTGCCATAGCATCATGGTGCGCTTCGCAAACCCTTCTGCCACGTCTGAGCCGAGCATAGAGTAGAAACCGCTGCGGTCGAGATAATGATCCCTATGAACACGGTTTGCCAGTAAGAGATTGGTACTTTCTTGCACCCTTGCATGGCTGGGGGCGGCTCAACCACGTTTATCCTCGGATGCTTTCCACTGTGAAAGCAATTCCTCTTCCGTTGCAGTCAACTCGGGAGTAATTGCAGGCACATATCGCCTGTGAGCAGTCAGCTCGGGAATATCTACAGGCACGTATCGCCGGTGAGCAGCACTCCTCCCTAAGCGAAACACCAAGGTTGAATAGGGGACATCAAAACGTCGCGATGCTTCGGAAACAGATTCTACTTCTTTTTTTTTCGACGGCTTGTATAGCCAATCGCATTCGATCCTCTTCCCCTTCGATCCTCTTCCCCGGGTGAATTGATATTGCGAATTGGTGGCAATTTTGGCATTTGAAGATGATAAGAAGGAGCATATCGCTCGTAAGAAAACCTCCTCCTCATGCGATACATCAAAGTTTACAAGGGGACATGAAAACGTCGCGATGCTTCGGCAACCGATTTTACATCCTTTTTTCGACGGCTTGTATTGCTAATGGTATTCGATCTTCATCCTTACACTCGAGTGAAGATTCGCGGATTGTAAGAGTATTGTGAATGGGGGGGGGGGGTATTGTGGGGGTTTGAGGGTGGCGGGCTTCACGCGACGCAGGGCGTTTAAAGTGTTCGGCTTGCTCCTTTGTGGATCTAGATGCATCTCGACGATACTACACGTGATCTTCTTTTTATATCATATCATGTGACCTGATTGTTAAGCGGCGGAGTTCGGGCAGTCTTGGCGCCGTCTCAGCCCGGTTTCACCTGCACGGAGTACATCAAGGAGTACATCAAGTAGTAGGAGTTGTGTATATGGAGTACTCCGTATACATATGTACAAGTTCTGTACAAGAGACAAGTTGTTGGTCTTGATGAATCCATATACTAGTAGTACTTCCATATTCTCATCAACAATGATAATAACATTAATAACCAGCATACTCCGTACCGTGATGTAAATTAATGATGAAGAGGCTATTCAAAGATAAATGCCTCAGATCTCACCTAGGAACCTGAATACTCGGATACAAAGACCGTTAAGGCCGGGCGGACAAACCGGGAGGCCGAGTCGGGGGAAAGGGGGGCAAGTCCGAAGAACCCTTGGGTAAAGAACCTGAAAATCTGATGAATTGAAGAAAACGAACCGGAAGAAAGGTGACTCACTCAGGGGTTCCCGAGTATTTGAAGTATTCTGATTGGCTGGTTAGTAGTGAACAGCTGACCAACTGAGGTAGGAACCGGCGGCCGGAAGGACTTCCGTTTGTCTCCATTTCCCGCGGGTACAAGCGGTCTTTAGATACTTCGTGTACTTGGTGTACTTGGTATTACCCCCTTGTCTACAGTACTATCGTACCGTTTATGGCTGGCGAGATGTACTCGAATGTACTATACTTCTCTTCACACCCTCGGTTGACGTGTCTTTGCAGATAATGTGGCTGTACAAGAATGTTGATCGATAGCAAATAGGCTATCACGAAGTATACCACAAAGTATACCATAAAGTATGTCAAAGTATACCTGTAGGCTCCTCAGATTCTCCGGAGAGGATCGGCCCTAAGGAAATCCACTCTACCAATACTCTGTGCGACTCCATCTCCTTCCAGAATCCGCCCCGTTCTGACTGGTGTCAGTCACCCTGTACCCTCAGGCTGTATTCGTACTATTTTTTAGACTGCCTCTCCCCCCTTCTTCCTCCTTCCCATATCCATTCAACTTTGATTATCAACAACTTTTGGTGACCGGTTCCCATACTGGTCCATCCTTTACGATCTTTACTCTCCACCTCTTTTAGATCTACCTTCATTCGCATTAGCGCGTTCATTGACGGCTTGGTGTCGTTCAATGAACCTGCACTCAAATCATTACTCGGAGTGCAAGGTATGCAGCACACGACCACACCCCCCTACCCAACAAACACCCACTAACTCGACGCACTTTTAGCATTGCCTCTTCATTCTGAAGAGGTCTCCCGCAAGATAAATGGTTTTTAAACCGTTTACCCACCTCGCGCGCCAGAGTCTTTCCAAAGCCTTCTCCCACGGCTCCGTTCAATCGGTAGTCGCGGCGTCGCAATCCACCTACGCCTCCACCACCACCTTCAACTCCCTCGCTTCCCAGCCCGCCGCCAAGTTCTCTCGCACACAACTTCAGAATGCCTGGTCTAACGCCTCCAGTTCGTCTGGTGCTGGCGCAAAGGCCAGCCAGGGTGGCTCGGGATCAGGGGACTTTGGTCTAGCCGCCTACTATGCCGCTTGGCAGCATGCCCAGGCGACCGGCGACGATAGCGACTGGAAGCAATTCCAGTTCAAGCGCCGCATTGGCTGGAAGCCCTCCGAGGATCTGGAGGATGTCAAGGAGGAGCGCAGTGTTTCACCTGACCTGCCTCATCCCACCAAGGCCGCCGTCAACGAGAATGTCAGCGCCCAGGTCGAGGAGGCTGTTGCCCGCGAGATTCAAATACAGGAGGAGCAAGCCCAGGCCGAGGAGACATTAGAAGCGACCGAGCCTGTCTCTGAGTCCGCCGTCGAGGAAGCCGTTCTGTCGTTGGAAGCCGCCTCGGAGGTCCAGATCGCATCCGACCACATTGTACTGTTATCTCTGGAAAAGAAATATGCTGAGATTCCTGTTGCATTCGAGTCCCTCCTCCGTGATGGCTTCACTCCGACCGTGGAGGCATACAATGCTCTTCTGGTCGCTGCCATCCGTCTTCACCCCGAAGCTGCCCAAGCAATCCCCAAGGCGCTGGACGTCTACTCTGATATGCTGCGTCGCAGGGTAATTCCTGATGAAGACACCTACCAGACTCTCGTCGAGCTGCTCATCTCCCAGGTGCATGAGACTATTGATGCCAAGGAGGTTTTGGAACAGGAGCGAGCTCGCTATGGTGGTATGGAAGAACCAGGCAAATTCATGCTGCAGTCTAGCGAACTGGAACGCGAAATCCTTGCCGAGGACCACTCCCTGGCCATCGCTGTGAAGCTTTTCAACACTGCCATTGCTCGTCACTCACGACTGGCTTTGCCTGTCAACCTCTACCGCCAGCTGATCATTGCCTGTGCTCGTGAGGGCAAGGTGGAGGACATGATTCGTATCTACTCTCATATGGAACAGCAGGATGTCACACCGCACGCGACCATCTTCCCGTACATGATCGATGCTTTCGCTGGCGTCAGTGACCTCAAGAGCGCGGTCGAGTGCTACAACGAATACCGAGCTCTGGCCGTCTCCGATGACAGTGGTATCTTCAGCATCGTCAAGCGTCTTGATGGAGAAGTTTATGCTGCTCTCATCCGTGCTTATCTGACCTGTGGTAAGGAAGAAGGCGCTTTGAACTTCCTGGACCGAATTCGCTCCTCGTTCGACGAGGTGACTGAGAACCGCGAGGGCCGATGGGCGGCTGTCGAAGAGGTTATCATTCAGGATGGTCTGGTACAACACTCGCTGAAGGCCGGTGACTACAGCACCGCCTTGGAGCAAGCTAAGACACAGTTGCATGATGAGGCCCGCGATCAGGCCATTTCTCAAATTTGCATTGCCGCAGCTGATGCTGGCGATCTGACCACCGCTTCCGAGGCCTACGATCGTCTTTCAACTGCGCCTGCTGTGCGTCAAACACCCGCCATTTCGCTTCTTGCCCTCAACATTCGCCGGGGTAATGTTTCGGCGGCCCGTTCCTTGTGGATTATGTTGAACACTGTGGGTCAGGCAACCCCGGATATGGTTCAGCCGACCGCCATGTACGCGGTTGCCCAACTGAAGTCTGGCCATGTTGAGGAAGGTCTGCATGAGGCTCGTAACATGTTCACCCGCATCCGCAACGCTTCTGGCAAACAGTTCACCGTCAGCACTTCCACCCAGGAACAGATCACCGAATCGCTTCACCTCTTTGGCCGTGTCCTGATGCAGACGGCCGCTGTTCTCTCACCTCAATCTTGCATGACCCTCCTATGGTCCATGGTTGAGAACGGCGGTCTTGTTTCTCCTCTGGCGGAACATGCTGTTGCCAACCTGGGTCCTCAGGGTATCTCAGCAATGAGCCCTGCTGACCTCACCTTGGCCCTTCAGATCCAGGCCGGTATGTTGGCTAACAATAGCGCTATGTTGTTTGACGTCGCTCACCCTGTCCGCTTCGCCCACATGCTTGACGTCGCCCTCGCGGCCTCGCTCCCACTTGATGCCTATACCTCTAGCCTGGTTGACCAAGCTGTCGCCAAACTATCCACTAGCCGCCCCGATATCGTCAAGAGATGGCAGGACCACCTCGAAGCCTCCTCCCAGGGCTCCATGGTTTCTGACCGCCGTAGCCCTGTCTCTATGGCTGAGACTTCGATCACGACCCCTTCCTCTAACCCCGACTCCTTCGATCCGTATGCCCATGCCACTGACTTCCGTGGCTCCGCCCTCATCGCAGAGGAGCTTGAGAAGACCACGGGTCGGGCTGATGTTCATCTCAACGAGTCACTGATTCGTCTGAAAAACATGCGTCGCATTGGTCGTCACCCTCGCTATATCACGTATGCGAAGTTGATCACTGCTGCTGCTAAGGTTGGCCGTATGGACTTGGTTCATGACATTCACGCCATGGCTTGTGCCGATGTTCCTCTGACCCCCGCTCACAGCGCTGTCAAGTATGGTTGGGTTTCCATTTTGGATGCTATGGTTGCTGCTTGCCTCACTGTTGGAGATCGTCACCTCGCTGGTCAATTCCACCAGGAGCTGCTCGGTCTGGGTTCTGCCCCCTCTGCCAACACCTTTGGTCTGTACATCACTACCCTGAAGGAATCCACCAAGACCTTTGACGAAGCCACCGAGGCTCTGAAGATCTTCCACCGTGCTATCGCCGAAGGCATTGAGCCTACATCTTTCTTGTATAACGCCCTCATTGGAAAGCTTGGCAAGGCTCGTCGCATCGATGATTGCCTCGCCTACTTCGCCGAGATGCGTGCCAACAACGTCCGCCCTACCAGTGTCACCTACGGTACTATCGTTAACGCCCTCTGCCGTGTCAGTGACGAGCGATTTGCCGAAGAGATGTTCGAGGAGATGGAGTCCATGCCCAACTACAAGCCCCGCCCCGCCCCTTACAACTCTATGATCCAGTACTTCCTCAACACCAAGCGTGATCGCAGCAAGGTCCTGTCATACTACGAGCGCATGCAGGCACGAAACATCAAGCCAACCATGCACACCTACAAGCTTCTCATTGACGCCCACGCCTCCCTCGAGCCAATCGATATGGATGCCGCCGAGAAAGTCCTGGAGTCCATGAAGGCTGCCGGTCAACAACCCGATGCCGTCCACTACGCTTCTCTCGTCCACGCCAAGGGCTGCGACCAGCACAACCTCCCCGCCGCCCGCAAAGTCTTCGACGCCGTCGTTTCGGACCGTCGCGTGCGCCCGCAACCCTGCCTGTACCAGGCTCTCTTCGAGGCCATGGTCGCCAATAACCGCGTTGCCGATACCGAGGACGTCGTCAAGAACATGCTCCAGCGCAACGTCGAGATGACCGCCTACATTGCCAACACGCTCATCAACGGATGGGCCATTGAAGGCAGAGTCTCCAAGGCCAAGGCCATCTACGACAGCATCGGCCTGGAGAAGCGCGAGCCCAGCACCTACGAAGCCATGACCCGTGCTTTCCTCACTGCTGACGACCGCACTGCTGCCGCCGGCATCGTCCAGGAGATGATGTCTCGTGGATACCCTTCTGCCGTGGCCAGCAAGATCATCGACCTGGTCGGTGCTTCTTCTCCCTCCGCCTAAACACCATCCTCAACACCCTCACACCCTAAACTTTCTCTTTCTCATTTCTTATCATCTTGTTTTTTTTTTTCAATCTGTTTGAACAAAAGAAGACCAGGTCCGATACCGATTTAATTGTTGTGATGTGAATTACCCCCCCACACGCCCCATACTACCTACACCAAACCATTCTTGTCTTGCTAGGGCTGGATCCCTCAGCCTTATCTCATCGATGTTTGGGCTTTTTATTTCCGGATTTGGCGCGACACAGTGGGTTGGTTGGTTCTGAATACCTGGTTTTGGGTTTTTGTTCCGCTTGGGTTTCCGCTTTGTGGAAAAGATATCCTTTTTTTCTCTGGCTTTTTTTTGGCATTCAGCGTGGATGGCGTTTAAAATGGTGCTTGTGTGGTCTTTTTTTTTTTGCGACGTGTATACCATTTTATCATGTTTTATGTTCATAGACCCCTCTCCACTCTGCATGGCGCTACTAGACGCCCGTGAAATACAAAAAAAGTGAATGAGTATCTGTGTTTCTTTGTAGTATGTGAAAGGGAAGAAATAAGCTCATCTCGGGCCATTAAGCTGAAGCCAACGCCGAGCTATCCTCATTCACGATCATCGTCGCCCTGGCCCACACCTTCGACACGTTGTAGTTCTCTGCATTTTCATTATCATAGGTATTGATGGCAGGTTGGACGCAAAGAGTCACCTCCGACCTATCGAGGAGATGTGCATTAGTATGCAACGAGTGAGCAGACATGGAGTCATTTGAAAGTTCGAAGACCTGTCATTCTTACTGGGGGGTACGACGTGAAGAATTCCCGCCGCGTCCAGAGGAATAGGGTCAGGTGAACGGCTTCGGTGTAGATGGACTTCAACCCTTCCCTTCGGTCTTTGCAAAATCTATTGGAATTGAGAAGGCAGGAAGTATAAGAATAGAGAGGGTCTGGTCCATATACTTTATCGTCAAGAGGCAGGGACATCATCAAGGTACGTCATCTGAGCATCTATCATAAGCTCTGCATTCCTACCCGATCTGATATTAGCAGGAGGTTCCTGATCTAATAATTTAATAGCAAATCATTCTGGTTGGTGGCTTCGGAGACTCCGAGTATCTTTATGTGGCCTTCCAGGAAGAGTTCGATTCCAAGAAGATTACAATCACTGTTCCTGACAACCCGTGAGTGTCTTCTAACCAGCTTTTGGAAAGTCATGGTGTTTTGTTGGCTAATTGCCAGCGAACTGTTATTTCATAGGCAAGCAGCCATCGTTCAAGGAGCCGCTCTCCGTGGCATTCAAAGTCTTCGAGCCACAACCAGACGGTGTCGACGACATTACGGATACGAATTCTGGCTCCCATTTCGCGAGGGCTTCGACCGTGAATCGAATTCTATCATCCATGCAGTCACAGGCCAAAAGATCGCTTACGGTTATGTGGAATGGTTTATCCACAAGGTGAGCTCCACCCGGACAAGCACCGAGCATAGAAGGGATCTGACAGTATCTCTCTCTCTCTTTATTCACAGGGCGCGAAATACCATGAGAATGAAGCTCGATCGATAGCAGTAGATGTTGACTTGTGGGATGGGGCAATGATAAGAACCGATCCCCTTCTAGCTTGCGACCTCAAGAATCCCCCGGAAAGGGCTGATTCGGGTCGAGTATTTGACAGTCCCAAAATCTTCTGCATAGCTAACTTCAATTCAGATGATATTTACGAAGTTGTTCTTATCACCATCGATTTTGAAAATGCAGATCTTTCAAAGTTTCGATCTAACATCTATGGTGGCACCCGACACTACCTCAGCAGCGGATACAGTCTTGAGATCACGTTTGGAGCACAGGAGGGTATATTGAAATTTCAAGGAGTCTGCGATGGAAAGGCAATCGGACACAGTCAGATGGATTACACTAAATCCAAGTCCGAAAGAGAGGCTCCAATGCCCAAGTCGCCTAGTATGGGAAATGGTGGGAATTCAGTGCAGTATCATGCACAAATGGAAATCATGGGGCAATCTAAGTAGTTCAGATGGCTAGGAAATTGAACTCTGTCGTGATTTAAGAGTACCCTGGTAGATCGAGTAAATGCAGTCAACCAAGATCGATCGATCGATCTGATGCATCGGGAATTCCACAGCCAAATCGATATCAACCCCATACCTCTGCATACTTTTGCCTCTCCACTTCTCAACTCACCTCATTACCATATCATTACTACCTGAGGTAGCTCCATTACACTCTCGCCTTTGAATCTGGCCAAATTAAATGTTTCATCGCCTTTGTTCCTTTGCTACTCGCAATCTCCACTCGTTTCTCCGCATCAACACCCGCACTGCCCGTCAACTTCAACCCCACCTTCAAGCCTGTCATTCTTCCACTACTCGACTCCCCACCAACCACATATCCAACATGTCGCAGAACAACCCGGAGCTGGATGCCCAGTCGCGGCGTCCAAAGAAGCTAATCTGTACGTAAATCACCCCCTTCCCAGCTCTCGCGCCATGAGCAAATTACCTGGTGATCTGCCCCGCGGGGAACCTATGACTCGTCATCGGAGCTTCAAAACTTACCAAAAGCAATACCACAGTTGCTCCCGGGGATATTGCACCTGGATCAGAAACTCCAAACACATCAGAGACCACAGCGAACTCTACATCAGCCCTCCCATCTCACCTCGCCCCCGGTGAAACCCTTCGCTCCGACACCTCGACGCCCACCTCCACGACCGAAACCCAGATCTTGTCCCACCCTGCCCGAGCACACCAGTTCGTGACCAATCCACCCTTAACCGTCTCCCAAATCCACGGCACAAACCCCCTCCGCCAATTCAACACCTGGTTCCGTGATCCGCGCTTGCCCGCTAGCTCGGCACCCGAGACCTGCACCCTTGCGACAGCATCCCTGCCCTCGGGCCGGATCAGCTCGCGCGTGCTATATCTGAAGGAACTGGATGAACGGGGATGGGTCGTCTACAGCAATTGGGGCAGTCGGGAGGGTAAAGGTGCGCAGGTCTTCGGGCAAGATGTCAGCGGCGGCAATGCGGTTGGATCAATGCCTGAGCCCGGCGACGCAGGACTAACTGCCGGTAATAAGTGGGGAGCTCTGACATTCTGCTGGTCTACTGTTGAGCGTCAAGTCCGGGTGGAGGGTCTCTTGGAGCCTCTCAGTCGCGAGGAGAGCGAGCTCTACTGGCGCACCCGGGAGCGAGGAAGTCAGATTGGTGCTTGGGCGAGCTGGCAGAGTCGTGTTCTCTGGTCTGCGGAGCCGGGGCAGATGGAAGAGCACCAGCGCCGTAAGAGCGTTGCGAAGCTTCAGCCCGTTGAGGGATCTATGACTGGCGTGGATATCCCCGCTGATATCGATCAGACGGATGTTGATGACGGGCGAGCTTTGCTTGAGAAATTGGTTCAGGAAATGGAGAAGAAGTTTGAGGGCGTGGAGCAGATTCCTCTACCTCCTTTCTGGGGTGGTGTGAGACTGGTTCCTGAGTCTGTGGAATTCTGGCAGGGTCGTCGCAGTCGACTTCATGATCGATTCCGATATGTCCGCATTGATGGCGCAGGTGATGATGCGCAGTGGCGGCTGCAACGATTGTCGCCGTAGAATTATTGTTTTGAAATGACATTTAGCTAGACACTGGCCTACAGTGTGCTTCTAGATTGTTTTCAATTCCATGAAGATCTATCGACCTATTCTTCCCCCGGTTGAATGTAGTACTAGTAGTAGATATCCTAGGAGTCCATGCCGATCAGTCATTATCTTATCGGAAGCGGCGTCACAGCGTGAACCTCCTCGAGCTCCTCCCTTCCACCCTCATCTACACAAAATCTCGCTATATACTACTTCATCAATCCCCTTGAACATAGCTGCCGGTCCAGCTTGGGTATATATACAGCATGTCTTCTCCAGCGCCCCCGAAATCCACCACCTCCCCCTGGATCGTCCTCGCCATAGCCAGCGGCGCCTTCGCCGCGTTGAACGGACTCTTCGCGAAACTGTAAGATGCACACGTTTACCAGCTGAACATGCAGAGGCACCTTGAAGTCCTTGTATCCACGAGAACCCCCAATTGACCACCGCAGTACAACGGACAACCACACCACAGCCTTCGCGCAATCCCTCGCCCACCTCTTCGGCCTCGACTCCTCCCCATTCCTAGAACTCCTCGTCCGCGGCGTACGTCATGATACTTTCTCTCAGCTCCTTTTCTCCTTTCCCTCGAGTTGAACTTTTGCGCGGTCAGGATTGTAAGGATTTGCATTACTCACGCTTCGCGCAAACAGGCATGTCTCGGTCTCAACGTCCTTTGCAACATCATCATGTGGGCGCTCTTCACCCGCGCGCTCACAGCCGGTCCATCGACGACAAAGGTCTCCATCACAAACACCGCCTCTAACTTTTTGGCAACGGCTTTCTTGGGTATGATTGTTTTTCAGGAGGCGGTCGGGGGATTGTGGTGGCTGGGTGCGGCGATGATGGGTGCTGGGTGTATCTTGGTTGGGATGCGTGAGGGGGCGTAGTTTGATTATTGGGATCTCTATATCTATATCATATATCATATACTGTTGGAATATGTTACGTTTCGCATTTGGCGGTTCACTAGTATGTTTTGAGGCTCTAATAAGCATCGTGCACTTGTACGACCTTGGAAGTCTATCTTGTCCCACTATCAATCACCCCGAGGAACCAGACCCCTAGGATCCATGGATGGAGAGTTCAAGCTATTTCAACTGGCTTAATACACCTGGGCATGGAAAGGGACCAGAATACCCTTTCCCAAAATTGAAATATACCACTAGTAGTATTTGTAGTAGTCGGAATGAATTTCACGAGCAACGCTTTATATAATGCATCTATCCGCCTATGTCCACATAATTGTTACAGTCCTAAGGACGACCAGGCCGTCCCTCTCTCTCCTCCAATTCGACGAAACCGTCATCTTCCGTCCCATCCAGAATCCCTGGGGATTCCGGTTGTCCAGCGCGATCCCGTTCGCCCAGCCGCACGGGACGACTAGCACGCGACGAGCCAGACACAAATCCAACGGCTTTCTGGATGATCCGCCAGATACGCTCTTCCAAGGGTTCTGAAGCGGGAGCATTTAAATGACCTCCTAGTGGCGCAGAAGAGAACTCTGACGCTGTAGTAGCCGCAAGCGCGTGCTCCTCGGCCTCGACCTTGAACTGGTATTTCAGGCAATCCTTGACTGTGACCAGGCCAGTGAGACGACCACGGTGTTCAACGAGAATAACCCGCGGGCCCATCTTCTTGAAGATTTCCATGACAGTTTCAAGAGGGAGACGCGGATGGACACTCAATGGGGTGTGGTCGACATAGCTGGAGAAATCAACGAATCCAGCACCCACACTCGTCTGGATCGCGTCAAAAGTTTCCGGTGCGAGGGATTGGGAACGCTCTGATGCGGAAGCCCGCCGAGCGACTAATGCATCGGCGGCTTCTTTGGTAAAGACGCATCGGGCCCGGGGCGAGAGGAGACCGTCACTTCGTGCGCGGTCAATGGCGTAGCGGAGTTCCGTGCGTCCGATGTAGCCGACGAGCATTTTATTGCTGCGGTCCTCTACGATCGGGAATCCTTGGAACTTGTTGTCGCTTAAGAGGTGCTCTGCTTCACGGACGGGGAAGTCGGATGCGGGGAGGGTGAGCGGGTCAGTTGTCATTGCGTGCGAGACTGGGACGTTGAAGACGTGGTCTTCCTTATTGTCCAGGAATGGGAAACCGTTAAACCAGATCATTCGATCTGCGATGCCTCCGTTTCCAAATCGGTCGCCAACGGCTTTGGTTACGCCCACGACGATCTGTGTAAAATAATGTTAGCGGTAGTCCTCTTCTGAATAGACTAAAGACATACCATAGTCGGCAAGATGTAAGTCAAAGCACCTGTGAGCTCAAACATGATGACAGTGACTGAGATTGTGAGATGCATGATGCCACTGAGAGCCGCTGCTGCACCCAGGAAGGCATATGTTCCTGGCGTGATACAGGGGACATCAGGTTCGCATGATGCAAAGAAGGCGGAGTTGGGGAAGTGTTCATATAGTGCCTGCACTATAATCCCCACCATGCGACCAAAGGACGCACCGATGGCCATTGAGGGGACGAAAATACCTGCCGGTACCTTACATCCATACGAGATGATGACCAGGCCAGTACGTAGAATAGTAGCAACAGCCAATGAAAGTACCATGACCAGACGATTCTCTTTCCTAGAGGAAGGGTTAGTATAGTTTTCCATATGCAACAGCTAATGGGTTCTTACTCGCAAAGCCCGTGGTAGTCATGCCCTGCCTTGCATTCACGGAAGAGAATCTCCATCATCTCTGTCATGTTGATCTTGAGGAAGATGTTGGGATAGCAGAGAATTGCAGTAACCGCGGCGAGAAAGACGGACTCCGAGATTGGGTATTTGCCGAGATACTTTTTCCGGAAAGCTGCTACCCGGAGATTCCATTTGATGACAAGAGCGCCATACAAACCGCCGAACACTCCTAGGAATACAAAGAAGATCAACTCGAAAAAGTGCCACGTGCGATCATATTCGACCTGGAACATGACCAGTTGTCCGGTTCGAAAGGGGTTCAAGGCCTGATGAGGTCAGTGGTGATGACCTAGAGAATGTATGAACATAACATACCGCTAGGACACTCGTTGCAACCAGAGCACAAAAATAGCTTCGCCATAGAGTCTTGAGTGGGAAATAATTGGCCATTTCCTACGCAGTTGTTAGCCCCAATCACTATGAATGTAGAACTGTTGCTAAACACACCTCAAGTGAAAAAAGCACACCTCCAATGGGACTGCCAAAAGCGACGGCCACACCAGCAGCCGCTGACGCGGTCAAGATTTCTCTTGTTTTTGAAGCACTTTGCTTGTATTTGCCGAACCATCGAGAGATGACATTTCCTGTACACACGGCGAAATGGACGCTAGGTCCCTCTTTTCCAACGGAGAGACCGGATGCAATGGCTAGTGGCAAGGCAATCGACTTAATCAGGAGAGTCCATGCTCCAAGGAACCCCTTCATGACAAAGCCAGCAATGATGCATTTGATCTCTGAAATACCAGAGCCAGCAGCATATGGAGCAAATGTTTTGACCAGAACTGCTGCAATAAAAGCAAGTAATACCTAGGAGAAAAGTTAGCCACGCCGTGTCATCCCATCTTTTTCTTCTGGCAGACTGGTATCTTACCGCGAAGAAGAAATAAATGATGTAATTTATCAACCAGAAACCAGTCCAGTGTTTCCATTCAGGACAACCTTTGAAAGCTCCAAGTTAGAAATGTAGACCCAGTGAGGACGATCTCGAATCTTGCCACGTACCTCCTTCAGCGCCCCAGCAGCAGAACTGCTCATTGAGATAGAATGCTGTGGTACAATGGCCCAATTTGATATCGGACAACCACTCAGTGATAATATTCAATAGGGCCGAGTTCAATCCAATCGCCATCCCCACGAGGGTCACTACAAGCCAGGCCTGGCCCGCATCGTAGGACTCGATCACCTTGCGACGCCAACCAAAGATCCCTTCTTGGTCCCAAAAGCCACCACCGTTCCGTCGCTTTGCTCGGCGATGATTCTGCTCATAGACTGCATCTTGGACCCAATCGATAGTTGTAAAATCCTCATAGCGCTTGATCTCACTGATTTCCTCTGTGATCGCGGTGGGTTGGGGCTCGGGAGCTGTTTCACGAATAGGGGACCTCTGGGAGGAGAGAGATCGACCAGATAGTCTGCGCAGATCGCGGCGCTCTGACAAGATAGAAGGCGACCGCAGTGAGGTCGGGGAGGGGCGTAACGAGGTCATAACATCAAGCGGGGCGGTTATATCAGCATAGTCGAGCTTAAAAGGCTTGGTAGTCGATGATGCTCTCCCGCCGCGATGGGGGAGAATCGCAAAGGTTGTGGCCGAGGATTGACGTGGTTCAATTCCCAAAATTCTCAGCTATTCGAAAAAAGTCACTAAATGTCGAAAGGGAGTCAGCGACGAGGTGAGAAGCAATTGCGATGGGAGGAACAGCTTTAGGAAAGGTAGCCAGGTTAATCGATAACCGGGGGAGGCTGCTGAGATAAGATTGCGACTGACTTGGACCGCGCTGGAGCAACTTTGGAACTTGGACGCGTTTACCCTCGCGTACTTTCGCCATATCGCCTCGAAGATTCGTGATACTCCGTGCTACTTGCAATCTTTCATTTTGGATTTTCCGGCCGTTGATTCCATCACATTATTCCGTCATGTCTTCAAAGAATGCTGCCGACTCGGAGGAGATCACCGGCCAGAGCGCTCTGCCAAGTACGTTTATGGGAAAACGAAACATCTAAAGGACAAGACCGAGCGTGGCTAACCATTGTCTAGTCTCTCGGATCAAGAAAATTATTCAACTAGATGAGGATATTGTGCAATGCTCCAGTAACGCGACTTTTGTCATTGCTATGGCTACTGTACGCTCCCGATTGCCTCTTTCGCCATACAATCTCCCATCATGATTTACTGACACCATTCATAGGAGATGTTCATCAAGCACCTCGCTGAGCAAGGTCATAACGTGGTCAAGTCCGAACGGAAACCGCGCAAGACCGTTCAATACAAAGACCTTGGTGGGTAGTCTAGTTACTCGCGGCATCGCGGTGCGTATTAGAATGGGTCAAGCTAATATCAATACTCTATATAGCAAGCGCAGTCTCCCATACCGACAACCTTGAATTCCTCTCCGATGTCATTCCCAAGACTACGACCTACAAACAATTCAAAGAGAAGAAGGCCAAGGAAGCCACCGAGATGGAGAAGGGTCAACGCACACTGAATGGAACAGGTGCGGCACCAGCCAAGGCAAATGGCTCGACTCCCGAGAAGAATACTACCCAGGCGAAGGAATCAACGGCCTCGTCCCCGACAGTCCCACGAACACCGATCGTGCCTGTGAGCGCGTTGATTGCGGACCGGACAGTCGAAGCCCGGAGGTCGACCGCTCAGGACGCGGATGTTGAGATGAGGGATTGAGGGAGCCTCGGATGGAGGAAAGGGGATTATTCTTTGCATACATCAAAAGGATTTGCTGCGTTAGCCTCCTTTTGCATTGGAGTTATCTGGAATTTCGGGGCTGTTTTTGGGGTGTTTTTTTGAATTGCCGGGTCGTCTCGGGAGCGGCTACTGTAGATACCAGTGTGATACCACGCAGGATAATGAGATGAAAAGAAATTGGACATGAACAATAATAGTGAATTAGTAGAACATACTTCACAGAAGTACTAGTATGTATACATACTCTGATTTAAGTAATATATCAACTCTAGCAATGTACTGTAGTACCTAAAGTACCCGGCAAGGTGACGGCGACCCGCTCAGCCAATGACAGGCCGCGTGATTCCGATCGCTAGCGAAAGCTCTGGCTCCAACTTCACTTCCGACTTCATCCACCTCCTACTCCCCCTACCCACTCGCAACCACCCACTCCCCCAATTGCGGACATACCCTTCGTGGTCAATTCACCATGTCGCTCTCCTCCGCTTCCAGCACTCTGCTGCGCACTTGCGCCCGCCAGCAGCTGCCCACCTCCCGCGCCGCCGTCACCTCCTGCCAGCAGCGGAGGGGAGTTGCCGATGCGAAGGCCTCCTTCGAGAGCCCCTTCGCCACCGCCAACGAGCGTGGCTCGACTCTGAAGATCCCCAACTTCAGCAAATACCAGTCCAAGAACAGCCCCCGCTCCAACCAGGTCTTCTCCTACTTCATGGCTGGCACCATGGGTCTGGCTACCGCCGTCGGTGCCAAGGCCACCGTTCAGGGTACGTTCCCTTTTACCTTTACTTGATTCCCGGTGCAAATGAGATGGATGGATGCAATGAACGACTATGGAAGAAGAGAAGGAAGGAGTTGATCGAGAATGACGATATCTGGGGATATTATACGCACAGGGTGGTGAGATATGGGAACATCGTGACTGACCGCGTATTTCACTTACAGATTTCCTCGTCAACATGTCCGCCTCCGCCGACGTCCTGGCCCAGGCCAAGGTTGAGATCTCTCTCGGTGCCATCCCCGAGGGCAAGAACGTATGTGTTTTCCTCCTCCCCCACACTCCGGGGACTTCTGTCTCGTCTCGCCTCGTCCTTCAAATCTCTCTAATACCATCAACAGGTCATCATCAAGTGGCGTGGTAAGCCCGTTTTCATCCGTCACCGTACCCAGGGTGAGATCGACGAGGCCCGCGAGATCAAGTGGGAGGGTCTCCGTGACCCTCAGCGTGATGAGGACCGCGCCCAGCGCCCCGAGTGGCTGGTCATGCTGGGTGTCTGCACCCACTTGGGTTGTGTGCCCATCGGTGAGGCCGGTGACTTCGGCGGCTGGTTCTGCCCCTGCCACGGCTCCCACTACGATATCTCCGGTCGTATTCGCAAGGGCCCCGCCCCTCTGAACCTCGAGGTTCCCGCCTACAGCTTCCCCGAGGACGAGACCCTCGTCATCGGATAAACGGATCGCCCGAACAACAATTCCTCATCATAAACAGAACGCCTGGAAACCGAACTTCTTCTGTGCGTCGGAAAATGATCTCTTGTTAGACCAGTGATTTGGTTGGTTGGTTGGGTAAAGACATTTCAATCGTGTCTTTGTGTATGTGCTTGTGATTCTCTTTTCTTTTCCTTTTCCTTTTATCCCTTGTGTTTTAGACAGAGCGGGCCGTGTGTGTCGTGTCAAGATTAAAGAGACCGTGTTTAATTATGGACAAAAAATGAGCCTCTTTCATACCTTTTACACTGTTGTCCTTGGTCCTTGGTCCTCAGTCCTCGCCTCCATTGATCTACGGATTGTCTCTTTTTTGGAGAACCCTCTGCTCCGGCTGTTCCGCCTCACCTGGGTGTCTCCTTGAGTACAGTACATACCTTGTGTTCTATATTTGCCAGTGTATTGCCTAGTCATGACATTTCCTTTGTTATCCACATTCTCGCCTTTGCTAGGTACTATCTAGACTCTCTGTAAGATTGGACGGGGAAGGTGGCGACTAGTACCGATCCCCTCGGTATAGCGAGTACTTCAGTGATAGGAATTTCTTTTTTTATAATGGTACACGGGGTTCTGATGACCCGAATAATTCTATCTCTTCATCTGTACATTTATATTGACCGATTAGTCAGGTGATACGTAGCAAAGCCTCGATATCAGGCGTGAGATCCAAGATGCACAACATCCGACAAGATCTCTTTCCTTCTCCGTCCGCCATGTACAATCAAATCCAAGGGCCCTTTACCGGAAATCGAACAAAAACAAAACCACGCCCATCACGGCCGCGCCGGCCGCGGCACTCTGAATAGCAACAACGGTAAAATCGCGCTGTGAAGTAGAAACGACTCGTTCGCTGAAAAGCTCATCATAAGCGGTCTGCCAGTATTGAAGTGAGAGGGGCGAGGAGGAGATATTAGAGATGTAGGAGTATAGAGACTCGGCGGGAGTCGGGAGCGGTGTCTCAGACACGATCTCGGCTGTGCTACTACTCTCCACTGCTGGCTTCGCCGGTTCCTCGGTGGAGGCCTCAAGGGTAGAGATAGAAGATTCGATCGCAGAGTCAACCTGTTCGGGTGTAGCCGAGGCCAGGGCAGCAAAGGCCGGGGTAGTGCCTTCGGCAATCTCGGAGCGAATTAACGCCTTCTCCTTTTCAATAGCCTCAACAACCTTATCCTCAAAGCCCTTGACTAGTCGGCGCCGGCGCCATGGCTCCACGGCAATCTGGAAGATCAGGAATAGCAGGACGTTGACTCCCATAAGACCCCATGTTCCCCAGGTACTCATGCGGCGGATCTTATCAGACCAAACCTGTTCCTCGTGGTAGCGGGATAGAATGCTCTTGCTCAATGAAGCGGCCGCTTCTTCGGCCTCGCGCTCGGCGGCGGAGAGGGCTTCTTGCGTTTCTGCCTCGGCAACCTCGTTGGTGTGGTCGTTTCGGTAGAGAAGGGTGAATCGCTCCAGGTCTGTTGGGGACCAGGCGTGTTTGCGCTGGAGAAGCTCATTGACTTCGCGCTGGGAGGTCGAGCGGCGGGTAATAGCGGCGGAGTACTCGTCCTTGGCTTTCCGAACGTTTGATCTGGCGGATCGGAGTCGTTCCTCTATATGGATCAAGAAGAAGTCAGCTTTAGAATCTCGATATGCGATCTGTTTTGGAGATATTTGTAGCTCGTACCTTGGCTGTGAATTTCGTTCTTCAAGGCTTCGATCCCAGAGTAGCCAGTCAGATCGTTGAGACGCTGTCCAGCCACAAAAACATTGGATTGAATATTATCCATCATAGTTGTGAACTGCTTCGACATCTGTGACCGACGACTCTCCAGATACGACGGGAGTCCGCCACTCCGAACACCACCGGCATCTGTACCCTGGCTTTTTGCATGCTCGGACTCCGTCCTGTAAATCGACTCCTTCTCAACCTCCTGAGGCGCCCCCTGCTCCGCAGCACGATCGACCTCCACCGCAGAAGTATCGAGCGGAGGTTCCTTTTCAACGGTCCCAGTCTCCGGGACGGGAACCGCGTCCGAGGAAGCCTCCTTTAAAGCCTGGTGCAGTCTTTCCGCATCATTGACTGGCTTCCCTTTATCATCGTATGCTGAGTATAGTTCCGACTGGCGGCGGAACCGGCATTGGAGGCAGATTGAGAAGTTCCGTGTCGGGGCGGGAAAAGAGCTTGGCGGTGTCGGTCGGAATTTTGCTTGTAATGGTCTGGATGTTGCGCGGGTGAGCTGTAGAGTTGAGCGGATGGATTGCCGAAGCAGTAATGGCATGGACTGCATGGCCGGTATGAGGGGCCTCCAGGAGGGGTGGTTGAGGAGTTGGAGTTCACGTCCCGATGCGGAAGAGGAGCTGGACTTGTCGGAGCGGGTTGAGTCGGCCGCTTATCTGATGTCCGCTATCAACATCCGTACTGGCAGCTTAAGGTATGGTCCTAGGTACGCATACTATTGAATGATTCTTCTTTGTATTTATGAACCTGATTTCTTTGTTTTGTTCCAAGGTTTTTGCAGTTAACAACTCACCTAACAAGGCTTTCCGTGGGCCGGTGTTGGCCCTACTTCTCCCGATACAAATACGAGTACTACTACCGGAGGTTGGTCGTATATATCTCCAAGACTCTCGGATGCTCCATGTTCCAACCTTTGAAGTTGACTCCGACGGCCAACATGCCCCCTACTAGGAGCTACTTGAAGCTTCAAGTTTCTTCGAGCGTATAGTACGTTGCCAGGATTCATAGAAACAGAATATATTGATTCATTATCAAGGTATCCATTATTTCGACGAGTTCCATCTTGACCGATCATAACTACTATTGGACAGCCCCAGAGAAGAACGAGCCTCCGGATAACGGAAAGAATACCCAGACAATAACGAGATTGAGTGGAATGGGAAAGGAGCCGACTCCGAACCAGCTTCTTGATAAGACAGCAATGAGAAAAATAATAAAAACTACAAAAAACATATTCTCGTCAAAGTCATAAAGGATCCGCCCGGGTGCGCTTACGATGAGATGAGTCCAAGTGGCGTGCACCTGGAAGAAAGATTGGACTTAGGTTGAGACCACGATAGCTGTATCATAGCCAGTTCAGTTCGTAGTTTAATCCTGGGTCTGAATCTTGTTGTCGCCCCTCACGGCTTCTGCGTATGTTGGCGGGGCATTTTGTCCACTGCTGCCTGCAGCACCTTCTTGCGGGTGATTGGGGGCCTTGTTACCAGATGGCTGGTTACCGGAGGGGGCATTCGAGTTGGAAGGAGGTTGCTGGGTCGCACCGTAGCTTCGCTGCTGGGAGGGGTGCTGGAGAGGCGGGTTTGAAACATAGTAGTAGGTCACGCGGCCATTTTCCAAGTCACGACGCTGGCTGGAGCCACCAGGGATGGGCTCGTAGGCGTTGTCATAATCGGGATCGGGATATTTGAGGATAATGTACCAGGCATGAATGAGACCGGGGACGTAGCCTAGTAGACAGAGGGCGATATTGATGATGGAGTCGGCAGTGCAGATCCCCGCCTTGATCCAGACTGATGGGGGTGCGAGAATGGTTAGCGTTCCTATAGTGGTATGGATTTATCGGAAGATAGTAAGGGGATAGACCCTCACCCTCATCGGAGTGGACTTACCAGCAATAGGAGGGAATAGAATGGCCAGCACGGCCAGGAAGACATCGGAGCTACACATGGCGCCAGACGGAAGGGGGAGTGAGATTGCGCTCTATCACCTGCAGGAGGGCAAGTGTGTGGGTGGATGAGCAGGTTCGAGAACGAGAAGAAAGTTAATGGACGTGGGAGATTGTATGTATCGCAAGGAAGGTGAATTCTCCAGGGAACATATGAACATGAAAGTGTACGGAGTAAATGGTGACGGCCATGTAGATGACAATTGCAGTGGTAGTTGGTGGTAGTGGCAGCCTGTTCCCAGATCAGATGACGTTGATCATGTGATACATCAACAACCACGGATCATTATGGAGTATCTAAGTATACTTCACTACATCTGTATTTACTCACACAGTGTTTATATCTAGGGATATACGGAGTACTACGACATACACTATCAATCATATGAGCAATGGGATTCCAATACTTCTCTCTCTGCAGACTGCATTCACTGGTACCCGTTCTGCGCCGGGATCAGCCGTGCAGACTCGGTTTCGGTGACATCTGCATCACCCCTCGCGGATAGCTCACATCATTTCGCGCAGGTATGCAAGGCGAAGGGTTCCCGGTGGCTGCGTTGAGAGGACCGAGGGATCTGTACTCCGCCCTCTCCGTACTCCGTACAGTACTGTACAGAATACAGATCCAAAATCGAATCCAAACTTTGCGCGGGTGGGTGATAGCGATCGTCGATGGGTCCTCAGCCAGGCTGGTGAGTGGAGGATGAAACACGCCAACTCACTAAAGAGGCTTAGGCAGGCACGGCTTAGAAACACCGTTGGGCTCGGCCCCTTTTTGTTGTAGTAACCCAGTTCTCTGCCGTAGCTTCCAGGTTGCAGGTCCAGCCTCTCTTTCAGGCACGGGTGGTTCGCAGCCAAGTTCAAGTTCGTCTCACCCCTGGGAAATCGGGTCCCCCCCAGCCCACTCCGACTCCACAAGTCACACACCACACACCTCACACCTCACTCTTCACATTTAGCATTTGTCTCTTCTCCTCTTCCTCTCTCGATTGGTCATCCATTCTCTTCAATTCTTCCTCGATTCAATCTGATCGTGAAGGCGCCTCCGGGGTGCTCGATCTTTCCTTCCTGCGGGTCCACGGCATTTGTCCACCCGAAAGTCATTCGTTTATCCTGCCTTTCTCTGCCTTTCTCTTCGCGCCTTTTTCTTCCTTTCCTTTCGAGCTTGACGCTACTCCACGGCCTGTGGTCGACCCTTTTTTCCCTCCGAAATATTCCAGCTGAGAAAAATTCGACCCCGACATGCGATTCGTATAATCACCCGCTCTCGACCATACTTGACACATTCCACCACGCCCACATTCCTCGGATCGCGCGTGGACCATTGAGGGTCCTTTTCACCCGACATGGCGAACTCATGTCTTTCTCTATCGGAGTCAACTGCCTGTCCTGCCTGGAGTAGCGCTTCGGTATCGACTAATTCGAGCCAATATGCGGACTTGTGAGTCAACCAGATCAAATTCTCACTCTGAAATGGGGTCTAATCGGACGCGCTAATTCAATAACCACAGCCCATGGCTAGAGAATGTTTCTAATTTGACTTCTTTCGATCAATCCCTGAGCGATTACGTTCAGGGAACTTACGTTACTTCACAGTAAGTGTGGCCAACAATGACTGAGATGAGGGTCCCGTGTCGCTAACCCAAGGCGCGTAGTTTTTCCCAAGTATTGGGCTGCGAAGGCCTGAACAGCAGTGCAATGAACGACTACTACAGCCAATACACCACCAGTGTGATCTGCAGCAGCCTCATCCAGAGCTCCAAGTCGGACTGTGACTTGTCCGACTCCAAATCCGAACCGCTATGTGCCGAATCCTGCGCACTATGGGCCACCAGCGAACAAGAAATCATGGTCAACACAAATCTTTGCTCTGGTACCGACGAAGACTATATGAAACAGATTCGCGCCGATTTCACCGTTTGCTCATCGCCATCCGACTCTCTCAGCGGTAGCTGCATCAAAGGATCCGACAACGAATCGAAGAACTGCGGCTTTTCATCCAACACCATCGGTCTCTGCACGTACTGCGCTTCGAGCTCTCCCAATTCGACCGACACATGCTGCGTAAGCGCCAATGCCACCTCCCGCTGCGAGGGTGTTTCGATCCCGGCCGCAACTGTCACTCTGCAGCCAATTGTGACTACCTCTGCGGCAGCTGGTGCCAATAACTCGAACAAAGGCTTGTCTGGGGGTGCAATTGCTGGAATTGTGATCGGTTCTGTTGTCGCAGCTGCCATTCTGGCGGCCCTGGCGGCTTTGCTTTGCATCCGCACCCGTCGCCGTAAGCAATCACAGACTGATGCCGCACTCAACCAACCAAACCCACAAAGAAAAGGAGGCTCTCCATCTATGCATCAGGCGGACAGCCCAACCAACATTAATATGGTTCCTGGAGGCCGTGTCACGCGAATGTCTGCCTTACGCGAAATGCCAAGCTCCTCGCCTGCTAACTCCCGAACATCGCGGTCGATGTTTGGAGGTGGTGGTACTAAGGGCCCCTATAGTGATACTTCCGACTCTGACGCAATGGGTGCCAGCCCGGGAGCCATGTCAAGGAGCAGGAGTATTCCCCCTGTGACCGGAAAACGTCATGGCTCGCTTTCGAGCAGCTCCGCTCTGGCTGGACTGGAGAGCGATAGCTCGCCTCGCTCCGGTACGGTGAACACTTACTCTTCTCCAGAAGCTGTAACCAGCGGCCAGTCTGAGCAGCTGTCATACTTCCGTGACTACTATTCCCAAGATGAGATTCACCCCGGTGACAAGGTGGCTGCCCTGTGGGCATACTCTGCCCGGGCAGGTGACGAGTTCGAACTTGACCGCGGTGAGATGCTCAAGGTGATTGGTATTTGGGACGATGGCTGGGCCACTGGTGTCCGAATCCACGAGCGGGCAGAGGACTACGATATTCATCGGGAGCAGCGCGACAGTGGTGTCTCTAGCGGTTCGCAACGGCCCGGTCCATCGCCAGCACCCTCCGGCGAAATCAAGGCATTCCCGCTTGTCTGCATCTGCCTTCCACAACATTGGCGAAAGATCATTGAAGGTGGAATATCAGAGGATGAGGATGAGCTTTGAGTCAAGGAAAACTTTCTATTTATTTTTCTCTCCTTGATTTCATGCCAAATTACGCCTTGACGACAGCGTGTGCAGCATTGTCATTCGTCGCGCCAGCTTCACGCGAAGAGTTCACCCATCCTTTTTCCACCCAGGCTGGCCTCCGTCCTCTTCGATGCAGGTGGGATGATTGTGTTCAGTTTTCTTCGTATTCTATATACCCCGCTTCATTTTACGGCGACGCATATCTCGTCCTTTCCTTCTTAACCTTTTTCTTATCTTCTCTTTGATCTATTTCCAGCGGAACCGGACGCTGGCGCTACGAAGCAAGGTCCACTACCCCCCAACCGAGGCTGGCCTTGATCGCGTTCTCTCTTCTTATGTACGGTGTCAGCCATCGGGTCTGTCCTGATGTGCGAGCCCGGCGTGTGGTCATTTGATGATTGCTTTCTAGTCCCAGGATATTGGAATACCCTTTAGTGCACGCATTAATGTATGTACATAATTAGACTCGAATCTCATTGAAAAAGTTGACCTTGCAATCTACCATGTCCAAAAGCAATGGGTATCTGTATACTTTGCACATAAGTACAGTGTAGCACGACAGACCGGGGGTGGACCACGAAAGTCCCATGGATGGCCGGCTCCCCCCACATTTCTGCATCATTTCTTATCCGCCTCGGCGTTAAGCGGGCACCGACCACGGCATCGATTTCGCCATTTGCTGCTTTTACTAATGCATCCCGTTTGCTTTTACTAATCCTCCACCCCTCCACCGGATTCCGCGATGCCATAAATTATGGCGTTTCCCCTCCTTCTCTGGGTTCCAATCCCAGTTCCGACTTTACACCCAATACATCCCTGATCAAAGCCATGTCTTCCCCCAAGATCATCCTCTATACCAACCGCGGCTGCCCATGGGCACACCGCGCCCACATTGCTCTTAAGGAGTCCGGGCTCGAATATGAAGAAGTCACCATTGATCTCGATACCCCCCGCGAGCCCTGGTATTTGGAAGTGAACCACGTATGTTACATCGTCTAAGAACTCTGGATCCTTCCCTTCTCCCCTCTCCGCGCCCAGTCCTGATACGAGGATATACGAATGTACTAACCTATATGTCACCAGCGCGGTCTTGTCCCCAGCCTATCATATAACGGCGAGATCATCATTGAGTCCGGCATTGTCGCCCAATTCATCGCCGACGCACACCCCTCGCACCTCTCCCCTCCTTCAGGCCCGGCCGAGAACGCCCTCTACCGCGCCCGTATTGCTCTCTTCGTCGATGCATTTATCAGCAAGGTCCTCCCGCCTTTCTTCGCTGGTCTGCGCGCTGCCAATGAGGCGGAGCGTGATGCTGCCGCTGAGGATGTGCTTGCTGCCGTGAAGAAGGAGGTCGAGCCTCTGCTCGCTTCTACCGAGGGCAAGGGTCCGTTCTTTGGAGGGAGCCAGAAGCTTACCCTGGCCGAGGTATGTTATTGACATTCCCCTCTCTTCTTTTCCCTTGGATATTATCCAAACTTCTTCATACCTGTCTGGTCATCATGCTGATATCGTTCACCTAAACTAGGTCCAAACTGGATCCTTCGTGCTCCGCTTGCTGGGATTCGCTAAGCCCGAGCACGGCCTCGTGAGTGCTAAGCTGCCTACACTGCTGGAGCAAACCCCGCGCTTCAAGCGGTGGGCGGAGGCTACCGTCGCCCACGAGAGCGTCAATTTTATTTTCAATGAGAAGGCTGTCGCCGATCGCACTCGGTCCAGATTTGCCCCCAAGGCCTAGGCTGCTAGATTCATGATGTTAGGGAGATATATCGGAACTGGCCGCGGGCTCTTAATTATGACGCCTAGTATGAATTCAATGCCATGATTGTTATGAAGTTGAGATATTGCAATCGAATGACAGCAAATTTGAAGGAATGCTGTTTATATCATAGTAGTCGGATGTGTATTTGCTAACAGTAAATTGCGGAGGCACTGACGTGTCGGCGGAGTGTTCCATGGTTGGGCTTGCTTCCAAATTTAGACTGCAGACCCTCGCCTTGTACTCCCTACATGAACATCAGGTAGAAATTGTGGATTTCATGTACATAAAAGCATGTCATGCAGATTTACCAAGTAGTGTGATCCTCCACTTGCTGCCGGTGCCGCATATCTGGGAATTCACACTTGTGCTTACTTTATAGTACTTATAGTACTAGTTCAAAGTAGCTGTCAAGTACCTTTGGGCGTGGCGGGACAGAATCAGAGCTGGGAATTTGTTGTCACGATTAGATGGATGCCTGACAGGCAATAATAAATCTCCCCAATAAATAGAACTGTATAATCAGCATTAGATTCTTCCATCTTCTCTTCTCTAAGTGTAAATTTCTCTTCAAGTTATATTTTACCCCGGCCCTTTGTTTATTGCCCGCTCTAGGTGTGCCAGCATCACGTGCAGCATCCCCCACTATCGCAACACCTGGGCAACAACCCCTCCGCCTCCTCCATCACTCCCCCATCCATCCTCCATTTTCCTTGTCTTTACTCCTTTGTAAGTTTTCTCCGATACTCTAGTCATGAGCGCCGTCGGGAATTTATCCCACTCGCCATGGAGTTACTTCCTCTGGAGGCCCACCCGCTGACATCGTTGTGCCTTCAGCCTAGGCGACCGGTCGTCCCCCTTTTCCTCATCTCTCATCTACAGAAGCAATCATGTCGGTTCGTATCATTCCCAATCCTTGTTATGCATTGTATTCAAATATACTAACGCAAATTCTTTCGCAGCTCGCATCTGGGTACGGTTCCAATCCAAGCTCTTCCCCTCCCCCCCCCGACTCCTCCCATGTTGATATTCGATCTACAGTGTCTCCGTCCACGATGACTGCGTTGACGCATTCAACGAACTGCGCATGAGCCGCAAGGTCAAGTACGTCATCTACAAGATCTCCGACGACATGAAGCAGATTGTTGTCGAAGAGAAGAGCGAGTCACCCGACTACGAGGTCTTCCGTGAGAAGCTGGCCTCCTCCCGCGACTCCAACGACAAGCCCGCTCCCCGTTACGCTACCTATGACGTCGAGTACGACCTCGGCGGTGGTGAGGGCAAGCGGTATGTTCCTCCTATATATATCCCCCTGCAGCCGGATGAGAAACACCCCCGCTGATACCATTGGAAACTACAGAAGCAAGATCATCTTCATTTCCTGGGTTCCCCAAGAGGCCCCCACTCGCGTATGTTTAAATCCCACGAAATTGACTTACCTAGTGTCCTACACTTTATGGATCAGGCCAAGAGAGAGTGCTTGCTAATTATTTCCCTTTCTCAGCAATCCATGGTGTACGCCAGCACCCGTGAGGTCCTCAAGAACGCCCTGAACGTTGCCAACTCCATCCACGCCGACGACCTGTCTGAGATCGAGTGGAGCACTATCCTCGCCGAGGCCAGCGGTGGCAAGGCTAAATAGATTATGAACGCCGGCTGGGTCCGGGCCGCGTGATCGATAGGGAATAAAATACCCTCGGAGGCACCACGGCACGATCAATCCATAACCTTCTCTGCACACCGTTCTCCTCCCTCTTCTTTTTTCTTCCTCCTAGTTGCAATGCAAAGACCGTTACGACTTGGCATGTTTCCTTTCCCTATGAACTCGGTCGATACAATTTCTACCCACCTCATCATTTCTCCCTTTGGAGAGGTCACTTCCGTTGCTGTTGTGATTGCTGGTGTTGAGTGTGCGAGATTGAATCCAGCGTCTTCCCTGGATAGATGTGTGCAGGTTTTGCGTGGTAGGGCACGATTGGCACGAATTTTCTAAAAAAAAGGGAAATGCCCCTGGGACCTGTAGATAGTACTCGGGAAATGGCAATTTCGATTTGACATCCTATACCTTTCCAATTGCAAGGTTGTCGTGTGGCTGGTGGTAGTAAAAGCCGAGCCGCTGTGCCGGGTGGACAAAGGGTGGCTAGGGTAGAATGGTAAAATAAGGTAGGACATATTGACTGGAAAAATCCAAGTAAAATAGTAGCCCCAATTACCTATGATTAGCAATTTTCCTAGGCTGCATGTGGCATATATCGTATGATGAGAATGATGATGCTTCTCACTGGCGGCCAACCGGACGTGGCGGAGAGTAGCCAATCAGAGGGCGGCCAAACTGCGAACGACGCTAAGCCGGAAACCTCGACTTTCCCAAACGACCAAGAACAACTTCAGTCCTTCTCCATATCCCTCCACCACCCACCCCTCCACTCTCTCCCCCAGTCGATTCGACTCGCGGTTCCGGACTTTGCTGGTCACGGTCTCCTTCTTCAACCATCCTCATCAATTAACTCGATTTCGACGTGGTGCCACCACCTCCCACCTGCCGCACAATGTTTCTTCGCTCCATCGCTCGCGCTGCTCCTCGCAGCCCGGCTGCCATCCGCGCCGGCCCAATTGCCTCTGTGAACGCCATCCAGGCTCGCTTTGCTTCCGAGCACGCCATTGCCAACCCTACCATCGCCAGCATCGAGAAGCGCTGGGAGGGCATGCCCCCTCAGGAGCAGGCCGACCTGTGGATGTCGCTCCGTGACCGCATGAAGGTCGACTGGCACCAGATGACCCTCCAGGAGAAGAAGGCTGGTACGTATTGTCTTTTGCTGCAATTTATTTGTCGTTGCACCCGCTTTTCTCACTACCCTGCGACATCCGAGGGCTAAATTTGACTACCCCCTCCTCTCCCGGATCTCATCCAATGCCTCTGTCTCTGTCCTTTTATATCCATGTCCAATCCCACTAACATGGCCTCTTCTACCTCTCTTTAGCCTACTGGATTGCCTTCGGTCCCCACGGTCCCCGCGCCCAGGCCCCCAAGGGTGAGGGCTGGAAGATCTTCTTCAAGGTCACCCAGCTCACCCTCGTCTCCTTCGCCCTCTTCTACGCCATCCACCTCTTCGCCAAGCCCCAGCCCAAGACCATGTCCAAGGAGTGGCAGGAGGCCTCCAACGAATACGCCAAGGTACGTACTCTCTTGCCTCGGAAGCGGGAGCGGGAAAGGTCGCGGTCGCTCCGCACCAATCTCGACCCCCAGACCCCGAACCTTGAACCTCGAACAAGCATTTACTCACACATTCCTTCTTTCTTCCCACAGGCCGAGAAGATGAACCCCATCCACGGCATCAGCAAGCCCGGCTACGAGGGCAAGGGTTTCGTCCAGAGCCCTCCCCTTGAGAAGCAATAGACGGGTCCCGAACCCGATCGGGGGTGAATCCGACCTCAGATATTGACGTCGGCCCGGAACTGGGAGGTATTGTCGAGGTTTCCTTTCATGGACTCGAACTATAATTTGTGATCCTCGACAAGTTAAGTTGTTCGGTTCGCCGGCGCAGGGCTGAGCGGGTTCATGCCCATTCTTTGTGTCCCCCTGTCCTTTCCCGCTCGCAGCATCCCAAAATGCGTGTATCTCGTACTGTGCTATAATCAATGTATCTCCTTTGTAGCCATAGAGAAATATGTTGGCCTTTTTTTTTGTTCTACTTTTTTTTCCCTTTCTTTCTCTTTCTATTTCGATCTACAGTGTTGGTGGTGTTGGTGGTGGTATTTCGACGTAGGTAGCTGGTAGGTGGCCATGGCGTGGTGTCGCCGGAGGGATTCGGAACCTGCATGAGCTGGTGCGGAGAACCCCTGTCGGGGGAGGGAGATGGTGGGAGGGGGTGTTCAGATGTATTTGAGGGGGGTTGTATTTTTATTTAAGTTCTAGAGAATAAATGGGGTTTTATTAGAGTATATTGTTTCGGAGTATAAAGAGTGTGATATACCCTGGGTCGATAGAGCTGCTAGGGAGCTCCAGGGCTCAGCAGACCGCGGATGGACGGGTGAAGGGCTCCGAGTTACACGTCAGAGATTTCCGGGTGAGCTGCGAGCTACCACAGGAGCAGTTGGAGGTATCTACACCACTAAAGATCAATTGAAGAAAAGGGTATTATCTGAGAAACTATTTAGATGTCTATATATTTGCGAAATTATCATTCTATAGGGATAGTACTACTAGTCCACTCTCTGTATAGTTCTGTGCCTGCATCCGGCGCCAAGCCTCCCGGTGACGAGGGAATTCCCTAGCAACGGCCCCGGAGCACACCACACAATCACGCCCACTAGGGAAGTTGGGGATATAATATATTTAGAGAAAGGGAAATATATGAGAGTCTATTAAATAAAGAGTATTTTTTAAAAAGAAGTATAGGAAAAGTCAGTAAACAACACAGACTGCAACAAGACACTCGGTTCATCACGGGACCATCGGCAAAACCGCCCCGGAAAGGCTAAGGGCCCCCCCCGTTCCCATTCCCGCGAGAGTCCACCAACCTCTCCTCTTCTCTTCTTCCTTTTCCCTCTCCCTCCAAAACCACCTATCCCTACCACCTCTCTTCAACACCACCATCATGTTCAAGAGGTATGTCACCGCCATCACCACACTTCGAATTTCCATCCTCGCAACATCCACCTATTTTTTATTTCTTCCTTTCGACTCCTTCTAACCTTTTCTTACAGCGGTCTCGCCCGGACCTTCGGGAGGGCTACTTATGCCCGGCCTTCGCCCGTCGCCCGCGCCTTCCAGCCTCTCCGCTCCTCTGCCCTGCCTGCCCTGTCTGCTCGCTTCGCCAGCTCCGAGACTGCCCAGGCCGGCAAGGTTCACCAGGTCATTGGTGCCGTCGTTGACGGTACGTCGCTCCGACTCCCCTGGTTGATGGTCGACGCGAAAATCTTTTCCCTCGATCCAATCCATCGTCAAAACCATCGCAATCGATCTCAATCAACTCTCCTGGATATTCTCTGACTTGATATTTCTCCTACTACAGTGAAGTTCGAGGGTGACAAGCTCCCTGCCATTCTCAACGCTGTTGAGACCACCAACAACGGCCAAAAGCTCGTCCTGGAGGTTGCTGTACGTGCCCTCTGATTGGACCACCTTTCCATCCGCCCCCTGGACTCGAGCTAACCTTATCACAGCAACATCTGGGTGAGAATGTCGTCCGTACTATTGCCATGGACGGTAAGCTACCACCCCCTTCCCCCTACACACCATTCGTCTCTTCCATCCCCCCTGTCGAGCCACCGTGTTTGTCCCTTTCCTCACCGCTAAGGGGACCCACACCGGTCGGCCCGGCATTTTCCTGCCCTTCCCTGAAGTGACCTCTCCATACTGACGCGCTCTAGGTACCGAGGGTCTGTCCCGTGGTGTCTCCGCTCAGGATACTGGTGCTCCCATCAAGGTCCCCGTCGGTGCCGGCACTCTTGGCCGTATTATCAACGTCACTGGTGACCCCATTGACGAGCGTGGTCCCATCAAGGCCACCAAGTTCCTGCCCATCCACGCCGAGCCCCCTGCTTTCATTGAGCAGTCCACCTCCGCCGAGATTCTGGTCACTGGTATCAAGGTTGTCGATCTCCTTGCCCCCTACGCCCGTGGTGGTAAGATTGGTCTGTTCGGTGGTGCCGGTGTCGGTAAGACTGTCTTCATTCAGGAGCTGATTGTGAGTACTCTTTATATCAACACTTAGCAATCGATGTCCTTGCTAATGATATTCCTCTCTGCAGAACAACATCGCCAAGGCTCACGGTGGTTACTCCGTCTTCTGTGGTGTCGGTGAGCGTACCCGTGAGGGTAACGATCTGTACCACGAGATGCAGGAGACTGGTGTCATCCAGCTCGAGGGCGAGTCCAAGGTCGCTCTGGTCTTCGGTCAGATGAACGAGCCCCCCGGTGCCCGTGCCCGTGTCGCCCTGACCGGTCTGACCATTGCCGAGTACTTCCGTGACGAGGAGGGACAGGATGTGCTGCTGTTCATTGACAACATTTTCCGTTTCACCCAGGCCGGTTCCGAGGTGTCTGCCCTTCTGGGTCGTATCCCCTCCGCTGTCGGTTACCAGCCCACTCTGGCCGTCGACATGGGTGGTATGCAGGAGCGTATCACCACCACCCAGAAGGGTTCTATCACTTCCGTCCAGGCCGTCTACGTGCCCGCTGACGATTTGACTGATCCTGCCCCCGCTACCACCTTCGCTCACTTGGACGCCACCACTGTCCTGTCCCGTGGTATCTCCGAGCTGGGTATCTACCCCGCTGTCGACCCTCTCGACTCCAAGTCCCGTATGCTCGACCCCCGTATCATCGGTGACGACCACTACAACACCGCCACCCGTGTCCAGCAGATGCTCCAGGAGTACAAGTCTCTCCAGGATATCATTGCCATTCTGGGTATGGACGAGTTGTCTGAGTCTGACAAGCTCACCGTCGAGCGTGCCCGTAAGCTCCAGCGTTTCCTGTCCCAGCCCTTCGCTGTCGCCCAGGTTTTCACTGGTATCGAGGGTACCCTGGTCGACCTGAAGGACACCATCCGCTCCTTCAAGGCCATCATTGCCGGTGAGGCTGATGACCTCCCCGAGAACGCCTTCTACATGGTTGGCGACATCGAGTCTGCCCGTGCCAAGGGTGAGAAGATTCTGGCTGAGCTGGAGGGCTCCGCCTAAATGTAACTTTATCATTTGCTAGCTAGCGGGCGCCATCCCACAACCTTTTCGTGCCCTGTCCCCTCAAGAATCCTTGACCCTACCTCCTTTCTTGAAATCTTACCCCCTCTTATTACTTTTTTTTCTTTCGTGTTCCTTGATCTCTTCTTCCTTCTCTTCTTGGTTCATTCGTTCTCGTGGTCTGGAATGAATTTCTCCTATGTTGGAAATACGCTCCTGCTAAGCTTTTCTCATCTCGACCGCTTCAAAAATTTCCCACATCTGTAGGAGGATGGCAGAACGGATGAGATTATGCTACAGGATACCTTATTTCACCATTTCTTAGCATATTAGTACCTTCACCCAGCAATCCCGAAAGGGCCCACTGGTCGAAGCGAACACATGCCAAAGAACGGGAATAGGAAAACACGACCTCCAACCTACGGAGCCGGGCCGAAAAGTCAAGCAGAGAACGAGCAAAGGGAACACGAGGAGTAATTCTCCTGGAGGAAGGCGAGTGATCGAGAATGGAGTGAGGGCCGGACAAGGCAAGAAAAGAGCGAGGAATGGTCCCCGTCTGTATGTGAGCGAGTTACACCCAAATCTTTTATTTAAGTCTCTGGCCATTCCCCTATCCCCCATGACCAACAACCCATCTTGCCTGGCCTGGCTTGTGTTTCATTATTGTGTATTTAGAGTTGAAAACCATGGCCCTGTGAGGCAACCCTAAATATCCTGGTGTCAATTGTATTTCCTTTGTGATGTGCCTTATTCTCGTGCTTGATATCTTGTATTGTCGACTAGTAGTAGTAGTCAGCGTACTGGTACAGACTTTGGTTCACAAGAGCCTGGTAAACCAGAGACCAGGAAGTTGACCCTGTTGTTTCCCTTGTATCTCTGATTAATTGTGTTGCCACATCCAGCGGGCTCAGAGATGTAGTATGGAATAGTAGTAGATAGAAACCTCTAGGACTTGGATCACCCATAATACTAGTACTTATAGTATAGTATTATAGGTGATCGAAAATTGTAGAAACAAATGAGCCCGACAGTAGTGATTTGGAATAATCCATCGACCACCTGGCATGATGGGCTAATTCCAACCAAGCGAACACGGCAGGTAAACAGTAGACAGGCGAATCCGGCCGAGCATATCAACCAAGAGAGCCACCACAAAAACAAAGCCGGGGAAGCCGGGCCCACGCGAGCAATTAAGCTCTTTCCAAGCTTTGATCCCGCTTTGTCTTGAGCGTCCGACTGCTTTCTCACTGGCTTCTCTTCTCAGCCACATCAGCCGACAGCGAGGCACTCCCGTTCGTTCCTGAGTCTCTGGCCTAACGCCACCAGCTCGGACATTGGGTTCGCCCATTTCAACACGTCGGGACCACCGTGCTTTCCATTTTGATAGCGTGGTTTGGGGGACGAACAGGTCCCTGCTGCGTCCTAATCTAGGTTAGCCTGTGGCAAAGCGTTGGCGTTTCGCTTATGATCACGATCTGGACCTATCGACAACGCATCCTAGATCGTTCCGAATTGCATATTCTCTTTCATGCCTCAATGCGCGGCCTTAGTTCAAAGTTTCGGCCCCCATGTTTTTCTCATGGAGGCCGGCCGAAAGGCCATCTCGTCTATGGAGTTATCTGCATATAAGGCCGCGATGCCACTCTCCGCATCCACTCTGTCGGACGGCGTCGCTGCTACTTCGAGTCCTTCTATGAGCCTTCATGATGATTTGGAAGAAGAAATCGCTGCTGCTCGCATTGATATGCGCAGCCACCACTGCGGCTCTGCCTTCTCCGCCTCCCCCAGACCATCATGGAGGATGGTGTCCTGTGAAGCCCCAGTCGAACTGGCGCAATGGCCCTCTTGACGAGATTATACGCCTGGTTGAAAGATGTCCTCAAGGTCGTTCGTTCTGCCATTAATTGATTATCTTCGAGAAGTGTGAGGTTTTTACCAAAGTCGTCAAAACAGTGACTCCTGCAGCAGCTACAGTCAAGGTTACCCAGACCATCACCAACCATGCCCAGCAAGCAACGACCAAGACCACGACAGAGCATTACCTGTCAACGATCGTCAAGCCTGCTCACACAACAACACTCCATTCAACCTCGACTGTGACATATACTATCCCGAAGACGGTGATGGGCCGGTCGACCATAACCTCCACCAAGTTTCAACTGTGTTCCTGACCCAGCCGGACTTTGAAACCATCACTGTCACTGTCACAAGATTTATCCCGAATACTATCACCGACGCGATCACTGATTATGCTGCTGCCACAATCACAGAGTCGTTCACAGATATGACTACCTAGGTACGGAGACATTCACAAACACCATCACCGACTACTTCACGGCCATGGTGACTGCTTTTATCACCAAGCCAGCCACTGTTTTTATCAGCGATTTATTTACTGACGTCGCCACTGACACAATCACCAATTATCATACGGAAACAGTCACCCTCTCCTATACTGATACCGCTACAGCGACGGCAACTGATGCAGTATCGTCTACGACTACACAGGAAGTGGACGTGACTGCAACAAATACTGTGTCTCGGATTACTATCAATACTGATATGGAAATTGTGACCAATACTTTCTCAGCCACTGAGACTGACTACACAACTGCAACCTTCACCACAGTGGAAACCGATGGGGTCACAGTAACTACCACCGCCGTAGTTACAATGTTGGCACCCACCGTGAAGAGAGACGTGGTTGAGGAGCGTGCTGCAGGGGCCACTCCCTCTGCCCTGAGAGGGATCCATACCACTCACTTGCAAAGCGCATGCGCTTTCTTGTATTTTGAGGACTGGGTCTCAACAATTTACACCACCAAGACATTGGCTCGGCCTACTGTGCGTGTATATTCACTAATCCGCAAACCACATATACTAATCCGGTCTATAGGTCACTCATACGGTCACCACACATGCCGTGGTACCCAGGATACACACTGTCTACGTAGCAAAATCTACTACAGACTTTGTGACAAATACAGCCCCTGGCACATTGACCACAGTCAAGATCGGCACAGTCACAATTGATATTACGACGACGAGAACTATTCCAACGACGCTAATTGTCACCGCTTCCTCGACCACCACTGCTACCGATATCGCTACAGTGACAGTGACTGTCGACAATCCCACCACAGAAACAAAAGTCATCATAGCTACGGTGACCAGTGATATCACCACTTCCACTACCCTCGACATCACAGCTCATGAGACTGCCTCTGTGACTGAAAATGCCACCGTTGGCATAACTTATACTACCACAACCGATATAACCACCACGCAAACCGATACCGAGACAATTGATACCACCACTAGCGAGACCACTACCCAGACTGGAGACCTCCACAATCACAGTTGATGTGACGGAAGTAGCGACTTTAACGGCAACCTCTTCGTTTACCGTTACTGCCACTGTACCTGTCACTGTTGAAACGACCATTCTCAACACTGTTGAAGTTACCAATACTGCGACTAGTACGTCCACCATCGACGTGACCATCACCCAAACAGTCTCAACGACTACAACCACCACAGTCACGTCCGCAGCGACCAGCTCCGCCAATTGCAATGTGAATGTTATCTCAAATCCCAATTTCGACGGAGCAGTCCTGGCGCCTTGGGTACTCACCAAGGCTGGGGCCGGAAGCTACGATATTCCACAAGCTGGCGAGACCACCGCCTACGCACTCGAACTCTACTCGACTGCCACTTTCTCTGTACAGATCGTCCAGGTGGTGATTACTTCCGTCGGACAAGCGTACGCCTTTTCGCTGGATTTCAAAGTTACCATAGGCACCACTGCTGCATCAGTCTTCAGTTGCTCGTTTGATAACTCTGACGGAACAACCCTCACTATCCCACTCGGCTCAGTCGCTAGAACTTCGTGGCTCACGCGTCAGACTACCATGGTGGCATCTTCTACGAGTACGACGATCACTTGCATGTTGAGAACGTCCTTTCTTACGCATGTTTATCTCGATAATATTTCCCTGGCGGCGTCGTGCTAAGTTGTGTTGATTGGGTGTGGGGGACTGGGGGTGATATTTGTCTTCTTGCAGCTATAGGCCGCTTACAAACTTACTTCACGGGGGATTTGGAATCTCCATTTCATGTTCAAGTTGTACTAGTATCTACTTTGGAATTCCAAGGTTGATTTGGGCTATATTGGGGCCTATCCTCCACATGGTTCTACAATTAATGTACTATGATTCACTAATCTCATTGGTAGAAGGCTAGCTCGAACCGTGACTTGATATTGGATACACCGAGGTCTTGGATTGCAGGCTTTGACATACCACTATATGCATGCTAGATGTAGATTGAGTGGTACACATCATTGAAATAATATTCGGACGATTACTGGGTAATTGGCTAACTAAACAATCTGTCTTGAACGTAGCATCCTGTGTATTTGTTGAATTACAAGGGCGCGGGAAAAAAGTGTAGTGTCTGAGTTTATAGTGTATGTTCCAAAGCGAGGACCTAAGGGAGGGCGATGTTAGCGATGTTCAAGTTTTTATATCCACAAGAGAGAAGAGGAGAGCACTCACCAAAGCAGTCCGCGTAGGAATATAAACCTGCACGAAATTATTACGCCCATTCCAAGGCAAATCCGTCGTAAAGAAGCGCGTCTCCTTAACATTCCTTCCCAACCCGCCAAAGGCCGTATCATCGGTATCAAGAACAATGCGATACGTGCCCGCGGCATCAACGCCGACGCGATAATCCGTGAAGCTTTCTGTGGGGTGGAAATTGAAGATCCACAGCAGACCCGCGCGCTCGAAGACGAGGACCTTGTCGTTCTCGTTCTTCAGGCTGATGTATGCCTGCGAGGAGTGCAGCCAGCCGTACTTGGCTTCGGTGTGCTGCATCGCGCTGTCGAAGTCATTGAGGAAGCGGTAGCGGAGGAGTTCGTCTGTTGTGAGGTTCAATTGGCGCCGGGCGTACCAGAAGGAATTGTCGTTTCCTTCGCGCGGGAAGTCGAGCCATTCGGGGTGTCCGAATTCGTTGCCTTCGAAGTTTAGGTAGCCTTCGCCGCCGAGGCCGTGGGTTACGAGGCGAATCATTTTGTGGAGGGCCATGCCGCGCTCGATGATTGGGGTGAACTCTGTTAGAACGGACATGTGGGTGTACATCTCCTTGTCGCAGAGCCACATCATTAGGGACTTGTCGCCGACCAGGCTTTTGGTGGTGTTAGTGGGAGGGATCGAGAGGGGAAGGGGAGAGGTGGACTTACGCTTGATCGTGACTTTCCGCGTACGCGATTGTCTTCTCGCCGTGTCTTCGGTTTGTCAGGGTGTGGGCGAGATTACCAATGTCCCACTCGCTGTCTTCCTTCTCTTTCAAAAGCTTGATGTACATGTCTGGGATGGCCATGCCTAGTCGGTAGTCGAAACCGACACCGCCAAGTGCGTGGGGTAGACAGAGGGCAGGCATGCCAGAAACATCCTCGGCGACGGTGATGCACTCGGGGTAGAGTTGGTGCAGCATCTCGTTGGCAAGAGTGAGGTATGTGATACCTTCCTCGTCAACGGCTGGGCCGTAATATTCGTGATATCCGCCAGAGAAGCCCCTGCGTGGTAGTTAGCAATGCTGAGTCTATATGATAAGAAACAAACGACCGGAGAGGAGATACTCACGTTCCAATTCCGTGGTGAGTGTAAAGCATGCTGGTAACACCGTCAAAGCGGAATCCATCGAACTGGTACTCCTCCATCCAGAAACGAAGGTTACTCAGTAGGAAGCGCAGCACCTCATGATGTCCATAGTTGAACAACCGACTGTCCCATTGATCGTGGCGGCCCTTGCCACCCTCGTGGAAGTAAAGATGATCCGAGCCATCGAACATGTTGATTCCATCGTCGACATTCTTAGAAGCATGGCTGTGTACTACATCGAGCAGAACCACGAGGCCCAAACTGTGTGCGGTGTCAATCAATTCCTTGAGATCCTCCGGGGATCCGTAACGACTGCTCGCCGCAAAGAAGTTGTTCACTTGGTAGCCGAAGCTGGCATAATAGGCATGTTCCATGATAGCCATCAACTGAATAGCATTGTAGCCGAGACCCTTGATGCGCGGCAGCATGTTCTTGGTAAACTCCTTGTATGTGGCGACTCTTGTCTCGGGCGATGAGATACCGACGTGAGCCTCGTAGATTCGCAGGCTCTCGGGCTTCTTAGGACGGGGGTGTTGGAAGCTGTAACGTTCGTTGGCGGGCGGGTTCCAGAAGACGGCGTCGTAGACTGGGGAGACACTGAGATCTTGCACGACGCGCTTGATCCATGCTGGGACTCGGTAGACGCGTTCTCCGTGGGGGAGTACGAGTGTGATCTTGTGGATGGTGTTAACAGGCGAGCTAGAAACACGTCGGGAGTGGAAATATTGAACGAACGTACCTTGATCTTGCTCTGGTGGGGAATGGCGGGGACACCGGCTTTGGATGGCACAGTGACCTCCCAAATACCGAATTCATTCTTGGTCATGGGGTTGGCATTGACATCCCAGTTGTCTGCTAGTCTCAGTAAAGCGATTCAAGTCCGCGGTGGATCAGCACGAAACGTACTGAAGTCGCCGACTAGCGAGGCCTCCTTGGCATTGGGGGCCCATTCTTTGTAGAAGATATCGCCATTTGGCTGTGCGTTAAGACCGAAAGTTTCATAGCCCTGGAGTGAGAGGTTAACGGGGAGCTCAATTGACTCTAGAGCATGCAGCGCAGCACGCGGGCAATGTTCCTAATGATGCAATAACTGACCTTGCTGAACTTCTCAAGACCGCCTTCACTTCTAGCAATGTCACCGGCCCATTTCTCGACAACACTGAAGCGATGCTTTAGGACATCGGCATGGTCTTTCAACCAGGGATCGAGTTGGAGGACGCCTGTGATGGGGGGATAGGGTCAGTTCTGGAGATGGTGGTGGATGGAGCTGGGGTGGGGCAGATGGAGGGTACCTGTTCCGTCGGGGGCGCTGACGGCTTTGGCAGCTTGAATTGCTTGATCCGCCATGATATTATGGTGGTAGAGTACAATTCAAGAGAAGAAAGAAGAAAGAAGAAAAAAGAGTCGAGAGTTGTAAAAAGGAAAAGGGGGAGGGGGGCACACAGGTTCCCCTCTCTGCTCTGCTCTTTCCCAACGTTATCGCTGGATGCGGAGACTTTGGGAGCTCGGGCCCCGCAAGTTCTGGACTTTCTTCTTCTTCCCTGTTTTTGATGCTTGACTTTTTACTCTGCACATCACTTTTCTTCTCTTCGCTAATACTTTGTGACATGGTACTTTGTGACATCTCTGAGCAATTCTATCCATCTGCTATTGCTGCCCCCGGTTAACTGAATATACAGCATCCCATAACTGAACACTCGGACTACAACTACTCTACTGCAACTACTGCACTGATGCATTGCGACCCACTTCTCGAACTTATGTACACGGGAACAATCTAATTATATACGAGAACAAGAACAACAACAAGAACTCAAACCTCCTACTCCGACGCTGGGCTCGGTGGCAACACGCCGCTTGTCCAATTGACTGCGGTCGGCCCCAGCTCAAACTCCAGTCTGCCTCCCTGCGCAAAGATATCATCCCAGGTCAACCAGTTCTTCTCCCACTTCTTACCATTCACCTTCAGACTCTGCACGTAGTAGTCATTGTCCCCGTTGCCATCTCCACCTGTTGAGAGAATCTCCAACGTCTTACCTGCCCCCAGATCGATCGTCATGGATTCGAACCACGGCGAGTGAATCAGGAAGGTGGTCTGTCCAGTAATCGGATACAGACCGATCATGTTCCAGAGCAGCCAGGTCTGCATTGCCCCGGCATCACTATTTCCTGGCAGACCAGACTTCCCGGTGTGATAGTCTCCCTTGGCGACCTGACGTGCCCGCGACACAGACAGATCCTGTCGGTCAACGTAGTTGTACAGATAAGGCAGATTGAACATCCTGCAATAGATCAGATCAGCATCTCTCCAGCAAGCAAGCATATCAGGCATCAAGAACAGGGAAACATACGGCTCATTACTCGAGTCGAAAATCCCCTGATCAAACATAACATCCAACCGCTGAACAAACATTTCCTCCCCACCCATCAATTCAACAAGATGCTTCATATCATGCACATCATTCCAAGAATACGCCCAAGACCCATCCTCATAAAACGCATCCCCCCAATACCCGCCCTGCTTCGGATCAATAGACAAAAACGTCCCATCCTGCTCACGCGGTACGACAAACCCCTTAAACCCTAGCGAACTCTGGTCTGGATTCCAATGATTGCGCCAATTCCTCGACCGATTCAGGTACCGCCGCGCATCAGACTCCTCCCCCAGCCCAACCGCAACCTGGTACAAGCCGAAATCATTACAAGCATACTCCACCGCCCGCGTCACAGCCCGCGTGAACCGGGGCGTGATGTAGCCCAGATTCAGCCAGTCGGGAAGTGCGCCGCGGCCTTGGTGTGTCGAGGAGTCCGGCGCCATTGCGTCGATGGGGTAGTTTGCTGGTGTGGTTTCAGCGTCTTTGACCATCGCTTTGTATCCGTCGGCCCAGTTCACGGAGCCGCGGACGCCCTTGACGTAGGCGTCGGCGAGGATGTTGTCGGCGTTTGAGCCGCCTTGTGTGCGGCCGTTGTAGTTTGATGAGCGGGCGTCGGGAAGATAGCCGTCGTGGCGCCAGATGTCGATTAGAGAGCGGATTTGTTCTTCGTAGGCGGTTGGTTGGAGGACTTGCATGAGGGCCGTTGCGCATCGGAAGAGGTCCTGGAGTAGTATATCAGTATGTGGATTTGCAGCAAAGGAAAGAAAATGAGACATCTGGGACTTACCCAGAAGGTAAAGATGTCCTGATAGTAGGGTTCGCGGGACTTCCAGCCTGGGTTCTCGTCGGTCTGGTTGGTTGGGATCAGATGCATGTGGTAGAGCGAGCTGTAGAGGAGATTAAGACTATCGGAATTGGTGCTGGTGGTCTTGATCTTTGAGAAGACCTTTTCGTTCCATTCGGAGACAGTGTCGTCGACGACAGAGGTGAAATCCGTGCCCTTGGGGATCTCACGGTCCACATTGTCGCATGCTTGCTCCGTCGAGATCCAGGAGATACCGACTCGGGAGATAATCTCGCTCTCTTCGAAGGTAAATAGCCCGCCGACTCTTGTAGAGCCTGACGTGGATGAAACTTCGCCTTCGGGGTTCTCGACGCTCTTCATCGAGTCTACGGCCGTGAATGCTTTGCTGCTCACGGCCTTTGTATCGAAGTGGCCACCTGTAGGATATGAGAAACTGTATCAAGGACGACAAGAAGCCTCCTCGCAGGACAAGACTCGACTCACAGAAGTAAATAGACCAATTCGGCGCCTCATTCCAACCATTATCATACGTCCCGAGTCCCTCGTAATGCCCGTCATCAAATATAGTCAAATTTCCCCCCCTTATAATTCTGACCAAGGCCCATCCCCCGAAACGAAGGCAAAACATGCGAAACATCAACCAGGATATTATTCCCCGCAGAATCACCGGGGAAATTATACCGATAGATCCCCGCCCTTGACGAAGCACTGAGTTCGACTTCGACACTCTGGCCCGTGGTAGCTTTATAGTAGCCCACAGAACCTTCATCGGTCCCATTGCGGGCTACTGTGATTTGAGACAACGGGTCACTGATGTTATTGCCGACTAATGGGAGCTGCGAGACGGTGCCATATTTTGGGGCGCCGCCGGTGCCTTGCTCGTGCATTAGACTGAAGCCGGAGAATTCGCCTGTGGGTAGATAGCCCGAGTATGCGTCTGAGCCAGATTGATATAGATCCGGGCCTATTTTTACCATGCCGAATGGTCTGGCAACGCCAGGGAAGTCATTTCCTCCACTTTCAGAGCCCATGCTGGATAGTAGCGAGGAAATGGTTAGTAAACAGTACGGGGTGGGTAGGATGGATAATATGGATAGATCAGATGGGAAGATATAGGAACGGAGTAACTTACAAAACATCGACATGTTGATTTAAGTCTTGGGCTGCTGAACGCATAGTAAGGATTAAACCCGTCAACAACATGGCGGAGGGTTTCATGATGGGTGCGAGTTGGTGAAATCAGCTCATAAAGCGAGAAGCTGGCCACATATAAGAAAAGACAGCCGAGTAAGGTAGTAATTTTCCCCTCTGTAGGCTCGAGCAAGAGCAGAAGTAAAGCCTGGTGAAAAGTGACTGAGAGAGTCCTGGAAAAGACCAAATCAAGAGCGAAGTCAATTGACCAGACCACGCGCAACTACGTAGTACGCGCAAACCCTCGACCGACGACCTGGGACGCCAAGATGGGAATTACAGATAGAAATAGAAAACGGGCCCAGGCAGTTCAATATGTAGGACTCCCAACTTTCATTTGATGGATGCCGGATCCTGATACTGAATCCTTGGGGCTAACATATCATTGGGATTACCCCCTTTGGTAAAGCTAGCCCTGACGAAAGAGATCCTTCGACCAGAGGCATGTGTATGATCCCTTGGCCTACAGGGCTGGCCCCCCCTCTCAGGGACCATTGTGGACCCCTCTACTGTGCATTATTTACCTCACTGGGTTTTGAGGAATACTTGGCGAGGAATGTGGCAGTTGTGTATCGATCAGCGTCCCGTGGCCGTGGCCCACCGATCCATCTACTGGTATTGCTTATGGGGATGGGTAGGATGACTCCATTGCGGGGGACTTGGGAAGTACAGAGTATCTTGTTTTCCTTCTCTCTCGCCCTCGCTTTTTTTTGGGGGTGTCCGATTTTCACGCAGACCGGCCCTAAATGCCGACCCTATACTTGGGGCCATGGGTCCACTTCCAAGCACGAGGAGACTCAAGTTCCGTCATTCAGCGAGATTGAATTGAGAGAGAGTATGGTATGGTGTGATTGCAAGTGTATGTATTTATGCAAATGCGAATGCATCTGCATCTGTGTGTATACTAGTTCAAAGTCAAGAAGTAGTTAAAGTTGGGTGGGGAGGATGATCAAATCAGCGGCGCCACTGGGTTCACATGCGGCGATCAGGGCATCCTCCACGTGTGGCTCTGGTTGGCCCTGACCAGATGAACTGGGGGAGTCCTGGTGGGATGGGATGGGATGTTGATCAATCTATACCTAGGTAGGTATATTACAGAGTCAGGGTAGGGAGTAGGGTACCTGATGTTTCAAAGTTCCCGTGGTTTGCAAGAGTATGGACCACTGTACCACAGCCGGTGGATGTTTAGAATCGAACATTTTGGTCTCTGGCCCTTTGGGTATTGTCTACCCTTCTCTTCTCTTCCATCTGCTACTGAATTAACTACATTTGAACACTCCCTACACTCATTCCAATGGGAACAATAATAACTGCAGATTGAGTTGCTCAGATCTGCCTCAAGCTGCCCCTGGGACTTGAGACCCGCATTCCCCAGGATTCTGTTATTATAGTGACTAGGTACTTTGTTCATGATTCTGAGAATGATAGATAGATGGATAGATGGATAGTGAGTTTGAGTCGGACTCTGGACTCTGTAGAAATGTCGCTTGGTTAAGATCAGTTTCAATATGTCCTCCTGAACAGGGAGATCCCCCACCATCTTCAACCATCTGCCTCATCTCTGCCCCAGTTGTCAGGCACCAAAGCCCAAGCTAACCTTGCCTTACTGAAACCGAGTGGGTCTGACCGTTACAAAGCTCCTTGCAAGCTACTCAATTATTCTTTGCTCAACTTTGCTTCCTTTGATCCTACCCTGCTTCAAGTTCCAGCCCTCAGCCCAGCATGTCTCCAGTCGACATTGTATCACCTAGTTAGCACATCCACCATGGCACCTCGATGTCCCTCCAAATCCCAAATCACCTGGTGGATGCGCGTCCGCCGCTTCGTCTACGACCTCGAATCCCCCTTCCGTCTTCGACATAGTCTCGCTCGCCTGAATCACCGTCAGAAACACCCTTTCCTCGCTCTCCTCCGCCTCCTCTGCCCTCTCCCGACATGGCAATTCACTCTCCCACCCCCGGTCCCCGTGAAAACCATGCTGAACAATGTCCCACTGCTCCAGGCCCGCAAAGCCCAAGCCGACCTGACCAACATGCGATCCATCCCCCTCTGGCGCGCCCGTGATACCCCAATCCGATCCCTATACCGCCTCTACGAAGCCCTCGTCGCGCGCGAGTTCTACGCCATCGGGCCCGAGGTCGAATACTTCTTCTATCAGTCCCGGCGCGCCTGGGCTATACATCGCATTCCGGACCCGCAGGATCAGGATCTGGTGCGCTATGCCATTCTCTCCTGTATCGCGGAGGAACTCGCCCTCGCCTTCAACTGGCGGATGAGTCTGGGCATGCGCCGCGTGAAGAGTAAGCATATCTATCGGAAGTCCTTTGATGATTTGCTTCCTCCCTTCACCGCCGAAGTCGCGCCCACATGGACCAAACGTGCTCAGCCAATTGATGCGGATCTACTGGTTGGCTTCCCGCTTGAATTCCTGGATGCATCGGGGAGACTGGTTCTCGAGGAGGGCGGGGAGAATCCCAACTTTGCGGAGAGAAAATATTGTTACCGATACCGGTCACTTCTACACTGTCTAGAATGAGCAAGTGAGAAGGAGGGTCGAGAGCCGAAGAGAAAAAGAAACGAAAAAATAGCCACCGCCAGACGACCAAAAAGCAAAGCAAATACACATCCCCTATAGAAAAGCCTCTTCATTATATTTGTCTCGATACGCCGCTGCTATCTCGTTCATGGTGTGTTTATCCGGCGGCATCTCAAACGAACAGATACTCATCGTCCTCACATATTCCCGATCCAACGGACCCCCAGCCTGCGTCCGCAAATGTTTCAGCATAGCCACGACATCCGAAATATCCGACCCGCGCTTAATATGTCTCCGACTATTATGTATGCGCCGCATTTTGCGCTCCAGCGCCCACTCCAGCGGCACCGCGAGAACGCGCAGATTCGCCCCGGCCCACAGCACGATGTTCTGCTCCTCGGCTTTCTCGAAGAGCAGCTCGCGGTGGTTGTCCGGGACGAAGAAGGCTACTTCGTCATTTAGCCAGTCGTCGATGAATCCGAGATGGCGCGCGGCGCGGGTCATCGCGTCGCGGAGCGGCTTTTTGATGTCGTTGTCGTGCGCCCACTGCGGTTCAAGGAGGTAGTCGATGTCCCCTGTGCTCTCACGGTTGTGGAAGAAGTTTGTCGCGAGGAATCCGCCGGTTGAGATTAGGGTTATTGGGGCGAAGGCGATGAGCCAGTCGTCCTGGCCCATTTCCGTGTCCAAGACCTGTAGACCTAGAGGTGGTCAGCGCTGTTGAAGAGACAGAAAGAAAGAAAAGAAAGAAAAGAAAAGGGCCAGCAGAAATGGCGTCGATTTTGTTTTAGAACAATTTAATAGAGAGAAAAATATCATGATATTTATGGCCATTTTGTCCCCCGCTTCCAACTTGAAGGTTCAAGTTGTTTTCCCTTTTCCCCCTGGCCTCTTCAATTGCTCCCCGCCCAACCCTGTCAAATAGAGAGAACTTGGAACTTGAAATAATAATCACCTGCTTCATCCATGGATGTATTGATTAATCATACCTCTTGTAAAATCATCAGCGCCAAACCGGTCTTTCTCCACTTCCATGCCTCTGCCGTTGCCGTTGCCGCTGCCGCTGACTCCGAGTCTGTCTCTGCTTTCTGGTAGTTGACGGACGACCGATGCTACGAGAATAGACGAGAGTGAAGACTGGCATGCCGGAGCCCTGAATATCAAGGAATGCAGAACATGAGATAGTGGAAATCAAGAATGAAGACTGGGAGAAGTCGGAGTCGACTATGTTCTAGAACTACCCCGCCTCTGCTGCACGCTGCTAGAATAGTCCACGCTGACGGGCTTGGAACGGATGCGGCGCTTTGAGAGAGTAATAAGTACTCCCCCATACAGTGTGTACTTTCGTTAGTCTCGGCCGGGCTTTAGTTTAATTCTGGCTTAGTTTGATTTGGTTTGGAACAGGCTGTGTGGATGGGAAGTAGTTCCAAAGTTAAATATGGCGGTTGATAGACTTTTGATAGACTTTTGATAGACTTTTGATAGACTTTTTGATAGACTTTTTGATAGTGCCTTGTGGAAGATATTGCCGAGTTGAATCCTTCCATTGTTGAAGAGTTCAAGGCTTGCTTACTCCTGTCTCAGTCGTAGTCATTTGTTTCTCACTTCCAAGGTTTGGCTGGAACTTGAAGATATTGTTAATTGGCCAAATGGTAGTACTTCCACATGAATATCTTGCCTACCACATGACGCCTTGAACTTGCGAATGACTATCTTCCTAGAACCGCCGGCAAAAGCACCAGTACTATCTCCCGCCCATATCATATGACTAGAGTGTCTAGTCACTGGTACTAGCTAACTACTAATTAACCACCTACTCATCCAACCCCGTAACAGTTGGATCCCACGCAACAGGACTATACTCATCCGTCTCCAGCGCCCGTACTTCATCCCCCGTCAAACTAAACCCAAACACATCCGCATTATCAACAATACGCCCCGGCGTCACACTCTTCGGAAGCGGAATGAAACCCTTATCCAAACTCCAGCGAATGAGCACCTGAGCCGGCGTCTTGCCGTACTTCTCCGCGAGTTTCTGCAGGTTTGGTTCGTTGAAGCGCGCGCCACGGACAATCGGACAATACGCTTCTAGAAAGATGCCTCGCGCTGTGCACCAGTCTACGATGTCTTTCCGGGCTAGCCAGGGGTGTAGCTCGACTTGGTTGATACTTATGATTCCGCCGCGGCCTTTGCCTCTTTCTTTCTCGAGTGTGGAGATGTATGCTTCTAGTTCATTGAGGTGGTGGACGCCATAGTTGCTGACGCCGATTGAGCGGATTTTACCGGCTTCGACGGCTTCGACGAGCTGGATTGCGGAACGGTGGTTTGTTAGCGGAGATATAAAGGAGGACTGGAAGAGGGCTGGAGGTGAGCGTACTGCTAACCATGCGCCCTTGCGGTTCTCGGATCCGCCTCGGGGCTGGTGGAGGAGCATTAGGTCGATGTAGTCGAGCTTGGATAGGGCGAGGGACTCGTCGATCTGTGCCTTGGCTCCGTCATAACTGATGTTTATGACCTTGGACGTGAAAAATATCTGTTCGCGGGGGATTTGGGAGGCTCGAATCGCATTGCCACAGCCTGCTTCGTTTTTATAGATTGCTGCGGAGTCAATCTGTGAGGTGTTAGTGAGGAAGATCTCGCAATATCCTATAGTGTGGTGCGGGGTATGGAGGGTATCTCTTGTAAGAGCCAAGTACAACTCACATGGCGATAGCCAGCCTTGAGTGCTTCGAGACAGCATCTTTCTGTATCGACTGGCGGACTAAGATGTGCGTTAGTTCATGTCGGGGTGCCAAAGTGGGAGTTCCCGTGTTTGGTGGGGGGGGTTGAGGGGGTGGCGTCTCGTACGTCTTATAGACCTTGATTGAGACTCGAATCAGCGCGACGATCGGGGGAAGAATATTGGATGAAAACTCACCCCGAAGCCTAAACGGGGAATCTCAAAGCCACTGGGCAATTTGATGGTGGAGGTGATGTCGGTTGCCATTCTTGATACGAGTCGCATTTGGTGCGGGGAAGAAGAAGAATTTGGGAATGCCAAGTTGAAGATGTTGGCGGATTGGATGCCTTTGTACTATACGCCCCTCTCACCAACCCGACCGGGGTTTAACGGTTTACATCCGACTATCTCCTTTGGCTCACCTTGATGGGATATTTCTCGTATCCTCCTATCGGTTTATTGGTTGTGAAATTTAGTCATCCGCGTACGCCTCAAAGCTTGGTCCCGGATATGGTTGGATTCGGTAAGCCCGAGGGTTGGTCGGAGATCGGGGAGAGGTGAATTGGGGTTATCTTAGCGGGTTATAGCTTCAAATGAGTTCCTCTGGACCATAATCTCAAGTTCTACCAATTGTAGTACTCTGCGGCGAGAGCAGTAATTTGAGAAAAGTACTTAGTAGCCCGGAATTGACGGGGATACCACTGCATTCAACTCGGGATTCTAAAAAAAGTTAAGACTTGGAAGAGCAAGTGAGCCGGATGTACTGGAAGATGTATCCAAAATCAATAGATAGAGCATTGCAAGCCTTGGGAAGACATTGATTGATTAGAGTTCCTTCTCCTGGTTCTGTTGACTTGAGCATCCAAGCTAGTCAACATGAAGTTCAATCATGCGGCTTCAAATGCAGCAGGACTTGGCATCTCCATAAAATACCGTAGACACCATTGTTCGGAGTGATCAATTCCTTTCTGTACTCCGTATTGGTGAAGAGCCCTGGAGAACGGCTTCGGTTTCAGCTCCACTGTACGGATTACATTAACCTCAATTGGTATACCCACGACCAAGAAATACAGGCCAGTTTCTATTTGGGGGCCAAATATACAGCCAAGAGTACAGCCTTGCACGCTACTCGCGGTTCCTTCTGCAAAAGGAAAGGGATTGACCAAAGTGGTCCCAAATTCCGTGCTTTGATTGGCCAAATGGACGAAATCAACAGCCCTAGCTGACGGGAAACGATGTAAAAAGATTTCAGGGGCAAGGCGCAGCTCTCGCCATTGACAGCTGGTTTTCAACAGAGGCTATGAAGGAATTAATTGTCTTCTGCTAACAAGACGATAACATATGAAAGGATCTTTATGAAGGGATCTTTACTGATTGAGATCGTGCACCCCTCCTGAATCATCTTGAGCCCCCTTGAGCAGGGTAATCCAGACTCTGGGAGAGAGAAGAGTGGACCCACACATGGTTACTCCGTACTATACGTGTACTCCGTAATGAATGGGTGATTACAAGTGTTTCTCAATCCTATGAAGTCGCGTGAAGCATAGCCTCGCTGGCTCCGACACTTCACGAGGTTACAGTATTCTTGCTAGCTGAGAGAGAGAGAGGGAGAGAGGGAGAGGACTTTAGTAGAGCCCCAATACATTAGTAGAAAATGGGGATCTAAATTGAGCCAAATCACAATAGTCTCCACCAAGTAGCTACAAATTAGCATGTCCACTCTCTCTGTTGTCTCCGCGAGGCTTGAAAGTAGAACAAATTAGGGTAGTGAACAATCTCAACGTTAATTATAATTAAGTTTTTTTTTTTGACGAGAATCAGCCTTGACAATCCGATTGAGGAACTATTATTAACGGTCCTGAAATTTACTTTTCGTCTTTAAAGGTAGAAACCGCCCCCATCTGCGTCACCATTTATTTTTCATTTCTCCTCCCTCCTGGCCCCATCTTTGACGTCTTACGCCCCCCCCAACCCCTTCCAAAGAGAAAATAACACGACCCTACGCCAATTCACAATTAAATATGGTGTCCCAAAATGATAGCGAGGGTGAGTCCTGCTTCAATTTCTATATTTTGTGATTACATCATGCGATAGTAGTTATTGACTTGTGATTAGGCCTTATTCCCCTCGAGCACACAGGCCAAACCGCAGCCACTGGCTCCACCACCAACACCCCAGTCTCACCTGCTTCACCAGCGCCTCCCTACCAACCCACGATTGGCTCTGTGAGCGCTCCCGGTGGCGACTACATCAGCCAAACGCCAACTGAGAAAACGCAAGTCGCAGACGATATCGCCCCGACCTTTATAAGCAGTTCCAAGGACGATGCGTCGACTTCATACCCAGGACAGCCCAAGGGGGAATCAACCGCGTACAACTCGCCCGATGACGTGAAGGGATACCCCGGACAACCTCAGCCTACATACCAGGACCCTTCGCAACAAGCTCCCAACTACCAGCAAGCTCAAGCCCAACCAGGGGTATACTATACTCCGTACGGCCCGCCTAGTGGGTATGCCAGCGCTACACCATTGCACGCGCTTCAGTCAGCTTCTGCGCCAGTCGATTGCCCTTCATGCGGACACCGCGAAATGACTCGGACGGAGTCTGTTACCGGAATGACGACACAGTAAGTGGATTCCCGAGACCCAACGCCGACCTCAGGGCTAATTGGCCCTGCAACGTGATAAACAAAGAACACTGTACTGACAATTGAAAAATAGTGGTTGGGCGGCCGTTCTTTGCTGCTGCTGCTGTCTCGGATGTTTCCCGTACTTGATGTCCTCCCTGAAGGATGTTGACCACTACTGCGGCAAGTGCGGTGTTAAGTTGGCTTGCTGGCATAACAGCGGTCGGGTTCAGATCATGCAGACTGGATCGGCGCAGCCATCTCAGCAGGTTCAGCCAGGTCAGACTGCGGAGACCCCGGCGACCCAATGAGACTAGAAGTTTCTTTTTTGGCTTCCTAGTTTCTTCGTTTATAATTCTTTTTCATTGATCTTTTTGAAGTGATACCACGTATGTTTTAGCATACGAAGGCGTGTTTGGGTGTTTGGTTGTGGAGTTTGTTGCAGTGATATTGGATTCGCTTATGATTCATTGATCTGGATTTTATATCATCGCTCTGTCCTTTGGGGGAGTGTTAATATCAAAAAACAATTAAAATACCAGTAACTAGTCTGTTATGTTCACAGTCTGATCGTTCAAGTTCAAGTTGTATTCTTTTAAAAGTTTGTGTATATAACTTAGAAGCGAATAAGCGGTGCCCAAGATCGAGCTCAAACCTTTCTAATTAATTCCTAATCAATCGGTCTTAATCATTTAGTACTGCCGCTACTACCAGTACCAAGGTCCCTAGACATTTATTAGTTCTTGTTATGAGGCTTCTGTCTTTGATACCCAAAGGTCCGTACCGGTCATTTTCTCGTGCTCGCGAAACACAATGGCATTGAGCACGCTTTGTTGTAGTAGAAGCCTACGTGCATGTCTTTGTTTTTGATAGCCCGGCATCCGGCTTTTGCCTACAAATCGAAGAAGTCCCCCCGTTCTAATATTGCTAACCATCACCATCCTCTGGTTTTAGCAGCTATGTGTATAATAACATATTACCACTTCCCCGCTTGCGGACACATCTCCTGTTGGATGATACAGTCTTGCGTGACTTATACGCATCATATCCGTTCTATGCCTGGACAATTCGTCCAGTGCGATACACTTGATATCAATCATGATCTTATTCCTGAAAATGATGATTTATGCCAGTGGTGCTGGGATGATTTACTCACAGCATCTATCGATGATCCTATGCCAGTCTTTGGAGGCAGCGCTCAGCCCCTTGAAGGTTTCAAGGCAGATATCCCGCCCTTTGAATTCGCAGTACGGTTTAACCCGGAAACAGAAGAAGGGGATTCCGGTGATCTTAGTAAGTCATCCTTGAGCAATGAGGACGAGAATGATGCAAAACAACGATCATAGAAAAATTCGATTGGAATATCCAATGAGACCGCTCCCAATATTCTTCTCCCAGCAAAATTCCATCGCTGATTCTTCGTTAGTTTCTTCTGAAGTTTCCTCGGAACATCGCTTGAGCGATGTCTGCTCAGTGATCTCGAGTAGTAATTCTGAGGATGACGCCTTTGAACAAGAGACCCTGGAGACGGAAATCCTAGAACAAATAGCTAATATGCTCACACAGACTGAAGAGGAAGAGCCTCTACTCGTACACACTGAGATATCTGATGTATCCCCATATTCGTCTGACGAGCTAGGTTTACCCGACTCTGAACTAGAGGAATTTGGATTCTTCATGACACCCCGGGAAATCCTGTGAGTAAAGAATCGTGTCGTATACAGAACTATCGAATAGTTCAACCTAATTATAGCTTTCTCTATAGTATGATGTCTATTGATTTTTGTTGGGCAGATCGTCGGAGGGGATAGTCGACAATTACCGAGTGTCGGATAATCGGACAAGGCCGTGTTATTTCATTTTCCGCAGAAATCTTCATTCATCCTTGATGAGCAATACCCGTATCTAAGCTGTAGACCCAATTTACCCAATTTACCCGAGTAACCTCGCCAGTATCGTAGCCTTGGCCCTTGGCTAAAACAACCGTTGCTGAACTCGGCTGGTCGGACTTGGGCCGATCCCCCACCGCGGCATCTCCAGATAAACCCCAAAACCCCCACGTTTCTCCATCAAGTTTTTGTACATAGCTGCTCTCTTTCCTTTCTTTTCTAAATACTCTCCCCCTCTTTCTACATATAATTCCTCCATCAATCAACATGTCTAAGCCTGCTGTTGGTTTCGTCGGCCTAGGAGCCATGGGCTTTGGCATGGCCACCCACCTGGTGAAGCAGGGCTACCCCGTTCACGGCTTCGATGTCTTCCCCGCTTCGATTGATCGTTTCAAGACTGCCGGTGGAATTCCGGCTTCATCGCTGCAGGATTCTGCAAAAGATAAGGAATACTATGTCTGCATGGTCGCCTCAGCGCCACAGGCACAGTCCGTTCTCTTTGGCGAGAATGGTATTGTTGCTGGTAAGTTTGTCGCTATCCCGATCATTTTATTTCCTCCAGCTCACTGATTCATTTACTATGCACAGTTCTTCCCCAAAATGCCACCCTTCTCCTCTGCTCCACTGTTCCAGCTTCATACGCCCAGTCTGTCGCTACTGAGCTACAGTCGATCGGTCGCGGCGACATCCAGTTTATTGACGCCCCCGTTTCCGGTGGCGCAAAGCGCGCTGCGGATGGAACTTTGTCAATTATGGCCGGTGCATCGGATTCTGCTCTAGAGAGCGGCCGATTTCTACTTCAGGAGATGTCTGATTCCGATAAGCTATACCTGGTGCCCGGTGGCATTGGTGCTGGAAGCAACATGAAGATGGTCCACCAGGTCCTGGCTGGTATTCACATTTTGGGTGCTAGCGAGGCCCAAGGCTTTGCTGCACAGTTGGGATTGGACGCTGTCAAGACTGCTGAGGCAATCAAGTCTTCTGCCTCTCATACCTGGATGCATGAGAACCGTTTACAGCGTATGCTGGAGGAGGACTGGTACCCTGGTGCTAGTGCTCTGACTATTATCTTGAAGGATGTGGTAAGTCCAAATCTATTTTCCGATACAGTCTATTGCGAAATTTCGAAATACTAATCGAATTGAGTAGGGCATCATCACCACTTCTGCCCGCCAGAACAAATTTCCTACCCCCCTCTGCACAACTGCGGAGCAAGTCTATCTTTCTGCTTTGTTGCAGGACTATGGCCCAGTTGATGACTCCTCGATGGTCCGCCAATACTACAAGGAACCCATTACAAAGGTTTCCTCCACCAAGTCTGCCGAGGAGACAGCTGAGGCTTTGCAGTTGGTCCTCGATGTAATGGAGTTGACTAACCTTGTCGCCGCTGCCGAAGCCATTGGATTTGCACGTCACCTTAACGTTGAACTCAAGCAGTTCTTTACCCTTGTTAGTGATGCCGCTGGCGCCAGTCGTCAATTTATGACCAAGGGCCTGGAAATGATTGAGGACAAGGTCGGGCAGAACTCCGAATCTCTTGATGACGCTATCGCTCGCTTGGAGAAGGGTGTACAAAAGGCCAGAGATCTTCACTGCCCGCTATACCTAGGAAATGCGGCGTTGAATCAGCTTTTTATGGCGAAGAGGCACGGTCTCGGTGCTATGGGTAGCACCATTGTGATCAAGACTTTTGGCAAATAGTATAGATATCCTATTTCATTTTTGTGTAAATTCAGAGTTTTCATTTCAAATAGACTTCACTCCCTACATTTCTCCTCTCATCACCTCCTCGTAGTCAATTGAAATCGTGGCTGCCAGCGCATCTCCCCCACTCGGCGATACTTCAAGTTTCCTTCCCACTCGCTCTCTCGCCCCGCCGTTCCCCCACAAACCGACTCGCCATGAACAACAACCCACGCCCAGAAATTTCGAATTATTGTTCCAGGGTCCCATGAAACCAGGGAAAATCCCCACACCGGATTTACAATCCGCTCGGGTGGGTTTGACGTAACGAGGGGTTCTTCGGACCATCTCCGAGGACTCGGACAACATGCGACTATCGCAATACTCGGACAGAACAACGATGACCATTAAACAGAAGCACACAGGAAAAGCAGACTTAAAAGCCCCCGCGTCGCAAAATACACTTACAATTTCACCTCTTCCTACATTCCACACTATACCCCTCCCACAAAATGCCTCTCACCGACAACCGCGCCCTGCGCATCCTCGACCATGCTGCCGAGAACCACTACGCCGTACCCGCAATGTGCTGCTACAACGTCGAGGGCATTCTAGCTACCGTCCGAGCTGCCGAAGCCAAGCGCTCCCCAGCCATGATCCTCCTCTTCCCCTGGGCAGTGCACTACGCGGACGGCATCCTCGTCCACGCCGCCGCCGAAGCCGCGCGCAAAGCCTCGGTCCCCGTCACCGTGCACATGGACCACGCGCAGACACCGGAGATCATCCGATACGCCGCGGATCTGGGCGGTTTCGACAGTATCATGGTCGACATGTCGCACTACGAGAAGGCGGAGAATCTGGCGCTGACGCGGGAATTGGTCGAGTACTGCCATGCGCGGGGGATCGCCACTGAGGCGGAGCCCGGCCGGATTGAGGGTGGAGAAGATGGGGTTGCGGACACGGCGGATTTGGAGGGCCTGTTGACTACTCCCGAGGAGAGTCAGGAATTTGTCGATACGGGGATTGATTGGTTGGCGCCTGCCTTTGGAAATGTTCATGGCGAGTATGGGCCAAGGGGTATTCAGCTTGAGTATGATAGACTTCAGTCTATCAACCAGGCTGTTGGGAAACAAGTGCGGTTGGTTCTGCACGGTGCGGATCCATTTACGCAGGAGATCTTTCAAAAGTGCATTGATTGTGGCGTGTCCAAGATCAATATTAATAAGGTCTTGAACAATCCTTATATTAAGGTTCAGCAGGAGAAGGCTGGCAAGGTGCCGCTGACGACGCTGTTGGAGGAGACTACGAATGCGATGCAGGAGGCAGTTGAGGGATGTATTGATAGGTTGGGCTCTGGTGGAAGATACCCTTGATTAAAGAGATTATGCATGTTACAGCGCTTGGTTTTTTTTGTTTTCAATATTGAATTTGTATCCAGGCTACTAGCGAAGAAATAGAAGTGGTAAAAAACCCGATTACCCCCAAAACGCCCTTTTCATTAAATAGTTTCTTTGGATATCAATGAAGCCCATAAACCAAGCGCCACGAGTTCCTTGCCAAATATATCCAAGGACAAGAAAAGCAGAATAAAAGATTGACAGGCAGCTAGAGGATTGCTTGCCTATGTACTCAGGAGCGAGTTTAGGCGCCGAGGCGGCCAAGGAGACCGCCCAGGATGGGCAGTCCTCCCAACATTTCACCGAGAGGTCCCAGGGGGCTGGCGGCCTTGGCACTTGGGGAAGGAGTGGCAGAGGCTGAAGCCGAGCTGGAGGGAGTTGCGTGGACATGGCTCGAGGACATGTGCTGCTCGTGGATCAAGACGGAGTGTGTAGGGCGAGCCTTGGTGGACATGGTAACAATGATCTGGTGAGTGGGTGTGGGCTGCATCATGACCGAGTGGGTCTCCTTGGGCAAGACTGGCATCATCATGGAGTGGGTTGATGATGTCTTAGCCTTGGCCTCGGGAATGGACATGGGAGTCTGCATAACTGAGTGCACCATGGAGGACATCACACTGTGGTGGGGCTCAGGCACGGGAAGAATGGTCACAACAGCTTCGGTGGAGAAAGATGAGGAGTATGTCTCTGGCATGTCCGGCACAGCGGAGAACATTTCAATATCAGATATCATAGGAGCCTCGGAGATCATAGGCATATCATCAACAACCGGGGTAGAAGAGGGCATCTGCATGGGAGGCACCGGATCCGACAGAGGAGCTGGAGCAATGTTGGAGACAGCTGCCGGGATCTCGCTGTGTTGCGAGTGAGGCTGAGCCACCACATCAGGCTTGATTACCACAATGTGGGTGGGCTGGGGTGCAGCAGCCTCAGAAACAACTTGAACAGTGGGCTCCGGCTTCAGTTGAGGAGCTTGGAAAGTTGGAGCTGCCTGCTGCTGGGGAGCTGCCTCTTGCTGGGGAGCTGCCTCTTCCTGGGGAGCCTGCGCCTGCTGCTGAGGAGCTGCTGCTTGCTGAGGAGCCTCGAAAGTGGGCGCCGGGTCCGCCTGGGGAGCCTGTTGGAAAGTGGGAGCAGGTTCCTGGGCCTGTTGGGCGGGTTGATAAGACTGAGAAGAAGCCGGGGCCGAGTTATAATCACCGGCCTGGGCGGACTCGGCGATCTGCATAGCCTCCATGTATGCAGGAACGGGGTTGTTCATCCCATCATCATCTTCGACGGCAGCACTGGTGTCAGACATGAAGGGGAAAGTGTTGAAGGGATCGCTCTGGCCATCAGGTTTGGGGTAGGAGGGCGCAGCGGCGGCACCGACGGCCATGATGGCCAGGGAAACGTAGGATGGATGCATTATGGCTTGGGATGTCTTGGCCTTGACCAGGAAGAATCAAAATGAGAGTATTGGGTCGGATATGAAACTTTGCCCTTCGATTCGTGGGAAAGGGATGTAATGGCTTTTATGTCAAGATCGCTAGATTCTTGATCTTCACTATGTTTTGGTATTTGGTCTGCCGCGTCTTCCATGCCTTATACCTTGGAGCACGCGCACTGATAAAGATCAGCATCACTTGCCCCGATGACGAGTGTAGCATAGCAAAAGGGGCAGGTAGGGCCTAAAGGTATGGAAACCCAGCGGAGATGGTTGGATTCCGGAGTCTTTACCGCAATTATGGTTGGTCGCCGTGGAATGATCGGCCATAAAGTTACTTCGAGAAGCCAATCGGGGGTTGGAAAAGCGGCAGACACATTGATCTCTCATATTCAATGGAGACCACGCTCTTCCAGGTGGCCGGTTCATGTTCTCAATGCTATTGAGCCCCCCCGATAGCGTCATATAGATTACGGTGAATGAGGCTGGTCGTCGCATGAAGCTACAGGCTTCAGCCACGCATGGATACAACCCTCGTGGGAATTGAATGCACTGTGTCATCATATTATGTAGTCCCATGGCCCATCTATGAAAATCGACCGTCTTTCAATTCTTGCTCAACGAGCGATATTATTCTCAGCCCTTCACCAGGAGTAAGCCCCTTCCGCCTCCTTCAATTCAGAAAGCCTTTGAGAGTTTCCCCGTAATGACTCCTCTCAACGATAGGTAGTACGCAGGGATATTCAGGCACGCGAGAGTCCATTACCCTGGCAACCCTGGCTGCCCTGGCTCCTCCCCCTTGCGCCGCCGGCCACCCATCATACAGACCCGCCCCAGTTCATCGGTGAAATTCTCACTGCATCTCTGACTGCCTTTTTTGCAATCCATAGTTGATACCGGCGGTCTAATTGTTGTGATCTACGCGCGAAATCCTTCTGCATACTTACTATCCGTTCGGATGTAACAGCCACAATTTCCTTGATTGAGACAGCTGAGATCTGACAGGTCACCTCACAGCCAAAGAATTCAACCAAGCTTCTGGGAGACGCTTCCGAGGTTGGCTTTGGAATTGGTTTCACCTTTGTATTTGGTGGCTCTGTCGGTGTGTATATCTCGCTGCCAAAAGATCAACTTCTTGGTCAGTAGGAAATGATGGATGTTTAGATGGATCCAATTTACAGTCAATAATTGCGCAACTCATCCCATATCAAGAAACAGACTGATACTTAATCGCCTCAGAGAACCTCCTTACACTTGAATTTTATCTTGGATATATATTATTTTGTACTTATCAGGCGGGCATCGATCTTGCGCACGGTGTTTCGCACCTGACATTACATTGGCTCGCCTCCGTATCCCGAGGTCGTTTTTTTTTGTCAATTTCTCTTCAGTTTGAGTTTAAAATAAAAATAAACTGCAATAATCGAGATCATAATCATTTGTACAAGTTTCCAACGTTTTTGCTACGCTCTAAGGTTAGATTAAAAAATATCACCCCCGGGCGGGCGGCTAGACTTGAAAACATATAATAGTTACCTACTACCTAGTACCTGATACCTATCTAGGTACTAAGCCTTGGAGGTTGAACTTCTAATTCAACTTCCAATGGAAGTTGAAGGCTACTTACTAGTAGGTATTTATCCTACCTAGGCAGGTACCTAATTTAAATTTGTTTAATCTCCAGGGCTTGAACCAACTTTCAGAAAAACCTGAAGTATTTCAATTTGAAATAATTTGTGTACTAGTACCTACTAGTAGTATTGCTAGAAGCCTCGGTTGTTACTACTAGTAGTTGACTAAGAACCCGAGAATTCTAAAACGGCTAGTTTCAAGTTCCAAGGCTTCATGGTCATCGATAGCCAGTATACTTGCAATGACCTACCACCCATCTGGGCACATTCACCACTCTCATTATTACTATTTGAGCTACTCGTGCAATTAAGCTGGAAATTCCTCCATTTCTATTCTGATAATACTAGTACCTTGCCGTATTGATATGCACCCAGGCCCAGCTCTATATTGCTCCGGAGAGGAGAGTCGGAAAGAAGTCAAATGAGACAAGTTCATAAAAAAAAATACCAAAATGCCCTCGAGGACGATGATTTTGCTACATGTCCAATGGAAGAAGATTCAAGATCCCATCTCTTGTCAATTATGCCAGCACTTTCAACTTCAATCTGAAGGCTCCAAAGTTACCTACCTAGGTAGTAGGTATATTCAAATCACTCGACATATAATACATTGCACCTTGGAAGTAACGCTCAAGCCGCCCGCTAAACGACTAGCCGAAATGCCGACCCGTCTCCCCGCTTTGGAAAATCTGTCATCCTCCACAGCCTGAGATCTTGCTAGAATCACTGAGCCGATCTATACTTTCAAAAATGGCTACTATAACGATAGCTCCAGCAACAGACACCTCGGAAGCCTCCCGCCAAGACCAAAATGTCGATGTGGAAGACATACAATCTATTGGAACGCCCACATACTCCGGAGACGAGACCCCACCATCTCATGCTGTTAGCATTTCTCCGCGATGGAATGAGTCAAAGACCATGATATGGCGGTTGACCGCTACGTGCTGGTGTGCATTTGTGATGGGTGCCAATGATGCCGCATACGGTGCCATTATTTCCTCTGTTCGTATTACTTACCAATGTTTGTCTTATCTACGCTAACAAAGCAAATCAATAATACAGCTGGAATCTTATTATCAGAAAAGCTATACTGTCATTTCGCTGGTCTTCTTATCGCCATTTTTCGGTTATGTTATTTCCGCAATTTTGAGCTACTCAATCCACCATCGTTTTGGTAGAAGAGGCATTGCCATCATCGGACCTACATGTCATCTACTCACATTCGCAGTTATATCTGTTCACCCGCCATTTCCAGTGCTGGTGATAATGTACATTCTTGTGGGGTTGGGGAGTGGTGTTCAAAACGCCGCATGGAACGTGTGGATTGGTAACATGGCAAATTCAAACGAAGTCCTAGGATTTTTTCATGGATTTTACGGAGTGGGCGCTACAATCAGTCCTCTCGTAGCGACGAGCTTGATTTCAAAGGCGGGCTGGCCATGGTACTCCTTCTATTATCTTATGGTATTCACATTCCGCTCCCCCACCCCCTTCCCAGCCACTCACCCGTCATGGAAAGAGCCCACGCAAAACGAAAGACTAACCTAACGCGTGTATCTAGACCGGTGCCGCTGCTCTTGAAATTCTTTACGCTTCATGTGCATTTTGGACCGAGACTGGAGCTAAATATAGACAGGAAAGCGCTGGCACTACCGTTAGAGGAGGAGCGCTTCACCAGACCCGACTTGCTCTCACGTACAAGGTCACCTGGATTGTCGCGGTTTTCCTCTTCCTCTATGGAGGAACAGAAGTGGCTATTGGAGGATGGATCGTTGTGTTCATGACGGATGTCCGTCATGGCAGTGCCTTTGCATCCGGAATGACAGAAACAGGCTTCTGGCTTGGCGTCACAATGGGTCGATTCGTGCTAGGCTTTGTATCGCCTCGAATTGGCGAGAAACTGGCGATAACGGTCTACATTCTTTGTGCCATCGCGCTCGAGCTCATCTTTTGGCTTGTCCCGGAATTCATTGTTTCCGCGGTGGCGGTGTCGCTTGTCGGCTTCTTTTTGGGAACCATATTTCCGGGCGTTGTGGTAGTTGCGACGCGTCTTCTACCAAAGAACCTCCATGTAGCAGCTATTGGATTTGCTGCTGCATTTTCCATGGGCGGAGGCGCTATATTTCCCTTCATGATCGGTGCCATCGCACAAGCGAAGGGGGTGAGCGTTCTTCAACCTGTCCTGCTGGCAATGTTGGCAGTTGCATTGGGCATTTGGTCCACCCTTTTCAGAGTCCCTAGTATAGAGCAACGTCAGACTTGAGGAAAAGGTGATGATAGGCCACTAGACATGATGTGGCCTCGAGTAACGTGTTTCACCACCGAGACTCCCGCCCCATGAAATGCAGTAAATATGAAAATGATAACTTCAAATATCTCAATAACGCAACTTTTCTTTTTTATTATAACTCATAATTTAAGGTTTATTTAGAGTAAAGAATAATATAACCAAAATGAAATTGATTTAGATAATTATTCAGTGATGTTACAAGTATACCTGGTAATTTATACATCTTAGAGATTAATGTATATGTATAGTATAGAAACATTTCTATAATCTGAAATCTTTTAGTAATACTATTTGGAACACTACACATCTAAATAATCTTCTAAATAGAAATAGTTGTTGAGTTATAAAGTTGTAATTTATCATATCTACTATGTGTTTTGGGGCTGGCGGCTCGGTGGTGAAACACGTTAACAGATTCATCATTCGATTCTTTCATGGTTCTCTTTCTGTCTCTCGAGGAGCTGACTATTTGTTCTTCTTCTTTGACTTAACATTCATGGATCAGTTAAATAACTTGAAAGTACTACCTAGGTAGTAGTATATATCCGAAGTAAATATTTGGAATGATTTTCTGGGTGATAACAAGCCATCCTTTTGAACAAATACAAGTGGACTCGCGAATATGGCTTGCAATGGATGGTATCTTAGTAGAAATTCATACCATTTCCCTGGTTTTCTTTTGTTTCATCTTGAGTGACGCCAAATACCTTGACATATCAGATCCGCTGGCTAGTTATTCCGAATAATATCTTTTCAGTACTAATTCAACCGGGGGTTTTATCTCGAGTATCACTAGAGCAAAGGCTCAGTTGAAGGCTAATCAGATAGAGTCTATTTTTAAAATCATTGAGGCTGATCAACTCTCATATCTTCTTTCTTTACATATGCGCTGATGCCGGCTTTGTTCTGCACAATTGAATCATATGTCTTTGTTCAACAAAAGCATTGTTAGAGCATCAAAAATACACTACCAAGTATTGTGGGCCCTGGAGTGCCACCTTAAAGTTTCAGGAGCACTTCATCTCAAATAAATAGGTATATAATTCCCTCGAGTAGCCCACCATACTACCGGCATTCTATCACTCACAAGGTCCTCTGAATCTGTACCCGGACTAGCCCCAGGTTTCAGAACAGATTCAAGTGTACTGACCGATTAACAGCCACCGAGGACCTCAGGTTATCAGGGAAAATGGCTTCTAATGAACTGGTTAAGGGGGACCGATTCCCTCCGTGGCAAGCCAAGGGCCGCAAATTACGACAATGGATGGAAGCTTCGAAAACTGGTGAGCGCAAGATCCGGCAGTCCTCACTAAGACTTCGTGATTTGGACCAGGCTTCTTGGATAATTTGCATCATACCAAAGTGTTTACCATTGAGAGAGAATCTACTTATCCGCAGGGTTGGAGGTCTTCCGACCGAGTGGAACACAGGCGAGCAACGGCCCCTGTACAAAAAGGTTAGTATCCGCAGTCACCAAGATGACGTAGAGACCCCCGCAACGGAGTGGTATGGCTTTGTTGGTCTAGGTATGTTATCTATATCCTGGGTTTTTAGACCACAGGAGGATTTTGTGGTCGTTGATGGACAGCATGAACCTTACATTTCGGAGATATCGAAGGCTGTGTACGAGAATAGCTTTCCGCTTGACACCTTGAAGTATGTTTTCGTGACTGGTCTATCTGAGGATGACACCAAGCAATGCTTGAACTACTACATATCTAGTGATCGTCGTGATGACCTGTTTTATGAAAGTTGGGAATATACTGAACCGCAGTGTGACGCCCTACTTGGTACCAAAATTGGTAAAACCGTGGCATACCTTCTTCTTGGTGCGTTTGGACAGGGCGTGAAGCGAGTGCGGAGAATTGCTGTCATCTCCGAGGTTGGTCAAGACTGGGATCTACGATTTGACATCGAAGATGTACCACTGGAAGGTGAGTTTTGCATTGTATAGCGCTATGTCTGATCCGGATTGAGATTGAGTATTTAGAAGTAACGATAGAATTGCCTTTACCATTATCTGAAACTTTTCATGTGCCAATAAAAGTAAATCTATAACTGTTGACAAACAAAATTAGGGTCACACTTCGCAGCCAAGATCCCTGAAATTAATAGTCCCTCTTGAATTCCGCTAGTACTGGAAAGCGATAACACGCACCCAATAGCCCACAAAACTATCGATAACACGAATTATTCCCCGAGTATTATCTTCGCTATACGAGATAAAGCCACAGAGCTAGAGAGAGTTTCCTCAAAACTGGAGATAGTCAGAACCTAAGTTTTTATAATAGCTTTCACCTTGGCCTTAACGTCAAACAGGCCCCGTTTAGGACACCCAATACCTAAATCACGGTAGACACAGATATTATCGACGGTAGTTTCGTACGGCTCAAATTCGAAGCGACGTACAACGTGAGCCAAGGTAAGAAATATCTCTGCATATGCAAGACTAAGTATTTGTTAACTGAAACCCGCGAGGTAAGTAAAGATGAAGGGAATAAAGAAGATAAAGACCCACTTCATTCCCAGACACTGTCTGCTGCCTTTGGTGAAGGACACGATAAACCTCCCTAGATAGTCTCCATTTTTTGCGGCTCGTGCCCAACGCTCGGGGTCGAATCTGTGCGGATCAGGGAAAAGGGTCTCATCCATATGGACGAAATAATTGGATTGGCTGATTGGGGTCTATAGGGATGATGGATCAGTTCGACCATACTTAATAATTGAAAGGACTTTACTAACCCCTGCTGGAATAATCCAGCCCTTGTAAGGGATATGTGCTTTTGTCGAAATGCGACCTAGTCTTGATGTCATGCCATGGCTCAAACGTAGACCTTCATTAACGACACCCGTCTATTTAGTTGAAGCAAATCAGTCATTCTCTTCTGGCAAGTCAAAAAAAATGCAAATAGGATGAACAGCTGTAACTCACCAAATACGGCAATTGCTCGAGCTCCAACCACGAAGCTTGAGAAGTAGGTGTCTCCAAGATAGTCTTCAATTCACAAAGTAACTTCCTCCCTACTTCTGCATTACTCATGACATGAAACATAGAAACAGCAATAGCCCTCGCCGTAGTCTCAGTCCCAGCGCCAAGAAGCAACGCCCCCTCATCCTCCAATCGATCAAGTGTCTTCTCAGCATCCGGTACCTCAGGCCCAGTCAACGCATCAAAGATATAATTCTCTTCTTTCACCTTCACATCATGCAAATTTTCCCTTTTCTCGAGAGTATACCTGGCCTGATCTCGCAAGCGCGCCTTCATATCAAATAGATCCGCCATACAAGGCTGAAGCCAACGGACCAAAGCCGGCGGCGCAGCAAGCATTATCTTACTCAGGAACGGGAAAAAGCGGTTAATATGAAACATAGTCATGAGCCCGTTCACAGCGTCAACGAGATCATTGCTCTTCGAACTATCCGCGTTATCGAGATATCCGCGTGCCCAGCCATAGCAGTAGTGAGTGATAACGTCCGCCGTGAGGGCAGCGAAATCAAGTTGCAAAGTGAGCACGGTGGAGTTCGCAAAGGCGGTTTCGAATCGGTGGATGAGCTTGTCGACTTTTTCGTGGATTACAGGCGTTAGATTTGTGACGGAGCGCTTTGAGAAGAAATTGTTTACGAAGCTGCGTCGTAGTCTGTGGTGCTCGTGGCCGATCGTGCCGACGAGGGAGTATGGTGCTGCGAAGGCGACGGCGTATTTGGGGTCTCTGGCGCGTTTCTTGGATGGACCGGCGTGGATCTCTTCGTAGAAATATGGGTCTTTGATGTGGAGTTCTCTGGGGCTGATGCGGACGATTGGGCCTGTGTTGGGTTTGGTTTTGGTCAGAGGGGTCGAGGATTGATATTTCAGTCTCGAATTTGGGTATAGCGTACCGTATTTTTTATGCATACGTTCAATTTCCCAGATATATACCCCGTTTTTGATGACATCGTAGTAGAATTCGTAGAGAAATGTACCAGCTGCGAGCTTGGGGCCTGGAAATGCGGCTAGAGGGTGTGTATAAAGACGGTGAACAACTACACGAGTTGCCACGATCAGTAACAGTGCTGCCACTAGGACAGGAAATAATAGAGTGTATTCCATTTTGATTGACGCAACACAATGAGAGAATTGAGATAGGGCAGGGATCAACATCATCTATTATGGAAAGTGCTTGTAGAGTGAACCATGGGAAGAGAAAGCCGGGGAGCGGGGTATGGGGGGAAGAAGAAGGTACCCGTTTAAAGGGGAGTCAATTAGTGGTGGATTCATTTCCTGGTTATCAGATGTCAATGTCATTATGATAATAATTGCTAATTTGAGAGGCCCGGCATTGCCTTCGTGTTTCTACGAGCAAATTTCATACCAGGATATCCTGGATGATGACTTTTGCCTATCCAGACATAGTATCAAGGTTCGGGATTAGCTAGAAACTTCGCACAGTATGCAGTAGTAAGCCTAGACTGCGATTAGTACCAAATATCTACGCGTCATCGGCCGGGATCAGTGGTATCATTACCCATGAACGGGGCACAGTGTGCATGGATGCCCTTCTTCCCCAACATCTGATGTCCGATGTGCTGAAGGATCACACTATAAACCAATCAAGGTCGATCCAGCCATTCCTTCAATGAATGGAGGTGGATATCACGGTAATCATAATTAGGTGGAATAGAAATCCGACTCGATCCTACATTACATGCACAGGAGGGGTAAGGAACTAGTTGGTGGGCGCGATGCAGGATGTAGGCAAACCACCAATCAGAATCAAGTCAATCCGGATTAAACAGCGGACGGGGTTGAAAATAAATGACGGCGAGCAGAATCGAACGCAGAGCCTTTTTGGGCCGGAAGTCTTGACGGTCAAGAGTCCAGGCCGATCGGGATCGGCGGGCAAAGCGAATAGCCGTGACGCTTTTGAAGGGAAAAATGAACAACAGAGGATATACTTTTGTAGTAGAGAGGAAGAAATCTGGGTGTGAAGCATTGTATTCTGGGGTTGAATTAGTCTAGAAGAACTGATCTTAGCACTAGCGCTGAAGGATGGCTGTTCTCGATTGCAATTGAATCATGATATCACGGTTTACTGTGGCAACGGGAAGCGGGCATATAGCCGAATGAACCGTCAAAACAGGATTCACAATCCAGTACGCCCCAAGTTTAGTTTCAAGTCTCAGTTTCAGTCAATGGATCACCAATGCATTCTTAGAAGAAATTAAATGACCACAATTTACACCTATGAAAACATCCGTAGTAGGCTTGAAAAAAAAAGTTGAAAAAAAGTAACATGGTAAAAGTGACAAGACGGAAAAGGGAGATAGAAAAACATAGGGAGAGAGAGGTAGGGAAAGCGGCTAGCAAGACATTCGACAGAAAGGAAAGTAGTCCAACTCCGTTTTTATATCCAAGATTTTTACTGCGCCAGCATCTTCTTGGTCTCGGCGATCGCAAGACCAGGGTTCAGGCCCTTGGGGCAAGTCCGTGTGCAGTTGAGAATAGTGTGGCAACGGTAGACGCTCATGCTGTTGTCGAGAGCGGCCTTGCGCTCGGCGGTGCGCTCGTCACGGGAATCGGCCAGCCAGCGGTAAGACTGGAGCAGGATGGCGGGGCCAAGGTACTCCTCGCTGTTCCACCAGTATGAGGGGCATGAGGTCGAGCAGCAGGCGCAGAGAATACATTCGTAGAGACCGTCGAGCTTCTTGCGCTCCTCGGGACTTTGGCGGTTCTCAAGACCCTATTACATATCACAGTTAGCATATTGCGAATTCCGATATTCGACAATGTTGTCTTGTTTGATGTAGTTTTGCAGGGTCACTCACGTCAGGGCTGGGGGTATCGCGCTGGAGGTAGGGCTTGATGGACTTGTATTGCTTGTAGAAAAGGGTCATATCCGGTACGAGATCCTTGACGACGTAGGTGTGAGGCAGAGGGTAGATGCGAGACTCGGTCTTGGTGTCGGTAGGGATACGGCCTGTGTCTGCTATTAGCGATTGCTGTTCTCCCAGTTGGATTGATTGCGCGAGATTCGGGTTGACTCGGTCAAGCGGGAGAAGGGGGGAGGGGGATCGGAGACGTACACAGGCAGGCCAGAGTGTTGACACCGTCAATGTTCATGGCGCAGCTACCGCAGATACCCTCACGGCAGGAGCGGCGGAAGGTGAGGGTGGGATCTTGCTCGTTCTTTATCCGGATGAGGGCGTCGAGCATCATGGGGCCGGTCTTGTTCAGGTCGAGCTCATAGGTCTGCATGGTGGGCTTCTCGCTCGGGGTATCCGGGTTCCAACGGTAGATCTTGAAGGCCTTCATCTTGGCCGGGGGCTCGGCGGGAGTACCGGTCTCGACGGTCGCATAGGAGCGAGCGAAGGTAGCGGGCCGGAAGAAGGGCCGCGACGCAGCGAAGAGCCGCGACGTGGAGCGGAGGGAGGCCATTGTTGGAGATTGGAATTGCAGGAGAGGAGAGGCGGATAGGACGAAAAGGTGTGGGCTAAGTCACCGCGACAGGAGGGGAGAGGGTCAAAGACGAGAGAAGCCGGGGAAAACAAGGCCAATACCACACAGAAAGGTCAAGGGCAAATTGAAGTCGAGGAGATTCCACTTTGCTAACCTCGGGTTTGCTGGTCGGTAGCTGACTCAGCGTGTTTGGGCCAATCACGGGATGCGTAATGGTCACTCGCTCGGGCGGACACGGCTGCCCGGTATAATAATACTACCGAGAAGTATGGAATAGTATTAGCATAGGTATAGATATCTTTAAGGGAGGATATTAAAAATTAGATATTAGATCTTGCTATAATCCTGATTTATTTGCAACATACTTTTAGTATATCTTATAATATGTTATGTAATTGAGTAAATAATATGCACGGAATCCTGGGCAATTGCCGTTGCCGAAGAATACCGTGACGGGTACCCCGTGACGGAGGTACCGTGACTGCTCCAACTGCCAGCCTCGGTGCCGTCCTTCTTTATCGGCACATGTCCACACCTCCTCCCACACTTCATACTCCATACTTCGCTTATCTATGCTACTACCATTACCCCCGATTGACATAGTTCTGATGCCACTCATAATCCCTCTCCTTCAACAGTCCCCGAATCGCATCCCGAGCCCCGACCACCGGCCTCCCGAGCAACTCGGCCATGAGCGGATCCGTCGTTCCGACCTCTCCCTTCGAAATCGACTCGTACCACGTTAAAAGCGACCGAAAGAATGCTTCCGACTTGCCTCCCTCGTCATCTGCAGCTTTGAACTTCACAAAATCATCCGGTGAAACAATCTCCAGTCGAACCGAGCGACCCGTTGTCTCATTGATCAGATCCACAATCTCACGGAAGGTGATGGTTTCCTGCGCTGTCAGGAGCACGATTTCCTTATCGTACCCGCCTCGTACCATCAGTCGTGCCGTGGCTTCGCCGAGCTCGTCGCGCAGGGTGAATGCCACCGGCCCGTCTGATGGGAGGTACACGGTCGAGCTGTTCGGGTACCATCCCATAAATACTGGGAAGGCGTCGGTGTATGCGCCCTCACGAACGGAGGTGAAGTTGATGCCGGATCTGCTCGGGCATTAGCGGATATTCTGGAGGCTCAGGATGGCTCGTTTACTCACTCTCGCAGCATCTCTTCTGTCATGAGATGAGCTTGTTGAACAGTCGCCTTGGAGTCGGAGCTGAATCCGCCAAAGGCAAGGGACGTATACCAGACCTGGCGTAGAGTATATATATTAGACTCGGATATTTGTAGATAGAGGGTTAGGGTAGCTAGGTAGTCAGTAATCAAGTGCGGACGAACGTACATGCTTGACATTTACTTTCTTCGCCGCATCGACGAAGCTTTGGTGTTGCTTCCGTCGCTTCTCGACGTCAAAGGTGTTCGTGCTCACGAAGAGCAGGTTCTCCACGTCTTGGAATGATTTTTCCATGCCGGCCGGGTCGTCATAGTTCACGACTCGGAATGCGATTCCCTGGTCTTCGAAGCGCTTGCGGTTGGCTTCATTGGATGATGCTGCTGCGTACTCGGATGCGGGGACATTGGCGACCAGATAGGCTAGTATTTGTTTGCCGAGGCCACCAGTGGCTCCAGTCACCAAATATTTGAGGGTCATGATGCAGTGATCGGAAATATACTAGTATGTATGGGGTTGGCGTGCAATTGGCGACAGTAACACTAGTAATAGAAGTACTTTATACCGGTCTTGAACTTGAGATTGGATCTCTCTTTTACAACTGTTGCAAGAGAAAACCAGAGCTCTTTATATATGAACATCCACCGATCCATCGGTCTTGACCATGATGCAATGGCAGCATCCTTTGCGCGTGGCGTTGGGGCCAAAGGGGTTTTTGGGGGAAATTGGTCAGCATATATTGATAATCGACCATGTCGAATGCAACACACTAACCATTTGTAGTTTATAGTGGATAGGCTTGGCAGCAGATCACCGCTGAAACAACTCCGAGAAGCCCGAAGAGCGAAGCTATACCCCAACAGAGGATCCAAGTGCGAGCCAAGACTGAGTAGAGTGCCCGTGAAACAGGACGAGACAGGAATTCAGGATCCACCTGCGGCCGCCATGCGTGCAGATGAATCAATTTGTTACTAATGCGCGCGGGGTTAGAGTTTATATCCTAGCAGATTGATCGAGAACATGCCACTTTTCACAGAGAATAACTTTTAATTCTTATTATATATTAGTCTATCGAATAGGAAAAAAAAACTTGAACGAGTCTATGTATTCCTCGACGAAGGTCGAGAAGTCTGCTGCGACGAAGGCGGCCTCTCTGACCCCCGCGAGACATCGATCTCATTGGTCACCTTGATACCAGGCGACTTATACGGATTAGAACCACCAGGAGCATCACGGGAGACCGAGACTTCCGACGGCATCATCTCATAATCATCATTGCCGGTCTTCGACCAGTTCAGCAGTCGTCGATCGTCGCGCGTGTTGGAACCAACGCCACTCATGGGCTTGGAGTGCTTGGAGTGAGTCCGGAGTCGGCCTCCTGCGGATCGAGATCGGGTATGGCTGGATGTATACTCGGTCAGATGGGAAAAGAGACTTCCGAAAACGGGCTTCAATGCCGGGACTGAAAGTGCGATCAGGGTG